TTTTTTCTTCAGTTGTGATAGAATCATCTAAGATAAGACTATACATAGAAACATCATCACCTAAAACCATAAACCATGCAGATGAAGATAGTAAGTGTTTTGATAAGGAATCAGTTGATTCAGAATGTACTGATGGGCCATAACTCCTAATTTTTTTGAAGTAAATAAATTTAAGTTTTCTTTTGATTCTAAAAGATAAAAATTAAAAAAAAAAACGAAAAAAAATAAAAATACCATAAGTATTAATACCTTTCGAAAAAGCATATGATATTGTGCTTAAAATCACAAAGATCACAAAGACAAAAGCCTTCATTTAGAAAGATGATATACTTTAGTTGTCTCCATTATGAATTTAGTATTAATATTATTAAATTTGGTTTCAGATTTTAGAATAAAAATACAAATTATTGAATGTTAAATTATTATCTTTAATTTAGTTTCCTAATTAGTTACAATATTTTTATAAAAATATAAAAAAATTTGATTTTTTACAAAAATTATAGTATGAAAAATACGACATTAAATATAATTTAAACTGTATTTTATTTCAAATAATAATATCATTTTTATGTATTTTATGTGTTTTTTATATTTTTTAATTTCAATTATTTTATTTTTCGTTTATCGTTTTAGCAAATTTGTTAAAATTTAATTTATCTTTAAATTCTTATAAATGGTTATATTTATGGAAAATTACTCTTTTATTTTTGTTTATTCTTTAGATTTGTTGTTTTATATTGTATTATTTTATTTTATCTTAAATATGATATTAAAAGAATTACTAAAAATGAAAAAATTGTGATCTCTTACAAGTATGAGGGTGTCCGATATGCCTTTGAAATTGCGTCTGAGTAAGCCCCGCAATAATATGGGGTAACTGTGGAGTAAATAGAGAAGTAAATTTATTAGTGGATTATAAAAGTAGCGATAAACAGACTGATAAGAAAACATGAATTATAGAGAAATCTGTTGTAAATTAATGAAAAGATATTACTCTTTATTTTATTTTCTAATCTTTTCCGCTATTTTGCTTGTTCGTTTCTTTTAAATTATACGTGCCCTTTTTTAATCTTTTTCATCCATTGATCTTTTTAGATCATAACCGAAATAACTGCTACTATTACTACTTCTTTTATTGGATTTCATTCATCCACTTTCGATTTTCTATTTTGTTTTATATTATTTGGTTGTCTTGTATATCTTGCGTAGATTTAAAGCCTTATCAATATTAACATTACAGTTAATGTAATTGCATATTTATTGCAAAAGTGTTGATACATATTGATCTATATGTAACTCATGTGTTTGTTGTGTAAATTGTCGTGTATTTTTCTTTCTCCTTTCGTATTTCTTGCTTTATCTATATTATTGTCGTTTTTCTTTGTTAGTATTTTCTTAAGGATTTATTTCTAACAACTTCAGTATTATGCATAGATAGTTCAATATTTTGCACATTTTTTAGCTAAATATTCTTTTTTGAAGTCAATTTTCTTTTGTAAATGACATTTCTTTTAAAATGCACAGAAGAATAAAACAATTATTCCTTTTAGGCAATTTCTATTTTTTATTCAAATATATAGCACAGTTTTTTAAAGAACTAAATAGTATTTATATAATTTTAAAATATGTTTCAGTTTATTGGAATTTAAAATAAAGGTTGTTTTGTTTGGTTATATTACATAATTATTATATAGTTCCAAAAACTTATATTATATTTTCTTAAGTCTTATATTTTGTTTGTAATTTTAGATTTTTCTAAAAAATGTATAGTTTAAAACAGACTATATTTTATTCAACCAAATATTGTTTTCGAATATACTATATAGTTATTTTTAGTAAATATATAAAACGAATAGTTCATTGTATTTACTCTTTGATTATTTACTCTTTGATTATTTGCACTTTTTTACTAATTTTTAGTATTTTTAGGTTTGTTTTAAATGATATTAGAGAATAAAATAAACAATATAAATCACTTTGTGGTAATTATTAGTTAATGTACTAAGTTTTTGGTATAATATATTATTTCTAAATCTCTTATTATTTTTTTTGGAATTTTTTGAATTATTTTTTTCCAAATAAAATTAATTCCAGTTATTGCTTTTATTTCTTATCTTTTATAATTTGTTTAGGTGTTAATGGTTTTTATTTATCTTTTAATTAAACGTATTTTTGATATCTTTTCTTGCGAAGTAATGCTCTTTTATATTCAAATGTCTAATACCACACATTCTTATTTTTTTATTATTATGTTAATATTTTATAGATTTTTTAAATTTTTTTGATTTTTAAAATATTCGCATTTTTTACTAGATATACTTTCTTAGCTTATTAAAAGCAGCGTTATAGCAGTATGAATTTTTAGTATTCGAATTTCAGTTATATTTCTCTAGTAATTGTTTTTTAATTGAATATTATTATATTCGAAAAACTGTATTTTTTAAAACTGTATTTTTTAAACATTTTTTTTAAATTTTTTAAGCTTGAGAGTATGATTATAATTTAGTATATAAAAGTAAAGCAATATTTTTAAGAAAATTGTTGAGCTTTATTTAGAAAAAATATATTTTGTATAATTAATTTATTGTTTAGCTTTCAAAAAATTATTTTTAAATTTATATTTATTTTGATTTTTTAAATTTTCTGAAGTATTTTTAAATTATTTTGATTAGATTTCTATAATATTTATTTTTTAAAATAATTTAGTTTTTTTAGTATTGTTTTTTTATATTTTCTTGGATTTCAGGTTTATCTTATTTAATTTTCGAATTATCCTTTTATATTTTCTGGAAGCTTTTTTTGCTTTTTTAATATTTTTTAAATCCTTTATTAGAATTAAAATTTTGTTTTATAATTATATTTTTATTATTTTCTTTAGGTTCTGATTTTATAGTTAATTTAAAATTTTAGATAACCTTTTAATTATTCTTTTGTAATCTAAAGAAAAATTGTAGTACTATATTTTTTAAGGTATGTTTTTGTTATAAATTGTGTTTAAAAGTGTTGAGTATATCTTTTTTTAGCTACTTAATAATTTTTAAAAGAAATTATTTAAAAAGAATAATTTTAAAAAAAAATTGTAAAAATAAATTTGATTTTAAAAAATGTATTAAATTCTTTAAAATAATCAAATGAATATATTTTCTTTGAAATTATTTTTATATTTTTATATTTTGGTTAATGTAAAAAATAAAAAATTTATTGTAAAATCCATAATTTGTTACTAAATCAGACGGGTAGAAAACTATAGTCTATTGATTTAATCTATTATTAGAAATTATTACAAGTTAATAATTCCGCGAATTCATTGTTAATTATTTTTATACAAATTTATTACTTTTATAGATTATATTTTTATAAACGAGAATTATTTTTAGAAACATTAATATTAAGATTTATTATAGCAAAATATATATAAAGAAATGCGTTTTATATCTTAAACAATTATTCAAACTCTTGCTGTTATTCTCATGATAAGACAAATGATTCCTGCTCTGAAATCCTTCAACCCGAAGTCCGTAATCTTTATCCTCTGCTTCAGAGTCATCTGTATTAGCAGGTTTTGATGTTACAGTTACAACTTCTGTATATGAACAACCCGAATTGTGTGTAGTTGGTTCGTCCTCTGAGGACACAGTTGTTGATTAAGGTTCTAACTCTGGTTCTGGTGCTGGTGGTGGTAATGGTGGTGGTAGTGGTGTTAAAAATATTAACAGTTCTAGTATGCCACACTTAAGAGTAGATTCATAACATCCATAAGAAATTCTAGTGCCAATTGTATTATAAAACTTTATAAATGAGCATAATAATAATTTTTGACCTTCAAAGGTAGAATTAAAATTGGTAAACAAAAACTTGAAAAGCGTTAATGAAAACTCACAGATTTTTCGTAAATACTGTTTCAATTTTTTATAAACATTATTTATGCTAGAACAGACTTTATTTGAGATTACTCTAGTATAATTTTCGCAATTTTTAGTTAAACTTTTTTTATGTTTATTAAAAGTATATAATTCTTCGCTAAGAGTACTGACTAAAGTATTAAAGATATCTTTTTGAATTGAAATATTATCACATTTCTTTTCAGCTTGAAGACATATATAATTCAAACTAAAACATTTTTTTAAACATTTAACAATAGTAAGAATTATGATAAGCGATGTGAGCTGAAGAATTACTGGGAAATCCATAATATTATAAATAATTCAATAATCGTTTATAATGTCTTGATACTTCCTCTAACATGTGTTTACATGAATTTTCCTTATTATCTATAATTGATCTGGATTGTCTAGACAATACTTAGTAAGATAATTAAGATAAACAGTTTTATTTTGCAAATCTGAACTTTTTTTCTCAAGTATATTTAATATCAGTTTTCCCAATATATCTAGATCGTTATAAAGTGTAAAGCATAATATAGAGTTCTGATGTATAATTAAAGTATGATGCTAATTCAGTATATCTTTCTCTCATTCTATTATATATATTATATTTAGAATTTATAATTGTTTTTTATACTTGATAATTGAATTTTTTAGATTTTCCCATAATATAATTTGTTAAATTTTTCATGTTTCATCTAAATGCAGATATTTGTATAGACATGATAACTCTACATGAAATTTTTAGATTTTTTGAAAAGAATCTTTTTGCAGCTACTTATAGCTCTATTATGTATTAACCATCTATGTTTTCTTTTAGTTTAATTTCCCTGCATAATTTTCTTATTAAAGCATTATCAGCTGCTACTTCTAAATTAATATGATAACAGATAACTCATATATTTTTGCAAATATTATAATTCATTCAATAAGTAAATATTAATAAAATATCATATTGGTAGGTATTCTAAATACTGTGTTTTTGAAAGAGAATAATATAAATACTATCAAAAATCATTAACTTTTCTGAGTTTATTTAAAAAAGGACAGGAGTATGTCTTAATCTCATAATATATGTTTATGCATATTTTATATATATTATAATGATTTCTAGCACACATACTTAGGGCGTATTCTAAAATATTATTGAGCATTTTGCATTTAGCATTTTTCTATAATTTGATGTTCCAGTAACTTTTTTAATTAAAAAGTCTATAATCGTTATGTCTATAAGAGTTTTTATTTTAATAATATGAACACTTAAATTATATAATACATCATAGGCATAATAAGTATTTCTTCCGTTTGTATAAGATGGATTTTTAAAAAGATCAAAGTTATAATGTTCTGTAATATAAAAAAAACCATTCTTTGTACAATTTAATCAAAATAACTGACAAGCAAAATAAAGTTATGAACAATCTGAAACAAAATAATAACATTTCTTTAATTTATGCAATTTTCTTCTGATATTTTTTTTTATCCTAAAAAAAATTAACTTTAAAAACTTAGACATTCTTTTTTAGATTTTTCAGTAAATTCTTCACAAATAGTATCACCACTAATACATAATTCAAAAAAATCAAGGCATCATTGACTAAATGATAAATACATCTCTTAGAATACTTTTAAGCGAGCGTTTAAATTACTCGCGGTTCTTTTCAAAAAATCAAAAAGAATTTGTTTTATTATTTGCATAACATTTCTCTTATTAATAACTGTTCTTTAATTTAAAACATTTTTCATTAAAATAGTATGGAGAATATCTCTCTAGAACATTTTATTCGTAATTTGATACATTGATTCTATTCATTTATTTTCTTATTGGAAATTTTACTTGCTGTTTTTTTTACTCTGGTCATTATTTTATTGAATAGAGCACTACATACATCTTCAGGATTTTGACAAATTTCAAGAAGCATTTGATTCATGCTTTCCGTAGAAGTACACTACTTTATTAAATCTTTTTCACATGTATAATGTATTTGATTTGGACCTAATATAACAATTAAATAATAAAAATCATCTTTGCAATTGTACTATAAATTTTCAAATTCTATTTTTACAAATTCTTGATGTATAAAGGAATAACACTATTTATTTTCATATATACGAGAAAGCAATGGATCTTCATTATATAGTGGAGAATAGTTATTAATAAGATCTAATAAGTCAAAATTATACGAAGGGAAGATTAAAGTTATTTAAAACATCTTCATTCTTTGAGAAAACACTTTTTATAATAATTGAAATTAGAAAATATTCACTTTTAAATAATAGCATAAGTAAAAAGAAAAGCGGAAGAACTCTTTTAAATTATATTATTGATTTAAAAATGTAAACAAAAGGAGAATGGTATCGAAAATTATTCTTATAAACTAATTGATAAAATATAATAAATATAATAAATATAATAAATAAATATTGTTTTACTGTATTTTAATTTATTTCAATAGTTCTTAAGATATTTATTTTTTTATTTATTTTAAAATGTTTATTTTTAAAGTATTTGGTTTTGAAGATCAAGTATAATTTTTTAATAATTCTTTTGTTTAAAATAATATGGTTTATAAAAATATTTTAACTTTTTTGAATACCTTTTTTTATTTGGATCGTTTTTTATACATTAAGTCTAATATTTTTATTTGACTCTAAGAGATTGTTGAGTACAATAATTTTATGTAGATTTTTAAATTTTCTCCAATTTTTATGATTTTTCAATTATTTGTTTTACTATTTAAACCATATTTTACGTAATTTGAAAATATATATTTTTATAATTTTTATTTCTTTTCTAAATTTATTTATTTGACATTTTTTCAAATTTATACATATTTTTATCTTGAGTTAATTTCATTTTAAATTTTTAAACTGCTTCAATATAATTCTATAGATTATATTTTTATTTAATAAGATTTTTTAAATGTTTTTAGTGTTTATTTTCAGAGATTATCAAGCGTAATATTTATCAAGTATCTTCTTACAATTTTGTGTTAATATTATTTTTTAACTTTAAATTACTTATGAAAAATTTTAAATATAAAATTTATATTTTTAATATTTTTTTTTATTAATCAAACAATTCAACATACTTTTTATTATAGAGAATTAAAATTTAAGCAGATTTTTTTCAAAATATTTTTTCTTTATTAATAATTTTATTTATGAAACTATTTATTAAGATTATGTTTATAAAATATAAGTTTTATATTTATATAAATTACTTTATTATTTATAATTTTTAGATAAGAACATTTCAATTACACTTTTAATTTTTAAATGATTTTTAAAATTTCTAACTTTTATTTAATATTTAATAAAAACAAAATTTATATATCAAAAAAGTATATATTAAAAGAGTAAAAGAATTTTATTACCTTTTTTATATATAATTAAATAGATAATGCTTCATATTCAATTTATTTAGAAATAAAGATAAAATAGAAATTAAAGGAATTCATTAGTATGTTGAAATACTTTTAATTATTTATAACATAATAATTTAAATATTTAAAATTTATAAATAATAAGATTATAAAGTATAGTTTTTTATAATTTTAATATTTTTGTGTATCTTGAATATTAAGTGAAAATTATTTTATTTATACTATAAACTTTTAACACTTATATAAAAGCTAAATCTTTAAAAAATATGATCATAATTATAAAACATTTAAACTAACAACAAATTTTTAATATCATTCTTAAATTCAATAATATTAAATAAGTTTTTATAATTATATATATATATTAAAGATTTTAATTTTTTATCTTTGAAGTTTTATTAAAAATTATACTTTAGTTTTCAAAATATTTAATCAAAATAATAAATTATAAAAAAATTAAAAATTTATTATATTAAATATTCATCAGATTAGATTATTCCAAAGTTTAAGACAATACTAGATTCTTTAGAAAAAGAATAATATTTAATACATTAATTAAATCTTAATATCTATTTTTGTATTTTTAAATTAATTATTAAATCTTATCAATTATAAATAAAAATTAATAATTAATTTTAATAATATTCTTTTATTAATAAATATAAAACGTTAATTAATGATATAGATTAGGTTATATCTTAAATATTAAATTTTTAAATAAGTTATAATACAAATTATTATTTCCAAAATCAACAATGAACAATTAGTTCTAGAAATTATATTTAGATATTAGAAAGGAACAGTTCATATTCTTTATTTTAATAGTTATATATTTTTTTTTTTATTTTAAAAGAACATAAAAATAGCTTATAATATTTTAAAAATTTTTTCATTGTCTTTTTTACAATTGAAAAAAATAATAAATATTAAAATTTCAAGTTCTATAAAAAAATTAAATTATTAATTTTATATTTTTATAATTTTTTTTTAAGGTAGTTTTAAAATAAAAGGATTTCAAATTATTTATAAAAATATAAAATTTTATATTAAAAACAATAATTAAAAAAATTTTAAAATAATTCTAATAATTATAAATTATAAATTAAATAATTAATTTTTATGATTAGATCTTTTAAAAATACTTAAAATGGATTATAATTTCTAACTCAATGTTATTTTAGGGTAAATTATTTTTTTATTTTTTAGAGTTTATATTATTTTTTCAAAATTCTCATCTATCATAAAATATTAATTAAAACCTTTTAATTAAAATGAAACCAATTGTCATAATATAAAGTAATTTAATATAGCAATTTTTAATCTTCATTTTATATATTATTTTAATTATGTTATCAATACAAATATATTATAAAGAATAAATATTTTTAAATCAACTATTAAAAATTTAAAATATATTTCAGTCTCTAAAACTCTCTAAATCTAAATTTTCATATTCGAAAGAATTAGAAAAATCAAAATACTTATTTTGAGATAATTCATCTGAAACTGGATTAAGAAAGATTACATTTCTTTTTATATCTTGATATCTTAAGTATATTAATGTGAAAAAAATTACTGTAATTATAATTGAAAAAATTAAAATGATTGTTGAAGCTATAGAAGTTTGATTACGTCTAAATAAAATGCCAACATATACAGGAATAACATGCTAATAATTATTCAAGAATGTATTTTAGATAAATAATGAATTAATACCTTAACAGAACATGGTATAGCGACCAATAACCAAGAGTAATACGAAATTGAATTAATAGTTGCAAATAGAGGCGTTGAAAAATGCGAAGGTATAGCACTTAAAGATATTAAAAACATCATACTAATTTTTTTCTCTTCTATAATTTTAACAAAAACTCCATAACTACTCCTATATTTATTTCGAAATTGTATAGCTTGTGCATGACAAAAGTGACGAAAAGATAGAAATACTAATGTTTCCCCAATAATAAAGCTATTTTATATTAAGAAAATATATAATAAAATATAAAAATATACGATATCAATACTATTATAAATCCAACATATCCATATACAAATCCAATCAAAATTGTTGCAATTTCACGTCCAAACATTGGAGGAAATGAACAAAAGATTAAAATAATAGCAAATATTAAAAAACCTCCATTAATTTTTTGTATTCTATCAGCAGTTGGTGCTAAATAAAATTAAAAAATATTAAAAAGAATAAAATAAAATACCAAGCAAATCTACGATCTCAATATTGATTAGATATAATAGCATTAATAATAATAAATTACCTTTTGATGATGAATATTCATCAATACCATAGCCATTGGCCCCATAAGAAAAAAAATGCTTCCAAATAAAGCATATTTTCGATGAAATTTCATTTGAAATCTTTGTAGTTTTTTTTAATCAAAGTACGAAATTTAAAAATTAAATAAAAACACATTTTAGAAAAGGTTTAAACTATGAAATAATTATTTATTATTTATAAAAAAATCAACTCATTATTCTAATCTTATAAATATATCAAAAATTAAACAGTTTTAATCGTAATTTTTTTAAATTGTCTAAATCATGGCAAAAAAACATAAATCCAGGTTATTATATACATTATAACATTAAATGTCATTGTAAAAGAAATAATAGAACAATTCTTATAAAACTATTGTCTACTGCTGGTACTGGATGGTTTTACACTATTTCTCGTCCTCGAACATCTCCAAAACTATCTCTTATTAAATTTGATCCTAGAGGTTATTTTGCTTTTAATAAATATTTATATACTGATTTTTGACAGTAAGAAAAAGAGTATTATTTGAGGAGACTAAAATCAAATGACTAATCTATGAAAAATTATAAATTATTTATAAACTTTACAATTTAAATTTTTAATCTTAACAGATTTTTTTAAATATGTAAAGACAAAACAAACAACAATTATTATTAATATTAATAAAATGGTGTTTAACTAAACTAGTTTAATATTTAAATTAATATATAAACAATAATAAAATGCTTTAACATGTTAGAAATAAAATATTATTAGGTTTAAACAACTCATTTTCGCAAAATTAAGTAGGTTAATGTTGTATCTTGTTATAATTGCAGTATTAAATAATTTAGAATAAATGCAAGAACCATTCAAATATAGAAAACCTCGTTATAAATATTTACCATTTTTTTTTTTCTTATATGTGTTAGTAATGCTTCTAGTTGAATAGCTTTTTTGGTCTGTTGAATTTCCTAATTGTGCAGTAAGCCAAAAATTAGTATCATTATTAGAATATTCATTTTGTGCCTATTTATAAATTAAAAATATATAAAAATAAAAAAAAAAACACTTTTTTTGAAATTTTCTGTTTATCTTGATTCTTCTTCCTTAATCCATTTTCTATATTCTTTGAACTATTAGCATCTAGAGATAAATGTTCGGGAGTAATAGTTTCAATGTTTTCATCTTTATAATTTTTGTAAACCTAAAAAGTCAAATATATATCATAATTTTACTAATATTTACATTATTATTATTTATAATACTTTTCTTGTTATCTTTTCCTGAAGACACTAGAGATTGTGAAACTAATTGTGCCTAACAAATAAAATAAATATACATATATATATAATAAATACATACAGAGCCAAGACTTTTGTGTTGAGTATTAGCAGTATTATCAAAAAAGACTAAAGGAGAATCAATTTTTTCCAATAATGAGTGATCTTCCTGACTAGGTGAGTTTAATAATTTTTTAGGTACTTCAATAAAAGCGGAAACAAGATCATCATTCAAAGACTCTAGATTACCAGCAACAGTTTCATCTCTTAAACAATTTTCAATATTTTTTGTAAGTCTGGAATTGATTTTATTTTCATTATTTACGTATTCTAAAGAACTAGAATGTACTCTTTTTATTTTATTTTCACTAGGAGGAGATATTATTTGAGATACTAAATGAATAGGAGTATTAATATTTATTTTAGATGGATTATTTGATTTTCCAGGAGTTTGATGAATTATCCTATTACTTGAGTGAGAAATTCGAATTTTTTGCGAGTCTTTATTAATATCATCAGAAAAATTATTCTTAAGCAATTTTGTTATTTCGAATTTCAATGAATTTATTGTCTAAAATTATTAAAAAAATAAAATTTAAGTTCTTTGTACATTATCTTGATCTGCAATTTTTTCAATTAATTCTGCTTTTTCCAATCCAACCTAATTTTTATTATATACTTTTTTCAAGAGATATTTATATCTAACCATACAAATTAATTTCTCCTTATAAGACAATTTATCATCCTAAAAATATTCTGTTAGAAAATAGTAATATTATATAATTCTTACTATATTATTTTTATCATTATTTAAAGATTTTAAAAGTAAAATTTCTTTTTCCAATTTATTAATTTTATTATCTTTAGATTTTATTATATTATCAAACTTCGCCTGTTCGGTTTCTTTTAACTTTAGAACACGCCTCTCGTAATCAGCAATTTCTTTTTCATATTGTTTTTTAAGCTTCAAATTATTAAATTAAGCTAATCAAAAAAAAAAAAAACAAACTTCATTATTATTAGAAAGATCCATAAACAGAGAATTTGAGTTTTCTAAATTTATCATTTTGCTCTATAAAATATTAATAAAAGAATATGTTATAAATAGAGAGTAATAACCTTTAAAGAATCACATTCATCCTTAGATACTTTTAATTCCTGTTTCATATCTTTAATAATATTTTGAAGTTTAATATTTTCATTAGACAATTGTTCATGATTTTTTTCAGTAATCTTTAATTTTTCAGAAATCTCTTTAATATTTTGAAATTTATCTAAATAGTTTTCATTATTATTATTATTATTTAAATGAAATGGCCTTTAAAACAATTAAAATAAATTTAAGATTTTATAGATTATTTAATACTTTTCAAAATCTGTTTTAAATTTTTCAAGATGTATTTTCAACCCTTCTATTTCTAATTGAAACGATTTAGCTAATTGAACAAAATCATCTGTTTTTTTAACAGATTCGTATTCTTCTTTTTCTTTTATTATTATATTTGCTTGCTTTATATTATTTTCCAAATCCTCAATACGTTTGTTATTAGAAGAAAGAATATTTGAATGAAAGTTTTTAATATCAGAATAGATAGAAAGAGATCTTAAAAATAAAAATTATGATTAATTAAAATTGATAAGCTTACTCTTTTGAATATTTTTGCCATTTTTCTCGAATTTCTTTCAAAAAAGGATCAAAAATATTTGATCCAGCATGAAAATTCAGACTAATTTCATGTAAAATGTTATGTTCCATTGTTTTTACTTCATCAGACCTAATAAAAATAAAATGCAATAATCATTATGAATATATTCATACCATCGTGTAAAAATGTTTTTTAAAGTATTTTCATTTTTCTGAGTTTCTTCATAAAAATTTTGCAATAATCTTTCAAAAAATTCATGTTCTTTTAAAAATTTATTATATTGATTATCTTTTTCTTTTCTTTCACTTATTAATTGATTTTCTAGAAACCGAACCTTATCTCGTTCTTCAGCTAGAAGGGTAGCATCTTTAAAATTTTTTTCTTGAAGACTTTTGCGATACATATTCTCTAATTAACATTAGTTATAGTAATGAGTTTTTAAAAGAATATACGTTTTACTAACTCCTCTTTTACTTCACCAAGTTGTTTATGAACTTTAGAATTTAGTTTTCCTTGACGAGTTAAAACCTCGCATTGATGTATAATTCCTTGTAAACTTTCGCGTGATTTTATAATATCTGTTTGAAATGATTTTATTTCATTTGACCATTTTATAATTTCTTTATGAAGAGAATTATGATCTCGACCTAATCCGTCTAAAAACTTTTGAAATCCAAAAAATTTGGATTTTACATCTTTCGTTTTTTGCTTTATAGATAAAAGCTGAGAATTTGTGTGCAATAATTCAGCATTCTACAACTATCAATAAATAATAAACTATAATATCAGTTAAATATTGCCTTAATATTAAGTTCTTTTTCTAATTCTTCCCTTTCTCGACGAACCTTTTCTAGACCAGAAAAAAGTAAACCTACTCCTCCATTATTTTGATCTGAAACATTTATTTTTTTTTGGTTAAATTTTGAAGAATCTTTAGAAATATTTCCTATATTAGCTAAAGGAATATTTAGTTGATTAAAATTTGGTTGTAATATTTTTTGTTTTTTAGTATTAGAAAATATGTCTGTAGAATCGACAAGTGAATTTTCAGTACCAGTAAAAACTATAGAATCACCATTTTCAGAAGACTCTATAGCCATATTTTTACGTTTTGTAGGAGGTGAAAAACCTGATAATTTATTCCTCCATGGATTTTTAGATATTGACAACTGAGATTCCATTGCAACATTTCCTTGTAAAAGAGGAGAATTATGTAAATGATTAGTGAAATTCAAAAACTTAGAAGGAGTTTTTTCATGAATGCAAACTTCAAAATTATTTTCTGGAATTTTTTTGCTATTTTTCTCTTTTAATATTGTTTTATTGTACATAAGATCTTCTTGTTTAGAAATATCTTCGTAGTTAGATAAACTATTTAGATAATTGTGTTTTTTCACTATACCAGATAAGCTAAATGGAAGAGTTCTTTGTTTAAAATTATCATCATTTAAAGAATTTGATCCTGCTTTAATCGATGAATCATTCTGTAACGTCTTTGTATATATTGAATTTAAAGGTACTTTTTTTAAAAAAATAGGACTTTTTGGAATTGATTCATGTTCTTTTTTTAAAGATGTGTCATTTTGATTCAATTCAGATCGTTTATATGCTTCAATAGTCTCTTGTAAATCCATCATAGTTCTATATAGCATAATATTCCATCTAAATGCGTTCAAATATAATAATATTAAAATGTTTTCACATCATTTTGTTTTAGTAATCACTTATTTTTGTTTATTTTTACTTAATTCTTAAAAAATAATCAATTTAAAAATAATATTAATGTCGATAATATCAAAAACGAATGATTCATGTTTAAGAAATCATTTTAGTTAACGTTTAAAGGTCTAAATAAAAAATAATATAAAAAAATGTATTTAATATATATTTTCAAAAAGTTGAATAAATATTAAACATTTCTATAAGACATTTGGAATTGATTTTTTTACTAATTTCAAAATAAAATTATCTTTAAAACTTTTTATAATAATAAGTCAAATAACAAAAAAACAATTTGAATAAAATGAATCTAATTTATATATTAATTTTATTAAATCAAATTTTAACAATTTTTATTTTTTCAAAAATCTTAATTTTTAAATATAAACTATGAATTTTAATATTTCTTTTCTAAATAAATTACAAATATTTAAAATATTTCAAAATCAAAAAACATATAATCTCAACAACTTGAATTTCAATTCTATAAGCAAAAATTAATCTATTACAATATATTTATATGTTGAATAACATTTTAATCCATAATTAATCTTAAATTATAAATTTTGTATCATGTTTTTTAAAAATAATTATTTATGCTTATTTAATACTGTACCAGTCTATCATAATTTTAAATAAAATTTAAAAATTATATAAAAATCTTTAATATTACTGAAATATAATATAAGTATATTTATTATCATATCTTTTTATTTGAAACATTAATGAATCGATATATATATGAATGACTTACGACCAATTTTTTCATCGTACAATTTAAATTTTAAATTTCAGAAAATAGCTTAATAATTTTATATTAATTAAGTTTCTTTAAAACCAATGGCTATTACTGTAGTATACACATATGATAAAATACATTTTTTAAATATTAACAATTTTTTTGTAGGCATCTTCACAGTCTGAAATTTTGAATACGACAAACAAGCCTCGATCAATTTTAAAACAAAAAATAGAGGCAAAAATATCGCAGAAATTAAATGGTAATCACAACTCTTCATCTGATTCACATATTCTTGTGTTAGAAAATTGTACAAGAATTCTTTGTGTAGCAGATATAAGGGGTAAGTTATTAAGAAATTCTAAAAAAATAAGTTTTTAAATTTTAGGGAATATATCTTTTTTGAATGAACTTTCTAAAAAAGTTAATGCTCAATATATTATTCATACGGGTGATTTTGGATTTCACGATAATAGTAGTCTAGATAGAATGAGCGAACGGTATATATCTTTTTTCATATTTTTTAGTCCTAATAGTAAAAGGACATTAAGACATATTGTTCAATATTCGCCTTTAATTAAGCCTTATTATCGTTCCAAATTCACTACAAACAATTCTATTGAATCTATTCGTAATACTATTTCTCGTTCTGAACTTATTATTTCCGAATTATCATTATTTTTATCAGGAGTAAAAGAGCTTTTAGTTCCAGTGTATACTATTTGGGGGTCGTGTGAAGATGTACATGTACTTGAAAAGTTTCGTAGTGGTGAATATATGATAAAGAATTTACATATTATTGATGAACATTCCTCAAAATGTCTTAATGTAGGAGATATTAAACTGAGACTATTTGGTCTAGGTGGTGCAATAATAATGCACAAGTTATTTGATAATGGCGAAGGTAGAACAACAATAGCGGGTGGACAAGGAACAATGTGGTCTACAGTGCTGCAAATGGGAGAACTTTTACATACTGCTGATAGAGTATGGGATAGTTCTGAAGTTAGGATTTTTGTAACACACCATTCTCCTGGTAGAGAAGGACTACTTAAGCAAATATCACTTGCTCTTAAGGCAGATTTTACTATTTCTGCTGGTCTACATTTTCGTTATGGTTCCAGTTATAATGATTTTAGCGTAACACCATCAACAGCGCATTATCTTCAGAAGCTAGCAACATCTAGAGCACAATTTATGGATGTTTGGGAAACTGTAAAAGATGAAGTAGAGTTACTTGTAAAAGATATTCAAAAGGATCATTTGTATTCTGTAATCAATCTTGTAGAATCTATGCCTCAAGAAGATATGTTAAAAAATGAAACATCCTTTCAAAATGGAGAAAAAGTTGATTCAGCATTTAAAAATACATGGAATTTTAATCTTCCTGATGCTACATATGGGTGGGTAACTTTATCTATTTCTGAGGGTCGTATAAGTGCAGAAACAAGAGCCCAAGGATTTAATTTTTCGTATCGGAAAAACATCTTACAAGCCAATATGACTGAACAGACTTCTTGCCAACCTATGCAAATACATGATCAATCTACTACTACACATACTCAACAACTTAATACTGGTTCAGTTCAAGAAGAGCTTAAAGAGCCTTCAACATCACGAATCAAAAAGCCAACGCATTCATCGCCTCATGTTGATCCTCCATCTACAAATTCAACGTCTTTAAACTCTCGCAATACACAAAAAAATACAAATGTAGTATCAGAAACATCAAAAATATCAGAAAATCGGAATAAAAAAGAAAGTATAGATAAAGAATTAGATAAATCTCAACTTTCTAAACATGCTTTATTTATTTCTCCTTGTTCAACTAAAGAAGAAGCATATTCTATCTTTAGTGGAGATGTGGTAAATTCCATTATAAATATATCTATTCGAAGTTCTAAAGGAAACTCGTCATTTAAATATGCTTTTGTATTTTTTGCTTCAAAAGATAACATGAACGCAGCAAAAAAAAAAACAATTTCTAAGCCTGGTCTAAAGATAACTGAAGCAGATTTAAGCAACAATTTCAAATCCTCAAGAAATAATCAAGGACTAGCATCTAATTTCCAAAAAAGCACTATTTCAGAAACAGATAGCGTTGGTCGTGGAATACATAGACGTAGTTCTCGTTCAAGATTAAAATCTTCTCGAGGACGTAATAATACCTTGAAGGATTCTGCAAGCAGTAAAATTGAGCAAACTAAAGATCAAATTAAGGATCAAACTAATGAAAAAAATAATCAAATGAAATCTATGCATAAAGACTTAGATAAAAATAAAGAAATTAAAGAAATATAAGCTTTTGAAAGCTAAAAATAAAACACATAAAATAAATTAATATATTTATATCAAACAAGAAACAATAAAAAATTAAAAATAAGAATTAATTAAGTTATAAATATATGCATGATGCCATCCTATATGTAAAGATTTTTTATTTAATATTTATTAAAAATTATTGTAATAAAATTAAATTATATAGTTTAAACAATAAAATTAAATAAATTTAAGAATCATCAAATACTATTTCGTGAAAAACAAATATGTTTCTAAATCACAATATTAAATTTAAATATTTTTATACATTCAAATAGCTTAATTCTTATGATTAAAAAGGAACAGTATATCTTTAAGAGTAAGTTTATTAATATTAAATAATGATGTATGCTTTTCATCATTCAGTGTTTCTTTTACAAGTGCTTTCTTTTTTTCTTGTAACATTAATATTCTCTCTTCGACTGTATTTTTAGTGATTATTTTATGAACTATTACATTCTTTGTTTGACCAATACGATAAACACGATCAATAGCCTGCTCCTCAACAGCAGGATTCCACCATATATCTAATAAAATTACTCTATTTGCTACTGTAAGATTAAGTCCTAATGCTCCAGATTTTAGAGAACAAAGTAATACTTCTATATCTTGATAATCATGTAACTTCTTAAGAACATTTTCTCTTAAATAGTGTGGCATTGAACCATCATCTAAAAATTTTTAAAAAAGAATCTAAAACACAAATAAATTACATCTCACAAACTTTATATTTTCTGCTTTTAAAAATGGTTCAATTAAATCTAACATAGATGTAAATTGAGAAAACACAATTGTTTTATGATCGGTTCCAGAATTATTATCTTTGAATTGTAGAATCTCCATCATTTTTTTAATTTTTGAACTAACAATAGGACCTTTTAATTTATTTTCTAAATTTTGATTTTCAGGTAAGTTTTTTACAAATATCTTTAAACATTTTTCACATTTATTTTCTTTTAAGTCATTGTTTTGTAAATGAAATCTTAATTATATTATTAACAATAAAAATTGTATTATATTTATGACTTACTCTTCAAAACAAATATCACATTTAAATTTTTTATTTTTCTCATTTTTTAATTTTAAATCATCAAATAATGAAACCATATCATTTACATGATCATTAATATCAGATAAAGAACTATTATTAGAAATATCAATGGCATCTTTATCTAATCTTAAGTTTCTTGTAACTAATTCAAAATGATTACATGCTTTCAAAAAAATCAGTATAATATTTTTATATAATTCACTAACCTTGTCTAAGTCTCAATAAAAGACAAAGTATATTAGTATAATTTTCTCCTTTAATTTCATTTCCAACAAATTTAGAAAGACTTTTATCAGTATACAATTCAAGTTTATTATAAAAATCACGCTCATATTTATTTAATTCAATCATTTCATGTTTAATAACTCGTTCTGGTAAACATAGCAATGCTTTGTTATTATTATTTTGTTGAAGAACAGCTTTTGTTCGTCGTATCATTACAGCATTAAGTATAATTTTAAGTTTTTTTAAAGAAATTTCATCATTTCCTTGAGATATTGTTTTACTTATTTGCTCCTTCCAAACGGAAAAATCATTTAATGGTTTAATTCGTAAAAACTTAAACAATGAATACAATTCTTCAATAGAATTCTGAATTGGTGTTCCTGTAAGGCACCAACGATTACAACCTTTAAGAGAGCATACGGAAATTGCTGTTTTAGAATTTTTATTTTTAATAATTTGAGCTTCATCTAAAATTAATCTCCACCATGATATTTTAAAAACCCTAGAATCAGAATTACAGGAATTATCTGATAATTTTTTTGTGTCTATATCTTTCATTTCTGAAATAAGAATATGATATGTAGTTATAACTACATCATACAATTCTAAGTCTTTAGAATGTTTATTTCTTTCATTACCATGATATACTAAAACAGAAAGATTTGTTTTATTAATGATTTCAGATTCCCATTGTCGTATAATAGACAAAGGCGCTACTACAAGTGTACTTTTAGAATAAACATTTTGGAAACATTTCGGACGTTTTCTAGAAACAATAAGAGCTATAGTTTGTACAGTTTTCCCTAGTCCCATCTAAACTACCAGTTACAATCTTCATATAATTCTTAAAGCTTTTTACATCATCAGCAAGAATCCCTCCTTTCTCTTCATTAGAGCCTTGATCTTCTCTTTTTTGAAGCCATCGAAGGCCATTTATTTGATGTTTAAGAAGTCGAACTTTTAAACCTAGAACATAACCAGTATCTGTATCTGTTTCTTTATCTTCATAATCACAAAAAGTGCTTTCTAATAATTTTTTGATAGAATCCTGAATTTTTACATGATCAATACAAGTAGATGTTGGTAGTTTCCTAAAAGAATTGACAGAATTTTTTTCAAAACCTAAATCTTTCTTAGATCCTGCTTTACTTTGTGTTTTGACCCATGATGGTAATGAATTATGAGGAACCTCAATAGAAACTGCATCAGACGGTGACGTTTTTATTTGAGAAACCAACTTTTTCTTCCAATTAGCTGAATTTACTGGTAAAGGTGAAAGAGATGTTTGAGATTTTATATATCCTTTTGAATTTTTTAAATAACTAGAGTTATCTATAGATGTTTTTGGTACATAAATTGATGTTGGTCGAGAAAAAATAAAAATGTTTTTTTGATCTTTGGCTGTATTTAATACATTATTTGGTTGTTTATTTTCAGAATCTAAAAATTTATATGAAAAATCTTGATTCATATATTCTTTTTAAAATATTTTATTTTACAAAATTTCTATTATTCTGCGATAACTGTTAATATTTAGTATTTCTTAGTATAAAATAATTTATTATTATAAATATATAAATAGAAAAGAATATAATTCTAAATAATCATAGCATATATAATAAATTTAAATTATACTTAAAAAACTTTGAACTAAAATTAAATATTATTAAATACATAATTCAATATAAATTTAAAAAATATTATAAAAACACTAATTTATAATCTTAACGATATTGATCTATAAATTGCTTATGAAAATACATTAGCCTTTCATCAATGTTTCCATCAGAAAGAAAAGTAGTTCTAAAATGATATGTACCTTGAACTTGACCGAAACTACTACCTGGAACAACACAGACACCAGTAGTTTCTAAAAGTTTTATACAGTAAAATTCGTCAGGCGATTTATTTAAACTTCTTGCTTCTAAAATTGCTTTTTTAGGGATATCTATTCGAGGGAATAAATACATTGAACCCTGTTTCATTAGTTCCAAAATAAAAAATAAAATATATTTACTTGAACTTTTCGACACTCAACACCTTCCATTTCATCAAATGCTTTCTTAAGTCTTTTTGCACGTTCTTTGAGAACTTCTTTTATATAATTCATTTCTTTTTTATAAATTTTATAACTTTCATCATTTTTCTTAGGAGGATTAACCATAAGGTCTACCATAATTTGTCCAGGTACAGGTGGACAAAGACTAATTGATACAAGCTTATAAAGTTGAAATTTCACAAAGTCATCAAACCCAGTTAATTCAAGATAACCACCTCTGATGCCACATTCACCTATAGTTCCTTTACTGACTGAATGCAAACTCACTAACTGAACATTGTATCTACCAGGATATTGTAACTGTAAATCTCGTAAAACCTTTTTGAATGAAATAAATTTTAAGTCATCATCATATATATTTTCTTGGTAAACTTCATCAGCAATTATAAGTAAATCTCGTTTTTCAGAAAATTTTACAATACTCTCTATAATATCTCTAGTTAAACATGCACCAGTTGGATTCCCTGGATTAATAACAACAATAGCCTTAACTTGAATTTTGTTTTTTTCTGCTTCTTCAAATGCATTTTCTATAGAGATAATATCCATAGACCAATTATTATCTTCTTCTAAATAATACAACACAGGTTTTCCATTAAACAGAGAAATTACTGCACTATAGAGTGGATATTGCGGAATAGGTACCATAATTCCAATATTGTTATGTGAAATAAGCATCTGCAATATAAGCATTGCAGCAGAACTTGCTCCTGCTGTAAGAAAAATATCATCAGGAGATGAAGGATGACCATCACGGTCTAAAAATATAAGCAATTAAAACATATTGAAAAAATAATTAGGTAACTTCAATAAATTTAGCAACATTTTTTCTAATACTTTCAACTCCTTGACTAGCACTATATGCCCCAACTTTTTCAATATTATTTAATAAAATCTTTGCTCTATTTATAGCATCTTTTGGGAAAAGTTTTTTTGTATTTTCAATATTATGCTTCTCTAAAAGATCTGGGTATTCTACTAAGCTTAATACCTATAAATACATATAGATATAATTTTATAATTAAATTTTCTTACTTGACGAAAAAAAGTAATAGGTTTATGATCAAATTTTTGAGGATTCCCAATATTTGCACAAATAATATCTCTGAAAGGAATATCTTCAACACCTTCCTCTAACTTTTTTCTAATTTTTTCTGCTTTAATATAGATTTCACCACGAATTCCATAATGTGCTTTAAGAATTGAAGGATTTATAGAAGACTCTGTAAGAACCATGTATTTCTAGAAATATTATTTATTTAATTAAAAATTCTTTATAAAAATAATTATTTCAAATATATTTCTCTAATCGTTTAATTAAAATTGTAATATATTTTTCATTCTAAATCAATTATATTTGATTATTATAACTGTTATGGATTCTACAGAAGATGAGATTATAGATACTTCAGCCAATATTAATACGTCTTTAAATTTAAATACTAGAAATCTACATAAGTTTAAAAAACTATTTTCTGAATATACACCAATTGTAGACTATATTACTCAATGTTGTAGTATTTTGACAGATTCGGCTGTTTTGAATGAAGATCTTATAGGACCAGAAGGAGCATCTAATTCTACAGAAGTAACTTTCTTTATTAATGTAATTATTTATTGATTAAAGATTTCTAAACTTGAAGAAGCTTTAAAAAGTGTAATTGATTGTATGGAATATATTAATTTTCAAGAAGATATATTGTCTGAAATTTCTAAAGAATATAAAAAAGATGATAATGTAATCAATTAAGCTAATATTTTATTTTATATTAATTGTATATAGAATTTAGAACTAAAATTTCAGGAATTATATCAAAGAAAGAAAAATGATTATGATTCACTTAATTTTCTCCAGAAATATTCTAAAAAAAATGAATACATTGATTTTAAACAACGTATATGGGATGTTCATCATCAAAATATTCCAATGTCACAAAATGAATCTTTTTTTCAAGGTATTATCTTTTTTTCTTTATTTCTAAAAACTCATCTACTAAAAGATGATGATATTATTATATCTTATTTAAACCAAAATATAAAATGTCCACTTACTATGACATATCTCGAAGAACCCATGAAATCACGTGTATGTGGTCATTATTTTTCTAAACATGCAATTTTAGAAATCCTTAAATGTAATAATGGGAAATGTATATGCCCTATAGTAGGTTAGTATTGTTTATATAAAAGACTTTTTAATGATTAAAAGGCTGTAATAAAATTATTGACAACAGCATATTAATTCCTGATAAAATAATGGAAAGAAGAGTCAATATAACTAAAGAACTTGAAGGCGATTTTGAAGAATCTGAAAAAACTAAAAAAGAATCCACATATGTAAATATTTAATATTTTTAATATATGATATCATATATTAAAAATATTAATTTTATTTAATTTTAGTTACAATTATGGTTTTTTAGAAAATAATATACATTAAGAAGCTATATACAATTCACATACCAGCCATAATTCTTGCTTGGAATTTTTGAAGTTTATTAAGTAAGTGATCACCTTGTTTTATTAATAATTGATATTGTGCATTTTTGCTGTCCGGTCTATTAGTTTCAATTATTCCATTTACTCGATCAATAATGCAATTTAATTGCTTATTTGCAATAAATCTTGACAAATCTTTATCAATAAATTCAGCAGAAACGCCAAATGCAGATGCCATAGAAGTGATAGATAGTGCTTTGTAACTCTAAAAATAATCAAAATGATTTAATATAAAATAATTGACTATGAACCTCCAGTAATTGAGCATATGATTTTCTTTTCATTTCCCGAACATAATAATCAGCATGAAGAAAAAGATATCGATTGATTCTAAGATAATTTTCTTCTACTTCTGCAAGCGCACGAAAAAAAAGTGCATAATTACAATAGTATAATGAATTAACCATGTTTTTTAAAGATACGAATAATTTATCTGTAATAACAACACTAAGTAGTTCTGGTGAATCTACAATCTATTTAAAGTTAAAAATATCAAAAAAGAAATACCTGAAAACCTTCTGTTTAAATTCAACTCTTTCTAAGGAAATAGAACCTGTTATTATTGTATATTTTACAACATCTTCATATTCCATTAACTCAGTACTAGTAAAAGTGCTTATGCTATCAAGAAAAAGACGAGACGCTTCCTTGAAGTTCCGTATATTCATAAAATGAAGCGCCATATATGTTTTTAGTCTATTCTTCCGATCCCAATCAGCTCCATTGTCAACAAGGTTCTTTGCTTTATCCATATTACGAATAAAAAGCGGAATATCAGAAAAAAATAAAGCAATTCTCATAATTCCAAATAAAATATCAATTTGAAAACCTATAGCTGTATTATTATTATATGCCTCTTGATATGATTCCAATGCTCGATCCTAAAATTATAAAAATGTAATTCAATTATTCAAATAATATTTTACTTTATCACAGATACGAGCAAAAAACTCTGCTTTTCTTCTTAATATATCTGCTATTTTTTGGTCACCATCCATTTCTTGAATTTCTTTAATTTCATTATCAAATTTTTCTAATTCTTTATCATTTTCAGCTTTTAAATCATTGTAAATTGCTATGTCAAAAGGAAAATTTTTAAAACGTTCATGAAGATAGAGGTATAAAAATGAAAGTTTTCCTTCTTTAATTGCACTTAATAATGATTCTATTGCTTCTTTTTGCCGTTCTAAATGTTTATCATTCAAAAGTATAAAAATATAATCTGCAAGGTGTAAATCTGGAACAGGTGATATCTGTATTTCTTTCATATTTAGTTTTCAGAAATATATAGTTTTTTCTGATTTTTTCTATAATTTTAGTTTTTTAGAAAAGTTAACGATGCAAAATATGAAATATATTAATATTCTTTAAAATAATTAAAAACTAAAATTCATTTTAAATATTAAACATTTAAAATATTTATTTAGAAATTAAGTCTTTAAAAATTATTTTTTAAAAATTGTAAATAATATATTTATTTTAATAATAAAAATTATAATTAAAACATTATTATCGATTTTTTTTAAAATATTTTAGTTTAAAAGTCTTTAAAAAACTTTCTAGAAATTCAATATTTTAACAGTTATTTAAAAATTCAAATTATTTGTAAGTATAATTGTAAATATTACAAAAATTTAACGAAAAAAACATATAAAAAAATATTTTTTATATAAGCTTAAAATAACTTTTAAAACTAAATAAACATTAATGTTTTAATACTTAATAGTTATTATATTCCTCTTTTTTCAAATGCAAATGCAAGATAAAATCCTAATTAAAAAATTAATAAAATAAAACAAATAAAAAATATGAAAAACCAGCAACATCCCATTCATCATCAGAAATAATCCTTTTTCCTTGCATGTCAACTAATTTCATACGTTCAAGAAGCATTTTTATGTCATGATCTTTTTGTTCTTCAAAAAAAATATCATGAAATCGTCTACAATAAAGCATTTCTAAATTGTAATCTTGTGCAAGTCTAACTTTTTTAGTTATAAATAAAAAAAATGCAAAATTACGCTCTAAAAGCCTCAAAAGGCACAACATACTCGGGAACATCAGTAATTGCATCCTCAAGATAAAAATTATAACAATGTCCAAACGGAGGACGGAATTCGGACAGTGGTCTATTTGCAAATTGTATCTTATAAATTGAATTCCCCCATTCTTTTTCACCGTCTTTTAGTTTTTTAATTTTTTCAATAATAAAATCACTACTAGGTATAGTGCCAATAAATTTACCACCCCGTGTAAGACTCTTTGAAACATTAGAAAGCATTTGGTGACATTTTGCCTCTGTTTCAAAAGCATAGTGCATAGAAAATTGCATACTTACAATGTCGAATTTGCGCTCATCAGGAGGAAGAATAGATTCAAGAGGATTTGTATAACAATCTAAAACATAAAATTTTGCAACAAAATTAAAAAATTTCAGTCTCCTATATCTTTCACGAGCTTGCATAATAGAAACTTCTGCAGAATCAATTCCTATATATCCAGCAATTCCTGCCTTAACCCATTTCAAAAGATCGCCTCCCTTTCCACACCCAATATCTAAAACAAGTATAGCTATATCTCTAGGAAACATCTTTGAAAATTTTCTTATTAATGCCGACTTAATCCAATTATTAAAGTTTCTGAGTCCAATAATAGGCGAACTTTCACGTCTTTTTCTTCCTACTTCAGGCTTTTCGTTGTAATATTGCCTTACTAGATCTGTAACGTTTTGACTACTTACATACGTCTCATAATTCTGATTCATTTCATTATAACGAATTCTTTTTCTCTCAGATCTACGTTCTGTCTCTGATTGTTCTTTTACAATACTTGGAGCTTTAAATTTTCGAATTGGTATCTTTTTTTCAGAATTAGAAGACTCTGATGCATTTAAAACATCTGCATCTTTTTGTGGAAAAGACAGTGTTGCTTCATTTGTATTTTTTGTCTCTTTAGATAACAGTATTTCATTTACCAAAAATTTATTATTTTGAGTTTCAAATTTTGCTGTTTTTTCCAAAAGATTACACTCTTCATTATCAAAAAATATCCTTTTTTTCCCTGTTTTCTCTATATCTTGATTTTCTTTTAAAATTTTATTCAAATGTTCCTTTTCTTCCATTTTTTACTCTTTTGTTTTTGTCTTTTGCAAAATAATATTTATTGCTGTCTATTACATAAGAACATATTGATCTCTTATTTGTTACATTGTTTTTGATTTTTTATAATGAATATATAGTAATTATTTTGTTTTATATTTCTTTAAATTTTCTACTTATCATTATTTATAATCTTTATTAACTTATAACTTCGCTTCTTAGGAGTATAAAGGCGAGATGGCCGAGTTGGTCTATGGCGCTGTGTTAAGGTTTATCAAAACAGTTCCGCAGTGGGAAACCGCGTGGGTTCGAATCCCACTCTCGTCACTTTTTATAAAATCTTATAGCATTGATATTTAAGCAAAATTCAGATGAGTTAATTAAAATGGTAGCTTTTTTCATAAAAATATTTGTGTAATTTCATGTATTTACAAAAACAAATTTTTATAAAAACAATAAAAATATGTAAAAGTTTATTTTAGTCTATTAAGTTGATAATAGAAATAATTTAATAAATTTTCAAATATTGATCCAGAAAAATATTAAAAAAATATATAGTCTACAAGATATAATTTGTTATATTTAAAAAACTTTATTTTCCCAGTAATATATTTCATTTATTCTTTTGATGAACACATTTTATTTCAAAATAATATACAAACAAGAACTTTCAGAATTAATCAATAAAATCTTAAAAAAATTTAAAAATAAAAGAGCATTACTATCAAACATATTTTTGACAATATTTTAACAATACTTAACAATAAATACACGTATCTATTTATACATCTATCAATTTCCGATAAGATGTACTTGGAAAAATAATGTAAAAATGAAAAATGGTTCTTAAAGTCCAAAATCCAAACAGTATTAAAGTATATACTGTTTCAGGGGAAGGTGTATCAGAATCTTTACCAGAGTGGCTTATTCGAAAGAAAAAACAAAGTTTAAAAAAAAACGCAGAATGGCGTTCTCGGATTGAACTTTTACAAGATTTTGAGTTTCCAGAAGCAAGCAACAAGATTAAAACAACTAGAGATGGAAAATATGCAATTGCAACAGGAATTTATAAACCACATATGAGGATTTTTGAGTTTTCAGAAATGTCTATGAAATTTAGTCGATATACAGATGCAGAGAATGTAAATTTTGAAATTTTATCAGATGATTGGACAAAAACAGTTCATTTACAACAAGATCGTTCTATAGAATTTCATACTCAAGGAGGGCTGCATTATCGTCTTAGGATTCCTAAATTTGGTCATGACATGGGATATCATTTTCCCACTTGTGATTTATTAATTGCTGCCTCTGGTGATGAAGTTTATCGCTTGAATCTTGATCAAGGGCGTTTTTTAAGTCCATTCAAGATAGAAAGTCTGGCAAGCAGTGGCTCAGGAGCAAATAAAATGGGTGTCAATACAGTAAATATCAATCCTGTACATCAACTTTTTGCATTTGGAACAGATAATGGAACTGTTGAATTTTGGGATCCTAGATATAGATCAAGGATTAGTATATTAGATGTCCATGGGTCTTTAAACCCTCTATTTCCAACAAAAACTACAGAAGTGACTGCCACTAGCTTTAGGAATGACGGATTAAACTTTTCTGCAGGCACTTCTACGGGCATTGTATTATTATATGATTTAAGAAGTCCTAAAGCTTTATTGCAAAAAGATCAAGGGTATGATAGCCCAATAAAATCCATAAAATGGCTAGAATCACATAATTCAATATCACAATTAATTTTGACATCAGACAAAAAAATTATAAAAATATGGGATAAAAATTCTGGAAAACCATTTACATCGATTGAACCGCCAGTTGATATTAATGATGTCTGTCCATTGAATTTTACAGGCATGATATTTGTTGCTAATGAAGGATCTCCAATGCATATATATTATATTCCTGAATTAGGTCCTGCTCCTTCATGGTGTTCTTTTTTGGATAATTTAACAGAAGAAATGGAAGAAAATCCTAGTGAAAATGTTTATGAGAATTATAAATTTTTAACAAAAAAAGAATTAAGTTTTCTTGGTTTAGATCATCTTATTGGCACCAATATAGTCCGTAGTTACATGCATGGTTTCTTTATTGATTTCCGTCTTTATGAAATGGTTTTATTTTTGTCATTTCAATTTAAATTTTTAATATAAAATAGGCAAAAAGCATTGCAAATCCTTTTGCATATGCAGAATATCGCGAAAAAGTTATTAAATCTAAAATTGAAAAAGAAAGAGAATCTCGTATACGCTCTTCAACAAAAGCAACTAAAGTTAATAATAAACTGGCACAACATTTATTAAGTAAAGAGGAAAAATATATGAAAAAGAATAAAGCAAGTTATATAACTTTAAAGATTCAATTTAATAATGAATTTAGAATAAAAAAGAAACAAGTATTTTTGAAGATGAACGTTTTAAAGATATTTTTAATGATCCTGAATATGAAATCGATGAAAATACTTTAGAATTTATGCAATTGAATCCAACACAATCGGTAATTTTTTTTTACTTTTACTAATTTTATTAATTGTGTTAAGACAAAAAATTATCAGAATACAGAATCAGAAGATAATTTGGAAAGCGAGAAAGAATCTGTCACAGACTCTTTCTCATCTTCTGAAACGGATGAAAGCTACGATGATAAAATTAATAATAACCAAAAACCTAAGACTATAGTATCAAAAACTATGAAAGAAGAATTGAAAATGAAGATTATTGATCATCATCGACCGCAACTTAATACCACACAAAATGAATCATTTGAGTCATTAATGAAAATACAAGAACAAAAAACAAAAGAAAAAGAATACGATTTAACAGTTAAAAACATCAAACAAAATGTGAATGGTGTCGGAAATATGGAAATAACATTTTCTATACCTAAAAAGAAAAATAATGCTTATAATAATGATGAAAATAATCCATCAACAAACAATAATACAAAACAAAGAGACCGACGGAGCGCGAGCAAAAATGTGTTTCGAAATATATAAATAAATAATGTATGATAGTATTTAGAATAAAAATGAACTGTAAAAATATATTATATACATCTTTGTATTTTATGCTCACAAATCATATTTTTAAACAGGTTTCTTTGAAGATGGTATTTTAAATTTGTCTGGCCGATCATCTTGTCCATCCCCAATCTGATCCCATGCACTTGATCCCCCTCGGAAATCTCGGAAGGCTTGTGTCAATTCAAGCGGCTCAACAACCACCCTTTTCTTTTCCTCATCATAACGGACTTCTGTATAGCCTGTCAAGGGGAAATCTTTCCGAAGCGGATGACCCTCAAAACCATAATCTGTTAAAATCCTTCGAAGATCTGGATGATTGACGAAAAAAATACCATACATATCATATGCCTCTCGTTCATACCAGTTTGCACCCTGGAAAAGCTCAACAATGCTCGGGACATGTGTTGTCTCGTCCGCATAGGTCTTTACACGAATACGTGCGTTATGTCGAACACTCAGCATGTTATAAACAACTTCAAAACGATACGTGCGCTCAGGATAATCAACCCCTGCAATATCCATCACACTTTTAAACTGGCAGCTTGTATGGTCTCTCAAAAAATACATAATTGGAATCAATCCTCCCGGCGACGTATAAATAACCAATTCATCCTTCCACACCCCAAATTGCTGCACAAATTTCGGCAGACAGCTCATAATATAGCTTCCATATGCATGCAGAGTCTCCTTGGCTTCCTTTATTTGCTCATTTCTCCCCAATAACTCCTTTTTTTCTTCTGAAAACTTTCTTTTTTCTCCTTCCAATTGCACTTGTTTTCCTGTATTAAACCTCCTGCTCAGTCCTGGATTTAAAATACTATTTCTCCTATCATAAATCCTCCTATAAAGTACTAGAAAATGCTTAATAGGCGGCCTAAATGTCTCCAATTGTCTTATACAATACATAATTTTTGCTTGTTCTTGAGATGACGTTGATATACCCTCGTCGTAGCCCTAAAACCTAGTAATTAGACCTAAACCTAACTACAGTACAGGACTAGGTCAATAAATAGGGTAAGGTCTAGGTCTAGGGCAAGGTTTAGATTGCAGAAGAGGTGAGCTACGATTGCCAACGTCAAGAAAAAACTAAATGTCAAGACAGCACCAAGATTCGTATATTTCAGACGATAATGAGGATGTTGACTGGTAAGAAGAGGATTTTAGGTGCAACTACTGTTTCTAATAGATAGTCCATTGTGTATGGAGGAGATGGATCTTTCAGACCGGAATTTTAAGCCGTGTCCCTGTGGATATCAAGTATGTCGTTTTTGCTGGAACCATATACGAAAGGTTTGAAGAAATAGAGGGTTTTAGAAGGGTATTTATTGGATAGGACCTTAATGGACGATGCCCAGCATGCAGGAGGCCCTATTCAGAAGAAACAATTGAATTTAAGCCGCTTACGGCAGAAGAGTAGTGGAGAGAAGAATAGAGGGAGAAGCTGACTAGATTTAGGTGGAAAATGAGTCAGCACCGCAAGAATCAGCGGAAACAGAAAGATCGGGAGCGTAAAGAACAGGAAACGATAAGCAGAAAACATCTTGCAAATATGCGAGTTGTTCAAAAAAACCTGGTTTATGTGATTGGGCTTTCACCCAAAACAGCAAATGAGGAACTTCTTCAAACATTACGTGGTCATGATTATTTTGGGCAATATGGAAAGATTCAGAAGATTGTCATTAATAAAAAAAATGCATCACATCCGAATGGTTCAGGGAGCCTTGGGGTTTATATTACATACTATAGGAAAGAAGATGCGGCAAAAGCGATTGCAGCTGTTGACGGGAGTCTTAATGATGGAAGAATTTTACGAGCGTCTTATGGGACAACAAAATATTGTTCTACATATCTTCGTAATCAACCATGTCCAAATCCGAATTGTATGTACTTGCATGAGCCTGGCGAGGATGCAGATAGCTTTACTCGTGAAGATCTTTCGACTTTGTATGTTGAAACATTTTTTAATACATGTTACTTATTTCAAAATAGTCAATACACAACCAAGTCTGCTCAGCTTACATCGCCTAAAGATGTAAATACATCTGCATCTACACATTCTTCAAAGATAACAGAGGCCGTTCCTTCTAATGACTTGTTTACATCTAACGAAAACGAAGGATCTGCTTTACCTCCTACTGTTTCATGGGCTACTAAAAACCAGCCATCCCAAACACCATTATTATCAAAATCGTTGATATCACCAAATATAACATCCATAGACGGAATCACATCTCAAAAAGTAGTCCCACAACCTATACAACATACCTCTGCAGCTGTTAATTTAACTAAATCATCGAAAGCAGATACAACAGTTTTTCTTGATAAAATTCTTGATCATCTATGTTCAGGTCATTTTAAATTTATTTTTTCTTCAACAATTTTGTCTCCTGAAGATTTACAAGCAGCCCAAACAATGCTTCCACTTTTTACGTTTAATCATGAAAATTTTACAAAAAAGTCTGAATCAGACATTCGATTTCAAGAAGGAAATACAGGAGCTAATGCTAAATTCCGAGGATCGACTTGGCCATATAATTCATCTGTTACAACTGAAGAGAATCCTTATAAACGACAAGTATTTCGTCATGATTTATATAGTGAAGAAGGAAATAGTCGAGTGCCTCAAGAATCACGGAAAAACTCTCAAAGATTCTATCAAGGACTTACACCTTCTCTTTCCCCAAGAACAAATTCAACATCAATGTTATATTCTACACGGAATGTAATACCTTTAACTAATGAGGCTAATTTTGGAACTTCGAACACTGAAGTTGCTACAAAAACTTCTACACCTCCTGGAATATATACTCAAGGGATGTATTATCATAATTATGTTAAAACAAAAGAACAAGATTCAAAATTCATAAATACACCACATGAATACCTTAACAATTTAGGAAGACAGAACACATCTTTAGGATCTTTGTATCATGATCATGGCATTCATTCACTTCAAACAAGAATTGCTGATACAAAAATTATAAATTAAAATTATAAATTGTATATAATTTTATCCTTATAATGTTAATATTAAACTATAAAAATATTATCTACTACTTTTTATATAAACAGGTTTCTCTAAATCCTTCAATGTAATTTTTTGGATTTTATTTTTCAATATTAAATATATAGTTTCTTAAAATTATAGAATCTTAAAGCATTCACATGCCATTGTATTTTACTTTTTATATACATTTAGTAATTTACTGTTTTAAAAATATTAAAAATATGTTATATAATACAAATGTATTTATATATTTCTAGATTTTTAACAATTTAATATTTAGCCTTCTAAATTCAAAGATTTTAGTTTTAGACTACTTGATTATTTGTATTTTAAAGAACACTTCATATGTATTATTTTGTCTAGAAATAGTATAAAAGATGCCATCGATGCAAAATAGGCAAATTAATTTCATAATGAAAACAAAATGCTATTTTTAAACGAGACAGAAGTAGAGATAAATAATAAAAAATATAATCAAAAATACTAAATGTAGTAATTTGTAATAAAAAAAATAAAAAAAAATATTACATTAAAAAAATATACCTTCAATAAAAACCGTTTAAATTTTCGATTTAATGCTTATATGATTAGTATAGAGACGAACTAAAATAAATATGATAATGAAGCCGTAAAAGTAGCTACAAAGGGATACGCTTGATTTTATAGTAACATAAAAAATAAAATTCCTCTAGATAAAAAAATATTATCAATCATCTTCTGTTAGTTGTTCAAATTGATACCGAGATCGCTTCCAACTTTCTTTAGTCATGCCTTTACCACTCCCGATAACGCCAACTTTGCCGCCAAATTCTTCTGGACTACGAAAAATACTTTTTTCTCCAATACGCTCAACTTTCCCTGTCCTTCCTCGTTTAACTCCTTTTTGCGCAAAAGACTGCCAAAGACGCTGGCCAGCAATTAATTCATCTTTGGCCTTGATAGTCTTTTGTTTTTTAGGGGGTAATGGAGGTGCGTTTGCTATAGCTGGCGGAGGAGGTGGCTTTTCTTGCTCAATTTCAATTGCTCTTTTCTTTCCTTCTGAAATAGGCTTAACATGATATGCTTGTAGAGTTTCTATTGTGTTGTATTCAAGAAACTTAACAGTATAAACAGTATTTGTAGATGACCCCGTTACAGATGTAATTTTTGCTGGATAAAAAGCATTGTCTCCAGATACCCATCTAGCCATTACTGTTTCACCTGTTTTATACGTTTCTGTATATTCATATAATACCTGTCCAAAATTTTTTGCATTCGATGCTACTTCTTTTGCTTGATCTTCAAAATATGACTTTGTAAGAGCAATTAGATCAACAAGTTCTGCTTTTAAATTCTTCAATTCCTGATTATCAGGGTCCTGTGCAAGTGCAAAATTTACACTATCTAGTTGATACTGATATTGATTTAATTCACTTTTATCCATAGGATTCTAATCGTTTTCTGCAAAATTTTAGTGTTTTTTGGTCAAAAAAAAAACATAAACTTATTCTTACTCATATAAATGGCGTTTTTAATACAAATAAAGCAATATAGTTTCTAAAAAATCCTTTATTTTCTCCATTTTTCATTTATTAATTTTTTTTAACGTTAAATTTTTGACAAAAATTCGATAAAAACAAAAAATAATTGAAATATTTAATATATTTTTTTACAAAAAAACATTCATAAAGCTAAATAAATAAAAGAACTCAAAACTACATAATTAAATATAAACAGTATTTTTTCTATTGACTACAAAATTAAATTTCAAAATTTTACAAATAAATGTTTTAAAATCAAATCTCGAGAGTACAATTTAATAATTCATTTTAGATGACAATAAAACTAATATAATGAATATTTTTTAAATCTTAATTTTATTTTCAAAATTGATTCTTTCCCATTATACACATAAAATGTTTCATATTTAAGAAAATACATAAAATTCATTTTTTATATACACTCGAGCTTATCAAACTTCGATTACAAAAAATTTTCAAAAAATAATCAAATATAAATAAAAAAAAACATAAAATATAATGGAGGTAACAGTTACAAATATATCTATTTATTATAAATTAAGAGGAAATAGCAAAATTATCTATCTAATTTAGAAGAAATTCTTAAATGTACACTTTTACCAAATAATGATCAAATATCAAATGCAACAAAAATTTTAAAAAATCAATATTATATAGAGTCAAAATCACTATTGGCACTATTGCATATTATGCAATCGTCAGAAAATTCTCAGGTATTGATTGATTTTTATCCAATTAATTAATTGTCTTGAAAGATTCGTCAACTGGCAGCAATTGAGGCACGCAAACTTATTCCGTCGTTTTGGAACAAGCTAGATGATCCTTTGAAACCTGAAATAAAGAAATCACTTCTACAATCAATAGTTTCAGAACCTGTTTCTATTGTACGACATTCATCTGCCCGTGTTATATCTTCAATCGCTAAAATAGATTTACCTACTGAAGAGTGGCAAGATCTTCCTGCATTTATATATCAGGCATCAACATCTCAAAATTTTATGGATAGAGAAATAGGTTTATATATCTTATATGTTTTATTTGAAATTATGGAAGATATGTTTATTGACCAAATGGAGCAACTTTTTTCATTGCTTAAGCTGACAATTGATGATAAAGAAAGTCGTAATGTTAGAATAACTACACTTATGATTCTTGGGAAAGTTGGCGAAATTATTGATGGAGAAGATAAACAAAATGTTAAATTATTTCGAGAAATTTTACCTTCTATGTTTTTAGTTCTTAAAGAAACAATTGATTCTAACGACGAAAATTCAGTAAAAAACTCATTTGAAGTGTTTAATACTTTATTGATTTGCGAGGGTGCTTTAATATCAAAAGCTATTAAAGATTTATTAGAATTTATGGTTCAAGTGGCATCTGCAACAAAATTACAAGATTCTATTCGCTGTATGGCTCTAAATTTTCTCATTACGTGCATAAAATAGTATGTTATCTTTTTTTTATGTATCATAATAACTTTAAAATAGTCGAAAAAACAAAATTCAAGCATTAAAACTAGGTCCCCATCTAACACTCAGCATGCTACATATTGGGACTGAGGAAGATACTCAGTTACCTGATGATGACTGTCCTTCTCGTCTTGCATTTAGATGTATTGATCTTCTTTCTATTGGTTTATCACCATCACAAGTATTCATACCTCTTATGAATCATGTACCCCAATATTTGCAATCTGAAGATCCAGGATATAGGAAATCTGCACTTACTGCACTTGGTGTGGCTATAGAAGGTTCTTCTAACTTTGTATCTACTCAATTTTCATATTTACTTACATTAATTATTACTGGATTAAAAGATACTCATGATATTGTGAAGCGTGCTGCATTATTAGCATTAGGTCAATTTGCAGACGAACTTCCAGAAGAAACATCAGAAAGACATGCAGAACTAATGCCTATTATTCTTGAACTCATATTAGATCATCATGAAGAAACTAGAAAATCTGCACTTAATGCACTTGATGCGTTACTAGAATGTCTCGATTCAGATAGCATTTCTAATTATTTTTCGTGCATTATGGAAAGACTTCTAGGGCTACTTCAATCAAATGCAACATTCGAAATTAAATCTACTGTTGCTTCTGCTTTTGGAAGTGCTGTATATGCTGCAAAAGAACATTTCAATCCTTATTTTGAACGCACTATGGAGTATTTTATTCCCATTTTGCAGTTAAAAGATTCTAAGGACGAACTGGAGTTTAGAGGTATGGTTACAGACACTTTAGGGACCATCGCAGAAACTGTTGGAAAAGAGAAATTTACTCCTTACATTGAATATGTTGTTCAAAGTGCATATGAGGGAATGCAAATAGATCATCCTAGGCTTCGCGAGTGTTTATTTTGCTTTTTTGCAATTTTAGCTCGAGTATATAAAGAAGATTTTTCACCATTTCTTCAAGTTATAGTGCCCGCATTAATCCAGTCATTAGATAAAGATGAGTCTGATGATCTATATGAAGATAGTGATGAAAATGATAGCATAAAAAGTTCCGAGATTGAGGAAGATAATGATGATGATACATTTATTAGTATGTCAAAAGTCAATTCAGCAATTGCTATGGAAAAAGAAGTTGCTGCAGATGCTTTAGGAGAAATATGTTCTTATACTAAAGAATTGTTTATCCCATACATAGAACAAAGCAAAGAAAAACTTATTCAATTATCTAACCATTTTTATGAAGGTGTTAGAAAGGCATCTATATCAAGTTTATGGAGATTTGTTACTACAATATATAACATTAGTAAACCACAACAATGGATTCCAGGATTTCCATTAGTATAATTACGTTATATTCTATTCTTATTCTTATTTTTACTTAGAAAATCCCGCTTCACAAAGATGTTGATGAATTCGCAGCCTCTGTGAGAGATATAACAATGGAGGTTTTAAGTGAAGAGAATGAAAGGTAATGTAATTTAATACTTATTATTTTTACAATTATATATAATGATGAATATTTTTCGTTTACCCAGCTCACTCAGATACATAAATTGTAATGATGTGAAAGCGAAATCATACTTAATGACACTCTGATAATATATTTGTTGTTTTTTATTATTTGAGATATAACTAATTATTTAAAAGGCTTGTTGTGATAGAAATATGTCAAAATATTTCAGAAACGATGAAAGTCTGTGGTCCCGGAATTTTAGGAAGTAATGAAGGTAGAAATATCTAAAATTATATATTATTGTTGACTTAAAATATAGAAATACAGAAGTTATCTGAATATATTCTTCAGATTTTAAAAAAACAACACACATGTCAGTTAGATGAAGATGCAGATAATTTAGTTGACAATAATTATGAAAACGACGACTACATTGAAAATGATGATAAAGATTCTGCAGAATATGATACATTGCTTATAGAATCTGCCATAGATGTTTTGGTTTCTATTGCACTTGTTCTTGGAGAAGAATTTTCTCTGCCTTTTGGAATCTTTTTACCTCATATAATTAAATATTATGTAAGTCTATTTGTACTAATGCCATTTTCCTTAATATTGTTCTAGGAAAGTAAAATTATAAGTAATAGATCTATGGTAATTAGTGGTCTTGGAGAAATTATTGAAGGTTTAAAGGCAGGGGTTACTCCATATACAAAAGTATACTTTTATGTTTTCTTGCTCATTCGTATTGATATTTTATAGCAAATATTCCATATTTTTATGAACGCTCTTGATGATAGTGATGAGGAAATTAGAAGTAATGCTGTTTGTTCTATAGGACTTTTGTGTCAATATTCTAAATACGATTTAACAAGTCAATATATGACAATATTTTCAAAGCTTCAATTATTATTTTCTGATAAAAATCATAAAAATGCTAAAGATAATGTAATTGGATGTGTTTCACGATTGATTATTTCACAACCATCATCAATTCCTCTTGCACAAGTATTACCTGTTTTAGTCTCTTTTCTGCCTTTGCAGAATGATTATTCGGAAAACTCTCCTGTATATTCTGCTATTATGAAATTATATAGATTAAATGATGCAAATATTATATCATTAACAGAGCGGCTTATTCCAATATTTGCTATTGTTTTAGGTCCACCTGAGGAACAACTCACTGAATCTATAAGGAATGAACTAATAGAGCTTGTTAGAGCATTAAGTGTTGATTATTCTGCGATAATTAATCAATATCCAGGTCTCTTAAATATAATACGATAATTTTGGAACCAATAGTATATAATACATTTCTAAATGTTTAATTTATAAACTATATTTTTAATATATTTGAAGTTTAAAAGCAGTTTACTAGTTTTATTTTTTAATAACACATTTTAAAGCTAATTTAATATTATAAAAAATGTTTTATTTTGTTTGTATATTGCTAAAGTTTTCATTGTAGAATAGTAAATACTTTTTATACAAGATATCTAAGTTTCTAGTTTTTATTTTATTTAAAACAATTTTATTGATAATATTTTTATAAAAATGTAGATTTAAAGTGTAAAATAGTAATAGATAATTTCATATAAATCTATTATACAGAAAAAAATCATGCAAATCAAAAAAATTAAATAAAACAATGCCTAGTCAACAGATATAGCAGAATTTTTGATTTTTTCCTGAATAATATCTATAACCACTAAATATTTTAATTTGAGTTTTTAATAGATTAAAAAAAGTACCTTTCAAATTAGAAGATTTTGTATTAACATAGCCTTCAATATCCTTTAAATTAGTAGTTAAATATTTTATTCTTTCTTCATAAAATTTTATAGCACCTTCAATTGTCTATGTAATCAAATTAAAAAAACATATAATATATAAAAAAAACAACTTTTTCTACATAATATCCTGTCCCAATATCTACCATAACTTTTTCTGGCTTAGAAACTAAAATTCCAGATACATATAAAGATGATGTTAACGGAACCAACATTTCTTTATCTATGATTCTTAAAAATATACAAAAAATATTTATTTATATATTACTTTCACCTTCTTCCTTAGACAATAAATATATTGCATTTTTACATTCTTGAAACTTAAATTGAGCTTGTTTTAATTTAGTAAAACTACTTGTAAGATGATTTAATTCTAGTTCAATTTGCTTACGTATTTCATCCAATTGTTGAATTGATAAAGATGTTAGATTAACTAAACAAAATCTTTAGTATTTTTTAAATATTTAACTTTTTATTTTTACCTTCTTTTTGATTCATTTTTATAGCTTTTTTCTAACGTTAATTTTTATGACGACAAATATCTAAAATATTAAAAATAAAAAAATGGAAGTAGATAAAGGAGATAATTTGAAAGAAAATGAAGAATATTCTGAAAATTTTGATGTAATTTTTATAGATATACTTTTTTGAATGAACAATTTTGCTAAATTTTGAATAATAGAAGATACGTTTATTAATAAAGCGAACACATGAACTTTTTTCCTCTGAATACTATTTTTGTTTAGATATAGATAATGAATCAAGGTATTTTCCCTCATTTATTATATAAAGTATTGTTTTATATGTTTTTTTGCAGTAAAAAAGTTAAAATTAATTATAAAATAAAAAATGAATATAAAAATGCACAAGAACTACCACAAGCTATTACCAATAAATATAAAAATGAATTATTAAAGAAAGATTTAGAGAAAGAATCTATAGAAGAAGGTTTCAATATAGCAATATTTATGGGTTTTAAAACTGACTTTACAAGATAAAGATGAAAGCGGTTCAAATAAATTAATTGAAAAAATTATATCAGAAACTCTTCCGTATGTTTCTGTTAAAGATATTTTATATATTTCTAATATTTTCTTTAGAAATGATGATAAAAATTTAGTTTTATTAACACGTCCACTTAAATCAGAACTATCAAAACATTCAAGTCATGTAGCAAAAAATACATATAATAACACATCTTCAGGAGCTGTTCGGCGCAAAAATGTTAAGCCTATTGTAACGTATAATGCTTGTCTTTTTTTTATTAATATTTTTTGAAGAAACCAGAATGGCATGCTCCATGGAAATTAATGAGGGTTATTAGTGGGCATTTTGGATGGGTAAGAGCAGTAGCAGTGGAACCAGGAAATCAATGGTTTGTTACGGGTGCAGGTGATCGTGTCATAAAAGTAAATATTGTAAAATTATATTTATAATAATTATTTAACTAAATATAGATTTGGGATCTTGCGTCTGGAACTCTTAAGCTATCATTAACAGGTCATATTTCAACGGTTAGAGGTCTTGCTGTATCATCTAGACATCCATATCTTTTTTCATGTGCTGAAGATAAAATGATTAAATGTTGGGATTTAGAAACAAATAAAGTAATTAGGCATTATCATGGATCTCTTAGTGGAGTTTATTGTTTATCTTTGCATCCTACATTAGACGTTCTATGTACAGGAGGAAGAGATTCTGTTGTAAGAGTTTGGGATATGCGTACTCGAAATAATGTCCATGTACTTTCTGGACATAATCAGACTGTTGCAGATGTAAAATGCCAGAACGTAGATCCACAAGTTATTTCTGGTTCTATGGATTCAACAATTCGTCTTTGGGATTTAGCAGCTGGGAAAACTATGACTGTACTAACAAATCATAAGAAAGGTGTAAGAGCACTTGTTCTCCATGAAAAAGAATTTAGTTTTGCCAGCGGAAGTGCAGATAATATTAAACAATGGAAGTTTCCTGAAGGTTTATTTATGCAAAATTTTGAACAACATAATGCCATTATAAATACTTTATCTTTAAATAGTGATGATATCATGTTTTCTGGCGCTGACAATGGATCTATGTCGTTTTATGATTGGAAATCTGGGTATAAATACCAAACATTAAATACTATTGTTCAACCAGGATCATTAGAAAGTGAAGCAGGGATCTTCGCAAGTACTTTTGACAGAACAGGGCTTCGTCTTATTACTTGTGAAGCAGATAAAACAATCAAAGTTTATAAACAAGATGAAACTGCAACAGAAACAACCCATCCCCTTGATTGGAAACCAACTCTTTCAAGAAAAAGATACTGATTTTTCATTCAATATATTTTTCAATATATATCTTATGTATAAAAATGCACGGCATATATAATTTTTGACGTAATTCATGTAAATATGTTTCATTTATATATTTTTATCTTTTAAATGATTACAAAAAAACTATTTTTTGTCATAAAAACAATATATTTCGTTGAAGAAATGATCCAACTTATCATTTTGTAAAGCCTACTTATTTATTGCCTCTAAAAATTATTTTTGAGCATCTTTTTATTCCAAAATCAATTACTCTTATTACGCAAAAACAAGAGGCAAAAGCCATTGGAATAATGATATTCTTACTTTAAATAATAAAGATAAGAATTATGATCCTTTATTATTATCTGGAATGCAAAATGTGGGAAAATGAACTGCAAGTTATTTAAAATATATAAAAGTATTTGTTTAACCAAATATTAAAAGAAATTGATCAAAAAATTAGAGAATGTTAATTTCCAAAAAATATACACTTTTTGTTAAATTATGGTGGCTTTAGCGGAAGCTGTTATATCAGTATTAACAACATTGTTTATGAAATTCTTAATAAGTTTGTGAATATTTTAAAAAATATCAAAAAAACATAAAAAAATATTTTACGCTTTGGCGATATTATATAGATATTGTACTTTTTGTAGAACATCCTGATTATCCAAGTACACATTTTCATGGAGATACTTCAGCTTTTGATGTCCGGGTAGGGTATCTGAAGATTCTAAAAAATTAATTTATTATACAAAAAAAGCCTTAAAAGCAGAGATCAATGAGTGTTGTCCAGGAAAATCATTCAGTACTATTGGTAAAGCAATAGAAAATCTTCGTAGAAATATCTTTAATTTAGATAAAAATACGAATGATCTAATTGTGTGAAAATGGATAGTTAATACCTATATCTGACGGCCATAGATGTGCTCAATTCAAATATACTGTTTTAATTACAAATAATGGAGTTGAAATTCTAACATAAATTGTTTTCATATTTAAACCAAAAATTATAGTATAAATAAAAAAATCTACTCTCTTAAGAGACAATTTTCATCTGTAAATTTAAGTTCTTGACGCAAAACTGTTGTCAAAACCCATTCCATATTGTAAATCAAAGGTACTTGGTTAGTCTCTTCCCTTTTTTCAATAAACTGTTTTGAAGCTCTGTCATTTAAACTATTAGATATTAATACTATCGAAAAATCTTTATATTCTATTTCATTTCTTCGAGATGTAGTAGAGACACAAACACCCCCATTCGCTTCAATAATTTGTTTTACAGTATCTATCCCATTATTATAATTTGATACCGCTCCAGGTGAGATTTGAAATAAATATCCTTTAAATAAAGAACACTTATTTTCACCCGCTTTTTTCAAAGATTCTGCAAGTTTGAAATTATATTTCATTTCGGACTCGGGATCAATGAGAAAGTACGCATTTTCGTCTAACCATTAAAATTGACACCAAGATATAACACGTAAGCTCACCTATGATCTTTTTTTCCTTAATACACATTCTAATCCAATCTACAGACAATATTTTTGGGGCATAAGCAAGAGCAGATAAAAACTTTTGAGTTCGTTGGATTCGAGAAGCAATGAGATGCGTACAATCCTTAGGATCTTGAACAGTAGTTATTCCTAAAGCAAGTAGCGCCTTTCACGGTCAACACGTGTTTGCGAATAGACTGACTAACCTTTTCTGTTTGATTATTCCAATCCTTATATCCTGTTACTAAAATCCGAATATCATAATCTTGAGAATTTTTATTTGCAGCGGAAAATTTAGTCCTAGGCGTCCTTCCAAGACTAAAACATTCAATAATACTTAAAAGGTGAATATATAATCTTACGATACAGCATTGTCCTTCCCATTCTCACAATCTACAAATAATTCTTTGGATTTTTTCCTCGTGTTTTTTACATCACCAAACGGATCAAAAGTCGTCTTTCTTTTACACTCTTTTTGATACAATAGGACATCTGGCATTACCTCATTGTGTAGTTTTTCCAATGCCATTACAGCAGCTTTTCTTCTATGAAGAGAGGATAAGTTTTCCTTTACCGGAGAATTGCGTTCAGGCGTTAAAAGTCGACTATCATTGTTAATATGCAAAGAAGCAAAATCTCTTGACGCCGAGTTCATATTTAACGAAATCGAAGGAGAATCTTGTGATACTTTATCATTGTCTGATAAATTAGCCGAATAGTCCAATAAGTTTGATTCCTTAAGAGGCGATTTTTTAACACTGGTGGAATCACAATTCTTTTGGTAAAAAAACTTTATCGTATCCATATCTATAGGCGTGTTTCCAACCATCTCCATGAGATTCGTTTGCGGAGAAAAATAAATATAACGAGGAGTCGTAATACTTTGAAGCTTCCATTTCGCATATGTTTCTTCGATCCAAAGATGATTCACTATACGAATATTCCATTCCAATGCTGCCATATATTTTTGCCCAGATTTACTGCTGAATAAATAATAAGCGATAAATCATTTTTACCCATACCATGGAATGATTAAATGTGTATTGCTAGGTTTCATATTTTTCGTAAAAGTAGCTCCCAATGCTTCAATTAGCTTTTCAAGATACTGCCGAGACTCTCCCTGATAATTCGAAATCGTAATAATCTATTAGACATGTCATAAAGGAAAGACTAATTTATTTGGAAAAATCAATACCATTTCTCGCATTTCCGGAAGACCCCCCCTTACTATAGGATAGTGCAGTAAATTTTTCTCCGGTTTAATCCATGTTCTATACACAAGCATCCAATAAAACCACGTCAAATTACCAATAACGATTCCCCGTGATACTGCCTAAACATATATATTCAACAAAACAATAATAAAACATCCAGCCACTCCATACTTCAATATATTCTCCTTCCCGGTACATGCCTATGAAAACATTCGCCTCTTCCACCGTCGACACAATAGTTGCTCCAAAATTCACCGCAATAACTTCCAACGTCCGTCGAAGCCGCTGTCCAATCTTCAAATCATTCGAAAACAGTACCTTTTTGGACTTGAGTATCTGTTTCACCCCCTTTAAAGGATTCCTCAAACTCTCTTTCCCATTATCCCTTGTATCTTGATATAACAACGCATTTGAACCCCCACTCGTAGCATCCACTTCAAGAATTGACGGATTAGGGAACAAATACGGTGTTTCTTCAACTCTCCGCCCCTCTTTCAAGCAATCATCATACCTAATCCCGTAAAACTCTGCAAAAACAGCTATAAAACCCCAACCACTGTGGCAAAATAATTTTAATCCCAAGGTCCGGCCTCTTCATCGCTTGCTTACATATTTCCTATCTATTTTTACTCATTTTTCCCCCAAAAAAACTTTTTTCCTTCAAAAACATACATGGTTTACATGCAACGTGATAATATGTGTCACATTCTTCGATAGTACCTTTGCACATTGTCCTCCCAGCGCCAAAACCCCCTCATATATTGCTTCTCTGTCTCCACACGGCAACTATGCCATTCTATTCAATTTTTCCACTATATTGATCCCAAAAACTCACTTCTACACACATTATAACAATTCCTGTTAAAAAGTGCCGTGGATCTGCTGAAAAATACTTAATACTACACACAATCTCTGTCAAACATGCTCCATCAACACTTATAAAATACTTTTGCTGGTGCCGTCGCCGAATAGACGCCTTTATCCAGTCTGTCTGTATCGGTCAGCGGTGTTCACGCAGTGCTCGCAGTGCTCGCAGAGCACTGCGGCACCTCATCTGTGCATACATTTACAACGGGGATTCCTCTTTTATATGCATTGTATGCGGTTTCTCCGCTTAAATCTGCTGCAATAACGTGTGTTAAAGACGGCCAGTCTGCTGGCAGCACTGCACGTCTGGCACCGTGTGTTTCAAGAAGAGTGGCAAAATCCAGTGCATTGGGGGTATTTTTCTCGAGAAAAAAGACGGTATCCTTAAATATAGGCGATTCTGAGGCCGATATACGCGATATATGCGCTGCTGCAGCGCCTTCTGTATCGTCCATCGCGTCAAGAAAGCTCGTGCTCACTGTCGCTGCTTCCCGTACACCCGTCTTCTATCTCACTGTATATACTATATATATATACTGTCTTGTATAGTGTGTATATACACTATACACAGTATGCACGGGAAATGCGCATTGTATGCGCATATATAACGCATACATTGTGTATATGTGTGCATATAGTGTATATGATCAGTGTATATGCGTATTATGTGTATATTATATGTACTAAATGCGCTCTACTATGCTGCCGAGTGCTCACTCGTCTGTACAGTGTATAGTGCATACAAATGTGTGCATGGCACGCATATACTGCGTATACACTGTACATATGCGGTACAACAATGCTTACACGCTATATATGTGCACACTGATCATAGACTATATAAATACATATATAACGCATATACGACGCATATACAGCGCCATAGCCCCATACACTGTATATACTATGCATATTTATGTATATACTCTATATTCTATAGTATGTATATATGTGTATACAGAGTATATATAATACGCATAGAATATACATAGAATATATATAGAATATGCATATTCTATGTATAGAATGCGCATAGAATATATATACAATGCGCATACAGTGTATATGTGTGTATACAATGCATACAGAGTCTCTACGCTGTATATCGCGCACACTGTACACGTACACGTGCATAAAAAGATGCCTCCACTGTGGATTGAACACAGGACCTTAGCATTACAAGTGCTACGCTACTACCACTGAGCTATAAAGGCGTCGGAGAAAAAACATAATCAATTGTATATCTGCAGAAAGACACAAAAGTGCAAGTATATATTGTGTATATATACCGAGTGTATACGCGGATACGAAGCATATACAGACAAAAGACATACAGAAACAGCACACGGTTTGCAAACAATGCCACGTGTAGGAGTTCTTGTTATGGGACCCGCTGGCAGCGGAAAAGTATGTTTCAGTATATACTATATATACCGTATGTATTATATATAGTATATACAGTATATACCATATAGACAAAATATACAAAATATACAGAAAATAACCGTGTTTAGACGACATTTAGTCAAGCATTGGTCGGACATATGCAGCAAATGGGCCGTGCAGCCCATCTTGTTAATCTCGACCCGGCAGCAGATGCACAAGAGACAGAAGCAACAATCGGTATGCACAGGTATACGTCTATCGATAGCACAGCAAAGGCGAGAGGCAGCTGGGCAGTAGTAGACGGATACAGGAAGAAGAGGAATACTGATGAAAAACAGACATTAGAGATTTAATATGTCTGGAAGAAGTGATGGAAGAGCTTGAATATGGGCCAAATGGAGGACTGGTATATTGCTTTGAGTAGAGAATTTTTTTGTGAGAGAGAGACTGATCGCGATATATAGTTTTTTAATGAGTCATCTTGATTGGCTTGAGGAAGAGATTGTAGGGCTAGATAATGATTATTTAGTGTTTGATATGCCGGGTAAAGCAAAATGATTTATGGGACAAAGTTTGAGGAAGGTTTTTTACATTTTTGACAGGACAGATTGAGCTGTATACACATATTCCGGTGCTTCCAATGCTTGCAAAACATATGCATCATCATTTGGGGTTTCGGCTTTGTGCAGCGTATCTTTTGGAGTCACAATTTATTGTAGACAAAGCAAAATTTTTTGCAGGAGTGATGAGTGCAATGAGTGCGATGGTGATGCTCGAAATTCCTCATATTAATATCATGAGCAAGATGGATCTAATTGAATCACAAGTGCGTAAAAGTGATTTGAAACGATATTTGAATCCGGATCCTTTTTTATTAATAGACGAGGTAAACGCAAAAACAAATCCTCGGTATCACGATCTTAATCGAGCAATTGTTCAGCTGGTATTTATATGTAGTTGAAATTTAAGCTTTTTGTAATGATATAGATTGATGATTTCCATATGGTTTCATTTTTACCTTTAAATATAGATGATGAAGACTCTATAGCAATGATTTTAGCGTACATTGATGACTGCAGTCAATGGAATGAAGATCAAGTATAAAAATGCCCAATTCCTGACGACTCACTAACAAACATAGGAACCCAAAGAACCTAAAGATATAGCTGATAATGAAAACGAATAAAAAATAGTAAATATTCTATAATCTGAACTTTTAACAATGTACAATTTTAATGTCCTATAATAATAAACCTTTACAATGAGATTAAAACTATAAATTCTCTGCTTCGAATATCAATGTTTACTGAGTAAATATGCATAATTTTGTATACGGTTATATATGTCTTTTTTTTGCAAATAATAAGTCCTAATTTTATGATTTAAAAGATTTGTTGCTTGTAGATTTTACTGATTTGAAAACTTTAGATATTTTGGGCTGAGTTTTCAAAGCCTGTCTTTTCTTTGGAACCTGAGAAGAAATTTCCATGTTATTTATATTTCCATCAACAGAAAAGGCCTCATTTTCTAAAGGTCGTTTCATTTTTGGAGAAGAATTCAAGACATAAGATGGTTCATTCGAATTCATATCTGCGGTATCATTTTTTGACATAACTAAATTAGCAATTTTCTGACAATCTCCTTTAACAATAATATCAAATTTGTTTTCAAATTCCTTTGTCCTTGGAAAGTCTGTTGTATTGATCCATATCGTTATTCCATGTGATGCTTTTACTGCCTCTATCATTTCCCGCACAATTCTTCGTGCACTTGCAATTTTAAGACTAGTTCCTGCAACAATCAAAGCATCCGGTTTTTCCTTAAGATCATACGTAGTTACTTCGCCAATTGCTTCACTATCTAAATTGTATTCATTATATAATACAATTCGTGGTCTTAATTTTCCTACACCAATATTACGTTTTCCTGCAATGGTACGTATATTCTCCATCTCTATACACTGTTGACAGCTAGGCAGTGTATCATCTTTAAAAATATCAGGATCAAAAGGTCCAACCCAACAACATTTTGAACATATCATATTTTGCAAGCCGCCATGTAGTTGAATTGTTTTAGGCCATGGAGGAACCATAGGCAAAGGTACTTGTGATTCTAAACATGGCATCCGTGTTTCCAGAAAATCTATATTTTGTGTATAAAGACGCATCAAGCGTGAAGAACGTGCTAGAGCAGCAATATATTGGTGAAACAAAGTAGGTTTTGCTGAAGCAGAAATCCTGTATAAATCAGATATCATTGTATGAAACTGCTGTATATTCTCATCGTTCTAATCTTATTAGATATATCTTAAAAATATAATTTTTTAACTTTATAAACTGATACATCAAATAAATCTTGTCCCATTGTTTTTAACTTAAAATTTGAACGTATAGAGGCAAAAAGCCCATTTTCTGATCTAAAATCGGGTATTCCAGCACCTGTAGAGATTCCAGCGCCTACAAAAACAACAACTTTCTTTGATTTTGTCATTACATTTTTGAGTAATTCAATATATAAATCACAGCTTTTATCTTGAAATAAATCAATTAAAAGTGGTTCCTGAAACTCCAGTTTAACTGTTTTCTTCCCATTTTTCTTGTATTTAAAGATATGATTCATTTTTTTCTATTAATTTTTATGTTTTTATAAAATATTTTTTTTAAAAACAGTTCTGATAAAAATCAATAAATATTTAAAAACAAGTTTTTTCTATGATATAAATAATACAAAGATATGTTTGTAGGAAAAGCCATAATTTTCAGAAATAATTTTATTTTTAGTATTTTTTAAAGATATAGTTGAATCAATAACTGATTCTTACAAACTGAATGTAACTATGTTTCTAAGAGATATGTAATATATTAGAAGATTGCTATAAAAGTAATAAATATATTTTCATAAAAAATATGTATTTAAATTAATCAGATATTTTTTAAGAAAACTTTATTACTTTTTACAGCATTTAAAGTTTATCGGTTTGAAATAACTATTTTTCAGTAAGAATCGTGATACCAGGAAGCTCTTTTCCTTCCAAAAGCTCTAAACTTGCACCACCGCCTGTACTAACGTGGGATAAGCAGTCTACTTTTCCATATTTAACAGCAACAGTCTAGAAAACCTATTAGCTTTTATGGCTTATTTCTTAAAGAATTAAACCGCTGTGTCACCACCACCTAAATAAAATTAAATATAAATATATAATAATGACTATTAAAACCTATAATAACTGTATTTCCCGCATTTGACGAAGCAACTACAGTATCAAGCAGCCCTATAGTACCATTTGCAAATGCATCGAATTCAAAAACTCCTGCAGGACTAATATTGTTATTTTATTACAAAATTTTAGATATTAGAAACTACCCATTCCATAAAATAGTTTTAGCACTTTTAATTACGCTTGCGAATAGTTCGATTGATTTATATCCACAATCTAAGCCCATCAAGTTGCTATTAATACCTTCTTCATCGGTAGTATATCCTGTCTTGGCATCTTTATCAAATCGATCGGCCGTAATAAAGTCTACTGGAAAAACAACTTCTACGTTTTTATTATGTGCCTTTTCCATTAACGCTTTGACATTTTCAGAGCCTGCCTGGTCAAATAATGATGTTCCAATCTATAATAAAATTAATAATTTTAAAATTCAGAACACAAATAACCTCCATATTTTGTAAAACTTTTTTAAATGTATAAGCCATTCCACCTAATATTTTAACTAAAGAATAATCTTATATATGTATTATTACCACATATAATTAAAGAATCAATTTTATCAAGAAGATTATCAATAAGTTGAATTTTATCTGAAACTTTTGCGCCTCCTAAGATAGCTAAAAATGGCCTTTCTGGATTTTCAAGAGCTTTGGAGAAATAGTTAAGCTCTTTTTCCATAAGAAATCCAGAAGCTTTTTGTGGTAAATTAACACCAACTATAGAACTATGTGCTCTATGAGCTGTACCAAATGCATCGTCTATAAAAGTTAAGCGAAAAAACAGTACATTTTTTTTATTAACTTATATATACATCAGCCAAAGATGTTAAAGATTTACGAAAAGCTTGAACAGCGTTTGAATCAGCTTTAATTTTATTTCCTTCTGCATCTTTAGCACTCCCTTCTTCTTCAATATGAAATCGAAGATTTTCAAGCAAAATAATCTGGCCTAAAAATGTTAATATTTAAGTAAAAACGATATCTATTTTTACCATTTGTTGCTTCTTTACAAGCTTTTTCAACTTCAGCACCGACACAGTCATTTAAAAAAAGAATGTTTTTGTTAAGCAGTGTTTTAAGTTCTTCTGATACTGGTTTTAATGAAAACTTGTCATTTTTTTGACCATTAGGCCGACCCAAGTGTGATGCAAGAATAATTGCTTTTGCTCCTAAATTTTAGATAAATAAACCTGCTTTTTTTTTAAAAAGCAAATATACCTTTCTTCAACGCATATTCAATTGTTGGAAGAGCCCCTACAATTCTTTGATTATTGGTAATCTTTCTATTTGAGTCTAAAGGAACATTAAAATCAACTCTTAAAATATTCATTATTTGATGGTTTTTTTAGAAAAAAAAAGAAATATACCGAATAAAAACTCTTCTGTTCTCTAAATTAATATCTGTAATACACAATTTTTTAGAAAGAGACATTTTAAAGCACTTTTTTCTTTGAACTAATTTTTGCAGTTTATCAAGTCGATCATCTCGATGTAAAAACCTGGATGAATAAGAAATTGGAAAATATACAATTTAACAAGAAATAAAATAAACAGAGATTCATAATGATTAATATAATGTTAGTTTTAAGATCATTCTAAAAAGAAAATATTTTTAATATAGAGTTTTTTCGAATTATACAATAATTTTAAAAATTTAAAGATAATAGAGCTTATAAAAAAACTAGTTTTGTACAAATGTATTTTGTGCTTTTTCTAACTCCATCCTGTATTAAGAAAAATGATCAGTACAGTACCAATGGTACTTTTTTTACTAATGATACCTTAAACTTACAGAAAACTCATCTTCAACATCATCATCATCCCAGTTATCTTCCCACAATTTATCCTTGCTAATCCCAATATCAGTGTCTTCATCTTTCCAGTCTATAGAGTTTTTAGTCAGTTTATGTCCACAAATTATCAAATAAGTAAAAAAAATATGTCAAACAAAAATAAATGAGACTGTTAAACATAATATACCATATAGTATAGAGAAAAAAGAATTAATAAATACAAAATACTGACCTTCTACAGGAAATTCTTCAAATTCATCATCATCATCAAATGTGTTTTTATCTGTTTTTTTATCTTCTGATGTATTTTCTGTAAAAATACTGCAATGTTCTTTTTCTTCGGTTTTTTTTTTTATTTCATCTCGTTCTTCTTTTGATGACATTTTACATTAACAATTCTAGAAAAATTAACTACTTTTAAGGGATTTTTATCTTTTTTTTTACTTACCTTTATTTAATGTTTTTTCGAGATTAGAAAATTAAACTAAAATAATTTAAAGTTGAGGCTAAACAAATTAAGTTTTAAAACATATAAAACAGAATTGAAGCTTTCAAGAGTTCCTTTTAAATTATATATATATTTGTTATTTTAGACTAATTTGATATTTTTTTGTGTATATATATGAATGATGAATGATATTAACTATTTATAAAATATGAATATTTTCTACTTTTTTTAACACTTTTATATTTCAATTAAAATAAAATATATACTAATTCTTTTACTTTACTCCAATATATTTAACGTTAATAAAGATTATAGCAAATATAATACGCTTTATGTTTGTTCTATATATAATAAACATTTAGCTCTTGGAAAAAAGCATAAAAAGTATATTTCCATATATTTTATGAAATAATGATTAAAATACTTATTTTCATTAATTTTAACATTTAATTAGTTTATATACATATTAATATACATATTAATACATCTAGAAGTTCAATCTATTGTAAATCAATATTTTATTAATCTATTTTTTCTAAAACAGATCTATTTTAATAGATTTATAATTATATTTTTTCATATTAATTGACTTAAGCATTAGTTTTAAGCTATTCGACAAAAAATATCTAATAACTATGTCAAATGAAATAAAATCATGGACATCTCTGAGATCACATTTAATATCATTAGAATCACAAACAGAAAGTCTTTTTTTAGAGTTTATAACAACATCTTTAGATTCTAAAACATTAGATTTTAAAGAACGTATTGAAGATCTTTTTAACAAAGTTTGTTTTTTTTATATTGGAAAATTACCTGAAAAATTATAGAGAGAAGCAAGTATTTCATCACTCTCACGTCTTTTAAATCCTGATTATGGAGGAGATACTATTAAACTCCATCATGTACAACGACATAAAGAAATACTACAAAAACACATGAAAGAATTTCAAAAAATGAATGTTAGATATTATTTATGGTTCAAATATTTATGATGACAGTTTTTAGAAGAAAAAAGAAATAGAATGCAGTTATTCTGAGTTAAAGTTGACTAAAAATAATACAAAGTAAATTTATAAATTAAAATATATTTTAAAACTTAAGGGTTATATAGGAAACATGGAAACACAATAGAAGATTCTGAATCAGATTATTTTCTTCGTGAATCAAGTAGATTAGATAATTCACATAATATGGCAGATCAAATTCTTTTGTAAATATTATAAGTTATATCATTAACATTCTAATTGATTTAATAGACAAGCCTCTGCTACACGGGATGATTTTCAGCAGCAAAAATACATACTTGATAATATGAATCAAAGATTATCTAGAACAATAAGTAAAGGAAACAAAAATTATACAGTTATTTAATATATAATAGGTCATATTCCTGGAATCAATCTTCTTATCTCGAAAATAAACACAAAAAGGAAAAGAAACAATTTAATTTTATCATTTGTTATTTCAACATGCATAATTATAACATATTTTATAATGTAACGCTGTATTTTTATGAAAATTCATAGAATAACTGATTATTCAAAAACTCATGAATACCTAATATATTAATCCTTCATTCTATACTCTTCTACAAGTCTTTGTGAACATTTAACTAAATATTTTTTTTCTTCTTCTATAGCATTTCCACAACCTGCCCATCGAATTCGACATTGACTATCTACAAGATATACATAACCAACACACATATTTAAGATTTTCATATTTTCTTTGACATCCCTTGGTAATTTGTTGACAAAAAAGTATTTATTCTAATAAATATAAATATTTAAACATAATTTTTATTTCAAATTACTACATGGTGTTCTTTTAACACTTGTTTTCTTATAGCAGCAGAAAATATTCTTACAAGAAAGGCTTTTAGAAGACTTTCTTGGAAATTAACATAAATATATTGCATATCAGGCACTGCTAAACGCAATTCATCACTTAAAAAAGATTTCACATGCTCTTCTCCAGAGCTTGAAGAGAAAACACTTAAAAGTGACACTGGTGACGATTCAATAAGAGATACTGTATTGCCTAAAGTATTAGAAAGCGTTGTACCGTAGAAATTTGCAACATATAAAGCTTTCTATAGAAAAATTAATTTATTTATAAAATAAAAAACTATATTTAATATTACATCTTTTCTAAATACGTTTTTTGGCGCTATCCACCTCTATTTTTCATTAGAATCGAAACAACTTTGCTTTTTTACTACTTTTCCTTGATAATACTTCATTGCTTGAATATCATCCCAATATGACTTAGAAATATCTTTCATGCTAAAAATAGTCATAAAACTTTTTACATCCACATTTCAAAGGCCATACAGTTCTTCTCTTCGTTTTCTATTTCTTTCTAGGCTCAAAAAATCATTTAATCGTTTTTTCCATGTTTTTAAATTTTCTTCAGAAATCTTTTGTTGAAATGGATGTAGTGGCATTCCAATTATATGATCTAAGGTTTTCAAAGGAGATATTCCCTGTTTTTTTTCTGATTCTTTCAAAGATATATAATTAACATAATTCCTAAAATTCATCCATTTTGTCCCGTTTTTTAAAACAAAAAAAATCCTGTTGCCAGAGTACAGCATTTCTAAGAAAATAAACGTGTTAATTGTGCCATTTATACATTTTTATATACGTTCTTATTTTTTTTTTCTTTAATTTTCTAAAAGTCATTTTCTTGACGTTAATGTTAGTTTTTAGACAAATCGATAAATTGATATCTTAAAGCATTAAAATCATTATTTTATTTCTTTACTATTTTATTAAAAGTTTTAGGCAATAAAAGTATTATTTTAAAGACAAAATGGCAGATCTTCATCAAAATGAAAAAAATTCTGGTGAAAAACCAACAGGTTTACAAGAATTAAGGAATCAACAAATAGATAACAAGGCCCCAGTGAAATCAACAAAAAAAGAAACAGTACGGCGGCCTTTATATGATCCAGAGAAAAATAACGCATCAAAAACATCACAGGGTGACTCAAAAACAGCTAATGCTAATATTAAGAAAACTATTTCAGTTTTTGAACAAATGTCATTTACAAAAATAACAAATAAAAATGTAGAAGATAGAAACAAAAGAGTACGGGCCTCAGTATGTCTCCCTATTTCACCAGCACAAGAGACCAAGAAAGCATCTTCTCCCAGTTCGGAGAAAAGAATAAATATTACAAAAAAAAAGGCATACAGCCCTACAAATGAAGCTAAAACCCAATTAAAAGAGAACAAAGAAGAAAATAATACAAAAATGCATGTTACTAAAGAAATTTTGTTTTCATGTGCATCTTTGCAAAAAAATGTTTTAGATAAAAGTTCAGCAAAGCTTTCTACCAAAAAATCAATAGCGACACCATCTTCTGTTGAGAAAAAAGAAAACATAGAAAAAGATGCTTTTGTGAAGGTAAATGATATTATTAAGATAATATTCACTAGCTGAAAAAAAAAGACATCAAATGATTCTAATAATAAATTATTAGACGAAAAACTTTTCGAATCTCAAGGTGACGAAAATAATGCTTCTAATGTAAATGATTCATCGAGTATTTATGGCAATTCGTTGGACTCAGATTTAGTATATGAAGTGAATGATTTGAAGGATCAACTAGCTGTTATGATGGAGGAAAAATTAGATATAGAAATGATATTTAATGAAAAATATTCTAAATTAGAAGAAAAGAATAACGAATTAGAAGAAAAAAGCAACAAATTAGAAAAAAAGAATGGTGAATTGGAAAATAAAAATAACGAATTGAAAGAAAAAAATCAAGATCAAGAAAAAATTATAAATATTCTAAATAAACAAATTGAAAGTTTAAAACTTTTAATATCTGATCCAAAAGATAATGTCAAATATATAGAAAAGATTGAATTTTTAAGCCAAAAAATAGAGAAATTAGAATTTGATTTGAATGAATTAAATATGCATAATCAAATACTATTAAAAGAATTAGATGCTAATAAAATAGAAAATCAAAAATCAACTAAAGTTTTAGAGAATGAAATTGAAAAATCTAAAAATATTATAAAAGATTTGGAAGGAAAATTAAAGGTATTCTATATATTTTAATGTATATACTTTTTTTACTTTTTTTATTAGGTTGATAATACAAATATAGTGGATTCTGATGAATATTTGCAGTCTATTAAGTTAGATTATATAAAAAAAGAAGAGATTCTTAGAGATAAGCTTATTCATGTAGAGGTAAACATTCCGTGTAGTACTTATGTTAAGTTTTAATAAATTAAAAAGCAAGTTATGGAAATAGAAAAGGCTAAATCAACTGAAGATATTCAGAAAATGAAAGAGGAAATAAAAATATCAAATTCTTTAAGAAAAAAAATGGGAATAGATCTTTCTAATGCATTAACGAAGAATAGCAATTTATCACAAGAATTAGATATTTTTAAAAATAGTCTTGAAACTATTAGAAATAATTATGAAAAAGCTTTAGAAAAAGAGTTTAAGGTTTTAATATTTTTTTAAAAAATTTATATTAAATTAATATAGGAAAAAAATGATATCTATTCAGAAAATTTTCAATATATTAGAAAAATAAATTCTAGACTCGAGGCTCTTACTGATGAATTAGAAAATGAAAAAAGGAAATTGCATAATAAAACAGTAGAATACGATAAATTATATTTTGAATTTTCTGATTTAAAATCTGTAATTTTTATTTTTTTTTTTTTCTTAAATAACTTTATTAGAAATACACAGATTTTCAAGAAAAAGTATTTATTAAAGATCAACAAACAATGAAACACATTTCTAAAATAAAAGAAGAACATGAGTTGATGTTAAAATCATTACTTAAAGAACATAATATGATTATCGAAAAATTAAATATACAAGAAGATATACTAGTAAGTAGTTTTTATATTAAAAGATATTTTTTAATAGATGCAAGTCTAAATATATTGATATAATAAAAGAAAAGGATGAGATTATAAAACAATGTAAACAAAATCCTAAAAATATACATTCCGATTGTTTAGAAACCAATGATATTCTTGATAAAGTTAAAAATAAAGATATGTTAATAACTAATTAAAAAGTCAGAAATATAAGAAAAATTTAGTACTAAGGTAAAAATATATAAAACTAAATAACGCATTTTATGGTGTTAGATTTTTTAATTCAATATATATATATATATAATACTCGAAAAGTAATAGCTATTAAGAATAAGTCATTATAATTAATCTATTATTCCTAAAAATTAGGAGTTTTTTCTTTTAATGAACTTTAAGTTACTTAAAAAATTGTTTGAAGATGTGAAAATAATATCAAATAAATATATACATACTCATAGTTGTTAAATAATTTGATTAGATATTTACTTTAGTATTGATTTATAATTCTATGTCAATGTTTAAAAAGTATTGCAATTAAATTATTCAAATTTAGTTTTTGTTCCTTCAAATTTTATGTTAATAGATTGTTTACTTTTCAAACGGCGGGCAGCTTCCCATGATGAATGCAATGGTGTGATCTTTTCATTTCTTTTATCATTTAAATCAATGTTTTTAGTGTTATGTGGTGTTTTAGCCTTTTTTTTCAAAGATTGTATTCTCTGTTGAGTCTGTAAATTCATGGCCTGTATATGTCTTGCATTTTTTCCATATTTCTTTTCCCATATTTTACGTCTAGCTCTTTGACCTCTTCTATTCCTTCTAGGTTTATCAATAGCTTGATATTCAGATTCAATATTACTTTCATCATCAGTACCCGAAATATAACCTGCTGAAAGAGTAGGTAGAAAAACAGAACCAGACATACTTTTGAGCTTTTTTTCAAGTTTTTCTTGATTTTCTTTAGATTTTGATAAAGAAATATGGTTATTGTTTTTAAATTTCGATTTTTTCTTTGGAATGAGTGTGTTTTTATCCTTTTTTTTTTTATTCAAAAGTCCAGAGTTAACGGTTTGTTCTTTTGATTGATCAGATATTGCAGAAGATTCTTTGTCAATAAAATTTTCTTTATTTTTTTTAAGTTTTTTTAATTTCATTGTTTCATCTTGAATTTTTGCTATTCTTTTTAATGAAAAAATAGTTCTTTCTATGCAACGTTTAACAATATTTGAATTAAAGACCCTTGTAATCACATTTTTAATGCATTCAGAGACATTTTTTAATGGAGAATCAACTTCTTTTAAATTCAAAATTTGAAACAATTCAGATTCTTTTAAACAACGTATATAAAGTAAAAAGTCTCCAATTGGATTTAAATCAAGATTCTAAATACCTTTAGTCCATTCATTATCAAAAAATAATATACTTTTATTATCAATAATTCTTCTTCTAATCTATGTAAGGATGTTTCATCATTTATAGATCTTTAAATTTTAAGTCATTTTTTTAAAAGATAGATAAAATACACCTCATATTTCTTATTCTTTTTGATGTCTTCTGAAATTCAAATCTTTTTACCCTTTTTAAAGCTCTAATAATTTCTTTTTTAAAAAAAAATAACTTTTGTTGAGTTTTTCCTTCTAAAAATTTTAATTTTTTTGAATCATATGTTATATTATCTTTTTTAACAGCTTTTTCTTCTAAATTCATAATATTAAAAGCAAAATTTTTGTCTTTATAAGGTTTATAATTCTAAAATTTCAAAATTAAAAGACAGTTTTTATAAAGCTTATAAAATAGGAAAATTATATATAAAAGATATCCTAATTATTTAAAAATTTAAAATATAATAAGGTAAGTTGTTTTTAAAAGCGTATTTAAAAGGTTATTTCATAATAATTTTTTATTTTTGCAAAATCTAGTAAAAGTAGATTTTAAAACATTTTTATCATTAATATTTTTAAACATTATTAATATGTCAAATACAGCTGCTTCATATTATAGATTTTAAAGTTTTGTTTCTTATTAAATTTTTAAATATATAAATTTTTAAATATAAATATTTTTTGTACTAAATGAACTTTATCTATTCTTAATCAAAAAGTCAAAGTTGAAATATTATATAAGATATTATAATCTATAATTGAATTCAAAACAATAATATAAATTAATTTTAAATTTATATATCAAATTCTTAAAATATCTTTAAACATATTTTCTATAACTTTTGAATATAACATCAATATATCTAATAAAATTAAGATAGTATGCAAAAAATAAAACAAAAATATTAATAAATATTAATTTTTTAATTTTGTTGAATTTTAAATAATCAAAGATACGATAAAAATGGAACTACAAGCTTAAATATATTCAGGTTAAAAAATATAGGACAAGATCTAGCTTTCTATAACAGGTATATTAATATAAATACCAGATAATTAATTTAGTTTTAAGGTTTAAATATTAAATATATAATATATTTAAGCTATTTATAGCTTTGAGAAAAAACTCCAAAATGCTTTTAAAAAAAAGAATTGTTTTGGAAATATATTAAGAGGAATAAATATCTAGAAGTTAATGGATTATTATATACATTTTTCTACAATTTATAAATAAAAATATTTTCAAGGAATCAAGATTTTAAATTTTATTTTCTTTAAAAAAAGAAAATTAAATGTGGGATATTAAGAAGTTCCATAATTCACATATTTACCAACAATTCAAAATTTTAACTAGAAACTATGCATGTATTGAAAAATGTACAAATACGAAAACTTTAAAACTTGATTTTAAATCTTTAGACATTAAATGGACTCAACGGTGGCAAGAAATGAAAAAAATGAATAAAGAATATAAAGAACAAAGATTAGGAAAATTTTACGTGCTAAGCATGTTCCCTTATCCCAGTGGATCATTACATATGGGTCATCTACGAGTTTATGCAATAAGCGACATAATCTCTCGTTTTCGAAAAATGCAAGGCTATGACGTTTAAAAATATATACATATTTATTATTTTAATTTATTTTTAGGTTATACATCCTATGGGATGGGATGCTTTTGGATTGCCAGCAGAAAATGCAGCAATTGAAAAAAATGTTTCTGCTGCAGAATGGACTTCACAAAATATTATAAAAATGAAGCATCAATTTTTGAAAATGCATACTGATTTTGACTGGGAAAGGGTATTTTAAAGATTCATTGTTTTTTTATCTTTTTCTAATTTATTTTTAATTAGGAAATTACTACATGTTTACCATCTTATTATAAGTGGACACAAATGCTTTTTTTAAAACTTTATAATACTGGATATGCTTATCAAAAAGAAGAATATGTCAATTGGGATCCTGTAGAATGTACTGTTCTTGCTAATGAACAAGTCGATACGTTAGGTAGATCATGGCGTTCTGGTGCTATTGTTGAAAGAAAAAAATTGAAACAATGGTTTCTTAAAATTACCGATTTTTCTGAAGTACAGAAACATTTTTATATAATAATAATTCTTATATCATTAGTCTCTTCTTGAAGATATCTCTCTGCTTAAAAATTGGCCCGAAAGAGTAAAAATTATGCAAAAAAACTGGATTAGAAAACTAACTGGATTTGAATTCTCTTTCAATTTAAAATACATTAATACAAAAGAACCTCTTAATTCACTTAAATACATACATGCATTTACGATACGTCCTAACACTCTATTTGGAATTCAATATATTGCTCTTTCACAATTTCACCCTCTTGTTTCTAGTATAGCTCTTAATGATCCAGATCTTCAAATATTTATAGAAGATATTTCAAGTATAGGTATACATTCCAAAAAAGGATTTTTATTAAAAAATATATATGCATATAATCAATTGATTCCTAACCGTTTTCTTCCAATTTATGTTGCAAAATATGTTTATGACAGCTATGGGTGTAATGCTGTTACAGGTATTCCTGATTATGACTCTCAAGATTTTCAATTTTGGAAAGAGAATTCTTCAAAAGTTAATATAAATGAAGTTAATAAAATAAGTATTAATAGCACATTTCTCTCTGAGGATTCAACGCCATTTTTTCAATTATCATCTGAAAAAGCAAATCAGTTAATTTTTGAGAAAATGAAATCATTAAATTTGTGTAAAACTATTACTTACTGGAAATTGAAAGACTGGCTTATAAGTCGTCAACGGTTTTGGGGAACACCTATTCCTATCATTTACTGCTCAAATTGTGGTGTAAGTGTCTCTTATATAAAATTTTACTAAAAGTTTTAGACTGTTCCTGTACCTGAATCCGATTTACCCGTATTATTACCTAAGAAATTTATAATAGAAAAAACTAGTAAATCACCATTAGCAAATGATAAAAAATTCTTATATACAAATTGTCCTAAATGTAATAATTTAGCTACACGGGAGACTGATACCATGGATACTTTTGTTGATTCATCATGGTATTTTATAAGATATACTGACCCTCAAAATACAAAAGAACCGTTTTCTTCAGAAAAAGCATCACAAATTTTACCAGTTGATTTATATATTGGTGGTATTGAGCATGCAATATTACATCTTTTATATTCTAGATTTTTTATGAAATTCGCAGTTAAAGTAGGATTATTAAAGAATATAAACAATGGGGAGCCTTTTAATAGATTAATTACTCAAGGTATGGTTCATGGAAAAACATATATTCATCCTATAAATGGTCGTTTTTTAAAACCAGAAGAATTGGATTTAAAAGATCCTAGTTTGCCAAAAATACAGAATTCAAATATAATTCCAAAAGTTAGATACGAGAAAATGAGTAAATCAAAGTATAATGGAGTAGATCCTATAAAATATATTGATATTTATGGCGCGGATTGTATTCGTGCACATATTCTTTTTGCAGCACCTATTACTGAAGTTCTTGAATGGGATGAAACAAAAATAATTGGTATCCAGAGATGGCTTAATAAAATATTCCGAATAGTTCAAAAAGCAAATATTAAAAAAAGTAAAAATATAGAATCATATCAAGTTAAATGGAACGATCTAAATTCATCAGAAAAAAAATTATGGATAATAGTCCAAAAAACAATTTATCAAGTTACACATATTTTTTCAGAAAGCTATCAATTGAATAATTCTGTTTCATCTTTAATGAAATTGACGCTTAGTCTTGAATCTTTTAAAAACAATATTTCCGATAATTTATATTTTTATGTTACAGAAATACTAGTACGACTCATTGCACCAATTACACCAGCTACAGCAGAGGAAATGTATTCACACCTTTACCTTACAGAAAATCGATCTATATTTGATTCATCATGGCCAATAGCTGATACTTCTATTCTAAATGAAGATATTATTAAAACAAGTGTTCAAATTAATGGAAAAACAAGATTTCATATTATATTGCCACACAATTGCACTAGTGAAGAAGATATCATACGTACTATAGTGGAAAATGAACAAGGGAAACAATGGATTAAAAATAACAACAAAAAAGAAATAAAACGAGTTATTGTCGCACCAGGAAATAAAGTCATTAATTTAATTACATCATGAAAAATAAAAGTGAAAAAAGATAATCTCAAATATATAAATACAACGCAAAATCAACACTCTTAATTAAGCTGTGCCTATAACAACAATATCAGTATTAATATAATTTCTTAAAAAAATAACCTCCAAAGCATATATTCTTTTAGGAAAATACTTAAGTTTTTTTCTTTCTTTCAAAGTCTTTAAGGATCTTTCATGACATGTTAATGCTAATCTCATTGCTTTAGTCTTTTTAGGACGCAAATCTAGCGGAATATATTTCTTATTTTTATAAAATATTCGAAGTTGCTTCCGTTGGTTCAAATTAATTACTGTAAGAACCCTAGCAATAGATTTGCGAACATCCGAGCTAAATTTGTAAGTAGGAAACTTTTTTTCAGTAAAACCTTACATTTTTGCTAATTTTGAAGCAGCTCCACCTGAAATTTTTTGAACACGTAATGTTAAAAGTTCTTGCTTTAATTCTTCTAATTCTTTTTCTAGTTCTGCTTTCGTTTTCTTACTAAGCGAATAAGCACTAACTTTCACCTAAAAACTGTTATTTTTTATTTTAAAAAATAGAAAAACTACCATTTTTTTTAACGTCAAAAAACGGTCTCCAGTTAACTTGAACCGTATAACCCTACCCTAACTTTTAATATTACTCTAGATTTTACTCATCAAATCAAGCTTAAAATAATGAAAGTTTAATAAATTAAACAAAAAAATACAAAAAAGGAACTAATGGTCTAAAAATTGCATAAAATATCAATTATATTTTATATGATAAAAATCATTAATATTTTTTATCAAATATCATGATATAGATTTTTTGCAAGGAATAAAATATGTATAAATGTTAGTAGATAAGAAAATATCATATTCAGTTTTATTTGGTAGTAAAAATAAACATATATTAGTGATCAAAAAAAGGAATCAGAGAAATTAAAAATATATTAATTTTAAAAACAAGGATATTATAAACTCAAACTTCAAGATGGTCTATGAAATAAAAATATAACGTATTACTTCTTATATAAATGAATATAAAAACACAGCAATATTATTTCCGTAAAAAAACATAATAGACTATTTTTTTTGGTTAATGGTCAACAGGATCAAATGGAAATATAACATTTCCAAAGGGGAAATGCTGTATAACTGGAAATTTTCCAAGTACTTCTGCATAGTACATCTTCAACATACCCTGTTTAGTAATTAGTAAGCTCATAATAGAGTTTATACAAAAAGTATACCTGGTTAACTTTTTTCCAGTGTTCCACACCTGATATGTCATATAAATATGGTGAGTGTTCAAAAAAAGGACCTTGTTTAACCTATTTCAAATTAATTAATTGACAAAGCAAGAACAAATAAAAACATCATTAATAAAATTTATGGCTCCAAAATATAAATTTTCATCCTTTTGTTGCTTGACTATATTTTTATCAAGGATATCTTTTGGAAAAACACTAGCATCGACATGAGATAATTGAGAGGATCCAAATACATATGGTAAAAAAAAATGATCATCAAGTCCCCATACACCATGAGAACCTGCAGGTTCCAAGTTATATGTTACAATAAGCGTCCTTGTGATTTCAAAGTATCTAAACAGGTCAAAAAGAAAAAAAACACATAAAACCCTTACTTGTTAAATATTTTTAAAACAATTGCAGGTTCGTCCCTTTTCAATTTGAAAAAACGAAGTAACAAAAGCCCACATAGAAATGCTGCAAAAGAAAGTTCATGGCCTGTGCCATAATCTAATCTTTGTCCATGGCCAAACCCTAACACAAAATATGGATAGAGTTCTCCTAGTGCTGGATATATCCATTCTGGAAGATATTTTTTTAACAATTCAAGTCCTTCCTTTATAAATATTAAGAACATATATACTAAAAGAGACATTAACAGACATTTTCAAGACGATAAATCCATTTTTGAAATGCTTTATTTCCAAAGCGTTTGGGACCAATTTCTGGCGGAATTTCTTCAATCCAAGACAAAAGAATATCTAGAATATCCAAAACTCTTTGAATTTCTTCACTTATAGGGATTAAATCTGTCAATTTGGCTCCTGGAAGCACTGAATTTAAAATTTTAATAAAATGAACAATTCTTGTGCAAGCAACGGATTTTTGGAACTCAAAAACACCATTTCTTGAGTCAATTCGTTTTAAACATTCAGAAGAAAAGATTTCTGATGCAGAAATTTCATCAAAAACTTCTAATTGCTCATTCATTTAAAAATAATAAAATGAACGTTGAATACAGATCAACGTTAAAAAATATAAAAAATATAAAAAAATAAAAAATAGTTTAAAAAAATATTCTAATAAGAATCTGATATATTTTATGGATTTAAGGTATAAAAATATATAAAAATATATATAATATGTTTTTTTTTATCAAAAATAGGTGATTTTCAAGTAAATAATAAAATATCAATAATTAAATAAATATTATATTATTGAAAAAAGTCAAGAGTTTTTTTTGAATAGTTTTAAATATTAAATATGGGAAAATCAAGTAAAGATAAGGAATTAATCTTTCTTTTTATGTAAAAATGTATTTTTGACATAAATTAGAGAGATATTTATTATAGTATTTAATACGGGAACAATTTGATAATTAATTTACAAAAAACAGGACTTGCAAAAGAAGAAGGATGGAGAGCTCGTTCAGCATTTAAATTGATTCAGTTAGATGAAGAATTTGGGCTTTTAAAAGGTATTTTAACTCAAAATATTTCTATATAAACAGCAATTTTAATTTTATTTAAGACGTTAAAAGAGTTATAGATTTATGTGCTGCTCCTGGATCTTGGTCTCAAGTTCTCTCAAAAAAATTAATGTTTTTTATTTTAATATTATTTTCTGAGCTAATTTTTCAGAGAGGATAATGATTCTTGTGAAAACATAACGATTGTTGCAGTTGATTTACAACCAATGACTCCTATTAAAGGAGTAAAAACTCTTCAAGCAGATATTACACATCCAGATACTCTCTCTCGTATTTTAGAAATATTTGGTAATAAACATGCAGATTTGGTTATTTGTGATGGTGCACCAGGCAATATTTATAATTTATTTAAATAGTTTTTCTTATAAAAACTTTTAGACGTTACTGGTTTACATGATCTTGATGAATATATTCAAGAACAGCTTCTTTTTTCTGCTTTAAATATGACTACTTGTATACTTCGTCCTGGAGGAAATTTTGTTGCAAAAATATTTCGTGGTAGAGACATTAGTTTTTTATACGCTCAATTAAAATGCTTTTTTGAAAAAGTAACATGTGCAAAACCTCTTAGTAGCCGAGGAAGTTCTATTGGTATACATATATATATATAATTTTTCTCTATTAATTTTAATAGAGGCATATGTTGTTTGTGAAAATTTTTCTTTGCCTGAAGGTTATAAACCAGATATTTCTGCTCCTTTTCAAGAAAAAAATGATCCCGATATGAGTTATATTGTTCCTTTTGTAGCATGTGGAGATTTAAGTGCTTATGATTCAGAAGCAACGTATGTTTTTGATACAGATAAAAACTCAACAAGTTTAGATGCCATTCAGCCCCCTATTGGTAACATTCACTTTATTATTTCTTTAACATTATTACTAATAGGGCCTTAGCTCCTCCATATAAAAGGGCTATTGAAATGAAAAGAAAAGGCGAATTACAGTACATATAATATTAATAATATATAGTTTTGTAAACAAAAAATTAGTAATCAAAAATGGACTTATTATGGAACGTAATATTATTATTTTAATTAATAAAACATCAATATTTACATATGACCATCATCTACTTTGCCAGTGCTATAGAATCCGTGACAAACTCCAATATGTGCAATACGAGAACCTTTATATGTAAGAATTTATATAATTAAATTTTATATTTTACCCGAACTAGCAACCGGATCTATTTCTTTACCAACTATAATACAATCTTCAGGTGCTGTATACGTTTCAATAAGCTGTCCAAAAATAGAATGAATTGTTGCAATTATTTCTCCTTTTCTAACCCATGTATTTACTTCTGGAATGACTAAAATAATTAACAATAAGCAATTAAAGTTATTCTATATACCACTTAAAATTCCACCTTTAGTAGTAAATATCCAATACTGAATCTAATGTTTAAAAATGCAGTAAAAAAATACATACTCACGCTTTTATCACAAATAACAGGTTTAAATTCAGCCTGCTGATGTTCGTCCGGGATCATACCTAAATGACTTATAATATTGGAAACGCCTAATAAAGCATTTTTGACGAATCTTTTTTGAAATATACTTGGATTTCCTATCTATTTATAAAAGTTAATATACAAATATTATTCCTAATTATTTAAACCTCAACTGTAATTGCAGGAATTCCAACAGCCATAGCAGCACCTCTAAGAGATCCATCTGGACTTGTATTATGTACAATTATCTTCTCATTAATATTTCATTTAAATTTAAAGAATAAATACCTGTGGATTTTGCAAAACAGCCATCTTTCTTGTACGATCATCCAGCATATTAGCCCTTACATATAAGGAATTAACTCTTCCTTTAGATGCAGTATGCAAATCTATTAAATAGTCAAATTTTTTTACGATTCTCTCTATAAAATTATAAGCATATTGTTGAGCAGTAGACCCATTTTTTTTGCTAATTTTTTATTAAATAATTCTAAAAATAAATATTTGTTAAATTTACCCAGGCATTAATCTGTTTAAATCCTGAGATTTAAATCCCCTAGACGATGTTAAAAATCCTTGAATATTTGCCACTGTCACCGCAACGATTGTGCCATGAAGAGATTCAGGGTTAAGCTCTGATTCATATAAACGATGAACAACTCGAATGCCATTAACCTCGTTGCCATGTAAAGCACATGTAAGCCCAACGACTGGACCATGTTTTACACCTTATTTTTTTTAATAAAAAATTTAAACAAAAATAAATACCTCTTGCAACTAATACAGGAACAGATAGTGGTTTAAGAGCATCCTCAATAAGAGAAATCCATAGTTTACTAATTCTTCCTCTAGGTAATGATTCAAGATCTAAACAAGTAGTTGTAGGGATTTCAGAATCATCCAATGTCAATAATTTAATATTTGGGCTTTCTTCAGGTACTTGTGGAGGAGGAGTGCGTTTTCTCCATAACTAAAAAAATAAGAGGTCAAACTATTGATCAGACGAAAAATCAATCAACCTCTCGAGCTTTGTTAAGCAAATATTCATTCATATCAACCGACATAAATTTAAATTTAGACATAAGATTCTGTATTTCTTCATCATTAGACCCAATATCATGCTTGTAATTATAAGCTTCAAAATGAAAATTAGAAGTAACATATTTTTCAGATTTAGGCGTAATTGGTGAATAAGAAACATTCAATAACTCACATGATGCATTGATGGCCTTTAATACATTTGCAGACGCTTTTGCTGGTAAATTATTTGAAAGAAATCTATTTAAAAATCAATGACTACAACTCGTTAAATTTCTATTTACTTAAACTAAAAACATTAGATAAAAAAGAAGTCAATAGTTCATCCTTACATTTTTATCAAATTTTTTCTTTATCTTTTGGATCGCTGCCATATTGATCTGAACATATTCTTTATGACATAAATAAAAATACAAAATATCTCAATTTTATAATACCTTGCAATTCCTCAAGTGCCGTAATTACCTGCAAAAGTGATTTCCTCCTATTTCTATTAAAAATAAAAAACCTCACTTTCCTATAGTCACCATTCATTTAACTCTCCATCTGACATTTCATCTTTCCACTGACATCATATAAACTTTCAATTTGCCTCTATTTATAACACTTACCGATTCATCAAGAATCTTAAGTGATTCTGATGCTTTTTTTTCAATAACATTGTATCTATTATCTATTTTTTCAAGTTCTTGTGTCAAACGCTTATAGAATTCTTGATGAATATTTCTTGAGATCTTTGTATCATAATTATTGTCTATTAAAAACATAAATAACCTGTTTCCTCAAATATATATAAAAAACATACTCTTAAGTTCCTCATATGAAATCCTTATAAACTATTATAAGATTTAGAGATATTTCAAAATATTACTGCATACTTTTTTAAACATCTTATAATCTAAGTAATATTGGGACCATTTTGGATCTGCTGCACGCAATATTAACTGTTTTCCGAACTAATATGTACTTTTAAGCATAAATATATCTATTTTTTGCTCTATTTACCTTCATTTAAATCTTCATACAATCTAGTTACTGATCAAAAAACCAAAAAAAACACATATATTGTGCTTAATAGATGCAAAAAATACGAAAAACTCTTTTATTTTATAAAAAATAACCAAAAAGTCTCTTTTTTCTATCAAAATTCTTAATATCTATCACTTAGAAAATTGATCATTGATATTTAATGTGTTCAATCTTAATTTCGTTATGTTTTAGCTTTAATCGGAGATTGTTGACGACAATCAAAACGATCAGCAGAAAGATAGACAGAAAAAGCATCTAAATGAGCTGAAAAGAACGGATAAATAGATAATTTTAAGAAAAAAACGTAGTATATAGTATATTTGTGTTTTTTTTTTTAAAAAGGGATTATTATTAATAAATCAGCGAAAGATTTATATAACAATAAGTGTGCAATAAATATCTAATATTTGGGGAAAATTAAAAGTAGTTTGAACGTTTTTTGACAATGTCTCAACGAGTTTTAAGGAAACGGACAAAAGATTTTGAAACGGAAGCTCTTGAACGAGAAGAAACGGGGCAGAAAGAAAATAGAAAAGAAAATTCAGAAAAACCAATAAAAGGGCTTAAAAGACAACGTACAGATGATCAAACAAGCTTGAGTATGAATAAAGATGATCATTCTGAAAGAAGGGGTCATAGAATGCGTACAAGATCTATGGAAGCAATATCGACAAACAAACAGAGTGGTTTATATCATATGAAGGAGGTACGAAGTGACAGTGGAATTCGAGAACAAGAAGCTGTTGCTAAGAATAATGAATTGAGAAAGGGTCGAGTAGCAGTCGAAAATGATGAAACAGTAAATAGAGCAAAGAAAGCACAAAATAAGATAAATAGTTCGCCAACAATAAAGCAAAACACTACACAGAAATCCGACATTCAGCCAATGTCTACGATAAACAAGCAACTGGAGCGTATTTTGCAGCGTTTAGATAGTAATGAGACACGGTTTAAAGAACAATTGCACCATTTGAATCAATCGTAAGTTTAATTGATATTTGAGACATAACAAATAATATTTCCATAGAGTGGAACAATTAAAAGGGAAAGTTTTAGAAGAAATGCCGAATAAGGAGATAGAGTTTCCAAGAAATCAACATATACCTCAAAAAGGTTATTATAATACTATTATAATCCTTTTTATATATATTTTTAGATATTCAATTAGCAGAATTTTTTTCTGAAAGAAATAAAGGAGAAAAAGCCCCTCTCAAGTATCACCCTAGTGATATTTCTCGAAGATCGTCTATAGATTTAAATCATGATGAAAATGATCCATACCCTTCGAATTCAGCTATGGCTCTTTACAAAATATCTCAGGAAATAAGGTCTCCCCCTCATTATCATAGTAGTAGAAAACGTCAAAAATGGACTGAAGACGAAGTCGTTGCCTTAATTGATCTTGTTAGTATTTATGGGCCTTCATGGGCTAAAATCAAAAAAATGGACATTCATGGTTGGCTTCAAAGAAGAACTCAAGTAATAAATCTTCAAATATATAGTTTGAAAATCAACTAATTTTATAGGTTGATCTAAAAGATAAAGCACGCATTATAAAGGTAAATAAAATAAATGATTTAAACATATAATTAATTGTTTAGCAACATTTATTAGAAACTCCTGATATTTGGAATCAATTTGTTCTTCAATGTGAAAATTGGGAAGCAGTTTCTGTTGGAAACTCACTCGGACATCGTGGTGTTCATTCATCATAAATCTGTATTAAAAATAGTTAAATATTTGTTTTACTAAATAATAATACGATTAAACTTATATATAAAAGTAATATTAATACTTAAAGTATTTTTGTATTTTTAAAAATGTGATTTTGTCAAGGTTTTTGTCATGTTAAAAATATTTTTAATTTAATTTGTATTTAATTAGTATATCGTTTTTTAAAAATGTATTTAGAATCAGTTTAGAAATATAAAATATGCATGGACGACTATTTTTGATAGTTATTTAAGCACGTTTCATGATGTTATATAATTTCTTTTTATATTATGGTAATTTTTAATCACAATAATAAAAATAACCATTTTAATATTTCAAAATTTGATAAAATTCTTGAATTTAAAAATATATATTATTGATTGATGTATTTAATAAATAAATAATTATATAAATATATAAAATATTAAAAAAATCACGTATATTGTAAAAAAATTAATTTATTATTAAATTAAAATAGAAATAAATAAATCTTAAAAAAATTATTAGATTTAATAATATTATTTCAGAAGTTTTTTAAAAACTGAAAATAATATATATATTTATTTATAAAAAAGATATATTTTTTAATATTTATTTTAAATAATTATTTGATAGTCTATAGAAAATAATAATTACAAGTTTAAAAATATATTTATATATTTATATTAATTAACATTATGGGTATTTAATAATACTTTTATTAGAAAAATTAAATATATATATTTTAAAAAAACAAATATATTTTCTTTTTTAAATCTTTTATATCATAAACAATAATAAAATATCTATTCAATAACTTTTTATCAGAATTTAATAAATAAAAAACACAGAATGTTAAAATTATGATTTGGTTATTATTATATACTACAATTCTTTATACTTTTTTAATATAAAATTTAAATCAAGATATCTATGATTTTAGTTTATATAGAAAAATAATTTAGGATTTTTGTGAAAAGTAAATGAAAAGAAAAGAATTTGAAAATGCTTTGTCTAAAAGATCTTTACAACTAAACAATCTACCTTGGAAAAAAGTAAAAATTTCATGTGAGCTCGAAAATTTAGATGGATTTATAGATCTTGAAGAAATAGAAGGAATTAACTTAAATATTAAAAAAAAAACAGAGAAAAGTGAAGAAAAAAAGGTATTTAGTTATATTTATACTTTTTATCCCAAAAAATAATATTTATAAGGAAATAACAGATAAAAGTATTAAAAATAAGGAAATCAAACAGAAAACATTAAAATCAGATACAGAAGCAAATATTTTAAATAAAAAACAAATATTATCCAAAAAAAAAAAGAAGGATGAAAAAAAATATAGCAATTTTTCACTTAAACCAGAGTTTATTGATATTTCTCAAAAATTTGATGAAATTTCAACAAGTCTTCCAGAATGGACAAAATTTGGCTTATCAGATATCGTCTTGAAAAATTTAAGTTCTTTATCCTTTTTATCTCCAACACATATACAAAAAATGGCAATTCCAAGTATAATAGAAGGAAAAAGTGTTATAGCTAAAGCAGAAACTGGATCAGGAAAAACATTGGTATTCGGGATCCCAATAGTGGAATATATTATTAAAAATACACTAAATACAGTTTCAGCACTTATTTTAGTACCAACAAGAGAATTGGCACATCAGATTATGAATCATCTTGAATCTATTTCCAAATTTTCTTCAATTTTTATTATTGCTATTATTGGAGGATTATCAGTTCAAAGACAAGAAAGATTGTTTAAAAAAAAACCAGATATTATTGTTGCTACACCAGGAAGATTATGGGAAATAATTAATCAAAATAATTATTTTCTTACAATGCTTTCTAAAGTTAGATTTCTAGTACTTGACGAAGCAGATAGACTTTTACAAGAAGGTCATTTTAAAGAACTAGAAAAAATTCTTAATTTCCTTAAAAGATATAAAATCCAAAGACAAGTATTGGTTTTTTCAGCAACTTTTAAAAAAAGTTTACAAAAAAAAATAGAAAATAGCAATTTTTTCAAAACAAATACTTCCACTGAAGATGAAATAGGTTAGAGATGAAATATAATAAATTTGCCTTTTAAAAGTATTAGAGTTATTTTTTAAGAAATTAAATTTTGGAAAAGAAATGAAATTTATTGATGCCAATCCTCAAGAAAACATTCCTAAAAAAATAAAAGAAGGAATAATAGAATGTAAAGACACAGATAAAGTTTATAAAATTTCATTTAAAATATCATATATTTACTATTTATAGGACTTATATCTATATTACTTTTTATTAAAATATCCGGGACGTACTATTGTTTTCATGAATAGTATAGAACATGTTCATCGAATTGTACCTATATTGAATGAACTAAATTTAAAACCTCTTTCTCTACATTCTCAACTTCGTCAGAAACAAAGATTAAAAGTTATCGAAAAGTCAGTTCTATGTATTTTTAAAATATAAAACTAAACTTAATAGATTTAATAATGAAATAAGTATTTTGATTACATCGGATATAGCAGCTAGAGGAATTGATATTTCTGAAATAGACCATGTAATTCATTATCATTTACCAAGGTCTGTAGACCTTTATATCCATAGATCAGGAAGGACAGCACGTGCAGAAAATTCTGGAGTAGCTGTTTTACTATGTACACCAACTGAAACAATTAAATTTCGAAAAATGTTATTTTCTTTAGAAAAAAGTATTGATGAAATATTATTTTTTCCTATAGACTACTCTTTATTAAAAAAACTAAAACCACGTATTTATCTTGGGAAAAAAATTACAGATGCTATGCATTATTTAAATAAACAGAATAATAATTGGTTAAAAGAAGCAGCAGAGGACCTCGGTATTGATTTGAATGAGTTAAATTCTAAAAAGCAAGTTTTTACTTTTTATTTTTACATTATTTTCTAATATCATTTTAAGTAATAAAAAAAAGGATATTTCAAAAAAAGAAATCCAAATTCTTCGGCTTCAATTAAAAGAACTTCTCTCACAAACACTTTATTCTGGATTTTCGCAAAAATATTTGACAAATGGTCCTAATAACATTGCACAGAATACTATCGAAGGAAAAACACATCCTACTTTTTTAGATACAATAAAATTAAATGCTCTTCATGTTTTTCAAAAAAAGCAAAATCCCATTCTTCATAACAATAATAAAGATCTAAAAACATAATGAAAAAACATTTATAATAAATAAATCAAAACTATAATTCTTGAGAAAAATTCAGTAGATATCCTATATAAATAAAATTAAAACTATTCGAAAGCAAGATGCCATATACAACATAAGCTGTAGATTAAAAAGCTAATTATCTGATTAGGCAATTTAATTGAATTTGTAAGACATTACCTAAATAAATCGCTTAACATATCGTTCTAAAATAATCAAATAGATTTTATTTTATACAAACACACAACTGTACATTGTCCATAACAAAATAAAAATAATAAACGTCATTTTATCTGCAGTATATATCAACATATTCAGAATGAACTAAACATTATTTTAGTATTATAATTACATTAATACTAAAATATCATCAAATGACAGAAAAAATATAAATAGTCAATGAAAAATGCTTCAAAGTAGCTCCTAATGAATCCATTTGTCATCAATATGTTTCTTCAAATTTATCAAGCTTAACAAGGACATGGCCAACATCTTTAATATCCTTTGCTTGAAGTATTGCCTGATTTACCAGCTTGGAAACACCTTCTATAAGTTCCCACTCTTTACGTGTCATACTAACACCAATCAAGCCGTTAAAAGTTTGCATTTCAGGTGCAGCTAACTGCTCTAATCGTTTTCTACCTATTTTAACATAATCCAACCGCATCTACCATACATACAAATCATCTGATTGACGAACTGATGCATCAGGAAATGACGGTTTCTTTGATATTAATGTATACATATCAATCAATCGCCTGAACTATCAACAAGTTCCAATTTTTACATAATAGACTTACTCAGACGTACGTAAAACAATTTTAGAAAGAATTTCTTGTTCATCTTGGCACGGATCAACAGCTGAAAGGGCCTGTTGAGAACAACAGGAGCTAAAACTTTAAGTTGATGTGTTTTTTAATATTGATATTTTACCAATTGGAAGAAACGTGTTCTGAATGCAATAAAGCGGTACGTTCATGAAAAGACTATTAAAATAAGCTAAAATATCATTTTATAGAGTGTAACAAACACTTTGTTTCCATAAACTGCCTCTACAAAGGCTCCAACAACTACCCATCTAAAGAGCTGTTTTTTCGAGATAATCACCGAAATATCTATTTAAATAAATAATAAAGATATATAAGGGAAAAAACAAATAAATAAAAGGATTATTTAGTATTTCTTCCTAAAGATGTTTTTTTCTTTCAAGGAATATGTTTTATAAGGCAAAGAATAAATATTTTAATATAAAAAGTAAAATTAATGAAAGTCCAAATATTCTAAAAAGGTATTATAAGATACATAATATTCATGGGATGCATATTCATGATTATTGTTATTGAGAAAAAAAAGTTTTTTTTCAGAACAAAAAGTACAGATATTGATATATGTATAAAAAAAGTGTTTATAAAGAGTATATGAATAATATATACTAAAGTAGAAAGATTATAAATGCTTTGGCTACATATGTATCTATAAAAGAAGCTAACGTTTCTTATAAAGCAGAAATTATATTTTTCTTTTAAAAGAAAAAAATAGTTAGATATATATTGAGATTTAACTCCAGAATCTCTGTTAATGTTTAAAATAAACAGAAAATACACTTTTATCTATTTTATAAAACAACATTTTTTATTATTAAATATACAAACTATTGAATTTTGAAGAAATGTAAAAAATGAAATAAGCTAAATAATTTAAATAAAACTACATAACAAAGGACAAAATAAATCATGTCAATATTATGTCTTTGAAAAAACACATATATTCATTCATTTAAATACAAATAAAATCATTTTATAGACAGATAGCTTAACATAACTTTTCTTTTTTGATATTGTTATACTTTTCAATAACTTGTTTTCTTACAACCAAAACAAAAAACACTTACACATAAAAACCATTGTTCAAAATATATAAAAAACAACAAATATAGTTCAATTCATACGTTTTTTTGCATATCCCAATATTCATCTAATTCTTCACTCTCAGTTATCTCGGACACTTGTCGATATTCATCTTTACATAATGTCAGCACCTTCTGAAGAAGATAAGAAGCCAACTGAACATATTAATCTCAGAGTATTTTCAATAAAAAAATAGAAAAAAAACTAAAAAATCACTGACAGGTTGTTGGTCATGATAATAATGAAGTTTTCTTCAAAATCAAACGTCATACACCACTTAGAAAACTTATGGAAGCTTATTGTGAGCGTCAAGGAAAATCAATGAATACACTTCGATTTCTTGTAGATGGAGAACGTGCACGGCCTGAACAGACACCTGCAGAGGTAATATTTTGGCTTAAAGGATGTATTTTTGTCTTAAAATAACAGCTTGATATGGAAGATGGCGATCAAATTGAAGTTATGATTGAACAGGCAAGCACAAATGTATAATTTCTTATTTCTGATTTATAAAAGCTTGGTGGAACAGCAAATACGTCTTAAGATGTTGCTGATTAATATTAAAATACAAGTTGGGCGGCAAAAAATATATTTCAGGGTTAAAAAAAGTCTAATTTTTTGAAACAGTAGATATTGTTAATAAAAATGCATAAAAGGCGATTTCTTTATTATAATAAAGTACGTATTTACTGAAAAAATGTCTTCAGTAGAATAATGTGTCTGTAAAACTTTTCAGTATGGTATAAACAAATGTTAAAATGTATTAAAATCCTTTCTCCCATATTTCTTCTTTCAGATGTTCCTGTGCTTTTTTTTCTTTAAGTGTTTCAAGGAATTGGTGTATCATGATCTCATCATATTCTTTTTCTTTTGCAGTACGTGGTGCACGTACACCAAGAACACCTGTAATAAGACGTTTTGCAACGGTTGATGTTTTTAACGGTCTTTTGTCCAGGACTGGGGATTTCTGTTCTAATGTTGCAAGAAATGTGCTTTTATGGAATACAGTAAGAGGTATTTTTGTACGGGATGTAAAAGCTGAAGATGTTGAAGAACGAAGTGAATTATAGTCAGGTGGTAGCGGTGATAAACTTCCTATAGAAAGAGGAGATGAGAGATATTTGAAATAAGCATTGGTTGCTAATAATAAATTAAACGGATGTTTTTTAGTATAAAAAGAATATTACCGGCTTCTTCAGATAAAAAACAAAGTTGTGCTTTTGTATTATTGATCCATTTAATAAACATATGGTCCTTATCAAGGCCAAAAGAATTATAAATTTCTTCTTCACAAATACTAGAAGGCATATTAGATATTTCAAGTGTATTCGTCATAACTGTTTGTTGAGTTTCTGAATTTAAAGGTATAGAGACTTGAGATGATTTTTCTTCTTTTGAAAGAAGATCCTTAGATAATCCTTTTTTCAAAGATTGCTCATAATATTCCTCTGGTTTATTTAATAATTGCTCCCAACTATCCACTTCTTCTGATTCCCAAGATTCTTTAAATTTTTGAGAAGATTCCTCTGTTTCTTTTGTACTAACAACAAGAGAGTTCTTCATAGAATTTATAATATCATAGGCCTCTTTTTCAGGCAAATTTCCTGCTCTTAAACACATAATCTTCCAAGACGTTCTTTTAATCCACAATATTTTTTTATATTTATCAAAAAATACGATTTTTCAGAAAAAAAAAAAAACTTTAATAAAAAAGACCTAAAAATATCACTCAGAAGATTTTTCTTTTCTAAAATTCTTAATTTACCTGCTTTATTTGCTCTTTTACTTTTTAAAAAAATTATAACGTCTTGATAAACCTCGATCGATATATGTGCATAAAAAATATCTATGGAAAAAAATATCCATTTAGCAAGTTTTAATGGCAATAAAGATCTTCTTATTTCACTACTCTTTGACAATCCATCCTCTATTAATGCACAGGATCAAGATCGACGAACTGCATTACACTGGGCATGTGTTGGATCACAAACAGATATTGTTTTTTGGCTTCTTGAAAGACCAGATATTGATATTAATATAAAAGATGAAGGAGGTTTATGTTTTTGTGATAAGTAAAATATTTTTAACATTTTTTTCAGGCTGGACAGCACTTCATATTTCTGGTAATATTTGAAATATAAAAAAATGTAAGAATGTTAAAAAATCCTTATGTATTAGCTTCCATGGGGAATAATGAAATTGTATCGAAAATTTTATCACTAGAAAACTGTGAATTATCAGCTAAAAATAATGGAGGACAAACTGCCTTGTAATGAGTTTGAAAAAAATATTTTCATTAATTAATATGGACCAGACACTATGCAGTAAGCAAAAACCACCTAAAAGTATGCCTTTTATAAAAACTTATTGTTTCTATTATTAAAATTGAAGGTTGCTGAAAGAATTCTTGAAAAAGCTTCTTTTTTGGCTCAAGAAAAAGATAATCAACATCAATTGCCATTGCATCGAGCAGCTGCAATTGGATCAATACCTATGATTCGTCTTCTTCTTTCATATGATTCACCTATCAATGCACAAGATATTGGAGGATATACACCGCTTCATCATGCTTTTGAAGAGTGCCATCCAGAAGCAGTTGTTGAATTATTAATACAAGGGGCCAATATTTTAATAAAAAACAATGAAGACAAAACCCCAGAAGAAGTGTGTGGCGACATAAATATTAAGAAAAAGGTTTTGACAATTTGTGAAGATAGAGGAATAAAAATATAACTTTTCAAAAAAATAGTATCATTCCTATAATTTAAAATATATAATCTAAAATAAATATCAAATACGAATATTTTTTTAAATAGTAAAAATTACTGTCTGTTTTAATGATTATAAATTTTTGAAACAAGATCTTCTATTTGTTGCGTATATAATTCTTTCATATCTTTAATATCCTGTTTTAATTCTTCTTCTTTTTCACTTTTTTCTCCAAGAAGTTCTAAACATTTTTCGTAACGCTCATTTATATTTTTTAATTCTTTTTCTAAAACATTTACTTTATTTTGTAACTCTTTTGTTTTTTCAATTTCAATCATCAAATGAACAGACTCTTTTCTTGCTTCATCTCTTTGTTCAGTTATTTGATTAATTTCATCACGTGCCATCATTAGTTGTCTTTTAAGCTTTTGAACAGATGAACTTAATCGTTGTATTATATTAATATTTGTACCAATTTTAACTGTGGAACTACTGTGATCAGAAAAGTTAAACGGAAATGAAGAACCGAATGGCGAGATAGAATGTTCTATATTATGAATAAAATAGTCATCGTTAGTATTATCATTAGTGTTATCATTAGTATTATCATAATTGTTAATAATGTTATTATCATTTTTATCGTCAATTCTCAAGTTAGATGAAAGATGACAAGATAATATATTTGGTGTAGGAAGACAATTTAAATATTCTGGTGCAACATCAGATATTGGTTTATCGTGCTCTGAAGAATCATAATTTTTATCCAATAAATTTAAATTGCTATCAGTTGATAATATTTCTACAGGCTTATCTAACTCAGAAATATACGTCGGTACTTGCAATATTTCATTATTATTGTTAAAGCCAAATTCTTTCGCTCCGTCAATACACTGAAAATCTAATGACATTTTTAATTCTTTTAACTCTTCAGTATGGGAAATATTCATTTTAATAATAGTTTCTTCAAGCTTAAATATTTTTCCTGTAAGATCTTCATTTAATGATTTCGTATACTTAATAATATTCTCATTATTCAACAATTCCATTTTTAATTTTTCTAACTTTTTATTTGTAGATTCCATTTCTTCTTCCTTAGATTTTATAAATATATGAAAAAACAAGATATTTCTTACTAAATATTTCAATTTTAAACTTTTTTGATCAATAATTTCAAGACATTTCTTGTTTTCTTCTTGTAAAACAGCATTTTTGGTATATAAGTCGTCATCTTTTTCTTTCCAATGTTGAGAGGCAATCAAATATTGAGTTTGTAATGCTTCATTCTCTCGTAACAATTTAACATATGCATTAGCATCCACACTTAAGGATATTTCTTCTAAATTACTCCTCAAAGTTTCAATTTTTGCTTCTAAAGCCTGTAAATTAGTTAAATAATTTTTATATTGATAAATTTTAAAATTACAGATATTTCATTAACATAATTTTTTTCTTTGGCTAAAAATTTAGTTTTTTCATCCTGTAAATGAGAATTTAGAGTATCAATCTCTGATTTATTTTTTTTTTCTAGTAAAGTCAAATTAGTATTTGCAATATTTAATGCTTCAGATAAACATTTTGATTTTGATTTTTCAATTTCTAACACTTGAGAATATTTAGATTTTTCCAATTCGTTTGCATGCGTTGTTGCATTTTCCAAAGTTTTTAATAAATTATTTTTGTCAATCTATATTTAAACGTAAATAATAAATCACATAAATATTTCATATACTTCAAGTTGATCACGTTCTTTTTTAATAATATCATATTCCATTTCCAATTTAGCCATTACGATTAAATGATCAGAAAGCAACTTATTATTTTCAGAACTGTATTTTAGCTTTTCTTTTAATTCAATTACTTCAGATTCTAATTTTTTCATCTTATTTTCCATCTCAATTATTATATTTTCTTTTTTTTTAATGTTAGATCGAAGATCTTTAATAATATTTATATGCTTTAACTCATTCTTAGACAATTTGCTTCCTTCTTCAAATAACATAGATATTTTTCTATCTTTTTCGTCTATTATTTTCTTTAAATCAAAAGGTATCATATTAATGTTTGAGGTATTAGATATAGGAAATGATTCTTGGAAAGTATTATCTATCTTTAATTTTTTATCTATAGAAACATTTCCTGAACCATTTTTTAATTTTGATCCATCCTTTAAATTATCATTATTTATATCAGTTTTTTCAACAAAATCTGGCATAGATGCAGGAAAAACACAAGAAGATCGATTTTCTGTGATTTCATTACTTTCATATGTTAAACAAAATTCCTCTTGATCTTTTTTTATTCCTTTATTTGTATAGATAGAACAATTTCTTGTCTTGGAATAATGTTGAGTATTTGAAAGATTATTCACATCATGTGTTCTTGAAACGATAGCTACAAGACGCTCTTGCATAGACTTTCTAGTGTTTTGTGCATGTTTTTTAGGCAAAGAAATATCTGGTGATGTTGATGTAGTACCAGATAATTTTGCTGAAATATATTAGTTTAATCAAGATCAAAAATAAAAAAATAAAACAGATCTTTAAAATTCTTTTATTTTCCTTCAAGATTTTATGAAATAGAATTTTAAGTACTTTAATTCTTTAAAACTAACATCTTACCTGTACTTTCATAAGTAAGCTGCTCTACATTTGCAATTGCTTTCTTCAAAAGGTCACTCCACATAACAATACCAATTTATGAAAACCCAATATTCAATATACAAAAACAATATAAAAACATGTATATATCTTAAGGTTCAAAGATATCTATTCAATTAATATTTTGTCTAAAGATATTCGAAAAGATAAGATCTAAAAAATAAAAAGGATGAAAAAACTTTAGAAACTTTTTGATAAAACTTTATATTATTTAAGATCTATAATAACTATACTTTTTTTTTTTTAAATTATAAAAATAAAAAGATAATATTATCATTAATATTAAAGTGTTTTAAATGTATACACTAAAACATGTATCTAGATAACCGTTTTATATAAAACAATAATACTACCATAACTCTAAAAACCCTTTTTTAAAGGTTGAATCTAAAAATATAAAATCAAAGAATAAATAAGATTAATAAAAAACATTAATTTCAAACTATAGTTTGTTGATACAATAATATATTAATGTTTTTATTAATATTTTAGCTTAAATAATTTAAGATACAAAAAAATCTACGTTTTAGAATAGAAATACATTTTATTATAAGTAAATGAAAAAAGAAAATGTGTATATAGAAAAAATCGTATTATAGTATGAATTTGAAAAAAAGTACTAAAACATAAAAAAATTAATAAAAACCCTGTGTTTCAATGACTAATAAAAACATATTAACAAAATGTCTAGAAAACCAAAATGTACAGAATGTGCAGTTTTAATTCCTATGTATATAAATAAAAACATAAATTAAAAAAAATATACCAAGGCTGCAACATAAACTGTCGAACGGTTGTTAAAGCTTCATACTTTACATCGGAATCAGAGTGAGTCATTAGTTCCATAATTTTTTGTTTAGCACCCAGCTTTTGAGCATATCTAGAAACGTTAAGAAAAAAACAAAAAAAAAAACTGTCTCACAATTTTCCATTCGGATATTGTTGAATAAACTTTCCTATATCATGAATAGCAACAGCCAAAACCAAAGGATCTTTTGAAGCAAGAAGAAGACGTACAAGTTTCTTAAGCAATAAACAATCATTGTTCATTAGTTTAAAGGCATTTTCTTTCCAAAATTTCTCTGAAGAATGAGAAGGAGTCCAACTTAAATGCCCCGATTCTATTTCTAGAACATATTCATCAAACGTACTAACAAGTTAAAAATAGTTCCTATAATGTTATACATACGCTAGTCCTTCAAGATCAGCTTTTAAACTAGTTTTAACAAACTCTATATCTTCAATAGCTTCTTTATCGAGCCATTTTTTATCTGAGATAGTTTCAGTTAGCGAAAGAAGTTTAACAGCTAACATTGTTGAAAGATTTTCAGAGTGTGCCAAATTAATTAAATTCTATAAAAAAATAAGTCTGAAAAATAAACAATTTCTACTAAACCCTAAATATGGCGTAAATAACACGCGTTATTTTCTCCTTTATTACATTTTTTAACAAATTAACCAAGATGAGAATAATACTATGCCGTCTATTTCAAAATAAAATAAGATTTAAAAAATATACAGTATAATACCTATTAATTTCCTTAGCAATTTTCCATTCGAATGTAATAAGCCAGATGACAAGCAGTGTATGGTACTGAAGTTGTAAATTATCTTGGTTATTTTTCAAAATACATATTAAATTCTGCATATATGTAGATTCTTTCCAAAACCGCAAACGATTGAAAGAATTCTTAAGAGTCCCAGTTAACGCCTGTACCGCCAGATCTTGAATATTGTGATCAGGCGACTGACAAAGAGAAGAAATCCATTCAAAAAACCACGAAAGGGTAGTAGTAGGAATTATAGGAGCAGCACTAATAAAATAAATTTAAATAAAATACAATGCTAATACCACCTAACAAGAGATGACATTATTTTCCCCGATAATAAGGATATAATTTGATCATCATGTTTTAATAGTCTAAAAATAAATTTAACACTAATTGTCCCTCTTAAGAAAATAAAAAACCTCATCAATGGAGAAAAAGGAAAATTTTCCTTATTTTTGTATAAAAGAAGAACATTAGAAAACTTAGGAACATCTAAATACATTAAAAGTTAAAAAACAGGATAAAAATACAACAAAAACACCAACATACCATCCAAAAGATCACTGCACAATGTTAAAAGATACTGAAGGAGATCTATACGCTGAAATCGTTGAAACAACGTCAAAAACAACTCTGCATATTCTTTGCTTTCCTATAACAAAAATATAAATAATCGACAATATACTTCCAAAATAGAAAAACCTTCATCAAAACTAATGACCGACGCTTTCTAGAGTGCCAATCAAGAGCTTTAATCATCTTTACCTCTTCATCTGTTACAAGTCCTGCTCGCAGATGTCCTATCCATGGTATTGGCCGTAGACGAATACTTGATAAAAGCTCCTCAAGAAATACATTTGTCTGTAGATTCCAGACGTAAAACTAGATCAAATAAGTATTTTTCTTATTCAAAAAATTAATTATACTTCATTATATTCTTCTTCCATTGTTATTTTACATCATCTCCAGTTATATATCTAAAATATCGATTACAGCCGAACAGTAAAACAACTAAAAGCAAACAATGCAGTTAATTATAAGCAAATATAATATATTTTGAATAAATATTTTAAATAAAAACATAAGAAATAGAACTATTTTCTACTTTTAAAAAGATATTTTATAAGAAAAAAAGATAAAAGTGCATAGTTTATAAGATATAACACAGATTAATCGGCAATATTACTCAATTGAAGAGCTTAAATTTGTTGATATAAGTTGAAAATAAAGACAATTATAAGGTGTATAAAAAGGATATACTCTAAATATTGCAGTTGATCTATATATTTTTCAGTAGAAAGGGCTATTTTAATGAATATTATTAACTAAGCGTGAATTGTTGATCAAACAGTCTATATCATAGTCAATTTCAGCAGAAAGAAGCATCTGGAGGGTCAGTATTAGGAGTTTTTTGCTTTAACATATCAAGGGAGTCAGATAAGATAGATAATTAAAATATATGTATTTTATATGTATACTACAACTGGACAAACCCAACAGTCATCAAAAAATACTAAACGCCGAAAAGTAAGAGCTATATATTTTTATATTCAACATTTTAAAGTATAACAACAGGCCCATCACATGGCTCATGGCAGAGCTCAACTAGATAAAACGTTTCAACGACACAAAATGCTTAAAAGTAAAAACAATTTAAATAAAAACGACACTACAGATATAAATGCAGTTAATAGTGAGACAGAGGAGCAAAAAGATGTGTCTAGTCAACAAAATGGTTTAGACAAAGATGTAAATATACTAATATATAATATTTTTAGATTCTGAAACACGATAGCAGGCTCAAAACATTAAATTATACGAAAAAAAACATAAAATTAACTCTAATGAACTTTTAAAGAAATCTGCAACTCCTTTTAATGAAAAAAAAAATAAAAAAATAAATTCTTATAAAACAAATTCACAACTATCATCTGCCCCTATTATGAAAACCAAAGAAAATATTCAACCAAAAACAAACTCTAAATTGGTATGCATATGCACTTTAAGATATTTTTTATTTTCTAAAAAAACTAGATATGTTCTCCTCGGTTAGAATGGTATTATGAAGATGACACAATTTTTTCAGGGGAGAAAATAGAAAAAGAATCATTAGAAAAATTATATATAAAGGCAAATAGGTATCTTGAACTTGAGGAAGAAGCATATAATGTTTCAACATACATATCGTCGTCAGACAAACATTTTTTTGAAAATATTATGAAATCAGGGACATTAAGTGATAAAATTAGTGCATTAACGTTATCAATTCAAGAATCACCTTTGCATTCGTCAAAGAAAATGAGGATGCTACTAAATATGACAAAAAAGAAGAATAGAACCGAGGCTATTCAAAGTGTACAAGCATTAAAAGATCTTTTTATATCAACAGTATTACCAAATAGGAAATTAAAATATTTTAAACAAAAATTTCTTGATTCTAAAAATATAACCAAAAAAGAATTAATCATATGGGCATTTGAAGATTTTTTGAAAAAATATTATTTCGAATATTTAGAAGTCCTTGAAAATCTTTTGAAAGATCCATTGTCTTTTTTGCGAATACGTGTAGTAACTTATATATTTGAATTGATTAAAGACAAACCTGAACAAGAACAAAATTTATTAAGGCTTTTAGTAAATAAGCTAGGAGATTCCGAAAAAAAAGTTGCTTCAAAAACATCATATTGTATTTTACAGCTAACAGCAACTCATCCTGCCATGAAAGAGGTTATTATATCTGAAATAGAAAAACTTCTTTTTCGTTCTTCAGTATCTCAGCATGCACAGTATTATTCAATAATCACTCTTAATCAAATGGTTTTATCAAGGAAAACAGCAAATGTAGCAAATTATTTAATTAATATTTATTTTTTGTTTTTTACTAAACTTGTAAAAGCATCACAAAATACAGATAATTTAAAAAAGTTAAAAAGTCAAAAAGTTTTTCAGGAAACTAAATATAATACAAAACAATTAAATAATGATGCGTCTAATATTTATGAAAAAGAAATAAATTCGAAACTAATTTTGGCAATTATATCAGGAATAAACAGAGCGTTTTCTTTTTCAGAAATTGATGATAAAATGTAAATCAACCAAATTACTAGAATCCATACTGACTTGATAGATTTGAAACTCATATAAATACTTTATTTACAATGGTACATAACATTAATTTTAATACATCAGTTCAAGCATTAATTTTAATTTTTCAAATATCAAAGCATAAAGAAGTAAAACCAAAATTGTATTTTTAATTTTATTTTAATATTTTTGAAGGCCATATTAGACAGATTTTATCGGACTTTATACGAATCAATTCAAGATTTTAGATTATTTAATTCATCTAAGCAAGCGATGTATCTTAATCTTCTTTTTAAAGCTATTAAAACGGATACGAATAAAACAAGAGTGAAATCTTTTGTGAAAAGGTTAATACAACAAGCTAATATGCATCAAATAACTTTTATTTCCGGAATAATGATTTTGCTTAATGAGGTTTTTATTAAAATTTTAATAATTTTTTTTTAAAATATAAAGTTGGAAAAAATTCATCCAGAAATAAAATCTTTATATAATAGATATAAAGTTCAAAATAACAAGAATGATTCTACTAATGCCTTAAATAAGAATAAGTTATTTATAAAAGGTAATAAAAATATGTCTAGTTTATCAAACACTTCAGATAAATATGATGCTCGTAAACGGGATCCTCGTTATACCAATGTAAATATTTCTTATTTATGGGAGCTAGTAAGAGAATATTATATTTAATTTTCTGTACTTATCTTTTAGATTCCTTTTCTTCATCATTTTCATCCTACAATATCTTTATATGCAAAATCATTGTTACATGGTTATCAAATAATATCAAAGCCTGATCTTTCACTATATACTCTTTCACATTTTTTGAATAAATTTATCTATCGAAATCCTAAAACTAAAACTATATCTCAAAATCCTATTACGTACTCAATTTCTAAAAAAAATAAAGATACGTTTTCTTTAACTAAATCTGAAACTTTCACGGATCAACCTTTAAATAAAAAATCTTTCGTTGATCAAAAAATTGCACATGTTCCTCCTGATGAAGTCTTTTATTACAAATATTTTTCTCAAAAACATAAACAGAATATGAATAGTAAAAAGAAATTGACTAAAACAGTGCAAGCCAATTTCTCTGATAATAGTAATAAAAAAATATTGTTGAAAGTACTAATTTAAGTTAGTGATTGAAGATTTTGATGATTCAGAAAATTTTGATGATTCAGAAAATTTTGAAAATGATTTTGAGGAAAATCAAGATATTTATGAAAACGATCTAAATACTCAAGAATTTGATAATAATTACTTAAACTTTAATGAATCAGAAAGTGACTTAATTGGTAGCGATAATTTTGATCATTTCGATAATACAAGCCAAATGTCTATAAATGAATCTATAGATGATGCAACTTCAATTACTTTAACTGGGTTAAAACGTAAATCGAATGAAAAAAAAGATTATGTTAAAAAGAAAAAATTAAAACAATTACCAATTTTCGCACCTGTTGATGAGTATTCAGCTATTTTAGAATACTAATTTATTTTAATATTTAATTTTATTAATAAAAAAGCAAAATCATTATCATTAACAGTGATTTAGTCTATACAACGTACCTATTATGAAATTAAATAAAAAATAAAAAAAGGCTTCTAAATTTTATAAAACCATAATTTAATACATAATTATTGATTGTACAGAAGATATATGGTTTTTGAGATTCAAACAATTTCCATCATTGAATATTATACAGTATCTTTTATATTATTATTTTAAATGCTATAAAATACTTAAATATAAAGCTCAATATTTTTTTAATGTTATTAATTATAAATAAATATATAACATATTTAGAATTTGCATATTTAAAGATATTTCTCAATTACATGTAACTCCTGTTTAATAAGCTATCGTATAATACTTTTAATATTTTCGGGTTTAACAAAAACTTTTTCACCCGTTTTTCTTACTTGAACTTCTAATTCACCTGTTTCTTTCCAATGTTTTCCTATAATTATAATATATGGAAATCCTATTAAATCAGAATCCTTCATTTTCCATACAAACCCTTTATTTTTCCTATCATCTATAATAATAGAATCTTCTTCAAAATAACAAACAATTATATCATATACTTTATATAATATATGGTCTGAATCTAATGATGATATAATTACTGCTTTCCAAGGCGCAACAGATGTTGGCCAAACAAGGCCTTTATCATCCTTATTTATTTCTGCAAGAGAAGAAAGTATCCTTGAGACACCCATTCCATAACATCCCATTTCAATTGGCAAAACATCCTTATTTTCCTCGGAAACATATGTTGCAGATAAAATTGATGAATATTTTGTACCAAGATAAAACGTATGTGCTAACTCTATACTTTTTTCAGATTTCAATGGTTGAGAACACTTATAGCATAGATCATTTTCTTTTGCTTTAATTATAAAAGCTGTTATTAATTTATTTTTGAATTTTTTTAAATAACTTGGATATATAAAAGAATCAGGATTAAAATTTGTATCAAGAATATGAATAATTTCGTTTTTGTAATAATCATCAATTTCATAATTTGTATTATCTTTAAGCGTTGTAATTATTATTTCTGAAGTTACATTTTTCATAATTCTATTGATAAATACTGTATTAATTTCACAATAAGAAGGTATATATGCAATTCCTATAATCATATTGTCCATGTTTTTAATATAAAAGCAATTGCAATTCTCCAGTTTAAACGGTATTTGATGTTTCTGCTTAATAAGTGCAAATTCTTCATTTGAAACATATCCACAAGATTGACACATTATAAGAGAATCTTCACCCGCTATTTTATATAATTAATTAAAATTTTTAAAACATTTATATATTACACGGAAACAGAATATGAAATTCATGAGAAAGATATCCTCCAATATTTCCACTGTTAGCTTCAGCCTAGAATATTTAAAAAAATAAATAAAATGTACTAAAAATTTACCATAATTACAGGTAATTCAAGTTCAGAAAAAAATTGTTTATATGTATTACATATCAATTCATAAGTTTGAATAGCATCTTGTTTAGACTTATCAAATGTATATAAATCGTTCATAATAAATTCACATCCTCTCAATAAACCCCTTCTTGGCCTAATCTCATCTCTAAATTTCTTTCCTTAATAATATTAAAACATTGCATACAAAAATAATATTATATACCTGTTTGATATAGTTTTAAAGGCAAATGTCTCCAGCTTAATATTTCTTTAGCAACTAAATTCGTTATTTCTTCTTCATGAGTAGGAGAAAGACAGTATTCTATTCCTTTTCTATTTTTGAGTTTAAAAAGCTATACAAAATAAATGCATTTTAATATATATAATTAATTATAAACCTCTTTTCCTAACAGTTCCCATCTTTTTGTTTTTTTCCATAAACTAGATGTCAAAAGATTTGGAAGAGATACCTTAGATGCGTCTAAAACATTGTCTTAAAAAAAATGTTAATATAATACTTACTAATTTTATATAAAAATTTATCAATAATTTTTTCTATTTTTTCTTGAACTCTTAATGCTAATGGCAAAATTGTGTATATTCCTGGTGATGACTATGACTTTTGAGTTTAAAAAAAGTACAATATTTTATACTTGGCGCAAAAATCCTGCTTTAATTAAAAGATCATGACCCGTCTCTTTTATAGTTTAAACTAAATAATAATTGTTAATAAAAAATACCTTTTTTTCCTGAATTCTGACAAAAAGTATCACTTGGAATAAACGTATTGCTTAAAAGTGATCTCTGGTGATTCTGATAGTTTTTTTAACATGTAAAATAAAAAAAATAGTCTTACAGAGATAAAGTGAAAATATCTATGACATAATAATAAGCTATAAAAATTAATTAAAAAAATACAAAAAAAACAATATTCTAACTTATTTCTGAAAGAAACAGTGTTCTTAGAAAATATTTTAATTACCATAATCTATTAAAATTCTAAAAATTATTTAATGGATCTTCGAATAGAACCTTACTAAAATCCATACTAAATTATATATGTAACATAATTATTAATGAAAATAAAAATTAGTTATTAAATTATATATTGAAAATTTTAAGAGAAATTTCATAAAAAATATATTCAGTATATTCATCAATATGAAGATTTCCCATAAATGTAGCAATATTTTTATCAAGTGATTCTTCATTAACTGTTTTTTCAAACGAATTACTTGTAAGATTTGGATTTGAAGATGAATAAATTAAACTTAAAGCTTTTTGGGCTTTATTTTTATATTTTAAATTAGGCTTTAAAATTTAGAAAACTTAAATAATATATTATTGTATAACCTTTATAATGACTGAAATAAAATTAGGAGGGTTCCCATATCTTAAAATGCTCTCAATAAAAACTCTTATAGCTTTTAAGTGTATCCATGCTTGAAATGTATCGCTGAAAGATGTGTGTGCCAATCGTAAAACTTCATTCTAAAAATAATCAATTGTACTAAAGAAAATAAGTGAGAAACTTACCCACAGTTTATTTTCCTTTTTCTGTGCTTCTTTAAGAATATTTTCCTCTTCTATACGAAGATCATCTTTATATTCAAAATCCCTTGGTATACATCTAATCGTAATCAATTATTAATAACGAAATAATACAATCTTACTTAATTTCATGACATTTTTGTTTAAATTCCTGTATATATTTTTTGAAAACTACAACACTATAAAGAATATATTTATTATCTTTAGAAATTTCACTAATTTATATATTAAAAGCAATGAAAAAAAAAAAAAATAATCTTACAAAGCAGAACGACAAACAACCATTGGTGTTAATGTTTCATAGGATTTAAGCCAAAGATTTTTGTTAAAACTATATAAAGTAAGAAAGATTTAAAAACATCAAATATTATAAACATAGGTACTGAAATTAATGCTGTCTCAAGATACTCTGATTCTTGAACAACATGCTCTTTTTTTACAATATTTGTAAGACTACACTGTGATAAATCTCCTCTACAAATTACATTAGATATTCTTTAGAATAATATATAGACAAACGTGTATTTTCGTTCCAAAACAGAAAGATTACTTTTTGCTTGAGTATAAGATTGATATTTTGTTTTTAATTCTTCTATTGAAAAAAGTTCCTAACCAATAATTAGTTTATTATAAAACTAACATATTTTGCACATCTCCAATCATTTCTATTAAAACATTGATCGATAAATCCGTTCTATATTTCATAATATCCCATTGAAATGTTTGAAGATAATATTCAATAGACTCTATTCTTATTAAATAAATATTACTATGTTTCAGAAAACAAACTATTATCGATAGTCAGTTGTTGCATGCATTTGTGCACATCATTTTCTAAAAGTATTCTTAGAATCTCTGGTATTTTCAAAATAGATTCTTTAATCTGATCATCTAATTTCGCAACATCTTCACTCTGGCAAATCAAAGAATCCAAGTTTCCAGCCTAAATAAACGTAAAAACACATCCAAAAAATAAATATTAAAACCTTCAAGCGAGGTATTGAAAATTTAAAAACTTGTGCATAATCATAAGTAGAACATGATAGATGTGTAATAAAATCCTCAAAAGTAGTCGTTTTTTCTTCAAATTTTTCAGGAATAGATACAAGCCAATAACAATAATCCATTTTATTATTCTAAAATCTTTTTTTCAAACTTAAATAACTTAGCTTTATGTTTTAATTTCAATAGAAATACGTTATCAACTGTCTATCGTTTTACGAGATTAAAAGCACTTAAGCTTTTTCAAAAAAAAGGTAAAATTTCAATAATTAAAAGAAACATTGTAAAAAACTAGTTATAATATGGAACTTCTTAAAAAACATGATCCTAATGCCTCCTTTTCAAGTCTAAATATGGAAAAGGTATTTTTCGTTATTAAAAATATGAATTTTTGTCTTTGAAAAAATGATTAGTTTTAATAGAATTTAGATAGAAAATATGAGTACATCAAATGAAATAGAAGGTAATTCTTTGATATTTGTCTATTGATATAAATAATGGTGTATAGATGAACCAATAATTGTTCTTGGGGAAGAATTTGATCAATATGCTATGATTTTTGATCGATACAAGGATTCAGAAATATTTGGTGAAACAGGGTTACTTTCAAAATATTATATGTACGGTCAAAAAAGGTGTTTATTTTCTAATATTTGTGTTTACTTTTTTATGGAGTTCAGGATGGATACATTAATGGAATCTGAACATTATCAAGACTCCCCAGAAATCGAGCAGTGGGATTTAGAATGTAAAACATGGGATCTTATCCAAAGATTATATTCGTAATTTTCTTTTTATATATGTTAGTAGATTTGATTGTTAAAGTCATCGTGTACAAAAATCACACGAATTACCAAATATTCATGAATATTCATCAAATGTAATTTTAGAAGAAGCATTTTATATTCAAACTCCAGAAGCTATGGAGAATACGGTTTTTTATTTTGATTATATCTTTTATGTATATCATTAATAATATTTTAGATTATACTAAATTGGTTAAAAGATATCTTTCCAGAACCTCCACTATTAGAAATATCAGGGAAAAAATGGTTATATACAAGAGAAAGCATAAGAATGAAAAGACTACAAAGAAAAACACTTAAAGAAGATCAATTAATTGATGAATTAGATCCTGATGCACCAACGAGACAACGAAAACTTTTAGATGATAAAGATTTTGTAAGAATTAATTTTATTTAGATATTTTTGTAACCTTTTTAGGAATTTGAAAGAAAATTTTTACGCAATTTATTTTTACTTATAAGATCAGGAGATTTTGATAAAGCATGTGATATCTGTAAAGAAACCGGTAATTTTTTGAGGTCTGCAATTCTTCAAGGATGTATTGAGTATAGAGATCCTTTAATTGGTATAATATATTCTTTATTTTACCATCTTTATTAAAAATAATAAAGATAATGATAATTCAGAATTGGGTGTCATGGGAACCAAAAGAAAGCAACTTTGGAAAAAAATGTGTTATGAATTGTCTAAGCAAACGGAACTAGATCCTTACGAAAGAGCTTTATATGGTGCTTTATGTGGCGATCTTCAGTCGGTATATTTGGCTTTAATTGTATTAATAATATTTTATTATTATTAGGTACTTGAAGTTTGTGAAACATGGGAAGACTATTTATGGGCATATTGTAATTCTATTTGTGAATATCAGATAACTATGGTAAAGATTATATATAATGAAATATGGTATTTATGTTATGAAATAGAATCTTAAACAACTTGGAAAAATTAAACCATCTCAAGTCGTAATTATTCCAAATGTTGATTCCATTTCTCTACCTTCTATTTTGGAAAATTTAATTCATAGTGATAATGAGCTTATAAGGTATAAATCTTTTTCAATATTTAAAAATAATATTTTATAGAAACGATGCAAATGAACCAATGAGAATTATTCAATCGAATATTATAACATCGAAAGTTGATGAATTAATTTTAAATTTGAATACGCAGTTACAGGATATTAAAAATGGGACAAGTTCTATAGATATAACGTCAGTTCCTTCTTTTTTAAGATTTGTTGTTCATTTTATTTTATTATTAAGACATACAAATATATCAATTGATCAAAATAATTGCAACAGTTTAATACAAGCATATATAGAGTTGTTGGCTGCAGGTGGTAAGGTAAATTGTACTATTTTTAAAATGCTATAATTTTTTAAAATTTATAGCAAGACATTGTTCCATTGTATGTGGCTCAACTTCCTCATGATATGTCTATAGAAATTTATGCAAAGTTTTTAAGTAGTATGTTAAATTTAAATTACAGAACATACTTAACATATATAAAGATATTAACGATGATCAACAACGTATAGATCAGTTGCATTTAGCTGCTAAATATAAACTTGATATATTAAATTCATTAAGAAGAACTGTCGATATTGTTTATTCTACAGCATTGATTAATGATGATATTTTTAATTCTTTTACCTTGGAATTAGTACCCATCACTAGTACACCATCTGAATGGGACTTGCATCAGATAAGAGCTTTAGAGTGGATGAAGTCTTCAGATGATTTGAAATATGATATTATTTACAAAAGCAATATTCTTTACAGACGTTTTCTCTGTATGAATACTTATAGATTTGAAAAATTTTGGTTAATTATTTTAGTAAGAGGAAAACTAAATGCTGCACAAACCCTTAATTTAAGGTTGTCTTCGTCAGTATTAATAACTAAAGATATGGTAGAAAGCGAAGATAGCCCTGAACAAGATAAAAAATTTAGACATGCAACAGAGTATTTAGGTTATTCTTCTTTATGTATTGGGTATATGAGATATGAAAACTGGAAAAATATTATGTCAAACGGCTTAAATGATATGTAGGCTGTATTCAGTTAAATTCACAAATTTTAATTTTTTAATATAGTAAAAATAAAATAGACTCTACTGAAAAAAGACAGTGGAAATTAGATGTCCAAGTTAGTATTAATCTATCTGTATATATACTTATTTTTAGAGAGCAGTGGAAGAATGCGTTACAACCTTCTACGAGCTTATCCAAGGAAATTGGCTGCACCCAAGCACATTCTTTGTATCCGAGTCTGAAGGTACTCTACATCTGCTTTCTCATTCCACCATATAATCTTAAATACACAACAGATCCAATTATATACAACGAACTAGTGAAAATAAGAAATATTTATATACCCGAGCTTGTTTGTCTTCTGCATAAAGTTTACTACGATACTCATACGCTTTTTCCAAGGCGGGCTGTTTTTATCTTCTTATCTACATTAACCCTTCATAGAAATTTGCACGCCTGCATGGAATTGTCCTGCATTGTGGCCGATGATGAAAAAAAGATATACGAGGCATTCCTGCTGACCCACCGCATGCCCCAGTACCTTAAGCTGCTGCGCCAGGCTTCAATAGCCATGCTTGGCTCCCATCACTCCCAATCCGCCGACTCATTGTGGAACATATAGCCTGTATTCTACATTATACATATTATACACTTATACATACTATACACTTATATATATTATATATTATACACTTGTATGTATTATACATATTATACATATTATATATACTATATATATTATATATATTATACACTTATTATACATTATACATGTTATACACTTATTACATATATTAGTTGCATATATTATACACCTCTGATCTAAATACATTTCTAAATACATTTTTCTATAGAATTTATCATCCCTTTTGCTCACATTTCTACATCTTTTTCTCTAGCAAGTCCCTCTGCCACTAGACATGCTAAAACACTTCACACTCAAAAACCCGTCTACATTAATTCACTTTGGCTAATGTGGCTCCACCCTGCTCCAAAGGGCGTTCACCCTTTGTCTTGTATTATATAACAAACTCTTCACAAAACACTCTTATCCAAACACTCGTCATTTAACTCTACATTTAATTCTATAAAACCCCTCTTCACATACATTTTATAACATTTTGTCCTTTTGTGCATTTCTCTTCTCTGCTGCATACATATATATCTTTCGACGATTCTTCGACGATTATCTCAAATCTCAACAATTTTTTTTAGCGTCGCCACTCTCCGTTCCAAAATATTATACACTTTATACTGCAATATTTATACTGTTTGTATCAACTTTGCATATAAAAGCACTTCCAATGCTTCTTTTTTCTCTTCATTTATTTTCCATCCAAACTGCATATATTTTCTTCCTATTTTCCTTCCGAATATTTCTTGCATTATACTCCACCGAAATACTTTTTCCTTAATCGGTAAAACTGAGCTAAGATATAACCCGTAACCTCAAAGCTGGCTCTTCAGAGTTGTACTTCACATGTAAGAAAACAAAGAACACTGCAGAGCTAAAGGCAGCATTTAGCATATATAGCATATATAGTATATATAGTATAGTATATATAGCATATATAACCATATATAACCATATATAACAGATTAGGCAAAGGCTGAAGCAGATTACAAAGCTATCATGTTATGAGCAGAAATATGTCGGAGCCGAGGCAGGAACTGCCAACCATTACAATTGACGCCTCAGTAAGGAGCATCCCGAGGATCCGCAGCAGACGTCTAACAGTGCTTGGCAGAACATTTCGCCGGACGCATCGCGCGAAGACAGCAGGCGTAGCTGCAGCCAGACGTCAGAGTTATCGGAGTTGCTGACGCAGTACGAGGGGTCGGCACAGCGGCGTGGAAGGTCATGGGACGGGTCAACGGCGACATCGTGTTCCTTCCAGAAGAGACCAGGCAGCAGCATCCGCGAGGCAGCGCTGCGAACATTGGCCATTACAGGGACGGAGGCAGAGACGCCATTTGCATTTACAGCAAGGCAGCTACAGGCGCTTGTGGACCCAAGGAACGTTGAGATTTTGCGGGTTATCGGGGGGATTAGGGGGTTGTACCAAGGCCTGCACACGGATCCCACGGTGGGGCTGAGTGTCGATGAGAAGGACGTTAGTGAGTGTGTAACACTGAAGGATCTAATGAGCATGGAAGACTACATGGCGTTTGTGGGGTTTTGTGTGTGGGAGGGTCTGATATTTGTCTAGATATGAAAAGATGCGCAAAAACTATGAAGCAAAGAAATCCACGTCGAAAAAGTCCACGTCGAAAAGGAGGCAAAAGTCGTATGAGGATTACATATTTTTGGAAAAGGGGAGCAATGGGTCTTTTTCCGGTGTATCGGTAGTGTCTCAGAATGAATCGTTTGTTTCGAGGAAGCCTCGTTTCATGTCGAAGACAGCCATGCGTTTCAGGAATCTTTTTTCGTATATTATGATTGCTTTTAGCAGTATTGTTCACGCATTGTCATTGATTTCAAGGATTATGCTTAAAATTAAAGTTATACGGGTTTTAAAAGAGATATTTATCGGTAAATCAGAGACATATGAGGATTTTGTAAACCTTTACGGTGATTCGTATAAAACCCGTATCTCTGTTTTTGGCGTAAATAGGACGCCCAAGCATCGTGTGAAGGGGATAATACCACTGATTCTTCATGTTTTCAGGGATCCTATACTTATTTTGTTAATATGTGCCACGATTATATCCTTCGCTATCGATATATATCACAGACTTCAGAGTGTTTATGGTAATTCTTCCGGGGATTCTGAGCATTCAAGGTCAGTTTTATTTATAGCGTAAGGCAAAGATAGTTATTAATTTTAAAAGTATAGATGGTATTGTTATTTTAGTTGCCATTGTCGTTGTTTCACTTGTTAGCGCCCTTAATGACTATCAGAAGGAAAGACAATTTGAAAAATTAAATGCAAAGGTATCTCCGAACGGTTTTTTTTACAACATGTTTCTTATGTTTTTAATAAGAAAGAAGATTTCGAAGTCAAGGTTGTCAGATCCGGAAAACCTACTAATATTTCCGTTTACCAGCTTCAAGTTGGCGATATATTGCTTTTCGAGCTCGGTGATCTTCTTTCCGCTGATGGAATTTTAATCGATGGTTATAATGTATCTTGTGACGAATCAAGCGCTACTGGAGAATCAAATACAATCGAAAAAGTACCATGTTCTTTGTCTTTATCTAGCACATCGTCCAAACTGATATTCGATGAACGATATGACCCTTTTATGATAAGTGGAAGTAAAATAGTTGAAGGCACTGGAAAATGTATTGTTACGTCTGTCGGAATACATTCTTATTACGAAAAAATTATGACTTCTATTCAAACAGAATCAGATGATACTCCGTTGCAAATAAAATTGAGTAAATTTGCCCTTGGCATTGCAAAATTCGGAATATTGTAAGTTTTCCCCCTTTAAAACTTATAATGTGTAATAATTTTTTTTCAGTGCCAGTCTTTTATTATTTAATATCCTTTTTTGTCGCTTTTTAATAAATTACCCTGAAAACAAAGGAACACCTTATGAAAAAACGATGAGTTTTATGAGAATATTGATTAGTTCTATAACGATAGTTGTTGTTGCTCTTCCTGAAGGACTTCCTCTTGCTATTACTCTTGCTTTAGCGTTTGCTACGAGAAAAATGTCTAAAGAAAATAATTTAGTACGCCATTTAAAATCATGTGAAACTATGGGAAACGTAACTACTATATGTTCGGATAAAACCGGTACTTTGACTCAGAATAAAATGACATTAGTTATTGGGGCATTAGGCCTTTTATTTCAATTTCAAGATTATTCTAATTTGGAAATTGATGAAAAAAATTCCCTAAGTAATGCAGATTTGTTAGATATTTCCACTCTTTCGAAATCATTAAATCCTTTTGTAAAACAACTTATTATTCAAAGCATAGCAATTAATTCTTCTGCATTTTTAAGTATAGATAAACAAGGTCAAAGTATTTTTGTAGGATCCAAAACAGATTGTGCTTTATTAGAATTTGCTCAAAAATATCTCAATATGGATAATCTTAGTACTGAGAGAGCAAACGCAAATGTGTTACACTTTATACCATTTAGTTCTTCAAGAAAATATATGGCGTCAATTATTTCTTTGCCTAATGGAGGTGCTAGATTGTATATTAAAGGCGCCAGTGAAGCATTATTAGAGTATTCTTCGTATATAATTCATGATCCTTTTTCAAAGGAATTAGACCGTCTTTGTGTATTACCGTTAAAACAAGAAGATAAAGATTCAATATATAAAATAATTTCCAACTATGCATCTATGTCTTTAAGAACTATTGCACTTCTTTATAAGGACTTTGATGTTTGGCCTATTAGCGGCTCTCAAGTTTCATTAGATAATTCGGATGTTAGTTTCAATACTGTATTTTCTCAAATGGTTTTTATCGGGGTAGTCGGTATTATGGATCCATTAAGGGAAGGTGTAAAGGAAGCTATTAAGAAATGTAGAGATGCTGGAATAACCGTTAGAATGGTAACGGGTGACAATAAAATTACGGCAGGAGCTATTGCCAAATCTTGTGGTATACATACACCTGGGGGCATTCTTATGGAAGGAATTGACTTTAGAAATTTAAGTTCTGAAGATATGAATATAATAGCTCCCAGACTCCAAGTTTTAGCGAGATCTAGTCCGGAAGACAAAAAGATTCTTGTTTCTAAACTTAAAGAGTTGGGCGAAGTTGTCGCTGTAACGGGTGATGGTACAAATGACGGGCCAGCGTTAAAGAAAGCGGATGTTGGATTTTCCATGGGAATATCTGGTACAGATGTAGCTAAAGAAGCTTCTGATATAATTTTAATGGATGATAATTTTGCTTCTATAGTTAAAGCGTGTGCATGGGGACGGGCAATAAACCTTGCTATTAGGAAATTTTTACAAGTATGATTTTTTTAAATACCGATGAATTAATCAATTGATATATATAGTTTCAAATGACGGTTAATCTTACCGCTGTATTACTTACTTTTATAACAGCAGTAGTCAGCCCAAAACTAAAGTCTGTTCTTAATCCAATACAACTTCTTTGGATCAACTTAATAATGGACGCATTTGCAGCATTAGCTTTAGCAACAGATCCCCCTAGTACAACTATTTTAAATTCTAAGCCAGAACCTAAAGCGTTACCTTTAATTACTTTTCCAATGTGGAAGATGATTATCGGGCATTCTATTTACCAACTTTTAATTACTTTAGTATTATATTTTTGGGGAGATGTTATTTTTAAATATGATGAAAAAAGGGCTACAATAGGCACTCTACCTACTTTAATATTCAATACATTTGTATTTATGCAAATTTTTAATGAGTTTAAGTAATTATTTATGATTTTGATTATTTTTTCTAACATATTAAGTTGTTGGAGACTAAATAGTGAAGCAAGTATTTTAGAGGGAATTCGTTCTAATCCATGGTATATTTCTATTAACATTATTATGGTACTAGGTCAAGTGCTCATTGTTTCTTTCGGAGGCAATGCTTTTCATGTTAAACCTCTCAATTTAAAGCAATGGGCGATTTCATTATCTTTAGGAGCATTATCAATACCTATTTCAAAATTCATCAATTGTATTCCTGATAGTTTCTTGGAAAAAATATTACCGAATTTTATTAAACAATCTCTCTTAATTTCAAACGGATCACCTGATAATCAAACACAGTGGAATTTAACTTCATTATATGTTAAAGATGAGTTATCAGTCCTTAATGTTTTCAAAAGCTCGACTTTCTCTAGTTCTAGAAGTCGTAGGATGAATAAGTTTTATGAAAAATTATCACAATCAATCAATAAAAAAGATACAGAAAAGGTAAAAAAAATTTTATCTAAAAATCGAAAATTACAATCATCTACATTCAAAGCTGCTACAGTAGCTCCTGCAATTATGGTAGGCTCTATTGGCGGCTGTGTATCTAATACTACGACGGAAAATGATACATTACTTGACGAATCATTACGTGATCGTGGTGTTGAAATTTATTCTGATACAGATTCAAAAATAAATATTTCTCAGTCAGAGTCATTAAAAACATCCTAGCATTTATTATATTTATACATATTTCTATATTGAATATAAATTATATAGTTTTATCTTTAGTTTATATTTTCATCAATATTTGTAAATTTTATATATTTTCATACTTTTGTATAGATTATCGATGAAAAAAATTATTAATAAACTTATTTCAATTTATTTGTTTTATACATATACAAATCCTAGATTAAGATATGATAAGCATTTAGATTCTCAACTATACAAAAATATAAAACACATTTCAACCATTTCGTCAGAAAAACCAAAGAACAAAATACATAGAAAAATGATTGAGATTCTTTCTATTTCGTCAATTTCTTTATTTCTCGGTTATAAATTTAATGATATATTGCGAAGTTTAAAAAAGGATAATCAAATACCTTTAGAAATATGTGAAAGAAATGATGGTAAATAAATCTTTTGAAAAAAATTGTTATTTTGATCAAATTAGAAGTCGAAAATTATATTGAAAAACATCCTTTGGTTCAAAGTTTACGTTCAGATTCATCTTTTTCAGAATCGAGACCTCATTTAAATGTTTCTTTAAAACAAAAATCAAATAACTTTACACTTGGTGTTCTTTCTGGCAAAGGGAAAATATCAGTTGCACCATACTGCTTTTATGATGAATCTACTAAAAGAATTATTGTAATTCTTCATTTAGGACCTCAAATATGCGGTTATAGTTAGTTTTATACTTTATACTTTTTAATTAAATTAATAATTACTTAATAGATAACATTATTCATGGAGGCCTTCTTGCAACGTAAAACATTATACTATTGCTTTTATCTTTCAACTAACGTATATATTAGCCTTATAGATGAAAGTTTTGCAAGATGTGTAAGTAGTTTTAAATAAACAAATAAACATATTAATCAATATTCAAAGGTATATTTAGCATCTGATAGAATACATGTTACTGCTAATCTTAATATCAACTACCGCTCACCTGTTTGATTCCATACTTTTATCGTGATTAACTAATTAACAAAATTTCTTATAGGCAAAAGCAAATCAATATTATGTTCTTAAGGCTACAATATCGAAAACAGAGGGTAGAAAAACTTGGGTTAACGGTCATATAGAACCTTTAGACTCTTATTCAATATTCGGAAACAAGTTAAATAACTCTGTAGTCATTGCTGAAGCAACTGCATTATTCGTATAACTCGTCTTTACTTGTTTATGTTGAAACTAAATTAATTTTAGATTGAACCTAAATATTCTTCATTTATTAAAGTATAATACCTGTTTTACTTTTATTTCTTATTTATTTTTAGAAAATCATAAATGTCTAAATATATGTATACATTCCCAATCTATTAAAATAATATTTAATTCGCTAATATATCGCACATATAATCCTATAAATAAATTTATTTTTTAAATATTATTTCCAAATATTTTTTTAGTTTGCATTATAAATCATCAAAAAATATAAATTACACAAAACTATAAGTCAAAGATTTAAAAGGACAAAATCAACCGGCACAGCATTCTTTTGTATATTTATAACATGTGCTTAGTTGAGTTTTACTCTTTACATTTACGGGTTTGCGTGGACACTCTAAAAATTTAAAGAATTCCAAAAATGGTTTCAAAAGCACCGCTAGAAGCGCCATTGAAATCATCTTTACTAACAATCGAAAAAACACAATGCCCAAAAGACCTTGTTCCTTTAGATAACCTGGGTTTCGGCAAGACGTTTACCGGTAAACGAACACGCCAACATACACACATCGACTCAGTATTCATCTAGACCATATGATTGTCTGTGATTGGGAAAAATCCAAAGGCTGGAGCTCTCCTCGAATCATCCCGCATCAGCCGTTTTCTCTTGATCCCTCGTCTCTTGTTTTTCACTATGGGTTTGAGTGTTTTGAAGGAATGAAAGCGTACAAAGTCAGTCATCCTTATCCGCTTTTCCATTCTCCTCACTTTCCCAGGACAGCCAAGGCAGAATCCTCCTTTTCCGCCCCGAAATGAATATGCGGCGTCTTAACCTATCTGCCGCACGCATTGCCCTTCCCACCTTTGATGAAACCGCACTTCTTGAATGCATCTCCAAACTCCTCATTCTCGACTCTCGATGGATTCCCTCCAAAAAAGGGTATTCCCTCTACATCCGCCCTGCCATTATTGCCACGGAAAACACGCTTCAGCTGCGTCCCTCTCTTTCTGCATCGCTTTTTGTGATTGCCTCGCCCGTGGGTTCCTTCTACAACTCCAAATCGGCTCCTATTTCCCTCTACGCCACTTCCGATTGCGTAAGAGCATGGCCTGGTGGACTTGGCGACATCAAAGTCGGTGGAAACTATGCTTCTGGCATCCGTCCTCAGCTCGAAGCCTATCAAAAAGGCTATGACCAGATTCTCTGGCTTTTCGGCGCTCAAAGATATGTTACCGAAGCCGGCTCTATGAATTGCTTTGTCTGCTGGACCACTCCTCATGGCCAAAAACAACTTATCACCGCTCCTCTCGATGGAACCATTCTTCCCGGCGTCATCCGCGACTCTGTCCTCACTCTTGCCCGCGAGCGCCTTGCTCCCCGTGGATGGAACGTCCTTGAAACCCTATTCACCCTCGACGATCTTATCCTTGCTGCTTCTCAACATCGTTTGCTCGAGGTCTTTGGTACCGGTACTGCTGCTGTTATCTCGGTAAGTCCCTACTCCGACTGCCATCCGGCCACTGCCCAGCCACCACTCGGCCATTGCCCATAATTGTCTACTCTGGGCTAACCTAGGCTAACCCGGGCTAATCCCAATGATTTTGCTAATGTGCTAGTCGGTCCGCAAGATTGGATATAATGGAGGCGAAATCACACTGCCTGCTGAGAGCTGGCAGGCCGGCTCAGTCGCTCTGACAATGCACGAATGGATAACAGAGATCCAGTATGGATCAGTCAATCATCCCTGGACATATATTGTTGACCCAGCAGATACAGAGACAAACACATCAACTACACTAGAAACGGCCATACCAAAGCCGTAAAATTTAAATTATACTACTAGCCATACTGTTGCCAATCCTTTGCTAAGCGTTTATCCCATGTCTTTCCACTCTTTCGATTCCTCCTTGACACTGTCCAGTCTGCACACTTAAGCTGCTGGTTCCAGCGAACCCTGAGGCTTCTGCGGCTCCTGTGGCCCCTGTGGCTCCCCTGGCGCCGCCAGATGCTTTGCATGTCGCGCACGTTCTTCAGCGCGCTCCCGCGCCCAGGCTGCAATGCTGCAGCGTCAGTACACTTCATATCCACACCCGTTCCACTTACTTTGCCTCTGGCTTGTATGCACATATCACTGCTGCTGCACCAAAAAACCCACCCATCCCATACATCCACATCTTTGTCCATGCGTTGCTCGTGTTACTCACCATTATCTTGATTTCCTTTTCCCTGCCCTATTTATAGTTCCAGGGCTAGGGTTCCTTTGCAGGGCGAGGGTTAGGACACTTCCGTTTATGGGCTAGGGCAGGGTAGGGCTGGTTACCCTATTAGGCAGAGGCTACCCGATTGGGCTTCCCCGGAGTTCCCAATGGGTCTTTTGTCCAGGATGCCCTGTCCAGGGCACCAATCAGGATCGAATCAACAGCTTCTAGTATCTTCTGGAACGTTCTAGAATCTTCCATTGCGCTGCATACATTCTACACATGCTATATTACACTATATTACATATACACTAATATACACAAAGTACGCGGTTGCTCTGGTTACATAGTTGTCTTGGCAACCACACGTGCTCTGTCAAGTGCTGCACTGCTTGCTGTTTTAAGTCTATGTTTGTATTCGTGGATTGTGATGTCAAGTTTAACGATAGTGTTGTGTTTGACCTGGGAGTTGTCAGCGTGTTCTCTATGTCTATTGCTTACCTCCCAAAGCTCACCCACACCTGGGAGGCAAATTTGCTCAATTAGCCTGAAGTCGTGGCTTACAAGTACAATTCCGCCCGTCCATGCATTGCATGCCTTTGCCAGTGCATCTATTGACGCAATATCCAAGTGATTCTGCTTCTGTCAGCACTCTTTACATCCCACTTTTGGCGCCGCCCAACTGTCAACCTTCACGACCACACTAACCTCAGTCTAACTACATCTGGTAAGCGCTAACCACAAAAGGGCTAGCTAACTGCATCATGCATCGGCTAACCAGATGAAGACTACGCTACTAGATGAGACCTACGCTAACCTAATAAGACCTTTACTCACAGAATCAGGAAAACCCTAACCGTTTATAAAATACACTAACCTTATAAAGACCTTCCTAACTGTACAAGGCAAATGCTAACTTTATAAAGTCAACACTAACCCCCCATAATGTTAGTATTAACCTTGTAAGGGAACATTAGCTGTACATGGACAGTCCTAACCCTATATGGTAAACACTAACCGTCTTAAAATATGTCTAACTTTACTAGGACTTCTCTAACTTCTCTAAGATTTATTTAACGTAATAAAGCTAAATCAAATACAAAATTAGCTGTATAAGGTCATGTCTAGCCCTATAAGAGAAAGTGCAGTGCACTTATGGTTAGGCGGCACCATAAACTTTACCCACCGTAGGCTCATCAAGCAAAAGAATATGAGGTGTCTCCAGTGCGAGCTCAGCAAATACAACACGGCTCTTAAGCCCATCACTTAATGTGCGAATCTCTGCTGTCTGATGTCCTCCAGAAATCCCGAATCTTCCGAGATGTGATCGCCATTGCTGAACATCTTTTCCTGGATATATATCTTTAAACTTAGTATGAATATAATCGAGAGGAGATCTGTCGTAAGGAAGCTGATCAGCAGAATGTTGGCAGTATTTTGCAAGTTTAAGGCCTGAATTTCTTGATACAGAGCCAGTTGTGGGTATAAGAAGACCTTAGAGGTGTTAGAGGTGTATATAAAGAAGTATAAATATAAGTGAAAGAGAACCCATAATAAGATTAAGTAATGTCGACTTTCCAGTGCCATTTTTTCCAACAAGAGCAATTCTAGAATCCATATCAATGCCAAAAGAAAGGTTTTTATAGAGGGCATTCTCGGATTTTCCATCATAAGAGAAGGAGACGTCATTAAACTATACATAAATAAGCAAAAGTGATAAAGGATAAGTATAATAAGAAGAGTGATGAGAGTGAAGATAAGGAGGAAGTTAGCAGGAAGGGAGGGGGAAGTACAGAAATGATTGGGGGAGAAAGCTTTCGAACGTTCTCAAACTTAAAAGAAACAGTCTTAGGAGGATCGACCTTTTCGACAAGACCAGCAGCATGCATCTTGTCAATGATCTTTTGCTTGGACTTGGCTTGGCGGACCTAAAAAAGTAAGTGGAAGTGAGTTAAGGCAGGAGGGAGACAAGGTTTGCATAGGTGCCGGCACTTGCAATAAACTTTTTGATATGTGCAATTTCGTCTAACAAAGTTAGCAAAGTTAACATTGAGTTAGTATAAGGTTAATATCAGGCTAACATAGGCCTAGTATAAACTCATCATATGCTCAGTGTAAGCTTAATGACGCTTAATATAGATAGCGTACAGAAAATGGCAGATGACAGAAAACAAGGAATGGACACTAACCTTGCTGCTTGGTATATGCTTTCATCTGGTTGACCTCGAGCTCGTGCTTGGTGCGCACGTATGCATCATAATTGCCTCCATAATAGATAAGCTGTCGATTAGGTGTCAGATCAATAATGTTGGTACAGACATGGTTCAAAAAATCCTGTGAATGTGAATTCACTACAAGAATCCGACGATATTGCGAGAGATATGTTTCCAACCAGACAACCCTAAACTCGGTTACAAAGATAATAGGAAAAAACAGCAGCAGAAGAGGATTAAATATTAAAGAGCTGAGTGTCAAAGCATCAGGAAAGCATTAGGAAAATACACAAGCATCTACATGTCCCAAGGACGCTTAAAAGATGTTCAAAGAACGCCCAAAGGAGGCCCAAAGCTATCTAAACAACTGAAACAGAACAAAGCAATAATACTGAGCCAAATAAAAATCCAGTAGACCAGATAAATCAGATAGAGCAGACAAAATAGCATGGTAGTCTATGATAGCATAGTGGTTCTGGATCTATCATAACATGTTGATAATTTTATGGGATTGATACAGTCTTGCAGAGTTGATCTGAAAGTACTGCTACAACCCCGATGCCTTGGTGAAACAAAATATGATCAAGTCACTCAACAGTCACTCAATAGTTACTTAACAGTCAGTCGACAGTCAGTCGACATAAAGCAAAAAGATAGACTTGGAAATGTCTTGGCAGGATCTGGGACTTCGCCATACCCAGAAGTATATCGTCATGTCCATGGTACATTGGCTATGATTAAAAATATATCGACTATGCCTAAAAGTTATCGGGTGTTCCAATTAGAATACTTTAAGCTTTACTTTGGTTGAAACCCAGTTTAAAGCCAAAAATACCACAACACCAGATCTGTTGCTATAATACAAAAATGATATCACTGCACTAGCCAAAAAAATCACTTAAAATATTGATCCTTCTTAAAATATAATACTTCATTGAGACAGAAAGTAAAAAATAATGTACAGGAAAACTCTGTTTACTAAATATCCAGTCTACAAAAAGTATGCGAAAAACGTTAAAACTCGAAATATATACTTGATCTAAGTATATATGTTCTATATATTAACTAGAGTTGTTGGTCATATCGTATACAAAAAGGATCCTTTCAAGTCGTGTAAAATCCTCTATACGTTGGCTATAAAAGCATTATGTTGATTTTAATGATTGATGCATCTGTTTCACTTAAAAATGCACTCGCTCTGCTTACCATACATTCATATTAATGTATATCAATTTATGTCTTCCTTGTATAAATGGTACATGTGCCTCATATAAACTACATATATGTTTTATATAAAACGGCATATGTAGCTTATAAACACAGTAAACATGCTCTATATAAATAGAATATGTGCGTTGAACGCACTTAATCACTCTTCTGCTGCTTTATTCAAAAATTCTTACGCTTCAAGATCAAGATGGTTTGTAGGTTCATCTAAAAGAAGAATTGTCGGTTGAAGAAACAATGCACACCCAAGAGAAACACGCATTCTCCACCCACCACTCATTTCCTTTGTTGGCATCTTCATTCTTGCCGCACTAAATCCTAATCCATGTAAAACATTAGCTGCTCTGGCTTCTAGTGTTCCCGAGTCCAGCTCAGCCATACGTTCCACCAATTCATCCATTAATGCATCAGATGAAACTTCATTAAAATCATTACCACCTATTCCACCATTTCCTCCTGTTCCTCTTTTCCCTTTCTGTCCTTTTGACGTTGAAGCCGTCTCTCCTGATGTAGCACCGTTTTCTTTTGTAAGTAGCTGCTCAAGTTCTGTTTCAACCGCTGCAAGCTTAGAACGTGCTTCTGAAATGATATAATCAAGTGCAGAAATATCAACTGGAGGTGCTGCTTCATTAACAAGGAAAATATCAAAATACGCTGGAAATGGAATATCTCGTGCTGCAAGTGAACGTAAAAACGTGCTTTTACCCGATCCATTTGCACCAAGAAGCCCATATCGCTGTCCATGGTTTAATTCTACAGTTGCTGATATTCATCAGCACAAAACATCAGTCAATATTAATAAACCATTCTAATATAGTTAACAAAAAAAAAATTGGCTTGAGACAAGCAAAAATGAGTATATCTGAAAAGCAATAATATAACGTTGCGCCATAGTGTATGAATATACACCAACTCACTACATACACTACTTAATCAAGTGTATTATTCCAAATACACTATATCCGTTATTATACTGCTCTCTTTGCCATATTTAGGTGTATCTAGAGCCGCTAATAGCCACAAACATGCCTCTAAACCCTTCTACAGCAAAAACAGGCCCAATCCCCATATATATAAGCCTGCTGCTTGGACATAAAGCTTCAATCTCCCACTATATACACCAAAACTCACATCTATGCCTCAGATTCGAATGCCAGCATTTTTCCAGGCGCCCAACTGATATTTGCATAGCAATTTATTGCAATTTATTGCAATTTACAATATTTTACAAGGAGTTTACTACATTTTACAATCTTTGCAATATTTCATAACGTTTTACTGCATTCTTCCGCACTATATGCATCTTCATCAGGAATACACACATTTCTACTGGAACATATACATTTTTGCTGCAATATACAGACTTTTGCTGATATATACCCATCCTTTCCGGGATATATGCGTCTTTGCTAGAATATATGCGTTAAATCTTGCATATATCCGCAGAAATGCCACGCTATATGCACCCTTTCTCCCTTATACACACTCGTTTCTTTTCAAAGTTTTTTGCCTGAATATTAGTATACACCCAAATATATGCGCCATATTGGATGCATTGTACAACATATATCGGACTATATACGTTCCAAATGATTCTTCTTGTGTTTTTATGCTATTCTTTTGCATTTTTATGCCCTAATTGCACCTCTTTACCCTTATATTTCCTCATATTACTTGATCTCTCGTTTTTTTCGCTCACCTCAATAAGCATCCGCCCGTGAAAACTCAGTGTATATTGTTCAATTCGGAGATCGCGGCTCATTGGTTGGCTTGTAAGAACACCGCTTGCACTCAGATCAGAATGAGAATTCGTTGTTTCCGGCTGAGATGCAGATTTTTGTTGTGTCTGCTGCATCTGTTTTGCCAGCCGCTGCGCTTTCTCACTCTAAGCATGGTAAATATGTATACTTATGTATATTGAGCGCATAAATAACCTCTCGTTTAAGCTTTGACGCAGACTTCGACATGGCTATGCAGTAATTACTGTATAATTAGATAACGAAAATCTGTCGAAACGAAAGTTCGATTGTGCACTAAAGGCAGTTTGAGCAGTAAATAAGCCTTAACAAGAGGAAATATAGCATATATTACAAAGTAATGGGGCAGAAAAAGCAGAGAATGGCTGATAACAGGAAAAAATATGGGAAACACGGGATATATGCGCTGGAAAACAGCGACTCCCGTGCAGCACACGTATAAACGCTTGCACAGTGATGTAGATATGTGCATAGTATATACACAATGTACGCGTACTATCCATAGTATATATGTTATATTTTCTGTATATGCGTTATCTTGTGTATATATGTGTTATTTATATACAGCATATACAGTGCATACGCTGCACAATATACTATATACTATATATGTATAGTATGTCTAATGTATGCGATATGCTTATAGTATACACAATATACATAGTATATATAGTGTACAGACAATGTATATATCTACTCTGCGGAGTATGTGTAATGTATGCATGATGCATGCTATATATGCATAGTATACTCTATATGCACTATGCAAAGTACATGTTTAGTGCAGTGTATGCATGCAATGCGTACAGTGTGGCGCTATACATTCCATGGTGTATACTATATGCACTGTACGCATCACAGTATGTATCATTATATATACTATGTATACACATATATACACTATATCTATGCTATATGTATACATTCTATGTATACTATGTATACACTATGTATATACTATGTATGCCTTTATGTCTTTGTATTCTATGAATGTTATATGTTATATACACGTTATATACATTGTATACACAATATATACAACACATTCCATGTTATATTATACGCTATGGCATACGCTATGTTACACACTATATATGCGTAGTTCCGCAGCGCCGCGGCCGTTGAGCCGAACGAGCTGAGAACAGTAAAGCTTAGTGTGGTCGACTAAGAAAATACAGCATAAATGGAATAAAATAAAATGTAATAAAGTGTATTAAAATGAAAATATAATGCAATACAGTACAAATATAAACCAATATACTCTTTGTATGCAGAGTGTATGCGGAATCTATGCGTATTGTATGCGCATTATATGCGGGTATATATATAGCCAGGCAGTTCGTCTGTATAGGTGGAACGAGGCGTATCGAGAGACACTAATCGTGGTAATTCGAGAGAAAACGCATAATATTGGGAGATTCAGCGGATATAAGGCGCATATATTAAATAATCAAGCGCATATAGCAAGCATTTTGGCAGAAAAAAGTGAAAAAAAGGGTTTCAAACGGGCTAAAAAGAATATTCAAGAATTATCAGCATTTTCAGCAGAAAAGAAAGATGTCATATATTGATTGGAGAGGATTGTCAAGGGAAACGGGAGAAGAATCGGGGTAAGAAAGGATAGAAAATAAAAAAATTGCAAAGAAATGACAAAAAAACAGATTTTCATTTGAAGATACATATGATGGATTAGGAGAAGAACTGGAAGAAACGAAGGATGATATGAATGAGGACACGTTTGGAATCGATGCAGATGGAATTGGTGAGAAAGAGGTTTTTTTCCGGGTTAAAATTGAAGGATTTTGAGGGAATGATTTTGATTTTTCTACACAAACACAAAAAATGGTAAATTTGATGAATAATGAGCAAGTTTTGTATAGAAGCAAAGGGAAAATGGGATTAGAAGGAGGGAATATCCAGGGGATGTCAAAAATTTTGGAAAAAAAGGACAGTTTTTCAGAAAAATCTTTTAGATATGATGAAAATGAGCATTTGCCGCATTTTCAGGAGAAACAGGAGAGATATGATGCTAAAGAAGCTAATTCATGTATGGTAATAGGGGATAAATGGTAGTGATTCTGTTTTTTAATTATTTTATCGTAGAGGGCCTTTGAAAATTCCATGATTGAACTGCCTAAAACCTTTGTTTCGGAAACAGAGAGATATTCATGTGAATCAGCGAGAAAACACCTTAAAGGATGTATGAGTTTAGAAGAAGTGGAAGCAAAGTTTTTTGATATTAGTAAAAAAAAAGATTTTCAAGAATCGAGTCAAAATAATGTTTTTGATATGAAAAAACTAGATGCTGCTCTTTGTACACAAACGAAAAAAACAGACAAATTGCCTGAAGCCAAGGGTTTAGAAAGGACATTACCTAGGTATAATTTTTATACTGATACATCATCTCAACACGTCAATCATTCTGAAAAAAAAAAAAATGAAAAGACAGGTGAAATAAGGATATTACGTAAAAACCATGGAGATGATATGGTAAGTCATGGGTTTTGGCTATCTTTATCTTATACTATGGCTTCAGTATAACGGACTTATGACTATTTCTGATAAGAATTTTATTAATCGTATACAACTTTCTCAACTTGTCTCTGATGACCCGTATTCTGACGACTTTTATTATTACATCTATAATTCTTCAAAAAATGAAAATAGCAAGCAGAAACAATCTAAAAAAACCGATAAGCCTGATAAATCTGATAAACTCGATAAATCTGACAAGCCTGAGACGCTTCATTCAGTACAAAATGAACAAGCTTCTGATAATCTTAAAAATAAATATAATGGGAATCCTATATTAGAAATGTTACAACAAATACAGAATATTGTTGCCACTGGAAAAATAAAACCAAAAGCAACCCAACTTAGTTTAGAAGGAGCATTAGGAAAAATATCATTTAGTACGGTCAGGACTCCACGTCAAATTCTTAATATCAAAAAGCCAATAGACAATAATACTGATCAGAATAACAGTGTTAAGGTTTTTTTGCGTGTATATTATTTTTTTTTTACTCTTTTATAGATATATAATGCGAATGTTAAAAAGAATCATAAATTTTATCTTTATTGTATTGAAAAAATATACGATGATTTATTAGAAATTGAAGAAATATTTCGAAAACAAAAACGTGATCAAGAAAATGACTTGCTCGTAGATAATGACGAGCAAAATAAAAGACTTAAACTGCTGAAAGAACGAATATGGAAGAATCTTCAAATAATGGAACCAATTACTAAGAAGTATTTAGATTTATTAAAAATGCATTTCATTTTAATCGTTTTTAGTCCCGATATTGTTCATCCATTTATAACAATTATATCATACAATAAGGGCAAGAAATTGATACCACGAATATTTGAGCATATTAACACTGAACAAAAATTAGCAATTTTAACAGTAATTGCTATACATTTAGATCGCCTTGATGTTGTTTTGTACGATTTATATAATTTGTCAAACGAATCTCGTTCTCTATCTATGAAAGAAAATATTGATACATTTACGCAAGTAGCATTGCCATCATTACTTACATGTGTATCAGAAGCATCTTTGCAGATCATAATTGATATTTTAAGTATTATGTTGGATAGGATGAATTTTCAACTAATAGCTATGACTAAAATTGGTCTTTCATTTCTTACAATGCTTATTAGTCGAGCAGAAATTATAAAGCAATTTGGACAAGCTAATGAAAATGATTTGAAACAATGGTTAGCATTTTTAACTATATAAATATATACTCATTATTTCAAAGGCGGAAGGTTTACGATTTAATGTTTTCTAAATTAGTAGGACGTTTCGTATGTGTTTTTCCTCCATCTTTATCATTTTCCGACGAAATATATCCATGGCAATTTATGGCTGCATGTGCAATTTCATCTACAATTGAGCAACAACATATACTAGTCACTGAAGTTCGGTATTTCATATTTATTTTATTTAGATAAAAGTATTTATTTATTTTTCTAGAGAAAAAGTTTTAGATAACGTTATTTCGAGCAAAAGTCTTCCTCCTGATATTGCTGCGATAAAACTTGGCAATGTTAATTTATTTTTACATGCACTGGGATTGGATATTGAGCAGCTTAATATTTAATCCTAGATAAATCATATCACTTTTAAGATATAAATATTATATATACAATAATATTCTGAATGAAATTTTAATAATATTTTATTAGATTTATATGTTAATATTTAAAAGAAGTTAATTATAATATATTGGATAATATAATTTTATAAAATGATTTTTTTTTTACTTGATTCGTTAAGCTTTACATTATTTAAATGTCATCAAAACCCGAATTTTTAAAACTTATTTCTTCTGATGGCTTCATATTTCTTATTAAAAGATCTCAAGCATGCATTTCTGGAACAATACGAGAAATGCTCAATGAATCCAGTAAGAAAGTCTTTTTTTCATAATTTCGAAATCGATGATTATAGATAACTTTTTAGAAAGTAAGAATAATGAAATAAATTTCAAGACGATCAAGTAAACAAAAAATGTCTATTTTAACGATTTAATAATACCCTATAGTGCAAAATTATTAGACATTGTTTGTCAATATTTATATTTTCATGAAAAATATAAAAATGCAGAATGTGTACCAGAATTTCCAATTGAGCCAGATACAGCAATTGAGCTTCTTATGATATCAGACTTTTTAGACGGTAAGAAGCTTAAATATGTATTGAAATGAGATTAAAAGAATAATAGTGTGAAAATATATGTATTTTTAAATATTTTTAAATAATATAAATTTACAAATGTTTACAAATACTCAAAATTTCTAAAGATATAAAAATAATTAAAGTAACTTATATTTATTTTTCATGTGTTTATTATGCTTCATGTATATATGTTCATTTCCAAACCCAATATCAGAAAATTTAATAAAACTTATAACTCCTGAATCAAGCAATGCAAAAATAATATGTCGGGTTCCATTTCTTAATCTTTGAAAAAGTGTAGTATTTGGTTCATGATTTTTTATCGGGACTAAATCGAAAATATTTGCAAATTCTTTTAGTGATGGAAGTGAAGATGATCTAGCACTTTGATATAATTAGATTTTAACAGGCTTTTGAATCAAGGTCCTACTTTACAACAACAATACGAAAATCAGGATTTTGAAGTTTAGATTTTTTGAAATTTGAAACAGGTTTCCAAACATAATAACTTATTTTAAAAGGGTTCGTTTTTTTATTCATACTATAGGTATAATTTTCTTGTGAATTAGGAGGACAATGGTAGGGAATTATTTGTAGAGATTTATAAATTTGATCTAATTAATATTAATCGCAAAGCCATATCAAATTACTTTTTACCATACGAATAATAATATGTTCTTTTAACTAGTGTATTCCAATTATTTGTTGAATACTTTTCAAAAACATTGTAAACAAAATTCATAAGTGATTTCATCCATGCAAAAAATGGCGATATATTTTCAAAACCATAAAATTTTGAAGATGAAAGTATTGAAACTTCTAAAAAATATAAATGATCTACTAATATATTAAAAGAAAGTGCTTACCATTTTCAACTTCTATTGGTCTGAAAATATAATAACCCAAGCGTTTCAAATATGAATAAACCTTTTCATATTTATAAACTTTTTAAATATAAAAAAATTATATAAGTACTTGATACTGTTCAAACCCTCCACACTCTTCCAAACAAACAGAGTAAACAGCTTGAAGACTCATAGGAATTCCATTTTCCCACCAACATTCCAAGGAACCTCTTTCAACCAAATAAATCAGTTCCTCGGGTAAAAGCCAGATACTATTATTAATAAACTTCCCAAGAGATTTAAATTGTGTGCCACGTATTCTTTCTACTTTTGCAAGTTTTACACTTGGAACCCAAATAGCTTTTGAATATATTTTTCTATAACATTTTTAACAAAAAAAGACCATAATAAATAAAAAATAAACCTAGAAATACGACGTTCTTTAGAAATAGCATCAAACATAGAATTTATTTTCTTTTTTAGTATTTCATCTTGTCTAGATGTACCATCCGGTTCATAATCTTTTTCACCGCGTTTTGGAAAAAGGGTACAAGATGGATTTCTAAAGTAAATTAGAAAAAAAAGTAATATATATCTAGAAATAAACTTTTTATATTCATTTAAAAGACAATAATCTTGAATTTCATCCTCAATATCCGAGTCATTAAACATTATTTATTTGAGTGTAGTTATCGCGCCATCTAAAATATAATAGTTTAAATAAAAATAATATATATATGATAATTCAATATTAAAATAAAATGAAATATTAGAAAAGACGACCTTCTATAATGTTTGCAACCATTCGTTTTCTTAATTCTTTAATATCATCTTGTGTATAATCAACAGACACTTCTCGAGCAATACATTCAGCAGTTTTACATGCAAAAACTCCACAATCATAACCATTTCTTTGTATGGGACCAGACTGTATAAAATAAGTAGATGCTATAAAATAAAAAGATAAACCTCTGGAATATAATCATCCCATTTATTTAAATCAATAGTATTTCCGGATTCCTGTAATAAATAATCTCTTAAAAGATAGAATGTATTTCCAGAACTTCCGTTCAAAGAATCCCAGTATTCAAATCTTTTTTTTTTAAAATTAATAACCGACATGCACCAGTGAATTCCAAGATGAATTGGAATAAAAACATAATCTTGCTGCATAATATTTACTTTAGCTCTTTTCGTCCATCTCTGTACTCCTTGATATCCCTTTTTTTCCAAAGTTGTATAAAAAAAGGTGTTAAATGCATAAACTTTTGGGCCTTCTGGAGAAGCTTTTGCCCTTTCAGATATAAGAGCAATATAAAAATTAATAATTTCATCATTAAGCCATTCCTTATCCCTTAATGTTCTAATATCATAAGAAGTTATTGAAATATTAAATTTTACAATTAAAGGATCTTTTAATCTATTAGAAGAAAGTGCATCCTCTACTTTTTTTAAAAGTTCTTTAGATAATGGAGGTAACTGATATGAAGACTTAATCTAAATCATATATCAGTAATTTCTTTTTTTTAAAAAATATTGTTTTACAGAAAGATCTTTTAATTTTTGAATTTCATGATCTCTTTCTTGTTTCTGTTTTTGAAGAGTATTCCAATTATAGAATCGTTCATTTTTATATTTCTCTTTTAATTGCTTTATTAGCTTATCAAGGGAATCACTATCATTTATAGACTGATGTTTCTAAACTTATTTAATAATCCTTTTAAAAGAATAGATGGTTATACTTTAAAATTATATATAGTTTTATTTTGGCTTTCTAACTCTTTTTTAGGAACCTTTAAGCAATAAGAATTCAAACAATCTTTTTTCTGTTGTTCATATAAGCTTTTGGAAGATAATGGTGAAAATAATTCTTCATTCTGAGAAATATTTTGTGTGCGATGATTTTTAAATATTTTTGTATCATAAAGACCAGGAGTATTATTCTGGAAATCCAAACTTCTATTAAAATTTTTAAATTTTGGTGAATACTTATTTTTCATAAATGATGTTTCTGGATCTTGTAAATTATAAAACGAAGATGTTTTTTGAAAAGACATAAGTGCTAATGCATTTGTTCCTTTAGAATAGACAATATTATCATGTCTTTTAAGTGCATTTTCAAGAAGCTGACGCCCTGTTACAGCAACTTTAGGTAGACGAACAGGAAGATTTACATGATGTTTCTGCTGATTAACATTTGAAAATGATTTCTTATGCATATCTATTTTTTTTCTAGAAATATGAAAACGCTCATGTGAAAAATATGTATTGCAAGGAGTTTGATGTACAGATTTGTTTATTTTTAATGTTTCTTTGTTTTCATGGTCACAAAATGATTGATGTACCATATTTTTCAAAAAAGGATCAACTTCCAAAGACTCATAACCAGACGTATCACCATTCATAAACTTTTCATTTTTTAAAGAGTTAAGTTGAGTAGAATTTTGAACCCGGCGTCTCTTAAAAGATTCAGAACAATCTGGTTGAGATTTTAATGATTGAAATAAATTGAAAACTAAAAAAGTATTTTAGAAAAAGCTTTAAACAAAGCAATGTAAAGCTACATTTCATAATATTGAAAGACATCTCCCTAAAGAAAAAACTTAATGTCTAAAGAATTAAATTCATGAAATCATCTTGCTGTAAAACTATAAACCATTTAATATAAAACTTTTTTGATATAAAAAAAACTTAAACAGTATAAAACACATTCTTATATTTGAATCTTCAATATTTTAAAAATATAATTTCAGGATATATATCAAAGACTGATAATGATAATTTAAAAATGCTAATATCGATTTTAAAGATATCAGTTAGATTAAAAAAATAAAATATAACAGAAAACTTAATAATTTGTATGTCTTTAAATATATTTAAAAATGATTTATGGAAAAATAGTTTAATAAGTTGTGTTTTAAGAAAGACTATATATTTTTAATTAGTTTTAAACTGTTACAAATAAAACAAAAAAAAAACATATATTTATAAGAGTTATATTTCTAAATTCATTTATTTTCTATAAAAATATATTTTTCATATTATTTTTAATAAATTTTAACGCAGTAAAATATAAAATAAATTAATAATTAAAAAATAAATATTTTTACATTTTTTCAAAAAAACACCATTAAATATGGACTCAAACTTTCTTTTAAACATTGCAAAAGCATCTATTCACTTATCTTCTGAAGAAGACTCAAAAAAAAAAGTTTCAATTCTCAAAGATTCATATGATGCAATAGCATGTCTTATTAATGCGTACATGCTTAGTTTAGGTTTTAAACTTTTAGGATTTGATGAAAATCATAACTTTGGTTTTATTAATTACTATTTTTTTATTTTTTTTGCTGATATAGGATTGTTTAGATGCACCAATTACAAGTTCTAAGATGAAGCCTTTCTTTGAATCTTTGAGTGAATCAAAAGACCCTTTTCATACTTTTAAATATAGTTTTTGTAATAATGATGATATTTTTCTTATAAAATTATTAAAAATGGACAAAAAGATTATAATTCTTGGAACAAAAATGGGAAATGGTGATATTGTATTATGTGATCTACTAATAGATCATTATACACAAAGAGAATTTCTTCCATATCCAAATAAGGAAAAGGAAGGTTCTTTAGAAGATATTTATATTTCAAATGCAAAAATGATTGAATTAGTGGAGACATATAAAACTAATATTCTTCACAAATTGGTTTCTGATTTAAAAAATTCATATTTTGAAAAAGTCAAGTGAGTTTTGTAAGTATTTACTTTATATATGTAATTTTTGATTTAGTCCTTATGAGAAAATGTCTTTTCAAGCATTTAAACATAATAATCCATCTCGTCTTTTTGAGAATCCTATAAGCTCTAAATTTGATAGACAGCAAATAGAAGTTCCTGTTGGGCATTCTTCCCCATTTTCTATCGGTAGTAGTGATCTACATCCTCCAGGAATAGGGCCTCGTCCTTCGATGAGTCCATATATAGAAGATAATTCGTCTGATAGAATATACGGTTGTCTTAATGGAATGCATCTAGACAAGAACCATCCTATGTTCACTCGATTTGGAAAATATACACCTCATGGGTATGATATTTTAAAACTAATATTTATTCATAATGTTTACCTCTTAGAATGTTACCACCTGGTGCTAGATATGATCCAGTAACTCCTCACGATAATCGTGATATTAGACCGGGATATTTGAGCAATCCTTTTAAATATGGAAATGCTGGCGAGCCTGATAATGATGAATTTTTTCCTCCTGATGTAAATAATATGGTACAACAGATTCAAAAAATATTAAAAAACTTATTTATTTTAGTACATGTGATATTATTGCATACTTTTTATTGAAAACTTTTATTGTTAAGTATTTTATTAAGTGTTTTATGTTATCGTAATATTCATTAACATTATTAACACAAATATGTTTAAAATTATGAAATAACGTTTAAAAGTTTTTTTTGTTTTAAAATTTGGAGTATATAACTAGTAATTAACCTATAGAGAAGTATGGATAATTAAATAATGAAGATAGAAAGAATTTTATGATATTTGAGATATTCAAGACATAAGCTTTTTTCATTTTAATGTATTAACAAAAGGTCAAAAAATTATTTATCGTCTTTTAGTATAGCATTTACACTTCTTAACAATTGTCTTATATTTTGATTTTCTACATCATGTGCTATACACCTTTAGTAATAATGAATTTAGTTGTTAAAATTATTACATTCTTTAATTTCGCCCCATTGTGATATTTGAAAATTAATCTCTAATTGTGCTAAATCACATGCCTTTTCTGGACTTAAATGGTTACTTAATAAATTGTTTTCTGTTGCAATCATTTTTGCGCCAATAATAAAGCTTTTAGTAGCACAAACTGCACGATCAAGAGCAGCAAATTGCCATTTATCAAGTGTGCGCATCCATAAAGTAATTTTATTCTTTGTTTCTTGAGGTTGTGGACGAACATTAATACCTAAATCAGAAAACACTTTAAATATATTTATTTTCCAGTACATTTGTGCCCAATCATGAAGAGGTTCCCACAATTTTTTTTGCAAAGCAAGTAATTCACCATTAGATTGAGTTTCTGGTGCAAAAATTAATACAGTATCTGTATCTAAATACTTTAGAAGTGCATTGTATGTATTTTCTCTGGCACTTTCTAATGAAAAAATATCAATAGCCTTACTAGCAAGAGATGTTAATGGCAAAAGATGGTATTGAGAACGTTTAAACACAGAAGAACACAATTCTTGAGAAACCATATAAGCAAATGAACGCTTTCTAAGAGGAAATTTAAATACATTTCCTGATATAGTCTTTAATGGATTCTCATTTTCAAAAATTTGATATTGATCTATAATTATCAATTAAAATTTATTAATCTATAAAAAATATGCCTTTAACTTTTTTTACATCTATATGTATTAATGATTTTTTTTCACTATAAACTTTTCCATCTTTTAAACAACTCCAATGACGAATTATAAGATTTTGAAAAAGGGAATTTTGCTCTGATAATGTTTTTAATTGTTGAAAACTAGACAAATACCGCATGCAAAATGCCTTTAGAGAAGTGATTATACTACAAAACGGCTAAATAAAAATTATATTTATTTTTAAATTTCAACTTTAAAAATTAGAAGATTTTTTATTAAAACAAGAGCGATAAATTTTAAAATCACTTAAGAAAAAACCAGATAACAGATTTACTTTCTCTAAAGAATATTTGGTGAAAAATATTTTGAATTCAATATATCATTTTAAATCATTTTATAATGCAAGATCGTTTTCCTACTCTTTAATCCTTTAAGTTTTAAATGAATCTTATTTATTATTAGCGATCTTCTGCCCACTCATTCTTTAAATTATAAAAGTTAGCTATTTGAGTGAATATTAAGAAGATAAAACCTCTTTTCGTATTATTTCTTCTTCTTCTGGAGTAAAATCATTAATAATATTAAATCTAAAGACCATGTAAGATGGAGAATTATATAAAAAATAACTTTAAAAAATGTTTTTTTTTTCAAAAAATCTATTTTCAAAACTTACGTTTTACGAATTTCCTCTGGTGTCTTATTTTTAATCATATTTGCAACAGTTTTGCATCCAACGTCAAGTAATGGTTTAATGTCAAGATAATTACTTGCAAGAATAATCTCAAATAACATTTCTTGGTCAACTTGCATGAACTTTTGATCCCATTCATCTATCTCTGTAGACTTTTTTGAACGATGAACTGACAGATCTAAATCATCATCTGCAGAGAACGGGGGATCTCCTTTGTGATGTTCACACCATTCAAGTACCTTTTTTTATATATTTTTAGCAAATTTGTTTGGGATATAATATATCTCCTACTTTTTTTAAAACACTTGATGTAACATTTGGCAAAGGAATAGGCATATCCAATTCACCAACATCTACATATTTAAAATAAATAATGAACAATTACATGTGTTTAAGTCATTTATTTTACCTTCAAGCATGTTTTTTATTAAAATAGATCTTTCTGCAACAACTTTATCTAAAACTTATCATTTTTTTCTCTAGAAAAAAAGAAAAAAAAATACCAACAATAAATTTTTCATTATCAGAAGACATAAGCGTTACTTTGTACATATTTAAAGTTTATTTCCTGTAAAATATGATAAATTCTTTAAAAATTATTAGATATTCTAAAATCCGAGTCGTTATCAGAATCTGCGTTTAAATAAATAAATTTAAAGAAAAAATGTAAAAGAAAAATATTATAAATTAATGGATATTACAAACTAATGAATAATACAAAACAAAAAATGCAAATTTATGAAAAATATGTTTTCTCTTAAAGAAAAACCAAAATGTATCCATAAGAAAAAAATATTAAATGCAAAATAATAATATTAAATCGAAGTATAACCTCTATAACTCGGCTCCCTAATTTGCTTCACAAAAGAAATAAGTTGAGATCCATAATCTTTGAAATAATAGGAAAAGTTTTTAACCGTTTCAGTAAATGGGTAAAAGTCGTAATTTATAGAACCATAACTACTATATATCAGTAATTTTGAATCATACAAGATATTTTGCAAAAGCACCGAGTATAATTTAGATATAAATTAGAAATAAAACAAAATGAAAAAATAATGAAAAAAATAAAAAGAAACCAAGAAAAAATGCCCCATGAATGATACTGATATACAATATTCGGCTTTTCTTCACGCTTGCATACAGTATTTGTTTTCCATTTCAGCTGTAAATGAGAACGACTATATGAAATAAATTTTGGATCATGTTCCTATAAGTAAAAATTAATATACAAAAAATTCTTATACATGATAATAAACACCCACTTTCTCATCACATATAAAATTAATCATTGCAGATAAATTATTTTCTCTAAATTGTGCATTATAAAAGAAAATTTGAAGCCCATCTTAAGATATATTAGAATATCACTAATTATCATTTAAATATACTATTTGTCAAATATTTTGAATAAATATCAAAATGAAGCCCCTGAACATTCTCTACTATTAATTCAGTATCCCGAAACAGTGTTTTAACTCCACAAACTAGTTTCAACATTAATTACTTTATTATAAATCCTTTTCTCCAACATACTATTGGCACCACTTGAACAGAGATATTCCTTTGAAATCTTCTTATCAAAGTTTAATTTTCTGCATAAACTAATACTCCATGTCCTATTGACTATACCTTCATCCGAATTATACAATGATGTTACATAATAAATATTATCTAAGGCCTCCAAATCAAAATTCACATTATCTACTTCAAAATTACAGTTAAAAAAGCCAAAAACACTTTTACAAAATCCAGTTAATGCCAAAACCCATAAAACACTATACATTTTTGTTGTTGTTCTTGTCGAGTATAGTAAATTTCGTAGAAAAAATGTCTTAAATACAATTTTATTGTATATATACACATTAAAATACACTATGGATTAAGGAATACTTAGAATGTTTGCCATACACGCTTTTTTTATATTTTTTATTTATTTTAGAAAACATAAAACACAAACTGATATGATAATCGCCAAGACTAAAGTTGTTTTTACACAATTTTAACAGCTCTCAAAGGAATAAATAAATGTTTCTTTTCTATTTAACAAAAACAAGTACATATGGTATTTTATAGATTATTTTTCTGTTTAAAATACAAAAACACTTTTTCTATCTAAAAATACATCTATTAAGACGAATAACTGGAATATTTTGAAAAAATAACACAAATGTACACAAATATATAAATAACTAGACAGAAAACTTGCCTAAGGTTTTTTCCGTAATACAGCTTTTATGAATTGTTTTGTGCTGTTTTTTGAATGTACAAAAAAGTTTCAACAAGCTAACAAATATAAATATAAATAAAAGACATGCAAATATTAGATCATTTTATAATTGGTTTCTTCAAAATTAATGGAAAAATTGAATGGTTTTTTTTATTAAAAACGATCAAACGATCAGCTCAACGCCGCCCTTTTGTCTAAAAAATCTAGGAAAAACAGTTAGAGAAATAAGGAAATTTAGAGTTTTAACTAGGGAATAACTAAGAAGTACTTTATTGTATCAATAAAAAGAAAACTAAGGATTGGCGTTTTATGTCTACAATTACCAATTTTCAAACCATCGGTAAAGAATAGAAAAAACGACAACAAGTAGCTAATAGGACGAATAGATCCTTTTCTTGATATTGTTGATGATGATACACATACTCAGAACTACATTCGTATGTTTCCAGGGCGTGTTTTTGTGTAGATTATGAAAACAGGCCTTTCAAGAGTAGATCAAGGGCTAATGATCTTTTTTTACAGATATTCGTATTCAACAACGTAATGGGCGTAAGACTCTTACAACAGTGCAGGGACTTCCTGTAGAATATGACCAAAAACGTATTCTTAAAGTTTTAAAAAAGGTTTTTTGAATATATGGCTAATAAAATGTTCTGAGCCGAACAGGATTTTGCGTGCAATGGTACTATTGTTAAAGATGGTGAAATGGGCGATGTTATCCAACTTCAAGGAGATCAACGTCTTAAGGTTATGGAGTTTTTAACTTCTCAGTTGCCTATTCAAAAAAAGCTGGTTAAAATTCATGGTATACATTTTTTGAGTTTAAAATGACATTAATGTAATTTTTATCTCAGGATTTTAAAAATACCAGATATCTGGTTAGTGTATCTATCCGCTGCTTGACATACGGCCTTGGATTAGTTATACACTGATATATTTGCGAGGAAAAGCATGTTGTTCTATTTTTATAGCTATTCTCTCGGTTTCTAAGTTTTAATTTTGTTATTTTTTCATTCAGTTCTTTTTCAATACGAAATTTTCTCCTCCAGTTCCTCAGTATTACTTTTAGCTTTATTTTTTTCTGTACCTATTTTTGCCTTTTTATCAAAAAATATTAACTCATCAAAACACAATAGTGCTCAATAGTTTTAAGATTTATATTTTTCATTGCAAATTTATATTTGTTATATTAGTCCTTTTTTTTGTTTTATTTAAAATTTAAAGCTCAGTTAATTACATGTTTAATTACATATAATTATTTTTGTTTCAAAAACAATAATTTATATTCTAAGACAGATTATATTTATTTTTCTTTTAAAAAACCACAAATTCATTTTTTATAAATGATAAAATATTTTTATAATTCGTCGTGTTATCATGGCTTTACACTTAAGATTTAAAAAATAAATTTAAATACTCTTAATAAAAGAGTATAAAAGTGCGTATAAACTCTGAGTATGGCAAAAACAAGTCGTATTCCATCTTCAGTTGACATTAGTTTTACTCTTAGAAAGGGTTAAAGTGTTTCTTTAGAAAATATTTTTTGACTTTTTAGTTTTTGGTAAACCAGATTTTAGAGGATGTCAGAAAGAAGCAATAGAGTGTGCTTTAAGGGGTATTTTTGGACTATATTATTTCTTTTTGACAAAAGATGATTAGGAGAAGATATTTTTATTATTGCACCCACTGGAATGGGCAAAAGTTTATGTTATCAATTGCCAGCAATTGTTGTTGATCATGGCGTTACAATTGTTGTTTCACCACTACTTGCATTAATGGTTTTTCCTCTGTTTCTTTACAGTAAAAATATTAATTTTTGAAAGAATAATCAAGTGGACATTCTATGTGCGAAAAATTTACCAGCAGCAACATTAAACTCTACTACTTCTATAGAAAACAGAAAACGGGTAATTTTACATATTTTTCATCCTATGATTTAACAATGAGATGTAGATTTTAGAGGATTTAGCATGTGGACATCCTCAAGTTAGACTTCTTTATGGTAAATATTTGATAATTAATCAAGCTATTTCACTGATTTTTAAAGTAACCCCAGAGCTTCTTTCAACAGAAAATTTTAGAAATAAACTACTTAATGTTTATCAACATGGAGAGTTGTAAGTTTATAAACTAGGCTAGAATATAAATAATTACAATTAAAAGACATAGATTCGTCATTGATGAAGCCCATTGTGTTTCTGAGTGGGGACACGACTTTAGAAAAGATTATAAATTGCTATCATTTTTAAGAAAGGTATTTTTTACATAAATTTAACTGCATTCTCATTTTATCAGAAATACCCAAAAATACCTATTATGGCTTTGACTGCTACAGGTAATCCATATATGGCAATACTTTATTTTAACATTTATAGCTACTGAAAAGTTATTATTTATTAGTATATTAAATAACATCTAACTTTTATAGAGTTAGATTAGATATTGCTAAAATATTAGGACTTCCAGCGCCACCTACGCTTAAAGTTTTTATAGAGCCATTTTCTAGAAAAAACTTGCATTTCGAAGTACGTTTTAAATCAGATGGAAAAGATCATTATGAAGATTTTCGTAAATTTATACTTTCAGTTTATGCTAGAAAAAAAAAAAGATTATTTCTTGAAAATAAAAATTTTATTGATCAGAATGGTGGGAACTATGATATACCCGTCTCCATTTGTGGAATAATATATGCTAAAAAAAGAGGTACATGTGAAGAAGTTGCTGAAAGACTTAAAAATGATGGCATTAATGCTCAATCATATCATGCAGGATTGTCCTCTACAATGCGTGATAAAACTATGAAGCTTTGGTATGAAGGAAAAATAGATATAATTGTAGCAACTATTGCATTTGGGATGGGAGTTGATAAAGAAGATGTAAAACTAAAAATATAATTGTTTTAGATAATTTATAACTCTAGGTACGGTTTGTGGTGCATTGGGATATGTCAAAAAGTATGGAAGGTTTGCAAATAATAATAAAATATATAATTTTATGAATATTTTTAGCATATTATCAAGAAGCAGGTCGTGCAGGAAGAGATAATAAAACAAGTCGTTGTATATTGTATTATTCAAGAGAAGATCGTGACAAAACTCGATATATTTTGCATCAGGAGAAAGAGCAAAAAAAACGAAAAAGGGAATCAGAAGGAAATGATCTTTCTAATATAAATAGTTTTGAAATGGTAGCAAATTTTCTTATAAAGTAAATCAATAATATTAGTTTATAGCTAGTAAAATATTGTGAGAATGTAACAAAGTGTAGACATTTATTTTTAGTTGAATATTTCAGTGAAACAATTTCAGAAAATTCAAATAATCAATATTGTATTAAATCGTGTGATATATGGTATGTTAATTTTTGCAAAGATATACTGATTTTAATATAGTAAAAATCCTGTAATTGGAAAAATATATCTTTAATTCATATTAATATTTTTAGGAAAAAGTAAAAATTAATAAAATTTCAGAATTAACAGAAGAGTCATCTTTTGATCAATTCCAGTCTTTACCTTCAACACCAGAAAGATATCCAGAAGACAACGTATTAGGAATTTTAAACACTTGTAAAAGAAATAGTAGATATGATAGAATTAATTCAGAAAGTGATGAAGAAATACCTATAGATCTAACTTCTTCACAATTTAAAAAGTCAAATATTGTTGACGAAGTTTTACATAAAAAAAAAGAAAATGAATATAGAGCATGGTTATTTGGGAAAAAAATTCCTTCTAATAATTTTATTATTTCTGAAAATAAAGAAAATCACAAAGTTATTAATGAATTTGAATTTGAATCTGAAGTATATAAAGAACTTTTATCAAAGCTTACATGTGCATTATCGACAAAAATTGACATTCATATAAGAATAACTTTTTATAAACATATAAAATCCTCACTTTCTGAAACAATTAATGATGATTCTTCAAATTATAAATCAGACATGTGGAATGCTTTAAATGCATCGTATTTAACAAAAACAGAAAAAATTCAAGTTGTCGATATGGTTGCAATAGATATTGAGGCAACTACTTTTCTTAAAAGCTGTACAACAAATTTTTATCATAATGTTGCTGTTCATAAGCTTAGAGATGCAAAACTATGTACTCTTGGAAAGTTTTCACCAACTAATGAAGTATGGCAAGCTTTAATATCTGCTGTTAAAAATATTAACTAATATATAAATTATTTTATTAATATTTATTATAAGATTATAAATATCTTTCTTTTAGCTTTCCTTATGATATTATTTATGCAGTTTAAAATCTAAAGTATATTACCAATTTCTGAAATCATTTTTATACATATCAAATACAATTTAATATTTATTTGTAAATCTACTCAAAACAATCACGAATAATGAAAAACCATGGAAACTATCATAAATCACGACAAATATATAAATGAGTTTCATAAACAATATTTCTAGAGACAAAATTCTTTTCTTTAAAAAACATAATTTATTATTCTAAATATAGCAAAATAAGTAATAATTTTTATTATAAATAGATATAACCGGTACATCATAATATTTAAATATATATTTATATATATATATATATATTTATATAAATAATATTTTTGTATCTATTAATTTTTCAAATATATTATAAAGGTCATTTATTTAAGTCTGAATTCTTAACAGTTGCTTCGTTTTGAAGGAAGGAAATCCATAAATCAGACATTGACTAAATTTATATTAAATATTTTTTTAAAAAAATAATAAAGTACTTTTTTATTAAATGAATTATGATCCATAACATGATTATAATTAAAGTTTAAAAAATCATGAGATAATGGTGATAAAGGAAAATTAAAACTAGACAAAATATTTTCGGATGACATATTTTTTGATTTTATTAATCCTGCATGCTCTTTTTCTTCATCAGTCCAATGAAGAAAGGCAGACATTAATTGTAAAACTTCATATCGTTTTGTATCATTTTTTGGAAGAGTAATAAAAGATAAAATCAAATTTGTAACAAGTTTTCTAAAAATAATAAGCCAATATAATAAAATTAAAAACATACTTATCAATACTTTCTTCAGAGTTATCCTTTCTTAATAACTTTAAAGTTTTTACAAGATGCTCATTTAAAATTACCGCTATAAAAATAAGAAAATATATATATATATAAATTTTTACCTTCATGCTTTAATTTACCAATAAGTAAATTTTTTTCTTTAATTTCTTTCTCAAACAATAAAAGTCTTTTAATTTTTTCTTCATTCTCTTCTTTTTCAAGAACTAATTTATTTATATAATTTTCTAACTCGAGATTTTTATCTTTAAAAATACCAATTTGTGACTCTAATTCACCTGTTACTTGTTTAATATCGTTTTGATGATCTAATAACATTAATAAAAAATACTAATAACAATTATAAAATTACTTTCAATAACTTCATTAATTTTTTTTTCATATTCATCAATGATTTGACGGTTCTGAGTATTCTCTTTTTCGAGTTCAGTATTTAAAATATGTTTTTGTTTTAATAAATTTTCAAGATCTTTAACCTTTTCTTTAAGCTCTTCTAGTCTTTCTTTAAAATCATTTTTACTCATTCTTTCTTCTAACGCTATTTCTTTCCAATCTTCTGACAGTTTTTTATATTTTTCAACATCTTTAATTGAAGCATATTGTTGTTTATACAATATATCTTTTTCATTAGCCCATTCTTGCTCTAACTTCTCAATTCTTTCATTTAAAAAAATAATTTCTTTAGATTTTTCATAACAATCATTATTTACATTAAATAATTCTTCTTTTAAACAAGAAATTTGCTTTAGAAGCTCTTGATTTTCATCTTTAAGTTGGTCTATTATTTTCTTGTTAGAAGCTAAACTTTCCTAAAATTATCAGAATTAGGCCAAAAATACTTGATTTTATATACAGAATCTGCTTTTAGTTTTTCTTCGAGACCTTGTTTTATAGTTGACAACTTTCCTAAAAAATTGCGATATTGTAATTCAAGTTGTGTCTTTTCATCTAAAATAATTTTCATTTTTTTTTCATTTTCTTCAATTATAGTATTTTTCTGATCTTGTTCTGCTTTCAAAGATTTTTGCAGATTCGAAATCTCTGATAAAAAAGATTCACGTTCTTGATGCCATGAATTAGATAGCTCTGGGGCGCTAAGCAAAGAATCATATTCAGTTTCAGGATCTATGGATATTCTCTCTTGAGATTTTCTTAAAACATCTGTATTTCCTACTATATCAAATACTTGAATACCATTAGTAATATGTTGTACAGTTTCATCGGTAAGATTATTTAAAAAGAGTTTTTTTTCCGAGTTTTCAGAACCCTTTTTGTCTTCCAAAGGCTCCTTTAAGTTATAAGAAAATAAATTTTAAAAAAAAAAACGTACTAATTTAGATAAATGAGACTTTGCTGATTCATCTACTAATACTTCTTGATGAAAAGTATTATTTTCCGGTGGTATATTATTAATAACTGTATCCATTGAAACATTTTGACTGGCTGAATTTAGAGATATAGGTTTTTTGCAATTCTTTTTTGTGCCAGAGTTTTTTGTTTTAGATTTTATTTTTTGTTCTAAAAATAATTAATAAAATATTATTTAATATGAAAATAAGAAACCAGAAGAATGTGTTTTCTGTGAAAGTTTCTTCATTTATATCATTTACTAATATTTATATTTTTTTCTTCAAATTTATTTTTTTAAATCTAACATTTTATTTTACTTAATAAAACTTTTAATTAATTAATTAGTAATAAGATTTTTTAGTATATTAAAATATGAAATATTGACTAAAATCATTTATTTTCAATTCAAGTACATAGAAAATCATTACCTTTTGAAATTTAACAAATATTTGTTGAATCTTCCTCGATGTCTGTTATCTTTAAAACACCCTTTTTTTAAAATAAGCACTTTTTACTTTAAATTCAAAAAAGCTAATAATCTTATTAAAAACTTATTCTTTTATTAAAAAAAAACATATTTCATTATTAAAATGCTTTTATTTTATAAATTTTATAATATTCAAAATATTATTTATATCAGAGTTTTTTTAATTTTTTGTCTATAAAAACATTTCAAACACTATGAGAGCATTAGCTGTTTCTATTTTCTGCTTTTGATAAATATCTCTTATTCTTTTTAATTTATTTGATCGTTTTATCTTATTTTTTATAATTTTTTTCTTAAAAAAAATAAAAACACTCTATACTATATATATACTTAATTTTTATGCTTATTCACTTATTTTTCTTTATTTATCTATGTTTTTCTCTTTTTTATATTTTAATTAAGACTTACCTTGAAAGTTGGACACATAAGTGTTCAATTTTTATCGATCGATTTTGTCGCACGGAACAAACGTCAATGCTTTCTGTCCGGTTTTTAGGAGTTTATAACTCATGGAAATTAAAAGGAAATACATTTTTTTTACTGAAAAACATGAGAAAATACCATGAAAAAGATAAGTATTCTTTTTTTTGGCTTTTTTTTAGCTAAATTTTCTGTACTTTTAGATCATTATAATAATCCACGAAATGTAGGTTCAATGAAGAAAGAAGACCCAAATGTAGGTATCGGACTTGTTGGTGCACCGGCATGTGGTGATGTAATGCGTCTGTCAATTCGTGTTGACTCTGAGGGCCGTATTTCAGAAGCAAAATTTAAAACATTTGGCTGTGGATCAGCAATTGCATCATCATCATATATGACTGAACTTGTTAAAGGAATGACATTGGATGATGCGTTAAAGGTTAGAAACACTGAAATAGCAAAAGAACTTTGTCTTCCTCCTGTCAAATTACACTGTTCTATGCTTGCAGAAGGTTATTATGATAATACTTGTATTTTTCACTGATTCTATTAGATGCAATTAAATCAGCAATTAGAGATTATCAATCAAAGTCCAAGATCCGCTTGGCAACTTTAGAGAATTCACCTGAAGTTCTTAATACCCAGTAAAAATAATAGAAAAATTGATGATAACATGATAGTATGATGCTTTTTTTGCACTTATAATTCTAATAATTATGATTATGATTGGTTGTTTTTTTAAATTGTATTGTTTTTCTTTCAATAAATTATTATATATACAGATTGATTTACCAAAAACTACACCATCCAATATAGCATTGACTTAAATTTTCTAAAGATGTTGCTTGTTGAATTAACCTATTAACTTGACTTGGAACATCTAGTTCCTGATTGGGCTTAAAATCTCGACCTGTTAATTTATTTGAAACACGATTAAGCACGTTAATAGCACTTTGATTCAATAATTCAGGTCGATGTTGTATTTTCCATGTTGATTCATTTTTCTGAGTTTGATTTTTAAAATTTTTCATAGAATCACTTTGCTCATTTCTATGTACTGTTAAATTAGGATTTGTATTTATTAACTTCCAATTAACTAATGGATCATAAACAAAAGCTTCCAATACAGCCATTAAAGATTCTTTATTATCACGTAATACTCGCATGACATGTTCGCATGTTATTCTAAAACTGCCCTCTATACCACTAACTTCCATTGCATTTGTAAGCATACGTGTAAGACGAAAGGGGATTTTTTCTGGAAATTTTTCTCTATTCATAGCAACTTCAAAACAATCACCAAAATCTATATGAATTGCTTTCCCCGTATGACGATTCAGCATAATATTCGATGGATGACGATCTCCTAATCCTAAAATATAGCCCACCATTGACATTACAGCTAATGATCTTGTATAATTTGTTCTACGATTTAGCCATGCCTCACTATTCCTACTTTTTAACCACAAAACTCTATATAAATCTTGTCCAGTAGTGTTATCTAGCGCATACTCAAACACTTCAACTTTTTGTAATAAAGTAAGATTATCATAATCAGGTGCCATTTGAAGCATTAATCTATGTTCAATATTAAGCAAAATTTTACGACTTTCTCTATAATCCTTAATTAAAACATGTAATGTATCACTATCTGGAACCCAGCCTAATAATCCTGAATTTGGAGATAAAGGAATCACCGGGTATCTGTGAATATTAAGATGTCTTTTAAATGATTCAGAATCGACAGACAAAAGAGTATTTACTAGTCCAAAAAACTGCATTACTCGTTCATCTTGTCTAATATCTTCGTGTCCTTTTAATGCATATTGATAATCTTTTCCATCACTTCCTCTAATAGTTAAGCGTCTTGGTCGTTGTTTAGAAGTAATTACAGTAAATGTAGGAGAAAAACTGATTATTCTAATTATTGGCTTTTTACTTACATAAGTACCAGGAACCGCTAATTCAAGATCTACTGCTGATAAAATTTTAGGAGAAACATATTGTAATTCCAATGTAGTTAATTGTGGAAGTTGTTTTGTAATTTTCCGAAATACCTAAATATTAATTCATTTACCTAAAAATATATGAAATTATACCTGATAGTAAAGATCCCATGCTTGATTCAAATCTCCAATTTCACCAGTCTTACGATATTTTATACACCATTCTCTTGCTTCTTGAAGATCTCGACCAAAAGCCTGATGAAATGAAATTTCACGAAGAGTTTCTGGACCCTAAAAAATTACTCACAATTCAGAGATTATAGAATGTTATACCCTTTCTAACATTTCATGTAAAGGCTCTAAGATATTAAACATCGCTTCAATATTGTGATCCCCAAAATATAATCTAGATGCTTCTTCTAACCCTTCATGCCATTGTTCATGCCATAATATAGCTACACGAATTAATTCATGACTTACAAGCAAAGCCTGTTCAACTAATAATGCACTATGATTTCGAATTTTATCCATAATTTCTAAAGCAGCTTTTTGACGAGAAATATTTTGAGATTTTGATGCTACTGTCAATGGATATACAAGAGCTTGTGGATGGGATCTTCCAACATCTGCTAAAAGCTGATGAATAGATTTTTGAATATTACTATTAGGTGAATGAATACGAGCAATAAGCTAATAAATGTTATCTTAAAAAGCAAAAACTAAATAAAAAACCTGAGGAATCACATCTAGCCATGTATCAATAGTTACAGAAGTAAATCCTTCTAGTATGGCAGCGCCAACTTGTGCATGGTTTCCAAATTTAAACCATAAGTTTAACAATCTTAATGTATCTTGAAGAGAATTTCTACTATTTAATGCAATAGAACGGAAAAATCCTAATTTTAAATGAATATATAACAACAAAAATAACAAACAATAACCTTTTATAGCAGGTAGAATATGATCATTATAAACTTCAGAAGGCAAATTCTTATTTTTTTTTTCATAAAAAGACACTGCTTCAAAATTTGCCAAAGCCCATGCATGCCATGCTTTGTAACAGTCAGGATCAAATTGTGTTGCAAGTTTATAAGACTGAAGAATTTCGGGGATGTTTGTTTTTGACCAATTTTTTTGAAGAACCTTTTGCCATTCACCTTGCTTATGATAACATCGAGCTAACAATTTAGTATAATCATTAAAATTTATTTTTTCTCTTTCATCAAATGACTGAGATGTATCATTAGATAAATTGATTTCCAAATCATTTGATAAACGTGTACTAAATTCCTTGAGAAGTTCAAGTGCTTCTGATTTATCATTTGTTGCCCACATATATTTTAAATGAGCATAAATAACTTTTGGTGGTGCATTTGTGCATGACTAGATAAATTAATTAAATATTTTAGATTACGGAGTAAAATACCTGAAAATTACCAATTCCTTTACCATTATCGAGTAAAGAATTTAATGATTTTTCAGCTAAACCTAAACGCCCTGATTTTCGGCAAAGATTAGCAAATTTTATCCACATTTCCATATTTTCTTTTGGTGAAATAACAAGTGCTCTCATTTTCAGCATACGTTGCCATACTTCAACATTACGCTGTGAGCCTTTTAGTCTATAATATATTAGTTATTAAGATTAATTGTTAATAAAAATAACCGTTTCATCCAGGTTTTACGCATTGTTGATTGAATTTCTGGTTGATCATTACTTTGCTTGTATATTATAATTTCTTCTAATTCAGCCAACATTTGTACACGAACAGCAACACTAAAAACTTTAATAATAATAAAAACATATAATTTATTTACCAGTATGCTCTATTATAACTTTCTCCTACAAGAGCTGTAAATTCTGTATCAAGTAATTCTCTAGCTTTAGTAATATGAAGTGATGTTTCATTAAACTGATTACGATGTAATGAAATTATTGCTCTAAAAAAAGATCTATCTGGTGATTCATGTTTCATTGATGAAATATAATCATCCATTAATTCCCATTGACCTAATCCCCAAGCGGCGGCAGCAGCTAAAGGAGCAATAGATCTCCGCATATCATTACCAGCATTTAGCCACTTCTCTCTTGCAAGTTGAGAAAGAAGTTCCCATTCCCCTAACGCATGAAGACATCTCATTTTACCCATTGTTACTTCAAATGAATTATCTTCTATAGAACGTCTTTCGTAAGTTGCCAAAGCGTCTTCCCAACGTTCAAGCTTTTCATACCATGTCTCTTTTAATTCAAGACCATGCTGTTGTGCATAACTTAATATACCAATAGCGGCATCTGGTTGCTGCAAATGATTATTAATGCTTATCAAAGCTTCAATAGTATCAGTAGAAGGTTCTGAAATAAATTCAAGTTCTTTATAATGTAATGCTTTTGCAAATGCATGACATTTCGCAGCATACGCACCTAAAGTTCGAATATCTATTGGCAATGTTTTATCATCATGTTCCATAAATTCAGCTAAATTCAAAAGACTTTGTAAAATCTCAGGAGGTATATTAGGAGATGTTAAAGCAATTTCTATAGACCTGACAAGCTCATCCTGATATTGTTCATATAATTCAGTCCAGCATGAAAGAAATGCAGCATTAAATAATTCTCTTGCTAAAGGATAATAAACACCAGCTAAACTAGCACAAGCTCTTAAGGCATGAGATGGTGATTCTTTTAATAATTCTACACTTAATCTGCGAATCCATTCTTGCCAATCATCTTTTGTAGATTTTTGAGATGTCTCCCATGCATTTTTTAAATGTTGTTGATTGACAGATAATTTTTTTGAAGTAATGTCAGCTGAAGATGCATCATCTGCTCTTCTATCACTATATCCACATTAGTTAATTACAGTATATTATAACATATATTACTTTTCATCTGAATTTAAATCTTGAGGAAGGGATTCTCCTTTTAAAAGCTTTGATACTAAAAGTTCATAGTTTTGATGTTGAATATGGTTATTTATTAAACACTAAAATAATATTAAATAAAAATTTAAAAAAAAACAATTATACTTTATTAATCATAGGAATAAAAATAGTATAATCAAGACCAAGTTGAAATACTAATGCACATAAAGTATCCATAGAAGCCATTTTTAATTCATGTGTTCCTGTTGTAAGTACACGTGCAAGCGGATGAATAATTCTAGAAGCATGATCGGCAAAATTAACTTTACGAGATAACTGAGCTACTGTTTGAATAGCTATTTTACGTAATGACACAGAAAGATCATGTCTTTCAAACATTTTAACAATTACTGGTAGCACTAAATGTATATATTCTTCAATATTGGACCCAAATACGACAAATGCATGAAGAATTTCTTGAGTAGACTGCCGATTAGGAGTAGTATCTGTTTCAAGTACCTGAAGCATTAATGATAAAAGTGTTGGCAAATAAGTTTTAAACTCTCCCTCAAGAGCTCTAACAATTGACTCAACAAGTGAAAGAATAGTAATTTGAAGAGTAGAATTGGAGTTCCAATAATCATAAATTAATTTAAAAATATCATTCAAGAAATTCCTTATATGTTGCTTAACAATACTAACGAGAATACTTAATTGTTGGAAATAAAATTCCAAAAGACCCGATAAACAAGTTTGCATAACAGAAAGAAATCCTGGAATTATCTATATACTTAAATATAACTTTGTTAACTTTAGTATATTGAAATATACCTGAGGCAAAAATGGAACGCATTTTAATCCTAATGTTTTAAAAATATACATAATTGCCTGAATAGCAGAATAATGATGTGTACTAAGGGATGAATCCTTAAGAATATTCATTAATGTATTAATTACAACAGTTGGATAATATTCTTCAGATGACGGACTCATACCAACTATTAAAAGAGAAACATCAGAACTAACAACTTTTTGTTCAGGAGTAGAATCCTCTGAAGCTTCTTCAAGCATCTAATTAAGTTAAAAAATAAAAAAGAAGCATAATATTAAACATACTTGATATCTATATGGATCCAAAGCACCCAAAATACCAATAACTTTGACAGTTTCTCTTCTAACAGCTGCGCTTTGTTCTGTTTTAAGGATATTAATTAATATATTAAGTAGTGAAGGATATTCAATATATGGATCAATAATATATCCTGAACTAATTGCCAAACGACCTAATGCCCGAAGAGCTGCATCACGTTTCACAGTTGAACTCTGGTCCTGCAATATTTCTATAATCAATGGCATAAGATCACTAAGATATGGTATCATATCTTCTCCAGCAACAACTGCTAATTCTCCAAGAGCAGTTAAAACGCTTGAAACGACACCAGGACTAAGATCACGAGCTTTCTGAATCATTATCTTTAACATTGGTTTTACATAAGGCTTTATAAGTTTTTGCGCAGCAGAGAACAATAATCCTAATAAACATGCATTTTCTTGTTTATTGCGACTATAACAAAATTTAATTTTAAAAAAATAGTGAAAAAAATCACCTTATATTAGAATATTCAAGCTCTGTTAATAATTGAATTAAAGTTTTCCTTAATGATGGCATAACATAGGCAGGATTATGGAAAGTTAAACGACCAATAATAGTGATAGTGATTTCCCGAATTGCAAAAACCTCATCATTTAAAGCAATAAATAAAGAACGAACATTCTCAGCTTGAGCAAGGTGTCTATCGAATCTTTCGTCTAAAGACGATAGAACCATCTGTCGAATTACAGGATCTTTTTATTAAAAATAAGAATATATATAACTATAAAATTTACCTGTATCAGTAATCCCCACAATTAATAATTTTTCAAGAATTTCCCCAACAACATGAATAGCATGACTACTTGTTTGATAACATATAGGGTCTCGAACAAATAATTGGCAACATGTTAAAGCAGCTACCTTTCTGATTTCTAAATTATCATTTTCTAAATAAGATATAGCACAATCTCTAATAAATTCATTCAAAACGTAACCTTTTAAGTATTATTAAGAATAATATAAAATAAAATACCCCTACCTGAGAAGTTAAAAGTTCCTAAAGTGTTCAAAGCTAAAATGATAAACTCGCTATCTTTATTATCATAAATTTTAAAATCATAAATTCCTGTAGAACTAGACTGTGTAGACTGGTGTATAGCAGGACTTCCTAATGTCTTAAAAGGCTTTCCACTCAGAATGATAGAAAGAAGGTTTAGCAATCTTTCTTGTATAATAGGAAGAAAAGAAGGAATATAACGTGCAAGATCCACTAATGCTTGTCTCAAGGGCTCGCTTAATCCACAGCCTAAGAATATTAGAAACTTTACAATATGACAATAACATTACAAAACATCATATCAAGCAACTCATGTAAATATTTTGTCAAAGCTGACCCAACAGCTGTAGCAAGCATACTAATACACTGAAAAATTGGCGCCTCTTGAGTCTCTCGACTACGTCCTTTTGTTGTAAGACCTTCTTTAACACTCTCTAAAATAGAATCAAGATATGGCTCTATGCTATTTCCAACTGCAATTGCAACACGACCAATAGCGATAAAAGGGCATGTTCTATCTCTATTTTTCCTCAATTGACCCAAAAGATGAAGCATGCACTTATGTAAATAGGATACAACAAATATATCAGGATTATAAGTAGCTAGTGTAGGGATTAAAGAGATCACAGTACGCTTTATAAGTCCTTCTTTATGATCTTTGTAACTCAAAACAATTTCACATACATCTATATATTTTTCATGCATAAACTATAAAATATTAAATAAAAATCCATATAATAAGATATATTACTGTTCCAGATTTAACTAATAATTCTTTGTAAGCCAACAAACTTCCATGAATACAATCAGAATTATTAGTTTTAAGTCCATGCTGTGCTTCTTCTAAAATTTTTACATACCACTGAATACAAAGCTGGCTTTCCCTCTGGTATATAATTTCTAAACATGCACTAAGTGTATCCGCCGCGGAATTTCGGATTATTACTTTTGAATCTCGTAATGCTACCCAAATCAAATCAAATATTTGAGATATATAAGAATATATAAGTGTTGGAGAATTCAGCGCTAATTCTCGAAGTACAAGTACGGCTGCTAATCTTCGATTTTCGTATCTATCACCTTGAAGCCATTCTATAGCTCTTTTGGCCTCAAAATCAACAAATTCTGATGTTAGTGTTCCACCAGGAACTGCTAAACGCCCTAAAGCTTTCGAAGCCAGTACCATTGTCTGTGTATCGTTTCCTTGCAGTACAATCCTTAAATAATTTGCAAATCGAGTTATTTTAACAGTATTTTCCTCTCCATCATAATCAATTAATTTATCTTATTATTTAGACATGAAAAATATATATTTCTTTATTATACCAATTGCAATAACTCCACTAAGTTTCTCATAATTATCATTACTATGAACCAATTCATAAATCCTGCGATTTATATCATTATTAAAAGAAACAAATGCATCTTCTTGTATTTCCCGGGATGTAGAAATAACCTTAAATATAAATTAATCTACTTAATTTACAAATTACTTACATATTCTCGTAAACTATTTGCCGCTTTATTCCGAGTTTCTTCATTTCTAATCATATAGGTTATAATAAGTCTTTTAAACCTGGAAAAAATACTTGCTCTTTAAATCCAAAAATAAAGCATCTAGTTTTGATGAATAAGATGCCATTTTAAATAAATATTTGTCAATTCATCTTATTTTCTGTGAATAATATAAAATAATGTTGCATAGGTGGAGTTACGATATTATTTTTTATAAAAATAGCTAAATAAAATACAAAAAAAGATATTTTTTAAAATAAAGATACATAAGTTATTTATGATTGTTTGTTTTTTGCTCATTTATCTCTTTTTTAAATATGATTCTTAATATTTAACTAACTATAAATTTCGTTAACGTAGTAGCAACTAGATAAAAAATAATTGTTCTAAATGATGTCTTAGAACTTGTAATATTTTTAAATTTTACTGTAAATAAACAGGAATAATGTTTTTAAGATGTTTTTATTTTATATTAATTCTTTTATTTTAAAATGGTGATTTTTATATTTCAAAAACTGCTTTTTATATAAACATGTTATCTTTTATAATTAATTTAATTCTTTTTATATTGATAGTTTAATATGTTTTATTCTATTTCTAACCATGCTGTTTTTCATTATAATTATTTAAATTTTTAAATAAATCTATGAATCAAAAAATAAACTGATAAATCGAAATTAAAAATTTCTATTTTTATGAATATCAAACTATTATTTTGGATTACATATAATACTTCTTTAATATTTGGATTTTAAATTATTGAATAAAGTAGTTTTTTATTAAATTTTTATTCAGATATTTGCATACTGTGTAAAATTCACCTTTAAAGACGATAACTTTATAAAATATCAGAATTTAACTATAATTCATTACATTTAAAACTCCATGTCATTTAAAGACAATATAGTATATTTTTAATCAATTTAAAACAATTTGACTAATTTTTATAGAATGATTATTTAGATCAGGTAAAGTTAAATATAAATATATAAAACTGTTTATATACACTAGAAGCTTCCAAAAACAACACTACTGCGTCTTTATAAAAATCCATCAACATGTCTTTCTGTTTTTCGGTAAAAAAATCGTTCAATTATAAGTTTTCTAATTTTTAGCCTTTTACCCAGTCTTGCTAAACAATTCATTTTCTCATTGCTGTATTATCCGGATCCTTTTCCTTTAGATGATTTTGATCTTTTAGTTAAAGAAAATAGTAGACCGTAAGTTTTATTTTTGTATTTTTTCTTAAATAATTCAGCTAGAAAACAAGCACAAGCTTTAGATAGATTGTGTAGAATTCATATTTTTGAAAAAAAAAATGATCATATTTATTTCACCGAGAACTTCAAGAATGAGTTTCTGGTTGCACTAATGGGAGGGTATTTGTATTATTTTTATAATTTTTTTTCATTTTTAAAATAGAAAAGATCATGATTCATTTGGAATACCCTGTTTAGTTCCTGATAAAAAACATGTTGATATACCTTTTCTTGATAATTATGCTAAAAACAAATGGGAGATGATACTTCATTTTATGGTAGGAACAGGAACAGAAAAGTTACCTGGAGACCATGTTTTGAATCTTTTACGTTATAGTGGGCTTATGTTTGGATCGTAAAATCAATATATTTCCATATAGTATTTAAACAATTAAATTTAATTAGGAGATGTGATGAAATGAAGATAACTAATTCTGGTTTTCAATTTTTATTGTTAAATATCAATTCTCAAATATGGACTCTTTTGTTACATTATTTAAATATGATTGAAGTATAATATTTTTCTCATTATAATATATAACATTTTAGGATTTAGAAGTAGATCCTGTTGATATTTTACAATTTCTATTTATGCTAGGAAATTTAGAATTAGGACAAAGTTATCTTATTAGTTCTTTAACACCTATTCAAATTCAAGTTCTCGAAAATCTTAAAGATTATGGTATTGTTTACCGTCGTAAAGTATCTAAATTAATTATAATTATTCTTCTTTTAAATGATTTTATTAGTCATCTCGACGTTTCTATCCTACAAGACTTGCAACTATATTAACTTCAAATTCAGAAATGTTTTCATCTACTTCTAGCATTAAAAATAGTATATATTTAAATAAAAGCTTATCAGACGCTGATAAAGGTTTTATTATTCTTGAAACAAATTATCGTCTTTATGCATATACTGGTAAACTACTTTTACATTTTATTTTTAAAATTAATATTAAGATTCTCCATTACAAATTGCAGTTTTAAACTTATTTGTACATCTTTATTTACGATTTTCAAATCTTGTTGTAGGAGTAATAACTCGTAATAGTGTTCGACAAGCGTTTATGAATGGTATAACAGCTGAACAAATAATATCATATCTTACTTCGTATGCACATCCACAAATGAAAAAAAATGTATAAACTTTTCTTTTGTTTCATACTCATAATATTAGACTCCTATAATTCCACCTACAGTTAATGATCAAATTCGACTTTGGGAAATGGAAAGGAATAGATTAAAGGCTACTGAGGGGTATCTTTTTCGCGATTTTAACTCAAATTCAGACTTTGAATTAGCATTAAAGTATGCTAATGAACTAAATGTAGTTGTATGGGAAGCTCCTTCAAAAAGAGTATTTTTTGTTAATATTCAGGGTTCAAATATGGTAGTAGATTATATTAAAAAGAAGTTTTCAAAGTAAATTATATATTTATTTTTTGAAAGTCATTATATACTCATACATAAATAATAATATTTTTCTAAAAAATACTATAGTTTATAAAACATTTTTATTTTCCTTTAATTTTTCTAATGCTTTTTTTGACATTTCATAAACATAAACACCAAGATGTTCTACACCTTCTATTTCAAATATATTTTCAACTTTATCGCCAATTTTTCTATTCGAAGGCCACATTTCTCCATATACTAATTGTAATTTATCAGAATTTTTAATTCTACTAATGACAGGTTTAAGTTCAAAAGATGATTCAAAAATATTACGACGTCCCAAAATATATAAACCTAACCGTGCTCTAGAAATAGCTACAATTAAACGATCCAATTCCTTAAGGTATCCTAAATCTTTTGTTCTTGTTAAAGAAAGAATAATATCTATAGTTGTTAGTGTATATTCAAGAAAGAACGAAAAAAATTACAATCATTACACTCGTCTTGATATTGATCAATAGTAGTTATCTTTTTGGGTGAGCCAAAAAGTGGATTGCTTACACATCTTCTGTTTACTACATCATTTATAAGAGCCCTTTGACCAGCATAACTACAAAGAATTGTAATTTTCTGAGAAGGATAACCTAAAAGTCTCATATATTGATATATTGCAACAGCATATTCAGCTTCTCCAAGATTTTGATAAAAATAAGGACTAGATTCAATTTCTCCTTGTCCTTTATAATCTTCTACATTAATAAATTGATAATCATTTAAGAATCTAATATATTAAATAATAATAATATAGTATTAAAAATACACACCCTGCATTAGAATATATAAATTCTTTATCTGTCTGTAAATGCGGCAAATTAGTTAATTTATCATAAGCCCATGAAAAAAGTTCTGCTATAGTACTTCTAGTGCGACCTTGAGCATTAAGATGAATTATTGGAACACCAAGTCGTATTAAACGATTATAAAAACTTTGCTTTATATTCGAAAAGTATTTAAGCGCACTATTTTTCACTATAGGACCCATCTATAAAACTTGAATATAAAATATTTAAATATTTGATATTTTCATACTTGTTTATAATCACCTACAAGAATTATTCTTTGTAAGGACTCAAAATTAGTCTGTAAAGTCATTGGAACAAATGTTTCTATTTCAAGAAGCTGATTAGAGCTTTTATATATAATATTATCGTATTTAAGATTTAAATTGAATATTTTTTCGCGCTATAAAATCAATATAAAATTAACTTTAGAAAAAATGAAAAAAACCTTAATTAAAGCATAGCTTGATGTTATTCCTATAATTTTAGCTTTACTTAGTAAGTAATTAGATTTTGCTTCATTTGAATGAAGAAATTCAAAAGGACGAATATCTGACAATTCATAAAATAATTCTTCAATATGATGATAGCAACCACTAGCTATATCAAATATTTGGTCTTTATCTACATTTTCAGGAAACAATGGTTGAGAAGCAATAGAAAAGTATTGATCTAAATAACTAATGAATAAAAATAAAAATAAAAAATGAAACTTACGAAAAGGAAATGATGAAATTAGATCATTAGTGGAACATTCATTATTGAAACATAAGGTAAATTTCTTCCATAATGGCTTTATATGAAACTCAAAAAAATAGCAAGCTGTTTCACAAGAATTTCCGTGAGCTCCAGGTATTTGTAAAACAGAAGCAAGACGGTCAACTTCTAATAATAATGTTGTTCGCCTCTCCTATTTAGTGTTATATAACGTTAGTATCATTAGAATAATAATTACCAAAAATAGATCGATTCTTCCTGATTTATAAAGACTAAATTTGTCATTTAATCCATCATGACTAAGACGAAGTAAATGTCTTTGTCGAATATCTTAATTATATTAATAGTAAAAAATAGAAATTAATTAAGACTTACTTAATGAAGAAAGTTTTTCAAAGACTTTAATCAACGTATGACTATTTTGTGCAATTAATAATGTTCTTTGATTTGGAAAGTTATAATAAATATTGCTAATAATTTGAGAAATGACATCTGTTCTACCAGTTCCCGGTGCACCATTTATAAGAGTTAAACCAGTATTAGTACCAGAATATATAGCTTCAGCTGAAACAAATTAAATTTTATTAAATTCAGAAAATATAAGAACCTTGTTCAGGAGTAAATCTAATAGTATTCATTTTTCTTTCATTTTGAAGATATCCTAAATTTGAAATAGAATATGTTTCTACAAACAATGTATCATTGTTTTTATTTTTTAATTCATTATTTGGAACAGGGAAATTATCTAAAGATTCATTGTATTTGAAATAAATTCTATATGGTGGATTTGGTGCTAGATTTTGCGTCGATGTAATAAGTTTTATATTCTAAATTATTTAATAAATGCTTATATTTATTTAATAAGATTTTACCTTATCTGGAAAACATTCAAGAAGATGATTCCAATCTAAAAATGTATCAGGAAAAGATAAACTACTAGGACGAGTTTCTAAATTATAATATAAAGCATTAGAAGGATCCCCAAATCCTTAAATAATTAAGTATTAATCAATTAATAACAACTATAATACCAAGAAAAATATCTTCAAACCATGATGGAAGCGAAACAGATGTATGAGCTAAATTTTTCAAAGATTCCAATATAGGCTTAAAATTATTATCCTATTTTGAAAATAAGAATTTAATTCTAGAAATAAAGAAACAAAACCTTTGGAGGTCTTCTAACAATAAGATTAATACTACTGTATACGTCATCTCCTTCTTCATAAAGAGTTTTATCATTATCGATCTTTTATAATTAGATAGTGTGTATAAAACCAAGTTTATTACTTTGTAATTATAGGGATCTATAAAAAGTCTAAGAACTCGTTTTCGACCTGTTTTAACCATTTCAAACTCATCTTCTTGGGCCAATTGTTCAACTATTTTTAAAGGACGCCCATCATGATTTAAAATTTGATCTACTTCAGCAGTACGAAGATATCTTAATCCAGATTTTAATGCAAAGCTTGCATTCATTTCAGGTGTTTCTTTTAAATCATCTATTGATTTTATTGATAGTAGATAAACAACATCTCCCTGACGAAGTGACTCCCATTGACGACGCAGTTCTTCTGCAATATAGTCTAGTTCTAATTTGACTTCGACTCTTACATATCCTGGGTTCTCCTCCCCAACTTTTGGCTTAGCAACTTCTAATACACTAATTGAATTAATATAATAAATAAATATTATGGGCTAATGCTACGCAAGATTTTTAATAATTAAAGCCATATTAGAACTTCCTTGAAACCGAATAGAAAAACTTGGATATTGGACTTTAGGTTTCATTTTACTTATAACGTTTTCAATATCTTTATGTATTTCGTCATAAACTATGTCTCTGTAAAGTTCTAGAGAACGGTATATAAAATCACTAATACTGAGATATTGTAAATTAAACTTCAATAATGGTAAAGACCGAAGTCCATCATATTTTTTATAAAAATGATATTTTAAAGAAAAAAGAGATTTCTTTAAAATAAGTAAGTTAAAAAAAAAATAAAATATATTCCTTACTTCATCTGGCATAATTCTAAAATTTTCAAGAACTTCTTGTAAAGATTCTCGTCTCTTATAATGTTCAATAAGTGCGGAGGTTAAGAACTCTCGATTAATTGGAACCAAAAGCTCTTGAGGATACTGTGAACGTAAACCAATATATTGAAATAATTGATAAAATTCGTTATCATCCAAGCCTTCAAGATGTTCAACAAGAGTATCTCCTGTATTTATTGTAGCATAATTTGATGTTGCTAAAATAATTAATTTTTCTTTAAATTTTCTCATAGCAATTCTTTGTAATTTGGCTATTTCATCATAATTATTTTTCGTTACTTCTTCTGAAGAAAGTTCTATGCTATTATGATCATCATATCCCATATAAATATATTTATCCAAGATATTAAAAAGATCTTTAAAAATTCGACTAGAAGTATTAGCTAAAAAACAATTATTCAACTTTCGTACTTTTCTGGGGCTGTATATAAAGGTGATTTTTTCACTAATGCTGTAAAATGAAGATCTTTTAGAAGAAAATTAAGATATCGGCGACTTAAAGGTTGACTCACTAAATCAACCAAAAGCTCTAAAACTTTTTCACAATATATAATATCATATTCTAAAATATATAAATTTTAAAAAAATAAAAGAGTTCTACCTTTATTTTTTTTATTATATAAAAAATTTATGAAATCAATCACAATTTTAAATAACCAATTTCTATTAAACAACATTTTTGATTTAAGTTCATCTTCTATATAATTATTAATTTTATACTTTATTTAGAAAAAGAATACCTGAAGTATTATATCGCTTGATGTTTGCTTTCCAGAGTTTTTGAACATGATTATGTAAGGAAATTCTTGATTTTCTTACTTCCTCTGATGAAAGATTTGTCCAAATATCTATAGAAACCAAAGGTATACATTCTTTTCGTAAAATAGGATTATCAAAATGTTGAAATGATAATATAACAAAAGATATAAGATAGGTACGCAATATAGCTTTTGTAGTATCTAACTGTATCATTTCTAATACACGTCTAAAAAAAAATGAAAAAGGATGTGGCTTATTTAATATAAAATCTGAAAAAATATTAATAACTTCTAATTATAATTATATCATACCCCATGGCTTAGAAGTAGTTTTTTTGTAAACAGAAAGAATAGCAATTGAATAAATGTGATTATCTGTAGATTCATGGCTTATGTATTTCCAGAGGTATCTTTTCAAAAAAATTAATATTTGATCTTCTATAAATGATATAAAAACCTTTCTAAATAGCAATTTTCTTCCAAGATAATAAGATTTTTTTCATTAAAACGTGTTTTTTCAAGATATCTATAAATTTTTTCAATCTTTTCTCCATCAAATACTTCCTCTTCAATAGACCATTTTATTAATAAATTTTCTTTTGAAATAGAATTGGCTTCTTTAACATCAGAAAAAAAGGAACTATTTATTTTCTCACTTGTATTTGTCATTTTTTCTTATTAAATTTCGTTTTTATTCGCAAATCCTGCTATAGATTTGCTTTTTTTATGAATATCAAATCTAAAGCCTTTCTGAAAAACGTGATATCGAAACTTGATATCGACGTCAAATAATGTAAAAATGTTAAAAGTAACTTTTTTACAGTCATTATTTGATGAAATCCAAAGACAACCAGCTAAAAGCACATTTGAATTTAAAGAAAATGATACTATAAAAAATCTTTTAAAAAAGGCCCAAGAAATTCATGGATCTGATGATTTTAAATCTTTTTTTGAATGTGCAGCAAAAGAGATTTTATATAAAATAGCAGTAGGGGCAATTGGATTTATGTTTTATCTTTAAGAAATATTTAGGAGGATCCTGCATTGTCTCATGAAGAGAAACTTTTAAAATTTTATCCTATTCTTGATGCATCTATCATTGGACAACAAAATGGTTTTTTATATTTTTCAAAATTATGTATTAATAAAATAAGAGATTTTGGACGATATGTTACCATTTGTTCTTATTGAGGATTTAATGGATTTACAGACTGTTTCAGAGTGCAACAAGCTTTTTGATTTTTTGAATTCACGTATTTCATTTTTGATTGAGGTGAATAAATATTATATTTTACAGATTTGTGGTTTAATCCATTTAGAATGGAATTAATGGAACAAGAGGGAAAGGCCTTGTATTATTGCGGCTCTGTAATGAACTTTTGAGACGATTATCAAAAACAAAAGATTCATTATTTTGTGGAAACGTATTAATGTTTTTGTCAAATGTCTTTCCTCTTAGAGAACGTAGTGGTCTTAATCTTAGAGGTGATTTTCATGTAGAAAATGTTACTGTTTTAGATGATTTGAGTAATCTTCTTAATGAAGATTTAAAGAAAATGGATGAAGTATTAAAAGATGACAGAATACTAGAAAATAAAGAGAAGAAAAATGAGAATCATGATCATGAGAAAAAAGAAAAAGCTTTTATGGGTATGACAATTAATATTTATTATTTTTAGAAAGGAAAATTCTAATTTTTAATAAATAGAATCATTTTATACAATATTTTGGTCTATACAAAATTTTTTTTCTGATCCATCATTATTATATACTTCTAAAGGATTTCAGGAATTTAAATCAAATACATCAATCATTTTGGACAAAATAAAATCATTAGAGGATGAACAATTTAAAGTCAATGAAATAAAAACCGAAAATCGAAAAGGTGATCGAAAAAAAAAAATAGATTCCTTCAAATATCAACCAGTTCAAGACTATCTTCAAGCATATTTTTCTCCTAAATTTTTAACTAGTTATAAACTTTTGAAATTAGAGGTTTTATCTATTACAAGAAATATATAAATTAATAGAGAATTAGCTTGCAGATCCAAAATTTAGAAGACAAATTCTTGTACAATATTTAATTCTTCTGGATTATTTACTTACTCTTACGGAAACAGAAAAGAATAGACTTGAAAAAATTAAGGCTGTTAATCGTTTATTACAGCCTACATATCTACTTTCTCAAGAAGATGTGCGTTTTAAACTGTTATATTAGAGAAATTTAATATATGGCTTAGGAATCATGGGTTGTTGAAACTCTTTCTAAGATTAATAATATATTAGAATCAACTGTTCCTGATGGGCAATATTTTTCTCAATGTGTTCATTTAATTTTATCCTACGAAAAAAATTGGGTTAACTGGAAGCTTCAGGGGTGTAATTCATTTGAGGAACCTCCTATTGATGAAAGTTATATTGATAATATTAAAAAAAAATGTGAAAAAATATTAGAACCTCTTAAAGCTTATAGATACCCCCTTGGAAATTTAGCATTAACTCGGCTTTGGGAAAAAGGAGGAGCACATACAATGGAGGATATGGCAAAACCAGAACGGTATGTACTATTCAAAGGTTTTTATCTATTATATTTAATATAAGTAGCTTTAAACTTCCAGATATTAAGAGTTTTTTAGAAACAGATAATCAAGATTCTATGGACAAAAATGAAATTGCAAGTGAAAATTTATCTCTTATTTCTGAAAAAAATACTGTCAAGTCATGGAAAATGTTAAGAATTCTTTCACGTTCAAAATTACATCTTTTTAATAAATTAAACGATCAAACTTTAGAATCTATAACACAAATTGAAGAATTTATAAATTCAGATTTTAACAAAGGCTTTCTTGCATCTGATAGCTCTCCTCAAAAAGTTCAAGAGAGTCCTCAAAAATTATATGTTAACGTAAATAATAAACGTGCCATTGAAGATATAAAAAATACTATGCCTTCTGAAAAAAGAACAAAAATGGATCTGTAAAATATTATAATTTATACTTATAGTTTAAATTAATAACTACAAATCAGTTCTTAGCTATTTTAATATATTTGTTTATTCCTATCATTTTGTTTGTTTTTTTAAAAGATCGGGTTATTTTATAATAATTAACAGTTTTAAAAATTTCTTAATATTTAATCAGTTATTTTTAAGAAAATATTTTTAAAAAGCTACTAAACATATTTTTTCTTTTATATTCATCTTAGAACTTAGTAAAAATACAATTCAAAATTTTTATTGATGAGTTTGGAACGTAAGAAATTATGTTTATCCAGTACTTTTTTAACACATAATAGAATCTTTATTTCATTTAAAAGTGTGATCTTCTTTTTAGACATGATATATATTAATAAAGTAGTTTGCAGCAAAAAGTCTTAAAAGACAATCTCAAAAAGCATCTCGTGATGAATTAACAGAAAAAGCTAATGTTAAAAAAGTAAGAAAGTAGTTTTTATATGATATTTTCTTAATATTTAATTTTAAAAATAAGCAACTTTATTTCTAATTGTGGTTCATAGGCTATACAAGCTGGAAATTATGATATTGCAAAAATATATGCATCAACTGCTATAAGAAAACGTTCAGAGGCCCTCAACTTGCTTCGTTTATCTTCAAGAATTGATGCAGTTTCATCAATATTGCATACTGCAATGACTATGAGAAATGTTTCATTATTATTCTTTATTTTTATTTTATTATAAACAAGTGTTTAGGTTAGTGGAAATTTGGCAAATGTAGTTAGAGGAATGGAAAGGGCAATTAAATCTATGGATCTAGAACAGGCATTATTCATATTTATTTCTTTTAAATTATAAACATTTTTAGATTGCTTCAGTAATGGACAAATTTGAATCTCAATTTGAAGATCTTGATGTACAATCAAGTTATATGGAAAATGTAAATTTTTATATATTTTCTGTACTTTCTAATTTATGTAAGGCTATTGGTGTGTCTACTGCAATATCAACTCCCCAAGATGAAGTTGACTCACTAATGCAAAAAATTGCAGATGAAGCAGGGCTTGAGTTGTCTGAGGATTTAATGAATGCAACACCCTGTAATAATAAAATTAATGAGCAAAATAAGCTTAATGATTCATTTCATGAAAGATTGGCAAGAATTTGTGGATAAATTGATAAATTGAATTTTTTATTTTTTAATCAATTTTTCCACATATTGTCTTTTTTAATAGATGAATATATTTCTTTATTACAATTGTTACGAATCTTTATTTTTGTTTAATTTTTTCTTAGAATTATCTTCAATACAACTGGGTGTTCAGTTAATCGCAGAAATTTACTGTTCTTCAGGAGAGTGCTTTGAAAAGCTTTTTATGTCTCAACTTCGAGAAGTATTTAATACATTTTCTCGATTTAATTAAAAAGAATGTTTTGATCATTTATCTAGGAAAGGCCAAGTCGCTCACTACCAAATCCGATCGCTAGAGTATATTTAAGTGTTGGTTTTTAAAGTGGTTTATTTTGAATAGACAGAGTCTGCTCGTGAAGCTCTTCAGTCATTTTTTTGTAAACTTTGTGACAAAGGTTATTCACGGATTTCTGAGTATGAAAATCATTTAAGCAGCTATGAACATAATCACAGAAAAGTATACTTTCTAATGGTATTTTCAATATTATGTCTAATTTATTTTACATTAGAGATTTAGAGAGATGAAGGAAATGCAGAGAGTATCGTCCAACTTTGAGAAACAGCGTAAACAGGGACAAAGAAAGAAAGATTCAGAAATAACACCATTTTTGGACAACCAGTGGCATAAAAATTCAGATATAAATATGAAACCACTTAAAATTGATACTAACAATGAATCATTTATAAGGAAAGTTGGTTTTAAGAAAGTATTTGGTAATACGGATACTGTTTCTACTGATTCTTTTGATTTAACTGCCGAAAATTCAAAAAAAATAAATGAATCATTCGATACTCATCAATCCATTGCAAAAAAAGACTTATCAATTAACTCTTCAGTTCATTCTTATGGAGGTATATCCTTTAGTCTTTATATCTTCTATTAATTTTTATCAAAAGACTTAGGCGGTCTTTATGATCCTCGTGTGTCTACCAGTCCTTAAATATTTATATAATTTAAATACTAAACATTGCATTATTACAAATGTACATTATTAATACATTCTTATTTGAATTATTTCTTCAATCTTGTATTTTTATTATCATTTTTATATTTTGTCTATATTTTAACGATATACATTTTGTAAAAATTGAATATTAATTAGTTTTTGTGATTTCGCTCTTTAAAAGTATAAAAAAGGCTTTATTATAGTTTTATCAATGCTTTTTCAACTTAAATATTCTGGTCTACGCCAAACACTTCTTCAAATCCTGAATTTGTGTCTTGTCTGGTTAGTTTAAGTGTTTTAAGAATATTTCATAAAAAAGCTGATTCAAACAGTTCTACAGCGTATATGATATGGAAAGGACTCTCAGTTGTATGTTTTATGTATATTTATTGTAAATTTCTTATTGAATAAGGTTACAAACTGTGAAAGTCCCATTGTCGTCGTCTTATCAGGATCAATGGAACCAGCATTTCAGAGAGGCGATATCCTTTTCCTTGATAACCGTCAACAGCGTGTAAATATAGGAGATATTGTTGTCTATAGAGTTAAAGAACATGATATTCCAATTGTGCACCGAGTGATTCAAGAACGGCATGGCCATGAGTCTCAGAAAGTTTTAACAAAAGGGGATAATAATCGATATGATGATCTGGAGCTTTATTCAAAAAACCAGGTATATCTTGATAGAGAAAACATTATTGGTGTTGTTAAGGGCTTTGTTCCTTATGTTGGATGGATTACACTTGCAATGAATGATTTTCCGAAACTTAAATATTGTTTTCTTGGAGGAATGGTGAGTTTTTCTTCCTTGAAAATAAATAAAAGCCTTCTCTCTAATCTCTGAAAGGGACTTATTACGCTGATACATAGAGAATAACTTTCTTTTGAATTAATAGAATTTTTTGAAAAAGTTATTTTTTTTAATCCGTCTCTAATAAAACAGAAATTTCACTTTGATGATTATGCAAAACTATTTATTCTTGTTTTATTTTTGTTTTCATTTTATACATTTTTTTATTTTGATTTTTAACACTTATAATTTTTCTATTTCTTCCATCGTTTATCACCATAAGGATTATCATCAATATTTCTAGCATTTGAATAAAAGATTATACTGCTCAATCAAAGTACTTAAGGGCTCTAATTATTATGATTTATAACAAATATATCTTTAAAAAGAATTTAGGACGTTTTTTTTTTGGTTTTTCTGTTCGGTTTGTCTCAGGAAGAGCGTTTATTTTTGAAAATCATGGGAATCCCTTAGATGTTTTGCGGTATAAAAGACTTTATTTTTTATATTTTGACTAAAAATACTAGTTTGCATACTTATAATGTGTATCCAACACCTTCCAAGCCGATTCTTGTGAAATTTCTAGCATCACCAATTAATCCGTCTGATATTAATCAAATTGAAGGTGTTTATCCAGAAAAACTTCAATTTAATACAAATCTTATGACAAATACTCCATGTGCGGTTCCAGGAAATGAAGGTGTTGTTGAAATTGTTGAAAGTTTGGATCAAAACTTTAAACCAGGAAAGCGTGCTATTATGAAAAACAAAGCATTTGGTTATTGTTCATATAATGCATAAGAATAGAATTAATTTTTTAGGTACATGGAGAACATTTGCAGCTGCTGATTTTGATGATCTTTTATTTTTGGATCTTGAAGGGATTACGTTGATACAAGCAGCTACACTAGTTGTTAATCCATGTACAGCGTATTGTTTGCTTAAAAACTTCATTTCACTTCAACAGGGAGATTATTTTATTCAAAATGGAGCAAATAGTCATGTCGGCCAAATGGTTATTCAACTTTCACGTATTTGGGGATTAAAAAGTATCAATATTATAAGAGATAGACCTGACGTTGATAAATTGAAATTGTATTTGTACGATATAGGTGCTACGCATGTCGTAACAGATGTAGAGTTAGCCAATAAAGAATTTATGAAAGAAATGATTAACAAGTGGACTGGGAATTCTGGAGTATCTTTAGGATTAAATTGTGTCGGAGGAAAATCTGTTTTAGATCTATCACATTATATAAAGTATGTCTGTTTATTTAAAATGCTGTTTATTAATTCTTCATAAGAGAAAACGGACATTTGATTACATATGGTGCAATGTCACGTCAACCGCTTTTTATGTCTTCTGGTTCACTTATTTTTAAAAATATTCATTTACATGGGTTTTGGTTAACAAAATACATTAAAACTTATCCAGAAAAAAAATTGGAGATTTTAAATGATATTATTAAATACATTAGAAATGGATCTTTTAGAGAATTATCATGCGACCAAGTATATCTTGATAAAACATTATCTGATTCAAAATATATGGAAACATTTAAAAATGCGTTGAAAAATAAACAAAAAAAACAAGTTTTAATCTTTAATTAAGTTTAATATATTAATCATTCTATTTCTGCAAAGATCTTTGTTCAAATATTTCTGCTATATCAAGTAAAGAATTATCATAGCCATATGGTGCCATTAATTGGATACCTATAGGCATTTCGTTTTCATTGCTAGGAAATGGTATAGTTATAGCAGGAATGCCTGTTTAAATTAATATACAATATCAATAATTTATATCATACCAGATAGATTTGCAGAAATTGTGAAAAAGTCGATTAAATATATATCTAGCATAGATATTTCTAAATTAACATTTTCAATAAGCGGTGCTGGAGATGATGTTGTTGGTATTATTAACATATGAACTTTATTTTCCTTTATAGTGTTGGATGATTTATTAGGAATACAAAAAACATTATCAAAGTCATTTTTTATAAGTCGACGAATCTTTTGTGCTTTTTCAAAATAATTAGTATAAGCTCTTGTATGATTAATATAAAAAAAAGTAAAAAATGTACATACGAAAAATATACACCCAGTAGAATCTTTTGTTTAACTGCGTCTCCAAATCCTTCATCTCTTGTTTTTTGGAACAAATCTTCATTATCATTTATATTGGCTGAATGACCATAAATAAACCCATTGTACTTTGCAAGATTTGAGGATGCTTCTACTGATGTAATGATATTGTATACTATAGGTGAATATTTTATATTTGGAAGTGTTACTGGTACTATATTAAACCCTTTAAATTTTAAATATTCAATAGCCTCTTTCCATATTCGTTTTGCAGAAAGAGAAATTAGATTGATATTAAAATCCTATAAAATCAGTATGTATTAGAATAAAAAAGAATGAAAACCAGTGGTATTCCAATAGTTAGTTTTTTATTTCTAAATTTTTTTAGTTTTGACCTTTCTTTATTAGATAAGCTTGTAGGATCTTTTGGATCATAAACATTTAAAATATCTTAAAATCATGAGATAAATTTTTTAGAATTAAAATATAATTACTGAATGTTTCTCTCACTCTTTGTACAGTTTTACTAATAATACCAACAGTATCTAAGGAATTTGAATAAGCTATTACACCCCATCTTGATATAAGGCCATAAGATGGTTTAAATCCAACGCAATTGCAGTATGAAGCAGGAAGTCTAACAGAACCTCCTGTATCAGTTCCTATAGCGCTAAATATAAGCTTTTTTGATAAAATATAATATTTTATCTAACGCATAACACATTTCAGCTGATACTGCTGCTGCACTTCCCCCAGAACTTCCGCCTGCTGAGAATGAATTTTTTAAATTGATTGGATTTAATGTTGGACCAAAAATAGTATTAGTAGTAGTAGATCTATGCAAATAAGAAAAAAATACAGAAAAAAGATTTAAAACCCAATTGCAAATTCATCCATATTTGTTTTTCCAGGAATAATTGCTCCTGCATTTTTTAATCTTGTTACAATTGTTGCCTCATATGGAGAAATATAATCTGAAAAATAAGCTAAATAAAGAGAAAAAAATAAAAACTACATTTTAATATATATGAGGAGCATGTTGTTGGCATATCTTTTGTGCAAATATTGTCTTTGATAGCAATTATTTTGCCATCTAATGGTGAAAGAAGATTACCTTGAAAAATAGGTCAAAAGTTGTATAAAAACACAGAAAAAAATGCCTTGATTATAACGTTTAAACGAATCATCTATTTTTTTAAGAATTGAGTCCTTATCTGCCAAATTGATAAAAACATTCAGATATTTATTTAATTTATTAATACGATCAAGATGAAATTTAGCTTCTTTAACTAATTCCATTAAAAATAAGCTTTTTAGATTGAATAAAGGTTGTTCTATATATTAAGAAAAATACTTCTAATACTTAAAAAATATCTTTTTTTTTACTTTATTCTTAAGTTTGCTTTTATATTTTTCTTGTCGTTTAATCGATCTATAATTTAACATGACAGATCACCAGGATTTTATGAAAGAAGCATTAAATATGGTAAAGAAAATATTTAAAAAACATATTAATTTATTATTTAAAGGCAGAAATTGCTTTAAAGAACAATGAAATTCCAGTTGGCTGTGTTTTTGTGCATAAAAATAAGATGATCGCTAAAGAAATGAATAATACTAATAAAAGTTTTAATGTATTTTGATGTTTTTGCTTATTTTTTGAAATAAGCATTTTTAATATTTATAGGGGATTTTTCACTGTGAAATAATAGCTATTAATAATATTTTAAAGGATTATCCAAGCACAATTTTTGAAGAAACGGATCTTTATGTCACTGTGGAGCCATGTATCATGTGTGCTTCTGCACTAAGACAACTTCATATTCGTTCTGTATATTTTGGCTGTGCAAATGAGAGATTTGGAGGTACTGGAAGTGTTCTTAGACTCCATGATGAGTATAAACGAGGATAAAGTTGTAAATTGTGCTGATTTAGTTAGTAAAGGTGTTGATCCAACGTATCCTGTTTTTCCTGGGAACTATAGAAAAGAGGCTATTTTTCTTTTAAGGCAGTTTTATTTACAAGAAAATAAAAGAGGTATTTTTTTATATTTTTATTTTATTTTTTATTTTTCTATATAGCACCAAAGCCAAAATCAAAAAAGAACAGAGTGATGAAATATGATCTGCCTTATTTAGATTTAAGTCGTTATGAATCTCGAAGTAGCTAAATATTTTATGTTTATTTATTAAAAATTAAGTTCATATTATTTTAAGTGAAAAATTAATTCTTTTGGTCCCACAGGGGTAATTTGCTGTCTTTTATAGTTTTTTTAGCAAAAACATATGGGTGATTTACAAAATTTAGCATATTTATTTTTGATTACATTATATTTCCGGGTTATTGTATTTTTGATGATTATGTATTTCTCTTGAAAATACTAATAAATAAAGTATATATGTATTTGAAATCATACTTAATATATCTAATAGTCTATATATTTCTTTTATCTTTTTCCAATATTCTATGAATTTTTTGAAGATCGAAATTGAATCTTGAAATATCTTAAATTATAAAATTATAAAAAAGGTATTAGGATTTGTTTAAAATTTATTATTTTATATTTTTATAAGATATTTAGGGAGTCTTTGCTTCTTTACATGTCTCATAACGTGGAATTATCTCTTATTAATGGTTTATCTTCTATATCTCTTGTTACATATGTTTTAGAAGCTTATAATAGGACAATTGAATTTTATTACAAGATTGGGCTCAAAAAAGTTTTTGATTATGATAGTAAAGATCATGATTCGGAAGTGTTTTCTATGAATTATTTATTTAAAAGCAAACAAGAAATATGGTTAAGTGCTTCGGGGAAAAATGAAGAAATAATACTTAAAATTCAACTCTTTGATAGTTGTATTGATGCTAATAATAGATCATTAAGCACTCAAAATCAAAAAGAAAACAATTGCTTACATTGTACGTTTGTTGTGGGTAATTTAATTGTATTATTAATCTATAATGTTCTACTATTAGTTCTTATAATTGTTTAGGAAATTGTTGGCAAGTTAAATGAAATGGAGGTTCAATATGAGTTATTTCCTAATGAAATATCACCGTTAGAAGTTACTACAAGTGATCCTTTGGGAAATTTTATCACTTTTACTGAAAAATCTGCACTTTTTTCATCTGTTTCAGAAAATTGTTTTTTTTTGGATAATAAAAATGAGAAAATACATGAACCGCTCTCTACGGGTGTTGCTTTTTCTAAAAAACGAAAGATAGCTGTTATGACAAGTGGTGGAGATGCTCCGGGAATGAACGCTGCTGTTCGTGCGATTGTTAGAATGATTATAGCGACAAATTGTGAAGCATATGTCATTTATGAAGGATACAAAGGTATTTTTTAACATAAATGTAATTTCTGTAACGTAAATATCTAGGTTTAGTAGAAGGAGGAAATATGATTAAAAGAATATTTTGGATGGATGTTCAAGGTTGGCTATCAGAGGGTGGAACACATATAGGAACAGCTAGATCTACTTTATTTAGAGAAAGAACTGGAAGACTTTCTGCTGCAAAAAACTTAATTTTAAATGGAATTAGTTCTTTAATTATATGTGGAGGAGATGGCTCATTAACTGGTGCTGATATTTTTCGTTTTGAATGGTCATCACTTATCGATGAGTTGGTTTCTAATAATTCTCTTACTCCTGAACAAGTTAAGGACCATATGAATCTTTATATTGTTGGATTGGTAGGGTCTATAGATAATGATATGGCATCGACAGATGTAACGATCGGTGCTTATTCGTCATTACATAGAATTTGTGATGCTGTAGACTCTATTGCTGCTACAGCTTCATCTCACTCTCGTGCATTTGTAATTGAAGTAATGGGTCGTAATTGTGGTTGGCTTGCTTTGATGGCTGGTATAAGTACTGGTGCTGATTTAATATTTATTCCAGAAAGACCACCTCTTGAAGAAAATTGGCAGTCTGAAGCGTGTAAAAAAATAAAAAGAGTATGTTTTAAATAATTGTATATTTTTATTTATTTTTTGTTAGCAAAGGGAAATGGGGAAAAGAAGAACCGTGATAATTGTTGCTGAAGGTGCTATAGATAAAGAATTAAATCCTATTACAGCTGCTTATTTGAAGAATATGTTAGTTGATGAGCTTAATTTAGATACCAGAGTAACAACTTTGGGACATATTCAAAGAGGCGGTGTTCCTTGTTTTTATGATCGTTTTTTGGCTACTCTTCAAGGCGTTGAGGCTGTACATGCAATTCTTGAATTAAAGCCTGATTCTCCAAGTCAAATGATTGGAATTAGTGAGAATAAAATTACCAGAAAGTTACTTAATGAATCAGTAAAACTCGTAATAACCATATACTTATAAATTTTATTTCTAATAATATCAGACACATAGTGTTACAAAAGCAATTCAAAATAAAGATTTTGAAAAGGCTATAGAGTTAAGGAGTGCAGACTTTGCAGATTTTTATCAGACTTATTTGCATATGACTGTTTTTCAAGACACATCAAAAATAAAAGATAACTCATTAATGTTATCTTCAGAACAAGTATAAATTAGTTGTTGATATTTTTTATTTTTTTTTAATTTTTTTATAGCGTTTAAGGATTGCTATAATTCATGTAGGTGCTCCTGCTGGAGGAATGAATATAGCCACACGATCTTTTGTAAGATATTGTTTAAATCGTGGACATACTCCTCTTGCCGTTCATAATGGTTTTCATGGGTTACTTAATGATGGTTTAGTAAGTGAATTATCTTGGATGCAAGTTGAAGAATGGATTACTCATGGGGGAAGCGAAATTGGTACAAATAGAGATCTTCCAAGCACTGATATTGGTATGACAGCATTAATGTTTCAGAAATATAATTTCAATGCATTATTAATTGTTGGTGGTTTTGAAGCGTTTTTGTCTCTTCTTCAGTTATATAAAGCAAGAACAAGTTATCCAGTTTTTCGAATTCCTATGATTTGTCTTCCAGCTACTATTAGCAATAATGTTCCTGGAACAGATTTTTCTTTAGGATCAGATACATGTCTTAATACGCTTACAGACTATTGTGATGCTATTAGACAAAGTGCTAATGCTAGTCAGCGTAGAGTTTTTGTTGTTGAAACTCAAGTACGATTATTTATTTCATATTAATATACTAATAAATGATAGGGAGGCAGGTGTGGATATATTTCGCTTCTTGCAGGACTTACCATTGGATCATATGTTGTGTATACTCCAGAAGAAGGTATTAATTTAAAAATGCTTTTAGAAGATGTAGAATATATGAAAAAGCATTTAAAACTTGAAGATTCTAAAAGAAGAAAAGGGAAATTGATACTAAGGTATTTAATTTATTACATGAAATTTTCCATTACATTAATTATATTTAAGAAATGAAAAATCATCAAGTATTTATACAACTGATTTAATATCAAGAATTATTTTAGCTGAATCAGATAATCAATTTGATGTACGTACAGCTATTCCTGGACATGTTCAGCAAGGAAAAATACCATCACCTATGGATCGAGTTAGAGCTACTCGTCTGGCAATTAAATGTCTTCAATTTATAGAAAAAATGTTTTACGCAAATATGCACAATGATCCATCTTCTGCTGCTGTTATTGGTATCCGAGCTGCTAAAGTTGTTACTACACCCGTTGAAATTCTTCAACACGAAGCAGACATGGAAGCACGATGTCCTAAGACTTCTTGGTGGTTTAATATTAAAAATCTTATAAATATTCTTAGTGGTCGAAACGTTCCATTTCATTTAATTCAAAAAACAGATGTTTTATAAATTATTCTAAAGAAAAAAACTAAATTACATCTTACAAAAGGTATTTATGTATTGTTTTTCTATTTGATATTTCATTACATAAGCTTATTAATTTTTGTTCACGTGTTTCCGGAATTTTTAACTAGTGAATTCTAAAAAAAATATTGAAATCAAACAAGAAAACTAATAATGTTTTCTATTTCATTTACTTTAAGAAATAAAGGAATTGAACCAATTAAACATGTAGGGCTTTTGCTGAATAGACGTGTTAATTTTTTTTCAACATCTTTAAATTTAAAAATGAATTCTGTAATTTTAGAGAGCTTAAGACGAAGTAAACGTTCAAAACAATCACGATATTTCTCTAGTTCCCCTTCTGGTCCTTTGGAGGTTTTTTTTTCTGTTGGAAATGGCTTAAATTGATTTTGCAAGATTACAGTACGTGATGCGTTAAATCATGCATTAGCAGAAGAGATGGAGCGTGACGAGAAAGTATTTCTTCTTGGTGAAGAGGTTGCATTGTACAATGGTGCTTATAAGGTTTTTTTTTTTCTTTTTTAGGTAAATTATCAGCCAATCCAGCTTATTGTAGGTTTCTAGAGGATTATTTGATAAATTTGGAGAAAAAAGGATTATTGATGCACCTATCACAGAAGCAGGATTTGCAGGGCTTTGTGTAGGATCTGCTCTGGCTGGACTAGTTCCTGTTTGTGAATTTATGGTTTGTATTTCTTTCTTTTATATACTTAACTAATAACTAAGACTTTTAATTTTTCTATGCAGGCATGCTCCTTTTATTGAAATAAGATCTTTAATTATTTTAGGCTATTGATCATATTGTAAATTCTGCTGCTAAAACATATTATATGTCAGGTGGTATTCAGCCGTGTAATATTACGTTTAGAGGACCTAATGGTTTGAAATTTGTTTAAATTTTTGTATTATAATAAGGAATAGGTGTCGCTGCGGGTGTTGCTGCACAGCATTCGCAAGATTTTTCACCCTGGTATGGATCAATACCCGGACTAAAGGTTGTTAGTCCTTATTCGGCGGAAGATGCAAAAGGGTTATTGAAGGTTTATTGTTATTTGTATTTTAGGGGATATTAACTATAGAAAGGCTGCAATTAGAGACCCTAATCCTGTTGTTGTTCTTGAAAATGAAATTTTGTATGGGGCTACGTTTACCCTTTCTCCTGAAGCACAAGACAAAGATTTTGTAATTCCTATTGGAAAAGCAAAGATTGAAAAAGAAGGGAAGGATGTCACATTAGTTTCTCATTCAATTTGCGTTGGAATTTGCTTAGATGCTGCTAAAAAATTAAAAGAAGAAGGTATTGATGCGGAAGTTATTAATTTAAGAAGGTATTATTTTTTCAAGAAAAAATACACTAAAGTTTTGACAATATCTAGTATTCGTCCTATGGATGTTGTTGCAATTGTAGAGAGTATTAAAAAAACAAACCGATGTGTAGCAGTTGATGGTGCATTTCCTAACTTTGGCATTTCAAGCGAGGTAGTTGCAAGAATCATGGAAAGTGAAGCTTTTGACTATTTGGATGCTGTAAGGACTTTTTTTTTATTATTTTTATATAATATTTTATAGCCTGTAGAAAGAGTAACCGGTGCTGATGTACCGATGCCTTATGCAACAGCATTAGAAGCACTTTCATTTCCTGACGCTGATGTTGTTGTTCTTGCTGCTAAAAAAACACTTTATCTTTGAAAAAAGTTAATATAAATTACATGGATATAATTGGATGAATCTTGTATTTTTGCTATATTTTTACATATAAAAAAACATTTTATGCATATAAATTAAATATTAATCTTTTTTTTTCTTATTCAAAAATTATTTACAAAGATTACAAAATATTATCTTTTTAGTATGCTCGTCAGACGCTCGGTGATGACTCGTTTAGATGTTTTGTCTTCATATCGAGGTCTTTTACGAGCAACAAAAATCACTTTTAAAGGTTTTCCTGGCAAAAACAACATATCCGCACTGACTATAAATGCTTTAGGTGATCTCCCTCTTTTAAAAGCTTCTAGAAAACGAATCCGTGATACTTTTGATCATGATAAAGAAAAAAATTTAAGTGAAGATGAAATTCGTAAAAAAGTTGCATATGCAAATGATGTTGCCAGAACCCTTAGAAAAAATGTTGTACAAGGTCGCCTGAATCAAGCCGGTCGTTATTGTATAACAGTTTGTTTTTATTTTGTTTTTTCTAAGTTTTGTAGCTTTGAGAATTCATCATGATACAGAGCACAGCAGCAATAAAACAGGAAATAAATAAAACAGTTACGATAAGTGATAAGTACTATGTCCATGCTGGTTTTTTGTTCTGAAGACACTGGAAATGTTTTTTTTGACAAAAAATTATTTTCATGATGTTTTTTTGAAAAAAATCGTCTAGTTCTAGTCTTTATGAAAAATTTATGAAAAAAAAATTGAAATTAACATGTCATAAACTTTCACGACTCTTCATATTGAGGATACATTGATTGATAAACTGTGTTATCTTTTTGTCCAGGAGGAAGCTCTAAAACTGTGTTTTCTGGGTCTTGTACTGTAGATGCTGCATTCTTTTCTTTTACAGAGCCTGGAGTAACAAATCGAGGCTGACTCATAACAAAACGTGCCATTTTTGCATTTTGCTGTTCTTGATTATAGCCTCCAAGTGGGCGGGGTCGACCCCACTGTACCTTTAAAGGGCACTGACGAATAACAATATCCCCATTACCACATGCTTTTGCTGCTGCTTCTGCTGCTGTACGTGTTGCAAAGTTAACAAACGCGCATCTTGAACGATGACTGCAAACAAGTGATTTGATTGTCCCATATGGCTCAAAGTGGACACGAATTGCATGTTCCGGAAGATCATCTTCTATCCCCATAATAAAAAGAGATGTCTTTCAAGAATTAGTGATAATTTATACAAATAAATAAGATTTACAATTTTTTTATCCTGAGGAGGTGCCATGTTGTTATTTGCTGTAATAGAAGGATGCTCAGTCGAACTTGCTGCAGCGTATTTGGCCGATATGTGGCCAGAAGAAGCAGCAAGTTCTGCATTTTCAATTACCGGAACATCCTGTTTTTTATAATATGGTTCGCTTCGTGCTAGTTTTTTAAGAAGTTCACGAGCTGCTGAATCTACCTTTCCAAATTCACATGGAGTGTTTCCTCCTTTCCATTTTCCTTCATTATTTTGAGCTAAATAATGTTAAAATACATTTATTCTCAATAATAATAATTAAGTCATACCATAGTATTCACGATTAATGTCACTTTGAGGCCCCTGATTAACAAGCTTAAGAGCAACATCACGCACCTGAATAGGTCTATGGATTATGTAATCAACTAACAGTCCATATATAAAAATATATTTACTTACAGGCCAAATTGAAGGTCCAACAAGCAATTCTAATAAAGGGTCATTATTATAACAAAAAATACACAGTAATACCTGGCAACAGTTCTTTATACGTGAACATGTCAAGCATATCTGTTTTTTCAACATATTAATTTAAATTTTTGCGGAAAAATGTTTAACCTCTGTTTTTTTGTATCTTGACTCTTTGCCGGGAAGCCAAGAGAATACTGTAAAAGGTCGAGTACATATTTTGCATTCTTTTCCATATTCTCTCTTTGTCATCCGAATATATGGATTAGGTCCTTAAAATATATTAAACTTGTATTTTTTCATTTTTTAAAAAAATACCAAGGCATGATTCACAAACTGCAGGAAATTCTGCACTTTCCCAACCAGATTTATTAATATCTATTTAAATATTAGCTTTTTATCACAAAAAAATTTTGTTTATAGGTATTTCTTGCCTAACTTTGGTGGCATTATTTTTTTGTAGGTTAAAGATGACGTTATCGAAAAATTAAAAAATAAAAAAGTGAAAAATTCAGTTTATTGTGCTAAAAAATTATATGTTTTACTAATGAATTGTTTGTTTTTAACTGGTAGAATTCCCTGTTTTTTTTTTGGAAAAAAATATGCTTTTTTACGGCACAATTCTAGTGTTCAAAAGTCAACATCAGATTCATATACAGGTAGAGTGCTATTTATATATTATTTATATCTTATTTTATATAGATCTTCTTCTTAGAATTCTCTATGAATCACCTATTCAACCGCCTATTCAATTTTCAGAGGAGGAGCTTGAAAGACATGAAGTAATTCATCGAGCATGGCAGATTTGTGAAAGAGTAAAAAGAGAAAAACTTGATAGACAGCTTGAGATGCAGTATAATAAGATGAAAAAGGCATGTGCAGAGCTAGAGCGTACGGACAAGCGGTTATTCAAAGCTGCTATATCAAAAAAGAAGTATTATTTTCCTGTAGAAATGCGTACACCGACAGATACACCTCCATCACAAATTTGGAAATATAAATGGACAATGCCCTCTGAAAAAGCTGATATATAGTTTTTAAAAATGTATTTAAGTGTTAGCAGGTGTTTTACTAAATAATGTATTTATAAAAATAATATGTATATAAGATATTTCATGTTGATGATTTTACCGCTCGACCGAGTGTACTTTTGAAATCAACTCGAGGGTTACGAATAGTTTTTGTATGTCCTATTAATTTGTCTTTACTTACTTGGACCTGTACGTTTCCTTTTATATTCTGTTTTTTTGAGCCTTCACTTCCTATTGTAGCAGATTTTTGTTCTAATAATTTTTCATTTTGGTCTGCAAAGGCTTGAACTTTGTCAATTAACATTAATGCCATGCTTTGTAGACGAGATAATTCGACTTTTCTAATTACAATTGTATTATGAACCTGATCTAAGGCTGCTGAAATTTCATCATATGAAATCATCTTTGAAACGAGTGCTGTTATACTTCTTTCAGAGAGATCAAACATTTCTGATAATCTTGAAATAGAAATAGTATCATAAAAAGGTGCGTATGTAAATAAATATGTCCTTACAGCTTCTTCTTGGATTTTAATAGTTAGGATATCTTTAATTTTTTGAGTTTCAGGCATAAGATCCCAAATTTTAATTGATTTAATAAGCTGACAACATTTTTGCCATTCTCCAACAGAGAGTGCTCGAGATGCTTGTATAACACAATCACGTGAATTTTCTGGCGGTCCTGTAAATACTTGTTTTTTATTATAGTCAAGCATGCGTCGAAAAGATCTGCTAATAATTTTTTTCGAATCTGGAGAAAATCCTGAGGCTGCAATTGATGGGATCTCCAATAACATAGAACATGTAAGATATACGCATTCCAATAATTCCAAGTTGATATGCATATGAAAAGGGAACTGTCGTTGACGTTCAAGCCGTTCTTGTTCAGGAGTAACTTGACTATATCTTTGTATTTGTAGCCCTTGTGCAAGCAATTCTTTCATCCTTCCAGTACCACAAATTTCATGAAGAGCACAATGGGCTTCTGAAATCATACCTGTCCTAAAAGCCGATAAACCAATTTGAACCATGGTTCTGTTATATAAAATTTGTGTGACAATATCTGCAGTAAAAATGTTATCTTGAAGATGAGACATAAGAAGCATATCTCTTGCTTTAAAAAATCTGTTATGCAGTGCATGATGATAAATATGATAGAGCATAGCCCTAGTTCTAGGTAAACCAGAACCATGCTTATAAAGATAAACACAAAGACTATGCATAAGTACTACTGCATCTGATTTTTCAGAACGAGGAGTGATTTTTGAATTAATAGATTCACGAACTGTTCTCCATGTTGTTTCTTCAAGAATATTTATAACTTGTTCTGGTTTATAATATATATGTTCTAGCCTTCTTAGAATAATGCGACTAATATTGTCACCTGCATTAATTCGCTCAAGGTACACCTGGACTCTATAAATAATAGAATATAACCCTGTTTCATCCTTTAATCTATCGATATAATCGGTAGTATGTGGATCTATATTTTGTAAAGAGCGAACAAGTTCATCATCAAGTTTATCAACAAAGGAAATAATACTTCCACGGATTTTAATAACTTCCCCTTCTTTAGGGACTGGAGCGATATCTTCATTATATTCTTCTGCGTCCTCTATAATAATATAAGAAAAATCTGTTTCCAAAATGTCGAGCAATTTTTTAAGGTCTGCCTCTGTAGATTTCCAATGATCAATAGGCATATATGATGCAGTACCAAAGCTATAATCGAATTTTGAAGAAATCATGGCTAAAAGTACACTAATCTTATGGTATTGAGTAGTAGAAATTTCTTGAAGCTTTTCAAGAATCCTGATTTGCTCTGCATGATCTGTATTCTTTTTTCCACGGGCTTCAGAAACAAGTCTCAAATGCTTAAGAATACTTTCTGGAGTATATTGCAAAATGCGGCCACCTTTTCCAACAGTCGAAAAATTATCTTTTATATTCTGAATACGCAATTTATTCTTGATCATTTCATCTCCTAATACTTCGTCTTCGACTATTAATGTTTCTTGTTGCTCCATAAGTTTGTCCATGTCATCCTCTTTTGTGTTTTGTCGAAAATATTTAATTTCCATTTCATATTGCTTGACATTCCTTTTAACACGTTGTTTCACTGAGTTAAGAGCACGTGCATTTGTAGAATTCATTTTTTTTTTCGCCTCTTTTTCTTTCTTAACTGTTTCATTTAAAAAATCTTCCAATTTTACAATAGTGTTTATATAAAGCCAAGGAGGTTTTCCTTGGAGTTTTATCCGATCAATTAACTTATTTATCTTCTCAAATTCTTTAAAAATTAGTGTTGAAATTGCTTTTATATCTACAAATTCTTACCTGATGAAATCGTTACCCAATCATTGATTTTTTGCGCGTTTTCAATATTTCTTGCACATATCTTAAACTCTTCAGTACGTTTATCCTTTGCACTCTTGACGACTCGTTTTGTATCCTCTTCTTCACTATCTTCTGTGTCTTCTCCTTTTAAAAACTGAAAACCCGTCCGCCGTTTTTTTGGTTCTTCACGATCAAAAGACCGGTCATCTCGCACCTCCTGATCATCTGATTCTAGTTCTGATCCAGAAGAATATACAGGCTCATTTTCTGATGAACTTGATGATTTTGAATCACTTGATCCTCTATAAAATCTTGACATATTTGATCGTTTTTTCTTTTAACGATGTCTGTTAATATATGTTTAGAAATTTGAAATTTAAAGTTTTTATAAAAAAGTTGTAAAAAATAAAGATTAAGCTTATTTTGCCAGTATTTATTTTTGATTTTCCAGAATGTCAAAATAATTGATAGCTGTATATTTTCTATGTATATAAGAATAAAAATAAAGAGATAATATAGAAAAAAAATTAGAAAAATATTAAAAATGTAGTGATAATATTGTATTTTTCACCATTAGATCAGGAAAATATGTATATTGATGGAAAAATATTTTTGGGTATAAGAGTTCCACATAAAAAGACACTAAAGTGAAATATAAACCAAATAAGAACAGTGGGTATAATCCTAAGATAGAGAAGAGGAAATTTTAATTTAATAATCGATATTTCAGATTAATTGATTGTATAATTCGTAGCTTGAATGATTAATTTATAAAACTTATTTTAAAAAGAAAGAAAAGGTTTTCTATCTTTACGATTAACCTTTGATGGATATTTTAGCGGTATTTCGTAATTATTTTGAAACATTAAAAATGAAGAATGTTCTGATGATTTAGGGAAATAATCCATTTCATAAATTTGTTGTGGTAGATTTGAAGTATTTGGATATTTTTGAAAATCTTTTGATGGTATCGATGATGGTATATCAGGTACTCTTTTTTGTCTATTTGATTCCTGCGATTGATTATAAATGTCAGTTGATGTAGAAAGATATAAAGGATTTGTGTAATTTGAAAAAAGTTCTGAAGAATCTCGTGTTTCTGTATTACTGGGTATATAGGAATTATCTTTTGTCTGCAAATCTAATAATGGAATAGAGTACGGTTTAGGACCAATAATCTTTTGAGAACATTGAGAATTTGGTGAAGAATCGAGATGGTTGATATTTGATGTATTTTCAGGAAATTTAAAAAAAGGGTTAACGTCTAGTGGAGACATAATTTTCTTAGTAAGTCTATCTCCTGTTATAAATGGATGCATTTTAGCTTGTTGAGGTGATAAACGTTCTAAAGGATTAATATTTAATAAACCAATTAGAAAATCAGTTAAAGTCATACGCAAAATAGTTTCTATATTTTATAAAAATCAAATTTTAAGATTCTATTTTCTACCTTTATCAATATCTGAAGATTTTGTGAATTTTTTTTGCATAGGGTATGTTTTTATGATTTCGGGTAATGTAGAAGCTGAAAAGTATCTTTTATTTGGTGTTTCTGTTGTATTATGCTCTTTTTCATATTGTTCCATAGTCTTTAAACAATATATTTTATGACCTGTATTATCTATGATTTTTTCAAAAAAATCTTTTGATTGTTTTCCCATTTCTATCATCCAAGCAGGAGGCATTCTATGTTAATGTTAAATCACTTAATACAATATAGTATATATTACCCTAGCATTTCAACTATTCTAAATATTTGATTATATTCAGATGTTCCTGGAAAAAGTGGAAGGCCAAGAAATAACTCAGCTATGATACAGCCAAAAGACCATACATCAATAGATGATGAATAGCTATAAATAGTATTAAGAATACATATATAGAAGCATTTATAAATCTTACGGCAAACCTAGTAAAACTTCTGGGCTTCTATAAAATCTTGATTGAATATATGTATATATAGTTTGTCTTTCGTGGCATGCAGAGCCAAAATCTATGATTTTAACTACGGGGCTTTCCAGGCTAATAAAAATAATTAGAAATTCTGAATAAGTGCTCTTAATACCTATTTAGTAAGATATTTTCAGGTTTTAAATCACAATGGATTATTTTTGCTTCATTTAAAACAATCATTGCATCTAATATTTGAACTGCAAAGATTCTAACCAAATTTGTGTTTAAACCTTTAAATTGGTTTTGTTTTATAAGTTCATATAGATTTACACTTAGAAGTTCAGAAACAATACAAAGATGTTTTTTATGAATAAATGTGTCTTTTAATTGTAAAATGTTATACTTTCTTGATTTATCTAACTTTTTATTCAACTGAATATATTAGTTAAGATTAAATTAAATATTATTATTATTACTAGATCTAATATAGTAATTTCTGTCATGCTCTGGTTGAAATAAGCTGGTTTATTTTTTATAACTTTAACAGCTACTATTTCTTGAGTTCGTATATTTCTACATTTAACAACCTGTCCAAATGTGCCTTGTCCTAAAATATCAAGTATTAAATATCTATGAATTAGTAGATTTATATAAAGATAAATACTAACCTATTGCCTCTATCTGATCCTAATATATCATTTACATATAGAATATAGTCATTGTCTTCATTATCGTATCCATCATTTTTTGTACCTTTATTTGGCTTTGTAAGAGCTCTTTTAGGGTTTTTAGAAAGCTCATAGTTAAATTTTGGATTACATATTTTAAAAATTGAAATTAAGTGTATTGTAGAGGCATGTAAAAGCTGTTAAATTGCCGTTAATATATAAATGTGTATAAGTTATACTTACACTAATAGGTTTTCCTCGACAATCCGTTTTTTTAAGTAAAGAAAATACTTTTTTTTTTGAAAGATTTGGTTTTAATTTTACAGTACAAAAGTCTGAAAAAATATTTGAGAATGTAGACCTGTGTTTTAGAAATTGCTCATATGTGGAATTATCTTCATATTTAATGCTTTCATATTTAAAAAGATTTCCTAAAGAATTCCCAGATAATGTAGAATTATTTGAAAGAGCTAAAGAACTACTAAAAGATCTTAGTGAGGATTTTAAAGACAAATTACTGTCTTTGAAAGGCAAATTGTTTTTGTATGATGGCGATGTAGTAGATATTGAAGAACCAGGTGGCCTTAAACAATAAGGTAAATTTGATTTTTCATTATGTTCCTGATTCTGTGAGTTTAAAGAATGTTTCCAATCCACCCAAACATTAGATGTATTGTGTAAATGTGAAAACGGTTGCATCTGATTCTCCAATTTAGTGGCATTTTTCATGTTTATTGAAGAACATGACTGTGATGATAAATGATAGCTAGGTGTTGGTAGCACATCTTTGACATGCAGTTTGCTCGAAGGCGTAGAATTCTTGTGTTTTTCATGAGATATACAAAATGGATACATGTTTCTTTCCGAAGTATTTGGACATCTATTGAATTTCGAAGACATTGGATATTCCATTATGTTTGTCTCTTTTTGGTTATGCAAAAACTCATCTTTAAAAGCTATATCTGAAAGATAATCAACATTATTAAGTCTATTTGTATCCTGAAGGTGTTTTGTTTCAAAAAAATTTTCATTGATTTTTGATTGAAATGAATATTCTTGAGATGAATTTTTGCTCATTATAAAACTTCAGTAATAAGTGTAATTAAAAGATTTTAAAAACACTGTTCTTCACAAAAATTGCTTTAATAAATCTGTCTTCTGTGCCTTTAATATTTTGTCCTGTGCTACAAGATTTAAAAAAATCTTGAGCTTCTTAGAGCGTTGCTCTACAATATTTGGATTTTCGGTTTCTAAGCCGTTTTTTTCGGCAAAAAAACACGTATATCTTTGAGAACACTATTCTTCTTTATTTTTTCTCTTCTATTCTTTTTTTTTATGTTTTTCATGAAAATTTCGTTTAATCTATCTTTGATTCTTGTAGTTTATTCGATATCAAGAAAAAGATATAGAAAAAGGTAGATTAATCCTAAAAATAGTAAAACTTATTGTTTTTTAGAGAAATATGGGCTAAATTTTATATGAAATGTTCAAAATTCTTTCTATATAATGAGCCATTTGGAACTTATTCAGCAAGATAAAGATATGTCTGTGATGATTTGTGAATATCATAAAGATGAGATATCTAATAAGAATAAACGGTTATTTTCTGATGAAATTGGAGTTAGAGATGATGTTGAGGTATTTCCTGGTGTTTTAGGGGTGTTAGATCAAGAAGCTTTTGAGAAAAATGTTTTTTTGAAGGTATAAATAGGGTATGAAAGATGATAAGATATTGTATAATGTTTTTTGTATTTAGGCTAGTTATGAGATTATTGAAAGAGGCTTTTTGGATGATTGCAAAAGATTGCGGCGTTTAGATAGAGAAAAAATGTCAGTAGAATGATCGTACTATATATTTTTATGTTGATATATATTAAGGAAATTGTTGGAGAAGATACAAAAGGTAGAGGAAAAAGCGCATTCACGCAGTTTGTTTAGTATGAAGATGGAGGATGAACAAAAAATTTTAGATTTAGTTTGATAAAATTTTTTTGTATATCTAAAAACTGATTTATTCCTAGAATAATCAGCTGTCCTTAGTTCAAAAGGATATTAAGGAAGTTTCTAAAAGAATAGAAGAATTTTTTGATAAAAAAAAGAAATATGAACAGGGTTTTTATATAAAAGTATTTAAATTAATTTTATTAAAGACTTTTTAGACATGATACTATCAGAAGAATGTTCTGAAAAAAATGGTAATCATAAAGATATACATGTATATGTATATATATTTTAATTGAATATTTAGATAGAGAATATTTAATACGGACTGGTAAAATTACGCCGTTTTCAAATATATCTGGTTTAGAGCGTCAAATTGATTCAGAAACTCATAATGATTCACTTACAGTTGATTTAACTTCTCAAGAAATTAATGTTGAAATATCAAATGAAAAAGGTCAAGAAGAAAATACTTTTCAAGAAGACATTAGAAAAAAAGAATCTTTAAAAAGTTGTGATGGTAAAAAAGAAAACTTTCAAAAAGGTTTTGTTGAAGCATCAGATATTATAGCGACTAAAAATATTCCATTTTTTAGCGACATTTATGGTAATTCTATAAATAATGATCATAAATGTTTAAAAAAAGACCAAACTTATCAATATCAGGATTTTTCATGTATTGATGATGGTGATGAAAAATATTATCAGGAATTTATATTTATTTTTAATTTCCTATAATTAACTTTTTATAGAAAAGACTTAATACATGGGTTTCTGAAAGAAAGGAACTTAGAATGAAGTATAATATGGTAGAAAAATCTGAAATATATAATGAGTTAGAAGAATGGTTTTTGCCGCATCCAACTATTAAGGATTGCAAGTTTGAAGGAGGGTATTCTTTACCTGGAGATGTACATCTAAAATTATTTAATTACCAAAAAACATGTCAGTATTATATTTTTTGTTACAAAAATAATGATATAAAGGTATACAATGGCTATGGGAATTGCATTGTCAGGGTGTCGGTGGAATTATTGCTGACGAAATGGTTTTTACTCTATGTTTTTATGGTTTATAGCTAATAGAATATTAGGGTCTTGGGAAAACTATTCAAATTGTTGGATTTCTTGGAGGGTTGCATTATTCTCAAAAGCTTTCTGGTCCTATTTTGATTGTTTGTCCTGCAACAATAATGAGACAATGGGTTGCTGAATTTCATAAATGGTGGCCTCCTTTTAGGGTAGTTATTTTACATACAACTGGAAGTGCTTTAATAGATATAAAACATGAAGAATTGGAAAAACAGTTTGAAGATGATAAATTTTTAAAAAATACAGTTTCATTTAAATCGAAAGTTATAAAAAATATAAAAAAAATCATAGAAAAAGTTAAAACTTTAGGTATATTTTTTGGAAATTGTGCTAATTTTTAAATAATAGTTTAGGCCATGCTCTTATTATAACATATTCTGGGTTACGTGTGTATAGAGAGTATCTTTTTCCAAATAAATGGGCTTATTGTATTCTTGATGAAGGACATAAAATTAGAAATCCTGATTCAGATGTATCATTTATTTGTAAACAAATTAAAACTCCTCATAGAATAATTTTGTCAGGTACACCTATACAAAATAATTTGGAAGAATTATGGAGTTTATTTGATTTTATATTTCCTGGTCACTTAGGGGTAAAATATATGAAGTATTTTTTGGTTCTCTAAGTTAAATAGACTTTACCTATATTTCAAAGTCAATTTGCAATACCAATCAATATTGGAGGATATGCAAATGCTACTAATATTCAAGTTCAAACTGCTTACAAATGTGCTTGTGTACTTCGTGATCTTATAAGTCCATATTTGTTAAGAAGAATGAAGGCTGATATGGCAGTTGATTTGCCTAGTAAAAGTGAGCAAGTAAGATTAATACAATTTTATTAATTTAGTTAACTAAAAATAGGTTTTATTTTGTAAGTTGACAGAATTTCAGAAAGAAGCGTATCGATCTTTTTTAAATTCTAAAGATATGGATTTAATTTTAGAAGGAAAGAAACAAATATTATATGGGATAGATATTCTTCGTAAAATTTGTAATCACCCTGATTTGATTTATAGAGAAACTTTTTTAAAGGTAATACTACTTAGTATTTGAATAATTGTAAAATGATTTTATAGAATAATGATATAGAATATGGAGATCCCAGAAAATCTGGAAAAATGTTAGTTATAAAAGAAATTCTTAAGCTTTGGAAAAAGCAAGGTCATAGAACTTTGCTTTTTGCACAAACCAAACAAATGCTTGATATTTTAGAAAAGTTTATTAAAAAAATGGATCAGTTTAGTTATTGTAGAATGGATGGAGGAACAAGTATAAGTTCTAGACAAAGTCTTGTTGATAAATTTAATAATTCTAATGATATTGATATTTTTCTTCTTACTACTAAAGTTGGCGGACTAGGCATTAATTTAACTGGTGCAAATAGAGTTATAATATTTGATCCAGATTGGGTATTATTATTGTTATTGTTAAAAATATTTATATAAGATAGAATCCTTCAACTGATTTACAAGCACGAGAAAGAGCATGGCGTCTCGGTCAGAAAAAAGATGTAATAATATATCGTTTAATGACATCTGGTACAATAGAAGAAAAAATATATCATCGTCAAATATTTAAGCAATTTCTTACTAATAAAATTCTTAAAGATCCTAAACAAAGGAGATTTTTTAAAGTATAAAAATGTTACTATATAGGGCTTAATTAATTTTGATTAGGCAACTGATTTGTATGATTTATTTTCTTTAAAATCTGATGATACTGATGGGACTGAGACTGGTGAAATATTTATTGGTACTGAAAGAATATATCATAAAGTTAAATCATCGTTAAATATTAGCGAAAATAAAAATACTAATGACAATGATAAATTAAAGTTTATTCCTGGAGTAACTGGATTGGAGAATTTGTAAGATTTTTTCTTTCAAATATAAATTTTAATTTTTTCAAGCATTAATGATACTTTATCTAAGAAAGATAATGAAACTCAGATTTTGGAGGATATATTTGTGAAGTCTGGTGTTTGTAGTGCATTACAGCATGATGTGATTATGAATTCAAGTCATCAAGAAGTTACGTTGATTGAAAAAGAAGGTAAACCTAATTGTATAAATATTCATATTTATTAATAAAAAAAGCAACTAGAATATCAGAGAATGCTTTAAAAATCTTGAAAGCATCTAAAAAAGAGATTCGGAAATCAGAAATCGGAACATTAACATGGACAGGAAAATCTAAAAAATCCTCTCAAATTAATTTTACAGAAAATAAAAATACGTATGAAAATAAAACAAATAATATATATAATTTATGTCAGTATTAAAGTCTAACAATTTATTATTTTAATAATAATAGGTCAAGTCTCAGACCATAAATCAACAGAATTAGTTAAAAGTATATGTGAATTTATTTCTATGAAAGGAGGAAAAGTATCATCGGCTGATATTGTTGAAAGATTTGGTACATCTGTTAATGGATTTCAACAAGTAGTAGAGTTTAGAAAATTAGTCAAGAAAATAGCTAAATGGGAGAATAAATTTTGGGTTTTGAAAGAAGAATTTTTATAAGGTTTCTAAAAAATAATAAATTAAGTGCATATTAAAAAAATTAGGATAAAAATCCTATTTATGTTTCAGTTTTATTACTTTTTTTTGATTAATCCTTGCGTTACATCAAAACTACTTAGGTCGGGCAAAAATTGGTAAATTTTTTCCTTTTTTTTTTCATTCTCAATAGTTTTTGCAACTAATCCACCATGTGTCGTATCTATTCCAGTTATAATAACTTTATTTTCAGTATCCTCTAGAGTAATGATTTGATTACTAGAAAATTTAATATAAAATATTTAATGAAAATATCTACCTATGAAGCCAATATTTGTAATATTGTTGTTCAAATAATTCAAATCCTAAGATATTAGATGAAAATTTATAATACATATTTTCTAACGTTGTGATAATACGTGCTAGAAGCTTTTCTTGTTTAATTTCCGATAATAAAGGCAGCTGTTTACACATTCTTTTGGCATTTAAATTCTCAATAATTATTTTAAGAGATGTTGGAAAGTTATTAGTAACATTAATACCACACCCTATAATTGTTAATTTTCTTAATACCATAGAACATTAAATCTACCAATAATCATAAGAAACGCATTATCTATATAATTACAATTTATTAAAATTCCACCAATTTTAATATAACCGATATTATTTAATGTAAATGTGGGTTTGTCGATATTTTTAAGCTGTTTTATGCATATATCATTTGGCCATTTAATATGGATATCAAGTTCATTATAATAGACGTCATAATTTTTAATAGCTTCTACAATTGCAAGAGAGACTAAATATTGCATAAATATAATTGATGATTTTAAATATTCTGAATGTCGAATAACTAGAGAAAACATTAGAGTACCTAAAGGAGATATCCAAATGTTATTTTTTCTGCCTTTTCCCGCTATTTGTTGTGTAGCTACAAATATAAATCCTGTAGGTAAAACTTTTAAAAGTTTTAGATTCTTATCAAGTAAAGTTTGTGAACTTGTTAAAGTTTCTCCATATAAAACTATATTCCCTAACTGATAACTATCTTCTTGTAAAGTTCGTGATTCTAAAAGGTTTTCAAAATAAACTTTATGATTAAAAAATGGCATTTCTAATATATTTGGAAGATTTCTATGAATTTTAATATATTTTGGAATCTTATTATAGTCATTTTCATGAAAATTGTTTAAATAGTTTTCAACTAATGTATGCATTGATATAGATGATGTTTCCTGCAAATAAAATGTGTCATTTTCGCATTTGATAGCTGGATTTTTGGCTATCTTTTCAGAAATATTATATAAAACATCAGCAATTTTTTCAACAATATTAGGGAATTCTGAAAAAAGATGAAGATCTGAAATGTTTGTAGAAATAATAGGCTTAGATGTTGTTTGTAAATTAAGTAATTGAAACATATGTTTTAAAAATTCTATTTTTTGACTTTCAATTAATAATAAGTTATCAATATTAGAATAATCTCCATTTTTATCTCTTAAATTTTCATCCAACGTAGAATACCTAGAATAATAATGAATAAATGGGTTTAAATATAAAAAAATAAAATACTCTGGATGAATACCGAATAAAACAGCTTGACCTTTTTCTATTTTACAGTGAATAATAGCTGCTTTAAGTTGTGACTTAGAATCTGTACTTAATTCATTCTTATATGTTCCTAAAATTTGTATATTTGAGAATTGATCTGCATCAATAAATAATGTAGCAGTATGGTGATAAAAATATAAAAAATATAGATTCTTAGAGGATATATTTTCGGTCTGGATGAGTATCATGTGGTTATTTTTATTAGATGTAATGTCAGATAAAATTGCATCTCGTGCAATACCTGGAAAAAATATAGGACCATCTGATTTGACATGTTCTGTATTGCCATTGAACTTATATTCACTCAGAGCAGAAACATAGCGTGCTCCTTCTCCTATTCCTATATATTTTCCTCCATTTTGAATATATTTTAAAATTTTTTGGTTTAGTGTCTCATTTAGTTTGATTTTACATGAGATATCTTTACTATCAGGAATAACAAGTAAAGCAGTGTGTTCCTCCCACTCATCTTTCTCAAGCATTTTTTCATCTACTTTGAGTATAAAATAATATGGACTCAACAAGAATCGTAAAATAGAAAAAGTATATTTTACAGACAATTCTGAGATTTGTTTGTCTAAATGATTATGGTTAATTGATTTGTTTTTGTTGAAAATACTTTTTCTATAGAACGTACCAGAATATATCAAAATGTTCATGATGATTTGTTTTTTCTCGCAAATAATTAAGTTGGTAAAGTTTAAAAAAAGATAAAAATCATGAAACAAGAATCTGTATCAAATAATTCACATTTTAATGTAGAAAATTCTTTTGAAAAAATACTAAATTCCAGTGGATGCAGTAAGTTTTCTATGCAGGCTACTGCAAACTTTTTTAAGCAAAAAACCAGCTAATAATTAATGAAAAGTACAAGAAAGAGAAACACTACAAGAATGTTATTATGAGAAACGTGATTGGAGACTCTGTTCTGAAGAATTAAAGCGTTTTCGTCAGTGTTGGACCTTAAGAAATAATAATCATAAAATAATAGAAAATAGTTCTTTAAATCAATCCAATTAATATTAGACAAATTTTATTAATACTGTTTTAAGTTTCTTGTATATTTTGTGCCTATATTTTCCCCTGAATAAATAAACGGTTTAGAGGCTTCAATAATGTTATTTTACTTACTTATTGACGTCTAAAATCCTTATGTTGGTAAATTTGTTTGCAAAATTAGGCTTAGGTTTGGGTTGAAGAACCAAGGTTATCTAAATGTAAGTTTTTTTATATTCTATTATTTAATTTATTCATTTTTTATGAAACAATTAAGATTTTTGATTTATTTTCCAAGCTACGTATTATTCAATTGTAATAGGACAAATGAAATAGATTAGTAAAAGATTTATAAATGATATATATATTTCTTATTAGAATGTTTTAAATAATAAGCAAAATATTTTTAAAGTTATAAGAAAATATTATAAAAATCAAAATTATATTGTTATTTTACATTTTAATAGAGTATATCAATTCAAAGATATATTTTTTAATTGTTTAATACATCGTATAAAATATTCTGCATACCTTTTGGGAGCTTTTGCTTCCGCAATATGAATTATATTCTGCAAAGGAGTTAGAATGATAATGTGAAGTTAATCTAACATACTCCTTCAAGGGCAAATTCAACATCAGATACATTTATGATTTCACCATTTAATAGAGACCCTTCAGACCATTTAACCTAGAACTATTAATACTAATTGCAAAAAATAGTATTTCATACTTGTTTAGATTTTTGTTTGTATACAAAAAGAAGCGTTCTTAGATTTTCTGGACTCATTTCAAGATATGATGCAATTTTATCTAGATGCATTGTTGTATATAATTTTAGGTAACTTTTAAGAATAGGTAGCATCATTTGATTTTCTACACTTGAAATAAATATTTTTAAATGATGCTGTTGGTGTTCTGTGGTTGTAGTAAGAATATTGTCAAAATCTGGAGAGAGAGGTGAAATAAATTTCGGGCATGCAAATGAAAAAAGTTCTGTAAAAACAGGTATACATTCTGGTCCTCCACGCTGCATTTTCAGAAGTTGTTCTCCATATTTTTCTTTTAATATTATATGAAGATTGTCATCAATTCTGACAGGACATAATGCAATGCACATAGCCAAAAGTGCATACATTTGATCACTTTTTTTAGTAATCTATACAAATTTAAATATTTATCATAAAATGGGTTCGCTTACGTGGTCGTATTGCACTGATCTGTTCTGATAAAGTTTTGTTCGTGAAATAAAAAGGACATGAGAAAAGGCTTTAATTGCATCTATGTACCGATGAAGCATCATATATGAAAATCCAACATAATAATAAGCTGTAAATGTTAATGTTAAATTTCCACCCCATCCAAAAAAACCCTAAAAATGTTTTAAAATTTTTAAACATGTGTAAGAAAAAATACCTTTTTGTTAAGCCCAATGTTATCCATTGTTTTAAGTGCTAGTGTAAAATCACCAAGAAGACAATGAACTCGAAGAAGGCCAATAATACTAAAATAACCAAGCATGCGATATAGGTTTTGAGATCCAAACTCTCCCGCTACTTTGCTACTTTTTTGAATAATATATTTGATATTTTGCCAAAACTTACTTTGGATCTCTTCCATTTTTTATTTCAATAAGCTGTTCGTTAATTTTACTTTTTTGGATTAATGAATAAAGTACATTTAAAACACTATATGTACTCCATATTTGAGGATTTTCACGAAGTTCATGAATTTCATCTTCTGATCTTTTAGATAGACGGTTTTTATAGTTGCAAAATGCTTGAAATTGATATATAAATTCATCAACGATATCCCAAGCCCAATGATTAGGAAGTTCAAGATTAACTGGAACTTCTGAATTAAGAATGAGATTAAAAAGATCACAATAATTCTAAGTTTTGTAAATTAAAGTAAAATAATGACATGTAGCATTCGCTATCATACATCATATGATTGAAACCGTTGTTCAATAGTTGGTTGGAGTTTTGCATAAATATGACGGAAATATAGTTCTCTATAAAATATCATAAAGTATGAGTCATCATTGACAAGAGGTGAAATCGTTTCAGCATCTGGCCATGGTGTATTTTTATAATATTTTTCTGTTAACTTATTAAACAAACTTTCATAGCAACCATGCAATTCATAGACATTATTTTGAAATAAAGCATTATAAAAATATGTAATAAATCCCCTTACTGCGTCTGGAATTGTTGATTCCTAAATATTTTAGTTTTTTCTATATTTTAAATTTTCTAAAAATTAAATCAATAATTACCAGTGATATTTCTGGTCGAGTGCTGTAAAGTATATGGTTTTCATCATATTCTTCGTCATTTAACAATCCTACTGCAAGATCCACTGATAAATCATAGTATTCCATGTTATTCTCTATTATTTCATTTTCTGCAGCCATCGCTGCAGATGTTGTGACGGTGCTGATTTCAAAAATCAGTATATAAATAAAATTGAAAAAGTTTTTAGATATAAAAATATGATATTTGGCAATAAGAAAGGAAAGTATTTGTATATTTTGTGTTTGTTTAAACAATAATTATAATAATGTTAAAAAAATAATGATTGCCGAGTTTTCTATATTGAATGGTAATAGCACTGTTAATTTAATGAAAGAATATATATAATTGTTTTTAATACTAATAAAAGATTTAATAAAGAAATAGTATTTTTAAGGCTATAAAAAAGGAATTTTTGCAAAGTAATAGAATGTTTTATTATAAATATCTTATGTTAAAAGCCATATATTTGCATAATATTTTAATAAATGTGCTAGAATATTGCTTTATAAACTATTTTAATTGAATATAATTAACCAAAAAATATTTATGTTAGGAAAAAATTAATAGTTATTTTACCATATTATAAAAGTTAAGAAAAAACGTTCATTTTTTTTCAAAGACGGTATAATTTTATGAATCATTTGTCAATAAAAAGTGTTTTGAAGAATAGATATCAATAAGTATAAAAATAATTCTAAATATAAATTGAAATATAGCAGGACTGGTTTATGTAATAAATATTAGTATAAATATAGTATAAATATAGGTCCGAGATGAGCTAAAAAGAATTAACTTGCTTATAATTCAATAAAAATCAATTTAAGAGATAGATATCGAATATTTTAATAGTAAAAGCTTAATAAATAATTATTGCTAGTGTTAAACATGTTATAATGATTCTATAAATAAGCCTTTTCTGAATGCAGTGAATTATTGTTGATTTTTATGTAATTAAAAATTAAGAACTGGACTTTTACTCCCTATTTCATCATCAATAAAGTCGAAAATGCTATTTGGAAGTGGTTTAAATAAAGGAGAATCATTTAAAATATCCTCATAATTGATTTTTTTGTAAGAATTAAATTTACAAAAAGCAAGCATATCTTTACGAGAATCTGGTTGTATATTTTCAAAATCAACAGAATACTCCATGGTTTCATACCACTTCATGCCTTCATATGGAAATAAGAATTCTGCTGGAGGAATAATATCGTCTAGATCGTTTGAAAACCTCAATGGATGAACATGAGAAAATGTAACACTTTCTTTACGATTCTGGAAACCTATTGTTAATATTTATTTCCACTACTAGCAATACTACATTTTCTTCTGTGCATAAATTATCATTATCTCCCTTTTTTCGAAACTTGTTTTTTGCTATACTACATGGTGTTGTTTGAGTTGCCTATTTATTTATTAACAACCTATATGCACTTCAAATATTAGGAATCATACGTTTGTATATGAAAACACTGTATTTGTTGGAGTTTTCAGTATATTTATTCCATTCGACTCTGGTTTTCTTTTTTTGCTATTTTTGACAGACGTGTTCTAAAACTAAATTCAGCCTTGAAAAATGGTTTTATTAGAAATATACATTCGACTTTCCGTGTCCAGGTGTGATCATTCCACAAAAAGTTTCTGTATGAGTATTCCATTCAGTCCCTGTATTTAATTCTCTATTTTCTGGGCAAATATTCCTAGAATGCCCAATTTTTTTGCATGTACCACATCTTCTAATCTTTTTTGCTTGTTTTTTAGGTTCTGATTCTGCTTGAATCTCTTTTTTCTTCTCTAAATCCTTTAAAATTTGATCAACTTCTTGCATCTTAATTTTATATTTGACAAGCGTTATCGATAATTGTTAAGATTTAAATGCATTTTTAGAGAAAAAATTAAGTAAAAAGGAAGTTAGATCAAAATGTTCCAAGTGAGAATTTCAGAAATAAAGAAAAGAAATGTTTAAGAAATTGTGTATAAATGAAAAATTTTTGTTTTTTGGTGAAAAATGAGACTAGTAAATAAAAGATTATAATAAAAGAAAAGAAAAGGTGCAGATGACCAAAAGTGATATAAATATGTGGTTAGAATAGTTAGTAGAAGCGTGAAAATATTTCAGATGAAATGTCGTACATATGTATAATATTAAGATAAAAAAATATAAAGAATAGCAGATAATGACAGAGGTGTATTTATTGGAGTAATTCGTTTCGAAAGTGTTTTTGGTGGTTGCTTTTGAGGGCAACTGAAGTTCGGAAGTTTTCTTTTTGGCGAAAATCTTGGAATGTTTTAATATGTTTTTGAGAAAATTTTCTGCGGGAATCGCTAACGCCCTGTAATGATCGTTGAACGTATTCCTGTCGTATTAATCCGCTTTTGTTTCTATCTTTTGTTTGTTTTTGAAAATTTCTGGGGTGAAGATTTTGTTGATAGTATCTGATTAAAGAACGATGTCCAAGCCTCATCTTTGATGGAAGAATAAGTTCGTAATCATTGTCGATCATGATATTTTCGTCTTCAAAAGAACCGATAGATGAGATGCTATCTTTACTATCCTGGTCAGATGATATATCTTCCCAATCCGAATCATTATCATTTGCAAAATAAGAAGGTCTAAAGTCATAGTAATCAGACAGTTCAAGCTTTTGTTCTTCAGTATTATATGCTATTGAATAATGTCCTTTAGAAAACTAAAAAATTCTTGGTTATAATGATAAATAGAACCAAATTTGCAAACCATATGTTGACGAATACTATTTAAATTTCTTCCTACTTTTTCACATGATAAACAAAGATTTCCAATAGAAATTTTCTCCCCAAGATACTTTATAAGTCCTTCTAAATCTACAAGATATTCTTGATGGGGCAAAAACAAAGAATGTACTTTTTTCATATGTTTTAAATTTTCATCAAGTGTATGAAACTTTAGGGTGCAAAAAAGGCAATCAGTTATTTCCAATGATGTGCTTTTTGCAATACGTTCTTCTATTATTGCTTCCTCGTCTGTTTTATTTGACGACACTTTTTCTAGTGTTACCGAATGTAAATTGATATCATCAAATGTATTGACATCATCAAATGATTTTTGAGATGCTTCATAAATATCAAATTTGTCTAAATTTGACTGTTCATTGCTATTCTTGTGCTCTAGAATTTTTAAGTTATTAATAAAATCATCATGTTTGATATTTCTAAAGAAAAAATGATTAATTAATGTTATAAAATTTCCATTTTTGTACTTTTTTTTCTTTGAAATAAGTTTATAACTTTCTTCCATTAACATAGCTTTTCTTTCTACTACTTTTCGAGAAAAAATTTCTGCTGAAACTGTAGGAAATCCTGCTATTTTCCGCTTTAAATTGTAAAGGTGCCATTCTGATCTATAAGTATTTAGTTTTTTGGGGAAAAAAAGTTTTTTTTTAATTGAAATCTTGCCTATAATGCACTTTCTGAACTTCTAAAGACTGAAAGGCAACCTTACAAAGAGTACAAGTAAATTGTGGGTTTGACATTTTTTTGTCGTTAAGCTGATATCGACAAAACTCATTGAGAACTTCATTAAAAATTAAATATTTCATGTTATTGGTTTTATAAGGTTTGTACAGGAAAAAAGATAATATTTTTAACAGAATTATAGATTTTTTATTATTTAATAATTGTCTTTTTTTTTTTTATTTATATAAAAGCAATTGGTTTTGCAGTTAAAAAAACTATTGATTACTGAATGGTCTAAAAGATACTGTTTATGAGTGTTTTGTATGTCTTTGGAGTCCATTATTCATAATTTAATATCTGCACTTGGTGGTTGTGATTTTACTTTAGAAGATAAGCCATATGTTCTTGGAGATGATGGTTTAGCGTGCTTGAAAGATCTAAAACGATGGCTTCAGTATTATGATGAAAAATATAATAGTTGGGATGTTAAGCGAGTTCTTGCTGATACAAATTTTGTAGAAGGGGATTTATGTCCAATTTTGGCGATGTGGGATCCGTCTGATATGGGAGACAAAGTGAAATGGCGTTTATCTCTTGCATGCGGTTTAAATGGCTTTTTAATATATGTAAAATTTTAATAGTATTTATAGTTGAGTTGCTTGTTTCATTGACATGGCCACTTGAAGTGAATCAGTTTAATACGAATACTGAGTCTTTTGAGCAACTCCCACATCTTCGTTTGGCACAGTCATCGTATAAAAAATCGCTTTTAAATTATCCCAAGGGAAATATTTTGTTTACCTCAATTGCAGTATCATTTCCTTCTATGGCTATTCCTAGATCAGAAAGATCTGAACGAGACGAGGGGATTATTCGTTTAGTTTTATATCTTATTCGGAATATTGCAATGATTGATGAGGAAACTACCCGAAATGAGACCATAATCGCATTCAAAAATTCGGAAATTTTAGATCTTATTATTTCTGTTGCAGGGGGTATGGGAGATGAATTTGTTTCTCAAGATGTTATTGTTCTTGAAATTATTTACTATCTTCTTCGAGGATTAAGTCCTGAAAAATTATTTTTGTCTGAAAAAGATCAATCATATACTCCATTTGATGATTTAAGTAATCTTTTAAAGGTAGAAATGGATAAAAAAAAGAAAATTTTAAAAACCACGACTACTCGTCATAATAGATTTGGTACATTGGTTTCAATAATAACAGCTGTAATAATTTAATGATTAAATTTTATTATTTAATGTTTTTAGGATAACAAGAGACTTACTGTTGCTAGTCAAGGAGCTATACTAAAAGGTTCAGAAAACGGTCTTGCTAAAATTGATGCAGCAAAAAGATGGAAAATGCGTAAATCTAAAATATCTACATCGGTTTTTTTCGTTTTAAATAAATAAATTTCAATATTGATTAAATATATAGGACGATGTTGATAAACCTGTATATATTTCCCATGAAGCAACAGTTATTATTTCTGCTTTTATAAATGAATTTTTAGGCTCATCTTTTAATCGTAAGTATTTTTTTGCTAGAAAGTTTTAATGTTTTTAGCTTTTTTTTCTGCTATTTTGCAAGATCTTGAAAGAGAAGAAATGAAAATTTCTCAAGAAAATCATACTCATTTTCTTTATTGTATTGGGTATTTTATACATGCTCTTAGATTACGCATTTCTATTAAAAATTCCGGTACTTTTTCTAATGATGGAGATTATGGTTTGGTTGCTAGTATGCTAGAACAAAGAGCGTTGATTATGGTTTATAAATTAATGAGAGAATCGTTTGATCTTAAAGTGAGTTTACGGATAATAGATAAATATATTAACTAAAAAAGATTTGGAAAGAATTGCATGTTGGGATGGAATGTTTTAAACAAATAGTATGAATTAGACATATATGTTTTTTTAAAAAATAACTTTTATATAGCTTTTGATTATTAATTGTATGACTGCTTCTTCAGAAGAATATCAAGAAATAGCCAATAATATGCAGAATAATATATATTATGAAGAACATAATTTAGATTTAATTGTAAATACTCTTAAACTTTATAAGAGACAATCATTTGGGTAAATAATAATTTTTTTTTTTTGAAATTAAAGTATATAGTTTTTTAAATACGTGTACAGAATTAGTTCATGTTTTACTAAAAATGTTGGAAAAATATGCTAATACAAAAGCTCATATGTATGTTCGAGCACGTCAACGTCAAAATAAAAAAATTGAAACAGGTCCTTCTAATGAGAATGATGATTTTGGACTCGATAATAGTTTACAAATAAAATCTAAATCAGTATTGAAAGAGAAATCTTTTGAATTTTTTAAATTTGAAAAGGTATGTAACTTTATTGCATTTTTTTTATTAATAATATAGAAATTTGTTAATGACCATTGTATTGATACATTTCGTACATTCCTTGAATATTATAAAGAATTGACTCCAGAACAAATTAAACGTGTAATAACATTTTTTTATAGAATATTTGTTAAACAAAAAGCTGAAATATATATGTTTCGTCTTGATATTTGCGAGCTTTTTCATAGAATGATGAATGATGATATTAATTTTTCAAAAAAGAATCCTAGTAGAGTTGAAGTAGAAAAATTTATAAAATTTTATATGAAGCGTTTTGTTTCTGTTGTTTCTCAGTCACCGGCTTTATACGTAGAACTTTTGTTTCATAAGATGCATGATACTGTATATTATCTTCAATATGGGCATGATGAAGTACAAGTATTAAAGCCATTAAGGTTAATCTTAAGTTTTTATTTCAAAATATTACTAAGAATTTTTATAGACTTTCAGCTGAATTTGAAGTTAAACCAGGAATGAATTTTGAACAGCAAATTTCTGTTGTGGTTGGAGCATTACTTGATGAAAATAAAAACGAAGAATTAGATTGGTTGAAAATTAAATTGTCTGATGCTATAAATGAAAGAAAAGCATGGGAACTGGAGGAAGAATCAAGAAATTTATTAGAAGATAATTCTCATAATAACGTATTATCACCTTTTGGTATAAAAATGTTTTAAAATATTTTAAATTAATAATTTATTAGTTATTGTTTTTGAAACTGAACAATATAAAAAAAGATGTTTTAAAAATGGAAAATTTCGTTTATTGCTTTCTTTATGTGGTTTTGTTGAGGAAAATAGAACTAATGATATAGTTCCTACATTGATTATACCTCTTGGAATTTCTTCTACAGTATTAAGTTATAATTTGGGACTTGTTAAAAAGTATACTGATAATCCACCTGTATTTGATGATGGAAAAACAGCTATTAATTTTCTTCGGCGGAAATATAAATCTGTAAGCCGTTATAATGAATTTAGTGAAGATGATACATTTGATACTGATGATACATTTCATATCGATGATTCAAACGAATTTAAATCTCCATCTAAAGGATTTAAGAAAAGACATAAGAAATTATTGAATGACGAAGAATTAAAGATTCGTAGAGAAAAAAGAAGAAAAACAGAACAAGAACGTATTAATTCTATAAAAAGTTCTAAATATATTATAAATTCGGATAATGATGAAGAAGAGGATTTTGCGTTTTTTGCAGCAGAAGAAACTTTAAGGAAAAAAATGAAACTTGCAGCGTTTAATTCTAAGAAAACAAAAATTGAAACTGATAAGAGTTTAAATTTTGAGCAAGAAACTAATAATACCTATTCTGATAGTTCAGAAAAACCTTTATTTTTTGAAAGCGATGAATCTACTGAAACCAATGGATCTGTTGAAACTGATATTATAGATAATGAGAAATCAATTATCGATAAATATCCTTCAAGGAATTTAAACAATGATATTGATGATATATTTCAAAAAAATAGTGAAAAATTCTCTTTTACATCTTATATAGATCCTCAAACAAAAAAAATTAGGACAAAGTCAAGACTTATACTTTCAGAAAGTGATTCAGAATGATATATTATTTTCTCTTGGTTTTTTATATTTAATGTTTGTTTATTAAACTCTCAATTGGCTTTAACTAAAACGAAAAAAGTATGTTTTATAAATATTTACAATAAATTTCTTAAGAAAAAGGTTTTTTATATTTTATAGATATTCTCTCCAGCATTGTCGATATCAACATATTAACGTTAACCATGTCCGCTGTTGCAATTATTCTTGTAGGAGGACCTTCAAGTGGTACAAGATTCCGTCCTTTGTCATTAGATATCCCAAAGGTTTATTTTAGTTTGATTTATTTATTTTTTTCTGTTAATTGATATATATAGCCTCTTTTTCCTATTGCAGGGAAACCTATGATATGGCACCATCTTATTGCATTATCAAAGGTTGAAGTTGTTCGTGACGTGCTTCTTATTGGGTTTTATGATGAATCTGTTTTTTCTAGTTTTTTAAAGGATGCTAAAGATCGATTTTTAAATTTTTCTATTAAGTATTTTACTTTTTTTATTTTCTATATTTTCTGATATTTTTGAAGGTATTTGCGTGAATACCAGTCTCTTGGTACTGCTGGAGGGCTATATCTTTTTCGTGATGTTATTCTTCGGCATTCTCCTAAAATGATTTTTGTTCTGCACTCTGATCTTTGTTGTTCGTTTCCTCTTAAAAATATGCTTAAAATGCATTTAGAAAAGAATGCTATTGGAACAATCTTAGGAACTAAAGTATTTTATTGCTTTGATTTTGGAAATTTTTAATATGTACATCAGGTTTCCCCTGATGTTACAAATAATTTTGGTTGTATTGTCTGGGATTCATCTACAGGAGAGGTAATCCACTATGTTGAAAAGCCAGAAACACATATCAGTTCTACGATTAACTGTGGTGTATATATTTTTGATGGCTCTATTTTTGATCAAATCAAAGAATCTATACGGTTGAGAAATGAACAAAATAAAGAGATATCGAATTCTTTTTTTCACCCTGATGAACGGTTACGTCTTGAGCAGGATATTCTTGCTCCTCTTAGTCAAACGAAAAAGCTTTTTGTTTATGAAACTAATGATTTTTGGCGTCAAATTAAAACAGCTGGGTATGTTGTTATTTTTATCTAAATCTTGCATAATAGACATTTAGATCTTCTGTTCCTGCTAATGCATTGTATCTTCAGCGTGCACAGGAAAATGGTGATAAAGAATTGTTTTCTAAGGATGATGGTCCAGAAATTGTTCAACCTGGTAATTTGTTATTGATTGTAATTTTTTTAATTGACAATGTTTAAAAGTATATATTGATTCTTCTGCATCTGTAGATTTTTCTGCTAAACTTGGTCCAAATGTTTCAATTGGACCAAAAGTTAAAATTTGTTCCGGAGTTCGTATTAGTAATGCTATTATTTTAGATGGAACAGAAATTAAGGTTAAAGATTACTTCTTATATTATTTTTTTAATTTCGAAGGATAATGCATGTATTCTTCATTCTATTATTAGTCGAGGATGTCGTGTTGGACAATGGGCCCGTGTAGAAGGCACTCCTACTCTTCCTATGCAACACAATACCACAATTCTTCGGAACGGAGTGAAAGTACAAGCTATTACTGTTGTTGCTAATGACGTCACCATTCATGATGAAGTAAGGGTTCAAAATTGCATTGTGCTCCCTCACAAAGTATAATTAAATATTATATATTATACAATTTTAATTATAAACACAGGAAATTAAAAAAGGCGTAGTTGGTGAAGTAAAGTTTCTTGTACTATTAGAATGGCTAAGATAACCATTAAATAGGTTATTATGTAATAATCATTAATATTTATATATAACCGTTTTCAATTTGTTAAGGATTTATTCTATCATCTATATTACTTTATTTTTTCAAAAATTCGTCTTCTTTATATATTGAATATGTTTCTCGTTCTAAATATCCTTGTGCTATTTTAATATCGTTTTGAATATCTTCTATTAATAGTTCTTGTTTTTTAGAAAATATATAATATTTAAAAACAATAATACCCTTAGATATATAATTACGTTCTGGTCTGATAAAACCCATTATAATTAGTCGTATTTCTTCACCATAAAAATTGTTTTTAAATTTGTGAATAAAATGTACTTCCTACATGTTTTTCTTTAAAAAAAAAATCTTTATGTTCAACATACCACAGATCTTGTTGTATTATTATAATACGGGTTCCACCCTATACTCATCACCATTGCATATACATTATTATCTTCTTCGTCTTCTATGGCCACTCGGCCCCAGCCATAATAAATACCCGATTCTATACATGAAAAAAGTTCTGGAATATTTTCTTCTGAAATATTTGCTCCAATTGTTTTAATTTTATTATTTATATTTCTTTGTATTATACCTGTTGGAATCTGTAGTTCTTTTGTTCCTCTACCATAACCTTTAATCACCTATATTTATAAATATATAAAAAAACATTCAATGTTGCAATAACTCTTTTGTTTAAATAAATAGGAAACGGATTTTCTGGTCCTGTATCAGATTCTTGGAGATTTCCTGTATTTTTTTGCATATTTTTTATTTTATAAAAATTCTACAAACTATTATATAATAAATGTTAATAAAACGTTCCATTACAAAAAAAACATTTTTACCCGAAAAAAATAAACTTTCAAAATTTTCTACACTGATACAAAAAAACAAAATAAAGCAATTTTACTCCTTTCTTTTTCCTCAAAAAATCTTACTTTTGCCCATAAATCACTTAATCTTTATCTCCTAACAAAGGTTACTCTGGCAACGATCACGTGACTTCTCTATAATAACAACAAGATTTCAGAATAATTGATGGCAAACTATGGAACAATATCAGAGATTAGAGAAGGTAGGAGAAGGTAAGAAATGATATATTTGCACTACATACAAATGAATAACAATTGAAGGGACATATGGAGTAGTTTATAAAGCAAAAGATCTTGAAAATGGCACAATAGTAGCACTTAAAAAAATCCGGCTAGAAGCAGAAGATGAAGGGGTTCCAAGCACAGCAATCCGTGAAATTTCTCTTTTGAAAGAGATGCATAATGACAATGTAGTAAGGTGTGTTTTTTTTTGTTTTTTAGTGGGAATTTTATGTCAAAACTAGGCTTCTGAATATTGTTCATCAGGAGTCACGTTTATATCTTGTTTTTGAGGTAAGAGTTATTGATGAGCAATGTAATATGGTTTAATGTTGTTAGTTTCTTGATTTAGGTGTTTTTTTCTTTTTATATTTGTATTTTTTTTACTTTTTATAGATTTGAAAAAATATATGAACAGCATTCCAAAAGACATGATGTTGGGTGCCGAAATGATCAAGAAGTTTATGTCCCAGCTTGTATCTGGAGTAAAGTACTGTCATTCTCATCGTATTCTTCATCGTGACTTAAAACCACAAAATCTTCTTATTGATCGTGAAGGAAACCTTAAACTTGCAGATTTTGGTCTTGCTCGTGCATTTGGTGTTCCTCTTCGTGGGTACACACATGAAGTTGTTACCCTTTGGTATCGTGCTCCTGAAGTTCTTTTGGGTGGTCGACAATATGCAACCGCTCTTGATATATGGAGTATTGGATGTATTTTTGCTGAAATGGCAACAAAAAAACCTCTTTTCCCGGGAGATTCGGAAATTGATGAAATATTTAGAATATTTAGGTTGAATTTTTATTTTTTAAAAATATAATTTATTTATTTTTATAGAATATTAGGGACCCCTGATGAGAATTCTTGGCCTGGTATTACATCTTATCCAGATTTTAAAGCAACGTTTCCTAAATGGTCACCAAAAAATCTTTCAGAATTAATTACAGAACTTGATAGTGATGGAATAGATTTATTACAAGTATTTAATTCATAAAAAATGTCCGAGAAAATACTAATAAATACGTAGAAATGTCTTCGATATTATCCTTCAGAGCGTATAAGTGCAAAAAGGGCTCTCGATCATCCATATTTTAATGATTTTGTTCATGTCAATAAATCTAATCTGGTGTTGTAGTTTTTATAGTTGGTTATTATATAACTTATGAGTATTTATTTAATTGAGTTGCCTTTTTTTTAACTTATGTCTTTGGCTTCAGGAATTATTCATTATAGTCAATAATAAATAAGTAAATAAATACTTTTTTTGTAAAATGAATTTAGCAAATATTGTAACTGTTATATTGGTTATAAAATTTAGAAAATTAATTTATTATTTAAAAAATATCTTTTTAATTTTATTCAAATCAATGGTATTAAATACATATAAAATTTAAGATTTTGGAGATTTAAACGATAATCGATTATATTATTTGTAATTTATGAAAGTTAGAAAATATACTAAAAAAGTGTTTTTATAATAAGAATCTGGTAAAAAACATTTAAATTAGTCTAAAAAAAAGTTAAATTAATATATAATTTAGAAAAATTATCAAAGTTATATGAAAATTTATTATAAATAATTTTATTTTTTATTATGAAAGCAATAAATAGTTTAGAAAAAAAGACAGATATCAAAAACTTAAGTAAAAGTCCAGATTTAAAAGTTTCACATCCATATTTGGTATCCAGAAAGTGTAAAAGTTATGAAGAAATATTATATGAAAATAAGGATTCTTCTGAGCAATTTGAATTTAAAAATAAATTAGGAAAAAGGACATCTTCTGTTCCTTATGAAAAAAAAAAGAAACAGAAAGAATATAATTATAGCACCTCTGCTTATAATTCTCCGACGTTTTTGAGGTCTCGACGATCAATTAACTTTGAGCATTTGTTTAAGAAAAATATGCACAGTAGTTCTCAAAAAACTAGTAAATATTTTGACGAAAAATATTTGGAATATTTTAAAGGCTATCAGTTAAATATCTTATGGAGACATTTATTAGCAGAATTATCAGCAGAATTTGAAATAAAAGAAAATAAGGAAGATTTGGTTAATTTTTTACTTGTTCCTAAAGAATTAGAAAAGGTGTTTTTTCTTTTTAATTATTTAATTTTTTTAATAATAATAAAGGTTTTATTGTTTGGTTGGCTTGTTTGTCTTGATACTGTATTGTATTTTTTTACAATATCTCCACTTAGATTTTTAAAAGCTTTATATAAGATTTTAAAAAATAATATTTTTTTATTAAAAAATATGACTCCTATAGAAGAGTATGGTGTTTTTATTTGTATTATTATTATTATTAAATTTTATAGGAATCTGAAATCCAGTGAAAAAATTGATCTTTTTGAAGGTCTTTTGATCCTGGGAACATGCACTATTCTTCAAAAATTAGATGCTAGTCGTATTTATCATAATATCCGTGGTCAGGCTACTATTAAACTTTATGTTATATATAGTGTTTTAGAAGTAAGTAATTATGTTGTATAATAATTTTTATAATATAATATAGATTGGAGACCGTCTTTTTTCAGCATTTGGGCAAGATGTTGTAGATTTTTTTTTTTCAAAAATATCTAATAAAAAAAATTCAATTAAAGATTATTATTTAAATCTTATTCCATATTTTATTCTTACTCTTATAACTAATGGTATAGTTATCATGTAGTTTTGAAATTTTATTTTGATGATTTAGTTTTGCATACGACTATGTTATTTTATCAAGTTATGACCTTAAATGTTACTGTTAATTCTTATTCAAATGCTTTATTAACTCTTCTTATATCAAGTCAGTTTGTAGAAATTAAAGGAACTGTATTTAAGAAATTTGAAAAAGAAAATGTTCTTCAAATGACATTAGCAGGTATTTATGTTTTATGCTTTTTTAGTTAATTTCATTTTTTTGCAGATATTGTTGAACGGTTTCAATTAAGTCTAATACTTACTATAGTATTGTTTAGGAATTTAATGGAAATATATGAATTGGAATCTACATTTTCATTATTTCCTAGTTCTTTTTTTCATTTTTCTTCTTATTCTGTTTTTTTTATGGTTACATCGCCTGTATTACTAGTTATGGGTTCAGAAATGATTGTGGATTGGATTAAACATCTTTTTGTTATAAAATTTAATCACATGCAGTCATCTATATATCAACAGTTTATAGGTGTGCTTTCTAGTTATTATGTTAATTTTAAAAATAAAAAAAATGTAAGTTTGGAAATTTTAAAATTATAGATTTATAATTTATATAGATGTATATTAAGAAACCGTATTATGTTTCTCGGAAGATTGGACTACCTATTTTACCTTTAACATGTTTAATAATTCAGGCATTTTTTAAGATATGGAAAATTTTTTATCCTAATAAACCCTTTAAAACAAAAATATCAAACGATGCATTTTTAAAATATCCATTTTTTATTTGTAAGGTTAGTTTTTTTTTTAATGTATTATAAATAACACTAAAAAGGATAATCTTTTTTTGTTTCATGGAACTTTTATTGTAATTCTATTTTTTTTATGGTTTGTTTATGTTATTTAACAATGCATATTTTTAAAAAATAAAAGTTTGATAATTATAAAATTAGTTTTAAGTATAATACTTATTAAATTTTCATATACTTATTATGATAAAATTACGGAAAATCAGAAACTTAAAGTAAAAAAACCTGCTTATGTTGATCGGAAGGTAGAATTAAATTATATTTTTATATATTTAGTTCATTTAGTTTATTTTAGGAAATTGATGAAAATGTGAAATCATCTTTAAATGATACCCAAAATAATCTTAAAGATAAAAATCAAAAGCATATATTATATACTCTTGAAAGATATTCTATGGTAAGCAAACGAATATATTAATGAAAATTACATTTATATGTTTGAAATTGAAAAATAATATGTTTTAGCTGTATAGTATTTTTATAGTATTTGCTTATAATCTATATATATTACAATTTTAACTTTTTTAAAATATTGCTTAAATTTAGAAATAAAGATTAGTATAATGTGCTAAAAACATTTCAAGTATTTTTAATGTTTAAATTTTTATTTATAATGCATTAAGTTTATAGAGATTTGTTTTTTAAAAAAATGATGTAAATTTTTAAAGATAAATTTATATTTAAAGAAATTATCCTGAACTGCTTCCTAATTTTGGTTTTGCAATATCCCAAGGACCATGTATTTCACTTGAAATGTAAACAATATAATATATATGAGTAAATGTCTATACCTTTTATATTTTTGAAGACTTATTATCCATAATGGACATACAAAAGAAATGAAAAAAAATCCAAAAAGAAATACCAATGTAAGTACAAAAGATATTTCCAATGCAATTAATATTGAAGCTAGTGCAAGAAGAAATACAGTTAAAATAAGATGAATTATAAATGAAAAATTTTGCTTAAATAATTAAAAATGATAATTATATTCTTAAGATTTACCCGAAGATAACGTCGAAAAATAGGAAATAAAGCAAACCATTCAACTGCAAAAACCATTAATGAAAAAACATGAATATATGATGTTAAACGTGATGCAAGCATAACTGATGCCATCATACCCGCATTGGTAGATAAAGTACCAGGAAATCTAAAATTTAAGTTTCATGAAAAAAAATATTTAGTTCTTATACTTTTTATTGGCCCATTCAGCTGTAGAATAGTCATGAAAAAAAATGTTAGCCAAAAATAGACAGAATGTCATTGCCCATATTGAATCAGATGTTGTTGATTTTGTAAGAGATTCTAAAATAGGAGAAATACAGAAAATAGTAAGGATAATTAATATAGAAAATTTTGTTATTTCTTTTCCTAAAAGATATTATTATATACATATATAACAGGATTATTCACGATTCCGAACATTTTGATTATAATTGAACTTAGTTACACTCAGATCCCAAAAAATATAACAAAAAATCGTAAAACCTGTAGATATCCCAGCCAGAATGGCAGGTGACATGCGTTCATGATAAATTGCAATGAATACACAAATGAATATAGCTATACTAGAAAGATGTTGTGTAAGAACGATACTATCTGCAAAAAGAGACCAAAAATCATAGGATCGTACATTCACTAAGTCATTCAGTATCTTCTAAGATATTGTTATTGAAAATTTAAAACCGTTGCGTCGTAATTCTTTTAAAAATGATTTATCAACCCAATTATCAGGATAATCTTGTTTAACCCAAAGAAGTTTTCTCCAGGGCCTTCTCCTTTTCCTGTGCAGTGGAAGAACTGTTTTCTTATAGAGAATATCTTTTTTAACAACAGGAAACTGCTGTGATAAGGTTTTGTTCATTTTTTAGAAAAAAAATCACATTTTCATCCTTTTCTTTTCTTTTTTTTAAATAGATATACAATAACCTTAATATTTTATTAGTTTCTTGGTGATTATAGTTAGATTTAATTTGTATAACTCTTATTTTGAAGTTTCAATTTTTAAAAATTATAAATCTAAAACTTTAAGTTATTCGATATATTCGACAATATATTTTTATATATTAAAAAATATTGTTAGTGTGAAAAAAGGTTTGTTTTTGAATATATTTTTATATATTTTGGTATTATTTTAGTAAAAAGCATTTATTTCTTAATATTTTATATATTTTTTTAAAGATTGTGGATTAAACTTATTAATAATAATTTTAAAAAAATTGAACTTTTATAAAATTATAAAGATTTTTTATTGAATAAAATAGAATTTTTTAAAAAAAGTATTTGCACAATTCAAATTCAAAGTTTTTATAAAAAAATAGATAATTTTTTAAATTGGATGTCTAATTTTTTTTTTAAAATTATATATATATATTTATTAAACGTAATGTATTAGTACATAAAGTAGAAATCAATCTTAAGTTCAGATGCAAGAGAGTATTTTTTTATTATTAAAGCTATCTTTAATGATAACAGTTGGTTTTTTATGAATTTATAGAAAATGCTATTGAAAGGATATTTGATTTATAAAAGAATATAAATAAATATTGTTTATAATAATCATGGATATTCAAATAAACGTTTTTATTTTTCATTTTATGTTTTTTTTTGATATAAATAATCTGTTCTTAAAGTTTCTAAAAAGTTCCTGTGTTTTTGGGAGAAAATTACTAAATTACTAATAAGATGTAAGTAAAGGATTTATTATATCTAAAAAAGTTAAGATTCTTTTTAAAAAAAGAAAAAGAACTTAACAATATCAACATTGTATAAATAATTTATTGATCTTTTAAGAGTTTTAAACATAAAAGTTTTTAATTAAAAACCTTTCTCGCTTAGATCAATATATTATATACAATGGTGAAAGTAACGATCTTGAATTATTGTATATAATAGAAAAGTTTAGATAACACTGAATTATTTTTTTTAATAGTAAATATTTCAGTAAAATTCCTATTAAAATTAAGTGAATCAAAAAAAATATCTAAATATAAATATACTAGTATTATTTTTGTGTTTATAAATCACGTTTCTTTAAAGAAAAAGATATATATAATAGAATTTTAGCTAAATTTCTCCTTCTTCTAATAATTCTAACGGAAATTTTATTGAAATAGTATCTCCAGAACGAATTACTGCTCGTTTATATATTCCCCAATCAGTTTGTAAGTCTTTAACACAAAACTTGGTTTCAAGTGCATCTGTTCCTAAAAAATGTGAAGCACTTAAGTATTTCCTATAAAATATACTGATTTAATTGATTTTATTTTTATTTAAAAAACTAACTCATTCCAAAGATAAAAAGTAACTGGTTTATAACATCTTGAAACGAATTTGTAGAATTTTAGAGCCCTCATCCTTTGAAGAAAGGAGATCTCTTGGTTATATTGCTCATCAGAAATATTTGTAAGTTTATTTTCCATTTTTATAGAATTTAAAAATAATTGGTTTGAAATAAATTTATATTTTGATATATTAATTTATAATTAAATTTATATATTCTTATGTACAAAATTAAGAGAATCTATAATCATTGTCCGTGCTTTCTCAAGCCCATCAAGTGTTCCTCTTAAAGTAATAAGATCACCGTTGTTCATACGAGGAACACTAATATAACATCCTGTTTCGGTTTTTATTTGGGATATTCTAGTTCCTCCTTGTCCTATAATTATTCCATGATAACTTGAAGGTATTTTAAGGTAACCGGTTGCTGTATAATGTTTTACTTGCTTAATTATCTTGTTGATAATATTTTTAACCTGATCTACTTTCTCAGTTTTTCCTTTTAATGTCCATAAAATATCTTTATCATCTTGGTCTACAATAACATGCCATGAATATTTATCATTTATATCTTTAACTTCAGTGTTGAGATATTCTATTTCATTGCTTAATTCCTGTTTTGGTATTAAATGATCATTATATTCTATTATCACTCCATGCAATGTTTTCATACGACGAGCAAAAGTACCATTTTCTGAAATGCATTGATGAGAATTCAAAGGAACATTGATTATACAACATTCTTCTGTTTTTATAAAATTGTTTATCTCTTCTATTGCTTTTTCTGCTAGCTCTTTTTTCCCTATTACTTTTATTTCTACATTTTCTTGTATGTTATCGGTAAATTTTCTAGGTATCTTTATTATAACAGAAAATTTTGCTTCAAGTTCTTTTCGCATACTTCCTTCTTTACCAATTATTACTTTCATTTTAGATGATGGTATAGATATAACAAGAGTTGTTTTTTCTTCAATTTCTTTTACCATAGATATGATTTTATTTTCGATCTTATCTACTAGTACCTTTTCACCATTAATTATAATCTTATCAGAGATATTCTCTGTTTTAGGAAATTGAACTATTTTAGCAAGCTGTGCACGATCCCCAACTACACCTGAGCTAACTATAATATTACGCAAAGTACTTCCTCCAGGACCTATAAGAGTACGATGATGTTTTCTGTCAACAACAAGAGTACGAGTAACTTGTTGTTGAATTATTTTAACAGTATCAAGAATGGATTTTTTAGCCTTCTCAATTCCTTCTTTAGTTCCTTGAATAAAAACAGTTGCCATAGCAGATGGATCATCTGATGTAGATTTTTCAATTTCAATTCGAGTCTCAGTTTCATTTTTTAAATCGTTAATATTATTTCCTGATTTACCCACTATTTGAGGAACAGCAGACATAGGAATTGTAAAAGTTGTTGTATTTCCATGTTCTTTTTCGTAATCTAAAAGATCTAATAATTCTAACTTTGCAGACGTTGCTGCAATTTTATCTCCACGAATTGTAACTTCATTTTTCATGTTTGATTTTTTGTCATGAGTATTTTTATTTTCCAAATTTTCACGAGGAAAATTAATTTTAACTTTATATTTTTCTTCAAGTCGTTTTACAAATTTTCCATTTTGGCCAATAAGACTGCCATGATGCTTCACTGGAATAGATAAATGAATTACCATTTGATCTTCCATTTTCTTTGCAAAAGCTTCAACACGTGATTTTGCATCTTCTACATTTTTCTTGGATCCTTGAATAGTAACTTTTCCATCTTGAAAATCAATTTTGACATTTAATTCTTCTTTTATTTTCATAATATTGTTACCTCCTTTACCAACTAAGTTTTTTAAAAATTTTTGTGGAAAATCAAAAGTTACTGAGTGTGAATGAAGTTCTTGAAGTTTCAAATCTTCTACAATTTTTTCGATTTCTTTAACAACGTATTCTACACCAAATGATACACCTCTTACATTGACCATATTTTCATCAATAATAATATTATCTGTGTCTTTTTTTTTTCCAGTTGAAAATTTAACCTTGACTACTGAATTTGACTTTTTTATGATTGAGTTTAACGTTGTACCTTTAGGACCTAGTATATATTTATGATATTTATCAGGAATATGAATATCATGAGAAACTATATCAGACATTTCTGTTGCTGTTTTTTTAAGTAATTCCGCAACACCATTAAGTATTGATTGAACAACACTTGCAGAAGGCAATTCTTCCCTTGGTTTTCCTTCATAAATAAGGACAATTTCAGAATTAAAAGAATCTTCATCTGAAAAAAGAGCATCTACAAAATATTGTTCTCTTATTTTTTGTAAATTTCTTCCCTTTTGACCAATTATATGACAATGTAATAATGGATCAAGATTTAGCCTTAGAATGCAATATGGAGGATATGAATTAACAAGTTTTGTAAGGTCTTTTTTAGCATTTTTAACATTTTCAATGTTACCTGCAAATTCATATATAACAGGATTAGAATCTGATTTTAATAATACTTCTAAAGTGGGTGATGTAATTTGCACTTGATAATCTTTTTCTATTCTTGCAATCTCTTTTTTTTTAAAAAAATATCTTGAAATATCTTTAGCATATACTGTTTGATCTGTTTCTGAAGAATGTACATCAGCAATATTTAATGAATCTATATGTATAGATTTAACTCTATCCATAACATTTTGAATGCATTTTCCAATATATATAGGAGAACCGCGAATTAATATATTTTCAGATGAAGGAGAAATTATTAAAGAACATTGCAATTGAGATAAAATATCCTTCTGTAATTCTTCATCAAGATACTTATGTAACTTTTTAGCAACAATAATAGATGCTTGAACAGTTGTGCATTGAAGTTCTGAATACAAGTTCTCAATATATATTTTTGCATTATTAACAAGATTCTTTTCTCCGCTAATTGTAATAGGTTTTGATTTCTCATCAGCATCAATTAAACAAGGAAGTGGAATTTCAATCTTAAGGTCTTTTCCTTCGGTCAATTCTTTAATTTTTGAATTATTTAGACCCGATATTAAACCGTAGAATTCTGAGTTTATTGAAGTAATTTTTAAAGTTATATGAGAGGTCTAGAATATTATGATAGTGCAAAAAAAAGAGAAAGATACCTTTTCTTCTACTATAGTTTCTATTTTTTTCTTTGCTGATTCTGCACCTTCTTTGTCCCCGGTAATAATAATTTCTACCATCTCATTTTTATACTCACTATTTGGATGCTGAATAGATGCATCTTTTCCAATATTACGCTTTGGAAGCTGTATTTTAGCTCCTGATGTTTCAATAATACTGTTCAAAACTCTTCCTCGAGTGCCAATAATAGAACCAAGCGTATTTAAAGGAACTGACAATTTTATAGTAACCTTTAGATTTTAGAAAAAAAATGTCATTTTTATATTTACCTTTTGTGTTAGTTCTTTCATTAGCATTCTTCGAGCACGATGAACATCATCAGGTTTTCCACGGATTAAGAACGTCGTTATTCCTGTTTTTCGTGCAGTAGACATATCAATGTGTGTATGTGTTTCTTCCATAACATGACGAGCAACCTCCCCTACTGTAGATTTGCTTCCAAACTCTTTTAAAGGTGATTGTTGGTTAGCTTCAAGTCGTAATGTTTCAATTGTTGTCTTAATTAAAGGTGTTATTTTTGGGTAACTTTTTTTATCAATTTGACCATTATGCCCCCCTAATTCATTCTGATTCTTTGTTTCCTTTTCAGCTTTTGCAGAAGCTGCAGCTGATGGCTTAAGTGATGGAAAAGATTCTTCTGAATTAAAACTAAAAATGGGATAGCTAGGTACTGTATTGTGATTTGGATTTGCCGCCAATGAATAATTAAGATCTTCATCTGAATAATTAGTATCATGTTTTCCAAAAATATTATTATTACCATTTGTATGGTAATTTTTTTTCATAAGTAAAGATGTGTTTGTTTGATCCAAAGGCAAATTGTTCAAAGATAAGTCATCTAAAATTTTCTTTTAGAACCTTAAACTGCTAATAATTACTTTTCATGTACATACTTTTCTCCAACAACAAGTTTACTGGCATTTTCTTATTTTTTTAAATCTTTCTTTAAACCCGAGATTTTGAAATATCTTTTTAAATTTACTTTTTTCATAAAAAAAAATGTCTTATATACCTTTATATGTTTCTAAACTTACGAAGAACTTAAAAATATGATAATCTTTTAAACTATACTGCAAAATATGGGTTTTTTAAATCTCAAAACTTATTCCTTCAAACTATTATAAACATCGAACAGACGATGGGAACTGGTTAATCTAGGGTTAATATATAAGATGAAAATGATCAAGATAAAAGCATATGATTTTTAATATTAATTTTTATGTGGATTATAATTTGAATAAAAATTTCAGTGTAAATAGTTTATGTTTGACAGACTTGTAAAGTTAGAAGATAGGATTTAAAATGAGATAAATGATTAAAAATATAATATGTTTAAATACATGAAATATTTGTGTTTACTTTGATTGTTTTTGAGTAAAAAGATTTGTGAAAAAAAGACATTTGACTCTTAAAATATCAAGGGTAATGAATATATTTTTTGAAATTATAAATTATATACATTCAAACAATTCATTTAAGTGGAATGCTATAATGTGATTGTTTTTCTATGATCAAGAAATAAACATATTGATTAAAATCTCTAGAGTATTTTTTAAGAAAAATTTTGCTGTAACAAAAATATTAACTGAAAACAAACGGTATATATTTAGGAATAACCAAATCTATAATTATGTTTCAACAATCCATGGGAGTCGTTTTCTTTTTAGGCTAGAAAGCAATTCATCTAATTCTGCAAAGTTTTCATCATTAGTAGCGTATTTTATATGGCGACGTGAATTTATATGCTTAAAAAAATAAGTAGGATAGAACGAAAATGTGATTTACATGCCTGATCAAAATCTTCAAATTTTTCCCTACAATTCTCACAATATCCCGGCTTACTTTCTACTTTAACTTTCTTTTTATCTGTTGGATCAATTTGTGAGTGTTGGAATGCATTTATATTCTCCTGAATAGACCGTCGCTGTTGTACTTGAATAAAAACTTTCCTTTTAAGATCATCTACAGATTTACTTAGAGGTATTGTAATAGATCCTGCCATTCCTCCACTTCTAGTATTTGTAGATGTCTGAGAACGTATGGTTGATGTAAGATTTGACTGTATAATTCCAGATGCATTTATATCTATTTGATTCATAGACTGAATCTGACTGTGAATTCGACGAGTATTGTCTTTTAAATGGTTAAAAAGGATCCCTTTAAGGTCTTTAGATGATTCAGGGATATTTTGCAACTCTTTGAACATTTCATGTTTTGGTAAAGATGAAGGAGGATGTGATTTCCGATAATTGTTTCGTATAAATGGACAATGTCCAAAATCTGTAACACGAAATTGGGGCCATTCCCCTTCAGAAATTTTCCCACTAGGTGGTTTTGGCCATTCTTTTATTATAATAGGACGATAAATATTAGACATATCCCGAACAAAAATATAAGGCCCTTTAAAATAAACATAATCCTCACGTGGTGCAGATCGATCTCTCTCTCGTGTCCCATTGATTTTTTCATCATAAAGAAGATATGAAAGTTTTGGCTGATTAGGTGTTAATGATAAATCAAGGAGCGAACGTAGAATTCGATTTACAAATTCTAAAAAGTAATTAAAATTATTATATCATAAGCAGATTCTTACTATCGAATGACCATATTTTCATACCATATTCATGTGCCTTGATTAAAACATCATTTTTTAACAATTCTTCTTGATTAGGTTTGCTAGATATCTAAGAAAAAAAGTGAGATATATTATAACATACCCAATTACATATGAATCTTTTAAAATATTTCCTAGTCCAAAAAGCTTTCGAGGTTTATTTTGAGACGTAGAAGATGTAACAAAGGCTGTATCTGTAGTTGGCCCTAATTTTCGAGCTAATTAAAAATTAACAAAAATGTTTTATGTTTAAACCTAACCTAGTTGAAGAGAAATATCTGTAAAATCAGGAATGGGCCTAGTTGTTACAACGTGTGTAATATTTTTTGAAAAAAATGCTTCCACCGTCTATATTATTAATGAATGCATTTTTATATTGTTTATTTCTTACGCCGCCAAGTTTATTGATTTGTTTAGTGAGTTTATGCTTCATATTTTGATCAACAGAGTCAAAATAAAACTTAAAACTTGGAAATGCTTTGCGATATTGTCGCTGCCATTCCCTAATTTTCATATTTGTTTCTTCAGTTGAAGGTATTTTCCATGACTCTACTGATCCCTGATGTGTTTGACTAAATGCTTTAAGTTTTGCCACTTGTTCATGTTTTGTACGTTTTGTTGATTTTCTGCTTAATATTGTATCTATATCTTTTACTTTTTGCACAGGTGACTCAATAAGAACTCGTTTTAAAACAGGAGAAATTTCATGTTCTGAGTTATGAGACGGTTGTTGAGACACAACATGCAGTTGAAGATTCATAGAACGCGCAATAAGCGGCTGGCGTTCTGCATTTTTATGTTCAATCATTTTATATTTTAAATACTATTTTTTTCTTCATTTCTTAGTCAATTTCAATAGAAAAAAAACGTGAAACTAAAGCTAATCATGCATAAACTTATTGATCTGAAAATGAAGCCTAAAAACTACATTATTTCTTTGATTTAATCTCTTTTTTGTCTTATCTTACCTGTTGGCTTTTTGACGCGGTTTTTGAAGATCGAAGTTGAAATGCTGATTTTAAATCGATTTTCGTAGCAACAAAGTATATACAAAAAAATGTATATCTAAGAAGTATATAGAAATTAAGGGGATAAATTGCTTAGTAAAAAATAAAAAAATGAATATTATTAAAATAAGCAATGATGAAAATATAAAAAAATATTTGCCGATATTTCTTGAGTTTTTTTGATATTTTGATAAAAATAATTAAATATAACAAATATACATAATGATTTTGATCTAGCTATGGATCCAAATTTCTATATATGCTCATTCTTAATAAGTGGTAATTTTATAGTTTTATCTAATTCTATTTTTTCAATACGATCGATAAGCGAAGTTATAATGGTAGAATCAACTGGTTTTTTGCGTTCTCGAAGTGTCATTTTATCCTCTGACGTTATAATAAGACTGTTTTTTGGGTTCAGAATTGATGTATATTGCTGTGCCATTTTTATGATGTTTTTTATCCAATTAATTTGTTTATCATGTAAAAAAGTTTTCGGAAGTCGAGATACAGTACCCTTAGAAATTGCTTTGTCTATACAAGAAAAATGTTCCATTTTCCACAAAAATTCACACATATCTATATCTTTTTCATTAACATTTGTTAACCCACATAATAATGCAAAAGTTCCAGAGGCAATAGCCCTATCAGAGTATCCTCCTTCCATAATACTAAAAATGCGGGAACAACATCTTTTTTTGGACAATGAGAGTGCGTCTTTAGAGAATTTCCAATAAAACAAGGTAGGTAAATGGTATCCATGTCGTTGCATATGCTCGCTTTCAAATTCTGAGCCATCAAATCCTGCACTTATAACTAAAAGACATTGTTCAGGTAAAGCGTTACTATTTTTGAAAAAATCGTCCGCTTTTGTTAATAATTTTATATAAGAATTATTATATATTTTTTCAAATTCTTCAATTGTATCATATTTTTCTATATGAATATTCCAAATAGCCTGGTTGTGATTCATAATACATATGCTTGCATCTTTTATTTTAGATTGCACTGTAGAGAATGGACCTTCGCATGGAAATGAGTAAATATCATGTAAAGAAAAATATCCTATGTTAAGATTAAGATCTGTTTCCTGATTAATCCTCCATGAAATTTCTTGTGAGCCGTCGCCATGGTGAAGATCAAAATCTAAGATTGCAAAATGAGTAATCCCATATGTTTTATGAGCGTAAGATATTGCAATTAATGCATTATTTAAGAGACAAAACCCTGAAGGTGTTTCTCTAGAACAGTGATGACCTATTTTTTTAAAAATAGTATATATATATATATATAATACCTGGAGGACGAAGAAGAACATGTACATTCTTAACATTAGAAGATTGGGCTAAACAACGATCAATTCCATCGTATATAGCACCTAAGCACCCCTCAAATGCTTCAAGAGAAGTATGCCCAAGATAAAGGTCACCGGTGTGATATTTATCTCCAGGAATCTCTGTTTCCCCTTCTGTAATTGCTTTATGTGCATTCTTACAAAGTTTGTAGAGTTCTAGAGGCCAATTTTCGCCATGTACGAATTCAATAACAGGATTGTTAATAATAGGTATAAGTCTTGTTGACTGATAAATATTAAATGAATTAAATTCTAATTCCATATCAAGATGAGCTTTTGCTGATAATGCCCCTATATTTGAAATTAGTATATATTTAAGATGTGAAATATATAAACCGATTATTGCTGCTCTATATCTTCTAGGTCGTTCAACTATATACTTTAAATCACGTTTATTCCTCTCAAACTCATGCTTTACGCAGCTTTCATGTAAAATTACAAGTGTATCAGGTATTTTTAATTCTTGTCTTTCAATAGGAGAAATAATATTAGAAGGTTGAGCTTTAAAAGGTGTTGTTTCTGGTGTAAAAAAGTTTTCAGACTTTTCATGCTCGTAGTTTGTATCAAATATATTACTTGTTTCTGTATCTTTTAAAGACATGTCTAAAAATGTTTCAACAAGTGATGGTGTTTCGTTTGATTCTAAATTAGACTCATTACTTATATCCCTATAAAAATCGTTTGAGGATTTTAAAGATAAATCAAAAATTGTAAAAGAGGGAGAATCCATTTATAGAAAGTATAATTCCAATGCTTATTTATAAGATCTTCTGAAAAAACTATTATCCAGAGAAAACTTTATCAATTTGTCACTAAATAATACAATGAAGAAAATGTTGGTTTTTATTTAAAAATGATAATCTCTGTATTAGAAACAATACTAAGAAAATTTTATCTTTTCGAATAATTTAATGTTTTTGAAAAATAGTTAATAATGAAATAAAAGATTTAAAAAAACCTTGAAATTCTTTCTAAATGGTACTACAATTTGTTAAAAATATAAATATAAAAAAGATAAATTAATTTTCTACCCACTTTTTTTTAAAATCATTTATCCAAAAATTTGATTTTTAACAAAACAAATAAAAATACGTTTAAACTGTTTAAATTGGATTTAAAGCAGGCTATTCTTTATAAAATTAGTTATTTTATATGTTTCTTGATCATTTAATCCCTTTTTTTATCTTAAAAGTTTCTATTTTTTTCAATTTCAGGTCCGTTAATTTTGAACAACCACAGTAAGTTAATAAGAAATTTATTAAAATTTAAAGGCTAATTCTTTATAGATATTATATATTTAAACTATTTTTGCACTTATTTCTTTATAAAGAGTTATATATTTTCTAAAAAAAATATTGATTTTGTTTTTCATTAAGAAATTAAGGTTAATAAATCAAATTCTATAAAAAAGATAATAAAAGGCCAAAATGATGCTTATGTTGGAAAAAACGATGCTGGAACACACTGAACGTGTGAAATCAATTGATTTTCATCCATCTGAGATGTGGCTTATCACTTCTTTATATAATGGAAAAGTTGTTATATGGAATTATGAAACATCGGTAAGGATTATTATTTTGGAGATTTGAAGTTATTGGTGATTAAATGGTATTATTTAGGTCAGTATTAAGACATTTGAAGTGTCTACAGTTCCTATACGTGCTGTCAAATTTATATCTAGAAAAAATTGGTTTGTATGTGGAGCAGATGATTTTCATCTTCGGATTTACAATTATAATACACTAGAAAAGGTCAATCAGATTGAAGCACATACTGATTATATACGTTGCATTGCAGTTCACCCTACACATCCTTTTGTTCTTACTGGGGGTGATGATATGTTAATTCGATTGTGGGATTGGGAGAATTCTTGGAAATGTTTAAGGGTATTATATATTAGTGCTTTATAACTTCTTTAATAGTTGTGTTTCAGGTTTTTGAGGGCCACGGGCACTATGTAATGGGTTTGGCAATCAATCCTAAAGATACAAATACATTTGCTTCATGTAATTTAGATAGGACAGTTAAAGTATGGTCTTTAGGCTCGTCATCACCTAATTATACACTTGATGTTGGAGAAAGAGGTATTAATTATGTCGAATATTATCATGCTGGGGATAAACCGTTTCTTGTTACTGCCGGTGATGACCATATGATTAAGATATGGGATTACCAAACGAAATCATGTGTTCAGACTTTAGAAGGGCATTCAGAAAACGTTTCATTTGCTTGTTTTTATTCAGAACTTCCTATTATTATTAGTGGTTCAGAAGACGGAACTATTAGGATCTGGAATTCTAATACATATAAACTTGAACAGACATTTAATTATGGACTTGAAAGAGCGTGGTGTATTGGTCATCTTAAAGGAAGTAATACAGTTGCTATTGGTTATGATGGAGGTTTAGCTGTTTTAAAAATAGGGAGAGAACAACCAGCCGTAAGTATGGATGCTTCAGGAAAAATTATATGGGCAAAACATAATGATATTTATTCATTTGTTATTAAGCCTAGTAATGGTAATTGTAAAGAAATGTTGATGATAAAGAAATAATATTGGCAGATCAAGAAGATTTTAAAGACGGAGTAAAGCTTACTCCTACTCAGCGCTATTTAGGTTCTTGTGAAATTTATCCACAATCTTTGCAGCATTCTCCCAATGGACGTTTCGTTGTTGTTTGTGGTGATGGTGAATATATTATTTATACTGCTCTTGCATGGAGAAATAAAGCATTTGGGTCTGCACTTAATTTTGTATGGGCATATAACTCTAATGAATATGCTATAAGAGAGTCTTCAACATGTATTCGTGTATATAGGAACTTTAAAGAGAGGACCAATCCTTTTTGTTGTGAATTTCTAACAGACGGTATCTATGGAGGGCAGCTTCTTGGAATTAAAGGACATGGGTTTCTTGCTTTTTATGATTGGGAAACTTATGATTTCATCAGGAAAATTGATGTTTCGCCAAATGAGGTAATATTTTTTGGAAAAATAGAGAAGGATAGTAAATCTTGTTAGATATACTGGTCTGAATCTGGGACATTACTTACTCTTTCATGTGATGATATTTTTTATATATTAAAGTTTAATTATGATCTTTATACTAATGCAATTGAAACCGGAAATATTAGTTCTGAAGAAGGTGTTGAAGATGCATTTGAAGTAATTGTTGATATTTCTGAATGGTAATTTACATTTTACTAATAAAGAAATTATAATAATATTGTAGTATTAAAAGCGGAAATTGGGTTGGCGATTGCTTCATTTATTCTAATTCAATGAATCGAGTGAATTATTTAGTTGGAAATCAAGTATATATTATTAGTCACTTTGATGGTAATGTTTATGTTTTGGGTTATATTCCTCGTGATGGAAAACTTTATTTTGTTGATAAAGATGTTCATATTATTCCATATGAGCTATCTTTATCTGTTGTAGAATATCAAACGTTGATATTGCGTAACGATATGGATGGTGCTGCAAAACTTTTGCCTAGTATTCCTCAAAATCAGTTGGCTAAAATAGCAAGGTTTTTAGATGGGCAAGGTTTAAAATTAATTTTTGAAAAAATATTTTTAGCTAATCTTGTTTTAGGATATAAGGATTTAGCATTAAATATTACAACAGATTTGGAACAGCGCTTTGATTTAGCTATTCAATTACGTAAACTTGATATTGCTGTTGAAATTGCTCAGAAGATGAACCTTGAATCTAAATGGAAGACTATAGGAGATATTTCTTTGTCAAGCTGGAACTTGTGCCTTGCCGAGGAATGCTATATAAAAGCAAAAGATTATGGAAGCTTGCTTTTGTTATACTCTTCATTTGGAAATATTGAAAAAATGAAAACACTTGCTAATGATGCTTTGGATTCTGGACAAAGTAATATCGCATTTACTGCTTTACTGCAAATTCAAGATGTTGATGGCTGTACTGATATTTTTTTAAATACAAAAAGGTTCCCTGAAGCATGTCTTTTTGCTCGAACATATGCGCCAAGGTTATTTTATTATGATTTTTTTATATGTTAATTTTATGTAGCCAAATGAGAAAGGTTTTAAAGTTGTGGAAAGAGCATTTAGAACAAAAAGGAAAGCATAAACTTGCGAATTTAGTTGTAACATCCACAGATGATATTAGTTTTTTTCCCGATTTAGAAAAGACTTTAGACCTGGAAAAAGAATTCAGGAAGTTATCTTTTAGAGATGAAGAAACTAGTTCTTATACAATTAATGGTAAATAAATCTAAATTAATATTATAAATTTTTATGTTAACAATTTATTAGATTCTATTCAGAGAGATTTAAGTCGTCCTCAAAGTTCAAATTCATCCGAATATCTTTCAAATGCAGACTCATGATTTTTTAGATAATTGGTTTTTAGTTTTAGATATTCTACAACATTCAACTTTTGATGATTTAAATGCAAAATTTAAGACAATTAGTACAGAATTATTAAGTATAAATTGCGATATTTATATTTAGATAACTTTATATCTAGAATAACAGTTTATTAAAAAAATTGAATAATTAAGATTTTATGATATAAATATGCATATATTTTTAATTTATTATATACTTAAGAATATTACAGATCATCTGAAAATATATAATATAGTTCTGATATTTACTAAAAATTTTGTATTTTATGTATTAAACTTAAGAATTTAAATTATAATATTTAAGCAATAAATGAGTTATTATTTTATTGTTTCTTTAATGCGGTAAATTTCTTCCCATGTGCTCAAATACATTTTTGCAACTTTTAATTCATTTTTTGTTACTTTCTTTTTTTTAAATATTCCTAGAATTCTTACCATTTCTCCATTCTGAAATTTAAATGTAGTTTTATTATCATAGTATGATGCATAAATATAAGGACCTTTTAAAGGATGAAACAAATCACCAACAACATATGTAGTTGATTCCTTTTTATTATCGGATTCTTTTATAATACCTATTATGTTATAAAGAAATAAAAATGAAAAGAAAATCACCGAAAAATTCTATAAAATATAAAATTTTAGAATTCTGTTGAAGGTTAAAAACTTTAAGAGCTTCTCCTACACGAAAACATGTTCTAAGAAGTGTAATATCTGATGAAAGACCAGAAATAACACTTTTCCCAACTATTGTTAGTGGAAATGGGTTACGAGCAATTGGTGATATAGAATCTATTTTTTTTTGTGGTGAAAATTTAGGCGTTATAGTTTCATATTTCCTCTCTAGAAAAGATAAAAGCTCATTATTTTTTTGAGTTTCAATGTGTTCATTAGTTATTTTTTGAGAGCTAGCAGTAGTAGAGAAAGGAATTAGCTGAACAGTGGTATTATTACTAATTTTTGCGCAATTTTCAGTTATTTTATTATTGTTTTTGTGAATAAGAGTGTCACTTAAGTCGAAATTATTATTTATATTTTTAGGCGAATATTTCTTGTATTTTACTTGTTGATAAGTTTCCTTATTTTCATTTTCTTTAAATCCATAAACACTAATATAAGTTATTTATTTTAAATTTCATTGTGGTATATTTTTAAAAAATATAATTTCTTACCTTTGACAAGAATCAGTCCTCCAAGCAAAATTATCTGTTTTAAAAGATAATGAATCCCATTTAATTTTGCCATTAAAGATAGAAGATACATTTGACATATCTTTACTTGTATTCCAAGCACATGAAGGCTTTAAAAAGATTTCTGCTACATCTTTTTTCTCAAAATTATGTGTATATAGTTTAGGACGCTTAAATGTAGAAATAACAGAAATTTGTGGATTTGTATTTGTCATAATTATTCAATATTTTTATTCTTTAACTTTTTAATCATATTTTTGATGTTTAAATTGTTATATTTATTTCATTTAAAATGAGTTTTAATAATTAGTTATAAATATGAAATTGAATTTGTTAAAAATTAAAAAATGCTTTTAATATAGATAGAATCCTTTTATTTTGTATTTTATATCTACTCAGTTGCCTTTGTAAAAGGGAATATTTGTTTAACTTTTTGTAAAAATTTAATTTTTTGTTTTTATAAATATTAATGATGTTTGAAAAATAAAAAATAAAATATAAATATATTTTTATATAAAAAAAAAATATTTGGAGTTTCTATTGTCTTTTAATTCTATATTTTTAATTAATATAATTAAAATATTTTTTATTAATAATTTTGTAAATGTTTAAGTGAATGAATTTTTAAATTTTATGAAAAACAAACATAATATTAGTAAATTTTCTAAATACTGAATATATGTTTTTCTTAAAAAATTAGGTCTAAACTCTCGGTAGATTAATTTATATTATTATAAAATACTATTTATCTCGACTGATAATTGTGAATGTATGTATAGATAAAAAGAATTTTATTCTGCGTTAAATATACAACTTTTTGTATTGGTTTAGATAAATATGTATTTTTATTGAAGATCTACTTTATTTTTATTAAATTATTTATATTTAATTTTAATTTTTTTTTTAAACAAGTTTAAAAAAAAATTAGATAATATTGTACTTGTTTTTTCTACAATTGTGTTTTTATGTTTTATTTTTATATAAATTTTCTAATAATTTAAAAAATAAATGTTAATGAGTAAAAATTTTATTTGATATTCTATTTTTTATCAAAATACAGAGACTACTTAATATAAAAAATCCATAAGAATTCACATTGGAGTATTCATTTATAAATAAATTATATATAAAGAAAATTAAATTAATCTAATTTCTATTTTATATTTTATTTTTTTAAAAAAAATCAGTAAAAAAATTTCTAAAAAATTTATATTTCTAAAAAATTAATATTATGAAATTAACTTCTTTTGTTTTCAAAAACAGTTTTCACATCATTTTATATAAAATATCTTTGTAAGATTTATGTAAAATATTTTATAAAATTACATATAAAAAATAACTCTTACAAAAGTTTAAAAATAATAAAAGATTAAAATAAGAAACATAAAAAATAATATATATTCAAAGATATTATGTGTTTAAACAAAGCATAAATAATATTTAATCAAATCATTAATAATTAATAATCGTACGATTATCTATCCACAAAATAATCAAGAAACATAAAAAACAGTTTTGAAGTTAACTAGACATAATAAGATGTTAGGAACTCAAAATATATTTAAGAATACAGATGGAACAAGTATGATTTTTTTTTTACACTACGAACTCATGAAAAATAAGTTATTGATCCATATTATTCAAGTAATGATCAAAAATAAGTATAAATAGTTAACAAGATTTTAGACACATGGAGGACGTATAACAGAGAATATAAATAAAAAAGATAAACAGCAAATAGCACTTGGTGATCCATTAAAACATTATTTGGTGTCAAATATTGTTTCATATTATTTTATATTGGACAGTGTCAATTGCAAAAAACTTCTTGATATCAATGAGTATTATCTTGATATTTCGGATTCAAAGGCAGTTCATCGTTTTGGAAATGAGTAACATGTTGTGGATTTTTTGTATTTTTATTTATATATATAGAATGAAAAGTAACATGGGATTTTCAAAAAAAGATGATAAGATTTTGATAAATTATGTACATCGTCCAGGAATTAAAAGATATGATATGGAAATATATAATAAAATATCAAGAGAGGTTCTTTATTATAGATTATTGTTATACATATTAATTTCTGAATAGTATGGAAAGCATTCACCATATGCTTGGCATGATTATTACCGATTTGTTCTTGAACCGAAACTTGGTCCCATTTCATTGATCAAAGAAAGCATTAGGGTTGATTTAGATAGTATTAATAATAATTTAATGGTTTAAAAATTTAAAGTTATTTATTAATATATTCTAATTCTTCTTAGATCGAAAAAGATTTTAATAATGATTCTATATCTTCTGAGTATTTTGAAAATGGGTATATATTATGTGTTTTTATTAATAATTTTAATTCTTTTAGATTCACGTCTGAAGAAGATTACTCTTTAATAAATTTTATACAAAAGTCTAATTTACCTCATAAAGGTAGATTAGTTTTTGAAAAATTTCATAATTTAGTATTTTTAATATTTTCTTTTCTTAAAACTTATTTTTTAATAGTATCCATATCGAAGTTGTATTTCATGGAGAAACCGCTATGTGAATATTTTGTTGCCATTACTTAACGCTAATTGTGGCTCTAATTATAATTCAGAAGTTACATCTCCCGGTAATATATCCGATAAATCTAAGAAATATTTATATGATGCTAATAAAAATCTTTCAGATTCTATGAACTTGAAGGTTGCATTTTTTTCTATTGTTAATTTATTAATTTTTTAAGGCTCCTTTAAATTCTGATATATTATTTTATAGTAAATCCGATCATTGTGATATTATGCATGGATCTTTTACTAATTCAACAGAAGAATCTTTGCCTTATAAAATGTTTCAAACATATTTTCACAAACCCTTAGAAGTAACACTCAATTGTGTCAAATCTACCTCAAAGTATGATTATAATTTCAATAAAGATAAAGATTTAGAAAGAACGTATTCATCTACTACAAATCATATTCATGATCCAAAAAATACTTCAATAATTGAACAATTTGATTCTTCAGATAATTCTTTAATTTTACCTAAAATTTCAATTAATAAAGAAATTGATTTAAAAATTTCTTTACCTTTAAAAAGAAAAAAGTCATCAGAAGGTAGTTATTTACTAAGACTTAAATAAATTAATTTAATAATAGAATTTTTATATAACAATTTGAAGGACGATAAATTAGTACCAGATGAAGATGATATAATGATGTTACGCCAACTTACTATGCAGATGAATCCAGAAGGTTATTTATTAGAAGAACAAAAGAAAATGGATCAAATTTCTTCTATTTTTGACGATAAAAATATAAAAAATATTTCTGAACAAGGATGTTCAACTCCTACAAATACTGATGAAATAAGTTATTTATCTACTATTGTAGTAGAGTCTATATCTCCTCAAAGTCAAATTAATTATAATTTACAAACACCTAAGTCACTTTCATCCTCAACATCTACTTTATATTTAGATAAAGAAATTTTAAGAGCATCGACGTCTCCTAATCTATCAGACGATAATATATCTATTCAAAATTATCAAGAGATATCTAAAAGTTCAGAATTTAATATTAATCACAATTTTTTATCTAATTCAATGGTTTTAAATAATGATATTCAAAATATCAATTCATATGACAATTTAAAAAGTAATGATTTAATGTTAGGGGAATCAGACACTTTATTAGAAAAAACTGCTCATTGGTATCTTAGAAATATGAAGAAATACGGTATAACTCAAAATGATGTTACTTTTGCATTATACAAAACATCGGGTGTTAAAAAACTGGCTGTCATTGTTATGGAAGCTATAAGTAGAAATTTGCCTTTGCCTAATATTGAAGGAATTTGGACAGAAGAAGATGATTTAGTTGTATATAGTGGTACTTCAAAACAACTTAAACAGATTAATCAAAAACATGGCGGTAAACTTCACAATAGAATTAAATTCCTTCAAGATTATTTAGAAGCAAATTATGCTGATGTGGATATACCTATTAAGTAAAAGCCATATTTATTGTGATGATTATAGTTGTTTTTATGATATTGGTAATTTTTCTACATTTTACAATAATTTTTTGATTTAGCTACATATACAATCTATTAAAAAAGTGAATAATGAATACATTAAATATTTATTTAGCTTAAATTGAATTTAAGCGAATGCATTATTAACATTTATTGGATTTCAATATCTTTTTAATAAATTGAATTGTTTTTTCATTAAATATTTATTATATTAAATATTTTAAAATAAGTTTTTTATATTAAGTAATTTATTTACTAAATAAATTATAAAATTCTTTTCAAATATTTTTAATATGTATTTGTTTATTATTATATTTTTAAAACTTTTCTATTTTTAACGATAGTTTTAACGATAGTGAAAAATGTCTACTTATGAAGGTATAAATAAATATTAATTAAAATATATAGAAATTTATTATTTCAGATGATAATAGATTTGAAAGGAACCTAGAGCAGCAAAAGCAGAATACAGTTTCAGAGTCTAGAAGACATAGAGAAAATCTTATTTCTTTTTTATCAGAAACATTACAAGAAAAAAAGACATCATTTTTTGAAATTGACAAGTATATATTTTATTTTTAGTAACACAAATATCTGATTTATATAGTGTTTTTCAAAATTATTCAATGAATACTTTATCATCAGTAACAAATTTATTAATGTCTCAGTTTATGAATGATTTTGAAAATACAAAGACTAACCTTCCAGAAAATTTTATGGATACATTAGACCGTGTCCCTTTAAAAATGCTTAAACCAGATGATATTTGTTCAATCTGCAAAGTTGGTTTTCTAGAAGATAAATACCCATTTGTTGTTAAATTAAATTGTGGCCATAAATTTGATGAATGTATTAGTCTTTGGTTGAAAATAAATGCAACATGTCCTGTATGCCGTAGATCTGTAGTGAAAGAAAAGCCTGTGGTTCCTCAAGATGATGAATATGATAGTATGTATTCTTAAAAATATTAATAAATAAAGATTGTTAAGATTTTTTAAATATTGAAGTATTTAGATATTTCTTTGCAATTAGATATCTAAAGCCTTATATTGTTTTTAAATTTTGAATTTGAAATAATTTGATAAATTGGGTATTTTTTTAAAAAATATTTTGGTATATGTAATCTGTTTCCTGCAATTATAATAGATGTTAAAACAATAAGACTATTCATTTGATGTGCAGTAGCCAGTGGCATAGGGACTAAATACACAAGAGTTGATATACCAAGAATAACTTGCATAGATACAGCTGCCATAAGAGCTGAAATAGTATTTTTTAATTCTGGAGGGGCTATTTTTAAAAATGCCGGTCTTCGTGAGTAAAAGAATACTACAGCTGCTAAGAAAAATGTACTTGTTGCAAGAATTCTATGATTAAGCTGAACTGTCACAGGATTTTCTAACATATTTCTCCACCATATATCTAATTTAGACGTACTATAAGAATATTTTTCAGAAAAAAGTTCAGACTTTGGTGGAATTAGAGATTTCCCCATATATGGGAAAGTATTATAAATAAGACCTGCATCCAATCCTGCAACAAATGCTCCTAAAAAATTAATTTGATAATTTAATTAATAACATATATTACCTGATAACATTGTTATATATACTAAACAATTGAGTGTTAAAATCATTTTTTTAAGTTTTTTAAATGGAGGACTGTTTAATTCTTTAAGAACAAAACTTTTAGCTTCATTTGTTTTAGTTGCCCATTTATTTTCTTTTAATATATCTAATCCTGTCCATAACATACTGATATATAGAAAAAGCGCTATTCCTAAATGAGTTGCTAACCGATATTGACTGACTCGTGGAACTGAACCCGCTTCTTTGAAATTTTCATACTCTAATCCTGACTTAACCATCCACCAACCAATAAATCCTTGTAATCCTAATAACCCTCCCATAAAAAATATTCTTTTAGCTATATTCGGAGTTACTTTTTTCTTTATAATAAAATATGCTGCTGGAAGAATAAAAGCAATTCCAATAATTCGACCAAAAATTCTATGTCCCCATTCCATATTATAAATAAATTGATAATCAGACAAAGAAATATTTCGATTAAGATAGTTAAATTCTGGTGTAGCTTTATACTTTTCAAATTCAAGAATCCATTTATCACGAGACAATGGAGGGAAAATACCTGTAATAGGTTTCCATTCTGTAATACTTAATCTAAAAAATGTTAGTATTCCACAATGTATAAAAAATTATAAACCCTGATTCTGTTATCCGTGTTAATCCACCAAAGACAACCATTATAAATACAAGACCAGAACACCCTAAAAGCCAATAACCCGTATAAATCTTGTTTGTTTCATTATTAGTTTTTTCAACTGCAAAAAATGAAGTGCTTCTACTTTGAGATAGGAAGTGCGGTGTTTTTAATAAAAAAGGTACTTCTTTAAATACCGTAGAAAAAAACTGCCCCCTTCTATATGAAAATATATTCTTATATTGTCTTTTTAATATCAATTGATTAAATAATTGATTGTTGTGATTTTTTAATATTTTTGTTAGAAAAACCATTCTATTGAAACAAATTATGAAATATGTAGAAATACTCTCTGTATAAATAGCGTCCTAATAAATAAAAGATAATTCAAAATATGTTTTCATCCAAGAAATAAAAAATTCACTTTTAAAAAATTTTGATAAATATTTTCTATTTTTTGCCTGAAAAAAAGACAAAATTCACTATAAAAAATGAAATCCTTCAAAGATAAAAAACGTCTATTTATTAAATCATTTTCTGTATAAAAATATTCTTTTTTTATTTTTAGAAAAATCTATGTCGTTAAAACATTTCAATTATTCATTTATTTATAAACTTACCTATTAAAATAAAGAAATAAGATTAAAAATAACACAAAAAGAAGTTTTTTTACTAGAATTTTTGTTCTTTTCTTTATTTAATACTTTTTTTTATTAAAAAAACACTAATTTGTTCTTTATATACCAAACATCAATTCAGCAAAAAACTAAGTACAAAATGATACGAACAAAAGCTCTAATGTCACTGCTTTCACAGTCCCTTGACGCTTCTATTACGTCCTGCATGTAAGATTCTTTTTTTCTGGGTAAATATTGATTATATTTAGTCTATTAACATCATCTGGTCAATTATTGTCTCAAGCATCTTTGTCTCAGAAAAATGCCCGTATTTATGCCGCACTTGCTGCACAGGTATGGTCTGGATATGAGAAAATAGGAGAAGATGGTCATATTGGATCTCTGACTAATGCAAATAAAAAAACTTTTGGTTGTAATTGGCTTGGTATTGAATGTTTAGTAAGAGTTTTTTTTTTGAAAAAAATACAAAGATTGACTTGGCATTTCGTAGAATGGGAATCTTATGATTCTTTGTATTCGTCTTCCACAGCCTAAAGAGTCTATGCCTGTTTCTGTTTTGTCTGAACCATTATTATTATGTTTAGTGGGAGATGAAAATTCAAAACTTGGTTTTATGCATATGAAGGCAGAATCAATTAAAAATCATCTTCTGAAAGAACTGGAAGGAGTAAAGGATCTTTAACATGTCAAAAATATTTTAAAATTAATAATACATTTATTGGCTTCAATTTGATATCTTTATATCTATATATGTGTTAACAGAAACAAATAGCATGTTTCTGCTTTGGTTCTGAAATATAGAAACGGGTAAGAATAGAAAGATAATCTAATTTAATTATATGCAACTATAGAGTTGTTGGTTTTTTTGGTATGATTGACTTTTTGTTTTGACTAAAATTTAACTTAATATTTTCTCCAGGTAGATTCTTTTTATCAAAATAGCTTTATTATATACAGGTTTGCATGAAAGTTATTTTACTTCTATATCATTTATAATTAATATTTTTAAAGCTAATGGAAAATAAAACTGCACTTGAAAAAAACTAAAATACTATGTTTCTAATAATTTTTCTTATATTTTTTAATTGTCTAATTATGGTTGTGACAAAATATTCATATTTTTCTAAAACATATATATATATATATATATTGCTAAAATTCTTTAATAATTATTTTAAAAGTGTATAAGAGTTTATGAAAAAATTCCGACTCTTTTATTAAGTTTTATTTTTAATGCTTTATACATATTTATTTTTTACTGCTTTTTTAATCTTGAAATTTTACCGAGCCCCAAAAAATTGGTAAAATTAAATTATTAAATTTTTTCAGTTAAAAAAGGTAGTATACACGTTTGAAAGAAATCAGTTCAATAGAATTCATTTAAGAGTATTTTCTCTCTTTTTTTTCGGAAAAAAAAATCGTTTTTTGTATGTTTACAAAGCAATTTTTCACTTTTTTAAAAAAAAGTCAAAAACATTAAATATCTGCAGAAAAACATACATTTTTATACTTTTATATTATATATATTTTCATACTCTTATATTATATGTATTTTTTGTTTTCTAGTGCTAATAGTAATTAGTTATTTTTAGGCTGAAATTATATAAAAAATAAATAAGATATTATAATGGTTAATCCTTCCTTATGTCATCAACTAGATAATCAAAAGGTTGTTAAAAAGTGTAAGAAAGTATGTAAACCTCCTGTTCTTCGTTCAAGTGTAAGTTTTTATTTTTTTGAAAAAAAAAAATAAGATTTTGTTTAGTTAAAACCGGGTGTTATATGTATTATTCTTGCTGGTCGGTATCGTGGAAAACGTGTTGTGTTTTTAAAGCAGCTTGATGATATGATTCTTGTTACTGGTCCTTATAAAATTAATGGTGTTCCTCGTATGTTTTAGTTTTTTTTTTTTGAAATAATCTTATTTTTTAGTCCGTAGGGTTAATCCAGCATTTGTAATTGCATGCTCTGGTATAGTCATTGATGTTTCTGCTGTGGATCTTACGAAGTATACCAAAGAGTACTTTTCTCAGAATGTCAGGTCATTGAAACGTGGTAAAAAAAGTACTACAGAGGATGAGTTTTTTGGTGAAAAAAAGACAAAACAGTTGGATGCTTCACGTATTGCGGATCAAAAAGAAGTTGATTCTTCTATCCTTAAGTCAATTTGCGAGATTCCACATTTAACAAAATATCTTTCGTCTACTTTTTCCCTTAGTAAAAACGATTTACCCCATATGATGAAATTTTAGTTGGTCTCTTAGGGAAGAAGGCTTCACAAGAAACACACATGTGTTTAACATCTACATATTTATTAAAATGTTTGTAGTTTATTAATTCTTTGTTTTGTGATTTATTTGATTATGAATTCTAATAAATGTAAAGTCTAATTTATTATGGACATTTACAGACAAATATTTCATGGTTAAATTTATATATAGGAATATTGAATAGTTCTAGTTTGAAAATGCTTAAAAAATTTTAATCTTATTTTCCCCCCAATAAAATGAAATCGTGAAAAGAATGCAGAGGATTAAAGAAAGAGTAGTAGTAAGGCCAAAGTATTTAGAACGTAGAAAATATCTACATTATTTGTAGTAAATCTATTTTTAAGTTGCTGGCATCGTTTCTGGAATTTGTGGTTGCATAGGTCGATTTTGTTCTGCCATGGCCCGGTTAAACGCAATACCAACACCTTCAAAAATTGCTAATAAACATGCACAACCAATAGCTGAGTTTCTAATTGATCGTAAATCTCCACGTATTGCCAATGTACCTCCTGTTAAAAATCCGGCCAAAATTGCATTCCTGGACATCTTAATACTCAGGAAAAAAGCTTTCCAACAAACCATGGGTCTTCTTTTTTCCGTATGCTTTTTACTGCACAATCAAATGATGAAAAAACGCCTCCCCAGACTCCAAAATTTCCACCTAAAACAGGTGCACGAGCTTTTGCCGCTGCAATAGCTCCTATAAACTTTTCTCCTGATGGAGAGTTCCGAAACCCTTTGACTGAATGCCATAAACCTCCTCCAATAGCACCCATTGCAAAAGCACCTCCAAAATCTGACAAAATCTCCTCTAATTTAGTTTCTTTTTTATAAAAAAGCACAAACTTACAACATATGGACTATGCTTTTATTAGAAAATCTTATTTGCTTATTTTATTTTGTTTTTATGCTAAAAAACTTACCAAGGATCTCTAGAATGATCATGATATGACATGTTCGTTTTTTGCGCACGAATACCGGAGGGTGGGTGCCCGTATCAGCTAAGAAAGTATAAACGAGTTGATTTTGAGTAAAGATAATAGTGTCTTTAATCCTCTGATTATTTATATATATTCTTCTAATGATAGTATTTTGTCTTATGTCGTTGTTTGTAAACTCTAGAGAATGACCAAACTACATTTTGTTTAATTTTGCAAAAAAGAGTATATTAAATACAAATAATATATGTTTCTTTATTCTCCTTTAGTCGTGTGTATGAGAAGTGTGTATTTCTGAGTTTGCAGAAGCCCACTCTTGCATTGCTATTTCATGTGTTTTGTTCAGCCGAATAAATCCACAGCGTTTGAGGACTTGTTCCCATGAATGATTACGAACAACATGCTCAATTTGTTTTTCCTGATCAATTACAAGTTTTAAAATGCTACGATTTGTTGTTTTCATTTGTATTTTGTTTGAAAATGAATCTTTTTGTAGATCAGATGATATTGGTAATGCTGCCTCATTAGCAACCGCCTCACAATACACTAATAGCGAAGAACGTGCTTCCCAGACACTAAAAAGCTTCTGAATAAATGCCATGCATGCTTCTGTGTCTGGTTGTAAAGGAGCATTTGAGTATATAGGTTTTGTTTTAGTTGATTCTGAAGTAAATGGTTTTGGTACAGATAAAGAGTTCAAATGAAATGTGATTGAGTCTTCAGAAGTTAATATTTTCTGTATTATTTATGTTTATATCACCATCTAATTGTGCACGGCTTAATCGTAAAAAGTCTAAACTATTTTTAACCATTTTTAAACGTATTTTTATAGTTTAAACGTACTTTTAAGATAAGATATATCAAAACAAAGTGTTGGATTTGTTTTAAATGATAATTTTTCCATATTTACGTGTTATTTAGGTTCATTAAGGCTCAAAATACAGCTGACTTTTTTTAAAGATTCTGATAATCTGCGATGAACGTTGTCTATATAATGCGGGGTAAAGGCAGGGCTAAGAAATAAAAAGAAAGAAAAAATACACAAATTAGAGGAGAAAGAATGTTTTATATGTCATTTAAGTTAAAAAGAGGTAAAATGATATACACTATGTTTAAAAGCCCTTGTTTTAAACATGATTTATCATAAAACACTACGCAATAGGAATAGTAGAATTATCTACAAGGCACTTGCACCTACAAGATTAGAGAAATACAAATAAGAGGAATGAATAAACCAGTAATGATGTCAATTAATTCTGTAGTAATTACTGCGTAAAAAAATCAGTTGAATAGTTTAAAAAAGAAGGAACTTATCTGTCGTTGACTAAAGATATGTTAAAAATATAAGATAAATATTTTTACTTACCGATTATATGATATTTGGAATTTTTTAATCATTTCTAGTGCATTTTTTGATGCGTTGTCCATTGCATTACGTCGAGCAGAAATCTGTGAATTGGGTATTATATCAATCAAAAAAAAAGAAATATACTTCACATGCATGACTTTCAACAAGAGAAGAGAAAATGCTTGTTGCGAGTGAAAATTCTTTGAGATTCGATAAGACGTCATCTTCAATTTCATATACATCAATATTTTCTTAAATAATTAAGCTCAACGTAGATTAGATAAAAAAGACTTACCAGAGTTCTTGAAAACCTGTTCAGAATAGACAGTCCTTATAATTGGTATATATGAAACAGTGCTTTTGAGCTGGTTATATATAATATCGATAGTATCAAATTCTTTCTTTGATAGAAGAATTTCGTGAGCAATTGCTTGTGCATCCGAGAATCTAGGAATATCTTTTCCAACATGGCTGAATGACATTATTATATTTTTCGGAATGTATCGTGAAAGCTGCATTTTAGCCTTATCTCCAAGTACAACAATTTGACCTTCCGGATTTTTCTCAATTAGTTTTCGAGTCATTTTAGTAATTTGAGAGTGAACTCCTCCACAAAGACCTTTGTCTGAAGAACAAACAACATAAAGAGTTTTTGGGTTTTCTGGTACTTTTGTTTTTGAATGAATAAAAAGTTCCTCATGAGAAAGACCATAGACTTTTGCTTTCTCCATTGCCTTCTGAGAATGTGTCATCTTTGTTCTACTATGCTTAATATCCTTTATAAACAATCAAATAAAGTTTTTACGATGCAACAGTTTTCATGGTTTTTGTAATCTTTTCAATGTTCTTAATGGATCTAAAACTTATATTAGATAACAAAATCTAGCAGAAATAAAGGTTTTTAGACTTTAAACGGCTCTCAATTTCTCTCAAAGTGGCCATATAGCGCGGTTGAAGTGTAATAGTAAAACTATATTGTTTTTGTTAATTTTAAGCTGAAAAAACGGCTCAAAAGGAATACCTGCAATGAAAAATACCTGTTCTATGTAATATACTTCTTCTAATGCACAGATTTAACATAATTTCAACTTTTTCTTGTGTTTAAATTTAAATGAATTTTTTGTTAGGTTGATCGTCGTTTTCTTTGCTTCGCTTTAACGTTAAGATATTGTGTTGATTTTTTTACAGGAAAAAAGACTCAAATTTTTGTATATTTTTGATAAATATATACGTTTAAACATTTTTTTCTAACAGTATTTTAGAATATTCTCTTTAACTTTTTTTCTCTTGTTTTTTTCTTGGATTTTTATTGTTGAATTTTTAGATTGAAATATCCAGTTTTTTTTTTTTGAAAATTAAGCTGCTATGTTTGTTAATTTATGAGATTTAGAGTATAAGATAGTACAGTTCTTTTTTTGTACCTTCTTTTGTCTTTTTTGCTGGTCAAACGAGTTTGTTTAGTTTGTTTAAACAAAGAAATAATTAAGTCTTAAAAAACCATGTCATTGGCGTTAAAAATAGGATTTTTGGTGATAAAGACTTTATCAAAGCCTATTGCAACGAATTTGAGGCGTCAGGCAAAGCAGCATCCTTATTTTCGAAAAATATGTGTTGATCTTGCACAAGTTATGCATAAAACGGAAGTACATATGAAGGCAAACTTGCTTGGTAAACAGAAAAGAACAAAAAAAGCACCGCCTTTAAATGAAGAGAATGCAATTGATCATGGTGCTGAATTTTTATCGGAGTCTTTTTTATTGTATGTGAATTTTCAGAGTATTTAATAAAATAATGCTAAAATTTAACAGTCTCATAGCAGGATCTTTGATATTTTATGAGGGATGGAGGACTCGTAAGAAAGAACAAACACGTAGAGATAAAGTGGCAGACGATATTGAGGAACTGCGAAAACAAATAGCGTCTTTAAGAATATATGTCGAACAATCAGTTTTGAAAAAAGTGATATAATGTTTTTTGAATAGTTGAATATAAATAAGAAAGAATTTTCCCAAAATGCAGCAATTATACATAAGTCGCTTGAAAGATTATAAATAATTATTTGAATGATAAATATTTTTCATGATCTTGGTTTTACTTAATGGCCTAAAATTGGTAAAAGAAAAAAGGGTATATTTAATTCATTAGATATTAGGGAATATATAACATTGCAAGTTTATATGATTATTTGTTTTTAGCTAATTTTGCATCTCTTATAGTTATTAAGTTTTGAATTTAGGTATATAATTGATATCTTTATAAATATAATACTCTTAATTATCCTAGCCTTTAATGAAGAATAAAGAAGCATATGTATCTTGATGAATTTAGATTTCTACTTTTAATAGTAAAATGCTATTCCAGTTACAAAAAATGCAGAAAAATAATTATAGCATTAAGATTAAAATGACTGATTTTTAGTGTTGTTGCAAAATGATTTTACACGTTTTATTAAGATTGATATTAAGATGTATTTTGTTCACGGTCAACTTTTAACGTCTATAAAATATCATTGTTAAAACAGGATATATAAAAATAATAAAAAACCTCTCGATACTTTGCAAGATATATTTTTAAAGACTCTGCATAATTTTCAAACCCCAATTTTGCCATAGCAAATAAAATATCTTCTCCATTTAATGTTTTGCGTTTTTCTTGATGACATTTTTCCGATGCTGTCTCTAAGGAATAAACATATTATTTAGTAAGATTTACCTTCTGATGTAATAAAACTAATGAACTCTGAAACACATTCTTGCATGCATTCTTTAGCTTTGCGTGCAACTTTAGCATTTTTTGGAAGTGCTAAATTGTATAAGAAATATTTAAAAAAAATGTTATTTTTAATCTACCTGTTTTCATAATACGTAAGACATTTGCAATAGGTAGTAAATGAAAGGAGTTTATTTCATCAGTATTATCAGTTATTGTTGCATCTTTCATAATTGTTAGATTTTTTTAAATCAATAAATATCGGTAATCTCTTATAGTTTGTTTTCTCCTTTTTAAAAAAATAAAAATAAAATACTAATTTTTTAAAAAAAATGTCCTATTTTATGAAATAATTTGATTCTTAATAGTATTTTCGTAATTGATAGGTTAAAAGAGTTTTTAGTAAAAAATGAGAATTAAAAAGATATAAATAGTTTTTTGATTATTAAAAAATTATTAAACTTGAACTTAATAACAATAAAATAACAAAAATTATGTGATTCGTTTTTTTAGAATTCCCAATCTGCAGTTGTAGAGGCAGCCCATGCAAACTTTTCACGTAAAGTCTGCAAATAGTTAGATAAAAATATGTAAAATTTTGAAATTTTGATTATATTTATAAACCTTTGTAAATACGCGTTCAATATTAACGCCATATTTTGCACACCATGCGTATGTTAACCGAGGATCACTATATAGCTTAAGTTAATGTAATAATAAATAATTAAGTACAAACATATAATTTATTTTTGATGTTCCTAATGCAGTAGTTTTATTTTCATCTTTATCAATCATCATTGCTTTCATGTTTCTAATTCGTTCATTGATTTTTTCAATTTGACGGTCTAATTTTTTTATTGTTAGCCCTCTTGTTTTTGGCTCAACTTTTCCAGTTTCATTTTCTATTTTAAAACTTTTCTCCATTTCATCTACTTTTTCAAGTAATTTTTCTAAGTGACTTTGTGGCATTGGTTTTTCATTTTGATTTAAAAGTTTTTCATTATCTTTTTCAAATTTTTTTATAATTTTGTCACGCTCTTTTTCTAGCAAAGTTATCTGGTGTTCTTTGATCCATTCTTCCTCAACATCTGAAACTTTTTCTGACAAATCTGGGCGTTTTTTTTTCAATTGCGGTTCTATAGTTAAAATAGTTTTATATAAACGTATTTTTTGATATTTTAATGCCAAAATCTAGATTAAATTACAATAATGATAATAAATAGCTTTAAAATTACTTTATCTTCTATTCTTTCCATTTGTGCATCATGAGCTTTACTAACTGTACGTTGATGATTACAAAGAATAGCAACCATACGATTAGCTCGATTGTATGCTAATACTTTATCTGGTATAGAAGCATCAGATGGTGTATTTTTAAGCTGCTCAGACATGGTATATGACGCGTTATGAGTACGGAATACTTTAGCAGATAAACCAGGCATTAAACTTGTTAAATGATTATTTAATTTAGAAGTCTAAAAAAATAAATAATTTACAAAATATTGTAATAAAACTTACATTAAGACGATCAAAAAGCATATCACCTTCTGTTTTGGGTGGTCGTTTAAAAATTTTTAAATTTTTGAAAACTTGTGGATCAACTTGTACTTCATTATAATATCTTATAGAATCTTTTCCAAGAAAATCAAAGACTACAGTATTTGGTGGGCTTAAAGATACATGTTCATATCTTAATGAGCAGCATCCAACTGTATCTGCTTCATCTTCACCTTTTTCGTTTCCTGCTCTAAGAGCAAATACATCAATCAAATACATTGCCGTTGCTCTTTGACGAATTTCTGTAAGTTCATCTTTAAGTTCTTTTCGATATTGTTTTCTAATATCATCAATATACATCTAAGAAAATGTTATAGATGTTATTAATTATTAAATTTATATACTTTAAGTTTTCGTGCTTTTTCATATTTTTTAAAGTCACTTTGACCTTTTAGAGAGCTACCTGCACTTAAAAATACATATTTTACATTATTATTGACATTTTCATTCCATGTAGCAAGCCATGTTACTGTATTATCATGCCGTATTTCTTTCCATGTATGCCCAGGAGGAGGAGAAGGAACAGTTGCATCTTTTCCTATATTAATAATAACTTGTTCTGGAAGAACCCTCATCTTAAAAGCAATTAACATTGAATTAACGGAAAAAACTATAGATTACTTTTAATTTTCCTGTTTTAGGATGATCGCCTCGTCCACGAAATAGCCCTGGAGGCTCAATTCTAAAGTTACCTACTTTTTCTTTACGCCCATCAAGATAACAATATTTATATTTTTCTTCTAATGCATCTTTTTCTTCTTTTAACTTTTTTTTTTCTTCTTTAGACATATTTTTCTTTTCTTCTTTTTTCTTTTCAAAATATTCAAACATAGGTGTAAAATCACATTTTTCAAATGTTTCTGGAATAAAAGGCTGTATTACGTTAGATATTATATATATATGTATATGTATGTTATTAACCGCATTTGTTTTTTTACATATTTGTTGAAAATCATTAAAAAAGTTTTTTTGAAAAGTTGGATTTTTGACGTGCTGTTCTGAAGATAACATTGCACCAAAAAATCCTGCAACTTCTTCTGCTTCTGGGGGAAGGTCAATTGGTTTTCCATCATACTTCATTTTAACATAAGAGGGAAGTGGTTGATATGGAGGTGGAAATATGACACCGTTATGCTCCAATGTGGTCCATTTAATTGTTCCATCTCCTTGTTGTTGTTCCCACCATTTATAGTCTTCTTCTTCTTCTTCTTTTAACTTTGATAATTCATGATTTTCTGATTTTTCAGAATTTGACTTTTTAGGAATTGGTGTTTTTTTTTTCACTTTATCTTCAGACTGTTTAGCTTTTTTATTAGCTTCTTGAGTAGACTTAAGACTATTTTCTGTTGATAGTCTATTTTCAATGTTATTTATTTGTTTTGGTTTTGTTACTTTTTTAGTCGATTTTTTGTTTTCTTCAAATGAATTAATGCCATGATTTGCTTCTAAATTATTGTTTTTCCCTGATTTTTTTGAATTCGAATTATTTGAAGATTTCTTATTTGATACAGATGAGATTGAATTCTTCATTTGAAAATCTGAATCTTCGTCTAACTCAGAAAGCTCAGAGTCACTATCGGTAAAGACATCCATGTTTTCCTGTTAAATCTAGTCAGTATCATTCTCCAAACATGAATGTGTTTTAAAACAGACCTCTTCTTTCAATTTTTGTGTTTTTTTTGGATATTTTTTCTATTAATAATTAACTGTGATATGTTGTTTCAGGGACAAAATACCGAAGGTTTTTCATTGTCACTAGACTCATCTTCTGATTTAATAATACTCTTTGCACGTTTGTTGTTCTTTTTCACCACTGAACACTTATTTTCTCCATTTGTTAATATAAATGTCTTATCTTTCTCGTTTCCTGCTGATGAACATAAATCTTTTATATATTTCTTTTTTAATGTCTTACTTTCTTCTTTTGAGCTTTTTGGTGTATTTTTTATATTATTTTTATGAACCATTTTCCATTTAAGACTTAATAAACTGTCTTTTTTGATTTATAATAAATTTATCTTTTTAGACACTAATTCACTCAAAAATCCGCGTTTTTTCCCGCTTTTTGAAAACTAAATAGAAATACACAAAATATATATGGAAAATGACTAAATCATTAGAAAATTCTTTTTTATTCTTACTTTATTAGAAAACATGTATATATGATTAATGTTTGAAGATCTTCGATAGTCAGAGTTGTCAAAGCAACCATCTCGATTCCTTTTTGTTGTTACGCTTTAGACGTATCGAAAATAAGAATAATTAAATGTGTAGGTAATTAAGCTTTAAAAAGCAGAATTTGTTTATATTTCTAGATTTATGATTGTTTTTAAGCCTTTTTTTGGATTTTATTTTATAATGTGGGTTTTGGCGTGAAAAAAAAGTATAAATATTTGTCGAATACCAATACAGATGATCTCGGCAAATGCAGGAGAACAAGTGTTAATGGGGAGTTCTTCTCATGAAAAATATGTTGTATCCAATGAAGAATATCATAATCTCCCTTTGAGTGATGATGTGCAAAAGGCTTCTAATGATACACCTCAGCAATTGAAACAAATCAACAAAAATGCAAAGCCATCGAGTCTGTGTTATACGCCTCCAATGCATATTACAGATAGAAAAAGAGGAAGGGAATATACGCGGTCAGTGCTTCTTGGAGAAGTTAGAATAAGAATATCGTTCTAAAGACTCTGATGTGTGTGTAGGGTGGTTTTGCACGATGTTTTTTAGTTACTAATGGACGGGGTGCTCGGTTTGCAGCAAAGGTGATTGCAAAAACAACATTGCGTTCTATGAAGAATAGGACCAAGGTTTGTGTTATGTTTTTGTGTTTTTTTTTTATATTTGTAGCTTTTTGGAGAGATCAAAATACATCAAAGCATGGATCATCCGAATATTGTTAAATTTATTGATTGTTTTGAAGACGCAACAAATGTTTATCTTATCCTTGAGCTATGTGAAAACAAGGTGAGTTTTAAGAGGTCATGACTTAATTGGTACATTGTTTTATAGACACTTATGGATATGTTACGTAAACGAAAGCGTTTTACTGAGCCCGAGTGTCGTTTTTTTTTGCTTCAAGTTCTTGGTGCTACTAAATACATGCATTCTAGAAAAGTAATCCATCGTGATTTAAAACTTGGGAACCTTTTTTTGGATGAAAATATGAATATAAAAATTGGAGATTTTGGACTTGCTGCGCTTTTAATTAGTGATGATGAAAGAAAAAAAACAATATGTGGGACACCAAATTATATTGCTCCGGAAGTTTTGTTTGGGAAACAAGAAGGTCATAGTTTTGAAGTTGATTTATGGGCAGTGGGAATTATTATGTATGCTATGCTTATTGGTAAGCCGCCTTTTCAGTCTAAGGAAGTTAAAGCTATATATAAGTAAAAATAGCCTAGAATATTGATAACCTATTGATTTTCATAGAAATATTCGAGAAAATAGATATGTTTTTCCTGAGGATATTCCTATTTCTTTAGAAGCAAAAGACCTTATTGGATCATTATTGGATACTGATCCTTGTATGGAATGTTAAGGTTAAAATTATTTTAGCTAAAGAATTTAGTAAATCGACCTTGCATTGATGAAATTGCTGAACATCCTTTTTTTCATATTGGATACCTTCCTACTGAAATACCAACGCATGCATTATTACAAGAACCAGTATGGCCTAAAGATCATCTTTCAATAAAAAAAAGTCAAAGTTCATGGAGCAATGTTGCTTCATGGTGTGGTATTGGGAAAGGTCGTAATATTGGAGGAAAGGAAGGACAAACAGTTAGTATGGTTATGGAAGTATTGGAAAATGAGAATATCTTGCCTATTTCTTTGTCACATGAGAATCGCCCTCGACCTGTAATGAAAATAGCTAAATCATCGGCAAATTCTAAATCAAATTTGTCAAGATGTTTTTCTAAATGTTCGCTTGTTGATCGAAAAGAAAATTTAAATCCACAAGACTTCATGAAGTCTGCAATAGATGCAACATCAAAGGTATCTACTAAAGAGCCTTTAATAAATGAAGCCAAGGATATGGAGTTGCTAAATAATATTTGGCAAGGTCTTCGAAACATTGCGCTGAATTTAGATTGTGCATTAAGATTGCGTTCTAAAAGAATGCCACCTGAATTTTGTTAGTATTTTTTATTTTTTATTCCTTTATATTTAATAAAATAGATGACGCATCTACTATAACATCTCCATTATTTATTAATAAGTGGGTTGATTACTCTAATAAATATGGTTTAGGTTATCAACTTTCAAATGGTTCTATTGGAGTTTATTTTAATGATTCAACTACTTTGATTCTTTCAAGTGATGAGTATCACTTTGATTATATTACACAATCTGAAAAAAGTACTTTTAAAAGGCGATCATTTACTATTGAAAGGTTTCCTTCGGACGAGTTAGATAAAAAGGTTTATTTGCTTAAATATTTTAAAAAATATATGATTCAAAATCTTTTTAAAGCTGAAGCATGGTCATGTAATGTAGATGATTTTCAGTTAACAGGTATTAAAAATATGTCTTTTATGACAAATTATTTTCGAACTAAGCACGCTATTATATTTCGATTAAGTAATCAGTCAGTTCAGGTTAGTTTTTCAATTTTTTATTCAGTTTAATTTAAAATTTAAGTTTAATTTCGTGGATCATTGTAAATTAATTTTATCTGATAATGGGAGAACAGTTAGATTTATTGACAGTAAAAGAGAGTTTCATACATGGTCTCTTGGTAATGCTCTAGAGCCAGGTCTTTGTGATGATGATGTTTCTGAGAAATTTAAGTTTGCTAAAGAGGTGTTATTGAGCTGGGCTGATAAAATGGAACCTTATACTTAACATGTATAGAAGCATTGAAATATTTTTTATTTTATAATGATTGCATTTTTAAACGTACTAGGTCTTTAAATAACGATTAATTATTTAATAACAATATATTATTATTATTTGTAATTTTTATATTTGTATAATTTTGATATATCCTGATAGCCGTAAATAATGTTATTTTTAGTTTAAGGTCGTTAATTGATGTAAAATATTGTTTTAAAAAATTTTAGATTTGATTTAAACTTTTTTTTATGAATATGTTGAAGTAATTTGAGTCAAATTTTTAAATTATTTTATATTGATGAAATTAATGTTTATATTTTATTTTTTTTAATTTTCTAGGTTATTGTACATTTACTTAATAATTATTATAGATATGTTCTTAAATTATGATTTATAAACTACAGTAGCTTTTAATTATGTAAAAAAAAAAAATAAATTATATTTTAAATATTTGCATATTTTTATTAATCTATTAGAATCTACTAGAATTAAATTCTAGATAAATATTAAGTTATATTGATATTGATAAATTTCATAAAAATTTAGACAGATTATATAATGATAGCTCACAATTAAAGAATATATATTAAGATTACAGAGTTATGATACATTCAAAGTTGAAAATTTACCAAATTAATGTTAAAAAAGTAAAAACAAATAACTATAATTATAACATACTACGCATTTTTTACCATACGAGATAATTATAAAGTATACAATAGCTTTGATTTAGTTTAAACTTGATATTTACTTTTGATTTATTTCCGAGTTATTTTCATTATTTTCACATGAACTTTTAATATTATTTTTACTTTTCTCTTTATTTTCTTTGGAATTTTCATTTTTCGAGTTAATAATTCCATTTTTAATCCAATTATTTATTTTAATTTCTAATTTATTTGCTTCTTCATTATTTTTTAAGCCCATTCTCCATCCATTTTTACCGTTAAGTCTTTCTTTCCAGATATTTTGTCTTTTTTTTTTAAGCTTCAGATATTTTTCTTTATCTATTCTTCTTTTGTTCACACTTCGAGCAAATGAATCTTCTGTCTCTTGTACAAAGAAAATTTTGTATGTATTAACACAAATTTTGATTTCTAGGCCAGAAGAAACATAATTTTCATCAATTAAATCTACTGTACGCTGTGCTTCTTCTTCTTCATTTTCATCATCTTCCTCATCATCAAGAGGTAAATTTCTTTTCAAAAATGTTGGTTTAACAAGTTCAGATGCAACACCTTCTGTAGGGCTTGACATAACAAATGCATCAATATAATACGACCATTTTTCTTCCGCAGAAACAGCTTGATCTAATGTTAGATCATCTTTACCAATTAATTGAATACTTAAAGTCTTTTCTTGATCGTTCTATTATAATTAGCTAATAATTGTATTTAATAAACTAATTTATACCCATTCAATACGATAAAGTGATTCTTCTGGACCAAGAATAGATTCAACCTGTACGCGATAAATAATTTGCTGTCGAGGAGTAGTTTTAGCTAATTGGCGATCTTTTTCAAATAAAAAAATTATTTCAGCACTTTTGGTATCCGTTATTATAGAATGTAGCTAAACAGTTAATATTATTTAAAATTCCAAGTAAACTTACATGTTTTATCATTGCTGAAACAACTTTATCAACAGTATAAAAAGGGTACCCATTAATTCCATACATATATCGCAAAATATCTTCAAAACTATTTTGTTCAATGTCATTTTGAATAAATTTTCGACAAAATCCAAGAAGCTGTTGATAATACGGAACATTTGGGAGAACAGGAAGTTCAAGTTCTGATAAACGATTAACATGAAGTCCTAGCTCTATTGTTATGGGGTTTGGTTTTTTGGCTTGATTTTCAGCCACAACTTTGTCTTCTATAGATTTTATTTTTAATAATCTTGAATAAAGCATCTAAAAAAGTAAGCCAGTTTAAATTTTTATATGAAGACATACATAAAATATTCTATAAAAACAATAAAATGATGAATTTGTAAAAAAATTGTAAACATGTCTTTTTTTTTTTACATTAGATGTTTGACTTAAAGGAGTACTAGAGTTTGAAATAGGCTCTGAAGTCAAATCTCCTTTCTTATGTTGTATCCATACCTCAGTTGCTCTTTCTGCTGATTCTAATATATTAGAATTATTTATATCATTTTTTATCGAATCATTTTTTTCACTTGAAATATTTTTAAATGTATTTTCCAAATTAAAATCTTTATTTTGTCCATTAATAAAAGTTTCACTTTTATCTTTTCCTTGTCCTCGTCGATTTTTCTTTAAAACATCTTTTAATAAATCAGAATCCTTTGATCGTTTCTTACTAGGTGTATTTTCTATTTGTGATGAGGGTTTTTCTAAAGGATTGACTGAGATTTCTTCTGAATTTTCATTTATAAATGTATCAATACGGTTTGCAACTGTTTTTTGGTCTAATTCGAAAAACAATGAGAAAAAGTATTTCAGAAACTTTTCTAGCTTTTCCTTATCATTTATGGATACACCGGGTGCATGTTCAAGTTGCTTTGAAAGTAAACACAAGATATCTATTAATATATCTTGATCTTGAAATTCATATTTAAATTGAGATTTTGATTTTGACTTAGAATGATTTATGCATGCCTCTCGCTGTTGCTTTCTTAACGTATCAATCTCTGTTAATAGAATTCTAGATGTTATGGCTTTTTTGTCATTTGATTTAAATGTTATTCCTTGATGATCAAGACTTTTATAAAAATTTTTATATTCAGTTTCTCTCCAAATTTTATTCCATTCCCGCTATATTGTATTTAGAAGCTCTTTTTACAGAGATATATAGAAATATTACCTGAGCTCTCTTCCATTCTTCGTCTTTTTGTTTTAATCTTTTTAAAATGATAGGAACTGCTACTGCTGGATTTTCATGCAATGCATCAATAACTTCTAAACCTTGCTCCTTATCATATACTTTTTTTAAAACTTTTTGATATATGCTTGTAGACTGACCTCCTAGTCCAGGAGGAAGGCGAAATGAATTTTTTTCTTCATTTGACATATTTGAAATTTGTTGTGCAATAGGCTCTAAAAGCTGTATAGTACGTAAGTTAACTTCAATGTTTAAATCATAATCATAACGTTCTTCTTCAACTTTATGAAGTGTTTCTTCATACTGATTTTTTTTGTGAGCAACAAACCTAGAATCCTCTGATGCCCATGTTGGATGGCTTACCCATCCATCATTCAAAACTTCCCAACACATTTCATCACGCCCAGAACATGGTAATAATGTTTCCTTAAAATAATTAAAAATATAATTTCGTTATATTAAGAAGAAATACTGATTTAGGCAATAATCTATAACTAGGTCCATATGCTTTGCACAGCATAAGATCTACCTTAGGACGAGGGGCAGGAATATTTTCGATAACATCGTCTTTTCCATTATAGCCAACGAAACGCTTAAACCAGTCCATAAGTTCCTCGTTTACACCAATAAAATTATAGACCCTCTCAACCAACAAATTTTTATCTAAAATATCCTGACTAAATAAATTTAAAACTTTAAGAAATTCGTTATAAGTTTGCTTGTTTCCAATAAATTTTTTAACTTTATCAAAAAACGATAGTTCTTCAGCTGATGCAGAGGCATGTGTAGGAGGTTCAATAATTTCAGGAACAGAAGGCATAAGAGCTGGACTAACATTTGAAAGATCTATACTTGGTTTATGATAATGCTTAGAACGCTAAAAATGTTAATTTTTTGAAAATATTAGATATATTTAAACTTTTGATTGGTTTTGTCCAACTGGCGTATTTTGTTCAGAACTTTGAATTCGTTTTTTTTTATCTTTAGACGTAACATTCGAAACAACAGTTGGTGGTGCGAAATTTCCTACAGGTGGTAATCTAGGGCCTACTGCAAATAAACTGCTATTAGAAGCATTATTCTCAGGAAGAAATTGCTTAAAATCATCGAGAAGATCTGGTGCTGTTTTAAACAAAATTGTTACTTCAGCATATACATCTTGAATAGATCTTTGTTCTTTTTGATAAGTTTGCAAAATTTCAAGAAATCGTTTATAGGTATCAGGTTCATTAGAAAAACGATTCTAAAAATTAATATAAAAAACTAACATATACAAACTATACCTTTATTTTATTTACATAATTGATTGCATGATTAAATTCAACTGGTGCTTTTTTTCCTGTCATAGAAATCCCATTATCTGGTTGACTTAAAAAATTAGTTCATTATCATGAAAATTAATAACTCTAAATACTTACTTGTATATATTACTATCCTGTATTGTAGACCATGATTCGCGCATTCCTTCTTGTGTGGTAGACAAAGAGCTTCCTAGTCCTGAATGTGTCATCATTGTACCTAAAGGAGTAATAACACGAATAGCAGTAGGGTCTGAAGGATCCAATGAACACTCAACTCTATACCCAGGTGGAAGAAATGTATTGAACCCTTGAACTAAATTTGGATGACCACGAAAAAGTGTAGAAACTCGTTCAATGACGCCTAATGTGTCAATACTTCATTAACCGTAAGATTTTGAAAACATTATATACAAATTTAAGTTCACCTTTGAGACTTAAAATCCTTCATAATATCAAGAAACCTATTGTACACATCTGGTTGTTCAGAAAACTGTATTTTTACTTGATCAAGATATGAAAGCGCGTCTTTGACATTTAACGGTCTATAAACTGGATTCTGGATATTCACATTAGGAGGCTGGCTACCTAATGGAGAGTTTGGGCGATCTTGAGGCACTGGCATAGAATTTGAAGTATGTGGTTGATGTGACTGATGTGAGTCATGTGTAGGTGGTTGTGCTGGCAGCTGTTGATGCAAGGAAGGAAGTGAATACCGAGCTGAAGAAGGCAAAGGAGGTGGATGTCCAAGAGGAATTGAATTGTTATTTGGCAAATTAGGTGTCATAAGTGATGAAAGAGGATGTGATTGCTGTGGAGCATAAAACTGACCAGTATTTGGTGTATCTGTAAAACACAAATAAGTACTGGTAAAAATAAAAACAAAAATAGAAATCCTCCTGAAACAAATTCAAAGGTTTCTTACTTGAAGAAGGTGCCTGGTTCATATTTAAAAGAGGAAGCATTGGTCCGTGCTGTTCATTCGGTCTAAAACATATTCCCTATTAATTTCTTTTTCATAAAACCATCAAAAACAAAAAAACACACCGAAAAGGTTGAGAAATAGGTTGAAACAGCCCTCCATTTCCTCCGCATGGTGTCCCCCATTTGAACGATTCCTCACTCATCTATAGTCTTTTGTTGACTTAAAGTGTTTTTTTTTAATTAAAATTTATTAGATAAAATGACAAAAGAATATTATTTAAATTCTTTTTATTTCCTTCTTATTTTTTGTTTGTTTCTTGTTCTTTTAAAGACTTTTTGATTAGATAATTTCTTAGACATTCACTCGGATTCGATATTCTCGAGCGGAGAATTAAATCGAGACATTTAATATATCTGGAGAATGTATAATTGAGAAGAAATATTTAAGATAATGAATAAAACAGATATAATTTGTTAAAAATAGCGTGTACAAAAATTTATTTGTTAAGACCTAATAAAATACAAAAATTATAGTTAAGCTCAAAATGGTAGTAATAGAAAAGAATAAGAAATTGAAAGATGTATATAGATAAATATGGGTAAATATATGTTTGAATATGTCTGTTCTTGAAGATGTAATAATAAATCGAATGATGGTAGTAAAAATGAAAAATGAGATGACATTATTTGCTTATGAGTGACTAAAAGATACCAATATTATGATGATTTTTAGTACTGAGCAGACCATGTTTTCTTTGTCGTTGTTCTGAAATGAAAGAAAAAAAATAAATTAAACTTGAAAACATTGATGAATGAATTGATTGTCTGAATCAGTTCGTATAAACAGGGAGTAGTAAAGTCATTGATCCGATCAACAGATGACTATTTACTTTCTAGTATTGAAATTTGGAGTCTGGGGAAAATTTTTTGAATTTCTTTGGTTTGTTTATGAATAAAGTTTTTGAGTAAGGATGTACTTATATTATTACTGGAAAAAGCATGCGAATTTAAGCCTACTAGGTCGATCATTGGTGAAGAATAATGCTGTAGATACATCTTGTAAGTTACAATTGTCTTTTCTGTTGTAATTGGTATATCTAATTTTAATTGGTTAAGCTTTTGTTTTATCTCTTTAATTTTCAACATTAATTCTTCCACTTTACATACACCAGAGAAAATAGAGTTAATGTCATTATTAACTGTATTGATACTGTTATGATAAATATAAATACCAAGAATTATATCGATATTGTGAGCTATAGATGCTTCTCCAATTATTTTTAATGCATTAGGATCACTGTTATATATACAAAGAGAATTAAACCCCTTCTTTGGAATTAGTTTTAGATTGTAATCAATATCTTCTTTTGTTTTGCATAGACCCTCTTCTGTATATGGTACATAATTAAGATACCATAAATTATGTTTCAATAGAAATTTATTATTAAGATTAGAATCTAGAAATTTTTCTTCTTTTTCCTTATCTGTGTTTTCTTCATATTGAGATCTTTTTTTAAGAAAATTTATTCCATTCGATTCATTTATATTTGAAGCCTCAAAATTTAGTGCATTTTCTGAACTTTCTTTATTTTCGTTGTCTAAATCATCATTCAAGATTGATTCAGTTATATGATCTGTATTATCTATCAATTCACAAAACATTTGACTAGGATCGTCTTTGTCAAAACACCCAAAATCGCATTCTTCACAGGAACATTCTTGAACTAATTCGCTATCAGAGCATTCTTCACACTCGTCACCACAATATTCTTCAGAATCTTCATTATCATTTTCTAATAAGTTATTTTCTTCAAAAATACCCGATATTAGACTTAAAAATATCAGTATAATTTATAACAAAGATAACTGCAAACAACTTTTCACTAGAAATAAAATAATTTTTGAGATCGGTCGTTTTACTTGCTTCTTTATATACAAGATTTGCTTGTTTTGCATCTAATTGTCTTTTTAAAAGAGTTTTAAACGCTCTATCTTGATCATTAGTAAATCCTGCTGCTTTTGAAGATTCTACAGGAGGGTTACTCCTTTGTTGTAGATGGTTGACTTGGTTATGCATTTTCAATTTCTTTAATCTTCGGTAAATCAAATGATTTTTATATGAAAAATCATTTAAATCATCCCATTTACGTTCTATTGTATCTTCTGAACGTTTTGAATGTTCTACAGGATTTGCATTCTCTTTATTATATATGTTTCGTTTATATGATCTAAATTTTATTCTGTTCAAAGTTTCTTGGTTGTTTGCACTCCAAATATCCTGAAAAAATAACCAAAAAAAAAGCAAAAACAGATTGAATATCATTTTTATTAGATTTTTATAGATCCCCTAATAACTTTTTATAGATTCACGCTTTTATATTTTAATTTTTAAATATGCTCTGTACTACGCGTAATATGTAATATAATAAAATCCAGAAACGCGTTAAGTCCATTATGTCTACTTTTCTATTTTTGAAGACATACTAAATTAATTTAGCTCTATTTTTGTTTAATTTCATCTTAATTTACATTTACTAATAAGAAAGAAGAACTTATGTTCCTTACTTGATTAAACACCTTACTAATTGAGAAAAACATATAAATAGTATTTTTTAGACTTCAGAGAGACGCGTTTTTAGCGTGATAAATACGTGTATAGTTTATGTTTTTATAGTTTAGGTATGTAAACATTAGTTCTAAGCTAATATTAAACTAAGCACGTTACTATACTTAATTCGAAAAAATGATAGTCAAATATAATAATAGACGTTAAAGATATATATTATTTGATATAAAATACAACTAAGCAAGAAAAATGGTTTAAAGTTGGTTAAATAGCTATTTATAGGAAAATAGTAAAAAGCTGAGGTAAAAATGTGTTTTTTTTTTATTTAGAAATGTTTTATAGAATGTGGTTTGAGTATAAATGTTTTATTATTTATTAGTTTTGTGTAATTAAGTATTAATTTTGTGTAATTAAGTATTAATTTTGTGTAATTAAGTATTAATTTGTTTAGAATATTCGTTAAATATGACTCGTAAATAAATTAGATGATGATTCAAAATGTTTAAAACTAGTTTAATAAGTGCTTATTGTGTATTGTCGTTTACTCTCTGTTCAATAAACACATCTGTATTCATGTTTATAAAGGGATGGATAGTTTCTGGTATGTAGAGTTTATAGAGTGGAAAATAGTTTAAGGAACAAAATCTTTCTCAATACTATTGGGAGAAATGCAACAGCGATTGTCGAAGCATTCTTCTCCACCAACGCATTCTAAGAGACAACAAGATGATCTCCTATTGTTGTTTTCGGTAAAAAAAGCCTTATGAGGATAAACACCTTGGAACTCAATCTGAAAAGGATGTTAATTTATATAAAGAGTAGATAAAAGATACCTGAATAGTACTTGAATGTATTCCATATGCATGAAGACATTGGCGAATTGATGCAATCAAATTCATGTATTTTTCTGCATTATCAGGAGAAAAGCCAATTAGAATATGTGCAGATGCAATTAGTTTCGTATCTGATAATTGCCATATATGAAGCTCATGGATAGAAATAACACCGCTTATCTGTTGAATGAATTAGTTAAAATGAAAAGATAATAAAAATCATACGCTTGAAATATCTTCTTTAATATCTTCAACATGAATATCCTTTGGTGCAACTTGAAGCAAAATTAGGCTTGAGGACTTTATTAAAGGAAGCGTATTAATAGAAATAATAATTGAAATAACCATGCTAATGAATGGATCTGCATAATATTTCCATGAATAATTACTTAGCCATATAAACAAAGCACTTATTATAACTCCAAAATTCCCTAATGCATCTCCAAGAACATGTAAAAAAACTCCTTTCATGTTTAGACTACGATATGGATATTTCGTAGGGCAGTTTTTTGATTTTGCATGATTATGACGATTATGTTCATCAAGTAACATTTGAACAGGTGTTTCATTAAAATTATTTCCAAATTCTCCTTTTTTTTCTTCAGGCGATATTCTAGTACAGTCCTTTGTATCTTTGTTTATGGTATTATTGTATTCAAGTGTATTGTTCATATGTTTATTAAAAATACGTCGATAAAAAATTTTTAATTTATTATAAATAGTTATTGGAAAACGACGTACGTCTTCGTTTGTTTCTTGATTATTATTTTCATCTTTGTCCTTTATGTTTTTATGATGATGTTTAAAATCATGAAATAGAAAAAGACCAAACGCATTACTAACCATACCTAAAATGCCAACAATAAGGATTAAAACTGGATTATGTATTTCTATTTACATTGTTAAAAAATTACAGATGTATTTCCTAAAAAAATATTTACCTTCATGTTTAAAAAATCTCTGAACTGCTTCAAGAAGAATAGCTAAACAAATTGCCAATAAAAAAACACCATTAATTAGTGCACCAAGCACCTCTGCACGTTGCCATCCATATGTATATTTTGCTGATGGGTTTTTTTTTAAAACAAGTTTTATAGACCATAATGATATTACAAGAGAAATAATATCGTTTAGCTATTTTCTATTAATCATAAAAAATATTTAATAATGTTCATGTACTAGATGAAATGAGTCTGTAATAAGTGCAAGAGAATTCAATATAAAACCTATTTACTATAAGATATTTTTAAATAATACTTATTAAAACTTTACCAATTACAAGTTCCGTTAGAAAAAAGAAAATATCAATAATTAATAATATAATAATACGTATTTTTCGAGATAAAACTTTTGACTTCATCTTAATAAGAGATGTGAATGGATTTTTAAGTAATAATAGAGCTTTTATCATATATTTTTCTAATTTATTGTTTTTATTTAAATTTTGTTTTTTAAAAGTTACATCGAAATAAATTGAATTTTGAAAAATAAACCTTAATGTTTAAAAATTCAATTATTTTGGAAAATTGTTAATAATAGTAAGGATTATATATATATATATATATTAGTATTAATGTTATTAATAGTTTCTATATCTTTTATTGGATTTTTTAATACAAAGTATTGAACAATTTTTGTCTATTTGAGATATCATTAAATGTATAAAGACATTTATTATTTATTTTATTGATAAATATATTAATTAAGGTCTTTCTTACTTTATTAGTGGTAACTGGGTTGTTTTTTTTGAAAACTTTTATAAATAAGATGGTTTTGTTAAGGAAATGTTTCAAAGATGTTTTTCACTATTGATAAAAAAGCATGCTTATCTGGATATAATTATTCTATGGCTTGTATTTATGTATATTCTTATTTCTCCTTATACAAAAATTGAGGAAAGGATGAATTTGCATGCAGTTCATGATATTCTTTCTTTTGGTGTAACTAAAGGTTTAAAAAATGTGAGAAGTATTTTTGATTGCTAACTTTTCTAATATCTAAAGTATGATCATTTTAAGTTTCCTGAGGCTATACCTCGGACATTTATAGGGCCGCTTTTAATATCTGGTTTTATATTTCCAGTGAAATGTGTATTAGAGTTGTTTTTTGGGGAATTAAAAAAGCCTTATCTTCAGATTTTACGTATGTTTATTTGTATTCTTATAGTAGGTTTGATGGTATTAGTTAGAGCAGCTTTAGGTGTATTTAATTCTTTGGCTATTATTATGTTTCGTCATAAAATTATTAAATGTTATGGTACTATCATAGGCTTGTGGTATGGAATTTTTCAATTGAGTCAGTTCCATATAATGTATTACGCGTCTAGAACATTGCCAAATATGTTTGCTTTTGGAGTTTGTATTTTTATTTTGCTTATTTTTAATTAATTATATAATTATTTTTAGGTACATCAATAATAGGTTATTTTCTCGAGAATAAGAACATATTAAAAGGTTTATTTGTTTTAACATTTGTTTCTGTCATTTTTAGATTTGAGATTATATTATTGACAATGACTTACGCATTGTATTATTGGGTTTGTAATGTTGTTAAAATACGAGAAATAATTAAAACATGTATTTTTTCTGCAATTATCGGGCTTTTTTTTAGTATTGTAGTTGATTCATGGTTTTGGCAAAAATACTTTTTATGGCCAGAGGGTGTAGCATTTTATTTTAATATTATAGAAGGAAAAAGTTCTAATTGGGGGGTAATTGTATTATTTTAAAGAAAAAAATAATTACACATTAAAAGGTTTCTGCGTGGCATATATATTTTTCTACATATATACCTAAATTATTATTAAACCCGCTTTTTCTTGTTTTATGGGGGGTTTCACTTTTTACGCGTACTAAGGATACTGTTAATTTATTGGTTCCAAATATAGGATTTGCTCTTATTTATTCTCTAGTTCCACATAAAGAGTGGAGATTTATTATTTATATTATTCCTTCTTTAACTGCTATAAGTGCTATTGGAGCAGCACATATGTAACATTATAAATAAACTTAAGTCTTTATTAATATGTATAGTTATAATAAAAGACATAAGTCATTAATGTTCATGATAATGTTGTTAATATTGATTGTTGTTACTATAATGACACTTTGTTTAAGTTTAATAATGTCTTTGATTTCTAGTTTGAACTATCCTGGAGGATTTGCTTTACATGTTATTCATAATGATTTTAATTTACGTGAAGGGGGTTTGTGAAATTATTTTTTTAAAAATAAAACAACTTAAAAGAATTAGAGAAAATTTACTTAGATACGTATACTCGCATGACAGGAGCAACTTTATTTTTGCAATATAATGAAAAAGTTATTTATGATAGGACAGAAAATCCAAAATTGTTAAGCAATTCTACTTTCTTTGAAACAATTGATTGGGTTATTAGTGATATATCTCTTTTTCAACCAAAAGGAAATTGGGAAATAAAAAAGTATATAAAAGGATACTCTGGGATTGGGAGTAGACAATCTTTTAACTCTAATATTTTAACAAAATTATGTCCAAATATAAAAATTGAAAATAAAATACAGGTTTTAAAAAACAATAAAAATCAGGATATATAGTCTTTTGTTTATTATAGAGATGAATTTAGAAATTTTGTTCAAGTTTAAGCAATAATTTTGTTCTAAATTCTTTTATTTTTAATCTAATAACATTTTGTTTTGTAAATTAAATAAGAATTTATTTGTTGTGAATGTATTTATTAAACTTTTATAAATTTATCTAAAAAAAGTACTGTTATTACTATATAGTTAACATTATTTCTGTTTTTCTGTTTCTAATGTTAAAAATAACTTGAAAATATACTGGACCACTAAAAGATACAAGTATTATTATTTTTTAAATTTCTAATTATATTCTTTTTTGTCTTTTGGTTCTATATTTGGATGGATCAATCTAGAAATCATGATATTAAGAAGTAATAAAATAAATATTGAAATTATTAAGTACAAAAAGAAAAAAAAAAATCACCAAAACTCAAAAATTATAATTAAAATAAAAACTTACAAAAAGAATTATAATAAAAATACTCAAGCGGGGCACAAACATGTTTTTTCAGTATCTAAGGATAATATATATTGCATGAATAATCCCTCTAAATAGCCATTAATAGAGTATATTTGTTTTTTATAAGCATACGGTATATATCCTAAGATTGTTAACAATATATTTATCAAAAAGTCTACCATAATATATTAAAATCTAATACAAAAATATCATAAAAACTTATACCTTTTCCGCATCCTTTTTCCATAAGAACTCCTAAAGGTGGAAAAAATATTGCTGAATATTATTAATTTAATGCTTTTATATATGTATATATTACCGAATAAAAACTATATCTTGTTAAAAACTAATATAACATATGTAGAAACAATACCTTGCAGATATCTGTACATGTAAGTGCCATTTTCTTTAATATTTAATTTTTAAAATTATTTTGAATTTTTTAAATTTCGCAGTTATGCGTATTTGAATTTATATAAATTCTGTAAATTTGTAGATTCTGAGATAAAAAATTGTTTAATTTTATACATGAAAACAGTATGAAAAGGAGAACGAAATACATATAAATAGAAAAAAAGGCTTATGTTTGTTAAAGGCGGTATTTTAGATATGAATAGTAAAATAAGAATATGTATATATCTGAAATAGATAAAAATTGATGGACTTGAATCTTTGAGATGATATTTTATCCAGAAAGGAGTGGTTTGAACAACTTATGAATTTATTGAATATAAAAATATAAGAATATAAATATTATGATTTAAGATAAACTTGAATAAAAATGAAATATTAATATACAACCGTATCAAGTGCTCTGGTTTGAAAATCTGCAAGGGTATTAAAAAGAATTAATTTATCTATCAACTTCTCCAAAAACAAGATCCATTGTACCTATGCTTTTTATTAAAATAGTTATATATAAAGACATGTTTTACCAATAATAGCAACCATGTCGGGTAGATAATGATTTCTAGAAATCATATCAGCACCAGCAAGATGTCTAAAAAGTTATTAGTGTAGAAAGAATATAATAAAATAGAAATATACGCAAATCCGGGTGCTCTAATTTTGCATCGATAAGGACGCTCACTTCCATCTGACACTACATAAACACCCATTTCTCCTTTTGGGGCTTCAATTGCAGTATATGTCTCTCCAGGAGGAACACTGTATCCTAATATCGAATTAGTATATGTTTATAAATATGAAGACTGAAAACCTTTAGTAAAAAGCAAAAAATGGTGAATCATTGCTTCCATATTTTCTTTCATTGCTGCTCGTGGTGGTGGAGAAATCTTCCAATCATCAACTTTGACTGGTCCTTCTGGCATTTTATTTAAACATTGATAAATAATATTTAAAGATTCCCTAAGTTCTTGTATTCTTATTAAATATCTATCATAACAATCTCCATTCTGGCCTACTGGAACACCAAATTCTACTTTATCATAAGCATCATAGGGAGCAACTTTTCGTATATCCCATGGAATACCACTGCCTCTTAGCATTGGGCCAGAAAATGAATAATTTAGTGCATCCATTGCGTTAACACGACCAATTCCAACTGTTCTTGCTTTCCATATTCTATTATCTGTCAATAATTCTTCCGTTTCATCAATACGATCTCCAAATTGTGTTGCCCAAGCATATATGTCATCTAATAATCCAATAGGTAAATCTTGAGAAACACCACCAGGACGCACGTATGCTGCATGAAGTCGTGCACCTGATACACGTTCATAAAACTCCATCTATTGCAAATTAATATATATTTATCTATATAAAATATATCACAAGTTTTTCCCGTTCTTCAAGTCCCCATAAAAACGGAGTAAGTGCACCAACATCCATTGCATGTGATAAAACAGCCATTAAATGATTTAAAATCCTAGTAATTTCACCAAACATTGTCCTTATAAACTGACCTCGCTCCGGTACTTCAATATTGAGTAGTTTTTCAACTGCAAGAGAAAAGCATTGTTCATTTGTCATCATACTGACATAATCTAAACGATCAAAGTATGGTAAAGCTTGCAAATATGTTTTATATTCAATTAATTTCTCTGTACCTCGGTGTAAAAGTCCAATCTAGAAAAAATCAATCCTCTATTGATAAATAATGATATATTGACATGAGGATCTGCCCGGAGAATTTCTTCTCCATTTAATTCAAGAATTAGTCGAAGGACTCCATGTGCTGCTGGATGTTGAGGACCAAAGTTAACAGTAAAATGCCTAATTTTTGAATCTATGCTAGAATTATCTAAATGCAATTTTAAGTTTTTTTCTTTAAAAAAATGATAAGTACCACTAAGTGCTGATCCATCTTCATTTACTTCTGTAATTGTTGTTTTCATTAAATCTATATCGTTTTTTTTTGAAAATTTAGGCAATGCTGTTGCTGATAGATATTTATTGTTTATTCTCAATTTCCATAAAGAATTAGCACAGGAAAAAAGAGAGGATCTATGTATAGACAAAGTAAATGGTGTTTTTCTCATTTTTTTTTTAAAAGAACTTTTTTCTTGCTTTTAAAAAGCTTTTTTAATTTTCTGAAAAAGCTTAAACTGACTGTTTCGAGATCTTAAAATTTAAAAAAAAAATATCTTAAGAAAATGGGCCATAAAAGCTTTAAAAAAGATGTAAGTTTTTATTTATTTCTTGTTCTCGTTATTAACAATATTTAGAAAAGAGAAATTGGGATTGAAATTGACAAAGTAACAGATGTAATTTGTCAAATTATCTGTAAAAAAGATTTAATCAAGATTAGGTAACAAATGTAGAATTTCCGGGTCATTTTTATGGAGAAGAACATTCATGGGATATTGAAGAATTTAAAAAAGTTTTTTTTAAAAAAATATATAATATTATCTGATATTTTAAAAGAAATTTCATATTGAAAATATTGTTCAACGATCACCTTATGATATGGAATTTGATCTTATTGGAATAGACTGTTCAATTGTTAATGCTTTTCGACGTATATTAATTGCAGAAATCCCTACAATAGCAATTGAATATGTTTTTGTTAATAATAATACAAGTATTATTCAAGATGAGATTCTTGCACAAAGGCTTGGATTAATTCCTATAAAAGCGAATCCTGATTTTTTTACATGGTTTACTAGTAATTATTTTTCTATTTTCTTTTTTATACTAAATATTAAAGAGCCTGATGCAAATCAGGAACCTAGGCCTACTGATTATGATACTGTTGTTTTATCACTTAAAGTAGCATGTACTAAAAATCCTAAAGCATCAGAGAACGAGAGAGATCCAGAAAAATTATATATTAATTCTAATGGTGCGTTATTCTGTAATATCCATTATTCTAAAAGATATATTAGTTTATAGTGGAGATATTCAATGGCAGCCAGCTGGTCGTCAAATAGAATTGTTTAAAGATGATCCAATAAAAGCTGTTCATGATAAGATATTAATTGCGAAATTACGACCTGGACAGGTGTATTCTATGTTCTTGATTGTTTAATGTTCTAAATTTGCTAAGGAAATTGACGTTACAATGCACTGTATATTAGGTATTGGCCAAGATCATGCAAAATTTAGTCCAGTATCAACATCATCTTATCGACTTTTACCAACGATTCATATTTTAGAACCAATTTATGATGATGATGCCGAAAAATTTGCACTTTGTTTTTCAAAAGGCGTTATAGATATTGTTTTGGATGAACAAAATAGAAAAGTGGCTAAAGTAGCAAATCCAAGAAATGACACTGTTTCTAGAGAATGTCTTCGGCATGATGAATTTAAAGATAAAGTAAAACTTGGACGAGTACGAGATCATTTTATTTTTAGTATTGAAAGTACGGGTATTATGACTTCTGATGAATTGTTTTTAAAAAGCATTTATGTTTTAAAAGAAAAGTGTTTATTAATCAAAAATGTCTTACAAGATATGTTGTCGTAATTTTTATTTTATATTTATCATATTTGTTTTGTTGTAATATATACTTTTTTCATTTATTTTTATTTTATAGTTTAAATTTTGTAATGAAGTTTTAAAAAGAATTTTTATAAATTTGCCTTTAAAATTAATAAAGCCTTAGATGTGTTGTCTTTATACAATTAATTTAACAAGAATGGTTGTTTTGGTCAAAATATATTGTAGTTTATAATATCTTTGGTCTTTGGAAATTATGTTGTCAGATTTAAAAATATATGAAAATAAATATAAAGCATTAAATTATAATAAAAATGACTTTTGGTTATATATTTCATATACTCTTGATCACTCATGACCTTTTACAGATTTAGAATTTATGCAAGGAAAAAAAGATGATTTTTTAAATAAGTATAAAATACTTGTTCTTGGGGCGGGTGGGCTTGGATGCGAGATTTTAAAGAATTTAGTTTTCTCTGGTTTTAAGCATATTTCAGTTATTGACATGGATACTATAGATTTATCTAATTTAAACAGACAATTTTTATTTAGGTAAATAATATATCTGATATATACTATGTTAAGATGATAAAAATAGGTTTTCAGATATTGGAAAATCAAAAGCAATATGTGCAGCAGAATATATTATGAAACGTATGAAAGGAGTTTATATAACTCCGTAAGAAGTTAAAGAATATTATAAAGATACTTATTATATCTAGATATCATTGTAAAATTCAGGATAAAGATGAATCATTTTATATGCAATTTAATATTATTATTTCTGGACTTGATAATATAGAAGGGCGAAGATGGATAAACTCTATACTTGTTAATATGGTAGATCCAGAGTCTCCAGAATCTTTAAAACCATTTATAGATGGTGCAACTGAAGGTTGAGAGGAAATTGTGTTTTATGAATATATTAATGATACAATAAAGGACTCAAAGGACAAGTACGTGTTATATTACCAACAATTACTTCATGTTATGAATGTTCTCTTGATATGTATGGAAAAAATACAACGTACCCTATTTGTACTATTATTAATACACCACGTTTACCAGAACATTGTATTCAATGGGCATTAATTATTGAATGGCCTAGAATATTTCCTAGTAGGTTATGTTATCATTTTTTATTTAATTAAAAAAACCTCAGACAAATTAATTGATAATGATAATCCTGAACACATTAAATGGATCTATGAAACGGCTAAAAATAGGGCGAATAAATTTAATATTACAGGAGTAACATTTTTTTTTACTCAAGGTGTTGTAAAAAACATTATTCCAGCTGTTGCAAGTTCGAATGCAATTATAGCAGGTAAAATGTTAGATTTATCAGCCTATTTTAATCTTTTTAAATAAGGATTATGCTGTAATGAAGTATTTAAAATTGCGACTATATGTAACTCATATATTGATAATTATATGATGTATACAGGAACTGATTCTATCTATACTTATACATTTCAATATGAAAAAAAACCCGATTGCCCAGTATGCGGATATTTACCTACAATCTATGAAGTTAGTTCTAAGATAACATTAAATGAGTTTATTGAAGAACTTATTAAAAGTCCAAACATGTAATTATTTAAAAAAAATATTAATGTATAATATTAAAAACTCTAGACATATAACAAAACCTTCATTAAGGACAGCATCAAAAAGTCTCTATTTACAGGCGCCTTTATGCTTAAAAGAGATAACAAGACCTAATTTAAACAAACTCTTAGAAGAATTAGTTAACAATGGTGAAGAAATTTCGATAACGGATCCAGATTTGCCTTTTACTCTGAACTTTAAATTAAAATATATTTAAATTACGATAATATGTTCATGATTGATAAATATAATTTTTATAGATGAAAATATTTTAAAAAAATTAAGACATAATTGGCAATGCAGATTCTACTATAATGTTTCCATTAATTATTGAAGTTGTTATGATAATAATTTCTCTAGAATCTTCTGTTTTATTTATTATAATTTGTCTAAAATATAAATATTGAATTACTTTCTTGTTTAGCAATAAATCTGAGAGCTGCTATTTCTGTAAATGTGCATCCTCCCAAAAAAAATACAATGGTTGTTTTTTTTTCTTGAGTTCTAGGTAGTTCTGAATGATATTACTGTTATTATTATTTAAAAAGAAAAAATAAATGCTTACTCTTAACGCCTACTATTTGACTATCTTCCTCTTGAGTTTCATTAAAAAGTTGTCCTTTTAACATTTTTAAAGAATCCTCGAATCCTTCCCAACTAGATAACGGATTTTTTTGTTTAAAATTAGATTTTAATAAATATTTTTGAATTACACACTGAACTATACGGATACTTAAAGGCGCATATCCACTATAGACATACGATATATCATCAGGATTTTGTTCATTTATATCACTAACAATTAATCGGAAAGCCTTATTAATAGAATTATATGTTTTATATGAGTTGGATGTACGAGGACAAAGTAAGCCAGTTCGTTCAAGAATTGGAAATGCTACGATACATTTATATCCATAAGCCTAAAATATTTAAAAAAAAAAAACAAAATATAAGAAATATATATACATGTATTAATTCTCTCTTAAGGTTTTCTAAATCCTTTGATTGAATACCACCAAAAATAACGCTTTCAAGACATATTAAACGTAAGACAGTTGCTATAGGAATATTTTTGGAAAGAAGTTCTTCTAAGGAATTACGTGAATTGTTGATATTAGAAATAAGATCTATAAAAATAAGTTATTTTTAAGAAAATTTATTTCGAACTTTGTTGAATTTCAAGTACTTTCAGAAAAGTTTCAGAAGATGTTATATTCATAATATCTTCTGTTAAAGCAATATCTATAGTTATTAGAATTTTTTAAAAATATGTATTTAATTACGGAATTTTAATAATTTGTGATCTAACTGTAAATTGCCTAATTTACTAACAAAATCACGTATTTGAGAAACGGTTTTTGCTTGATAGCGTTCCTATAGATTATTAATATATTTTTCAAGAACTAAAGTCTAAAACTTCATAATCATCGAATAATTGTTTGGCAATTTTATTTAAACGAGTACCAATAGTAGAAAAATTGTTATCACGAAGTGCATTAAATATTTTATCTGAAGAATTTAATAAAACTTTTTTTTTTTGAAAATCTTGATCCACTAAATTGGATGATGCTAAAGTTTGAGTATTATTTTGTATATTTAAATTAGAAATAAGTGAAGAAGATACTTCTGTATATGCTATAAAAATTAGTTGTAAAAAATAGTATAAATGTGAATTAAACAGCTTTTTATTCCGTATATTTCATCAATGAGTCCTTCGTAAGTCAGTTGGGTCATCAAAGGAGTAATTAAATCCAGTTCTCTATCAATAATAATAAGGCTATCTATAATTGCACTGATGTTATGAATACACGCATTTGATGGATGCTCTAATGAGTATTCTTGCCGAAGACGAAATAAAAGATCCTTTAATTGCTTTGCTTTATCGCCTTTTCCCAAGATCTGGGGAAATAGGCCATATGTTGCTTGTATCTCCATTAAAACGTGTGCAGAATGATATATAGCAGCAACATTTCCTTCCTTGAACAAATGGTTAAGTAATTTTATACATATTTACGTTTAGGTCAAATACCATATAGATTTCTTTGAAACTGTCTTTCAATTCCAAAGAAATGAGATCTTCTTCGAAAGGAATCATCCATAGTGGAAATGAACCAATCACTAGATCACCTATAACACCCTCTTCCTCAAGTATTTTATCACACGTGCTTGTTCTTCGTGATACCAAATATAATGTTGAATTAAATGTTTTTAAATCGCGTTCAGAACGCACTTGTGCTATTTGTCTTCAGAATCAAGAGAATTTTAACAAGTCTTTCGAACTAGAAGATATCAATTACCTGATACAAGATACATATTTGCAATAGTTGGTCGACAGATATAAAGCTTAGGAAATATTGAAGATGGTACTTCCTTTGACAGCCAAAAAACCTTGTCAACACCATGTTCCTATTTTTATTAATCAATTCAAACATAAAATATGAAATTTATTCACTTGAAGCACGGAAAATTTAGCAAGCAGCCCAATAGGCCCGCTTAAATAGCGATCAAGAATAAGTGTTTTTTTGCCACAGACAGAGTCTAAAGCTGAAAGAAATGCCTTAATATTATCTTTTTTAATCTTTTCTATGTCAATTCTCTTCTCTAGCATCTTTAATAATAGTTTTATAAGGAATTTGTAGAGAAAATGTATGATAATGGTCTTGATGAGTTAACGTGATAAAATCGGATCGATAGTGATACTTTTATGGATGCTTGTATGGAGAAAAAGAGAAGTTTGGGAATTAAAATGTAAGATTTTTCGTATTTCTTTGATACGTGCTGTTTCTTCTTTTTGGTCTTGTTGTGTTAGCAAAAATCCGGGTTTTAAAGGTGTATTTTTAGTGAATATAGGACAAAATAAAGATATAGAATTAAAAAAAAGTGTTAAAGAAAGGAAAATGGAGAATATATCCAAAAAAAGTGTTTCTGAAGGAATTTTAGATGCTCAGGTTTTCTTTTTTGTGAAATAAAGTAAAATTGTTAATATTTCTAGGAAATGATATATGAAAGTATGATTACAAGAAAAGATAAGGAAGTTATGTTAAAATGAGCTTAGATATAGAAAAAATGGCACTTAGTGAAAATAATAAGAAGGTTAAATGTGAATTTAATCTTAAAACACCAAAGGTAATTGATTTTTTTTAGAGAAATATACTTATCATATAGGGAACAAAAGGTATAGCAATTTTTGGAGTATAATTAATTTTAAGCATAAAGATAGATTGGGATGGAATGGATATGACAATAAGAGAAAATATGTTTTTTAAGATTATGAAAATATTTAAGCGTCATGGTGGAATTGCAATTGATACACCAGTTTTTGAATTACGCGAAATTTTGGCTGGAAAATATGGTGAAGATAGTAAACTCATCTACGATCTTCAAGATCAAGGTGGGGAGCTTTGTTCCCTACGATATGATTTAACGGTTCCTTTTGCACGATATCTTGCAATGAATCCCACGATTCAACATATTAAGAGATATCATATTGCTAAGGTTTACCGTAGAGATCAGCCTGCAATCACTAAAGGGCGTATGCGAGAATTTTATCAATGTGACTTTGACATTGCAGGATGTTATGATTCAATGTTGCCAGATACAGAGATTCTTAAGATCCTTATCGAAATACTTGAAGAACTAAATATAAGTAATTATGTTATTAAATTAAATCACCGTAAAATTTTGGATGGGATTTTTGATATATCTGGTGTTCCAAATGACAAATTTCGTATTATTTCTAGCGCAATAGATAAGTTAGACAAAGTATGTGATTAAAGAATATTTTTATTTATTATTTTAATTAATTTAGTTGTCATGGGACTCTGTAAAGAAAGAAATGGTAGAAGAAAAAGGATTAGATAACTTAGTGGCTGATAAAGTTGGTGATTATATTAGAAATAAAGGTTTATTAAAAAAAAAAAAAGAGTATAACTAAAACAAATAATAGGGGGTAAAGATCTTTTGGAAAAGTTGAAATCTGATGAATTGATGGGAAAGCATGCAATCGCACTTGAAGGAATAAAAGATATGGAGATTTTATATAAATATTTAGAATATTTAGACATTGATTCTAAAGTAAGTGGAATGATGATGTTATCATAAATAATTTTTTAGGTTTTATTTGATTTGTCATTGGCGCGTGGTCTTGATTATTATACAGGGCTTATATATGAAGCTGTTTTAGAACCATGTGTTTTATTTGATCCTAGTTCTTTAAAAAGAAAATCTAATTTGAATAAGGATCAGGAAGATTTTACATGTATTGGATCAATTGCGGCAGGAGGTAGATATGATAATTTAGTTGGGATGTTTTCTTCAAAAAAAAATGGAATTCCTTGTGTTGGTGTTTCTATTGGTGTTGAACGTATTTTTTCAATTTTAAAGTCTCGTTTTTTTGGAAGAATTATTAAAACTAATAGTACAGAAGTTTATGTTATAGAACTTGGTGCTGGAAGTAAGTCTAATATGGTTAAAGAAAGGCTGCAAATATGCAAAGAATTATGGGACTCTGGAATAAATGCTCAATTCTTATACAAAACTAGACCAAAGCTTAGACAGCAATTTGAAGCTGCTGAAAAAGATAATGTGCCAATTGCCGTTATTTTTGGCCAGGAGGAAATTATAAATGACCAAATTCGTATTAAAATTTTAGGATTAGGTGATCAGAGCAATAAAGGCGAGCTTGTACAAAGAAAAGACATGGTTCCCAAGATCTTGAATATACTAAAAGAATTATCTCATGACGATTTAAAAAATACTTTTATTTAATTATTTAATTATATATTTAGCTTTAAATTACTTTCTGTTATCTACTTCTAGTTTTAATCAACTAATTATATTTGAAAGTTCTTATTGTTGCAAATGTATTTTATAAAAAAATAAATTTAGTTTTTTTTTTTTTTAATTTTTAAGACATTTGATATGTTTAATCGCACTTGGTATAATTACGTTAAAAATTAATGGTATAAGCTTTTTTATAATTAGTATGTAAAAGATAATAAAAGTTGATATTATTAGGCTGTAAATAGGAAAAATAGGCCTTTGGATCATTCTTTACATAAACAATTGGGTAAATATAAGCATAATATAGTAAATAATCTTAAAAATAAAGATATAAAAAGAAAAGCTGTTTATGAAGGAACAAGGAAAAAAGGTGTTGGAGTAGATGACCTTACACTATTGTCAGTAATTAACGATGAATCTATTAATGATAATTTGAAAAAAAGATTTCAAAATAAAGAAATTTATGTATGTCGATAAATTAAGAATTATAAGAAATTAACTGAATATGCTAATAGACATATATTGGAAATGTTCTTATTAGTGTAAATCCTTTTCAGGATCTTGGAATATATACTAATGAGGTTTTGCAATCTTATCGAGGAAAAAATAGATTGGAAGTGAGTTTTTTTATATTTTGAGCTTTATTTTTTACTGAATTCTTACATGTTTTTAGGAGAAACCTCATGTGTATGCTATTGCAGAAAGTGCATTTTATAATATGGTTTCATATAAAGAAAATCAGTGTATTATTATTAGGTTTTGTAATATTTGATTTGTTTATAATGTTGATTGTTATATAGTGGGGAGTCTGGTGCTGGAAAAACAGAAGCAGCAAAGCGTATTATGCAATATATTGCATGCATTTCTTCTGGAAATTCTCAAATTGAAGAAATTAAAAATATTGTTCTTGCAACTAATCCATTGCTTGAGTCATTTGGATGTGCAAAAACTCTTAGAAATGATAATTCATCACGTCATGGGAAATATTTAGAAATTCTCTTTAATTCTCGTTCAGAACCAATAGGTGCAAATATTACAAATTATTTACTTGAAAAAAGTAGAGTTGTTTCTCAAATAAAAAATGAACGAAATTTTCATATATTTTATCAATTCACAAAATGTGCTAATCAGTATTATAGAGGTTATTACTTTCTATTTATTTCATTTTTTATTAACGTTAGAAGAAAATTATGGTATTCAGCAGCCTGGTGCATATTTTTATACCAGCGTTTCGGATTGCTTTACTGTTGATGGAATAGATGATTCGTCTAATTTTTTCGAAACCTGTAAGGCAATGGAAACTATAGGGCTTTCTTTAGATGATAAAAATAATATATTTCGTATGCTTTCTATAATTTTATGGCTTGGTAACGTTCAGTTTCAAGAAGATCAGGATGGAAATGCTGTTATTTTTGATAATTCAGTTACAAGGTTCATTGCTTATCTTATGGACGTAGATGTTGAATCTGTCAATAAAGCATTAACTACTCGTGTTTTGGAAACGCAAAGAGGAGGACGTAGAGGGTCTATTTACGATGTTCCATTGAATCCATTGCAAGCTAATTCTACAAAAGACGCATTGGCAAAATCTATTTATAATAACTTATTTGAATGGATATTAAAAGAAATCAATTTAAGTATGAAAGCACGTGAAGATGTTTCATATACAATAGGAATTTTGGATATTTATGGATTTGAAGTTTTCGAAAATAATAATTTTGAACAAATTTGTATTAATTATGTTAATGAAAAATTACAAGTATAAAATTTCAAAGTTAAATATTTTTAACTTTATTTTAGCAAATTTTTGTTCATCTTACTCTAAAGGCTGAACAAGAAGAATATGTTCGTGAAAAAATCAAATGGACTCCAATAAATTATTTTAATAATAAGATTGTATGTGATCTTATTGAAGAAAAATATCCACCTGGGATATTTGCAGCTTTAAATGACACTGTGGCCAGTGTGCATGCTGATTCTATTGCTGCTGATAGTTCATTTATTCAAAAGCTTAGTTTTTTAGTATCTAACCCTCATTTTGAACAGAGACAAAATCAATTTATTATTAAACACTATGCAGGAGATGTAATATATACTGCACATGGGATGACAGAAAAAAATAAGGACAATATGCTTAAGGATCTTCTTAATTTGATTATTAAGAGTGATGATTCATTTTTACACGAATTGTTTCCAGAAAAAATAAATACAAATTCTAAAAAAAGACCGCCTACTTCTGTAGATAGAATAAAGGTATATTTTTTTAAAAAAGAAAAATCAATAACACTTTAAGGAATCAGCAAATAATTTAGTAAATAGTTTAATGAAATGTCAGCCTTCTTATATTAGGACTATTAAGCCTAATTCTACTAAATCTCCTGTAGAATATGATGAGAAAGAAGTTCTTCATCAAATAAAATATTTAGGTTTACGGGAAAATATAAGAATCAGAAGAGCTGGATTTGCATATAGACAAACATTTAATAAATTTGTTGAAAGGTTTTATTTATTATCACGTAAATGTAGTTATGCGGGTGAATACATTTGGAAAGATAGTTTTTGTTTAGCTTGTGAGCAAATTTTCAAAGATGTTGGTATTCCTGTTTCAGAATATCAGATAGGAATAACAAAAGTATTTATTAAGCATCCAGAAACTATTTTTTCTTTGGAAGCAATGAGAGATAAATATTGGCATAATATGGCTATTAGAATACAGAGAGCATGGCGTAATTATTTAAAATATCGTAATGAATGTGCTATAAAAATTCAAAGGACATGGAGAAAGAATAAAGATATCTTATATTATATTGAACTTCGAAATCAAGGTCATCAGATTCTTGGAGGAAGAAAAGAAAGACGTAAAGCTAGTCTGTTGTATAGTAGATGTTTTATGGGTGATTATATGGATATTAATTCTAATGGAGATTTGGGAGAAATGTATAAAAATGCTTTTGATATTAATGGTAAAGTATTTGTCTAATTGTGTGTTTTTTTTAACAAAACAGACACTAAAAATGTAGAATTTTCCTGTACAATTGAGCTTTTATGCTCTAAACTTGGCAGGTCTAGTAAACAAAAACCAAAACAGCTTATTATGGTAAAAAGTAGTTTATTATTATTTATTACTAATGATAGTTAGACAAGTAATATGATATATATTTTTTCAACAATTATTATTAATAAACAGCTTAATGTTCTTCTCGAAAGATCCATTAAGTTAAAGGAAATTCGTTGTGTAGCTCTTTCATGTTTATGTGATGATTGGGTCTGTATTAAGCTTGATAGTAAAAATGAGTCTGATCTTTTTTTTTCTTGTGTTTTTAAAACGGAATTTGTAACTCGTCTAAAGCTTATATTGCATAATTTGGCTCTTCAGATAGGGTCTAGGTAATATTTATTTTAATTTTTATAATACTAATATTAAAATAGTATTGAATATAATAAAAGACCTGGAAAAATTTCTACTGTTAAATTTATTATAGATTCAAAGATTCCTGTTAATGATATATATAAAAGTGGTATTGTATATGTTCTTCCTGGAGAACCATCTAATAGTCTTTCAAAATATTCTTTGAGAAAAGTTATATCGAATCAACCAGTAAGAGTTAATAGTAGATTGAAAACACCATTAGTACCCGCAAAATATTTTGCTTCTGATGCCAATTTTTCAAAGGAGCAATATGCATGTTTTTTATCGACTAAAACATCATCATCTTTGCCTGTAAATCATGTTAAACCTTATTATATTGCCTTATATGACTTTGAAGGTCAGAATTCTAATGAAATGTCTTTTAGGAAAAATGAGATTTTGGATATTATACATAAAGAAAGTAATGGTAATGGCGTCTTTAAATAAATAAATTCTTATAAATATCTAGGTTGGTGGTTGGCAAGAAAAAATGGAATAGAAGGATGGGTTCCTGAAAACTACTTAAAGGAAGAAAAGCCTAGACCGCAAATACCTTTGACTGTTATGCGTCCATCTTTGGCTATGGGTGGCAAAAGTAATGATTTTTCGTCTGAGATACAAAAATTAAAGATTTCAAAATCGAGCTTGTCTGAGCCCAAGCAAACTCATGAACCTGTAAATTATACACCATCTATACCTGCGCGTCCATCGAAATTAAAATATAATGTGAACAAAAAAGGCTATACTAGTGCCTTCGTTGATGAAGTAAGTGTTATGATACCTTAACTTATTATACTATTCTGTTTTTCATAAACTAAGTCTTTATAGCTTCGAGAGCGTATGAATTCTTAGAAAATGTATGATTAAATACCAGGTCATAACGATTTTTGCGAATAAAAATTATTCTAGGATATTTTAATCTAATGATAAAAGTTTCATCTATTTTTTTATTTCATAATATTGTGTCTATGGTTAAATATTTTTGCATATATTTGTATACATCTTTTTAGGGCATTTATATACGGCATTTTTATTAAAATAAAAGGATATATTTTATTAAGATTTGTTTATATAAAAGGAATTCTAACACGTTCGAGTCGGACACGTTTACTTCGATAGAAAAAATCTAAGCAAATGACAAAAGCTAAGCCGCTTTATACACGGCAAGAATTAATAGGAAGGGGATCATATGGTGCTGTTTATAAAGGGTGCGTGTTTTTTTTTTTTTTATTGAATCAAAATTAATTTTTAATTTTTAGGATTCATAATGAAACAAAACAAGTTGTTGCAATTAAAGTGCTTAATTTAGATACCACAGAAGATGATGTTACGGATATTCAGCGTGAAATTTCTATGCTTTCTCAGCTAAGACAAGTTGATGCCCAAAATGTGGTTCGATATCACGGTAGTTTTCTTTATGATACACGGCTTTGGGTGATTATGGATTTTTGTGAGGGAGGGAGTATACGCACATTGGTATGTTTTTGTAGATTAACTCGATTACTTTTTTGGTTTCTGATTGTTTAAAATAATAGATGAAAAGTTGTCGTATTGAAGAAAGATATCTTTCTGTGATTATTCGTGAAACACTTATTGCTTTAAATTATATTCATCGTGCAGGTATTATTCATCGTGATATTAAAGGTACTATGTCTTTGTGTTAGTTTTAGGTAGTTTTTGATTTTTGAATTTAGCTGCAAATATTCTTGTTACTAATGATGGTCGAGTACAGCTATGCGATTTTGGCGTGGCTGCACAATTAAGTGCAAATAGTTTTAAAAGGAGTACATTTGTTGGTACACCGTATTGGATGGCTCCAGAAGTTATTACAGAAGGAGTGTCCTATAGTTTTAAAGTATCATTCTATAATAACTTTTTATGTATTTAATGATTTTAGGCTGATATATGGTCTCTTGGAATTACAGTTTATGAGATTGCTACTGGAAACCCGCCATTTGCTGATCAGGAGCCTATGCGTGCAATTATTTTGATCCCACGATCACCACCTACTCGACTTGAAGGTTCTCAATTTTCTTCTCAGTTAAAAGAGTTTGTTGCAATATGTTTGAATGAGGACGCAGATGAGCGTCCTAGTGCTGTGGAATTACTGAAAACTAAATTTATTAAACAGGCGATGAAAACACCTACATCTATTTTAAAGGAGTTATTAATACGTTATGATCTTTGGTGTCAACATGGTGGAGTTCGTAATTCTCTTAATATTTCTGTAAATGATGAGAATAATAATGATGATAATTTTGAGCTTGATAATATGAATGATCAATTCAGTGGAGAATGGGCTTTCGATACTATTCAAAGCTTTTCTGAGAGTAAATTGTCTGATTCTGATGATAAAAAGTCATCGAATAGACTTGAAAGAGGTATATTTTTATTATTTGTGTGAATACTATTAATTTTTAAATGAAGTATATCATGTTGAAACTTTGAAAAATAAAACATCTATTTCTAATGATAATTCAAATAATCATAAAGCAGATCACCCTCTTCTTCAGCTTTTTATTCAAGAATCTTCTGAAAAAACGGAATCAGATTCTTTAATATCTTCAACGCACCTTAATGCTTCATCTAAAAATTCTACACAAACACATGATTTGAAAAATAATTTTAATCAAATATCTATTGATATTTCGAATGTAAATTTAGAGCCTTCTTTAACGCGTTCTACATTGAATGATAATCCAAAATCTTCCGAACAGTTAATTTTGAATTCAGTGCAACTTAAAAACCATGATCAAAATCAATCATCTAAAACAACATCTAATTTTCCTTATTCGAAATGTAAACCATCAGATTCTGTTTTCGATCTCGGCCATCATTCACATATGCATCCTGCGCCTCCATTACGTTCTAATTCTGAATTATCCAGACCTCCACATTCATATGGTCGTACGTTTGATTCAATACCATTTAAAGAATCATCTACTTTATCATCTAAACACATAGGTGCTTCGTTTGATGTTCAATCATTTTCTAGGATGTCTCATAAAAATAAACAAGCATTGTCAAAAGAGCAATTAAATATGTCGAATAACGTATCTAAGTATAATTTAGATAAAAGGGCATTCCTATTAAATACAAAGGTATAATTTTCTTTGATTTTTTTATTTTAGAGGGTTAAAGTTAAAATAGTCTAGTGTACAAAATATTTCACCAAAATCAAAATATTCTGAAGTTAATAATTTAATTTTTCTTCCACCATCACCGTCTCAGTCATCTGTATCTCAAAATTTTCAGACTTTGAAAGATTCTTCATTGTCTAATACATGGAAACCTCCTCAATTGGAACCATTAAACTTAAAAGTCTTATCTGATTATCCAAGTTCTGGAGAAAATAATGTTAATGATTCTATTATTACTGAATTAGAAAAAGTGCTTCTTGGGTTCCAAAGTTATTTAGAAGTTCTCGATAAAGGGCTTTCTGTTATTCAGGGAAATAGTTAGTATTGTTTTTGTTTTGATTTTTAATAATGTTTTTAGAAACATGATATTATGTTTATATAGAACAGAATGTAATTTATAAAAGACAGCATGCCTCTTGACTTAATAAATTCATGTTGTATTTGAAATACAAAATTTAATATTTGTTATTTATTAATTATAAGTAAAACATTTACGAAACTACTTGGTTATTTTGAATTTTATACATAGTTTTTTCATGATTTTTATTTTTAAAGAAAATAATATAGGCTTTGTGTTACCTTTATAATTGTTCTTTTTTTTACTTATGTTCCGAAATTTATAGTTTATTCTTATAATGCTGAATATTTTTGAAAGAGAAATATCTATAGTTTTCTTCTGAAATCCAATTTTATAAATTTTTATGCGTTTGGTTTAATTATATTTATTTTTTAAAAAAATATATTTTTTTGAAACTGTTAATTATATAATAAATGGATAATAAAAAATATAATGTTGCACATGCAAATTACAAGGATATGGATCCTTTTACTAATATTCTTACTGGAACATGTTTGTTCATTTTTTTTTAAAAAAAAATTGAAAAAAATAGTGTTTATTGGTGGTTTAGCTGGATATATTCGTGCACGAAGTATACCGAGTCTTATTGCAGGTATTGTTCTAGGAACTATGTATGGATATAGCAGTATGTTCCTTGGCATTTATCTTCTTGTTATTTTAAACATTAAATAGATCTTTTAATTCGAAATAATATAATCGGTGGTTATGAGCTTTCACTTTGTATATATATCCATTTATAAGGCCTGTTTTCACTTAAAATAAATCTAGTTTCATCTCTTCTGCTTTCTGGAAGTTCTATAGCACGTCTTTGTAAAGTTGGTATTAAACCTGTACCAATTGTATTGGGAACAATAGGTGTTTTAGCTACAGGTATATATATATTTAAAGTTGCTTTTTTGTAATATTCTCAAAGGATATTATTCAAAAAAGGTGTTTTTTTGATTTTTTCTTAATAAAAAGATTATTTAGTAAGATTGGGGCTCTAATTTTCAAAAAAATATGTATCTTTATATTTTTATGTACTTTTTTCTTCCAAAAGATGGAATCAATGGACTCGAATGCAATTTTTTGAGCAAAATGTTTGTAAATATTTATTTATTTATGTATATCTTTCTTTGAAATACATGTTGGGTTTATATTTATATATTTATACTGTGTCGTTACTTTATTTCGACTTTATAACTGCTTATTTTTACTTTCTAAAACATAAATAAAAGTTAGAGCTTTAGGAATATGTGGAATATGCATTAATCATTTAAAATTAAAGTTATTATATACGTTTTTTAATTCACTCTCCTCTTAACTTTAAAAAAATAGGATTGTTTTTGATTTAGTTATTGGCCTTTATTTACAAAGTTTATATTTTTTGCTACAAAGATACTTTTTATACTTCTTTTTTCACGTTATTATTACTTTGAAGATATTGGGTTTCTTTGTTTTTAGGATTTTTTCCTTTTGTTTTTGAATTATTAGATATGACATCATTTTTGAAGAACTTTAAACATTCACCTAGTTGCTCAAAAAAAAAGAACTATAAGTTTGGAAAAACATTGGGTAGTATTTTCTTTTTACTCTATACTACCATGATTAAGATATATTTTATAGGTGCAGGGACATATGGTATTGTTAAAGAAGCTGTACACAGTGAATATGGGAGAGTTGCAGTAAAAATTATTGATAAAAATTCTGTTAAAGGCCATGAAAGTATGGTTTATGAGGAGATGGAAATATTAAAACGTCTTCACCACCCACATATTGTGAGTTTTAAAGAATGGTTTGAGTCAAGTTCTAAATTTTATATTGTTACTCAATTGTAAGTATAACTTGAAAAGTTATGTTTTCTAGAATAAAGTTAAAAAGGGCCACTGGAGGAGAGTTGTTTGATAGGATTTGTGAATATGGAAAATTTTCTGAAAAAGACGCTGTAATTATTATTACTGAAATTCTTGACGCGTTGTCTTATATTCATGATAATCAAATTGTTCATAGAGATCTTAAGCCCGAAAATCTTTTGTATCTGACATCTGATCACGATTCTCCTTTGGTTCTTGCTGATTTTGGGATTGCTCGAAATGTTAAAGAAGATCAGGTACTTTTAACAGTAGCAGGGTCATATGGCTATGCAGCACCTGAAATATTATCGGGTCGTGGATATGGGAAATTATGTGACATATGGTCATTAGGGTAATATTTACATTGAAACTTTATTGTTTTAATAAACTTAGTGTTATTACCTATACTTTATTATGTGGGTATTCGCCTTTTAGATCAAGAGATAAAGATGAATTGATTAAAGAAACCGTTTGTGCGAATATTGTATTTCATCAGAAATATTGGAAAAATATTTCTCAAGATGGTAAATATTATACATATATATATAATCATTATTTTAATTAAATTAAAGCTAAAGATTTTATTGTTTCTTTATTGAAAATCAATCCATCTGAAAGGCCTACTGCTAAAGTATTTTTCCTACTTTTATTAATTCGTTATTAATATATTTAGGAAGCTTTAAAACATAAATGGATTACAGGAAGCAATGCTAAAAATATTAATCTAATGCCTAGTGTTAAAACTGAGATTGATGCTCGCAAACAGCTTCGTCATGCAATTGAAAGTGTACGACTAGAAAATAGAATTAAGGCTTTAAAAATGGAGACTGATTCTGATGAATTTGATGCTGAGGAAAGGCCAACTAGTGAAGGTAGCCCTGTAAATTCTGATACTTCAGGATCAACTGATAGGAGTTCTCATCATTCTGCGGAAAGATCTAAAAAAGCTTCTGCTAATGTCTTTTCAGAAGTTGTATTGGCTAAACTCAGAGCTGAAAATAAAATACCTAAGGGTAAAAAGTGAAATGTAGAACGTTAAGACATAAATAGGAAATGATAATAGTAATATATGTTTCTTTTTGAAGCAGCTATCGATAATATTGGAGTATTTTAAGGTTTATTTAAAACCATGATAGCATTAATAAATAGAAAAATAATAGTTTTGAATTCTTGTTTAAAAGTTTTATATTGAATTAGTTTTGTTTTATATTAAATAATCGGAATAAGCTATAATTTCGTTGATACTTCATTTATGAGTATTTTTTTTATCCAGTTGAATTGATTAATGCTATTTAATCCAATGCTCCTTAGCCCAACGATAAAAGGGTTGTTCGTAGAATATAAACTATATAATTTATCTGTTACAGTAAGCATGATACAATTTTTTAAATATCTATCAGACGCATATTGCTGAAGCACTTGGGAATTCCCTGAATTGTTAGAATATGCAATAATGTATGATAAAAACATACCAATATCTTGACCAAGAGATAATGCGTTAAGAATTATTTCTGAAAGTGATTTAACATCACCAAGTCCCATATTAAGCCCTTGTCCAGATAATGGGTGAATAGTATGTGCAGCATCACTAAAACATTTATTTAACTATTTTTAAAAAATAAATTGTACCCTATTAGTGCTATTCTTTCTTTCGTATAGTTAGCTGAATGCTTCATTCTTAGCTGAAATGATGCTCTTGTATTATCTTGCAAATCTATTGCAAATGAAGGGATTGGGAAGCTTTCTTGACACAATTCCAGACGCCATTTAATTTGATCCTCAATTTCAAGATAAGATTTTAATGAAAGGATATAGGACAGATCAACTGCTCCTAATCTATATGCTGCGTTTACTAAAGAAAGAAATGTTGATTTAGGAAGGCTTTTAAGAAATTCGGCCATTTTTGGAGGACATGACCACACTAATGTTCCATATTTATTTGGAAGCTATATTATTTTCAACAATAATTATTATAAAATGATATCCCTAACTGGTAATATAGCAATAGGGCCTTGAGGTAAAAATCTTTGCCATGCTGTAGGAACACCATTAACAGATGAAAAATGTTCTAGTTTTAATGTTGCAACAAGACCGTGTGCATTGTAATCCCAACCAGCTGATTTAATTCCTGCAAATTCCCTTACTGAAGAATGAACACCGTCTGCCCCAATCTTAAACATGAGTATATTAAATTCAATATTTGGATTTAGCTCACCAATAATCGAGATATAAGAGTTTTTCCGTTTGATAGCTTTACATAAGGCCAATTGCTTAAATCATAAGTGTCTTTTGTATTCTTATCATATGTTATAGAATTTATTTTTTCTGAATCAAAAATATCAATAGGATTAGATAACTGACTTATTTTTTTTAATATAGCTGATTGAAGATTGATATTTTCTATCATAAAAGCTAATGCATTTGATTCTGGATTTTCCAATCTATAACCCCCTGAACAAAAATGAATTCTTGACGATGATATACCATCCCAAACCTATTGTTTTAATTACATTTTCCATATAAAACGTTTAGCTTACTTGCATCTCATGATATGATTGAACTCGTTCTTTTTTTACATATTTCCATATCCCTATATCTAAGAAGGTTTTATAGTGTTTTTTTGTTAAAAAATTGGTTAAAAACCTTGTAGATATGAAACTGTTGATCTATTTAAAGAGCTTACTCTGTTAGAGTATTCTAGTGGAGGTGTCCATTTTTTTACATTTTTAAGGCTTGAATTTTCTACTAATGCTATTTTTAATGGAAATTCTGATAATCTAGTCCCTTTGAATAAAATTTTAGCTGTAAATATTTCATATATTGATAAATACTTACCCAACGCTGATGCAAACGCCAAACCTGCTATACCCCCTCCAATGATGACAATATCATAGATATTTAAAGGGATAGATGATGATATTTTATTGTTTTTTAACTCTGTTATCATGAAAACTGAGATTTTTTAATTTTTTGATTTTTTGATGTTAATACTTGTAGATTTTGTCTTCGATATATTTTTTATATTTTAAATATGAGGCCTTCTAAGACACAGCTTCCGCCAAAATTGATCAATAAGAAAGTGGAAAATACCTATGTTAACCCTCTTAATATAGTTTTTGATTTCTATGATCATTATCAGTATGTATATCTTTCTGAAAAAATAGATCTAAAATAAATAGGAAATATACACCACAATCTTTGAAAATTATTGATTTTTTTATTGTGTTTTTAATAGTTTCTGGTTTTCTTCAATTTCTTTATTGTTTTATTGTTGGAACATATCCATTTAACTCTTTTTTATCTGGTGTTTTTAGTGTAGTTGGACAAATCGTATTAGCAGGTCTTTTTTTTATATTTTGCGTTTATATATAGTATTAAATATAGGGCGTAGTAAGTTTAAGGTATGAAGTGAACTATGAAAATACAGAATCTTTTAAAAAAGTTCCTCTTAAGAGGTATATTTCAAATATTTTAAAAAGAGGTGAAAACTTATGTTTTAGGGCATTTGGAGATTTTGTTTTTAGTAGTATTATTCTTCATTTTTTTGTAATCAATTTTCTTGGTTGAACTCTGGTATAGATATATATATGTATATATAGATATACATATATATTATAGATATACATATATACTATACATAAAACAATATTTATTGGAATATTAAATATCATTATTGCTAAATCGTGCCATCTCTAATTGTTTTATAATACAATTTTACCGTGACTAAGCTTATAAAGTTTATTGGAATCCGAATTTTTTCGTGCGTAATGTTATATTTCTGTCATGTTTTTTTCAAATATGTTGCCGCTCTATATGATGGATCATTTCGTAAGTTATCTTGATAATCGTCATCAAATGAATCGCTTAACTTTTTAACACGTTAGTACGTTGGATGAATAAAACCGCTATATATTATTCACCTCGTCTTCAAATAAATCTCTTTCTTTTTTTTTTTCCGCTTTAATCTTTTTTTCCTGGATATCCTGTTCTTTAGCAAGTCTTTTTAATTCTAATTCTTCTTGAGAAATAGGCATTGCATCTAATTTAGCTTTCATTTCCGCTTTTATTTCTTCAGTTTTAATGTTATATTCATGGATAATAGTGTTATATTTCTCAATAAGATTTGAAAAATTAGTGCGATTGGTTGCAACGATATCAAAAAATGGTTTTTTCTCCTCTTCGCTTAAATTTCTCCATGTTCTACCAAGTGTTGCTCGTATTTCGTTTTTCGTAGCTTTGGCTTCTGGGTTACCTGTTTCCTTTCGCTTATTTCGGTCCGCAATATCTTTACAATGATTCCATTGAGATTTTTGAAAAACGAGGAAAGGATTCCCCGTAGAACGCTGTGGAGCAGATGGTTTGGGCCCTAAACGTTCTAGGATCACTTTTTCGACTTCCTGATTATGTTTTTCGAGCTGGGCATCTTTAAATTCAGCAAGTAATGCTTTATAATTATCCTGTGCTTTGCGTTTAACGCCAGATGTCGCTTCTGTCGTTCCTCTTTGCTTCAATGGAATGAGAGGTTCGTTTGTCGGAATCTCGAGAGGTCCGATCAAGGATTCTAAAACTAATTGGGCCACTTTGAGACCACTAAGATATGCTCCATGTACGGTAGCGGGATGCGTTCTACATGTCGCTTCTCCTGCGAAAAAAAGGGTATTTTCTACGGGTTTTGCTATAATATCATAATCTTTACCCGATGCTTCCGGACCAACGTAGGAATAACTCCCGTAACAAAATCTATCTTTACCCCATCGTGTAATAATGGTTTCCTTAGGATATGGCACTTTTTTCGTTGGATAAATGTTTTTAAGGATTTTCGTTGCTTCTCTTATCAGTTCATTATCAGTTTCGTTTTCCATTTGAATAGCGCTATCTCCCGCCATAAGTGCAAGTAGTACAGGCTGCCCCGCTGTTTTAATACAATTCCAAAATATATAAAAACGACCTGTTTTCAAAATTAATTAAAACATAAATTTGAAATATATGATATATATATATATCACATATAGAATATCCCCCGGAAATGGGGGAAAAAAAGGAAAAGGGTGAAATACCTCGGTTTTTATCATACACACCGTTGTTATCGGGCTCCCTTAAGGAACCAAACACATCAATATTTACATCCCAAAAAGCCGTATCGTAAACTAGAATAATCTGTTTCAAGTTAAACATAAAACGTAAATGCCCTTTTTCTTCCTTTGCCCTTACTTTATTCAATAATCCAAAATTAAGCCGTCTTATAGACTGTGTTTTCCATTCAGGTAATGGTGGGTTGAATTGAATACATGATTTCTTCAGAACCCCAAGTGGTACCGTTATAATCACTTTATCCGCGTTAAACATCGTCCCATCTTCACAATATATCACGGCATTTTTATCATTATACGAAATCCCGGAAACAATCGTCTTATACCGAATTTCCAATGGCGTCGGGACAAACGCTAATGCATGAGGAAGAATCGAATATCCTCCCTTCACCATTGCATGTGCTCCCTTAAATTCATTTCCATCATCTTGATCCCAATGATATAGCGATAAATTCGAAAGATTCGTTCCATTCGCGTATTCCAGATTTGCATAATGCCAATTCAAAAGCTTCATGTCCAAATCTGTCAGATCTGTCAACGACCCATACTCCGATAAAATTCTAGACATGGCAAACCCCAATGTGGGATTTTGTTTTGAAAGAATATCCTCGAAATTCGTGTCCACCGACACATTTCCTTTCACCTGGAACCCCATCTTTTGCAAAACCGATATCGGATCTGTATGATGGCTTTTTTTCTCCTTCTCTTTCCTCTCTCCCTCCTCCATTTCCCCTATCTCCTTCATCTCCCCTTCTGTATGGTCCTCCATCCTGGGTATCATTGCTTCGTTGTCCTCGATTTTTGCAATCACTCGTCCACCTTCACTCTTTGGCTCAATCCCTGCATCTACCATGTTTTTATCCCCTTCTACCACCCGCTTTCCGTTACACCGGTTCTCTTTAGACTTGAATTGACTCGCTATCTCCAAAATGTAGTTGAACAGCAACTCCGCCCTCGAATCCATGTCCGGCACCACCATCTTGCCATTCGAATCGAACAACGTGATATTGTGCACGGAAAGAAAATGAATCGGAAGCCCCAATTGCTTCACCAGAAGTGTCGACAGCGGATTCCCCTTTGCAAACCCCGTTATAATCTGTGCCCCCAAATCCACCGCTGATCTCGCTTCCTTCGGGAAATCCCCCTCCGTCGCCGGCGAACTCAGCTTGTGCGAGTACACCCGCCCTCCCAGCCGTCCCCGTGCCTCCAAAAGAACCACCCTCGGCACCTCTTCTTTAAATCTCTCGGAAAATATCTGGAAAAGCGTCTCAAGCTGCCGTGCCGACGCCAGCCCCGATACTCCCGCCCCAATCACCACAATCGTCTTCGATCCTCCTCCTGTCCGCGCTAGCGGCCGCGGTATACTCACACACCCAAAATTTATGTATCCCTCTCGCACCAAAAGCTCCCAACACACCTTTGCCAAGTTAAAATGCCGTTCTTCATGTGCAATCCCCAACGCCTCATACTGATCCACGTACAAAAGCGGATTCTTCATCCATAACCGCAATATTGCGTTCCTGATATTCAAATACGACGTAATCTGCACATGCGTCAAATGCGTCCGCAACAGTGCATGCTCCGACTTTGAAAGATGATACGGCGACAGCCGTGACGCCTCTGCTGCACTCACACAGTCCCGTGTGTACTCTTGGTAGTTGATTCCCGGCGGAATCGAGCTTTTCAGCGTCGGATTCCCCTTCCTGTCCGCTGACTCTGAAATCACATACCGTACTTCACTCTGGCTCTCTCCCCCCTCCTTCTTCCCCTCTCCCCCTCCCACTGTCCCCCCTGTTCCCCCACTTTTCGCCTCTTCTACCCCATATTTCCCTATTCTTGGATTTCCTATGTTTATTCTCCCTCCCATCCCTCCTATTTCCTGCATATGTGTTTCCACTCGGTTCCCCATGTAATGTGGCATATGTCCTCCTGATATCCCGTGCTGTCCGTACCCTCCATACTCTATTGCCTGTGGATAATATCCATGTGGTGCATGTGGTGCATGTGCTCCATGCGTCCCGTGTGCTGCATGGGCTGTATGGCCTCCATGGGCTGTTCCATAGTGTCCATAGGCGGTCTGTTTCCCTGCATATCCATATCCATAGGTTCTTCCAAGGCCTCCGACTCCCTGTGGATATCCTCTGAACTGTGAGTATCCTTGGCCCGACCATCCAACGCCTGAGCCGACGGAGCCGACAGAGCCGACGGATGCAAAATATCCAAGCTGGCCAGGCGGCATTGGCTGTGAGTGAAGCTGGCCTGCAAGTGGTGGCTGGCTCTGCTGCTGAAGCAGCGTCCACAGGGCTTCTTGTTCGGCAAGTGATCCGAGCTGAGGTCCAAGAGGAGTGCCGAGCGGAGGCGCAAGGGGGAGGCCGTCTTGGCGGAGAGGAGGGCGGGGATAGAAGGCTTTTGGCTGCTGGAGCTGCTGGTAAGGGGAGCTGCGGATGGCAGGGTTGTCGTCCATGGTGTGGTGTTCGGGAGTTTCGAAACGAGGAAAACGGACGCGGAAGACGACGCAGGGCGTGCAGCGTGCGCAGTGCAGTGGATATGCGGAGTGTATGCGGAGTGTATGCGCGGTGTATGCACAGCATAGTGTACGGCAGTGCTGCACAGCAGTGTGTAGCAATGTGAGTGTATGGCGTACAGCGTACGTACAGGTGTACATACAACGCACAGCATATATGTGTAGTACATACGCATAGCATACAGCGTATAGTGTATATGTATAGTGTATATGTATAGTGTATACACAGTGCATGCATTATACAGTGTATGCATAGTATATATACATAGTGTATGCACACAGCCGGCCACATGCCATGCATGCATGTGTTGACTGCGTTGTATGCGTCATATATGCGTTGTATATGCGCTGTATATGCGTTGTATATGCAGTGTGCTGTATGCGTTGTGTGCTATACACACGATATATGCTATGCACGCACTGTATGTTGCACGCGTTGTGTGCACGCGCTATGTATACTGCATACAGTGTATGTATAGCATATAGTGCGTGCAACGCATGCAACACGTAGAGTATATACAGATACACCGCGTTATATGCGCTGTGCGTGCAGTGTATGCATAGTGTATGCACAGTGTGCACGCATTATATGCTGTGCGCTGTATGCGTTATGTATGCGCGTTGTATGCGCTGCATGCTATATGTGCTGTGTTGCATACGACACGCATAGTATATACACATAGTGTGCACTGCATGCCTAGTGCAGGCGCATCTGGACGCGCGGTGTGCACAGCATATACAGGTTAGCGGCTGTATATGCAGGTATATGCAGTGTATATGTAGCATATATACGGTGTATATGCGTTATGTATACACTATATATGCGCACTGTATGCACAACGCGTATGGCATAGGGCGGTGTACGCGCTGTATATGCACGTTATATACGGAGTGTATGCGGAATGTATACGCTGTATATACATTGTGCGCGCTGTGTATGCACAACACAAGCACGCTGCACAGTATATGCTATACACAGTATGTCCGTAGTGTATGCATGCAACGCATAGCACACAACGTATAACACATATATATAGCACATCGTATGTCAGTATATACGCACTCTGCGTTTATATGTGCTATATATGCTATACGTGTTGTATATGCTATATATGCGTTGTATGCTGTATATACAGTGCGCGCATGCAACGCGTATAGTATATACACATAGTGTGCGTTATGTACGTTATATACGTTATGTGCGCGTTATATACACAGTATATGCGTGTTATGTGCATAGTATATGCGTAGTATACACTGTATATGTATTGTGTATGCGTTATACAAAGTATATGCGCTATATATGTGCTATATATGCGTTATATGCGCACTGTATGCGCTATGTATGCGCTATGTGCAGTGGTTCACGTGCTATGTACGGCTGAGTACCATGCAGAATATGCTGTGCAGTGCTAAGGTGGCATGCCTATGTACATGGCATATATATATGTATACATGCATAGATAGATACATAAATAGGTACATAATAGGTACATAGATATATATATATACATGTATACATAGGTACATAGATACATAGGTGCATGGATACATGTATACATGTGCCCTGTGCACAGAGTGTGCACAGGGCAGTGCTAGTGTTGCTACTGTAGCAGTGCAGCCTGCCAAATGAGTGGCTCAGCGCCCTCAGGTGTTGAGAACCTGGCAGGGTTAGGGTTAGGGCTGTGTGCTCAGCAGTGGCAGATGAAATGTAGACTGTAAAGGATGTATAAACTGTGCGTTATGTGCAAGCTGTAAGCAGTGTAGTTGTGCAGTTGTGTAACTGTATATATGTGTAACTGTGTATATAAGCAAAAACGGTGCAGATGCAGAGTTGATAGATAGGTATTGTAGTATAGTAATGTACAAGCACGATGTGCAAGTATACGCAGCCGGCTGCAGTTGAATAGACCAAACAAATGAGTGCCATGAGTCCAGCTGTCCCAGTTGAACTCTAGTTGGCGCCTAGTTAGCAAAGACCAGACAGGCTCTGATCAGGCGCGGTAGCCCATTATTTTGGCATAGTTTTCGATTTCTTGCTCTGTTAGGCGGTCCTGGCCTGACCAATTAGCAGAGGAGCTCCGTGATCTAAAGCGTGAATGAGCTCTTTCCTTGCCCCGGAATATTTCTTCCATGTGTAGGGGCTTCATAGGGCCAAAGATCTGATCTGGGTCTATTTTTGCTTGCTTTTTCAAGATCTGAGCTAGCTCGGGAGACTCGGCCCATTGGGGCAAGGACAATTTGAACTGTTTTTTGAGCTCGTCGTCGTCAGAATAACTATAACAAGTGAGCAATAGTCAACTAGTTCCTAGGTCAATGGTTTACTCGCTATCGATCTCAGGAAGCTCAATGGATTCTGGTGGTGGAAATTGCTGAGTAGAGCAGGGCTTGGAGGAATCTCCTCCAAATCTAATATTATCAGACGAAAACTTTACTGAGTCCACCATAGGACCAGTATTTTTTGTAGTTTTCAAAGGAAATGGTTGTTGATTTCCTGGGTATCGATTTTGTAAAGACTTAGTTTGTTTTTGAGGTATAACTTGAAGATGGAAATGCAAACCCTTTTCTTTCGCTTGAGTTCTGGAAAAACGTGAATCTTTGCTGTTATTTTTTGCAGCAGGGATATGATTAGAGGATGTGGTAGCAGTTTTTTGTGAATGTTCGTCTGTCTTACGCTTTTTTGCTTCTTGGAATGCAGGTTTATTCGAAGTAGAAAAGGTGCCCCAGTTTTCTTGTACTAATTCATCTTGAAGTACTCTTTTAAATGGCTTGTTTTCCGCATTTAACGTTTCTCTATTCTTCCCATCATTATTAATAATATCTTCAAGAGGTCCTCGAGTCTTGCAAAAATTAAATAATTATAAAAAAATTTAATAGGACAATATACATTTTTTTCCGAGGATTTTATAGGTGTCTTTTTTGTCATAGAAGATGAATGCTCATTTGTTTCCAATATAGGTTTCTTTTTTATATCATTAATCTAAAATATTAATATATTTATTATATATATATAATAATTGTGTTTACTTTTTCATGTTGAAGTTTGCGTTGGGTGTCTTCTCGATGCCATTGTTCTTGTTTTTTGCTTTCTTCTTGTTTTTTGAGATTTTCTTGTCTTTTACGTTCTATTTCTTTTTTATGTGCCAATTTTCTGTCTTTTTCTTCTTGTTCCTATAATTATTTAATTATAGAAACTATAAAGTTAAATTTCTTTAGACCTTTTTTCTAGCGATAGTAGCCGCAGTAAGTGCTTTGATTCCCTTAGAAACTATTAATCGTTTTTGTGGTCGTGATTGAGCTAAAATAGAAGGTTCTTGAGAATGGGATATATTATATTGTACTGGGTCTTTTGTAGAACAATTTTCTTGATTTTGAGAAAAATGTGTATTAAGGTCTTGTTTTGACGATGTTCTAAGATTTGTTTTCTGCATCTTATACTCATCAATAAATATTTTAATTTATAAGTAAAAGATTACCTTTCTTTTTTCCATAAGATCTACTTGCCTTTGTGATGCTGTTGTTACTTTTATAGAAACTGGTTTATTTTTTATCACTGGAGTTGGATTAAGGTTGTTTAATTTTGCTTGTTGAGAAGGTGAAATTTTCTTTAAAATTTTACATGAGAACCCTTGAGAACCAACTTTATTTACTGCATTTGTCTCATGAGAAATAGAGTCTGATAAATTAGATGAAGATTTTTTAACCAAAAATTGAATCTCATCAATACTTCCTTCTTTTCTATAATCAGGTATTTTTATAGAATTATGCATCGTTTCGATTATATTGTTAGATTCTATATTTGTTTTATATATTGTATTCTTAGAAACTTCATTATTTTTTTCTGAGTCTGTTTCACATTCTAACCCTATTATGGTTTCTGGGCATACATTTTCATCATGCAAATTATCAAGACTTTCTAATGAGTCTGCTGAAAACTTTCCTAAAGATTCTCTTGATATCTTTTTTAATGAAGGGCTAAAAAAAACTGATGTTGCTTTTCGGATAACTTGGGCTGCTGAATTCCTTGCAGCCTGTATTGCCCCTATAACAGAAATAGTTGGCATATTTATAATAGATGTTCGATGCCGAAATGTATCATCCGATTTATTCAAAACTATTTGTTTTTCATCAGTAGATTCAGTATTACTTTTATTATCGCCAGAATTGAAAGAAGATAGTTGTTCCTTTTGCTCTATGCTTATATCTATAGAATTATTTACATCAATTTTAGAAGTGAAATATTCCTCATTTTTTGAAGAGACTGTTTCACCTAAGTCTAACCCAATAATAACGTTATCAACAGTATTATTTTTTTTATTTAATGACATTGAATTTTCATCTAGTTCTTTCAATTTTATCCCTACATCTGTTTGTAATTTCTGTTCAGTAAAAACAGGTTTGAAATGTTCAGATACGGGCTTCGCTGTACGAAGAGAGTTTAATGCTTCATGTATCCTCTGACTTCCATTTGTAAATACAGTTTTAAGCCTTTGTTCACCAGCATTAAGAGGATCAATTTCATTAAAAGTTGATTTTTTTTCTAATATTCCATCGAAAACATAATTTTGCTTTTGTAAAACTTCTAAGGATTTATTCTCTAAGATACAATTGTCTCCTTGTTTCTCATTTTTCAATATTCCAAGTAATTTCGAATCCAATGTTTTTTGAATTTTCGTAGTTTCACAAAAAGATCCATGCTGTGAAATCCTTTTTCCTAAAGACTTTTTTGTATTAAGAGGTTCCCTTGGAGGAAGTGAAACAAAATTTAATGATGACATTACCACAGGCGAAGCAAATGACGTCATATTAACTGAATTAGTAGGAGGTGAAAAATGAGAATGTACTATAGATGTAGACCCAGAATGCACACCAAAACTAGAAACATTTTGAGAATCCAAATGACATGATAGATTTAAATTTTGTATTGGAGATATAACATTTTTATATTTTGAAGCATTTGTAATATCTTTTTTTGACTCAATAGATTCTTCAATATCTGCAGCCATTAATGAATCCTCTGAAAAACAAAAACTATGTGATGAGTTAGATTGAAGATGTTTCTTTTCAGAAGACGCAATGCTATGATCTTTTGAAATACTTGAATGCATTATTTCTAACTTATTACTTTTTGGCGATTCTTTCATTTCAACAATATCAAGGATTTCTTCGTCTACATCTACCTCATCTTCTTCAGTAATCATTTCCATAACTCTAGAAGACGAATCATATTTCAAATTTATATTTTGTTCATTATTAGTTTCCATCATCGAAAAATCATCATTACAGCTTTCCCTTAAAATATCATCTTCATAATCAATATCTATATTTTCAGAAATATTAGTAGATTCATCTTCCTTGAAATTTTTTAATGGAGAAGAGACAACCGCAAATCCTATGTTTTTAAACAATATAGGCTTTTGTATAGAATATGTTTGAGAAGCAGTATCGCAAGAATCCTGAAGATTATAAGTATACATAGTGAAAAGAAAAAGCTTAAAAAAAACCTTTTCATAGGTTAATAGCTGTTGTGCAGAAGCTGGTGAAAGCATTTTAAAATTATCACAAAATGCACTAAAACAATTAGATAAATACTCAAAAAAATAAAAAAAAAGCACCTTTCACAAAAATTAACAACATCTTCCATGTATTCATTAATCCATTCTAAACTCTCAGTAATAGCTAAAAAGAAATTATCTAATTTTTCATTTGACAAATCAGAAAGATATTTTATTTCTTGAAAAATCCAAGAAGAGCTACCAATTTCATTAGGGTCAATTTTCATGCTATGAAACACCCAAAATTGTTAAATAAACTGTTGTTTTTAACCTTTAAAAACTTTAGGTTTTATCTTTATATTTTTAATATGTTCGATTCAAAACATCTCAAAATCACGTGTACGTATATCTGACGATGATGTTAGTTGATCTTTTTTTAAATCTAAAATAGTTTAAAAATGAAATAATATTAGTATTTTTTAGAAATAAAAGACAAATTTTAACATTATTCTTTCAAAAGAATATTTTTTTATTGTTAAATGTAAAATATTAAGCCACTTATTTAATCTAGAAATATGTGTATGTATATATATTATTTTATAAAAAAGCAATTAATTACATTAATATAAATGACAGAAAACAAGAAAAATATCAAATGATACTGTAAAAGATTACTACGTAAAAATATTTTATAATAGTTAAATAATTTTTTTAGATCCCAAAAATTACATATATATTTATAGTTAAATAATTACGACGTTATTTTATTAATAATCAATTATCCCAATATGCATCAATTACAACATAACCCGATTTTATATAAATTTTAAAATCAATATTAATTAAATATTCTTAAATGTACAATACTGTTAATAATGCAACTTAAAACCCCCTAAACCTTTTAGGAGTTTCGCTTCCTTTTAGTCCCTTCCTGTTTAGACCAGGGGTTGCTATTCTAGCTGCGGCAATAGCAGATTCTTTTATACGTAAAGCCTCTTTTTGTTGGTCTTCTTTTAATTGTATTTGCCTTTCTCTCTCTGCTTGTATTTCAGCTTCATATTCTAGTTTTCTAGATATAATACGCTCAGTAGCTTTTTTAGATATGCTATATCCTAAAAAAGTTAATTTATACTTTATAATTTATATTTATAACCTTTTTCTTTAACAGAATAAAACATTCCACCTAGTTCTGCTAACCAATAAGGATCAACAGATGTTACAATGCTCATATATTCCTTTGATGTTAATATCAATTCGTGATATATTACATAATCAGGAAGATAACCTAACCCATAAAGAGAAGATGTAGGGTGTAAATGACATGGCATTCCTGAGCGAATATGTATATATTCCCCTATTCCTTTAACTCTCGCAGCATGATGAAAGTATCCTGAACAAATGCATTTTCGAACAACATCCCAATCAGATCCACAGGAAATATATTTCATTTTTTGAAATTTCATAATATCCATTAATTGTTGACGAATTTCACGTGCTTAATTATATTAAATTTTATATATGAATGTAAAAGTAAAATACCTCTACGCATTACTTTTGGGTGTAAAAAGTGTTTCATACACCATTCATCACGATAACCATTAGACTTCCATTGAGAATAAACATGCAATAATGTAAGATGATCAGATTCAGGAACAAAAAACTTTTCTCTAGCAGCATCACTTTCTTCTTGTCTTTCTTTAGGTCTATAAAAAACAGGAGGAACAGATAACATTGAAACTATAGTTAGCATTTCTTCTGTACATCCGTAATCTTCTGAAGCTATTATTAATTTTGAAAGAGGTGGATCCATAGGAAAAGAAGACATTCTTTGCCTAATATAATTAATAAAGTAAAAACTTAAAATTATTAAAATACCCTAAAGGAGTTAAGTTCCCAATATTATCTACTGCACCCAATGTCCATAGATCAAACAAACTCGACATAATTGTATCTTCAGGAGGAGGATCCATAAAATCAAAATTAAGCAAATCCTTAACTCCAAGAGATTTAAGTAATAGTATTGTATTAGCTAAATTAGTACGCTGAATTTCTGGTATAGTTTGTATATAAAGTTCATTTTGAAATGCTGCTTCTGTATATAAACGATACGCAATTCCTGCTCCCGTACGACCAGCTCTTCCAGATCTTTGATTTGAGTTTGCCTGAGATATAGGAGTTATTTGAAGCGCATCCATACCCATTCTTGGATTATAAACTTTTAATTTACAATATCCAGAATCAACAACATACATAATTCCATCCACTAAAATATTATTAAAACAGAAAAAAATAAAAATTTATTACATGTCAATGAAGTTTCTGCTATATTTGTTGCAACAACTACTTTCCGAGCATTATTCTCAGCACGTTCAAATATTTTTGCTTGAAGATCAGCAGGCATCTGTGAATAAATAGGCAGCACTAATAGCTTAGGTGGATTATCAAGCTGTTCTAAGCGTTCCATAATAACCTGACAAGTAATTTCGATGTCTTCTTGTCCTGTCATAAATACTAATATATCACCAGGAGGATGTGATAAGTGGATAGTAAGCACCTGTTTAACTGCACTATCCACATAATCTTCACATGGTGATTTAGAAAATAAAATGTCTACAGGAAAAGTACGTCCTGGTATAGTGAATTGAGGTGCATTACCAAAAAAGTGTGAAAACCGTTCAGCATTTAATGTTGCAGAAGTAACAATTAATTTTAAATCCTTCCTTCTAGTCAATATGTTTTTTATCAATCCTAATAGAATGTCTGTATTAAGCGATCTTTCATGTGCTTCATCCATAATAATGCATGAATATTTACCCAAATCTAAATCTATAAGTGATTCACGTAATAAAACACCATCAGTCATATCTAAAATAAATTAATAATCAATTAAGAATTTAAAACACAAACATTTAATAACAGTATCGGAACTTGTACAATCTTCAAAACGGATAGAATAACCAACAATAGTCCCTAATTTTACCATCATTTCTTCACTAACACGTTTTGCAACACTCATAGCAGCAACTCTTCGAGGTTGCGTACATCCAATTAAACCATAACTAGAATAACCATCCTCATGCAAAAATTGAGTTAATTGTGTAGTTTTTCCAGACCCTGTTTCACCTATTACAATTGTTACTTGGTTTTCTCTTATAACATTCAAAAGATCTTCACGGACTGCAAATGCAGGTAAGTATTCTCTTTGTTCTTTTAAAGACTTTCCGCGAGAAAATTCGCTTGCTGCTTCTGATTTTTTCATATAAGTTGAAAATTTATTACTTTCTTTAATATCTAGATCATTTCCATCAAACTTTTGTTTGAATTTGGCTTCTTCTATTTTATCTTTAGCCTCATCTCTAATATTCATTAAATTTCCTAAAGTAGTCCCTGCAAGATTTGCAACTTCAGCTGTTGCTTTCATTCTTTCTGAAAGTTCCCTACGCTCTTTTACAAGCAACGATCCTTTACGTGCAAAAACAGCCATATCGCTTTGCGGATCCTTAACAGCGGAAACAGGATCTTGTTGTTTAGTAAAAACTTGTCTACCGTCAAGAAATAATGGTTTCAGATCATGAACCAAAAGATGAACTCTATTCTGATTTTCATCCTCAAAATCCATATCAACGTAAGAACGTTGTGCCACACCAGATGTAAGCATACGATTCATTTCCCAATGGTCATTTTCTCTATTAAATTCCCTTTGTTTTGCAGATATTCTTTTGGTTTTTTTTTTAAGTAACATTTCATTTTGGTTCTTTTCTTGATCTTCAAATTGAAAAAAAGGATTATGTACTTCATCTCCATAAACATTGCCAAATTCATCTGTATTATACCAATCACGATCAATTTTTGCTAAATTATTTTCCCATTCTACTGTATCATAACCGTTTTTCATATTTTTGTCTGAATAATGTAATTCTTGGTTATCCAAAGCAGAATCTGTAACTCTAGGAGTACTAGCATATCCAAACCTATCCATTCCATTTGTATTTGCATGCGAACCTGTATTTCTTTCACTATATTTTGAAAAACTTCTTTTATTAGATATTTCAGTATTATTGAAAGAAAATTTTTCTTTTGGAAAATCTTTACGTAATAATGAGTTGTGCTTTTCATTAAAATGTTCAGTATCATAACTTTCACGATTGCTATGATTTGTAGATGCTTTTTTCTCAAATAGCCCACCTATTTGATATAAGTGTTTTAAAAACTATTTATATTAAACCACTAAATACCTTTTACATTTTCATGTCTTGATTTATAATTTTTCAGACTTTCTTTAGAAGCTTCACTAAGCCCTGAGCCATAGCTAGGTGTATCAATTCGACGAATACGTGCATTACTTCTAGAGCTAAAAGAATTTTCGTCCTTTTTAGGAAGTGGTGCTTTAAACTCAATCTTGTCAGACTCTGAATATTCAGAATCTGTCTCTGATGATAGTCGTTTAGCAAATCTTTCTGTTTTCAATATCATTTCATTTCTTTTTTTTTGAGCAAGCTTATCTAATCCAAGAAGTGAAGGACGATGAGGATTATGAGATGTATGTGTATCAGATACTGAAAAGCTTGATGGCAAAAGACCGCCTACTGTAGAATTCAGTGATGCTGGAAGTTGGTCTACATCAGAAGAAAATGTAGTAGACTGTTTTATTTATTAATATTCTTAAAGTAAACAAAGAAAGATAACGTTACCTGCACTGAAACATTTGTTTCAGACAAATTTAGCCATTCTTGTCTAATATCTTTCCACAACATTTCGGCTGCCTCATCACTAAATCTACCAAATGTCTGAATTGCTTTAATAAAAGAAGCAATATCATTCTTTTCTATAGCCAAAGAAAGGACCCTCCGTGCAAGAATATCATTGGGATTAATCAAATTGAGGTGTCTTGAAAGTCGAATGGCAATTGCATGTGTAAACGCATCTCCAAAGCCAGGAAAAGAACTCATTTGAAAAATAAATATAAGATTCACTCAAAAACACATAAAACATAAGCAAAATTTTTAATATACGTTTTCTGATATCATTTTATATCTAAAATTCAGCTCTTTTTAATTTTTTTAAAATTAATGTTATCAAATAAAATCACGAATCGTTAAAGCTCTAAAAACAATGATCAGCTTTTAAATATATTTGAATATAAAATAATTATATAAGAAGAATTTAAATAATGAAAAACATATTATTAACACAAAGAACTTACTCTCTAAGTAGATATTTAAAGAATATCCATTTTAAAAAACAAAACTGTGCATTTTCACAGTTTTATTCTTATCAATCTGATGTTAAAGGGAAGATAAAAGAAAAACAGTATTCTTCAAATAGACATCTAACAAAAGATGAAAAAGACATTATTGCTCGGTGTTTGAGAGTTAATCATGCAGGGAATTATTTTTTTTTATGGAAAAAAAACTAATGTATTTAGGTGAACTTGGTGCAAATCAGATTTACAAAGGTCAATATTTTATTTTGTCAAAAACAAGACCAGAAGTTGCCCATGTTATTATGGATATGTGGAATCAGGAAAAAGGACATCTTGAAACATTTGAAGAGCTTCTTTTAAAATATAATGTAAAACCAACTATATTAAAACATCTTTGTGAAACATTAGGATTTATGCTAGGTGCAGGAACTGCACTTTTAGGAACAAAAACAGCAATGGCGTGTACAGAAGCAGTAGAAACAGTAGTTGGGGAACACTATAATAACCAATTGAGAGAAACAATGGATTTACGAGGATATAGTGCAGAAATGGATTATTTACGTAAAAAAATCAAAGAGTTTCGTGATGATGAATTAGAGCATCTTAATACTGCTGTTAAGGATTGGAATTCTAGAGATTCTTTTGCTTACAATATAATAACAAGTATTGTTAAGGTTTATAGCTTTTTTTTAAAAAAAATGATTTATTATATATTAGGCTGGATGTATTGGAGCAATTTGGTTATGCAAAAGGATTTAAATAAAAATTTTTCTATAATTTTTGATTGAATATTGTATAAATTATGGTTTTTTAAACATAGATTATTATTCATTAATATTTGTGCACAACATATAAAAACAATGTTTTATAGCTATTGCTATTTTTTATCTAATACAATTACAATGATATAAAATTATCCAATTCGAAGATTTAATTATTGAAAATATGTGATTTTATAGATTGATAACCCTATAAATTTAGTAACTAATATATAAAAATAGTTTTTAATATTTAGTTAATAATATAATATATATATATATATATATATATTAAATCGTATATAATAACGGAAATTATAATTTATTTCCCTCTCAAGTCAAAATTTTGAAATTTCGTAATTTCAATTTTTACAATTATTTTAAGAAAATGCATCTAAAAATCTCAAATTTACTTCAACTCATTCGAAAGCTTGTATAGATTATTATCGTAAATTTTTTGCTTAGTTCTATAAAGATGAATATCTTTCATAAACATTACACAAAACAACATTGGAATAGCACACATAGCAGAACAAATATAAAGAAATTTCATTAAATCATTGTATGCTAAAATAATAGTCATTCTCTCCAATGTACCTCTAACAAATTTAGGATATTGATCAAGAATAAAAGGACTTCCAATAATTAACGAATAATCACTAGAAGTCAAAAATATATTTAAGCGTTTAGAATGAAACTTTAACATCTTTGGGAGAAGACTAGACCACATAATACCTGAAATTGCAGACCCGATTGCACCACCTAGTGATGCTAACTTAAATTTTATTAGCAATGAATATATTTAATAATTAAAAATACCGTTAGAAACAATGCAGTATTAACAACAACTTCTACCATATATTAGCATCAAATAAAAACTAGTTATTAAATTACGTTGACGACATGATAGTGCTTGAATTCCAATTAAAGCAGACATATTATAAATTCCTCCACTAATACCAATTATAGCCTGAGAAATAGTCATTTCTACTACAGATTCATCAATTCTGAGATTATATATCATATATATTATCCCAATCATATAAATCGGAGATCCAATATAGATAAAAAAATTGTATCTTTTATTATATTTAACAAGTATACCAACAAATATAGCAACAATAGTTGAAGTAAATGAAAACACATTACTAAAAGGAATTAATCATAACACAATATAAAAATAATGAAAAGAACATACTTTAGATACCCAACTCTTTTAATAGAATTAGATTTAGTAACATATAAATAAGTGCTGAAGTAATTATTGTAAAGATAAAACCCCATAAAATAAAAGAAGGATGAAAAATAGCCAGACCCTATCATTCCCAACTTAAACGAATTGATATCGAAAATTGGATACTTTGCAAAAAAAAACTCCCATAAAGGAAATATTACACATAGAATAGTTACTATAACAAATATTGTAGCAATATATAATGATTTAATATCATAAAAAATAGGAAATTCGTGAATTAGCTGAAACAAAAGCATGATAAGTCCAAAAGATAGTATTATAATTCCAATAAGATCAAGTTCAATAAAAATTTTTTTTATAGAAAGAGTTATTGATCCATCGTTATTCTCTAAAGACAACATGTGTATTCCCTTGGGTTTGAATTGACCTAAATACAATACTATAATTATTGGAAGGGAACCTAGAGAAAGAACTACTGCCCATATACCGTAGCCCAATCTCCATTGTTCACTAGCTGGTTCTGGCAAATAAATACTTTGTGCCAAACTCGGACCCACCCAAACATTAATAAGAAGAGGAACATCAAGTATACTATTCAAGAGTCCTCGATTTAAGAAATTAGATATATCTACTAAGAATTTAATAATAATTTTATTTAAGAGATGATTAATATTGACCAGCAATAATAATTTGTTGAAGAATCTGAATACCAGTGCTACCAATTGTATGAAGTATAGATGATATAATGAATGTAACAATATTTGTGCTCATCATATACATTATACATCCTATTTTAAATTTAAAAGAAAGAAATCATTATATTAAGAAAAAACCTATATCATATAGCAAAAGAGAAAAACAAAAACCTTCTATTCGCCCAAACACAGCACTCATTTTTGCCATTTGTTGTTTCACAACAGCATATAAAACTCCATTGATTGTATTAATTAAAGGAATTAACGAGTTTTTACCAAAATATGAGGTTGCAGGAACAATTAAATTAGATGTTGTTTGTGATTCTAATGAAATACAATATGTCATAATAAAAACACTAAACAAATATTTATCAATTCGTATTTTTATGTAAAAAAACTACCTGACATAAACAATAACGAAAGATTGCTTATTAGATGTCGTTTTAAAATAATGAACATCCTTAATTCCATTCTGAGTTTTTTGATCCAAAAGATGCATTTCCTCAGAATTAATATCTTTAAATATGTTAAAAAATTCCTTATTTTTCCATAAACTTTAAACCAGAAATCATTATTTTTAAAAAAGAAAAAAACCTTTTATAAAAGGAAAAAAGAAAATAAAAGCATATTTTGCGTTATAAATTCCATTAAATATGCCATTTCTTCTCTAATTCCTTTAAACGAAAAATATACATTTAATAACAAGGGTTATCGTAAATAAACAATAAACTGAAACTAATCGTTACACGAAAAAAATAAAAAGATCAGTATAGAATAATAAAGTTTATATTTTATATATACACGCCATATCAGTTTATATCAATTCTATACAATTACATAATTTTTTTATAAAATTACAAGAATATAATGATTCCTAGAACAGTGATTAACGTCCATAGAATATTATTTCTCATGATATAAGCACTGTTTTCATGATTAGTCCCATTATTAGCAGGACTCGATTCTTCTGTGTTTTTAGGGATATCAAATCTAAAAAAATATAAATATAATGTAGATATGCAATTGAAAATATACTCTAAAGTTTGAAAATTGCCATCTCGTATTAATAAAGATATCCTGGACATATAATTTTCAAATTTATCTGCAAGTAATTTATATCCAGAGTTTACTGGTTTACTTAAGAAAAGAAGACCATGCGTAGGACCACAATCATCAAGAACAGAATCAGGAGAGTTAGCAGACAAAGAATTGGCATTATCATGATTCGATAAAGGACACGATAAACCAGAAGCATGCATATGTTGATTTTTACTTCCCTCAAGGTGAAAAAGCATTAATGTTATATCACTAGATTTAGAAATATATTTATTAAAATCTGACCCAGAACTAAATTCTGTTAAATATTGATTAAAACTAATGTTTTCAAACCTTGATTGCTCTAGGTTAGTTATGCTGCTAAAATCTATCTTGGAGAGTGAATCAATAAATGTTGATTTTTTATTTTCGGGATTATCTGATTTTGAGGTTTGACTATGTTCCGAATTATCAATTTTGTCGTTCGTATGTTCTGATTTTTCGCTTCCCTGTTTATCTAGACTTTTGTTTCAGCAACCATATTGTGTACACTTTTGATAGGTTTTTTACCTTCACTTTTTTGTTCATCTTTTGTTTTTTCCTCATGTGATTCATGATGCTCAGAAACTTTAGTATCATCTACAGTACTCTTATATTCTTCATGTTGAGACTCAGGAACATGAGCTTTCTCAGTAAGCGATGTATCATCTGAAGCGTCTTCAAAATCAAATCGAGGAAGAGCACTTAGAAATCTTTGTTCGTCATTGACATTATCTTTCGAAAATAGGACTACCCTTGCCCTTGATCTCGCAGATAGCTTTATTCCACAAAAAACAGCGTCAGAATAACCGTGTTGAGCATTTTCACATTCATTGACATTATGTATTGATGGGTCAATAAAACAAGGACTATGATCGCAGCTAGGACCTTCGCAATCAAGCCTTATGCCCCAATTGGGAGAAACTCCCTTCCAATAACTATCATGTGTATACCTAGGATTCCATCCGAGTCTAAGATAAAGGTCTCCCTTATAATCACTGCTCAGCTCAAGCGTATATGGAGACCATGCACCTTGATTTGAGAATCGACTCCCTATAGTACATAAATCATTGCCTGATCCTGGTGGATTAAAGTAATAAGATGATGATCTTGATCCAACGTGCGAAGGAACTGCTATTGTAGAAAATGAATGCCCAGGGACATAATTAGATGCTAACTGAAAAATACCATTTGAAAAAGACTCTTGACAATATGAAGCTGATGTATCAAAAAGATTAAGAACATAAATATTTTGAGGTGCAGCAACACAGAGAGAACCAGAGGGTATCTGAAGATTACCGGATTCATCACAAAAAACTCTACCTTCCTGTTCAAGCATAAATACTTTTTGAAAAAAAAAAAAAAAAACGAACCGAAAAACCAGAACTGAAATCTACTTTTGAACTTGGTTGAGCAAACTAAATTACTTAGTTTTTCAATCTAAAAAAAAGAAAAACATACGTATCCACTCCTGCAAAAATATGTACAGTGACTTCCAGGTAAACATGTAGGACCAGCTCCCAATGCCCAACCAAAAATATTACCATCTGAGGTGACAGCAGCCAATTCGGGATTCTCAAAAGGAAAACGACATCCTTTTGGAGAATTGCCATTATTTGATGAACCACCATTATGTATATTACGATCCCCTCCTCTTACAGTACTTAATGGATATGCATTGCTTTTGATCAATAAGCCAATCCAGACAAATGTTTTTAGAAACTTTCGAGAAAAAAGACAACAAAAACACGTTTTTACAAAAAATATATTCCAATCCAAGTTATTCTTTTCAAAAACACGTGTCATCTATTATTATTAGAGACCTAAAATACATATTATATCTTTACCAAGAAATTCGTCCCGCGAATTCAGAAAAAAAGGCTTCAAAAATACTTAAAAAAACAAATGCAATCAGTCTTCGAAAGGGGATGCCTTATCCTTTTAACTTAATTGCCAAGCAATGTTCTTTGATAGCACGAGCCATCATTTTATCTTTTTTTGTTTTAACGCTTAAACCAGCCTCCTTAACTAATTATGAAAGAAAAATCCGTAAAAACTATAGGATAAAAAATGATTAACAAAAAATAATAAAAATAAGCCTAATGATACAAAAAGAGATAATCAAAAATGTAAAAGTAAATTTAGTGCCTAATTATAGTGTTTCTGTCTAAGAATTGAATATTTTTAAAAAATGAGTTGTCCTAAAGATCATAGTTTCTATAAATATAAATTATAATAGCCATGTGACTAAAAACGTTTTTTTGAAACATAAAAAATGTATCAATGAATGAATTAGTGCAGTTTAAAACAATGCTAATTTAGAATAGCTTACGACGTTAAACTAAATCTGTAATGAAATAAAAAATAAATGAACAATGAGATAATTATTTCTTTTATATGTTATTTATTATTTTACTTATTATGTTACAAAAGAAAATGTTGTCCTACCTAAGAAAATAAGATTTATTAATATCATTTATTTTAAACTTACAAAGAGGACATTTGGATGCATTTGATGTTTTAAACCACTAAATTAAACATTAGATAAGGAATATAAATGTAATAAATACTTTATATAAACACCCAGAATGAAATTTGTTTTTACAAGTTGCGCATTTTTTGGAAGGTAAAGATCGGTCTTGAACAGATAAAATCGAAACTATATAATTGTTAATTATTAATAATAAAAATATATTAATAAAACTTACAGCATATGTTGCATTCAGCGACTCCTTCAAAATGTAATGAAACATTCCGTTTAAATAAATGTACAGCATCTACAATACTTCCATTTTGTGTAGTTATTAAAATCCGAGAAGCCAATAACCATGCTCTCCATTGAGCATCTTTTATACCAATTCTTTGTAGACCTTCCACAGTAACTTGACATAAAGGATAACATGATGGTAAGCGAATAACCATTTCTAAATACTGATCATCAATTGTATAAAATGTTGTAACTTCACGAGTAGTTTTTGAAATTTTCACATGTACATTATCATCTGTTATTTTTAATTGTGTAAATTCTAATAACACTAAATTAATTTCTTCTTCAATTAAAATAGGAGAAATATATTTTTCTGTAAACCTATATTTATATTAATAAGTGCTATTATATAGTTAAACAAACATTTCTACTAATTGTGTTAATTGTCTATTTTTACAACTAATCCACCAATCTCTATTAAATATTATTATCTTTTCTTAAAAACGCTATAAAATTAACCTGGCAATAGATGGAACATGTTTAAGTATAAGTAAATATATATATGTTGCTAAAGACTGTATTTCAGTTTTTATATTACTTATATTTTTCCATTCACTGATATCCCGTAACACCTCTATTGAATTCATAGATCGATTATTTAATAATTCAAGAACTTTAAATATTAACTCAATTACTATTGAAACAGAGTTATTGTCTTTCAAATTCTCAATATAACAAGACTTTAACATAAATGACTAAAATAAATGTATAAGAATAAAAATATAAGTATTTTACATTAAATAAATACCGTATTTTTAAAATGTATAAAGATAAGAATCCACGAAAGAAAATAGCATCGAATTTCACAGAATATATTACTTTTGTGATCAATATCATCTAATAAACTACAATAATATGGAGGATTTGAAATTATAGAAAGTAATTCAGAAGGTAGGTTGACATTTGTTTTAGAAAATTCTATATCTAGAATCAAATTTTCCTGATTTTTCAAAATCCAATTTGTTAACCATTCAAATGCAACAATTTGTGTATATCTTGATTGTGATGATAAATGAGGATAAAGCTATTTTTATAAGTAAGGAATAAAAAATAATGTTTTTTACTGAATTTACTAGCTGTTTTTCAATAATGTTTAAAGGAATTTGTGTTAAAATTTTTGATAATAATTGATTACAAGCCAATAAAGGCTGATTTTTTGTTTTTGTTTCTACTATTATAAGTTTAAAAAAGATGTTTTAAGTATCTAAACCTTTTTTATGAATAAATAATTGAAATAAATACAAATAAAAAGTTTTCGAATACATATTCCAAGCATCCTTAAAAGCATCATTCGAAGAATAATAGAGATTTAACGTTATGAAAAGTTTTGTAGAATAAAACTCAAGATTTAAAGAATCCAATGTTTGTGTAACACAGAGCTTAAAAATATTAGTTGATAATTTATTTATAAAACAAAATACCTTAAGACATTCACAAAGATAATTACAAATATTGTTCCAATGCATTCCATAAATAGTTTTTACGTGAGGAATCAACTTTATAAATATTTTTGTAATTTCAACACAAAAATCAATATATTTAAGATTTATTATATTTTTTTCATTAATTAGTTTTAAAAAATTTTGAAAAAGAAAAATTATACGTTGTTGTGGTAAATGTTTCCAAAGAGTATTATCAAATGGTATAAGTATATTAAATAAAATCATTTTTTTTAAATCTAAAAAATAATAAATTATAATATATTTTCCAAGATATAAATTACCTTGGGCCATTATAATCTTACCAGATAAATCACTTCCAATTCTATCTCTTATATTCTCTAATTTTTTTGAAAAAAAAAGTTTTTCTTGGAATCCATTAACAATAGCAGCAATAATAAATATATCTGAAGTAATTAAATTAAACATTAATTTATAAATCAAAAATTATTACTTTGTTCATTTTCTATAGAGATATCATTTAACCATGTTTCTGCTTCTTCCTGAGAATAATAACTTTTTCTAGTTAAAAATTCAAGAATTCTAAATAATACACAAGCAGAATAATATGTTTCTGGAGATTTTCCAATAGAACATTCTTTTAACTTTTTTAAGAATTTTACATCATTTTGTTTTATAGAATTATCAATACCAAGAATTTTAATTTTCTTTGAACTTAGTATATTAAAAAAAAGATCTTTGTTCCTATCTATTAATTCAAATAATTCATGTTCTTGTTCTTCAGTTATTGACCTCCACAAATAATTAGCTTGTTCTAATTCAAAATTATCTCTAATGAGTTCCCCACAGATCATAATTCCATGTAATATTAGCCAATGAATTTCTAAAACATATGATTTTAGCATAAGAGAATAAATTATCATCTCAGAAAAAACAGTCATTTTTAGTAGATCCGAAATATTTCCTATTTTAACATCTTTTTTTGTTTTAACAAAACTAGGAAATATTAAACAGCATGTTTTTAAAGAATTAAACAATTCTAAATTTTTATTAGGATATTCGGAAATCAAATGTGTAAAAGCTGTGTTCCATTCATAATTAGTAAATAAAAATATATTTAAAAAGTCAACTTTTTCTGATTCTGATGCATAAAATAATATTTTTATACTTAAATTATGAAGTGATCTTATCCTAAAAATAATAAGTTGTATATATTATAAAAAAGGTATCAAACAATGAAAAATCAAGAAAATTCAAGGACAAAATTTGTTTTTGAAGAATATTTGCAATATTAAACCTCAAATCGTTACCCGTTTTGTCAGCTAAACAATAGATTTGTTCAAATAAATTATTAAAAATAAGTATATTTTTTGGAATATTTTCTTTTTTAATCTGACTAAAATTCCATATTTTTATATGAAATTCTATAGCTCGAAGATTTTGTAAAAAACATAAATATAAATCAAAACTATCATTTAATACTTTATATAGTAAAGTTAAAATTTTATCATCATATGTATTATAATGAAATTCTGAATCATCTGGAAAAGATACTTTTTCTGCAAGACAAAGTAAACTTTCAATAATAATTTCCTTAGAAAAAATAATTTCTTAATTGTTAAAATATTATTTATATTTTCGAAGATAACATTACCTTTAACAGCAAAAAGATCATTTAAATATTCCCAATTTTTAAAAATATCCTCAATATTTAAATGTACATTATTTAACAAAACATGATCAATGGAATCAATTCGGGGTAAACGATTTTTTAAATCTTTTATATCGATTTTACTATCAATTATCATTTGTGTTATTTTATGAACAAAAATGTTTTCTTCTGATTTATTTTCCATCATTGAAAAATGGGAAAATAAAGATATCCAAAGTAATTTGAGATTTTCAACATTGTTATTTCTCATAATATAAGTTAAAAGAATTGACATTATAGATTTTGTTAGTGATGTAATAAATTTAGGAATTTTTTCCATAATAAGAGCTTCAAGTTCCTAACTTTATATAAATTCAAGCATTGTTATAGAATTAACTAACCAAAACAATTCTATTATCTTTAAATATTATGTCTGTAAATTTAAATAGAATATAATCCAATAACTTTAATGTTTCATCACATAAATCTAATAACTTGTCAATTTAACTTTAGATTTATGTGTTTTACCATCATGTTGTTTAATATGACAAATTATAAGATATGTTATTTCACATATAATTGGAAAAATAATATGTTTTTTATCTGATAAACTATCATTATCATTTTTCTCTATTTCTTTAATAAATTCATCAGTTACATTTATCCAACGTACACCAATTGTATGGAATTCGCTATAATTTTCTTTATATGAAATATTTGATGTATTTAATAATATTTTCTCAAGAACATATTTTTTTGAATCATGCCAGAATTTATTAAAAAAATCATTTGAAATATATTTATTTTTTAAAAATCCTTTTACTAATGCATGTCTAAAGCCTTCTTCAGATATCTTAATATCTAAAGAAGCAAAATCATTAAAGTAAAGCTTAAAAATGTGTGAAATTTTCTTCTCTAAAATAGAAAATATATCATCAATATTTTCAAAATATTTTTCATAAAAACATATAATTTTAAAAAATATTTCTAAAGCCAATTCGATATTGTTTTTGGTTTTTTTAGATACGCCTTCCCAAATAATATCTATAAAATCATTTAAATACATCTTAAAATTATTTTTATGCGGATTTAAAGGTGTTTTCATTATAAGATCATAAAAATGAACCCAAAATTGCTCAGAATTAGAATTATTATTTAATATTAATTTTTTAAAGTAAGAAAATGTTTGATAATCGCCGAAAAAATCATGTTCCCATATTTCAGGACATACTTTAATAATAAGTTTGCATTATAAAATAAAAAAAAGATACCCAAATAAAGCACTTTCATTGTTGGTAAGGTAATTGACGTAAACGAATAGTCTATGTTTTCCATTAATTTTGTGATTGACTTTTTGATCATATTTTTTTGAGATATCAACAATTCTATAATTATTAAAACAAATATGTTAGTAAGATAATAAAAAACCTGGCCATTTATTTGATATATTTTCAATCAGTTCATAAAAATTTTTTCTCACATCAAAATCTGTTTGATATAAAAATTGCCAGAATTTTTCAGAAGATATAATTTCAATATATGAAATTTCTTCTTTTTTAATTTCATTTAGTTTTAAATTTACTGAAAAATAGTCAAAAATATTTATATGAATAGTAGAAATTACATATAATATCCGAAAGTGATGCTAATATAGAAGATATAATCTTACAATATCTAATTTCTGAAATTTCTTGAGATACATATCGTAAATCATCTAAATCTTAATCATTTTTTAAAAAATAGAAAATTAAATACTTAATGTACTAGGTGATTCTTTAAGAATAACATTTTTGTTAAAACTAAGAATATATTTGTGATAAATCTTCTTAGCAGCTAATCTTTTTTCTGGAGTTTTGAATGCTGTATTAAAAGATTCTATAGCGACTTTTTTAACTCCACGATCATTATCAAAAGTTGATGCAACCCATGAACCAATTATTTCTTTAACAAATTTAGCAATATTTTTTCCAGATTCATTATAGATTTTGCAATGTAAATGATGACAAGATAATCGAATCTGACGGTCTGCATCTATAGTTAATCGAGGATATAGATATGACTAATGATACATTAACTATTATAATTTCTTTAAAATAAAAAAACAACCCAAACATCCAAAAAATTATTTTCATTTAATTTCCCAGGATTATCATCTATCCAAGTACTGATATCATCTAATGCTTTGAGTTTTGTTGTAGTATCTTTTTTAGAAATATTCTTAAAAATAACAACAAGATCTGGAGGAAGTTCGCCAAATTCAAGAGATTCAACAATAACAGATGAAAAGATTCGTTCTCGTATACTTCCAAAAGCTCCAAATTTAAATTTAGATTCATCATTATTATTTTGTTTTGAAATATGAAATGCTGAACTTTAGAAATTTTAGTCTTAAATTCCTATAAAGGAAAACTAACCTTTCTAATAATCCTTTAATATTTTCCTTTTCATTTTTATGTGTTTTGATTGGTTGTTTCATAATATAATAGTTTATTATCTAAATTTTAGACGCTTACTTTTAAATAATCGATAATAAATGTAATGTTAATTTTTAAATGAATTATGATTTAAATGATTCATAATTCATTAATAAAAAATGAAGTATTTTTCTTTTAAATTTAGCACAAGAATCTTTTAATAAATAGATTTTTTATTGATGATCTTCCAGTGTTATTTCCATATCCTAGAATATATCCAGGTAACTAAAATTAAATATTAATATTATATTAATAGTATAGAACAATATGCTTATATGTGTCATTTGAAAAAGACACTTGATGCAGGGGTATATAAATTTTATATATATCATCTAGATTTATTAATAATACTATAGGGACATTGTGTTTTAGAAGTAATTTTTTGTATATTTTTAGTTTTTATTTTTAAAGGTTTATAGATGCCTTCTGGTACAGGGAAAACTGTTTCTTTGTTATCATTGATTATTTCCTATCAAAAAGTGTTTGAACGTTTTCTTGTTCTTTTGTATTAACAATATCAGTTTTATTCAGAACATAGAAAACTTGTATACTGCTCTCGAACTATGTCTGAAATAGAAAAGATTCTTGTAGAATTAAAAAATTTGATTGAGTTTAGGAAAAAAATTTCAGAAGAGAATAGTAAATTTAGAGCTCTTGGTTTAACTAGTAGAAAAAATCTATGTCTTCATCCTTCAATAAAACATGAAAAAAAAGGAAATATTGTAGATGCTAGATGTCGTGGCTTAACAGCAAGTTTTGTCAGAGAAAAAAAAAAAGCTGGAGAAAAAGTTAATCTTTGTCTTTATTATGAGGTTTATTATAATTATCTATTTATTAATATTAAATTTTTTAAAGAACTTGAATTTTCTTGATTTTTGCGACTTAATACCTTATGGTGTATTTACTTTTACTGATCTTATAGAATATGGTGAAAAAAATCAACAATGTCCATATTTTATTGCTCGTCGAATGGTAAAAATTATTATTCATTATTAAATTAATATATTGCTAGATACCATTTTGTAATGTTGTTGTATATTCATATCATTATTTGTTGGATCCAAAAATTTCTGAATTTATTTCAAGAGAACTTTCAAAAGATTGTATTGTTGTATTTGATGAAGCTCATAATATTGGTACTAAATATTATATTTTATAATTTTCTTTTTTATTTTATATAGATAATGTTTGCATTGAATCTTTGAGTGTAGATATTACAGAAGATTCTTTAAAAAGAGCATCTCATAGTATTAATAGTCTTGAAACAAAAATTGCTAAGTAATAACTATTTTTCTTATAAGGTTTCTGGTTTAATTATAGTATGAAAAAAAATAATGCAGAAAAATTACAAATGGAGTACAGAAAATTGGTAGAAGGTCTTAGAGAAATAGAAAAAATAAAAGAAAATGACATTTTTATTACAAATTCAAGTATTTGTATTGTATTTATTATAATCGTTTTAAACAATAATAGTTTTATCAGATGATTTACTTAAAGAAGCAATTCCTGGAAATATAAGAAAAGCAGAACATTTTGTAGCATTTCTCAAAAGATTTGTTGAATATATGAAGGTTTTAGTTTTAATTTTTATATATTTTATTAATATTTATAGACTCGAATGAAAGTTCTACATGTTATTGCAGAAACGCCGCTGTCTTTTTTGCAACATTTAAAGGAATTAACATATATTGAAAGTAAACCATTGAGGTATTTTTATTATTTTTAATTTTTTTTTTTACACATATAAGATTTTGTGCTGAAAGACTTAATTCACTTATTCGTACATTGGAACTTCCTGATATTGAAGATTATCAATATTTACAGGAAATAACAGATTTTGCAACTTTGGTATCAACATATGAAAAAGGATTTATAATTATTCTTGAGCCATTTGAAACGGATACAGCTACAGTACCAAATCCTGTTTTTCATTTTACATGTCTCGATGCATCAATTGCTATTAAACCAATTTTTGCCAAATTTAAATCTGTTATAATAACATCTGGTACAATTTCGCCTTTAGATATGTATCCAAAAATACTTCAGTTTAATGCAGTAATTCAAGAATCATATAATATATCATTGGCTAGAAATTCTTTTCTTCCTATGATTATTACAAGAGGAAGCAATCAAGTAGCAATAAGCTCGAAATTTGAAGTACGAGATGATCCAAGTGTTGTTCGAAATTATGGTGATATATTACTCGAGTTTTCAAAAATTACACCAGATGGTTTAGTAGCATTTTTCCCAAGTTATATATATATGGAATCAATTAGTAAGTTATATTATAATTGTTTATTTTTTTAATTTTTTAAGTAAGTCAATGGCAAAATATGGTATTGTAAATCAAAAATATTATTATATAATTAATATTTTAGGGAATTTTAGATGAAATATGGAAATATAAACTAATTTTAGTTGAAACACCTGATAGTCAAGAAACTGTTTTGGCCTTAAAAACGTATAGAACTGTAATTTTCATGTTGTATTATATATGCATTAGAATATTGATTTTTAGGCTTGTGATAATGGAAGAGGAGCAATTTTATTATGTGTAGCTAGAGGAAAAATTTCAGAAGGTATTGATTTTGATCATCATTATGGTCGTACTGTAATTATGTTTGGAATTCCGTACCAATATACAAAATCTAGAATCTTAAAAGTATTTTATAGTCGTTCATAATAATATGTTAATGATTATAGGCCCGTCTTGAATTTCTTCGGGATATGTATCATATTAAAGAAAATGATTTTCTTACATTTGATGCTATGCGACATGCAGCTCAATGCTTAGGAAGAGTTCTAAGAGGCAAAGATGATTATGGAATTATGGTTTTAGCTGATAGAAGATTTTCAAGAACAGGTATTAATCATTTGTTAATATTTTATAATTTTAAATGTACTTAGATAAACGTAATAAGTTGCCAAAATGGATTCAGCAATATATTACTAGTGGTACTTCAAATTTAAGTACTGATATGTCGATAGCTTTTGCAGAGAAATTTTTGAAAGCAATGGCTCAACCGTTTAATATTAAAGACCAAGAAGGAATTAGTTGGTGGGATATTGAGAAACTTCATGAATATCAAAAAAAAGAAAAACAAACAGAATCAAAAAACAATGAAGATTTGATAGATGCTAATGAAAATGAATATGATGTTTCAGATGAAATACTTGAAATTTCAGATGATATAAAATCTTAATTTTAATTTTTTTGATAGAATATCTATTAAAAGTACAAATTGGGTAACATATTTATATATTGTGTTAAATATATTAGATATTTAAAATTAATATTAAAATATTATGTTTTTGAAAAATAAAAGTGATTTAACGCCTAATTATATTAGCTATTTAATTATATTTTTAGATATAGTTCCACTTTTTTCGCAGTTAATCTTTTTTTAAAGCTATATGTAATTAAGTTTGAAATTAAATCTCTAGCATCGTATGGTGCATTTGGTAAAATCATTTCCCACGACTGAGCAGTATAATTAATGAAATGAACTTTTTTAAAATCTGGAAGTTCATCGATTTCCTTGAAAAATTAAAATTATGAATTAAAATAGATATTTCATACGTCCCAAGTTTCTTTCGTAGGTGTTCCTAATGTTTTAAAAATAGATGATAATAATAAAAGATCACTGTATCCAAAATTTTCCCCTGATCCAGAGTCAAAAAGAGGTTTGTTTTCATGTGTAAACATTTGTGCCATTGTTACACCCCATGACCACATATCAAGAGCTGTTTCATAATTTGTATAAGATAAGAGAAGCTCTGGAGGTCTATATGGCCTTTACTTATCTAAGTTTAATAAAAGTGCATAAATACATAATTACCCTGTAGCTACATCTGTAACTAACTTTCCTTTTACTTCATTACCTGGATTTTCTGATGACCATGCTGTGCTGAAATCAATTAACATAGCTGGTCCTTTCTCCGACAAAAACATAATATTCTGCGGGTTTATATCCCTATGAATAATTCCTTTCTCATGAATATACGCCAATGCTGATGTAATTCCTTTCAATTGCTCCTTTAGCCACTCTGGATCATTATTCTTTGATAGAACAGATAATAAATCATAAGGTAAAAAAGGAAGTACTAGTACAAAGTTTTGCCCGTAACGAAAAGTTTTGAGAGGCTCTACAATATTTTTATGTTTTAATTCAGTCAACAACTTAATTTCATAATCAGGTCGATGAGGCATTCGTTGAATTGATAAAGTACTGACTTTTAATGCTACAACTTTGCATTCATTTGTCTTCCATATACATTTATATATTTTTCCAGAAGTACCTTCTGAATATAATGTTTTTTCTATAAATTCATTCATATATAACTCAGTAATATATATTTTTTGACACTAAGTTCGTATCGGTTTCTACAGCAACCGATATTTAAAATTTGTCTACACTTAGAAGAATTAAGAAAATTAAAAATGAATTTAAAAAAGCAGCAAAAAAATGAGAACTTTTCTTCAGAAAAAACAGAGATTCTAACATTTTTTCAGCTAATATGTTTTTTAATGAATAGTTTTCAAGAGAGAATAAGCATTGAAAAGGAATATATTAAACAATTAAAAAAGCTTGGTAAAGATTTAGAAAAAGAAAAAAAAGAATTGGGGTAAAAAAAGGTTTAATAGAGTTTTTTTGTGTGGCTGATATTTTGTGAGATATTTTAAAGATGCAGGTCTATTAATTGACTCTACATTTGAAACAGCTTCAGCTCATGAGATGTTTGTTAAAAAAGTAAACCATATAATTGATATGTTTTTAGAAAAACAAAATGACATTATACTATATTTTGATTCGAAAAATAAAACAAAAACATACTCATTTGAGCGAAAAGTACGTTTTTATTTATAATTTATCACGATTAATAATATATAAAAGAGGATTAACCAAGTATCAGGAAAAATAACTAAGAGGGGAAAAAATTATAGAAATGTTTGGAGGAAATTAAGGGATAGAAATAGAAGGCAATTTAGTGGTTTAAAAACGCGTATTAAAAATAATGACACATTGGTGTTTGAGAAATTGCAGTTTCTTGAAAAGTCATTATTAAGAAAATTAGTAATTGGGCTTGAGACTCCAAATTTGGAATGTGCACGAAGAATTGTAAAAAATGCGGAAAAAAATTTAGAATCTTTACAAACACCTTTGAAAAAAATAAATACATATGATACATTTGATAATAAATCAAAAAAAGATTTAGAAAACGAAACGGAATCTTCTGAATCTAGAAACAATACTATAAAAGGTTATTTTTGAGTAAATAATATTAAAATTTTTAAAAAAATTTAGCTTTATGTTCTAAATTGAAATTTAAAACAATATCCGTTTTTAGAAAAAGAGGATTATCTCAAGTTGATATATTTTCAAAGAAATATTCATCTGAAAAAGTATCTAGAATTCATGGAAATTGTTTAAATAATAATGGTTCAAATATAAAAAACGTTTTTGAAATTCTTAAAAAAAAAGATATGAATTATAATAAAAAAAATCCATTTATGATGAAAAATAATATAACTGAAAGAGGGATGTTAAAAACAATAAAAATTAATAATATATTGTGTTTTAATAAGGTATTTTTTTATTTTTATTATAATGATTCTTATTAAAATTAGGACAAATTTGACAATATAGGATTTAAAAAATATAACTATCAAATTCCTACAAAGGAGAATTTGGTAATTGAAGTTTTAGAAAAAGCAAGCGAAATAGATGATACAGAAAAAACACATGTGATAAAGTAATATCCTTTAAGTTATTGTTTTATTTTTCAAATTATATTTAGTTTCATTCCACAAAAAAAAAACAATACTGAAATTCAAAATGAAAATACTTTAGAGGTTTGTGATACTTATATTTCAGAATCAAATACTGTAACTCAAGTTTATGAGGTAAAAAATATTTTACTTAAAATTTTTAATTTTTAAAGAAACCCATAATACTTGGTAAAAATTTTAAGTATGAAGAAACACATACTATATATAATGTTTCAAATAATTCTTTACAGCAAAAAGGGAGTTCCGTTTCCCCTAATATGCGTCAAACATTATCAGAAGTATTTAATAGTAATGTTTATCAGTCAAATTTATTCGATTCTTTTATGGAAAATAAATTCAGGCATATTATACTGCCGCAGTCTAATATGTTATTATTAAATTATAAGCATACAGAATTAACAAAACAGGGTTTAAATTGTTCTATTATAGAAGTAGTCAACGCATGTATTAAAAATAAAGAGCATTCTGAGCTTATGATTCAGGGTGAAGTCGCTTTTTCGTATATGCAGGAGATGGCTTTGGATAATTTTCTTTCCAAATTAGTTGTTCAAATTAATAGTTTTGGAAATTTCTTAAAAATAATGTTTAACAAAAATATTTTAGAAAATATTTCTAACAATCCCCCTCAATATTTTTTAGATTTACGTTATATATCGAAAATGATTCCTGTATTGAGATATCAAGTCATAATTAACGCTAACAAGGATAAGTTTCAACCAATTTTAGTAACATCTCGATGGAAACATATGCATGAAGAATCTACCATTATTATAACATATAGAAAGAACCCGTCGTTTCTTCATTTAGAGTCTACACTTACTTTACAAGACTTAAGTTTTATAGTAGGTCCTGAGAATGTGTTGATTAAAGCATGTCAAAGTAAGCCTAAAGGAAAGTTTTATAAAAAACAAAATAAATTAATATTTTCATTGGGAAGTAAAGTACTGAAAGATGAAAAAGAAGAAAAGCTTTATGCAAAATTTGAAACTAACGGATTGTCTTCTTTTAATTGTTCAATAAATGTAATATGGAAAATATCATGTGAAACACGAAATAATATCAATGATAAAGATTTTCCTGTCGCATTAAATCAATTTATTTCTTTAGATTCATCTTTAAATTCTCTTAAAGATACTTCATTAAATCCTATAATATCTTATCCAATATATATATCTCAGATTATTCAAAGTGGTGTTTATACTATATTTTAATATCAAATTTTACTAAAAAATTGAGTAATAGATAAAAATATTGATTGTATTTTATATAATTTTAATTTTTATATATTTATGATATTGCATAAAAATTTGTAACATTTTAAAGTCTTTAATTTAATGAATGTATATATTAAATTTAATTTAGCTTTTTTTAATCTAAAATATCTATAAATATTAAAGTTTTTCGTCATAATTATATTATTATTTTTTTGTATTTTAAAATATATGTTTTTTTTAAAAATATAAAATTTAAGCAATATTTTAGTTTTTCGAAAGTTTATTGTTTTTTCATACAATTTATACTCTTAATTTATATTGTTAATTAAATTTATTAAAGAACATTTAATATTATGGTTTATAATGTAAAAAAATCCAAATTTTTCTAATTTATTTTGAAAAAATTCTTTTAATAAACTCTTAAAAGAAAATGTCTCTTTAAATTTTTATTTAGTTTTTAGTAATTTATAAACACTTTTATGCTAAAAAATAAAAAAAATAAATGTTTAATACAATCTTCATTATATACATATTATTAAATATATATATGTTGTAGTTAGATAATATATTTATTTCACTAAACCCAACCTTTTGATTGTCCTGTTGTAGATTGTTCAAATAATTCAAGAGTCAAAGCTGAAAGCATTCCTTTAGATATTAAATATAAATAAATTTGAATAATTTAAATATACCTGGAATGGTTTTCCGTTCTTCATACCAAAATCTCACTAAATTTTCTATTGAATTTGCAAATTTATCATTTTCTCCTTTTATTAAACGTAATGATGATGATTCACCGTCGAAAATGAAACCGTGATCTCCTTTTTGTGCATACATTGATGTTACACGTACTCTGCCACTAGGAAGAAAGTCAAGTTTATAACCCAAAAGAGAATACACAGCTTCTCGAAATTCAGATGATTTTTCAGCAAATACCTATATTCGTTAAATAAAATCATTTAAATTTAAAGTATTTAGTTGCCTCTTTTAGTCTTTGTATTCGTTTGTCTTTATCAATTATAGTATCTTCTAATTTTTGATTTTCAATTTTAATTGTTTTTAATGATTCTATTGGAACTAATTCTCCAAATTCATCAGAATTTTTTTCTATTTGTTTCAAAAGTGCTGAATTTTCTTTCTTTAATTGATCAAGAGTTGATTGTCTCAAATTTTGAAAAATAGATGTTGGATTATTCCGTAGTTCTAATATACGAGTTGTTTGAGGATAGCATTTGTTATTTTTAGAAGTAAGCTCAATATAAGACAATTGTTGTTGTAACGATTCTAGTTCTTTTTGTAAAAGTATGTAATTTTTATTAACAATAGACAGTTCTTCTGATAATGTTTTATTGCGTCGTAATAAATCACCTTCTCTTTCATGACGATCAGATATTTCTTCACGCTCACGTTTCAATACTTCTGTTGATTTAGATGCTATTTGATCTTTTAACTCTTGCAATTCATTGGATATTTTCATATTTTCAATTTTATAATCTTCTAGTATTATTTCTAAATTCTGTATTCTTTTTATTTTTTGTGCATCATAATTATTATTCATAAATGTCATTTCTTCGGAAATATAAGAACGCTAACAGAAATTAACGAATATTATATAAATAATTTATATAAACCAGTTGTTCTTGTAAAAGTTCAACTTCTTTTTGACTTAAAGTTTTTTGTCTTTCTAATCGTATTTTACTGTTAAGTGTAAAATTTAATTTTTCTTCAAGTTCGGAAATTTTATTAGTTAATTCCATTAATTTTGAGCATGTAGATACATGTAAAATGTCTTTTGCTTTTAATTCGGTTTCTAAAATGTTATATTTTTCAGTTAAAGCTGCATTCTCAATTCTTTGTTGAGCAAGAGCTACGCTTAGTGCTTTTGGAGAATCAAAGTCTCGTTGGTCATCATCATTTAAATAAGCTACCCAGGCTGCTTTTTCACGTTTTAAAATAGTACATTCTATTTCAGACTCTCCCAACCGTTGTCGAAGATCATCCATCAATTTTAATTGGAATTCAAGATTTGTTTTTTCTTCTTGAAGTATTTGGATTGATTTATGAGTTTCTCGATGCTGTTTTAATTCTTGAGCTTGTTGTAAGTTTTTTTTTTCAAGTGATTTAATATAAGATAATTGTTCAGATAGTTCTCTATTTAATATTTTAATGTCTTTTAAATCGCTTGTTTCAATTTCTAAAGTATTATTTTTTTTTTGAAGAGCATCAATCAATTCATTTGCTTCTAATAAAGACTGGTGTTTTTGATTTATTAATGTATTCTTAGAACGTAATTCATCTTTTAGTCCATCCACAACTTTCTCTAAACCTGTATTTTTTAATTCTAAAGTTTCTATTTTCCTTTGAAGTAAATTAATTATAGATTTTTCTTCACTTTTTTTGTCAGCAATGTTTTCTTTATCATAATTATTTATTTTTTGAAGATCTCTTATTTTTCGTTCAAATTCTTGCTGATTTTTGTATTATTTTAAATTATGTATCCAAATAATAATATACCTTTTGTATTGAAAATTCATCTTTTAATTTTGATATTTCATCACTTTCTGCTTTATGTTTTTCATATAAAAATCTTTTATCTTTTTCTAGTTCCTAGTTTTTTTTGTTATTATAATATTTTAAATAAAAAAAAAGAATTTACATGAATTCTTTTATCCTTTTCATCATTTTTTTGTTCTATTTCATAAATTCTTTTTTCCATATTTATTTTTTCCACATCCCATTTGTTTTTAGCGTTAGAATAATCATATTTTAAAGTTTGATACTGAATTTTTAATTGATCTACATATGTGAAAACAAATTTAATATAAATGTTCTATATAACGCACCATATTTATCTATACTTGGACTATTTGATAAAGGTGAAGAACCACGAATAATTGATCGAACATCAGACTAATTTTTATCAATAATTGTTAATATAAAAATAAAAAAAAAAGTTACAAGACGACGTAACTGAACAGTTTCTTGAATATCTTTGCTACTCACTGTATTAAACTCATCTAAATTAAGAAATGGATTTTTTCCAAAGGGAATATTCATAATTTTTAATAAAAAATATTTAATGATAAATGAAGATAGTTTTTGATTTCAATAAAATAAGACATATATCTGCTCAATTATTTAATATTTAGTATAATCTTCAATATAATGTTTGTTTCAATTTGTATTAATTTATAAATATCTTATGATATAAAGAATAATAGATGAAATATTATACTTTTAAATGTTTTAATAAAGTATTAATTTGCAAATTATTTATTCATTTAAATATTATATTCATTAATGTTGAACAAGAATCTTCAGTAGTACAGTGGTTAGTATTCCCGCCTGTCACGCGGGCGACCGGGGTTCAATTCCCCGCTGGAGAGTTCTTAATTTTATGAAATTTAATTTTATAAATATAAAAATAATTGAAGTTTTTTTGAACAGCTCATGTAGGAAGCAGAAATATTACTTATTATACTATTGAAGATAACTTTGAATAAATTCTTTATAATAAATAAAAAATGCATTATTAAACAATCATAATTGAGCTATTTTTACTATATATACTTAAATAAATTTAAAGTAGCTGGACAACAGTTGTATGCTTCTAATTGTTGCATAATTGATCTAGAACGAGGTCCTAAAAGAATCGGTGGCTCACAAATTGAATGTTTTATATGAAAAGTATTAGTACAATAATTATCTGTTTGTGATGGAAAGACAGCTCGGAAACTTGTTTTAAATGTTTTTTTTTTCTTAAAACATGCGCTTTTTAGTAAAAATGGATTGTTGGGATGTTGTTGGTACTAAAAAAATTAGTAAATTTAATATTTAAATGCCAGCAAACTACTGTGTTTGACGTATTTGTTTTATTGAATATATCCTTTTTTTGAGCATTTGTAAAATTATATGATAACTTAACAGACGCCTTTTAAGTTAGAATGTTTTTATATTGATAATCAGTAAAATCCTTACAGCATATGCATTAGTTGCTTTTTTGGAAAGTTTTCTTAAAGGAATAGGATCATCAAGTTTTGGACCTTTTGCAGAAATATCGCATAATGCTTTCCGTACACCTTAATGTATATCAAAATATGTATATTAGAGTTATGTTTTTTACGTCGTACTAGATATTTCAGGAACGAAAAAGCATCCATGAGAAAAAAGACATCTTTTTACTTTTACCTGAAAAGAAAACATGTCTTATTACAGTCCTTTCTATTACAATACATTTTTTTTTGTTTTTTTATCACAATTTTATAATTTATCATATGTATTTACGGTATGATTTTTTATGCACGATTTAAATATATATATATACAATCACATCTATATTAATATTATACATATACATATATAAATCTAGTTTAAAATGGTATCAAATAGTATCATATATATATATATATATTATTGTTACAATTATAGTTAAAATTTAATTGTTTTTTAAAAATCTACTTTTATTATTATTAAAATCATTAATAAAAACATTAAAAAGACATTAATAAAAGAAAAATAACAGACAATAATCATTTTTACCTTGATTTGTTTTTTTATTAAATATTTTTTTTATTTATTTAGATAAATGTAGTTTGCAATTTAAACAATATTTATTAGAAATAATTATTTTATATCATGTAAAATAGAATACAATATATATATATATGTATTATTTTCTTTATAGTTTTTAAATATTTAAATAAAATATTTTTTATTTTTTTATCTTGAAGACCTTGGACTTAATCTAAAGTTTAACGATACACTTTTTTGTATTTTGTATAAAACATTAATTTAAAATTAAATGTTATTTATAATAAACTAATATTAAACATATTTAAAAGTCATTTAATGCATGTTTTTTGAAAATAAGTATTTTGGATTTGGTAATTGTCTTAATATTTTTAAAGTAGTAAAGAATACTAAAATTTAAAATAGGTTAAAAACCAAAATATTAAATGGACGAGAAATTTAATAAAATATCTACCTCTACTAAAGATGGAGAAGATCTATTACGTAAACGTAAACGTGCAGATTCTTTAGATCATCGTCCAGAGCAATACATTATTGAGGAAACATCAGAAAATGAAGTTTCATTTTGCAATGGTAAAGATTTTTCTGGGAAAAACAATATAACAGTGGTTTCCTCAAATAGAGAGGAATCTTTATGGATAAAGTCTATAGAAAATGTTGTCAAAAGTGTTGTGTCTATAAGATTTTCACAAGTAAATTTATATAAATATGAATTTTTTTTCTTACTAAAATAGGTATCTGCATTTGATACAGAATTTCCAGAAAGTGGAGAAGCAAGTGGATTTATTATAGATGCAGAGAATGGGTATATTCTAACGAATAGACATGTCGTATCTTCGGGCCCTTTTTGGGGACATGCTATCTGTGAAAATCACGAAGAAGTATCTTAATATTATTTCATTTATTATTATTGATTACAGAAATAGATTGAGGTTTATCCTATTTATAGAGATCCAAGTAAGATAACATCTTTATTGGATTTTATATTAACTAATATTTATAGTTCATGATTTTGGGTTTAAATGTTAACAATTATTACAAAAAGTATTTAATTTTGCTAGAATTTTAAAATTTAATCCAAAGCATATTAAATATATGCCAGTAGTCGCTATCCCAATGCGTCCGGATTTAGCTCGTGTAGGTACAGAAATTAGAGTAGTAGGGTATTATTTATTTTTATTTTTTATTTTTAGTTAAATATTTAGTAATGATGCTGCTGAAAAATTGTCTATACTTTCAGGATGGATATCTAGAGTAGATAGAAATGCACCTGAATATGGTGATTGGTATATATATTAATAAAATTACTTATTGTTTATAGGAGATTTTACATATTCTGGTATTCTATCTATTTTTCATTTCTTATAAATAATTGATTAGATTTCAATACTAATTATATTCAAGCAGCGGCAAATGCAAGTGGTGGAAGTTCAGGAAGTCCTGTAGTAAATATTGATGGATATGCTGTTGCATTACAAGCAGGTGGAAGAACTCAAGGTTAGTTGCTTTATAACAGTAAGAAGGAATTCATATTTTATAGCTGCAACGGATTTTTTTTTGCCTCTTGATCGACCTCTTCGTGCTCTAAGATGTCTTCAAAAAAATCTCCCCATAACAAGAGGGACTATTCAGGTACAATGGATGATAAGGGTAATATAATATAGTGTATTTTTATATAACTAAAATATAATTAGCCGTTTGATGAATGTCGTAGACTAGGATTAAGTCCTAATGTAGAAGCATGTATTCGACAGTCATTCCCTGAAGAAGTAGGTCTTCTCGTTGCTGAAACAGTTCTTCCAGAAGGACCGGGGGATCGTTTGATAGTTGAAGGAGATATTTTGATACGCGTGAATGGTGAAATTCTTACAAAACATATCCCATTAGAAAGCATCTTAGATGAATCTGTTGGAAAGGAAATACAAATATCAGTTCAAAGAGGAGGTGATGATATAGATATAAAACTAAAAGTATGCGATAAACATAAAATTACTCCTGATAGATATGTTGAATATTCAGGAGCAAAATTTCATAACTTGTCATATCAATTAGCACGAAATTATGCCGTTGCCGTTAAAGGTGTATTTATTTCTGAGCCAGAAGGATCATTTCGACTTGAGGGACCAGATCAAGGTTATATATTAGATACAGTTGATACTAAACCAGTACCGGATCTAGATTCTTTTATAGAAGTTGTTAAAGATATACCTGATCGAAAACACGTTGTAGTAACATATAGAGTTATTCATGACATGCATAGTCTTTGTACGCAAATAGTTCATATAGATTGCCATTGGTCTACTAAATTTCGGCTTGCTATTCGAAATGACTCAACAGGACTTTGGGATTTTCATGATTTAGGTACTCCTCCACCTCCGGAAAAAATAGAACCGAAAACTGCAAAATTTATTACATTGGATAACAATTTTGGTCACGCTGCAAGTTTGGTTAAAAGCTTTGTAAAAATATCATATTTTATGCCTATACGACTAGATGGTTTTCCGAAAGGAAGGTAATCTATATTTAATCTAAAAAAAAATAGAAATTTTGATTTTATTTTAGAAAATCTGGAACAGGGCTTATTGTTGATAAAGAGAGGGGACTTGCAGTTACTTCCAGGTCTATCGTGCCATTTGCATTAGGTGATCTCTCATTGACATTCGCTGATTCAATCATTATACCTGGAAAGGTTCAATATTTTTATTTCATAACAATGTAGCTAATAAGAATAGATTGAACATCTTCATCCTACACAAAATATTGCTTTTATTAGTTATGATCCTAGACTTTTGGCTGAAACTCCGGTACAAGCAGCAAAACTTAGCAATGAACGTCTTTCTCAAGGTTGAAAAATATTTTATGGAATTTTATTACTTAATTGTTATAGGAAGCTCAGTATATTTCGTAGGAGTAAATCATAGTAATAGAATTGTTGGCACGAAAACGGTCGTTACAGATGTTACAACTGTTACAATTCCTCAAAATGCTACTCCAAGATTTCGAGCAATTAATGTCGATTCTATATTTGTTGATACTAACTTAGGGTCTCAATGTGGATCAGGTGTTTTGTGTGGAGAAGACGGTAGTGTTAAAGCATTATGGTTAACATATTTGGGTGAACGAACATCTAGTGGAAAAGACGTTGATTATCATATGGGTATTATTGTTTTATTAATATAAAAGTATCACTAACGTGAAACAGGACTTGCTATATCAACTATTATGCCAATTTTTGAAAAATTGCAATTAGGCATTACGCCTAAATTACGAATGTTAAATATAGAGGTTTATTTTATCCAAATGGCACAAGCTCGAAATATGGGTGTTAGTGATGAATTGATTCGACGAGTTGAAGATGCAAATCTTGAAAAACATCAATTACTTCTTGTAAGACGAGTAGAATCAGGAAATGAACCCAACTTGCTTCATGACGGCGATGTTATCTTAACCGTAAATGGGAAAATAGTTACCCGAATGCAAGATTTAGATGTACAGTATACATCGGAAGAATTGGACATGGTACATTTATATAATTTGTCTAAATAATATTAATAAATACTGTAGGTTGTACTTCGGAAACGAAAAGAACTTATTTTAAAAGTTCCTACAATTCTTGCAAACACATGTGAAACAGATCGTGTAGTTATGTGCTTTGGTGCATTACTTCAAGCGCCTCATCGTGCAGTAAGACAACAATCCAAAACACTTCATACACAAGTTTATGTATCTGCAAAAGTAATTATAACTATATTGATTTTTATTATTCCTAACTAGTATTTAGAGTAAAGGCTCGCCTGCATATCAATATGGGCTTGTTCCAACAATGTTTATTACGCACATAAATGGTGTTTTTACGCCCGATCTTGATGCATTTTTAAAAGTAAGCTGATATTTGACCAACATTTTTTTAATATTAAGGCTGTATTACCTATTCCTGACAACACATATGTACGAATACGAACGACTACATTCGATAACATCCCTATTGTTCTTACACTAAAACTTAATTTACATTATTTCCCAACAGTAGAACTTATTAAAGACGAAACTTGTGAAAACGGTTGGAGACAAAATGTTTATAGATCTAAATAATACGGATATACATATTAAGAGCAAAGTACAAATAAAAAAAAAGTAAACTATCGATATTTTGAAACATACGCAATATTAAGTATTTGAAAAAAATACCACTAAAAACCCTTTATAAGACTCCTTATAATAAACATTCCATGTATTGCAGGTGCAATTAAAAATGTACTGATTAAAATAACTTCCTAATTTATGATCTCTCCCCCCGAAGACGGCGTGCAAGCTGCATGTCCTTAGGCTGGATGGTCACACGTTTGCCGTGGATTGCACAGAGATTCGTATCCTCAAAGAGCGAGACGAGATACGCCTCGACGGCCTCCTGCAGCGCGCCGATCGCTGACGACTGAAACCGCAAGTCTGTCTTGAAATCCTGCGCGATCTCGCGCACAAGTCGCTGAAACGGCAGCTTCCGGATCAGAAGCTCCGTGCTCTTCTGGTACCGCCGGATCTCCCGCAGCGCGACCGTCCCTGGACGGTACCGGTGCGGCTTCTTGACGCCGCCCGTCGTTGGCGCGGACTTCCGCGCCGCCTTTGTCGCCAGCTGCTTCCGCGGCGCCTTCCCCCCCGTCGACTTCCGTGCTGTTTGTTTGGTCCTTGCCATGTAGAAATTATAGTTTTTTAAATGTTAAAATCTTGTTAAAATTTGTTGATTTTAATCTTCGGGAGTTGACGCTTTTATATATTGAGAATTAGGGTTTAACCTTAAGAATTAAAATATAAGTTAAATATTTTATATTTAAACATGTATGAATGATGATTTTATTAATATAAAAGAACTCGAAAACATTGCATTGCTTTAGTATCGTTACATTATGCAAAAACAAAAGGAATGCTAACCAACTTTTTATAAATAATCATACAGTTCCAATAGAAGACCATTCATTATGCTCATAACGCCTTTTAATATTCAAAAAATCCCGTAATGCTTGCCTATATCGTTTTTCTTCTGACCACCACCCTTCTCTAATTTTTTCTTCTTTTTCAGTAACCACAAGAAACATTTCATAAATTTCAGTATCCTTTAAAAGATCAAATTGATGACAATTTTCCCTATATTCAGCCCATTTTTGAAAAAAATTTGTATAAGCAGATGAATAAGTATGCCATATTTGCTGATATTTAACCATCTCTTTGAGATATAGTAAAAAGGAAGATGGTGTGAGATAATTAGGAACAGAAGGAGACAATGGTGGAATAATAGGGTCTGGAAAATCCGGAAGACCTAGAGATTTGGCTGTTTTTTTTGTATTTGAAAGTGTGTTTGAAACATTGCTTAAATCTTTTAATTCCTGAATTTGTTTTTCTGCTTTTGTTTGCAGCCGTGAATGCCAAGAAAATGAATTTCTACATGTTTCGGGAAATGCCGAGTTTTGACTGTTTTCAGATGATTCTGACGACAATGCTAAACCCTCAAGCTGTTCTAGTACATGAAAACTACCCGATACAGGTTTGGTAATATTTGTTTTGTTTGCTTTTTCTGCTTCATGAGAAAGTTTAGAGTTACGATAAGACTCTAGTTCTTTGCGAACTCTTTCTGATAATAAACTCGAATTAGTAGAATCTGTTTCTGTGTTTTTTTGAAATGTGCTTTTAAATTCATTTTCTGGTTTTTTGCCATATTTTTCTTTATATTTATCTTCAAATGTAGCAATAGCAGAATCAGGAGTCCCGGAAGCATTATTTAGTATAATTGATTTCTTTATATCTTTCGGATGTGCATTTGGCATTAAAGAATCGATTGTTTTTGAGGAAAGTGATGGGTTTTTTGTAATAAATGAAGCTTTAGAAGAAAGAGAAGGTTCTTTCTCCGAATCAGTATTGAAAAGTTCTGAATCCATATTTTTTAAATCAAAGTGTTTATTATCTGCTTGTGTAGAATCATTATCTTTTGGAATATCATTTTTGGAAGACCAGCTATCAGGTATTTTTGCTGAAAACACTGGATTAAATACTGTTTCAATTTGTGAAGATAAATTTCGGAGCGACCTAGTAGTGTTTTTCTTTTTATTTTGCTTCAAAGTACCTCTAAGTGAACTAGATCGAGTTTCTTTGTCATCGTTTAATTCAGGATCATCGTTTACACATGATTCTTTGCCAAAATGTAAGTCAGCCGGTATAGATGAAAAAGAGAAAGATGATTCATCAAGTTTATTATCCGGAAATTTCTCAAATACAGTCGATCGTTTTAGGGGTTCAACATCTGAAAAGATTTTTTCATTCATAGAAAAGGAAAATAGCCCAGATGACTCTTCAGGAAACACCTTTTCTGCATGCACATTTTTATTATTAACCGCGTTATCATCTCGTGACTGTAAGCAAGATATATTCTTTTGCTCATCCCTAGACTTAATATTGAAAAAAGTATGTTTACTAGACGCCTTTTCATCATGTGTCTGTGTGTCCTTTTTAAAAGCATCCTTAAGGTTTTCTTTTTCAAATGACTGCTTTTTCGGGTCCATATTTTTTGACGGTACTGAAGTCTTTTTAACGTTATCATTATCAATGGGATTTGAATCATCATGCTTTTTCGGCATTTCCGAGGGTTGTGAAGAACTAGGCGATGGCTTTCGAGGGTTGAATTTAGGCGAATTTCCCCTATAAAAAAAAGAATATGCGCTTGTTGATTTGCTGAATAAATGCTCATAACCGGGATGCATAGTTGCACCCTTTTTTGAATACAGCGATGCACCCTTTGTCTTGTTGATTGGCGATGATTTCGCCGACTGTGGAGACCTTGGCTGCCCTGGTGGTCTCGACGGCTTCGTTTGTGTTTGGGAATACTTTGCCGCAAACGGTGATCCAAATGATGTACGAAAATACGGTTGACCCTGAGGAGAAATATCTTGCTTCTGCTGTACTGTCTTGTTTGCCAAAAGAATCAAACGTATCCTGTCATACGATCGTTTTTTCTCTGTATCCGATAAAATTTGATACGCTAGATTCACCAGCTGAAACTTTTGCTTATACTCTGCTTCATTCCCTGGATTCCGATCTGGATGGTATTTAAGTGCTTTTGTTGTAAGAAAAAACCCTTTAAACTCCTTTATTTACCAAGCTTCCTGTATTGTTGCCGAATATCCTCTGCCGTCGCTGTCGGCTGAACATGCCTATTTTTGTCAATCGTTTTCGCGCAAAAACTCTCTTACAGGCATCCATAGTAGTCTATAGAGCCATCAAGTTCCGGTTTGACCATTGTCGCCCGTTTTTACCGCCTTTTCCTGCACTTTTCTGCGTTTTCTTGCTTATTTGTTACTTTTTTCTCGTTTTTCTCTCGTTTTTTGAATACTCCAGTTTCTTGACGTTTGTTTAGATCGTGTTGCTATGGCAATTTATTACTATAGTGATTGGTTACTATGGTAATATGCCTGAATGCCTGATTATACGCGACAGCATCTCTGTGTATCTGCGGATCTGCTCTTAATGCGCATATAGACCTTAATCTATGCATATATGCTCTTTTGTATGTATAATCAATCTGTTTACACATTATCCCATTCACACATTGTCCCGGTTACTCAACTCTTAGGCTGCAATTCGTGCAGGCCGAACGAGGCTGTATATATATATTTATTTATTTGAACATAAATGCCCATATTGGATGTTAAATACGCATCCAAACACCGCATATACATGCTTAACATCGTATATATGCGCTTCAACGGATGCATATGTATTTTACGGCCACGCATATACCCTTTCAATGCGCATATATGCGCATCCCAACCTCTGGCTTTTATGAGCATCTATGCTTTGTAACAGAGAAGTGTCGGAGCTTGAATATTTGTCTGCCTAGATTATAAATAGGAGAACTGAGTAAGAATTAAGCAAAAACTGAGAACAGTATCATTGAATAACTAAATCGTCGACGGGTGTGCGGTCAGATAGAGGATGCAGGGAAAAGCACAAGTAAAAGATGCGGCGGCTGCATATATTCGGTGGATCAACACATGATGTCCTGATAACAGGAATATGTGAGCATTTGGGTCTCCGGCCAGGGCCAATATCGCTATCAACGCTTTCAAACAGTGAAACACATGTTACACTTGGATCGAGCGTACGAAATAGTGATGTTTATATTGTCCAAACAGTAGGGAATCGGTATGTGGGAAGAAGGCGAAAGAGGAGGCTGAAGAGAACAAGGGCAAATGATGCACTGATGGAGCTTTTTTCAGCAGTGCATGCATCAAAGGGTGCGTCATCGCAGCGGGTGACGGCTGTGCTTCCATTGTTTCCATACAGTCGGCACGCTGGAGCAGCGCGGGCGCTTATCCCGCGGCTGTTTGCGTCCGCTGGGTGTGACCACATTATTACGATGGATCTGCATGATCCACAGTTTCTTGGGTTTTTCGATATTCCGGTTGATAATATTGTTTCCCGTGGGTTATTTCAAAAGTAGGTGGACTTTGGCGCTTGATATGGGTGAAATTCAGTTTTTGCATTGTATTCGTCTAGCTGTTGAATTATGTTTTTTGGTGTGATGCATATGAAGATGTTTGAGCTATCTTGGAATTGTTGCTCTATTTCTCTAGATTCAGCTTACCGTGGCCATCTGCAGTTTGTTGCAGTCATGGCTTATCGCTGCCAGTGTATTCATCAGCAGTTTATCGCACTTGTCTAGTGCATGCTGTTTGCTGTCTGCTGTTTTCTAGATTTCGAGCTGCACTGCATTTTATAGTGCGACACGATATTAGGCGCTGCGGGAACATGCAAGTGAAGCGTATACTGTACAGATGCAGTGTTGGATGAGTGTATAGGTGCACCCGTGCACTTTCTACACATACATGTTTAGACCAGTGTTGATTACATGCAGATATATTCAACGACATATACCGGACTACAGAAATGCGGTAATTGTCTCTCCTGACGCTGGCGGCGCCAAGCGCGCAACAGTCATTGCCAATACACTTGGTATGGACTTTGCACTTGTACACAAGGTTCAAACAGGCTCATAGAGTATTGGCCGCCATGTAGCCTGACCAGTCGTAGGAGCGAGACCTGGGTATACGGTTCCATGGACCAGACCCTGAAATGGTGCTCGTCGGCGACGTGGGTGGCAAGGTTGCCGTCCTTGTGGACGATATCGTCGACACCGGTATGTGCCGCCCAGGACTGTCCATGCTTATCCAGTGTAGCCCAGACTCTTGTGCAGGCTGCAAGAGTGCTCCGGGCCCACGGCGCCACGACTGTCTATGCCATGGTGACGCACGGGATTCTCTCGGGTGACGCGGTCGAGCGGATCAACACAAGCAAGCTCCATAAGCTGATTGTCACCAACTCGCTGCCGCAGACAGACAACGCCAAGTGCTGTCCAAAGCTTGTTGTGCTCGATGTTTCGTTTGTCTTTGCCGAGGTACCTCCACCCTGTCCCACGGCATCACTGACTGCTAAGGCAATACGGAGAGTCCATCACGGTGAAAGCCTCAGCATGCTGTTTGACTATAGTCTGTGAGCTAACACGCTGCATCTGCTCTGCCCGCTGTCCCGTCTCCCGTGTGCGCCCGCGCTATATGCGTGTTGTATGCGTGCTGTATGCATGTACAGCGTTCGCGCTGCTAGTGCGACAGGCCGCCTGCCTCGCGTCCTCCCCACCACGCCGCGGCCCTCAGAAACACATACAGCAGCCCTCCACTCACTATCGGGATCACACAGTTGTCGTTCAGTCCCCACACATCCACCTGCTCGGCAAACGCCCCCACCATCCCCGTCACCACCGCCAGCCCGTGGATGCTCACGCCCTCCCCCGGCCTCCACACAGCTCCCGGCTCGTCTGCCCGCGCCACCCGCCCCCAGAACACATACGCGACCAGCATCCCCGCCACCGCCGCACCGACCGACCCTGCTACGGACTTACCCGCTCGCAGCGATGGTCCCCCACACACGCGTCCCACGGTGGATGCCGCCGTGTCCGACCATGCAAGCACGAGAATAGACACCACTGCGATGTCCCTCGGGTACGCCACAAGTACCGTCCACGTGCCTATGAGATACGGAATAACGCCACTGTCGCCGTTAGTCGCTGCTCCTCGGCCGCCGGCTGCACGCCTGCGTGCACACTGCGCATATAACTGCATATACACCGCATACACCGTACATCCATACAGTTTGCGTGCTGTATGCTATGTATATGCGCTGCACATAGTGCTGCCGCCGGCAGCACAAGCACATACTTCCAGTGGTGGGCCTCCGCGGGGCGCATAATGGGTCGCAGGACCGCCGTGTACAGGCGGTTGAACCGGGGGACCGAGAACCGGATGAGGTCGCAGCCGGCCGCCGGGACAAGCGCCGCCGCAAGATAGGGCGTGACCGACGCGGGGGGAAGCTGGCGGCGGTAAAGATCGAGGACGACAAGGCCAACCGATGCATGTGTAAGCTTACGGGGGACCTCCCAGCGGAGCGCCCAGTGCCACGCGCGCAGGCATACGCGCAGCCACGCATGGAGACGCGGAGAGCGCCGGCAGATGTCCATGGGGAGCGGGAGGGGTGTCGGCCCGGATCCGCACCGGAGGGTCTGCGGGTGTTGGGCGGCGGGCTAGCGTGTGCCCCCAGAGGCACGCTCTGCGGCTAGCGCGGCAGACGGTGTCCGCTTCCGGCTAGGCTGTACAGAACGGGCTAGCGCGGCTATATGCGGCTAGCGCGGGACGTGAGTGTCGACAGCAGGCGCAGTGGGTATATGCTAAGGCGGCCCTACAGTGCATACAGTGCAGCCCTGGTATATAGTGTATACTGTGTATACTGTGTATTTACTGCGTATTTACTGCGTATTCTGTGTATTCTATATATATATCCCTGTATATCTTGTATATCTCGTATATATCTTATGTATGCATCCTATGCATTCTACATATCTTATGTGTGTGTATATTCTATATGCTATATATCCTATGTATATATGTATCCTATGTGTATATGCATCCTATGCATACATTCATGCATACGTGTATGCATACACGTATGTGCATCGCATGCTACGCGTGTGTAAGCCCCGGGGGAGAGTGCAGACTCAGGTGCAGCGGTGCAGCGGGCAGAGCTCGTGGAGCTCGTGGAGGTCACGTGCACCAGTGCCTCCCGCTTGTCTCGAGCCACTCAGCAATGCGTCCTGTTGGCAAAACGAGGATACGGACAACGCCGTCGAGCAGCTCTGCGCCGCAGATCCGCACGGCATCGATCACCCGTGTGTCCCGATGTATCCTCACGACCCCAGTCTCAGCCTCCATGCAGACAGAGACGCTATCTGCCCTATACTCGCCCGCCTGGTCCCACTCGGGCTTCGAGCCCAAGACATAGTTGAGGACCTCGCTAAGGGTGCATGTTTCTGCCACCTCTGTAATAAAGTCTGATACGCGTGCTAATGGGTACGCGACAGCCATCGGAAATAGCAAGGTCGACGCGGCATCGAGAGACGCGTCGAGACGCATCTCGGCGTCAGGAGGCGCGTCGCCAGAGTCGCGGACGCGGATGCCGCGTGTCTGACGCGTCAGTACGCGTCCACCAGTGTATATGAATCAGAATCACCTTGAGTGCGTGTATAAGTGTATTCTTTTTTCTCTGTGCTAATTGCTCGCGTGCACACGCGTCGGCTGCCCGCTGCTCGAGACATGCAATACGCTGACGCGCCCTGGCCTGGAGTTCTTCGAGTGCCCTGAGCGTCTCAGACACGCTGTCAGAGTGTATACACGCGTTTCCCTGTATGTCTGCGTTTTTTTGTGTATTTTGTGTATACTCGTCTGTCTGTCCGTGTATACGTGTATCACTTGAAGATGCAGGTGACGGCTGTACAGGATAGACAGATATACAGCGAGCAATGTATTGAAGACATTCTTCAAGCCGATCAAGCATAAAACATGCCTTTGCTGCACGATACAAGGCCTTGGCGTCGTTGGGATGGCAGTCAAGAACCTGCTGGCAGCATCCGAGTGCCAGACGGTTATTACCGAGCGCAAGATGGCAGGCAGCCTGGTTGAGGAGACAGGCCCTGCGGAAAACAATGCAGGAAGATGTATGAAGCGCACGGATATAATATCTTGCGGCATCACTGTATTTTTTTGCTCTGAAGCACTCGTCGGCGTGGAGCTTAAAGTTGGCGGCGACCTCGGAGGGGCTGCCTTCGTGCTGCAGAGCAGCAAGCGCCTGCAGCGCAGTGTTTTCGCGGGAATAGTTGAGGTTTTGCATGAAAAAAGGCATATCGAGTGCGTCTTTGAGCCATTCATCAGGATCCTGGGGCGGAGAATGCTGGCCCATTGGTTATATGGCAGGAATATCGGCGACAGAGGGTACGGAGGAAGAGACAAAAAAGCAGGGAAAACAAAGGAAAAAAGTGGGAGGAAAAGGCCTACGAGAGTCTACAGTAGTTGTCCAGATTGCATCAGATGAGCACTGTTCAGGAGCAGCGTGTTCAGTGCAAAGAAAGGCAGGGCAGGACGCAGCGCGTTCACGGGCAGCAATATATGGATACCCGGCGTTTTTGATGGGGCCACCGGCTCATTATCAGCCAACATATCCTCCAGCAGCAGGGAAATATGGGGGAGAAGGGGTTTACAGGGAGAGATTTCAAGGAATACAAAGAATACAGGGAATACAACAGGAAGAATGGCGGAGACGGCAAGTGGGGAAGGGGGAAGAGGAGCAGAAAGAGGCAGAAAGGAGGGGAAAGGAGGTCTATGTGCGGGTGATTAAGGATGTAAGAAGAGGAGTAGGGAAAGAAGGGTATTAAGAGGAGTAGCCGTATCCGACAGAGGGGATTAAGTTTGACGACGAAGACGGACACTATATTGCAGAGCCGAACACGGATCTGACGTCACGGTGTAAGTAGAAGATGAAGGGAAGGCGGTGGTTTATGTTTCAAGACAAGATTGTGAGAGTTCTTGGGCAGGGAACGTTTGGAAAGGTGGTTCGGTGTTATGACAGGCTGAAGAAGGAATACTGTGCGATCAAGGTGATTAGAGCGGTTCAAAAGTACCGGGAAGCGAGTATGATTGAGCTGCGGGTGCTGCAGACTTTGAGTGAGCGAGATCCGGAGAATCGCAAGTACGTGGATGGTTTTGGAAGGAATAAGCTGAAGGAAGTAGCAAATGTATCCATATGAAGGATTGTTTTGACTATAGAAACCATATTTGTATAGTAACGGGTCTTTTGGGGATGTCGGTGTTTGATTTTTTGAAAGGAAATGGGTTTGTTCCATTTCCAGGATCGCATATTCAGCATTTTGCATATCAGCTTTTTACAAGTGTAGCATGTAAGTAAAGGGTGTTGGGTGAGATGATAACGTGATGGAGCAGTTCTTCATGAGCTTAGTTTGGTGCATACGGATCTTAAGCCAGAAAATATTCTTTTGGTTGATGCAGCATTTCATACGGTTCCTTATACTAAAAGAGCAGGGCAGAGAGTAAAGCGGTTGTTGAATAATACAGAGATAAGACTTATAGATTTTGGGAGTGCGACTTTTGAGGATGAATATCATTCGAGTGTAGTAAGTACTAGACATTATAGAGCACCCGAGATTATTTTAGGTAAATATAGTTTGGATTGTGTGCTAGTTTCTAACGCCAAAGGGATGGGATGGTCTTATCCTTGCGATATATGGTCTATAGGATGTATTCTTATTGAGTTTTTTACGGGAGAAGCACTTTTTCAAACACACGATAATTTAGAACATCTTTATATGATGGAAATCATTTGTGGAAAGTTAGAACCGAGACTGATAAGACAATCTTCGTAACTTATGTGTATAACTTAAAATAATGCTTATGATTGTTTAGGAAAACTGCTCAAAAATATTTCCGTCATAGTGGAAAATTAGATTATCCAAATAAAGATACGTCTCCTTCAAGTCGAAAGTTCGTCAAAACAATGCGGCCACTAGCTGTATATTTTTTTAATATATGTTGTTATTGTTAATTATTATCTAGGAAATTGTTCCTTCTACTTCAGCTTTAAATATTCATTTTTTGGACTTGCTTATGAAAATATTTATATATGATCCTAGTAAAAGAATAACTGCTAGAGAGGCTCTTTCTCATCCATATTTCTTTTCTCCAATTACACATATAGATACTATATAAATCGAGGTATTCAAGTTTATTGTTATTATAGACTAAAATATAGTTAAAGGCTTTGTTAATTATTTATACAAGTATATCTAAACTTTATGTATAGCTGATTCTGGAAGTGTCACTGTGATTTTTCAGAAAATAATTACATAATTATATTAAATTACATTTAAGTTTTGTTTATATTATTTTTCTCATTTTATACGGTGGATTTGCTTTTAACGTATTTTGTATTTTTAAAGTATTACTATGTTTTTTTTAACTCTTGTTTTTATAGTAATGCATTTTACTTGGAAAAAATACTGTTTTGTTTAGAAATATCAAGATCTTTATTTTTTTAGATATCTTATAATTAATACATATGATTTTAGGAAGTTTAATTATATTTATAATTTATATTATTTTGAATAAAACGAAGATGTTATATTAATGATATTTAAAAATGAATTATATTTTAGCTTATACGTATTTAAAATTATTCAATTATTTTTGCGTGTTTTTGTTTTAACAAGACAATATATTTTTACCTTTTTTTTTGAATAATTATATAATGGATCAAAAAGATATAGATGTAAAAACGTATCCTCCTCAAACAATTGCTAAAATATTTTCTTTGGCATTTGCAGATCCTGCGACGAAAATTTCGTCATCAGCTTTGACTTTATGTTCAGAGTATATTCGTATTTTTTGTAAAGAGGCAATATGGAGAGCTGCTACATCTAAGCGTGAGTATGAGAATAAGGATGAAAATGAACAGATCTCTTTAGGAGTTGAGGATTTAGAACGGTACTTGTATTTTTTTATTGATGTTTATTTGTTGATTAAAATTATCTAGAATTGCTGGGCAATTGACACTGGACTTTTCATAATATTATACACGTTTGTATAGTTTTTATGATCTGTTTTTATGGTTTGAAGTGGGGAAATTAGCTTATGTAAAATTCGTGATATTTTCGATATAGATTTATTTATATATACTTTAAAATATTGATTTTTTTATGTTTATTTTTAGAAAAGTGCTATGGTTTTGGACTTTCATGTTTATTTTTGTCTTATGTTTGTTTATTTTATGGAAACAAGTTTTCATTCTGAATTTCAAGTCTGATTTTTTTCACTTCTGAAGGCTAAAATTTCTATACAAATATTCATCTTTTATTTTTCTTTATTTACTATTGTATTTAGTGGTATTATATTATATCTAAAAAAAATTTAAAAGTTATGGATGTGTTTATTTTTGATATTTTTATTAGTAGTTTTTAAAAAATATAGATAATTTGTATTTAGTGATATTTATTATGTTTGAGAAATATTTTATTTGCTGAATGCATTAAATTCTTGTTAATATATATATAAGATTTCAATTACGACTTAAAAGATTGGATTGTTATGATTAGTTTTTTTTATGATTAATTCTATATGCAAAATTAATATATATAAACATGAATTATAGATTAGCTCTTGTAATTATGTGTCCTTAGTACTTAAAGATGTAAAAAGCGCAATTATATTTTTAATGTATATATAAATTAAAGATGTTTATTTTATTGTGTATTCTGTCAGCGAAATATTTTTTATATTGTATTTTATGTTTGATGATAAGATATAATATTTCATGAAAATTACTATTTGTGTACAAAGACTTTATAATTTACTAGAATTAGTAAATAATTCTCTTTTTTATAATAATATTGTAAAATTAATTTTTAAATATAGTTGACATAAGTGAATCATTGTAAGCTTGTTGTTTTATACTCAAATTTAACAGTTTATTCGTGTATAGATTTTATTAATTCAACTTGAAGACAAGTTTTTAAATATTTTTCAAGTCATTAAAGTTATTTTCATAATTGTAACATTGCATTTGATTTAGATAGAAAGAATGCATTCTGATCTTAGAAATTATGATTTTTTTGTATAGTCAAAAAGGTTACTTGTGATTGCATAATATCTTAAATATTTTAAATACTTTAAACATTTTAATATGTAATACTTTTTAAATATTTTCAATAAGTTTTCCAACAACTTCATATTTTCTCTACATATATTTTAATAATTAAAGATAATAATGTTTATGACTAACTTGAAAATGCTTTTCCCAATCATCTAATGTATTTCGTTCTTCGTCTGTAAGATCAAGAAGTTTGTCAATAGGTTCATCAGGAGACATAATCATATCTATAAAAAATAATTAATTTCTTAGTTTTAAATATAAGCTCCTTACTTATATCAAAACTTCCTTTTGCTAGTCCTCTACTTGCATCTTTACCTGCAAAATTTCTATATGGACCTTCAGGGCCATAAAGTCGTTTTTCTGATGTAACATCATAAACATTGCCTTTAATACTTATAAAAATTTTATATGTTTCTTTTCCATTAAAACGTTCTAAGGTTTTAGGTGTAAAATCTTGAAAAACTTCAGGTTTTACTGGTGTAAACGCAGAAATATTTTGTTTTGATTTAAAACGTGAATATAATAAATAAATAAAGATTAAAAAAAGAACAATATTAAATGGTGTTATAAATTTTATGATTGTTATATTCCCAATATCAGTATTCATATTGATTATAATTAATGTAATAAAGTAAAAAAGATTACAACTAAAAAATATTAATATATACCATTCTATGTAGATGTTTGTGAAATACGAATAGAAAATTGAATGTTTAGAATGTTTTAAAACAGAAAGTGCTGTATATTTCCGTTTTATAAACTTTATGAGTTATTTGTGCTACTGTCTAATTGCTTAATAGTAAGTTGATTTTTATCTTTGTATTTAATTGTTTTGCTCGATGAAATAAAAGGAATTGTTTTGTTAAATATCGTTGAATATAATTTAGTTAATGAATTTTTATATTCAAAAATAAAAAGTTAAAATATTTTAGAATGATATATTTTATTACACGGAATTTTAAAATAATAATTATAACCATATAAAAATGATAAATTAGTTAATAATATGATGTTTTTTGAAAAAATACCTTATGGTATTTAATTTTGTTTTAGTAGATATATTTAAATAAGTAATATAATGTAAAATAATTTGTGAAAATGTAATTACAGTTTCTATTAAATAGGTTAATAATGGAAATAATTATTATTTGATATTGAATGGAATTATAGTATTGAAATTTTTAGAGACGGATTTATGACAAATCTGTAGAAAAAATGAAGATATATTCCAATAGATATATTTCTAATAAATATTTAATATATAAAAAAAAATATTTTTAACATACCGAATATCTAATGAGTGAAAATATATTAATCAAAAAATGTTTAAGAAATGATTATACTCGTATAGGTATCAATAAAATAATATAAAATTATCTATTAAGAGCACGTATATGCTATTTGGTACATAATTTGTTTAATAGCTTTACTAAAGCATTGTATATTATATTCAAGTAAGCTGTGTTTTTCTAGATTTTCTGTACGTATAAGACAAACAAGAGCAAGATATCTTGATAATATTAGACATTAAAATAATTTTAAAAAAGAAAAAAACCTGTTTAATTCTTGAAAATAAAGCGCCATTCCATTACTGAGGCGAATTATAGATGATATTTCTGTTTCATCTGTAGTATTTTTATTATTTAAACTATTTTTGCGTTCATATCTTAATCAAATTAGAAAAAATTATCAAAAATATGACAAATTACCCATAGATTTCAGAGACGTCTAAAATTACATCGATATAATCTGAGCAGATTTCATAACTTTGTACATCTACAGGAGAACTGTCTGTAGCAATATAAATTTTAGATGATATATCAAATAAATATGCTTTTTCAATAACAGAATTCTAACAGCGTTAAAAGAAATAACATGTTTATTTTGCTCTTTTTACTGAACAAAAAATATTAAGAAGATTTTCTAATGTTGGCAATTGAGGAATGAGTTTCTGAATAACTTTGGAAAATGCTTCAAAAATAGAATAATCAAATATTGAAGTCAAATGAAATGAAACAGATATATTGTCAAGTCCTGAATCTGAAAGTTCATCAAATGCTCTTTGTTGTATATCTCTTTGTGTATCTGTATTAAATATAAATTATTGTAAAATAATATAAAAACAATACCAATTTTATAGTCATCAGAAAGCGTATCTGCTTTATGAATAAATACTTCTATATTTATATTTGGATTAACAGTTAATGCTTTTATAATTGTAATATGTAATTTAGTAAGCGCTTCCAAATACTCATCCTATTTATATTAGTTATATGAAATTTTGAAAATAGAATTATACTTGGGAGTCAATAACAAATATCAATGCACCTACTTTGCCAAATATAGCATCAAGATCAAACGCTGAATCAAAAAAATCAATTTGTCCAGGAAAATCCCATACTTGAAAATCAATAAATGAACTTTTTTAATAAGGAGTAGTTTTTATGTAGATTCTAATGTCCTACTTAACTTCATCTTTATTAATTCTGTTTGTTGACTCAAGAAAAAGTGTCTCATTTGGAGGCATCTATAATTCAGAATTAGTTCTAAAATGTTAATTGAATAAATTATAGATTTTCCTTGTGAAAAACGACTCTTCTGATACTCGATTTTCCACTTCTACTTACTTCTTAGCAGAAAAAAATAAATATATTATGATACCTTCGTAGTCCCATCAATAATAGACGTGGTTGGTATGTACAAAGAGAAATTATAGAATTTTCTGACTGGTAAAACACTTTCAGCATTTAATATTATAAAACTAATAGAAAATACTCTTAAAGTCATTATTTTCTTGTTTGATTATTTTTGAATTTAAAATTAAAGTTTCGATTGTAAGATGTTTCAATTTATTATTTATAAAAAATTTAAAAGTGGGAATATGTGTTAAATAATGAAGGATAATGAGAATTCTTTTGGGTTGTTTTGTTCCAAATCTAAAAGATTAAAGTTATTTGAAAAAGCAGATGAAAAAAGTGTTAAAAGTTATATAAATGAAAAAAAAAGGTATCAGGAAGATACTTCTGTTGGTATTTCATGTTATATAAATTCTTTACCTAAAAGACTTCACTTTTTATTTAAATATAGGTAATTCATATATATGTGTACTTTGAATGTTAACTGTGTCTAAAATAGATATACTGATTTTTTGGTAAATGAAGTGGATGATCAAGAAAAGGTTATTCATATTACTAATACTACCTTTTCTGATATAAGTAATGATGAATTTCATTATTCTATTGAGAAAAATGGACCTTTAAAAGTAGAAATGTTTCTTTTGTTGAAAATTACAAATTGATGAATGATTAGTTAAATGAAAATGAAATGAAACGAATTATTGACCTTTTGGGAGAAGATATTTTTCAAGAAATTACTAACTTTTTAGAAGATGATAACAAAATGACAAAATTTGTTTTGACTAAGGTTTTTAAAGATAAGTCATATCGTACTTCTATTCACACAGCTATAAGAGAGGTTTATAAAGGTTTGCTTGATACAACAACAACTCCTGATGAAGAAATAAAAATAACCTTTTCTAAAGGTTTTTATATTATTTTTTGAGTGTATATACTTGATTGTTTTAGGAAGTACACGTTTTCATGGAAATTTTTGGGCTAATGTTGGCGGAGAATATTGTATGTTTTATTTATATAAAGAAAATATGGATACGATGGAGTGCATAAACTTGCTTTCTAAATTTTTTCGTGTCAAACCTCGTATTTTTTCTTTTGCAGGGACGAAAGATAAACGAGGATGTACGGTTCAAAGATGTACTGCATGGAAAATAAAAGCAGGAAGACTTTCTAATTTGAACAAATCTCTTAAAGGTTTTAGGGTAGGAAATTTTTCCTACACTGATGCCAAGTTAGAGTTAGGTGACCTTAAAGGAAATGCGTTTACTATTATTTTACGGTAAAAATTATCCTGTTTTATTTTACTTTTAAAATTTTTAGTGATGTCAAAGAAGATGATGGCTTAATTAATGAATGTCTAAGTGCATTAAAAACTAAAGGATTTGTCAATTATTACGGAATACAACGATTTGGGACATCGATTATCGCGACTCATGTTGTTGGTATCTTGCTTCTTAAGTCTGATTGGCAAGGTGCAGTAGAGTTATTGCTTAAAGAAGCTTCAGAAAGGATACAAGTGTCTACTGAATCAAAGAGTATTTGGTCTAATATAGAAAATGTAAAAAGCGCTCTTAAAAAGACTCCTCAAAAATACGTTTCAGAGTATTCTGTTTTGTCTTCATTAGCAAAAGAATCTTCTAAATCTCCTAATTACGCTAGTGCACTTCAGAAGGTCCTGCATGAGAATTTAACTAGATAAATTTAATATATTTAGATACCTAGGAATTTGCGAATGATGTATATCCATGCTTATCAATCTTATGTATGGAATTTTGCGGTTACTGAGCGTCTTCGTAAATTTGGCTTTAATCCCGTAGAAGGGGATTTGGTTCTTTGTAATCAGACTATTTACTCCAATGATGATTTAATAGATTCTGAGTTTTCGAATCAACAGATAGATAGTTCTGTAAAGCTAACTAAGATCATTCGTGCAAAGCATTTAACAGCAGACGAACTTATAAATTATTCAATATACGATATTGTTTTACCTACTCCAGGGCATGATATTTTATACCCAAAAAATTGTATTAAAGATTTTTATTTGGATTTTATGAAAAAGGATGGCTTAGATGGTTTAAATATGGTTCGTTCTGTCAAAGAATTTTCTTTGACAGGTTCATATCGGTTAATTTTATCAAAACCAAAAATGATGGAGTGGGAAATTGTAAAATATCAAGATCCTGATGAGCAACTTTCTATGACAGATATCGATATTTTAGAAAATCGTATTTTAAAAAGTCAGAGTAATGAAAAAGGTTATTTTTTTAAAATTATTATTATTATTATATAAATTGTAGTAGATCAGATTTTTAAAGCAGTGAAGTTAAAAATGCAGCTCATGAGTTCATCATATGCTACAGTAGCTTTAAGAGAAATTGCAGAACGAAATGTTTTAAATCCATGAATTCTACCTTTGTTATTGATAAAAGGTATCTTTTAAAAAAATAAGACTAGATGGTTTTTAGGGTATTCTTTTTAATTTCATTTTCAAATTATTTGTTTAAGCTTTTACTTCCTGTGTATATAAATTAAATATATCATTTAATTTTGATACTTTAAGGATAAAGGGAGTAATCGTTTTTGAAGAAAATGTTTTGGATTTTCTATAATTTAAAATATTTTTATACGTTTGATTAATAATGTTATTTAGGTTAGAAAACAAATAAATCACCTGAATACTATAAGAATGATTTTAATGTTTAAAATTAATATATGATAAATTAAATATTTCAAAAATTATTAAATATCTTTGAAGAATATGTTTTAAAAAAATTACTTAGTCACTGTTTTATATATTTTTAATGTTAGAAGCCTAATATGTTGTACTATTAAATACTTTTGTGTTGAAAATAGATACTTGTCTAGAAAATTTTTGGATTATATTATAAATTAATTTATGATTTTTTATTACTTTTTAATATTAATTACTATTGTATATTAATAAAATACGTGTGTTTGGAAATAATATAAAATCTTATCGTATATTCTTTATTTTTTTATTTTAAAAATAATGTAATAAGTTTTATATTAAAATTATCTATTAGTTTTTAGAAATTATTTTATTATTTTATTAAAGAATTGTTTTATATTTATATAAAATAGATAATCTATGAAATTATTTATGAACATAAAAATAATAATAATCTTAAATATTATTATTATTATGTAAAGATTATCATTACAAATTTTTTGCACAATTTGAGAATAAATTTACAAATAATAATAAAATTAAATAGCATTTTTAATAGAAAAATAAGTTGAGATATATTCTTAAATGAATATAATAGAAATTGTTTATTTTATGTTTTTTATTTTGAATAAGTTTTAAAAAAATGTCATTCTTATTAATAATAATCATGTTTAATTAAAAGCTGATTTGTTTTTAGCACTTAAAATTTAAGTAAAATTAAGAAAAAATGTATTCATGCTTTTCTAAAATTAAAATATTGAGATTTTGTTTAAAAATCGTTGACGTTTTTTTAAAAAAATTAAAGTTTGATCAGAATTGTGCTTAAGAAAGCACTGAATGAGTTACTATTCTGAGAATAGTCTTTCAAATAATGTAACTGATGTATCTAATTCTTTTTTTTCGGCTGAAGAACATTCAATTTTGAGCAAACATAGTTTTTCTTCTAAGACTTGTGATATAGATCCGTCTTCAAAGACTGTTTATATTGAAAATACAAAGGCCTTTCGGAGATGGACAATTATTTATCCTATATATTTTGATGTCAAACGTTCTATTAAAGAAGGGCGTAAAGTCCCTGTTAATATGGCAGTGGCAAATCCTTTAGCAAAAACAATAGCAAACGGTGCAAAATCACTTGGTTTTTTATGTATTTTTGAGGTTTTTTACTAATTTTACATTTGTTTTCTATAACATATTCTCATTGGTTCTATTTAGTCAAATAAAACACATCCTAAGGACTGGGCTAATCCTGGCCGTATACGTATTTTTTTTAAGGAAAATGGAAATTATGTTCATAAATCACTAAAAACAAGTACATCTTTATTTTAAAATTCTAAATGCGTTGGTAATTGGTATTAGAAAAAGCTTTATATAAGGCGTTATCGAGTTATCTTCAAGCTAATCCAACTAAAACAACTTCTCTAGATGCATCTACATCACCATCTAATAAATTCTTATCCTCATTAAATATACCTAAAGGAGTTGTGATAAATAGCATTTTGCCGTTAAATTCACCTGCGTTAGTTAATGATGAATTTTTAGAAAAAATGCTCAAAGATATGACTAAAGAGCAAAAACAGGATATTGAACAATCAAAACAAAAGAAAGAAAAGAAAAAAAAACATCAAAAATGAATAACATACTTGCTGTTAAATCGGATTGCTAATTATTGTTATAAAACCATTATTAGTATAATTTTTAATATTTATTTACAGAAATAATGAGTCTGATATATTCTTATTACTCTTTCAATGTATTATTGTTACTATCCCATCAGTTGATTACGGTCATCTGGCGGCTTTACAGATTGTATAAACGTAAGAAGCCTTTTAATTGCCTGTAGCCATTTTCTTGTAGCTTCGTCATTTAAAACATGGCCTATGTTGGATTTAGGGGATTATGTTTATGGAAAAAATAATCTATACCTGTTTGTCCTTTATGGAGTTTTTCACGTGCACTTCGTTCGTGAATTCCCACCATTGTTACACCAATTGGCCAGGCTGCATTTCCTATACTAAGCTGAAGATATGCATCATTTGCTTTTACATATTGACGTCTTTGGCAATAATATGTAATTTTTGATACACCTTCTAATATGTCATTCTTCATGGTTTTTTTTCTTAACAAATTGAAAAACACTTGAAGATCTTTTTGTGATTTTTGTTGATTTTCTAATATTGACTTCCCTTGCTTAGACTCTTTAATGTCATCTGAGATATTAATAATAATATATAATAAGTATATGCACATACCTGGGCGTTCGTCCAAAGTTTTTTTCCATAATTCAATTAGTGTCTGAAGGTTGTTAGAATTGATTAAAATACGTGTTGAATGTTTAATAGTACCTCAAAATAAACTAATATTTTTATGTATACATTATCTGGATTGGTTTTAAATTCATTTAAATTAATATCCAATGCATTAGGATTAGATATATATTCTTTTTTAAGTTCTTCTATTTCGTTTTTTGATTGTTGAACATTTTTTTCTTCAAATTGTAAGTTTTCTGGTGATTTATTTTCCTGCTTCTAAAAAGTATAAGGTAGTTATATAAATAAAAAGTATATTTACTTTTCGCTGTTCTTCTATTAATTCAAGAGTTGAAAGCCTTTTTTTTCTATCATCAAATGATTCCCCAAATAAACAAATTGGCTGATTTTTATCTCGTAATTTTTTTATAAGTTCTTCTTCAGATATTTCTTCAAGAAAATTTCCATTCTGTTATTTTTTAATACTTAGGTATCTAAAAATCTAAGAAAATACTTGATTCCTAAATCTTAATTTTTGATATCTTTCTTTGAATAAATTTCTTTTATTTTCTTCTTCTTCTAAAAGTTCTCGTTTTTTTCTTAATCTTTCCTATAAAACATAAGCCAATTCATTATAAAAAAATACAAAATACCTCTTTTTCATCATCAATCTTTTTTTTTTCCTCATAATATGCTTTTTCTCGTTCTTTTTCAAGATCACCTCGTTTAAAGTATTTTTGACTGCTTTTGCTTGCTACTAATTCATTTTCTTTCCGTTTTTTTGATATTTCAGCTGTTAAAAAGTCCATATTGAAAAATAATATGATTTCAATTGAAATCTTATATCTTTAATATATTTTTATCTATTTTCTGTTCATTTTTGATCTTTGATGTTAAATCACGATAATTGAATTATAGATTAAATATTAACCTCACTTTTTTATAAAAATAAAATTATTCTAAAAAACTCTGTTTTTTCTTGAAAATGGCAGGAGATAAGCATGGTATGTCTTTAAATATGAATTTTCATATGAAAAAGTAATTTTTTGAAAAAAAATTAATAAAATGGTTATATAGTTCTTAAGATTGATCCTGCTATTGAACGATATGCTGGTAATGTTAGAATAATTGAAATATGTTATCTGAATCATATGGACTTTTAGAAATGCGTTCATCTCAGTATATGTATTTTCGATGGACACCTAAAACAGTAACTAAGAGTATTGTGCTTGGTGTAGTTGTTCCATTGTTTATTGGTTATTTTGCTTTTGCAACAGAAGTAATATTTTTATTATCTTTAATAAGACTTTCATGTACTAATAAAGTAGGGAAAATGGGATTTCCGTGGAAAAGGTATAAATGACAAACTAACAGAAAACCGTGATAAGTAGGGATCATTTATTGGGTTATATGTTTATATTTGAGTTATACATGATACATTATGTTCCAGACTTCCTAAGAGTCTTTGTTTTTAAAAAGTCTATTTTTTGGTATAAAAACATTACCATTTTCCTCTATAAGGACCTGATCTTCCACGCGCATGATTTCCATCGTTGTCTCTTCCTCTCCAATCACGTCCAGGCGGGAGATCAGGATAAGGATAGCCACTACCTCTTCCTCTTATTGGTGCACCAGGTCTTCCTCTCCCAAAGCCCCGGTTTAGTATTTTGTTTTTTGGGCCTTCATCATTATTAACAGCAACATCGATCCAGTCACCAATAGCAAAGCGGATATCGTCTAGAGTTTTGTATGCTTCTGCATTCTTTGAAAATAAAGAAACATGTCCAATGTCCTTTGTTTGATATCTTTCTTTGTAATTATCACTATAAATAAGCCGAAATGAAAACCGTGTATGTTTGTTGTTGGGAATAGCTTTTGAAAGGAGTTGGGCTAGTTCATGAAGACTTGCATCTTTCCTAAATACAAATTTACATGGTATTTAAAGAATCATTTGAGAAAACCGAACCATGTATATATTTGAACTTCATCGGCAACTGGTTGACTTCCTGGTTGAAATTCATCGATTCTAAAACAAAAAAAGATAAGTATAAAGCTCCTTGTTAAATGCAAAGAATCCTACGAATGAAAACTACCAACTTTGTAAAAAAGTCGAAGCAAAAACGGTGTTGTTTTTTGTCGGTCAATTGATCGTGATGGTGGTTTTGAAATATACATTTTAGTTTTTAAAAAAGTACTTTATACACTTAATATACACGTATATATATGTATTTTTATTATTATTTCTAAAAATTTTATTTTTTTTGCCAAAACTCTTTTTTTATAACTAACGTGCTTTTCACTAGTTGTAAGTTTTTTGTTCCGAGTAGTGGATCGAGGGATACAAAGGTTTAGATTAAAATACTAAATAGCTTACTTTATACATAAAATGTATATAAATAACCATAAATGATGTAACTGTACTTTTTTAAATGTATATTTCCTAAGAAAATTACGATAAAAATCGTTGGAATTGTAAAACATGATCAATAGTATTGTAAAATGATTTATAAGGTAGATCAGGTACATTTAAATTATCTATTTTTATGCATCTGAATCATATGTACATTCTATACATGTGGTTAGTATAGAAAGTTGATAATAAGATGCATAGTAAATATAGTTTTTCTACATATATTTATTCTGCTGTAACACGAGCTAAAAATATAAGCTGAAATACAACATTAAAAAAAAACGTACTATATATTGCTTGTGCATGATGAATACAGACTTTTTTAATAATACCTTGCTCACAAAGCAAATTTAAGATCTTGCGAGCAAGTGTTCCATTGATCTTGAAACGGTCTACAAGAACTGATATTGAAATCATACGATAATACATAACATCTTTATAAATCCGGTCACAGAGAGCATCATCAATAATTACTAAATTATTTGATTTGTCCTTTACTTTTCCCTTAGACCATTTTTTTTTAGTTTTACCTAAAAAATATTAATTTTTCATGTAAAAAAATATTTTTTTGAAAAAAAGATAATCAATACTAATTTTAAGCATTAATTATATACCTGTTTTGCTTTGTGCTGCTGCTGCTTTCACCATCCTCTCTTAATAACTTTTTTTTACTGATGGTTATATGAGTGCTTATTTTTTGGACTGCTCTTAGATTTATCGTGAGCGCAGATTAACGTCTGTTAAAGTATAAATGTTTATAAAATTCAAGGAAATGTATATTTTTTAATGAATGTTTAAGAAAAAGATATTTCTTTGTTTTTTTTTAGTTAATTAGGTTTAAAAAGGTATAAATTTTTGTTAAATAATAAGTTTTATAGAATTTTTTGTTAGTGAAAGAGTGTTAAATTGTTTTGCATTTTGTGAAATAAGAATCAGTATAACTTTTCTGTTTATTTTAGGAAGTATACATTATTACGTGCACAATTGTGTTTAGTTTTTTCAAGAAGGCGTGCAGTATTTGAGTTTTTCAGAATTTGTATATATAAGAGATACGTTTAAAAGATTTTGGCTCTTTTTTCTCTAAAAATTTTGTTGGGTTTTGTTTAAAGGTTTTCAGAACTAGAACAGGGTTCTAGAAATTAAAGAGAAACATTGGCGGTGTTGTCGCAGCGTATAGGCGTCCGAAGCTTTACCTATTCAACAAGATTGCACATGAAATCATATGTGCAAATTGTTCAGGTTCCTAGTGCAGATACGAATTTACAACCTTCTATTCTTTTGCATTATGATAAAAAAAGATATTTGTTTGGTGCTGGAGAGGCAATTCAGAGAACATGTGTTGGTAGGAAGATTAAAATTAGGAAAATTCGGGAGGTATTCTTGACTTTTGGTTCGAGGGGTATATGGGAGGGTTTTGGTGGATTTCCAGGTGCGGTTCATGATATCAGAGAGCTTATGCTCGTAATGTATAATATTAAACTTAGATGGCTGATCTAGTTTAGGTCTTTTTTTGACATTGGCGGACCAGAATCAGTTTGAAGGTGATGTTACAATCCATGGACCTCAAAATACTTTTTATTTGATGTTGACTTTAAGGCATTTTATCTATAGGTTTGTTAGTTTGTAGTTATGATGTTATAAAATTAAATTTTTTAAAGGCCAAATATTAAAATTAAGATTAACGAATTTAGGTCTGAAACTCATAAATTTGTTGATGAAAATATTACTATTACTCCTGTTATTTCTTCCCCGTATAATCATAAATTTAACAATGAAACGCACAAAATTGAAGGTTTTTATGACAAAAAACGACCTTTTGGCGAATTTTTGAAAGATATTGATGACAATGAAGAACTTATGCAAAAAATGTTTCTTTGTTCTAGTAGTAATGAAGTAAAAATTACATGTTCTGAAAATAATCATGAGGAGAATTTATTATTTAATTCGAATAATATTAGTTTTGAAAATATGCAAAATAAATTCAAAATTACACCTTTTTCTTTATCTGTAACTTATATATGTGAAGGGCATTCACAGCCCGGCAAATTTGATCCAGATGCTGCTAAAGCTTTAGGCATTACTCCTGGGCCTCAATTCGGAAAACTTTCTAAAGGAGAAAATATTGTTCTTGATGATGGAAGAGTTATATTCCCTCATCAAGTTATAGGTGAACCTCGCCCTGGTTCTATTTTTATTATAGTAGATTGTCCAGATAAAAATTATATTGACTCGTTAATTCAAAGGGATATTTGGAGTACGTATTACAAAACCGGGGAAAAAAAAGTACAACTTATTGTTCATATGGTTAATGAAGATGTTTTAAATGATAGCCGATATATTAATTGGATGTATCAATTTAGTGAAAAGGTTCAACATATTATCTCATGTCCTTCTCTATGTCCCGATTTGATAACGCATCGAAAAGTAGCTTTACAGCAGCTGAAATTAAACAGGTTATCAAGAGATCATTTTCCTTTACCACAGTGCATGACTTTTCAATCAAAAAAAGATCAATTGAATTTAGAGAATTTACTTGTGACCGGTATTAAACCTTTGCAAAAGTTTATATTGGAGCCTACTCCGTTATTTTTAGAAGATGAAGTACCCTTGCCCATTGATCTAGAATCTCCGGAAAATTTTGAAGGATTAGATATTTATTTATCTCTTGCAAAAGAGGCAAATGATAATATTCTTCGTGATCGAGAGAAAAATAATGCTAAATCAAATGCATCTGGTTCTAACGTTAGAGTTATTACTCTTGGAACAGGTTCTGCTTTTCCTTCTCATTATCGAAATGGTAAATGATTTAAAGTAATAATTTTGTTTAATGAGTAATTAGTATCATCAACTCTTCTTAGAATTCCTGGTTATGGTTCAGTGATGTTGGATGCTGGTGAAGGGACTTTGGGACAATTATCAAGGCAATTTGGGTTAGGTTTAAATGCTTTCTTGGAAGATTTAAAATGGATTTATATAAGTCATCTTCACGCAGACCATCATCTGGGCACAGTTCGAGTATTGAAAGAATGGAATAGAGTGAATCATGGAAATGATAGAGTAATTTATATTTCTGCTCCTTGGAAGTATTTTTATTTTCTTCAAGAATTTTCTAATATAGAAGATTTTGGCTGGAAGCGTATAAAAGTTATATTAAATGAGGATGTATGTGAAGATGCGAATCTTAAAAAAGGTATTTTAGGGTTACATACTTGTTCTACGAAGTAATTTTCTTTCTTTCTTATTCTATGGCTTACAATTATAGTATAAATGATCTATTAAAAGACCTATCTCTTCTATCATTTTCTACTGTTAGTGCAATACATTGTCCGTGGTCTTTTAGTATGCAAATTACACATAAAGATGGTTGGAAAGTTGCCTATTCAGGAGATACAAGACCTAATGAAAATTTTATTAAACTTGGAATGAATTCAACACTATTAATCCATGAAGCGACCCTTGATGATGATAAACTTCAAGAAGCTATTAAAAAAAAACATAGTACGACTAGTGAAGCGATTGATATAGGGAAAAAAATGAATGCTGGGTTTACACTTTTAACTCATTTTAGTCAGAGATATCCTAAAATTCCAAACTTCATAATGAATGATAATTGTAATAAAAATAAATTAGGGATTGCATTTGATGGTATGGAAGTTAAATTCTCCGATTTCTGGAAATTACCTTATTATTCAAATGCTCTTAAAGTTTTATATGCAGATGAATTTAATGAAAAAGAAGACTTTCTTTTAGAATAAATTAGCTTATTTATAAATAATTTTATATTTACTATTTTTGAGAATTAAACGTATCTTCGTATCTTTCTGATTAGACATCGTCTATTCTTGATAAATATAAACAAAATATAATTTTTAAAGCTGAACTAAATTTTGATCATTAAATATTTATGATTTCGTATGGAGGCACTTTATGAATGGAATAATGAGTTTTTGACGGAACATCTTACGTATCCGCCTTTGTCTTTAATTGATGATGTTATCAATACGATTAACACATTGCTTTATGAAGCCGTGGGTGCTATAGAGCAATACATGCACCATCTGCCTTCTTCGACTATATCAGTTCAAGAAATTGAGCAAGGGGTTCATCAGATCGAGACATTTTTAGAAAATATAGTAGATAGAAATTTTGATGCATTTGAACTTTATGCTTTACGCAATATTTTTGTTGTTCCTGAAAATGTACGCGGTTGGATGAGATTAAAGCATCAAATGGTATTTATTTTATATGTTATTTTCGTAACTTAGTTCTTTAGAATGTTGATTTTTCTAAATCTGAGCAGGATTTTGAAAATATTCAATCTGAAATTTCTCTTGTAAAAAATAAAATACACGCGGTTATTTTGGCTTTTTGTTCTTCTTTTTTGCTTATTTATATAGGCATATAAAGTTTCACGTATTCTTGAGAATGAGGAAGCATTGAATGAATCGATACTTGAAAGACTTCGTGCATCAACAAAACAGCTTGCTTTTTTGTCAGATATTTCAAAAGAACATGATGGTTTGTTTTATTTTTGATTAATACTGCAAGGTTTTGATCTTTTTAGTAAAACCTTTGTTTGAAACAACTGATTTTCTTGTAAATCAGACATTAGTTTTACAGTCTCTTTTAACAACTTTACGATCTTTGGGTTCTGCATATGATGGAAAGCCACTTGCTTCATTAGAACGTGAACATTACATCGAGAAGTCCATTCTTCATCATCTTTCTGTGCTTTCCGATGAAAACTGTGATTCCGTTGATGCTATAGATTCTCAACATCTTGTTCATCGTTTTTCTAATCTTGAATAACTGTCCTTTTATGCTTTAGGTGCTTATGTATGAGGTAATTGGATGTAATCATGGACTCTAGATACTGTTATTTGGTATTTGTTTTATGTTTTTTTATTCTTTAGTTATTGGTCAGTGTGTCACGTGATTTCATTAACTTATAAGTCTTTATACAAGGGTGTTTTTACGTATGGGCTGGTGGCGCAATGGCTAGCGCATTGGTTTTCGGTTGTTTCTTGACGTGAGATCACCAAAGGTTGTGGGTTCGAGTCCCATCTGGCTCGATACGTATGCTTTTGGTTGTCTGTTGAGTTTGGGTAGAGTGTTTGGTTTTTGGTGTTCTGTATTTGTGTTAGCTCTGTTTATAGTACAAAGTATTAAACATTAATTATGGTCGTTTAAATATTAACTAACTATGAATATTAAGTTTTAATGGGTTACATTAAATCTTAGGTTTGGTCTAGGTTTCGCTCTTTGGGTAAAACTTAGCTTGAGACTAGTGGATATAGATGTTTAAATTGATGTATTTATTTTGAAAATTTAAAAATACAGTTTTTGAAAATTAAGATCAACATTATAATTCACATTTTTTGTTTTGATTGGATTATTTTTAATAACTTGGCTTTATCTGTTTTATGTTTATATGTTTATATGTTTTATATTTAGGGCTGGATCTTTTGGTTAATGTTTGAGTTTGCCCTGTCAAGTTTTATGGGCTTTTTTGTAATCTTTTTCTTCCTAAATTCAATTATTGAACTTGGTTTTTATATTTTTTTCTTTATATTTAGAAACTCTGGGCTAGCAATTACATTTATTTTTAAATTTACTTTTGATTTATTATTTAGTTTCATTCAATTATTTGAAACAGCTTTTTTCTCGTCATCATTACGTTTATACTAATGACTGTTTGATCTTTTACTCTTTTTTGCCCTTTTTAAGATTTTATTTCTTTTTTTCTGTTTTTACTTTATCTTATTAAATATTCAAAAGTATTCATCATTTTAATTTTATTCTTAAAGTTTTATATATTTTATATTTCTTTTTACAACTATGATCTCTTGTCTATCTTAACATGTTACATGGAATACATTAATTTGTTCCACTCTTGTATCACTTTTAGGGTTAGGTCTATACAATCTTAAGGCGGTTTAAAAGTTAACTGATAAGTTTAATGAACCGGTTAACAAGCCGGTTGTCTGAGTCGTCAATAGACGAGAAAAACGAGGAAAATAAAGAGGAAAATAGCAGAAGAAAAGACGATGAAAATGTTTTTCTTTTTGTCCCTAATTTAATCGGTAAGTTTGTTTTTTAAGGGGAATTATTTGTGTAGTAGTAGATGAGTATTGAAAAATTAGTATTTGTTGAAGTTTGAGCGTGTAATTGAGTGAATAAGAGTTTTCCTTTGAATTAGTATAAAGAAATGAATTGACAAGTGCTTTTGAAATGTTTATTGATAGATATTGGTTGATATTTTGGAGTGAATACTGATAAGGTGTTATTAACAGGATATTCGCGGATTTTGTTAGCAACTGCATCACTTAAATATATGCCGTATCACCCGAAGTAGGTTACAGTTGACACAGTAATTACACTGTGTCTTTGTGACTTTTTGGTTGATAAATAGATATTGTACTTGGCTTTATATTTTATCGTGTTTGTTGGACGCGTTTGATGGAATGGCGGCTCGGTGGCTGGGTCAATGTGTGTGGGGATGTGTATTCCTGCATGTTGTGCTGATGGTTATATGATAGCGACGAAATTCGGTGCTATTTTAGATATGGTGACAGACCGGTAAGTGATGTGCAACTGTTTGCCTGTATGGTGTGAAAAATTGACTGAATATTCTCAGGTGTACCACTTCGTGTTTGCTGTGTTTTTTATCGTCAGCATATCCTGAGTACACGATGACGTTTCAATTCCTTGTTTCTATCGATTTGGCTAGTCATTATATGCACGTTTTTTCAACATTAGCTCAAGGCAGTTCCTCTCATAAGAAAATTCCCGATAATCAAAGCTGGATTTTGCGGCAATATTATCAAAATAATGTATATTTTTATATTAATGTTTGATTGGTAGTAATGTTTATATAGGTTATTCTTTTTGTTTTTTGTGCTGCAAACGAGCTTTTTTTTGTAGCATTGTATCTTCTTTCCTTTCCTCCAAAATCTCCGCCTCGACTTGGTAAATTTATTATTTTATTAGCTATGATTTAATATTATTAGGTTATATTTTTAATATTCCACTTTCATATCCTGTATTGATTGGTACTGTAAGCTTTCCTATTTGTCTTGGAAAACAGATTATTAATATTATTCAAATGATTAATGCGGCAAAAGCACTTGTTGATATTGATAAAGAAAATAGAAGGAAAGCAAAATTCATGTAGCAATGTATTTATTTTATATATAATAAAAATGTAGCTTTTACAATCTAAACATGATGTTTATAATTGATATTATGTGTTGATATCGATTTGTCTGTCATTAGAATTGTCTTTATTAAACTGTGTATAATAATATTATATATTCTTTTAAATAGTTTGAATTTAGTCGTGGTATCGTTTGTTAGTCTCTCAGGCGTATATAGCCCCGAGATAATGCACGTGCTCCTCTCCCAAAGACTTCTCCTGCACCTTCTTTGTCCATTTCTAAAACATTAAGTGCATCTCTTATTGTAATTATTCCTACTTCTTGAGCAGGTTCTATAGAAATAGTTTTAGGGTTTGTTGGTGAACTATTTTCTGTAATTCGATGTGTTTTTGTGGTATATCCTAATGATAATGACGGTATTGACGTCATCCATGAATATTTTTTGCCGCCTGGACCATTAGGACCTGATCCCATCATTATTGCTGCAGTAGTATCTGTGTTTCGTTTTTGTGTATCCTCTGAAAGACTTTTTGATGCTGAATTTATTCCTGTTTCTTTTTTCTTTCTTTTTTTATCCATGTCATCTGGGTTCCCTGATAGTGAACTTTGTTTATCTATTTTATTTTTTTCTTCTAGTCTTTTTGATAATAGCTGAGCTCTCCTCTTTTCTTCCATATCTTTTTCTTTGTTGTTTATTTCTTCTAAAATCTTTCCAACGTTGTCTATTATTTTTTTATTGATAGGAGGTGACGTAGTACGATGTTTAGACAGAATGATCATATCTGACAAAAGGCCTGCCATTCTATTGCGTAATGAAAGTGCAAGAAGAGGTGCTACTTCAGGATCTATAGTTTTAAGAGAATTGGAAATTGCTATTTTTTTTAAATGAAATTGAAAAAAAAAAAAAGATAAAAGTTTACCAATTCTATAAATAAGATCATTCAGTGGAATAGGATTCAGAAAATCAGTAATTTTTGTTCGGTCCTCTTCAAAAGACAATGTATTTGACCCAAATCCATAGTCATAGGATCGACTCATGTTATGTTCTTCTTCCTAAACATACATTAAAACTTAAATATAAATAACACAAAGTTGTTGTTGCCTTGATATCAACACCAGCAGATACCAATGCATCTTGAAGTTTTTCAGTATCTTGTCGATCCTCGCTAAATGTTCGTTTAAAAAAATATAAGTTATATTTTTTGATGAATTACCTAAATTTTCCGGAAACAGGAGATGGGTTCACTTTATAATATAAATATATTACACTTCCAATGCATATGGTGTTTTTTCAATCATACCTGATCCTTTAGTAGCTCCACTATAAAGATATGGAGTAGTTTTAGGAATTGATGGAGAATATGCTGGTTGTTCATAGTAATCACGCATAGAGACGCTATTATATGGTTTGTGTTTTTTTGCAGAAGACGCCGCACCTCTGCCACTTGAGTAAATTGTAAAACTAAAAAGATTTGAGTACTCATTTGAACTGCGTTTTAGATCCATGATTTATATTTGAAATAAAAAGGTTAAATAGATATTCCTACGAAAAAATAGCTGTATATATATTAAGTTTCTTGATTTTGTATAGGTATTGTCTCTTAAATGCCAAAAAATTAAAAATTTATTTTGTTTTCTTTTTGTTGAAAATCTTAAAAAGTCGCTTTTTCTGCGGAAAAAAAGAAATCTCTTTTAAATATCCTCATAGGGTATTTGGGGATAATGCTTCCTTGTTGAAAACCCTTAATGTTTCTTTTAAATGGGTTCTTTACTTCTCCCTTTTTCTTCATCAAAATTTTTGGATGTTGATTATCGTTATTTTAAAAAGTTACTTGATTGAAAAAAAAAAAAAAAAACAAACTTTTCTATGGGGAAAAGTAATAAATATAATAGTATCTGGTATATTTCTGTTTAATTGTTTTACTAATTTTATTTTTAGCACGGATTCATTCAAAATGCAGTTTAGCTACTACTTTGCATCAGAACACTTTGCATCAAAAACCGATAAACAGCTGTATTCATCAAGAAGTATCAATTGATTTTGATAAAATATGCAGAAGTTTACGTTTTGAAAGAAAAGAAAAAATATGTTCTGTATTTTTTTTTTTGTTTTTATGTTTGATTTGAGTTTATAGATGTTTAGATGTGTCGTAAAGACCGATCTAAAAAGAATGTTAATAACATTTCTCTTTGTTTGCATTGTGGTGGAGTTTTTTGCATTAGTTTTGGAAGGAGTCATGCTTTTGAACACACTCTTCAAGAGTCTATGCATTGTCTCTTTATTAGTATTGAAAATGCGGTTATTTGTAAAGAAAAAATGATTTAAGAAGACCGATTGATATATTTAGGGTGTCTTTCTTGTAAAAACATATTATCTCCTCAGGAAAGCATGATTTTGGGAATGAAAGAAGTACAAAAACTTGTTCAACGGAAATTTTGTATTTATCAGAAAGTGAAAAATGAAAAAAAAATTACAAAAGATAATCGTTGCTCTTTAGAATATAAGTCTTTGGTTCCTGGTCTTCAAAATCTAGGAAATACATGTTACTTTAATTCGGTATGTGTGGTTTAGCATGAATAATGTTACTTGCATTTAACAAATATTTTAAGGTAATGCAAGTTTTGGCAGCGAGTCTTCCGCTTCATGATATTGTTTCTCCTACACCACTTTTTAATCGTTTTTGTATACAAATAAAGGGTACTGGATCATTAATTACTGCATTTGTTGAATACCTTAATGCAGTATATTCTTGTACATCTGAAAATACAATATTTAAACCGCAAAAGCTTTTTAGTCAAATTCAGAAGAAGCATAAGCAGTTCACACCTTCTAAACAACAGGATGCTCATGAACTATTGCGTTATTTTCTTGATTCTTTAAATATGGAAGAAACTTCTAATACTTCTAATAGAAATACGTTTGAAAAGCTGTCCAAGTCTAAACAGAAAACGTTTGAAAAGAATGATGTATCTCTTATAAGTGACATTAAAGTTGAAAATCTTAATGGGAACAATAATGATACTCAAAATAAAAATATTACATTTATTGATAAACTTTTTGGAGGAAGACTAGCAAGTATTGTTATTTGTAACACATGCAAATCGGTATTACGGGTATTTTAAATAGCTTTACTTATATTGTTTAAAGGTTTCTACATCGTACGAAAAATTTCAAGATATATCATTATCAATAAAAACTCATAATGCTACTGATATTGTAAAATATTTCTTATTTGATTTTTTTATTTAATTTTTATAGGCATGTGATACAAAAGTTAATAGTAAACGCATTGGTTCTAAAAAAACTCGGAAAAAAAAGGGTTCATCAGACAATTTGCTATTCAATTGTTCAAAAACATCTTGTTCTCATTTGAATGGTTGTTCTGAAAGTATTTCGATTCTTTTTTTGTTTTTAGGAATGATTAATTTTATGTAATAGGTGTATCTGATGATGAATCGTCAACACCAACAACGGGTTCAGAAAATATGTCAAAAACATGTCTTCATTTTAAAGAATTGTCTGTTGATTCTTTTGAAAAAGATGGACTAAGCTCCTGTAAAAATGCCTCTATAGCATCTGAGATTACAACTAAGACCGAATCTGAATATATTGATCTTTTACTTTTTGAGAGAAATAATATTGATGAGGAAAAAAAGGATTCTTGGAATTTAGAAGACAGTTTGAGGCAATTCACGAGTGTTGAAATTTTGGAAAATGAAAATGGCTATGCATGTGAAGAATGTGCAAAACGTCTTCGTTCTACTGCAAAAAAATGTATTTATAAGCCTTCTCAGGCTCTTCGGCGTAGCTTTCGGCTGTCTAATACTAAATCTTCTAAATCTCATATAGATTCTTTTTTAACTAATGGTTCTTCTGAATTATTTCTTTCATCTAGTTCTTTTTCCGATCTTTGTTCTCAACCATCTGAATCCCATCTTCCTGTTTTGCATATTTCTAGTCATGAACATCAACATTCTTTTTGTATGTCTCCTGGTGTTTGTTCAACTAATACTCCGTCTTATCTTGATTATGAATATTCTTCCTCTGACAGCTCCAAACCAAGATCTGTTCTTTCTTCTGCATTTAGGCGTTTTTTGATTGACTTGCCATTACCACCGATTCTGATTTTACATCTTAAGCGTTTTCAACAATTAATTGGTCGTCTTCGGTCTTCTTTTAAGAAAATTGATACTTTTGTTGATTTTCCAGAAACTCTTGATTTAACTGATTATGTAACACCTCGTCTGCGATCTGGACCTGGTTTGTTATATATGTTAACAGGTGTCATTGTTCATATAGGAACTCTTACTCATGGACAGTATGTATTTTTTAATTAAAAAAAATGTTAATTCTTTTGTTCTAGTTATGCATCGTATATTTTAACACATAAAATTCGGCCATTGAATGAGCCATTATCAACAACTTTGATTGATTCTAATCTCTCCGATTCTTTAAGTTCTATTAAAACTTCTCAAACTCCTCTTCGACAATGGGTTTTTGCTAATGATACATTAACTCGTCCTGCAACATGGGATGAGGTGCGTCGATCTGTTGGATACCTTTTTGTATACGAACAAATTTATGATGTTTCGTAAAAATGATATGACAATAATAATTAATGTTTATAACTTCTTTTTTCTACACTTCATACGGTTTATTGTTCTCTAAACATTTAATGTTTTTATATTTGTATTTTATCTAGCCTGTTAAATACTCCGTTTATATGAATTAGCAATTAAATCTATATTTTAAGTGTTTTCAACATAGAAAATGTATAAAACTTTTAATACATAAAAACATTAAATAAAACAATACATTGTATAAAAATTTTGCAACTATTGTGTTTTCAAATAATTTATTAAATAAGTGCTCTATTACATTTATAATAATTTAAATAACTCGATAAATAATTATTTCTACTAAAGAAAAAATGGCTTCGCCTTCGGCGAGGCTCGAACTCGCAACCTTGAGATTCCTCTTAGAGGAAGTGCCACATAAAAGTCTCACGCGCTGACCAGTTGTGCCACGAAGGCTGTTACCTAGTAATGCTTGAAATTAATAATAAATGTCTTTTTACGTGTTATTTTAGTAGATGTAGATATTTAGGATATAGAAAAGAACATTAGATAGAAAAGAATATTTGGATTTTTAAAGACAAAATACTTCTAATGTCTTTTCCTCTTATTTGTACTCTGTTTTTGTTGTATATCTGATGTTTTGTTGTATTATATGACTATTTTTCACTTGTAGTTCTCTTATAATGTATCAAGTATATATCGTTTAACGTATACATTACTTACGAAAAAGTATAAAAGGGCAACTTCCCCCGATAAAATAGCTATGAAATACCATCAAAGATGATGAAATGGTAAATTTATGGATGCATATTAGATCATAGAAGGGAATAAATTATATTAAAAACGTTATCTTCAGAATAGAAGCTGTAAAAGATAATAAAGAAATGATGAAAGTGTTTAAAGAAATTAAATAGCTTGAATTTAGACGATAATAGAAAATGCTTTGATATAGGATTTTATGACTTCCTAAAGGATAAACGTGTATTATATGTTAATTTTATTGTCTGAGATATGAGAATTTGTTTTTTATTATTTGGGAATGAACGTGAAAAGATTAGGTTTGGTTTTGTCGAGGGTTGGGTTTTTGTAAATGATGAGAGATCAGTTTGTGAAAGACGATATCGTTGAAGAAATATTACATTGTATTGAGTGACATATATAGGTGAATAGAGGTGAATGAGTTGTTGCAAATCAAAAGTAGTTGTGGTCAAAAGGCGTTATTTTTTAAACCTCCGTTAGCACATGATTTTTGGAATTTAATTACGGTAAGATTTTCAGAAGGTTTGGGTTTTATTTAGGTAGGTTGGATTTTTGTATTTGAAAAGGTTTAAGTCTGTAATGGTTTAGAGGTTTAAGCTTTGAAAGAAAGTGTTTTGTATATAGAGCAAATGCTTGCATTTGTAGAAGGAAAATTAGATCATAAAAGCAGAGATAATGATAAGAATTCTTTTACTCATAACAAGCATCAGGATTTTCACGATGATATAGCACTTTCATTGAAGATAAAATCATACTATGAAAATGAGGATCAAGAGGCAGATTATGAAGAGTTTGATGGTATAGATGATTTTGAAGGAAAAATCCTTAATGGTGAAGTTGATAGGTATTGATGATTTTATATTTTGATGGAAAAAGTAATAATGAATTTATGAGATATGGTTTCTTCTCTTTTCCCCAAAAACTCCCTAAACAAAAAGGCAAAATTACTTCGCAGCTCAAGTCGATAGAGATTCGAAATAAATTTATAAGAAGAAAGAAACGTATTATTCTTGAAATACCTCAAGGTTTTTGTTTCGATCAATTATTAAACCAAGATAACCTTGTTTGGTATAAAGAGGGATCTAATGTTACTAAAAAGGAGATAAATAGAATTGAGAAGTGGAGGAATATGGCTACAAGTTTACGAATGGATGGAAATACTGAGTATGTATTTTTTGAGACGAAAAAAGTATGCAAATTCTAGTTTAAAGACTGATTAATGATTGTAGTTGGCTAAAAGAGTTTTTAAAGGTATACCTGATTCTTGGAGATCTGCTGCATGGTATGCATTTTTATCGTGTTCTGCAAAGAGGAATGGGAGTAAGTATACGGATCGTGAGTTGAGATTGAAGTATCATGTATTTTTTTCATTTGCATATTTTTTTCTAATTAGATATAGGAATATCTTCAACTTCCGTATGCTCATGATTTTCAAATTAATCTTGATGTTCCTCGTACTATAAGTGGTCATGTTTTTTTTCAAAGACAATATCGAGATGGGTATGTATTGATTTTTGTTTTTTTTTCTCTGTTAAAAATTAAGACAACGACTTTTGTTTCGAGTTTTACATGCTTTGTCTCTTTTTTATTCAGATACCGGATATGTACAAGGAATGGCTTCTTTGGTTGCTACTTTTTTATGTTATTATGATGAAGAGTCTGCTTTTATTATGTCAGTGAGGTTATGGGAAGAAAAAGGAATTCTATCTATCTTTTCTAATGATTTTAATGACCTTTTTTTATGTTTTAATGAATTAGAGGCTAGATTGTCAAAAACAAGAGTTGGAAAAAGACTTGTAGGTTTTTTGCTTCTTTTTTTCTTATATGTTTATTATTTAGTTTGCTCTTGGGATTAATGTGTCTTCTTTTTCCACAAAATGGTATTTGACACTTTTTAGTCATTCTTTATCTTTTTGCACTCAGTTACGAATATGGGATGTTTTTTTATGGCATCATGGTGATAAAAAAAATAAGTTTGAAATACTTCATCTAACTGCTATGGCTATAATTTTTGGAATGAAAGGTTTTTCTATTACTAGCATTAGCTTAGACTTAATTTTGTAGATATGCTTATGAAAGCGGATTTTGAAACAGCTATGAAACTTCTGACATCTAGGATACATGTGATAGATAATGATGCACTTATGATGTTAATTGAATCTGAATGGAAATCAATGAAAAAGGGTTAAATTTATTTTTAATTCATATTTATTATTTATATTTATTTTTTGTAATAATAATGATGAATGTAAATGAATTATTATGTAATTTATTAACTTCTTTTTACTTATTTTTTTTTTCTGGAAAACTATGGTTTTCGATTAAGACTTCAAAGATTTAAAAATATATAAGATATTTGTTGGATGAAGATTAATTTTTATAACAGTTATGGTATTGAAAATTCATTGCAAATATTCTTTTTTAAGAAGATGGGCTTCATCTGGTCCTCATTCTACAAAACATCCTCGATGCCGTATACCAAAGTCAAAACCAATCCCAGAGGGAATATTATTACAAACAGAATCAAATTCATCTCTTTTTTATAATCCTCCAGCATCTCCTCCTGATTATAGAGTAACGCCTTATTCTTTTCTTCCAGACACAGTTAAAAAGTTAAATGAAAAGCCTGTTTTTCATGGAACATTACCACCACCATTATCGCCGATTAAGCAAAAAAAGTATCATTTAATTGATGAAGATATAAAGCAAATAAAAATATTAAGAGAAAATGGAATGAGTCGTTCTAATATAGCAAAAAAATTTAATGCATCACGGTTTTTTGTTGGAATGGTTGCTCCATTAAGTAAAGAAAAAGTAGATGAGATTAAACGAAAGCATCAAGAAATTAAGGAACAATGGAGTGATCGTAAAAAAGAAATAATGATGAACCGAATGAAAAGAAGAAAGCTGTGGGGAAAAGAGTATTAGTTATATGTGTTTTGGGATAAATATTATTATTACAAAATATGTTAACATTTTATATAGAAAGTGTCGGTTTGTGAATACATTTTCAAAAACGTGTATAATGCATGTGTTCTATATGAGTTCTTAAACATAATTAAATATTGTCTTTATTGATAATAGTATTGATTTATTGATTAAATTGGTGTAATAACATTGATTATGGTTTTGCATAATGTACAGTTTTGTTACTGGTGGAGTTTATTTATTTCTTCATTCTGTATGGGGATTAGTGATTGCAGCATTCTTTGTTAACTTTTTTGATAAGTTCTACCCATTCTACTGCACGTTTGTGAAGGTCATCAAAATTATATACTTTATTTGGCTAAAAATGTTAGGTGATAGAAAAAGAGGAGAATCTTACTGTTTCTATTACCCATAACCTTCCACTTTTTCCTTCTAATCTTATTTTTATATTTGATTTTCCTAAAGGGATTTCGCTTTTAACTTTTTTTTCTCCATTACTTTCTTCAGTAACAAATAAGGCTCTTCCTTTACTTGTAATGAGAAGATTTCGTGTCTTTTTTCTTTGCAAAAGCCTGGAAAGCCTACTGGGCGATTTTCCTGATAAAATACCTTCTTCGCCTACTCCTTTTCCCATTGACATCAAAACCGGCCCAAGACGTAAAAGACGTTCATTAGGTAAATCAAGAACTGATGACCAAAGTTTATCCAATTCAGATAATGTTGTATCGTTTATATTTTGTTCATATACAGTTTGTGAAAAATGAGATGAACGTTGTTTATGTTTTTTTAATTTAGGTGTATTAGGTAAAGATGAAGGCGAACCTGAATCCAATTTTATAATATTCGAAGGTTTATGTGGACTTTCTGTAATAGTAGAAACTTTATATGGTTTTAGTTTAGGAGGGTTTGTTTTCCATAGAGTTTTTCCCCATGGCATTCCATCAAAAAATTTATGAGATTTAAGTTCTTCTATAGTTAATCTCTTTTGAGGATCGAGGATTAATATCCGTTCGCAAAGATCTTTAGCATTTGGTGGAAAATTTGAAGGAAATTGATACTTAAGATTAATAATTTTTTGAAATGTCTGGTATTCATTTGATGCTTTAAAAGGTGGTCGTCCTACAAAAAGTTGATATATTATGCATCCATATGCCCATATATCGGAACTTAATTATTAAAATACTGATAATGCATTTATAAATAGATAAATTACCTTTTATATGCTACTTTGTCTATTAATAGCTCTGGAGATACATATTCTGCTGTTCCAACAAACGAATTTGCTCTAGAAAGTTTGTTTTCGTTTTCTTTAATATTATTCCCATTTTTTCCTTCAGGGATTTCATTAATAGTTTTTGTAGGAGATTCTAGTATTTTTGCAGTACCAAAATCTGTAATTTTAATTTTCATTTTGTCATCAAGTAATACACTTTATATAATGATTAGTGGAAATAAGATAAATCAAATAACACACTTTTCAGGTTTAAGGTCACGGTGAATAATACCACAGCTATGTATATAATGTACAGCATCTAAAATTTGAGCACCATAATATCGTGTGCACTCTTCATTTAATGAACCAAGCTAATGGAAATAAGTAATATGTTTTAAATATTTTGTGTTTTACATGTTTAACAAAATTAAGAAGTTCTCCATTTGACGCAAGGCTTAAAACAAAATATAAATTTCTTTCATCTTGAAATGTATAATATAGCTGAACAATTCCTGGATGGTTTCCAAGTTTATTTAATGTATCTTTTTCTATGTAAACGTATTTAACTTTCTTTTCTTTAATAATATGTCTTTTGTCGAGAATTTTAATTGCATATTCTTTTGATGTTTGCTTATCTTTTGCTGCAATAACCTTTAAAGTTTGTTAAATGAAATATAAAAATGAATTTATAAGCTAGCATACTGTCGAATAAGATCCTTCTCCAAGTGTACGTCCAAGTATGAAATCTTTTATATTTTTTTTTATAACTTTTGATACAATTCCATTTTCTTCATTAACTTCGATCGTCTTCTTTGCTGATCCTTTCTCAATCCAGTATTCTGTGTTTGATTTATATGTATTATACTTTTTTGGATGCTCTAAAAACATATTATTTTGTAATAAATTTATGTTATCATTGTGTTTAGTTTCTAATTGTTTAGATTGTAAAATATGTGAACAATGATTATAAAAAGATTCATTTGATTTTTCTGAATTATTTATTTCTGTCTTTGTATTATTTTGTACTATATCTGAAACAATACAGTTATCTTTAGCGATAGATAAAGACGCATCTGGTATGTTCTGAGGAATTGAAAAGAGCTTATCTTTGAATACTTCAGGATCTTTCTCATGTCTACATGAGTGTTCACTCTCTGCATTTATTGTTTCTTTAATATGAAATGTTTCAGGAGTTGTCAACATCACGTTATTTAAAGACATTTTATGCATTAATTTTGTTTAAAAATAGAAATGTTGAGATATTTCTGTATTAATATTAAATTTCTATATTTTTTTTGACAAAATGGACTGTTTTTGAATATTTCAATGCCCTATTTTGATTTTTTTCAAAACTTAACTAATGTTCGACAAATTCTACAAAGATGTTAAGGAAATTTAAAAGAAAAAATATAAAAATAAAGTTAGAAACTTGAAAAATGTTTTCTTAATAGCATTTATGTTTTAAATATGTTTCTTTTATTTAAAAGAAAAAAATAATAGAGTACGATGATTTTGAAAACAAATATATAATTAATATGCAAATAAAAACACATGTTATTTTAATGCAAATGGCATATTTAAGAAATATTATTAAGCTAGAATTGATATTAAGATATAAATTTCCTTATTATGTAATTCTAATAGATTAAATGCCAAAGACTTTGTCATCTTTGTATTTCTTTTCTTTGAGTTCAGAAGATTTATCGGCTAGTATTTTAGGATCTGGCAAGCTGTTCTCGTTTGTAGTAGGAGAATTTCCTGGTTTATTTGATGGAATATCAAAGAATTTTGACTGTAAAACAGATGTTTCGCTACGATGACGTAAATGGTGTCGAGGTGAGCGCTTAGAAAGAGGCGGTAATATAGAATTTCCAAAAGGTGGAAGCAAAAGCTGTTGTGGTTGTGATACTCTCTTTTTTTTAGATGGTGAAAATGAACATGATTCTTTTTCATGTGAATTCAAAATATTTGATTGAGATGTTAGTTCTGATCCTTCATTATTCACTGTAGTGACTGAATTTACTGATTCTCCAGGAGGTATCCAATAATGAAAAAAAAGGGAAGGTAAAGATGATGCATTTGAATTTAATGTATGGTTTTGATTTGGTGCAGGCTCTGTTACATTTCTTGAAAGCATAAATGGTGATTTTCCGCCCTTTTGGGAAGGCGAATTTGCTGGAAAAGAATCTAGTGTATTTGGTATATTTGTTTGATGACGAGGTTGTGGTGCACATTGGTTTGATAAAGATCCGGGTTCTTGAGATGAATGGCAAAGTGCTGAAATAGATATTTCAGAAGACCCTAAATTATGTGATTGATATTGTACTGAAGATGTTGAAGAAAGAGAGTAGCTTTGAGAAAGTGCTAATGTAGAGTTATTTAATTGACCAGAAAAAATAGTAGGAATTGCATTAGGTTGAATCCCTCCTCGAAGTGCATTAACTAAAATTTCGTTTTCTATTCTTTTAATATCAAGACGCACCATTTCCTGTTTTAATCTGTCTTCTTCTGTTTTCGCAATCATTATAGTACGTAATGTTTCTTCTGAGCCAGCCCATCGTTCTAAAATATCACGAAGTGTGAATTCTTTACTAAAGGAAAAGTCATTGTTGCGTTTTTCAAGAGAAATTTGGTATGAATTATGGTCACAATTGCAGTTGAATTCTTTTTGATGTATAGGGTGATTTGACATTTTAAAGGTTAAATATTTGAGTTAAAATGGAATATAAACTACTTTTATTTTAATATAATTATGTGTTTTGGTATTTTTTTTTTTTGTATTTCCTTAATATTTTTTAACCTTTTTTCTGAATTTTCTATTTTTTTTAGTAAATGTTTTAAAATAAGAATTTTTACTAGAAATATCTATAATAATCACATAATATTGTATGCAATTCTTTAAAATTCTTTTTAAATTGTATCATTCAATTATATTCTTTTTTTGAAATTGCTCTTGAAATAAGGGCTGATAATTAACGAGGTTTTGTAGAGTGTAGTTTAGGTTAGATTCATAAAAAAACGATTAAATAATATATATATAAAAAGTTATATGATGAATAAAATAATATTTGATAATATAAAATAAAATCTAAATGTTATTTTTTGTAGAAAAAAGAGAAAGTAAAAGACAAAATGAAATATAATTAAAACGTGAAAAATGTCAAATATAAAAAAATGTCATAAATATAAAAGATATATAAGAATGTATAATATTAATGGTAAACACCAATTGATATGTTATAAATATAGAAATGAATAAGAAGCTAAATATTTTAGTATTTTAATTCAAAAAATCTTGTTGCTGAAAAGATGAGTCTGCATGTTGACAATGAGTATTTGTATTCTGAATTAATTGAGTTAAATGTTTTTGAGGAATAAGTTGTTGCTGATGTTGTTCGGTTGCTAGAGGTAACTTTTGTATTTGTGGTTGGCTACATATATTTGTACATTCATTTTGATGTTCTGTAAAAAAAGTATTAATGTTGGATTTTATATTGTGTAGATTTCCTGACTTGGATTGTTCTGTTGTGCAAAAATTAGGTGAATTTTTTAAAAGTTGGGACGAAGTAGAGAAATCCATTGTTGAAGATATAGGAGATTTATCGATAAAAAAAAGAGATTTTAATCTTGCATATGGCTCAATGAGTGTATATACATTTGATGGAGGTGAAAATATCATAGGGTTTTTATAAATGTAAGTTTCCTAGTCAATTTTAGATAAATTTTTTAAAAGGGATATGATTTACGGCATTTTTGCAGGACTTGTCTGCAATTGTTGCAAGATATGCAAGATTTGTTTGAAGACGTTGAATACATCTAGTATTATAAATAAAGATTTATAACAGTTTTGATAAATACCCTGTCATAGTGGATCCCGGTGTTTCTAAATGATCTTTTTCTATATTTTTTTCATTTTGAAGCTCTATACATTTCTGGAGAAGAAGTGTATTTATTTCTAAGATTAGTGAAACTCGTTGATGATTAAGTTCTTTTAATGCATCTGACAATGATTGTGATGAATTCATAAACAAATCTATATTGAAAAAAAGGACGTTAATCATATTAAAGTTATTATATCCTCTTACTATTACTGTTTATATTTTTTGAATTTTCTATATTTGTGATTGTTGTTAACTCGGAAGATTTAAAGGGTATTGACTGGTTTGAGTGTGTAAAATTATTATTCGAATTAATTTCATTATAATATCTTATTTCAGAGTGAATGTTATTTTTAAACATATTTCAGAATATATTAAAAAATTAGGCTAGGTAAATTCATTTCATAGTTGATGAAAACCAATACTTGATTTTTATAAAAATGCGAAGTGATTAAATTATAAAAATTTTAAAAAAGTATATATTAATTCAAAAAAAGAATTCTTAAAAACATAAATTAATAAAGTATTTAAGAATTTTGCTTTCTAGAATGCATTGGAGTGTTAAAATTCAATATAGTAACTATAAGTTATAAATTATCCCCATTTAAATTTTCCCCATTTCCCTGAAAATATACCATTTTTGGAGCTCAAAACATCGTCGCCTGACATGTCTAATGTTGATGAAACTAAATTTAAATCTATAGCCTGCGGTTTTACATATTGTCCATTAAATATTGGTTTTTTAAGATGTCTTGGTTTTCGAGATTCTTCTAGCATTTTAGTATATACAGCCATTCTATTTTTGCATATAGCAAGTTCTTCGCGCAATTGTTCACATGAAATACAAGTATTCGGCGTTGCTGGACTATTGTCTGATATAGATGGAGATAATGATAAAGTCGATGATAGCATTCTTGAACAGTTATATTCTTGTGATTGAGGTGATATATTAATATTTTTAGGGGATGCATTTTTATGGTGATCTTGCTGAAGCATCAATTCTTGTAATTTTTTACTAGTATTGTCATATGAATTTAGAAAAATTTTATGTAAGTTATTAACATAATCGGACTGTTTATACTTGTTTTCAGAAATTGCTTTTTGAATCCTTTGTTTCTCTTCCAACATTTCATCCCAATGTATATGAATATCATGAATTTTATTCTTTATGTTTATTATTTCTAATTCTTTTAAATTAACTTGTTTTTCTAAGTCTTTTACTTTTGATTGTTCATGTGACAATTTTTCTTGTAAAAAAGAAAGTTCTTTTGCAAGAGGATTAGGAGGGAGAGAAGAATCATCTAATTCTTTTGTTAATTGTTCAATAATTTTGTTCTTATCATAATTTTTGTTTTCATAATTTTTATCAGAAAAAATGAAATTATCTATAGTGTTAGTTTCTTGATAATTTTGTTCGTTTGAATTCTTAGAGTTAGATATTTTTTTATTAGGACTATTTATAGTCTCATTGATAAATTCGATTAGTTTTAAAGCAATACTTTTATATTTTAAAGAAATTCTTCCTAATGTTTCTAATTCCTCAGTAGTAGAAGCATGTTCTCTTTGTAAAGAGCTTAAAGCCACAACAAGGTCTTCAATTTGATAATGAAGTTCTTTGTTATCTTTTTCAAATAAATTATTAGATCCAGATGTTTTTTTAAATGATTGTCTCTCCGAACAACATATAGATGATAATGTTGAATTTATTGTTTTTTCTGATTCTAATGGTATTGAGTTTACAGACGAAAATGAAGAAATATTTAAGTTTTGTGGTATTTTTTGTATATTATTATTTTCATAAAATGAATTAGAATTAGATGAATTTATAAAGATTGGTAAAGAATTAGAATTTTTTTGTAATTTTTCGAAAAACCCTGTAGATGTTGATTGGACTTCATTGGTAGTGGATTTTATGAGAGTTCTATGTTCTTCAGATATATTTTGGTTAAATTTTTGTTCCAATTTTGTTAAAGAATTTCGTGTAACAATATTGTCAAGCTTAAGTGCATCTGATATTAATTCGTCATTATTTTTTCCATATACTGCCCATAACTCTGGGCTAAGAAGTAATTGTAAATTTCCTTCAAAATCAATACTTAAAAGACGCTCTTCGTTTTTTATGATCAAAGCAATAGCAACCCTTATGATAGTTTCAGGAGCTCCTTCACCGAAAATTATATCATAGATTCTATGTAACGTTGAAAGAGGACATGTAACAGCAAATAGGCTAAGAAACCATTGACTAGCATACATAAGAGGATGTATTCCTATAGAACTAAAGTATGTAGCAACAGATGGTACACGAAGAGAAAGAAAATGCTCAAACTGAAAAAGTCGTAGATGAAGCCCTGATAAATTAACAGTAAACATAGTTCTCATATCATAGCATTCCATAAGTCTATAAAAAAATGAGTAATGAATATTTTTTCATTTAGAATTGTACCTAACAAGAACACAAAAAGCTTCGGATTCGGACATGTTCATCAAAAGAGGGCCAACGATGAATCCCAAACTATAAAATAAAGTCAAATGTTGTATATATAATTATTAACTAAATACCCTTGACAGTATCCTACTTCCGCATCGTATAAACTAAAAGCACGAAGAACTGATTGAAGTTTTTTTTGGCCATCACCTCCTTCTTCTTTAAACATCTCAACACCTGGAAATGTTCTTGCAAGATCACGAACAATTACTTTTTCATATGGGCTTCTCTCATTGCGTAGAGTTTCAAAAAGACCTTCCAAGTGCGTATCCTGCGCACTAGACATGCTCTGCCAAACAAGACCACGAAGAGGATGTGGTATGCCTTCACGTATTTTTTTTGTTAAAAAATGTGGTGATTGAATGGCTGTTGTATTATAATCTAAGATTATATATTAACATATTATAATTTTTGGCTAAAAATAGTATACCCGAAATCAATGAAATCCAAAAATCAAGGTTTTCAATACTATTAATAGAGACAACTTCGTTTATTGGGAATGAAGATATTTTTGGATTATTTATGCGTGAATTTATAAGATCTTGTATATGTTGCTGGGAATGATTTGTTAAGAACCGAGAGGACACTCGTTTGGGATCATCTATGAGTCGTCTATTTTCTTTTTCGAGTCTTGAAAGTAAAAAGTCTAAGTTCTATACTATGGTTTATATAATAATAATAATATCTTTTTAATACCTTTTCTGTTTCTTGAGCATTTTCTTTTATGATTAACGTATCCCAGTTTTCTTTCTGTGTTTTTGAAGTTCCTGCTTCACACGAACTGGTTAATGGAGTTTCTGTTGGTATAAAAATGCTTTCTTTCTGTGTTATTTTGTTTTCTGTCTCATATTCTAACATTTATGTGGGTTCCAGGATGTCTTTTTAGACTAAAAGATAATAAATAGTGAAATAAAGTAAAAGATAATTTTATATCCGTATTTAATTTTTAATTTTTTTAAAAAAAATATTAGTTTTTTGACTTCTTATCTTATTAGTATAGCGTTTTTCCTTATAGGGTTCTTCTAAATCTTACAAAATACCAATGTTAATATTTACTGATATGCTTTTTAAATATTTAGAATGTGTTTTTTTTAAAAATATAGTAATAAGCCTTTTTTGTTACTATAAATCGATTTTTATCTTCCTTAGACTTTTTCGACAATCCTTATAAGAGTTTTCTTTTATATTTCCAAAAAAAATACTTAAATTTATATAGTATTTATGAAATGTTTTAAAAATGGTATTTTTGAATGTAAAAAAATAGTTAAGTATATTTTTTTTAAAAAAAGAACTTGGGTATGCTTAAGATAGGTTCCTTAATATGAATATATGACTTAGAACTTGAATTTTAGTATCTTTCCTATGTCTTTTTTAAATTATAAATACACTTGAATATTTAGTCTTTGCAAGAACTATATATTTTCGTACAGTTATATGTTTTTATGTAGTAGAAATGGTTTAATATGTTCCTATATGAAATTCCTTTTGAAACTATAATTTCAGCTGTTATTTTGGAAATGCGCTGACTATTTAATCTTTATTTTTTCTACTTGTTAAGAGCTTTGATTTAGGGATTTTCGCTATCGTGTGAGTTGCCTAGGTAACAATAAATACTTTGAGAAGATAGGAAATTAAATTATGAATTATATAGTTTGTTGGATTTTTACTTTTTTTATTTTTTATTTTTAATATTTATTCTTTTTATTTATGAAAACGTGTTTATTTATTATAAAAAGGCTTTTTTTTTGATATGAGGTTTTTTAGAGAAAACATAAGTTTAAGTGTTTGTATTAAAAGGTCGATAAAGTAAAAACTTAGTCGAAGAAAAATAAAGTAATTATTGATGTTTGAAATTTGAAAATAATGCGCATATATGCATTTCATATGTTATTTGAAGGGATTTAGACGAGTTTTTAGGTGTTATTTTTTATTTAAGACCAGCAGTCGCGTATTAAGCTGTTTTGGAAGATTAATTGTTAGAGGAGGTTAGATAAAGTGCCAATGCTTCGAGAAACAAGTAGTGATGATTCAGATATGTCTTTTTCCTTGGTATATTTTCATGATATTTCTTAAAAATGTGTTTTATGATGTTAACTTTGTATGGTAGAAACGTAAATATACGAATGTATCAAAAAATATCAAGAAAATTAGAAATGCTGACGTTGGATTCGATTCTGAAAGACAGCTTTGTTCGGAAATTGCTTCTGTTGGGAGAACTATTTCAGAGAATTTATCATATTCAAGACATGAGAATTTTTCTGATACTGTGGATACTATTGAATCGAAAAATCATTTATTAGCTACAAAGACAACGTCTGAAATATATCAGAAGGTATTTTGTTTGAATGTTAGTTGTAAGTTTTCTTAAAGAGTTTATTTAGCTTTCACAATTAGAGCATATTTTAAAACGACCAGATACTTATATAGGGAGTATTGAATTTACGTCTCAACACATTTGGGTTTATGATGATAATACAAATGCTATGAAATATAGGTAATTTCTTAATATTTTACTGCATGAAGGGCTTGTTTTTTTAATAGGCAAGTATCAATTGTTCCTGGTTTATATAAAATATTTGATGAGATTCTTGTTAATGCTGCTGATAATAAAATACGGGATCCAAATATGGATACGATTAAGGTTGAATTTAGTCGAGAGAAAAATGTTATATCTATTTATAATAATGGTCGTGGAATACCAATAGAAATTCACAATGTGAGTTAGTTTTATTATTGATGTACTTTTAATATTTTGAAGAAAGAAAAAGTATGGATTCCTGAGCTTATTTTTGGTCATCTTTTAACATCAAGTAATTATGATGATGAGGAAAAGAAAGTAACTGGTGGTCGTAATGGGTATGGTGCTAAGCTTTGTAATATATTTTCAACAGAATTTATTGTTGAGACTGCTGATAGAGCAACTAAAAAAACATATAAACAAGTTTTTTTGAATAATATGACTAAAAAAAAGGATCCCGTTATTAAAGAAAATAAAAAGGATGAAGAATATACTCGAATTACCTTTAAACCGGATCTTGAAAGATTTGGTATGAAAGAGATAGATTCTGATCTTGAATCTGTTTTTAAAAGACGCGTTTATGATTTAGCAGGTAGTGTTAAAAATGTAAAAGTGTTTCTTAATGGGGAGAGGATTAAGGTTAAATCGTTTAAACAGTACATAGAAATGTATCTCAATTCTGATGATTCTGAAAATAATTTGAAACCTACAATAATTCATGAAGTTGTAAATGATAGATGGGAGGTTGCTTTTACCGTTAGCGATGGTCAATTTAATCAGGTTAGTTTCGTTAATAGTATAGCAACTACTCGCGGAGGAACTCATGTTAATTATGTTTCTGACCAAATTGTTTTAAAACTTATTGAAGCTGTAAAGAAAAAAAATAAGAATATTCCTATTAAACCATTTCAAGTCAAAAATCATATTTGGGTTTTTATTAATTCTCTTATTGAGAATCCTTCTTTCGATTCTCAAACGAAAGAAACATTAACATTAAAGCAAACTGCATTTGGTTCAAAGTGTATTCTTAGTGATGATTTTATTAAGAAGGTTTTGAAAACGCCTATTATGGAGAAGATTTTGGATACTGCTCAGAAAAAAGCTGATCAATTGATGAAGAAAACTGATGGGTCGAAGAAAATGCGAATCACTGGTTTACCTAAGCTTGAAGATGCTAATAAAGCTGGAACTAAGGAAGGTCATAAATGTACACTTATTTTAACTGAAGGTGATTCTGCAAAATCTTTAGCTATGTCTGGTATTGGTGTGGTTGGTCGCGATTATTTTGGAGTTTATCCGCTTAGAGGAAAATTGTTAAATGTTCGTGAAGCATCACATGAACAAATTAGCAAAAATGCTGAAATTAATGCTATAAAGCAAATTATGGGCCTTCAACATAAAAAGGTATATACTTCTACTTCTGAATTACGCTATGGGCATTTGATGATTATGACTGATCAAGATCATGATGGGAGTCATATTAAGGGTTTGATTATTAATTATTTGGAAAGTTCGTTTCCATCTTTATTGGAGATACCGGGATTTTTAATTGAGTTTATTACTCCAATTGTAAAAGCAACAAAAGGAACTCAGGAAAAGACGTTTTTTACTATCCCTGAGTATGAGTATTGGAAGGAGTCTGTTGATAATGCTAAAGGGTGGAAAATAAAATATTATAAAGGATTAGGTACTAGTTATGGTAATGATGTTAAAAAATATTTTTCTGATTTAGATACACATTTAAAAGAGTTTCATTCCATTAGAGAAGGTGATAAAGAATTGATTGATATGGCTTTTTCGAAAAAAAAGGCAGATGAACGAAAAGAATGGTTGAGACTTTTTAAACCAGGGACTTATATGGATCATACTTTAGATAAAATACCGATATCTGATTTCATTAACAAGGAGCTCATTTTATTTAGTATGGCAGATAATATTAGATCGATTCCTTCTGTAGTGGATGGTTTAAAACCTGGACAGAGAAAAGTTATATTTGGGTGTTTTAAAAGAAAATTAAAAAGTGAAATTAAAGTTGCACAATTATCAGGATATATTTCTGAGCATACTGCATATCATCATGGAGAGCAAAGTCTTACACAAACGATAATAGGATTAGCACAAACATTTGTTGGAAGTAATAATATTAATCTCATGAAACCCAATGGGCAATTTGGTACTCGTTTGCAAGGTGGGAAAGATGCTGCATCTCCACGTTATATTTTTACTGAGTTGTCTCCTTTGACACGGAAAATATTTGTAGAATCAGATGATGCATTGTTAAATTACCTTAATGAAGATGGTCAATCTATAGAACCTCTTTGGTATGTTCCTATAATACCTTTAATTCTTGTGAATGGATGTGAAGGAATTGGAACGGGATGGAGTTCTTATATACCTAATTTTAATCCTATTGATTTAGTTAATAATATTCGTAGAATGATGAATGGTGAGAAATTAGAGCCAATGCATCCATGGTACCGTGGTTTTAATGGAAGTATTGAAAAACAAGGTGATAAGTACAAGATTTCTGGGTGTATACGTCAGATAGACGATACGACTGTTGAAATTACAGAGCTTCCTATAAGATTTTGGACTCAGGATATGAAAGAGTTTTTAGAATTATCTGTTGTAGGATCAGATAAAGTACAACCTTTTATAAAAGTATTTTCTAAAAAAGTAAAGATTTTTTTGTTGATTTTTTAGGATTATTCAGAATATCACACTGATACTGTGGTTCATTTCATTATAAAATTAACCGAGAAGGGAATGGCTGAGTCTTTAGCTCAAGGCCTTGAGGAAAAATTTAAACTAATAAAAATTCAAAATATGACAAATATGGTTGCTTTTGATTCTTCAGGGCGTATAAAAAAATACAACTCAGTAGAAGAAATTCTTTTGGAATTTTACAACATTCGTTTGCAGTTTTATCAAAAAAGAAAGGTACTGATATAATAAAATATCTTAATCTAATATTAACTAGGATTATCTTGTAAATGAATTGGAAAGTCAATATAATAAATTATCTAATCAAGTAAGATTTGTTAAAATGGTTATAAATAAGGAGCAGGATTTTTTAAACAGAAAACGCAAAGATCTTCTTGATGATTTAAAATTAAAGGGTTTTATCCCTTTTCCAAAAAATAAGCATATATCTGTTGATAACGCTACTGAAACTTCTAATAATTTAGCAGAGAATGATGATGATGATGCTACTGGTTATGATTATTTGTTAAGCATGCCTTTATGGTCATTAACTGCAGAAAAGGTAGAGAAATTGCTTAAGGATAAGCTAGATAAAGAGAATGAATTAGAGTCGCTTTTGAAACTTACTGTTAAAGATTTATGGAATAAAGATTTAGATAATTTTGTTGAAGAATGGGAAATGTTTCTGAAGCATGATGAAAATCTTACTTCAAAGGTTAAAAATTTGAAAAAGGATAAAAGGAACTCTCAAAAGCTAGGCATAGTAACTCAAAAATCAGTAGTTAAAAAACGAGCAGTAAATTCTCAGAATAAACCATCTGATGTTGATTATAAACCGTTTTCAAAAAAAACTTTACTTTCGGCTAAACAAACAACACTGCCTTTTAGTGTTAAGAATGTAAAAGATACTGATGTTGACTTTTTGAAAAATCAAGAATCGTCTAATAAAGTCATAAATGAATCAGTAGTTGCCGTAGAGAATGATCAAGTATTTGCAAAAACGGATGCTACTGCTGAGAGAAAATATGGGGCAAATGCTATTATTGTGCCATCATTAAAAGGAGATTTGTCGGATGATAGTGATACTGATTATATGGATGATTTAGTCAAGAAATATACTATAAATCCATCGGGCGGAAAAAGTATGACTTCATATATAAAGTCTGTATCTCCTAGTCCTAAAAAAACAAAAATAGCGTTATCTACAAAGTCTCGATCTCCGCCTAAAATGTCGACTCTTTTGGATTCGAGTCCTGATTATGTTGTACCTATAACAAAGTCTTCTACGAAAACAATACATAAGAAAAAGAAAACTTTAGCTAGAAAAATTAATATAAATGATTCAGAAATTGATATTCCTGTTCGAAGTGATATTTCTCAGCGACCAAGACGTCAAGTTGCTGTTCAAGCTCGTCAACGTGTTGTGGCTATTATTAATTCTGATGATAATGATACAACATTAGATAGATCATCTTTATCAAGCGAATTCGATGGTTCATCTTCATAATTAAATATATGCATATATTAAAATGACTTTATTTTGAATTATATCTACAAAATCTTATATTTATGATTTGCATTGCATCTGTTTTTTATGTTTATATTTTTATGCATTTTTTCAAAATCCAAAATGTTGATTTTATTCATTTATTATATACGCTTGTTAAATATAAGTTTAGTTACTTTTGGAAATATTTTTAGAATTTTTATTTTTATGTTATAAAGATTTTATATTTTAATTTTCAAGATACCGATAGCCTAACTTATGCTTCAATTTATTCTTGTTCAAAACAGACAAGGTATTTATTATTTAAAATTAAAATGAATATATAAGTTATTTATGTTTAAAATAATAGGAAAAACGAGGCTTTCAAAATGGTATGTACCATGTGATGTATGTATTTTTTATAAATCTATTTTTTTGAATTTTTTATATTGTATTTTAGGATCAAGAAAAAAATAGAATTAAAGGTGAAATTCATCGTCTTATTGTTCCAAGGGATCAGAGACATCAATCCAATTTTGTAGATGTACGGAATTGCACTAGTCTTTTAGAATATGTTGGATTAAATTTGACTATAGTTTTGTAATCATAAAATTATTTATCGTAGATATGCTGGTCTTTTTTTTTCTGTTTGTGTTGACTTAGACGATAATGAATTGGCTTATCTTGAAGCAATACATCTGTTTGTTGAGGTTATTGATCGTTTTTTTGGAAATGTCTGTGAATTAGATTTGATCTTTAATTTTTATAAGGTAGTTTGTATATTTCTAGTTGTTTTTAAATATGGTTATAGGTTTATGTTATTTTAGATGAGGTTTTTTTGGCTGGAGAGATTGAGGAGATTAGTAAAAGTGTTATTTTAACGCGTTTGGAAGAACTGAGTCGTTTAGAATAGCTTTTATAATGTAAAGGGAAAAATATTAAAAGTATTGAATATATATTGGTAATAATGCATATGAATGAAAGGTTTTTTGTAGTTTCTTGTTTTTTATTTTTCTTTATTAATAATTTTATGGTTTCATGTTTTTATATATTGGTTTTGCAAAACGAATATAGAATGTTAGTTATGTAACATAGTATATTTTTATATTAAATTATTTTAAAAGACTTGTTTTTATAAATCTTTGAATCGATTCGAAAACTCTTTTAGATGTCTTTAAATAATTTGCAAAATAAATTGAAGATTCAGACAAAACTATGTGTAAGATATAAATTATACAATATATATATTTAGGAAATTTCTGATATTTTTTAGATAACTCGTCTTCGTTTGATAGAGCAAAAGATAATGGCTATTCATAAGTCACAGGAAAAAGAACTGGCTATTTTATTAGGAAAAGACATGAAACAAAATTTAATGATAAAGGCGGAAAATATGATTAGGTTTTTTGCTTGAATTTTACTTTTTTTTTTTTTAATTTCCTTTTTTTGGTAGAGAAAATATGAAAATAGAATTGTTGGGGATTTTGAATTTGTAATTTTTTTTAAATACTTTTGTTTTATTATTTACTTAAGTAGATATTGTGAAGTATTACTTTCGCGTTTTCATCTTTTGAAAAAAGGGTTACTTTTTCATTTGTTTTAAAACAATTAATATTGATAGTTATTGTCATGAACAAATTGAACAGGCTGTTTGTACATTGATTTATGCTACACCGAGATGTGATGTTAAAGAGCTTCATAATGTAAGAGTATTTTTTGTTTGTTTTATTTTATTTATAAGATAGATGAATGGAATTTTTAGGTTATATTTTGGAAAGGAATTTATACAGGATTCTGTGGAAAATAAACATGGAAAAGTTGATCCTAAGGTTTGTGTTAATGCCTAAGCGTATTGGAAATAAATATTAGAAAGGTTGCGGAAAAACTTTCTAATAAATCAGTAAATAATGATCTTATTGAAAGTTATCTTGAAGAAATTGCGCGTTTTTATAATATTAAACAAGATTGTAATCTAAATGCTTCTAAAATGATAGATGACACTGCTTTGTATAATAAAGAATTAGAAGATTTGCTAAAAAATAATAATTCTTCGAAATTTGTAGTGTCTTCTTTATCTTCGCCTGATGATTCAGAATCTCAATTAAAATTATCATTAATATATTCACAAAATAATTATAATAGGGGTAATTCCGATTTTATTAATTTTTCTGAAATATCAAAAGAAATGTCGCAAAATATGTCTAATGTTTCAAACATAGATCAACTTCGAGAAAGATTTGAAAGGCTTAAACAAATTTAATTTTAAAGTATATAATTAAACAAAAAATTATAGTATTTGTTTTGGTTATCATTGTATTTAATACAGCATGCATTTAGTTCGTTTATGCGTTTATGTTTTTATTTATTTTCTCGGTCAGATAATTCCAGCTTTTGTATATTCCTCCACTCAATATTCCTTTTAGAGTTTGTGAAACACTAGGCCAATATACTGTTGTTTTGATTGTTTTTATTAGTTCTTTATGGAAACATTTGTCTTTGATTATCATTTTTTCAAAAGAGTAATCATTTTCATATGGTTCATTATAATTTATTTTTTCATATTTTGCTTTTTGACTATAAGCATAATATAGACGATCTTTAAATTTTTTAGGAAGTTGTCGAATCATATTCGCCCTTGAAACAGGATTAAAGTCTTGGATAAGCGTTTTGCATGTTTCAATAGTTTGTTTGTTTGAGATAACTTGAATATTTGGCAACTTATTTATTAAAGGAAAATATAGTTGATGGAAGTCATAAATCTGTGTATTTACTATAGCTTCTATTTTATTTGGGTTTTCTGCGAATTTCATTCTTGGATCTCCTAGTTTTAGTTAAAATATAAAAAATATCTTAGAAATTTTTACCAGTGTATGATATTTTAGAAATTGTTGAGTATAGTTCATATTCTGAAAATTTTTCTGGAAGTAATAACATTGCTACTCTTAAAGCTGAGATCAGGTTTTTGTTATATGCAAATTTGACACGTGGTTCATCTTTAAGTATCTTTATCTAAAAGAAATAAGTTTTAAAATGTATTATAAATATCTTGAAATATACAGGTTTATGCATTCTTCCAGAAAGATATAATGTATTCCATTCACTAAGTTCTTGGCAAAGATCGTCAATTGTAATTACTCCATATTTTATTGTCTTTTAAAAATTAGTATTTTATGGGTTTGTTTGGGGAAATACTATGTTATTAATTTTAATATATGGATTGTAATATACATTTGCTTTAATTTTTTCTTGTAAATAACTTATAAAATAGCTACCAAAGTATTTTAGAAACGAATAATGATTATTATTGTGGAATAAATTTAAAGAATGCCACTGCTGTGCTTGAGATACTCCAAAAATAAAGTCAATCATTGGTTCTTTCTATTTGTAATAAGATATTTAATTTCTTTGCTATTGTAAATATTGTTCTTACATTATTTCCTTTCTGTTTAAAGACACCACTTCCATATGCAAATGAAAACTGTATAGGTGCTTTAAACTCCCGTAGTATTTCTTTAAGTGTTTCTTTAAGTTCTTGGTGTCCTGAAAAATATTGATTTGTCTTTAGATTTTCGTATATCTTGTTAGATTTTTGATATTCGTGTATTGAGTTTTTTTTCTTAAAATTTTCTTGTTCTTTAAAGGTATCTTTTTTCTCTACTGTTGTGAAAGTTTTTGAATTTAAATTTTGGAAACTTAAGTTCTTTATTTGCAATAGTGATCTAATGCAGGTCTGAGTAAAAGTTGTCCTATTATAAGAATGTAGTAATGATATATGCTTAGTTTTAGTTATGCATGGAGTATAGAATAGTACTTTTTTGTAGGACATATTTCTTGTATTTCTTACGTGCTTGTTTTTTATAAATTGTTGCATTTTTCAAAGATACCTATTAATAATGTATTGTATATATATGGTTCGTGTTTAAAGGAATTGAAATGTTGTTTTTAGAAAATTGCTTTTCCATGTTTAAGACTTCATATAATATTCAACTAAAACGTGGTTTTGAATTCCATAAATAATGTCAAATATTAAAATAATTATAAGTTATTGATATTATGATAAATTATTGTTTTTTCGACTTTACGATCGGTGTTGTTAATAGATTTGTTATAAAACGTTTAAGAAGTTTTACAATATAATAATAAGTACCCTTTGTTAGCGTTCTTTGTAGTTTTTATGGAGGTATATGTTTCAAGACTTGCTTCTTTTCAGTCATCTTCTCGAAAAAAACCAAAATGGCCTCATAGTTATCCAACACCAAGAGATGTAAAAACTTGATATTTTAAATAATAGACTAATTGTTTATAGTTAGCTGATGCTGGATTTTATTATGATCCTCATCCTTCTTCTAATGATAATGTTTCGTGTTTTTTATGTAAAAAAGCTTTGGATGGTTGGGACGTAGATGATAATCCTGTGAAAGAACATTTTCAACATTCTCGACAATGTGGTTGGGCAATTCTTAAATATACTAAATTTTTGGGTGAAGATGCTATCTCTTTTACTGATAAGGAGTTGCAAGATGCTCGGGAAGCAACATTTGGTTCTTGGTGGCCTCATGAACAAAAAAGAGGATGGTTTTCAAAAATTAAGAAGGCAATTATTGAAGATGTTGCCTTTTTATTTATTTATTTGTTTAGATGTCTCGGGCTGGATTTTATTATAATCCTACACCTGATTCTAATGATATGGTGAGTTGTATTTATTGTGGTCTTGGTCTTGATGGTTGGGAGCCAAAAGATGATCCAATGTATTATGTTTATTTAATTTGATGAAATTTTAATATTTTTAAGGGAGGAACATAAAAAACGAGCACCTTCATGTTTATTTTTTCAACAATTAACAATTACTAAAATACCTGTTTCAGAGTTAAAAGTTTTTTCTAATAAACTTGGTAATGATGCTGGTATCCAAAATAATGATGTGTTAAATCCGTATGGCCTAGAAACATGTTTGAAATCAAAGGTTAAGCTTCCTCTTACTAGATCAAAAATCCGGTCTATTAAAAAACCTGTAAAAAAGTCTAAAGATAATGATTTACAATCTCGTTCAAAAGAATCATCGTTAACTTTTTACGAGGAAAAGCATAAAAATGCTCTTTGCAATTCTTCTTCAGATTTAATTGTTGATAATGCGTTATTTTCGGATAATCAAACATTAGCTGAACAAGACAAAAATGATAATGATAACAAGTTTATTGATGTCAATAGTTTCAGTCCTTTTAATGGAATGAGAATGACTCGTTCACGTATTAATAGTTTTTCTAATAAATCGGATATTTTATATATTGAGAAAGAGATAACAAAGGCTTCTAAATTGAAAAGTAGAAAAAGACGGTCTCAACAAATTAAAAAGGAAAATAATTTAAACAAAATGCCAGAGGGAAACAATTATATGAATAATATAAATATTAATTCTACTGCAATTAAAAAATATCGAGATGAAAGTATTATAGAAAATGATAGACAAAATGATACATTTATAAAATTAGATGAACATTTAGTTGGACCTGCTTTAGAAGTTACCGAAAGTGATATTTTTGAAGATATTCATACTCAAGAATTACAAAATAATTTTATAGCTACTAAAACAATTTTGAGCAAAAATCATAGAAAAGCTAGTTTTGTGAAAAGTAGTAAATCAGTAAGAAAGTTATCCTTAAAAAGAAATATAGAGTCAAATTATAATGGAGATATTGAAAAAAAAAATATATTAAACTTTGAGGATTTAGAAGTTGAGAAAAGAAGTTGTTTAAGATATAAGAAATCATCTAGAATTAATACCCAGATAAGTGAATTAGCAAAAGACAGAATAGCATCTATAGAAAATTCTAGTACTAAAAAAAAGCCTAAACAGGTTCTTAAAATAAACAACATTGTTAATCTTCAGAAAGGATTAGAAAATGTTTCTCAAATATCAGACTTATCAGAAGTTACTTCTTTTCGTTTTATCGATAAAGAAAATATCTCTGAAGGATTTAGTGATCCTTTTAAAGAAGAAAAAGTATCTGATTTTGTTATGAAAAATAGTTTTCAAGGTTTATTACAACAAAATTTTGAAGGAATATTTGGCTTTGATAAATCAGAAAATCAAAAAGAAAATGCTAAAAATGTTTTGGTATCTGAAATAATTAATAATAGTGATAATAGTAAGATAACAGATTGGGTTCCAATAAACAGTCAAGCTCTTGTTTTTAATTCTTCGAGTAATATGTTGGTTAATTCTCATGAACTTACTGCGAGTGAATTGGATATGACAATTGAAGAATGGATAAAATTTATAACTCGGAAACAAGTTGAAAAGTTAGAGATTGAGTGTCAAAGAATGATTTCTGTTTTAAAAAAAGAAGGAGAAAGAGCAAAGCAAGCTATTTTGGGCATCCGTGAATCATAATTGATGTATACTACTTTATATTTTTGTAGATATAATTTTAGAGTACATCATAGACATTAGGTTATTATGTTATATATATATGTAATACTTATGTTTTAGTAATAATAGAAGTTGGTAAAAGAATGGATTTTAAAAAACAAATTTTGGTTTATAGTTAGAATATAATAGCAATTAAAGATATTTAAAACACAAAATAGCTAGTTTAAAGATAAAACATTTAAGCATGCTACGTTACTTAAAAATTAATATTAAATTGTTTAATCATTAGAAATTTTAAATATTGCTAAATTCGACTATGTTGTAACAGGAACACCAGTATCATGTTTTTCGATTCCTTCGTTTAGTATTTCCTGTGTATTAGAAACATCTGGAACAGATGTTTTGGATAATATAGTTTGCTTTGTTTTTTTGATCTTAAGGTTTAATAGAAATTTATCTTTCATAAATCCAATTTTAAATTTATTTATATCCCCATTTATTTTTGTGCCTAGTTTTATAAAATTAAAAGATAATTCCTTCACTGCTTTTTCCGTGCAATTTCCTGCATGATCTTTTATAACATTTGAATATTTATTAGCAAGACTAGAGATATACGCAAAATTTTTATCAATTATTTTTTGATATTTAATATAAAATGATGGGATTGTAAATGCTAATAATGTAGCTAATAAAATTAGTTTATATTTTACAATACTGTAAAAATAAAACCTAGAAGAATTATATGAACGAAAGAAAAAAATTGCACAAGAATAAATGATATCCAAGAAACAGCAAATGCCTAAAAGTTAGATATAAAAAATAGAAAAAGAGAAAATACGATAGCAGTATATTTAATTTTTTTAACAAACAAAAGTTCCTGAATTCCATAAAGTATGAAATTAATTAAATCGCATAGTTTGTCAGTTATATTGTTAAGAGATTCTCGTGAAATGGAATAAAATGATGGTGCAAATTGGCTATGAAAAAAATAAGTATATAATGCTTTTTTAAAATTAGAAAATCAAAAAGAAACCTAATGAAACCATTCGGTTGTTTAAAAACAGAGCGACCTGTAATTTCAATAATTGTTGAACTTGCAAAAACAATCCAAGCAGTGCGAAAAATTAAATGAGGAATATTAACAATGCTTGAAAAAAGTAACAATGCTACTATTCCCCCTAAAATAGTACCTGAATTACGGGGATATTTCCACGTAAAAAGGTCAAAAACTAAGTGATAAGTATTTTGTAACATTTATAGGGAAAAATAATAAAAACTCACAGAACAAATAATATTTGGATAAAGATACAGGTGATTCAAAGCTTATGGTTTGTTTCTTAGTTAAGCTATATGCATCAGAATGCTCTTTAATTGCTATTTTTCATTAATTAGAATTAATTAGATTTTAATTTTTTTTAAAAAAAATTTAAAAAAAAAGATAAACTTACAACAATGTTCCGAATCTTTTCTTTCCTCCATAATTTTTTATATAAAAAAAAAACACTATTTTTCTTGTTTATTTTTTTTTTAATATTCAAATTTTTTTTATTCGACTTTTTTGTCTCTTTAGTTGTAATTTATATTTCATATATATATAATATTTTTTGAAATTTTTATCTGAATTCTTTTATATTTATAATTATTTATAATATAATTGTTTATAATATTATTGTATTTCTAATATATGTGTATGTTTTTAAGATTTATGATTTAAGAAAATTATAAATTAAAAAAGTAAAATTTTTTTTTGAAATTGATTTGATTGTATAATTGATTTTTTTATTTTTGTTTGTTTTTTTATTATATTTTTAAAATTTTTAGTAGCTATATTTTTAGAATTAGACGTGAAAACTATCAATAAAAATATAGGTTTAAATAAATTGAATACTTTATAATTTTAAAAGTTTAATAGTGTTTTTAGCTTTTTAAAAGTATTTTATGTTTTTGAATTATATTTTTTGAACTTAGAGTTAGTTATTTAGAACAATTATGAATTTTGATGTTATAGTAATATGGAAGTGTTTTATGAATTTATTAGATGGTATTTATAGATATAATTTTATTTTAGGTTTTTTTGTTGAAATTCGGATTATAAATTTATAATGAATTTCGATCAACGAAAAAGATAATTTTTTGATTGGTTTCTTTTTTAAATAATTTTTATATTTAAACTATATTTTGTATTAAACTATATTTTGTAAAATTTTAACTTGTTATAGCAATTTTATAATGATTCTTAGACTTTAATTATTTTGTTTGTATTATTTAATTAATATATTATAAATTTTAAAAGAAATAGATTTAATTTATTTTTTTGTAGAAGTTCAAAGGTTGTAGAAACTTAAAATATATTGCTATAATATATTGATATTTTGATATTTTGTAAAATAAATATTATATATAAATATATATATAATATAGAAAAGATTGAATAAAAATAATATAAGATTTGTATTTAGCTTAAAATAATGATATAAAAATGTTAAATATATTTTTTTAATTTTTTGTATGTTTATAAATATTTGATAGTTGTATTAAAAAAATGATATTAAAAAAAATTAAAATTCTGATATGTATTTTTATAAGTATTTTATTATATAGTTTAACTCCTTTTTTTGTTTAATTCTGAACTTTTAATTATATTTTTTATTTTATTTATTTTGTTTTGTTTACGTTTTTGTCTTTGTGCTCTGTTTTTGGCTGTTTTTTCTTCATCTTTTTTTATCATCGTTTCTCTTGCAATGTTAAATTCTCGTTCGTTTATTTCATGTTTTATTTCTTCTTCTAATAATTTCATCCGTTCATATTCTCTTCGTCTAGAGACTTTATAAATATGAAATTCGCCTGAACTGGCACCAGCACTTGAACCTAGATTTTTTAATAAATGTCTTTGTAAAAAGTCGAAATTAACCTTGAACATTGTTTACGATATCTGGAGGAGGTGGGAGTGGTGGCTTAAGTGGTGCTGAAAGATCTATTTCTCTATCGGGTCTACGCATCAATCTTTCTAGTTCTCGTGCTTGAATTGAGGATGGTGATGTGGCTCTTTTTTTTTTTCGTTTTTCTTGATTTTCTTCAGAATCAAATGCTTCTTCTGACATGAACTAATATAAATTATAATTTAAATGTTGAATTTTATACGTTGAAATTTTATTTACATGGATTTATAAAATAAATGAATAAAAAGGTATTATATAAAAACAAAATTGTAGTTTTAGTTAATTTAAAGCATCAGTTTTTATAAAATGTTTTTAGAATTTACTTATATTTATAAATAGAATATATTATTAATTTAATTTTTTTTTGTATTCCAAAAGTTAATATAAAATATGATATCGTTAATTATTTCTAATGTTTTTCTTTTTTTTTGAAATTATAAATATGTTAGAGAAATATAAAAATATATTATTCTACGTTATTATAATTTAAATATATATATGATATTTTATAGTCAAATTATTAGGCTTTTTTATTAGATTTTTTAGCTTTACGATAGATTTTATTCTTGTTTTTTATTGAATAAAAAATTGTTGATTTATTTTGTATGAGTTTAAATATTTTAGAATACTTGGATTAAATTAACTAGATAAGGTAATTATTTTTTATAAGTAAATATTAATGAATTATCTAATATTTTAAATTTTTAAAGATATGAATTTATTATAAAATTATTGAACATGACGAAAATATTGAATTATAAAATGATGTTTATCAATATATATTATTTAATTTCAATATATTTTAAAAAAATTAACGATTTTTTTTTTTATTTTTTAGTATTCAAAGTTATTTGTTTTTATTATATTTTTATTATATTTTCGATAGTTATAATTTTTAGATTAGTTAATTTTGATATATTTGTTTCAAGAAAAAAATTATGATTTATATTGTTATGATATTATAGAATAAGCTTATGTCCACTATATTTTTAAATATGATATATTTTATTTGTATAGATTGTTTTAATATATTCATTTGTTTATATAAATAAATGGTTTTGAAATTATATTTAAAGTTAATAATTTATAATTTAAAACAAATTATTTTTATTATGAATAGTGTTTTTAATTTTTTTATTATAGTTTTTTAATAAATTTGTTTTTATCATGACATGAAATTTTTAAATTGTATGTTTTGTTTATATTAAGCTTTCTGATATTTATAAAACTATTTATTTATTTATTCTATATTATTTATATTTTTTAATTATTTTAAAATTATTAAATAATTTAGTTTTTTAAAATATCTTTTTTATTAATCTTGTTTTAGAGAATATATTTTTATGATTAAAATGTTATTTTAAAAAATATATGAATATTTTATGTTTTTAAAATTTAGTTTTAAGTATATAGAGGATTTTGGGTATATTATATTTATATAATTATTCAAATATATTTTATAATTTTTTATAATTTTATTAAATGTTTGATTTATATAGGTTTTAAATATTTTGAAAATATATATATATTTTTTTTGCTTTATAAATTATTATATTTTAATATATTTTTTTGTTTATATTAGTAATATAATGAGTATATATTTTTTAAAATAATTAAATTTATTTTTTTATAAATATTGAACAATTTTTAAACGATATTATTGATAAAATGTCACCTGTAATTATAAAAAAGTTAATTAAGAATTCCGATGTTAGTGATAATGAGTCTAGTGATGAAGATTTTGTTTTACATGGATCTAATGGCGACTGTGATTCGGAGTTAGATAAAAATATCTCTGATGTTAGCTACGATTCAGGTGATGAGAAAGTTATTAATTCTTTAAAAAGAAAAAAAAGTAATGATAATTTTTCTGAAAAAAATTGTAATTGTGGAGTAAGAACTAGAAGTCAAAGTTCTCTGTGCGTGTGTTGTTTTGTGTTGTTATTGTCTTATTTTTATTATAGAAATAAAAAAGTAGTGGAATGGGTGCCGGAGGCTCCTCAGATTGATGTAAATGCTATATGGAATACTATGAATGAAAAAAGGACTGTTAAGGAGATTGATTATAATTTTTTTAGTCCTCCTGAAGAAAAAATAAAAATATCTAGAACATATGAATTTGCTGGGAAAGTTGAAACGTATGTTTACGTTGTTTTATTGTAATCCTATTTTTAATATAGTAGAGAGGAGAAGTTTGTTTTAAAAGATTCTGCAGAGGCTAAGGTGCATTTTTCTAGCATAAATCTTGTACAAACATCTAAACCTCCTTTAAGAAGGCCCACAAAACGAGTATCTTCTTTGGAAGCCTCAAATAATAAAACAGTTAAGCTTAATACATTGGAAAAGTCTAGACTTGATTGGGCAAAATTTGTAGATAAAGAGGGTATATCTGAGGAATTAAAAAATGCATCTAAAGATGGTTATATTGATAAACAATTGTTTCTTCAAGTAACTGAGGAAAGAATGATTAAAAATATTAAGGAAAAGATGAAGAAATAATTTAATTGAAGCATATATGTGTAATATATTTATGAATAGGCAGGAAACTTTATTTTCATTAGTATAATGTTGTGTAGCATTTATAAATTATAAATGTTGAAAAAAAGTTAATATTTTATTTTAATTTTTGTGTTTTTATATAAAAAGTGTTTTATATGTTTTATCGAAAAAGTTTTTATCATGTTGATTTTTAGGATGTATGAATAATTATATATATTTAATGTTATTTAAAATAGAGTATTTTGATGAAAAATGTTTTAGTTTTTAAAAATTATTCTTTAATTTTAGTAAAATAAATTTTTATATGATATTTGTAAGATATTTTATATTTTGTTATAACTTTTTTACTATTGATTTTTTAATATGGAAATAATTAAATATTTATTGTAATGTTTTTATTTAAATATATGAATTCTTTTTTATTCGATAAATATTTTAAAAATATTTCTTGGTTATTTGACTACCGTATAAAAAAGTTTAAAATTGAGTTGTACTTTTTTAAATATCAATTTTTAGTTTTTTATTAATTATTATATTTATTAAAAAAAATTTAAGTTTTTAATAATTTTTTATTGTTTCTAGGATTTAATATCCTTTTATGTATATCATGTATATCATTTGTAAGTTTAAAATATTTCTTTGCTAAAAATATTTAAGTCTTTTGTTTATGAAAAAAAATATATTTATTTTTTCTAATATATTGTGATTTACATACTGTTTTTATTTTTTATTAATTGAAGGTTATTTTTTGTTTTTTCGGACTGTAAATTTATAAAGTTACGCATTTTTATTTAGTTCTATCTGAAACTTTGAATTTAATATCTTCTATACTTTTTAGAAGTATAGGTTAATAATAGAACAGATGACAAGTTTACCACCACAAATGGGATATAAAGATTCTGATATTTCTAAATTATACCCTCCTGAGCTCTCCTTACACTCTGTTCAAATAGTGTTTCGCCATGGTTTTGATATATTTGTTTTTTCAAGTTATTGAACTAAAAAGATAGGTGAAAGAACACCGATTTTTTCGGGTCTTAAGATTTTTGGTTTTCCTATAAAGTGGAATGTTTGTCATTCTGTAGATCGTTTTTTTTCAGCTGTTAAAATTTCAGATTCTAAAACTTTAAGTAATCAGAATTGGGATTATTTAAAGTATAAGAGAAAAATCGAAACAATGGATAAGGATGGGAGTTTTAAAAGAATTGAAGATGATGGTGCTTGGTATATGGTTATTTATATGTATAAATTATATGGTTAATTTTTTAGTATGACAGGACAATTGACAGATATTGGTCGAGAATCCACTTTGAATTTAGGAAAAAGGTTACGGAAACTATATGTTCATCAATTGTCATTTCTTCCAGAATTTATTTCTAAGTCTTCTGAAATATACATACGAACATCGGATATATCACGAGCTTTGGAGTCTGCGCAACAAGTATTTTCTGGGTTGTATCCTCCTACGTTTAGAAAGTCTACATTTGAAGCTGAATTTTGCGTAAGGGAGCTTTTTAATGAGAATATTTTTCCTAATGATGATCGATGCAAGTGGGTTTTTGTGTTTTTCTAAGAATATTATTGATAAAAAAAGACGATTACGTACATTGTTAAACCAATTTTCGGAATTTGCTTCTAAGACATGGGATCCAATATTAGCTTCTAGAACGTCTAAGAAACTATCGAAATATATCGACGGTAAAATATCAATGAAAGGACCTGTTAATGTATTTGAGTTATATGATATAATATGTACTGCTATAGGAAATGGTATTAAGATTCCTGATGAGCTATATGATGAAGAATTAAGGAAAGATCTTGAATTAGCTTCTATTAGTGAGTGGTTTGATGGTTATCGAGGTATGTTTTATTTATAATAAACTATTAAATTGTAAATTAATCTACTTTTAGATAATTTAGAAATAAGAAAACTTGGAATTGGCTTGTTTTTAGGTGAATTGAGAGATAATTTTGTAGAAAGTAAGAAAGATATGAATGACAAAAGGAGAAAAATTTCTTTATATGGAGCTCATGATACTACATTGGGTTCAATTTTGCAATCTTTGGATTGTTTTGATAGAAGGTAACTAATAATAATAACGCTTGATTTTGTAGTAATATATTAATTAAGGTGGCCTCCATATGCATCACATATTGCGTTTGAGTTATTTAAGAAAGCTCCAAAGTCTTATTTTCGGTCGTTTTTTCAAAATGATGAATGGTATGTACGTTTGCGCTATAATGATATTCCAATGATTATTCCTGAATGTAAGAAAAAGGGTAAACATTTGGATGGTAATGAAAGTTTTTGTACTTTTGAGGCATTTCAGAATATAATATCAAAAATGGTTCCAAAAGATTGGAATAAAGAATGTTCTTTAGAATCATAAAAATTTGTTATTTAATGTTTTAAAATATATAACTTGTATCAAATTGTATAATTTTTATACTTATGATTTCAATTTTTGTTTTATTAGGATTCATAAAATAATTGTATTTTGGAAATATGAATTTTAATTTTCGTTTATTTTTATATATTTCTTATTTTATATATAAAACTATGATAGTTTGTTAGAAATATTATTGTTTTAATTATTTTAGTTGTTTTTTTATTATAATTTGCGGTTTAGAGACTTATTTCAAAATTTAAGTTTATTACTTAGACAATTAGGTGTTATTATTTAATATAAGCTTGGTTTTATGTTTAATTTTCGTATTTGTTAAAAAGGTATTTAATAATCTTTGAGTTGTTTTTAAAGTTATTTTTATATTAAAAAACTGATAAACTGATATTTTTTAAAAAAGATATTTTTTATTATTTTTAAGGATTATAAAATTGATTTAATTAACTTATATATGAAGTATTGAGTACTTAGATAAAATATAAAGATTAATAATAATGAATCTAATATTTTTATATAAATTTTGTTTGAAAATTTTATTTAAATACTTTATCAGTTATTTTTATTTAGTTATATTTTCAGTAGATTGAAGGATTTTACGTATTTTAATTACGATATAATTTAAAAAATTAGGTTACTTTTTTGATTTTTGAGTGATATAAGAATTTTTTAGGTTGACAATTTTTATTTTCTATAATATATAATATTTTTTATATTTTTATTTGCTATTCTTGAAATATAGTTGTTTTAAAATATATAAATTAAGTTATAATATTTTAATTGAAATATAATTTTATGATTTTAGGTTTAAGGTAATATAATTGATGTAATTGATAATTACGATTTAAATTAATTGTTAGATTGAGACATACATAAATATATTTTAGAATTTGACTTGTTTTAAAATATATGAAATTTGATTAAAATATTTACAAGTCTTAAACGAAAACATTGAATATAATAAAAAAAATAAATTAGGATTTGCAATTGGATAATGGTTTTTAGGATTAAAGTTTTATTTTGTTTTATTATTAAACTTAAAAAGATATGGATTTAACTCCTTTTTTTCCTTTAAATGGCAAAGTAGGTGTTGTTCCTTCTTTGACTGGGTCTTATTTTGCTTTTCTTTCTTATCCTTCACGATTAATTATACGTTCTACAATATCATTATCTATTAAACGTGTTATAAATCTCGACCCTGAATTTTGTCAAGGAATTTCATTTATACAATGGTGTTATATTGAAGGAAGTGATAGAATTCTTGCTGCTGATAATAAGAATGTAAAGGCATGGATTTTGGAAGATGATAAATGGGAACTTAGCATTTTTGAAGGGCATGGTATCAAAAATATACAGTGGAGTAAAAATGGGTCTGAGATATTAATATGGACGGATTTTTTATTGAAACTTATTGTATGGTCTTTTTCAAAAAATGGCGGATCTATTATACATTGTCCTAAATTTGTTAGTAAAGGTATGCTCATATTGAATTTTAGAATTTATTATTATTATTTATATTTAGGATATGATTATCGGCCTACATCAACTCATTTTGTTCTCATTACGCGACCTATGTCTCATGATTTTATTACTCTTTTTGATTATAGTTTTACTCCATGGAGACTTTTTAAAGAATGGTGTTTACCTACCGTAGATGCTCAAGGGTGTAGCTGGTCTCAGGATGGGAAATGGCTTGCTGTTTGGGAATCGCCTATGGAGTATAAAATACTTTTATATACATTGAATGGTTATCTTTTGCAGCAATATTCAGCATATGATGTTGGTCTTGGTATAAAAACTGTTCAATGGAGTCCCCCTATAGGACAGTTTGTCGCTATTGGCTCATTCGATGGGAAAGTACGATTTCTTGATAATTTTACATCTAATTCTGTTATCGAGATGACGCATGCAACTAGTATAAGATTTGATGGTGCTACAGTATGGAAGGAGGTTTTAACTTCTTCTCTTCCGAAATGTATATGCTTTGTATTCAATCTTAAATATGTTTTTTAAGTTATTTTAGATGAAGTTATACCTCAGCCTGTCTCTCTTCCTTTTATACGTCCGAATATACAAGATCCAATCTCTTGTCTTGGTGTTGGAATATTGTTATTTAATAATGATGGTAGTTTAGTTGCAACTCGAAATGATAATATGCCTACAGTATTATGGATATGGTCTTTAGTTGATCTTACTCTTATTACTATTTTGATACATTGTAATTCTATAAAGACTGTTGAATGGTGTCCTTTTAATCCATTTTTATTAAGTATTGTTTGTTCTGGTGAATTAAAAGTTAACAACTGTGTTTATTTGTGGAATTATTACTGGTATGAACCAAAAGCTGTTCTGCTACCAAAATATGACTTTAATGTGAAATGGTTGCGTTGGTTGCAAAAACCACAAAATATAGATAATGAAAAGCAAATTGGTATCGTTGTGGGTGATAAAGAAGAATTTGTTATTGGTTATATTATAGAGAATAATATTGAAAGTATCGTTAGTGAAAAAAATAATGAATTTGTAGAGAAGTTAGATGATAGAACTAATCATGAAATTGATATAAAGAATGGTATGAGTTAATGTAACTAAAAGAGTATAATAGAAAGTAGTGGAATAAATTGGATAGGTAATGGTATTGTTTATATGTATTTATTAATTGTATCTTTTTACTGCTTTTTTTGGTTCTGGTTGTATTGTTATGATTAAAATGAGTTAACTAGATTATATATTCTTTTTATTAGAACTATATTAATAATCAATATATTAAAGTATATTTTTTTTAGAATTTTGATATTAGATTATTGTTTTTCTAATAAATATATTATTTTAAAGTATTTTATAAATAATTATTATATTTTTTTTAGAAAAAGCCTTTGATATAAAATAAATTTATAATTGTTTTAAATGCATTTTATTATCGATATTTTTAGTCTTTTGAATATATTTAAATATTTAACATGACCAATCTAGGAAAGCTTTTGGATTTTAGTACACGTCTTCATAAGAAAAATTCTGAACCTGTTAGTCCAGATGCATTTCGTTCGAATTTGGTATGTTTTTCTTTAATTTTATTATATCTAATAAATAGAAAGGATCCAGAATTAATAGATCATATTCTCGGAAAAGATGATGCTGTTTTAATGAAAGATGCTATGGCTATCATTACTGATTCTAGTCAATCATTGGAAAATAGAAAAATTGCGTTCGAAAATCTTGAAATGGTAATTTGTTTTAATATATGAATGTTTTGATTAATATAATAGTTAATAGAAAATATTTACAATGCAAAAAATACTATACTCTTTTTTCCTATTTCCTATGCTGATTCTTTGCAGATCTTGAAAATATGAATATGTGGGAACCGTTAATTCAACAACTTTCTTCTTTAGATCCTATTATTAGAATGCATGCAGCTTCTGTATGTGGTACTGCAGTTCAAAATAATATTGATAGTCAAAAATGCGTTAGTATTAATGCTGGATTTTTTTTAATATTTAATTATATTAGTTTTTGAATAATAGGGGTTTAGAAAAAGTATTGAGTTTATTTAATTTAGATGATAATCCGGATGTTCGTTTAAAATCATTTTATGCAGTAGCAAGTGAGGTTCGAAATAATTATGCTGCTTTGGAAGAATTTTGTAAACTTGATGGTTGGGCCATTATAGTAAAGTATCTTAAAGATGACAATTGTATGTTTCTATTTTTATTCTTTATATTTCACTGATATTCAAGATTCTACTATTCAAAGAAAAATTCTTTTTTTTATATGGTCATTGTTGTTACAAGATATAGGTGTTGAGCTTGTAATAGACTCCATTAAGCTTAATCAGCTACAAAAAGAATTGGTTCATACCATACAAAGAAAAGAAATACAAGAAAATGCTTTTGAAGAAGTTGTTTATATCTTTTTTTATTTTTTCTTACTATTTTAGGCATTAAAGTGTATTTCCTTACTTTATGAAAAATCTCCTTCAATTTTTGATAAAAATGAATTGGTATATATAAGAAATGTTATTAAATCCATAAAAGAAAGAGATGATTTTGAGGCTATTAGTAAAGACGATATAAAGGAAATCAGTATGCAGTTTGGTATTATAGAATAATTATTTTTATAATAATAATCGTTGAATTATTGAAAAAAATATATTATATATTATTGTATTGTTATTTAGATAATAATGATATGTTTATATATATTGTTGAGTTAGATAATTTAATATTCTTTTAATAATATTTTTTTGATGTTTTAATTTGTTCGAAATCAAGATTTTTGGTTTTTCAATATACTATTACTATGCCTCGAATAAGAACATTAAGAGCAAAGCCGCCTCCAGAAGTAATTTATAAAATGTTTTTATTAATATTTTTCTTAAGTTTTTTTAAGGGATTTGATGATATTGAACCAATATTACATGATTTTGCACAAAAAATGAAAGACAGTATATTTAAAAAAGCTTTTTCCATATGAATTTAATAAGTTTAGTTGAAAATGAGCCTTATGAAAATAAAAGTCGACAAGGAGCTTTAGCCCCTATATTCCAGATTCATCATCAAAGATCAAGATATATATATGATTTATATTATAAACGTGAAGCAATATCAAAAGAATTATATGAATGGTTATTGAAACAAGGATATGCTGATGGAAATTTAATAGCAAAGTGGAAGAAAGTGAGTTTTTTGTTTGTAATATAGGTTTTGATTATTTATATTTAAAAGAATGGATATGAGAAACTTTGTTGTTTACGCTGTATTCAAACAAAAGAAATGAACTTTAATAGTACATGTATTTGTAGAGTTCCTAAAGCACATTTGCCTAAGGCAACTATTGTAGAATGTGTTCATTGTGGTAAATAATTAAATTATTAGTAAATAGAATTTAATTAGTTTTTAGGATGTCGAGGATGTGCAAGTTGTGATTAACTCATTTTAAAAATATACATATAATTGTTATTTTTATTTTCAAATAAACAATTTTTACATTTTGGTTATATATTTTTAATTTATTATTTCTAATACACTTATTTTAATAACGTTGATATCTGGTATTATAATTCTAAATGTATATTTTATGCAGCAGTAAAGTCATGATATAAATTCAATTAAAATTATTGAATAAAATATATATTTAAGTTATTGCAATAATATGTTGCATTTAAAAAAATTATATACAAATTATTTTAATAACATCCCAATTTAGCCCAAAAAAATTAATAATAGAAGTTTATAACTTTGCACTTTAAAAAATATTTCTATGAAATTTTTAAATCATTAACTCTAACAAAATAAAATATGCACAACACCAAAAAAATCCTATGGTTAAATGCAATGAGTTTTAAAAATTTTATGCAAGACATTTTTCAAGAGTCGTAGTCCCAGATATTGTAGAGTCCCCGCTTTGTTTAATGCGTTCAATTTCCCGACGAACAATACTAACTATATCAATTCCAAAAACATCAATAACTTCTGAAACACCCTCTACAGCATAAAGTTCTTTACTATTTAATCCGGAAATTAAACTTCTTCTAATTTCTCGACGTCTAGCTTCACGCTTGTCAGGGCTGCCAAAACATGCTTTAGATATGATATCATCTTCTTCAAAAATAAATGTATTATGACTTTGAGAATTACCATTGATACCTCCATTTTCCCAAAGATCTTCTTCGACAAAAGCCTGACTATTTTCTGGAGTTTTTAATAATTTAATAATATGATCTCTATGTTTACGTAAACATGTTGCTGGGCTAGATGTAGATAATGTTGAAGTTGTTTGTACTGTAGGCTCTGGTGTTAATGGAGAATAAGGTATAGAGCTGAACATCGAGTCATGATGCGGAGATATAGGTGGAGAAACAAAATCTAATACTGTTGTTGTAGAACCGTTTTCGAAATGATTTTGTGAAAGCATCTGTTTAGAAAGAGTTGTTTGAGATCGAGGAAGACTATTATTATTATTAAAAATTTTTTAATAGGAAAATTTTTTTACGTATCAAAGCATTCATAATTTTTATTAGAGAGTAAATCTGCTTTTTCTTGTGTTGATGGAGGAGTAGATTCATGATGTTGGTACGATAATGATGATAATATCTCACTAGTATGACACTCTGTTTTGAAGCGCTTTGTAGACTGTGTTTCGTGATTTGACTCAACAATATCTTCAGCAAAAGATCGTTTTTTATCAATATGAGAGACTGTTATAGAGGGCATTAAGGTAGGCCGTTTAGATCCTGATGATATATTTTTACGAGTACGTCCTTTCATAAACTGGAATTCATATCCAGGTTCAATAGTCCAATAATTACCTTTTCCGGGTTCATCTTTAGGTCGTTCTTGTTTGACAAAGGCCTTATTAAGACTAAGATTATGTCGAATACTGTTTTGCCAACCAGAATCATTATTACAATAATATTCGAAGGTTTGAGAAATCCAATTATAAATAGCAGATAATGTTAATCTACGTTGAGGAGCACGTAAAATAGCCATCCCTATTAATGTTGCATAACTATAAGGAGGTTTTTGTCCATCATCTTCAATTAAAGGCATTTCATGTGGTTCAGGAATTACGATATTTTGTATTGGTAATGATGTATTTTTTGAAAATTCATGTAAATCTTGACGTGAAGAAATTTTAGAAGATTTTGTATTCGATATTAAAGCATTATTTGGCCCCATATTTTCTTTATCATTTATTATGCATGCTGAAGAACGCATTGTAAAGTCATTTTTAGAAAATGTTGGTGGCGGTGGGTATTGAGATATTAATGATGATTTTGCAGACGCTTTAGATGGTGCCTTACAATGTTGATTCGTAATATTTTTAATAGGAGGAGGAAGAAGTGATGAGGTGGATTTGAAAGAGATATTTGATTTATATGCTAATGATGAAGGAACATCTTGTCGGAAAATTTTAGATGGTGAAATTGAGTACAAAGGAGTAGGTGTAGAGACGACATATTGTGATTCTGGAGTAGAAATTGATGTCATATAAGATAAATGAGTTGTCATAGTAAACTTTTTTCCAAAATTGATAAATGCTTTATGAAATGTTTGTATAAGTTAAATTCAAAGAAGATATATTTTGTAGAAAGTCCAAAAAAAAGTGTGAAAAAAAATCAAAGAGTAATTAATTGTTTATGTTGAGCTCATGCTCCATATGATAAATTTAAAAAGATAAATGAATTATTGATATTTTTGAAGAAATTTGTGAGTAAAACCTTTTGAAAGAGTGAAATTTAAACTGTTTTAGAAGGATTACCTTCGATGTTAATTTGTGTATTTATTTGAAAATATTATATACTTTGTAAAGGATGACGTGTCTTATTGTAGAATTTAGATTCTATTAGAATGCAATGTTCTGTAAAAAAGATGTCTGTTGAAGTATGGTGGTTGTAATAGAAAAAAAGACTAGATTCGGGTTATACGGGGTATTGTACGGTACTGGAATGTGGCCATCACCCGATTGGACTTACGGGAAATCGAAACTTAGAATTTGGGCTAGGGTTTTCTTTAGGAATGTAAAAAAGGGTTAAGGTATGTGCATATTATATAGATTGAAATTTTTTTGATTTTTCTGAAAGATATAATAATTATAATATGGGCTTGATGAATATTGAAAAAATCTATTGTTTAATAATTATATTTGTTTTATTAAAAAAGGTGAAAAATTAGGATTTAATGTTTTAATAAAGGATGAATTTTGGATATTATATTGAGTTATTTTTTTATTATGATAAATTTATAATGTTAAATGTGTTTAAAAAGTAATATTAATTTTTTCAATTTTTGTATTTGATTGGTTTTCTAAATGTTGAATATTGAAATTAAATATATATATTCTTAAGATTGTGTATATTTTTTAGTGTTTCATTCTATTTTATATATAATAGAGTTAAATATAGAGTTATATTTTCAGATATAAAACAGAATCATGGTTTAAATAATGCTAAATTTTATACATTTTATAATAAATAGTAAATATTTTGTAAGGTTAAGGATAATATTTTTTAAGTTTAGATAGTATGTAAATGTTTATTTTGATTAAAATAAAAAAGTAAATTTTATATTATTTTGTAGGATATTTTGTATAAAAATTAAAATGATTTTTAACTTTGATTTTTACTTTTTTACAATTTATTTTCTAGTAGTATTTATATGAAATATATGATGTTTTTAGGAATTGATTATATAAAATAAAAAATGTATAATTAATAAAATGAGTAAAATATAAAAAGAGTACTTTAAATTAAAAGAACATATCTTGGATTTGGTGAAGATTTGGAAATATATGTGTTAATTTATAAGATTTTTTGGGTATTTTGGGTAAAATATGAATGTGTTATATTGAATACGATGCTAAAAATATAATTAATCTTAAGAATTAAAGTAAAAAATTTCATAATCTTTTAAATTAAATTAGTACGTTAATAAAATAAATGATATTAAGATTAATGTTATGTATTCTAAAGAGTATTTAATTAAGAATAATATTTAATAAATATTTGTTTAAAAGTCAAAAATAATAAAAGATTTAATGTTAATATGAAAATGATAAAAATTCTCATTATTTTATTTGTTAAAGTCTAAAAATAACATATTTTTTGTTTTAAGAAGTGTTGTGTAATGATTGTATTGTTGATTAATATTCTGAATAAAACTTTATATGTTTGTATTTGTATAAAAAAAATGCATATTTATTAAAATATAAATTTAATGTTTAAGGTTTTTTAGGTTTAAAATATGTTAATATTGAAAGGTTACTGAATTTTATTTTCAAGATATAGCAACAAAATGTGTTATTTTAAAGCTGTTTTTGTTTTATAAAAAATATGTTTTAAAAGAGTATTTTTAATTTTTTTAAGAATTTATTTTCATAACAAAAGTTAACACGATCTGATTTTGTCGAAGTTATGAAAAATCTCGATTTAAAATGTTATGGATGATTTAAAAAAAAAATAGATTTTCCAGAAAAGATGAGTATAATCAACTGTGATGCTACAGAGGGGATAAAGAATGCAGAAACTTTGTATTGTCCATATCCTAAGTGTAAATCTGTTATTTTACTTAAAGATATGGGAGTATTAGTGTATAGAAAAAATAAAGTATGTATAAATATATTTAGACTTCAAAAGATTATATATTAGTGTAGATATCTTATAAAAATGATAATGTATCTTCTTCTGATACAATGTCTACATTTTGGACTGTATCGTCACCTTTCGTTTTTGAAAATCTTGGTTTTTCAAAAAATATAGAAGGAAATATAAAATTTCTTGCATGTGCAGACTGTGATAGAGGGCCATTAGGATACTATGACCCGAATGTTTTAAATAATGGAGAAGAGGAGTATCTCCTTGCAACAGATAAAGTCGCATATGGTATACCTAGTAATTTAGATTAAAATTATAAATATAATATATGTAAAAATCATGAATAATAATGATTTAGGATTTCTGAAATGATAAGGAATATATTTAGGTTTAAGTTATAATTTTTAGTAATTTTTCTATATATATAGCTCTTTATAAATTAATTGGATAAATTGATTATTTTGTTGAAAGCTGTTAATTTTAAAGTTTGTAATAGAATTTATTATTTAGTTTTTAATAAAGGTATTTGATTCTATTAAAAGTTCTGGATTTTGAAATATATTTCTAGATAAGGAACAATAATCTTTTGAAAGTATTAGTTTTAGGATAATTTCTTTTGGCTTAATAATGTATTTTTTTTATTATGATAAGAAATGTTGATCTCTATAGAATATTTTTGATAGTTGATATTGTTGAAATTTGTAATTTATAATTATTTTTCTTCTGCCTAAATTTAATATTCAACGTTCTTTTGCTGATGAAACTAGGTTTTTTTATTCTAAAGGTGATGAATAAAAATCAAAAAATATTTTTTAAGTCAATTTTCTGGAGGAAATATTGGTTGAAATAAAAGATTTAGATCCTTTGGTTCTTTAATTTTATATTTTTTGAAAGCTTATATAAATTCTAGCTATTTTGGTTCATATTGATGGAAGATATGTCTTAAAATAATTGTTTTCTTGACTTTTGCAGTACTTTATTGTTATAATTTTTAGATTTTTATGTTATTTTAAAAATGTTTTATAGGAATTGTTTATGGATTTTTGAAAAAAAAAAAATCAATAAGATTAAACATATAATGTTTTTTAGAATGTTTTCTAGAAGTTTTCTGGATGATAATAAACATATAAATTTATTTGAATTTATTATTAAAAAAATGTTTATAAATTTTATTTAATGGATATAGATGTTATTTTAGAAATAAAAATATGATATATTAGTGGTATTTATTAAAAATTATTAAAAATGTTTAAAGAAAATTAATTACTAAATTTTATATATTTTTTTGTTTTTAATCTTTTACTGTTTCTAATAAAAATGATATGTAATAATATTTTTAATGTAAAATTTTGGGGGTTTAAAAAAATATTTATTATTTACATATTTATAAATTTATGAAAATGCATATATTATATGTCAAAGTTATAATTTTTTTATTTAATGCTGAAAAGATTCATTTTTGTAATCTATATGGTGCAGTTATTATTTTTATTTAGAATACAAAAATGTTGACAATTTTACAAATATTTATTTTTTAAATTTCATAAATTGCTCGAATATATAATATATAATAGATGTGAATTTAAAGTATGGACAAATATATAGTTTTTAGTTATTATAGTTATAAAATATTAATTTTTAAATTGTTTATAACTTTTTTTAAATTAGATAATATTTTATCCTATTTTTGCTAATTAATCTTTTATTATAATCCTTTAGTTATTATTTTAGATTATATATTGAAAATTGTTAGTTTATATGCATATATATGTATATATATTAATTTCCGAGGTTTAGTTTAAGTATATTAAAATTTATAAATATCTTAAAAATTATAATTAATATATTTATATTTGAGAATCAAAATACTTGAAGCTATTAGAGTTAGCTTTGGATTATAATATAGATATATAAATAATGATTGTAATCTAGAGTATCTTTTTATAATTATAAAATGTGAATTATAAAATATAATAATTTTCGAAAAAAATTAATTTTTTTCTTTATCTAGATATCGTCCATAAATATTTTTATTTTTATACCAATCATGACTATGGGATTTATAATTACTCCATCTTACGTCATCATTTATATTTTTATCTTGATTAAATTGTCGAGGATGTAATTCATGATATTTTTTTTGAGATTCTTTATAATAAGAGTTTGCGCTTTTTTGGGTATCCTGTTTGATGTTTGATGGCTTATCTTGATTAGTAAGATAGGAAGATTGAGATGTTTGATATATATAAACATTTAATCCTTCTTTTGTTGCTTCTTTATGGCTTAATTTAGACTCTACATCTTTTATTTTTTGATTATTAGTTATACATGGAGATGTCTCCTTATAAGTTTTTCCTGTTAATTTATTTTCTTTTATATTTATAATTTTTTCTTTAGGTGTAGTAGGTATATAATTTTCGTAGATTTTTTCTTCTCTATATTTTCGTCGATTTAACTCATGACTTGAATCATACGTATCAAGCATTGACGGATCAGCCGGTAACGGTGATGTATGAAAGTAACTATGCTTAAGGGCATCTAATGCAGAAAATCGCTTATGAGGATCAAGAGTAAGAAGATGACCTAAAAGAGATACCATATAAGGACCATATCTATTTAAGTAAGAAAACTATTTAATATTTATATACAAATTACTTCGAAAATTTATCTTCAAGAGTGCGAAAATAAGTACGAAAAGCTTTTATACTTTCACTTCCTGGTAAATTTTGCCATCCAGGCATTGTAAAGTCAGTTGGTGACCCACAGATTTGAAATATTATTGCCAATTGATCTATATCAGATTTACCTTGAAGGATAGGCTTTTGTTTATACATTTCTCCAAATACACATCTAATTTTATAAATTAAAAAACTTTTCTTTTATTTAATTTACCCAGCACCCCACATATCTATTGCTGCAGTGTATTTTTTTTCCCCTAAAAGCAATTCGGGTGGCCTATACCATCTAGTAACAACACAATTTGTATACTCTCTTCGATCAACAATAGAGTTATCTTTGTTAGGAAAAGGTTCTTCAAAAGTTCTTGCTAGTCCAAAATCTGCTATTTTTAGTATGCCTTTGTTGTTGATGAGCAAATTTGCAGCTATTTACAATTAATTTGATATCTAAAAATAATGGTAATGGACCTTTCATATCTCTATGCATAATATTATTCTAAAATATTAGTAAACAAAATGATGCATTTTAACTAACTTGATGAAGATAGTTTATCCCTTCAAAAAGTTGTTTCATGTAACATTTTATTTGAGCTTCTGAAAAGTTAACTTTTGGGTTTTCTAATAATCCTGATAGATCATGATCCATATATGGTGTAACCATATAAATAGATCCATGTTTTCTTTCTTTGCGGTCTCCTAGTTTTTATTTAATATATATACTTATTTAATCAGAAATGAAATATTTACCTCTGTCGACAATTATATCCATAAGAGGTATAATATTAATATGTGAAAGCATTTTTAATATTCTTATTTCTCGTAATGCAGTTATTGGAAACTAAATTGTTTGGAGAAATACATATTAATATATCTAGACACATACTCCTTCTTTTTCGTTGTGCATTAGAATTCGCTTCATAGCAACTAAATCATGAGTACTTTTTTTTCTACCTTTATGAACTTCTCTTTAATGTTTTAGAAAGATGTTGTTTCAAAAGATTTTCTGTTACCCAAAAGTTCCTTCTCCTAACTTTTCGAGTCTTTCATAATCTCTGGGTTTACTACATCCTTCAAATCTTCTTGATTTATAATCCATAGTGTTAATTTTATTATCTTTTTAAATCATTTTAAGAATAAACATAAAACATATTAATAGTTTAAATTTCTTTATAATAATTTAATTGGCATTTCGGTGTAGTATGTTTAATATTATTTATGATGTCTAAAAATTTTTAAATTTTCTTGATTTTAAACATGTTCGATTGTTTTAAAAATAATTTAAAAATATGTACTATATAACAAAACATGATATTTTTGTGTAATTTATGAATTAATTATATTGATTATTTACATTTAAAAAATATTAAATGAGTCAGCTTGAAAAAAAAACTAAATAGCTATGAAATTGTACATCCTCTACTTTCACCTGGTTGGCTTGGATTTGTTAGTTTTTCAACTTCTACTATGATAAGTTCGAATATCTTGGCTATGAATGATGTAAGAATATGCCAATAATAACAAAATAATAAAATATTTTTACTAACCAACGTTTTCATTATGACGTGCAGATGCTTCGGTCCACGAACATCCCCAGCGTAATGCAAGACTTTTACCATCTTCTGGAGTAACCTGTCTATTTTTTCTAAGGAATATTATTAATAATGTAATTTGAAGAACCTTTGGATATGAAGATCGTTTTTGTTCCCAACAACCACAATTGGTACCCATTCAGTCCCCTAAACATTGTGATTATAGTTATTTGGCTTATTCTAGTTTGGTGTTACAGTATGATCAAGTATTTTGTCACGAATTATTTTAATCATTTGAAAAGAAGATTTAGATGCAATTGAATATACTAAAATATATCCATGCATTCCAATAAAATGCTTAGAATTAAGGATACTATACTCATCCTAAATTAATAAGTGCAATGAACAAAAATGCCCTTTATTTTATACTTGGCCTGCTGTGTCTATAATCTCTGTAATATACTCTTGACCTCTAAATTTTATAGTTTTAGTGAACGTATTCTCAATAGTTGGGTAATAGCTTTCGACTTAAAAATATTAGTAAATAGATATTTTCAAAGGAAATAAAATGCCGAATTGCTTTTTTTAAATTAATATCATTTAATAGAGTATTATGATTATGTTACCCCTTCTACAAATTGAATTGTAAGAGATGATTTTCCTAAAATATTATTACTGATTAAAAATAGAAAAAAAAGCAAACCAACTGATCTAGATCCTAACACTGCTACTTTTCTGGATTTAGGTGGAATCATTTTAGAAAATATTTTTAATTTTATTTTAGAAAAACTTCGGAGAAAATATTTTAAATATATAAAGAAATAAAATATAAAAATACTATATGTATGCATATTTTTATATGAAAATATTATATCTTACATACTTTAACATATATATATATAAAGACACAAATATATTTATGAATATAGAAGGATATGGTATTCGGTTTTTATAACGATAATTTGTAAATGAATATTATTCACGCATAATTAATTTTGATTCAAGGTCATACAAAATTTCTGATATTCTTTGTATTTCATCTGCTACTCCAGATGGTTTTATTCCAAAAGTCCCTGCCGCTTCTTCTATTTTCATGTTAAATTGTGCAAATTCTTGTAGGAATTTAATGATAATATTGTATGAATTATTAGGTAATTTTTTTCGAATATATTTTGATAAAAAATTATCTTCAGAATTGCTGTTTTTTAGGGATAAATGTGTTAACAATATTGCTAAATATCCTGTAGCAACATTATTTTCTGTCTATAGTACATATTAATTAATTAAAATAGCAATTTAAGAAACTAACATTATAAGAATAATCTTTCCATTCATTAAATGTATTTATTAATTGATCAACAGTAACTAACCCTAAGAGTGTATTTTTTGTATCTATTTTTAATGAATATATACATGTGTATATGTAGAATATACCATATTGTTTTAAAATATGATTAATTTTTGATCCTTTTTCTATTATATTGATTAGAAGCCCTAGAGTTAACAAAGTATTGTCTGAAGATTGGTTTGGATCTGAAAAATCTTTTCTTGATATTATGGTATCAATTAGGATTTGTATAAATTTTGAATGAGCCACTTCATCACAAATAGAGGGATTGTTATTAGTAAGATTGATTAATAGACGAAGAGATGATTGAAAAATGCGTGACTCTATACAGTTTAAAATATATTTTAATGTTATTAATACTTACTATATTTTTTTTCAGAGTTATTAAATAAGTCGCTAATAAGTAATGTAATAATAATTGATATTTTTTTTATATGAATATCTGAATTCATGACAAGACTATAATGTTCTATTGAATTTATAATAATCTCTATAATATAAATTTGTTCATTCTAATATTTTATTAGTTTTATAAATTAAAAGAAAATAAATATATAATACTATGTTTTTTTTACATATTTTATCAATAATATCATAAAAAACCGAAATACAGTCAAAAGATGCCATTTTCTCAAGGTGATTTGATGTTTTCCATGTTGATAAAAAAGTAATACTTTTGATTGCATTAATAGAAAAAAAGTAACATGATGACTAAGAAAAGGTTATTATAGTGAATATGGGATTAAAAGAAACCTCTATATTATAGTCAATGTGTAGATTACTAGATTTTACTGTTTCCACTAAATCGATAAGCTATTATTTTGTCAAAATATGATCATATGTAATTAAATGATATACTGAATCATGTATGTATTTACACGTTTTATGGTTTTCTGATTTATATAACTCGATTATGTCTTTATCATATGAAAGTCCTAAAAAGATAATTTCAAATGTAATATCATCTGATATAAGAGCATATGCGTATTTTTTATCCTGGAAAATAAGACATAGTATAAATAAAGTGCAATATAGTATAATCTAAATGAAATAAGTTTCTTATTTTTTGAGTAACTTAATACTATATTTGTATCTTTTTCAAAATTTTCAAGAAGTTGATGATAAAAATTTCCAGATTTAAAATTTCTCGAGAATTCCGTTTCATTCATCTTTTTTGCTAGTTCTATATAACTAATGAAGTCAGTTGAATTGGTATTTATGATTTAATAAAAAAAACCATGATTGTCTGAGTTTCAATGTATTGCATTTATTTAACCCATCTATTAAATATTGTATTTCGTCAAGATATTTTTTATTAATTCCTGAATTTCGAAGTTCATGAATGTTTTTTATATTTAAGTTATATGTTTCAGAATTTTGTGAATTTAGTTTATTATTTAAATGGTTTTTTAAATCAATACTATATGAAGAGAAAATGTTTTCCATATCATCTACTGGTTCTGCAATGAAACTTCTTTGTTTTGCATATGTATTTTGAATATCTGATGTATTTACTAAGTCATTATATATATATATGTTTTGGTGTATCTTCAATGGTTTAGAATCTTCATTCATTGATAAAGGACTAGATAGTTTGATAGACACTGCTTTTGATTTAGGTGTCTCTACGCACGATGGAGACTTTAGTTTGTCACGTTCTAATGAATCTATAATTCTTTGTTTACTTCTTGGTGTTCTTAAAGGAGAGTTATCAAAATCATCAAGAAAATTCCATGTATTATTTTTATGAGATTGATCTTTTGAAAAATCTAATACATTTTTACTATTTTTGTTTGGAGTTTTTGGTGATTCTATTAATATATTATTATTTGGAGATTTTTTTAGTTCGAAGGATGATTGTGTATATTTTGTATTAAAGGAAATTTTTTGATTTAAGTTTCCTGACAAATATTGTTTTTTTGTATTTAAATGATGTTTATTTTTGTTATTAATGGATTGCTTTGAATTCTTAGGTAAAATATCTTTTATTAATGTTAAGTTTTTTGATTTAAGATTTTTTATTTTATCTCCATTTCTATTTTTTATGTTTAAATTCTGTAGCTTAGATTCAGAAAATGACTTATTTTCGTTTTTCTTCTGGTTAATATGTTTTTTCAATGATGATGCTTTCTGTAATTGAGTTTCAAGTTTTTTGGAATTTAAATCGTTTGAATTATTACTATAATATAGATCATTTTCGTTAAATTCCATGTTACTTGTTGTAATTTTGAGTGTTTGATATTTATTTGTTAATTTTTATTGTTAATATAATTATTGTTAAATTGAAAAAAAAAAAATGTTTATTAGTAAAATCGATTCATTTTTGATGTCATTTTTTATTGAATATTAAAGAATATAGCTGCTCTTTCAATAATAATAATAATATTGAATTATTGAAATCATATTATAATTTGTTTTAGTATAAATATTTTAAAATGTATAAAAAATATTTATATTATATTTTTTTGAAGGCTTGCTTATAAATATTGAGCATTTCTTAATAAATATATTTAGTGTATTGTTTTCATTAAAAAAATATTATTAAATTTGTTTTAATGTTTGTAAAAAACCTATATAGTTACATGCTATGAAAAAAAATGTTAATATATGCAATAAAAAGGGTATAATATTATATTTTTGGAAGTAATGTGATTTTATGTTAACTTTAATTAAGTAGAAATAACGATCTAGGTCATTTTTATAATTTACTAAAATATATAATTCTATCACATTCTGTAATTTTATAATATATGTAAAAAACATTATGAACATATTCGATTTTTATTTAAAAATGTTTGTAATTTATGAAAGTTTTGTAATTTATGAAAGTTTGTTTTTTGTAAATATTATTGTAATATTTATAATTTGAATTTTAAATATCATATCTTAATTGAATTACATATTTTATAGTTTAAATTTCTAATAATCACTATCGTATTTTGAAAATAATTTTAATATAGATAATTAAAAACAATATTTTAATAATGTAAGATTTGAATCAATTGACGTATATAATCTATCTTTTTTGAATATTCATGCTTTAGAAATGTTTACAAAACAAGTACAAAATTTCCAGTAAAATAAGTATGATATCTATATAAGGTATATTTATAATTTGTTTACTTTTGAAATAAATATGTATATATTGAAATGATTTTTTAATTAAATATTATAAATTTTCACTGTTATAGTCATTATCATTAGAAGCTAAATCCTTTTTTAAATTTTTATTTGTGTGATTTGCAACTGCATCACATGCGTCAATCCAGTCACTATAATAATAAATATATTGTTTTTATAATACATAAGTTAATACCTATAAATATCTACTGGTGCTGATAAATCTGTCGATATTAATTAAAAGTAAAGAAATATGAAATATAGTACTATGTATGATGCTTTGATGCATTTGTCCGCATACTTTGCATATCAGTGTACCTATTTGATTCGTTTTATCCCTGTATTCCTGTTTACACCAATAGTTGTAAGGTTATCGCTTACATATGACAAACAATACTTTTTTCATGATTGCAAAAAAGACCTTAATATATTTAATATTTTCTTAAAATTAAGTGATTTTTTACAATTGAATGTTTTATCTAAAGGTGCTCTTGGTTTAGGTTTTGGTTTTTTCGTTTTTGTTTTGCGTTTTGTCTAATGAAGTTAATGCAAATACTTCCAGTTACTGAAAAATATAAAACCATTATTATGAATAATTTTTTTTTATTAATAACTTGTTAATTTATTTAATTAGAACGTATATAAAATTTTACGAATATTCAAATGAATAAACCCTAATAAGTAATAATCGTGATTTGAATAATTATATATGTTAATTTTGTTTTTTCAAGGGAAGTAATGAATATATCTTTAAAAAAAATAATAAATAATTATGATTTTTTTGTTGATATGATATTTAGTATATTTTACATGTTGGTAAAATTAATAATTTTTATTTAAAAGCTGATTCATGTAAAAGCTAGTATATGATTAAATGATATTATTAGTATTAATAAGAAATAATAATTGGATAAAACATATAGATTTTTTGTTTTATTTTGATAAGTTATAATAAATATATATTCTTTGATAATACTTTATGTTTTTATTTTTGGATTTTTTGGATTTTGCATATGGATAATTTGGCATTATTATATAAATTATAAAAAAATGTATATATATGATTAAAGTTATAAATTGAATAAATTATATAAAATTTTTAATATTATTAAGATAAAGTATTATACAGTATATACTGCAACTAAAACAATTATATGGTTTTTTAACATATATTGAAAAAACAAGTTTTATCAATGTATAAAGAAAATAATGATTTGAATTGTTTGAATAAATTTATAAATTTTTATATTATTTTATTTATTTATATAAAATATATTAAATATAAAGCTAATATATATATGTTGTATTTTTTAGAAAAAAAATGAGTTTTATTATTTTTTTTGAGATTTTCGAATCAATCCTTTTTTTCTTTTGATTCTACACCATAATCCCACACGATCGTCTGTAATAAACTGCCATAATACATAAATCCAACTAGTATGGTATGGAAGGTTTCTATAGAATTCATTTGCAATGCTATTTAATTTTGGTAATCGTGTCCAAGGGATAAATGGGAAATCTTTAAATAATGTTAAAATGATAATTTTGAACTTTTAAATTACCATGATGTTCATTATGATAACCGACATTATATGTTAAAACATTTAAAATTCCATAATATGAGAATGTATCAATTGCATCATTTTTATCTTTAACAAGAGAAAAATGTTCTGCAATAAAATGTCCTGCACATGGATGAAGTGATCCAGCTAAAAATGAAGAAAGAATAAGATAAAAAAAAGCACCTGTACCTACTAAACGTATTAAAATAATATTAAATAACAATTGAAATAATAAATTAATAATATGTAAAAATGTAAATGGTAATCTTTTTATAAATACTGGTCTAATTGCATAAAAAAATAATTGAAATGTACTATAAAATATAATTAGTAAATGGATTAATATTTCAGAGATATTGTAACCAGAAAAATGCTTTTCCAAGAACATTATTAAGAAGTACTGCTTCTAATTTTGTAGGAAGATCTGCATCTGTTCCATCTTCTCCTAAATATTTGTGATGCAGAAGATGATATGGCTATAATAAATTAGAAATTAATAAAATATATAAATATAATACCTTGAATGATGCACTATATGGAACTCCAATAGGTAAGTTTGCAAAAATGGAGAAATATTGGTTTAATTTAGGTTGTTTGAATACAAGGTTATGTGACAATTCATGTATTGCAAGAAATATATTTTGATTTGCAGTTGCACCAAAAATGTATGCATAGAGAAAAAATTTAATTGATAACCATTTTTCATTGCGAAGTAAATAAGCTGATACTAATTGAAATATAACCACAAAAAATATTATATATTTTGTAAGTGGTTCATGGCCACAAAGTTTTATAACCTTGGAGAATAAATATTAAAATATTGAATTGTAAAAGAATACTTCTGGATGAGTTTTTATTATTTCATGGCGTCTAGTTTTATGTGGTTCTTCTTGATATGTCCATAAGAAGTCATTTAAAACTGGTTTTTTATCTATTTCTTTAATGGTCATATTATTTTTTATAAAAATTTTAAGATATGTTTTTGTATTTTATAAGTTAGAAATATCGATATTTTTTAAATGCATAAATATTTATTAAAAAATATATAATATATAATGTTAATATGATAATTTATATTATCATATAAATTGATTATATAATATATATAATTATGTTATTATAATATAATTAACGATTTGTGATTATATATAGTTATATATGTAAATATTCATATAAATATTTTTATAAACATTTTGTTTTATAAAATTTATATTAGAATTTAAAAATAGTAGAAATATATATATTCATATATATTAGATCATATGCCTTTATATTATAATATGTATTTAAATATTAAACAGTAAAATAAAACAAATAAAACAAAAAATAATCAAGTTTAATTATTCAATATATTTATAACACTCTAAAAATGTTATTGAATATAAATGAGTATAAATAATTCTTAATTACTTTTGTTAAATTTAATTATATATAATTATATATAATGAAGTGTAACTATAATTAATATATTATCATTAACATATTATTAACATATTATAATATTTAATCTCACAATATAAATTTAAATTATGACAAAAATATATATTATTTAAATTATATATTTTTGTTATAATTTATTACTAAAATTTTAAACGGTTTTATTTTATATGAATATGTACTTTTAAAAAAATTAAAAAATTAAAAATTTATAAAAATTATAATCAATTCATTTGGACCATAACATATTAATACTTTTATATAATTATATATATAATTATAATCATAATAATCATAAATATTTTTAACACATCATTTTATTAAAAAACATTTAAATTTATATAAGAATTTAGATAACAAATACAATTATATGTTTATAACATTCGTATAATACTTGATTTTATTCTTTCAATTTTAACATATATAATCACATTTATCGTAAAATTTTCATTATTATCATTATATTAATTTAAATTAGTGTTCATTTATATTTTTTCAGTATTTATCTATTATATATTAATAACTAATAATTAATTTATAATATTAGTATTATCATTTAGTAATAATTTAAAATTCGTTACGATATCTTACATGATACTATTATCACATTTATTATATGTATAAATTATAAATATAAATTACATATATAATTGTCATTGTTTTCTAAAAAACAATAATTATATCTTAAACATTTTATAATATTATAAATATATCAATTTTTTATGAACTTTAAACGGTTAGAATCTAATTATACGAAAAAAAAAATAAAATAATACATTTGTCATAACTTAGATACTATACAAAAAAATCAAACATATATATATATTTAAATTACATTATTAAATAAAATTTCACATTTTAACATCAAATTGAATACTTAATTATTAATAATAATATATTAATAATATTAAAAAACGTTAACAAAAACGGTTAAAAAATAATTGTATAAAAATATATAAAATATATTATATAAAAACATCTAAAAAACAATATTTTACATTTATATTATAATTTATCATTATCATACTATAAAGACAAATTAAACAAAAAAATTCATTAATATAAATATAAATATCAATAACATCGTTAAAAAGTATACTACAAATCTCGTTATATATAATATTATTGTTCAAATAATAACAAAAAACATGTAAAATTTATTATCAAAAACATATAAAAACATGTATTCAAAATTCAAAAAACAAGGGTTTAGGTCAAAGGAATTTTCAATAGTTTTTTCGATGAAAATTAAATCAATCATATTTTATCATAAAAACTAATATTAATATAAAGATGTCGGAGAATACAGAGGTTTTTTATTTTATTTCGAAAAGAAACCATTTAAGTTATTACAGCATGATTTTTCTAATACAGATGCGGGTGGCTCATTAACATTCCCTGTTCAATGTTCAGCCCTTCGAAAAAATGGACATGTTGTAATCAAAGGGCGTCCATGTAAAGTATTTATAGAAAAGTTATCATATAGGACATCTCTATTCGCTAACTATTCAAGATTGTAGATATGAGCACATCAAAAACAGGTAAACATGGACATGCAAAAGTACATTTAGTAGGAATCGATGTATTTTTATAAAACTTATTATAAATTACAAAATATTTAATGCATTATAGATTTTTACTGGAAAAAAACTAGAAGACCTTTCACCATCTACCCATAATATGGATGTTCCTAATATTACTCGTACCGATTATCAACTAGTTAGCGTTTATTAACATATTATTTATTTTAATATTATCAGATTAATATTGATGACGGATTTCTTAACTTGATAACATCAGATGGATCTACTAAGGACGATATTCGGCTTCCAGAAGGAGAATTAGGAGAAAAAATTCTTTTAGAATTTGATGAAGGTAAAGATTTAGTCATTACAGTTGTTTCAGCTATGGGGGAGGAAGTTGCTTTAGGTGTAAAAGAAGCACCTAAATAATTTTTTTTGTTATGCATATAAAATTAAAATAAAATTTCATTTTTTTTTTTTTAAAAATATTACAAATTCAAGCATTTTTTTTCTATTTCTAATTAAATTTACATTTCAATAATCCCAATTATTATCTGAAATAAAATATTATTTATATTATCTTTTTATAAGATTAAAACACCAAAAAATTATAAAATCTCATGAATTCTTATCAATTTGATAAAAATTTAAGATGTGGAGTAGATAACTGTGTTTCTACGCAATATTATGTAGATGCAGGACTAACATATTGCATTAATGGACATCTTATTGAAGTAAAACTAGTAATTTTATATTTTTATACTTTTTTCTTTAGGGAATTGTTGAAATAGATAACACAAATGATTTAACCAGAAGTCAACAATCAAGAAGAAGGAAAATCACATCATCTGGACAACATAAAAAGAAGTCTAGAGGTATAACCGTATATATATATATTCTACTGTCTTTTAAAAACATAGTTCTTTACGGAAATGAAGGAAAAATTATATTTTTGCGTAGTTTTCAACAAATTTTAAGAACTCAAAGCTGGTATCTAATTCACACACATGGAATAACAAACGAACTTGAGCATGGTATTCTTATTATATTCATAATATAAATATAAAATATTTAGCCGTTCGAAATATATGGAAACATTACTTAATATTATTATTATCTAACAAACTGTTCTACAAAAATGCAAAAAATATAAATAAATATCAAAACGTTAGTTAATGATTCAGTATATATATATATACTATCACATTTCTAATATATAAAGAAGTCAATCATAGGAAATCCAAATAACATTATACCTTATAAAGTAATATTACAATTATATATATTTAATGAAATCTTAAAAGTTTAGACAAAAAAACTCCCTAAACTAATAGATACTATTGGAATATGCTATCTTGGACTATTAAATATTAGATCAAGTATTACTATATCAGATCTTTGCAAGTAAAATATTATTTCAATTTTTTCAATAAAAATTAATCGCACTAGTTTAATGAAATCAGGAAAAATCCCATATATGAAAGCATTATTTATAATACCAACACAAGTTCGTAAATCTATGGAACCACAGTATCAGATTGCTTTATCTCCAACGGTAATATATATATATATATATATATTTAGTAATTTTCTCAGATATTTCCATCATATGAAAAAGTATTAAACGTGACATATTCAATCGTTTCTGCGTTTTATGATTCATATAAAATAATTTTCCCACCTTTAAATGTATATCCTATATTGGTATCATATATTCAAAATTTATGCCTTCCATGTAAATTACACACATTTTATTTTTTATACTAAAACTTTTATCAGTAGAACTTATATTACCAACACTAAAACTTGCATATCAATTAAATATTACATTTACCAATAAACCATTAAAAGAACCCAACTCGAATGTCATGCCAGAAGTTATTTTATTAGCTATACTACTAATTTCTACAAGAATTTATTTCGAAATAGACCATTATGACATGGAAAATTTAAAAAATTATAATCATAACAATCTTATGGATTGGGATATATGGATGACTACAATGAAATTATTAAATTATAATAAACTAACACATTTTAATGGCACCAAAACTAATATCAAAAAAATAACTCAAATACCTACAAAAGAATTAGATAAATATCTAGATTATTTAAATATACAATTATTTAATAAATCCGATATAACAGGTATTTATAACTTATATATAGCATTTTTAATTTTCACTAGTCCCTCAAGGAATTTTAAATATATTTCCTTTAGACGTCCCAAAAGAAATAAATAATTCTTTTAATTCAGCACTTGATTTTTATGCATCATTGAAACTATTATACACAACGTATTCCTGCATATTAGAATCCACCCTTAAAAATAAAAAACATATTTATAAAGTCTTTTCTCCTACCGAAAATTTACCAGACATTACTAAAACATTAATTTCAAAAGGAGCAGAAATGATTGGAATTAGTGAATCCAAACTACGAAAAATTATCTTAAATCTAGAAAAACAATGCATTAATTTAAATGATATTCTTAAGTAAAAGTTTATATAATACAAATATAATTATAAGTATACACAGGATATTCTATATATCCCAAAATTATATTATTTACAATATCAGCATTTTTTTTCAAAATAAGCTTTACATCTTTCAAGAGATTCTAAAGTTTCAACACACATCTTTATTTTTGAAACTAAATATAGCTCCAATTCAATATTTGAAGAATCAATTATCGCACAACATCTTTTTAAAGAAGAAAATACATTGTTGGAAGCACATTCTAATATCTGCAAAGATTCAGATAATTCAGAATTTTTCATACAACGAAAAGACACATCATTTTTCTCATAAATATTATTTTCATTTTTTTCTAAACATTCATTAACTGGTCTCAATTTTTGATTTAACTGTTTATTATTGCAATGTTCTTGCTCTGCTACACATAATACACATTCTTTTAAAAGCTTATTCTGAGGGGAACGCAAAAGAGGTATCTAAAAATATAAATATAAAAAAAACGTTAAATATATCCTTACAAAATGAATATTACAACAATCATCTAATAAAGCCCATCCTAAAAGAAGTTTAGAACTTAATAATCTAGAAACATCATCAGTAGAATTTCTTTTAATTCCAGAATTTTCTAAAAAATATTAAACAAAATATATACAAGTATAATTTTACTACCTTTAGTATAAAAGTTCATTTTTTTATATTTTTTTAAAATCGACAAATTTTAAAAATTATTAAATCATATTAATTTAATATTACATATTATAAATAACAAAATTAACATTAAATATCCTTTTCACAATTAAAATATTATAGATATAATTTCATCAAAGATAATATATATATTTGTAATTATATTATATTACTATCATATAAAATATTAATTATAGCAAAAATATTAATAAAATAGAACTCATGGAAAATATAAAAACATATACTAAAATATTATCATTTTAATTACAAACGTCATAAAAAAAATAAAATACAATATAAAAAAACTTAAAAATTAAATTATAATTTTAATAAAAAAAACATACAATTTGCATAAAAATGCCCATAAAATCATAAAAAAATAACTTAAGCAAAAATTACAATAAACTTTTACTAGCAAGTTTATCATACAAAACACAAATCAAACATTTTAACAATAATTAAATTCATAGATTATAAAAATTTCAATCTCAAAAATAACACTTTTTATGATTAAAAACTTTTTTTAAAAAAATAATATAAAGTAAATTGTTATATTCACTACTATCAAAACTATTAATTATAAATATAAGTTACTAAAAACATTTAAAAATAAGTTCTTTAAAATACTGATATCAATTTATATGATTTAAATTATAAATTACTCTATTTTTCTTATATCACAAATCCATTCAAAAACAAACATTCAAGAACAAAATATAAAAACTCATATATATAGGTCCATTTACTAAAAACTATAAATCTATTATTTTGTTTTTAATCATACTCTATTTTTAATAAATTTGAATTATATATGATTAATTTCTAGAATATAAATTTTAAAATAAAATACATTAAAAAAACCAATAAAAATAATATATAAAATTTTAAAAATCTAATAATTCAAATCCAAAATAATCATTTATTTCATAAAAATATCCATATGTATTATACAACATAAACAATATTAAAAATTGTCTTACAACAATAATATTAAAACATTATACTTTTTTAAACGATAATAATAATTCATTAATACTAGATTAATATTATCAAATATAATACTTTACAGATATGTTTGACATAATATCATTACTTTTTTCAAGTATTTATTTGCTTCTTTATTAATTTTGTTTATTTCATACTATGCATCTTTAATTTAGATTTTTGAACCAAAATATATAACAAAAAGAATCTTTTGTAATGGAATATATTGAATTTATTATCATGTTTATATAAATGCAATCTCAATAATACATTTCTTTAGAATTAAGTCTGAAATTTTATATTAATTTATGATCATTATTATAACTTAAATACTACGTTACTTTTTATAATTTCAAAAATTATTTATAAAAATCATTAAATTCTATATTCTATAAAATAAATAGAAATGGTAACTTTTAGTATTTTTTAAAGACATAAAATAATGCTACAGGTTATACTTGCAGCTTCAATATGCACTAGAGGCGGCAAAGGTAATAGATTTTTTAACTTTTTAAAATGTCATTAAAAATAAAAACAAGCTATTCTTTCCCGTCAATTCAGAGATATTTCAAAAGCAAGAATAGAAGGACTATTAGCAGCATTTTCTCAACTAACAAGTACTGAAGCACACCATACTACTATTGAAACTGATTATATACGTTATGTCTATCAACCTTTAGAAGAACTTTATATGATTCTTATTACTAATCTTCATTCTAATATTTTGCATGATATAAACACTCTTCATCTTTTTACTCAAACAGTAGTAAATATATGTCGTTCTTATGATGAACAAGAAATTTTACGTAATGCATTTGAGTTACTTAATGCTTTTGACGAAATAACATCATTTGGCTACCAAGAAAATCTTTCTTTTGCTCAAATAAAAAGTTTCCTTGAAATGGATAGCCATGAAGAAAAAATTCAAGAAATAATTGCTAAAAATAAAGAATTAGAAGCAGGTGAAGAACGCAAAAGAAGAGTAAAACAATTCGAGCTACAAAGAAAAGAATCATCAAAAAAAGGATTTAGTAACTTTCAATTGCTTTCTAATAATCAGTATCAATTGACTTCTTATTCATCGTATAATACCGATTCTGTCCGTAATGTAGAAGATAACCAAAATCAAATAAACAAGTAAATATTTTTGTTATCATAGTTATATATTTAATTTTATTAGACCATCTACATTAAAAGGCAAAGGAATGCATTTAGGAAAAAAGCCTAGACAGTTTGATCTTTACGAAACTACTAAACATAAAGACTTAAAAGAACATATATTCATAGATGTTGCTGCAAAAAACAATGTTAACAATACTATATTCACAGAAGATATTCAAATTAAAATGTACGAGGATATTTATATTGTAAAAACAAGAGATAATATAATTGAAAATTTAGAAATTAAAGGAGATCTTCATTTACATGTATTACAGCAAAATGTTGCATTCTTCCGTCTTTTTCTCTGTGATGATGAAAATAAAGAAATTGAATACAAAATACATCCTAACGTTAATAAATCACAATTTTTATCAGATAAAATAATTGCTCATCGTGATTCAACAAAACCATTTCCAGTTAATACATCTCTTGGTGTATTAAAATGGAGGATAAAAAAAAATAAAGAAATCAACTTACCATTTAATGGTTACTAATTCCAAATTCTTATAGTATATTAATATCATTAGTTAACATCCAATCATATAACAGCAACGGATATATAAATATATATGTAGAATATGAACTCACATCAAACAATTATGAACTGGAAAACGTGATAATATTTATTCCATTTCAGTAAAAACTTAGTATTTACTAAATATTACATTAACTTAATACCAGATCTTATTCTGCTATTCAAGAGACCAGTGAAGGAATTACTGTAAACCACGAAAAGAAATTTTTAGAATGGCAAGTTTCAGAAATAAATTATCTTAATAAATCAGACAGTAAAAACTTCACAATAAAAAGTGATAATATTGAATCTTGTTTCCCAATATCTGTTAATTTTAGCATGAAAACACTTATATTTAATATCGATGTAAAAAACATTTTTGTTATAATAATTTTTAATAAGATCAGGTTGTTAAAGCTGAATTAGTAAATACAGGAAAGACGCTTTCTTTCTCTAAATCAATAGCAGTATCAGGGAAAATCCTTATTAAATAAGTTTCTTAAAAATACATATATTTATTATCAAAAATTAAATGGATTTTTTCTTCAATTAAAAATAATAATTAAAATTTAAAACTTTATATTTTTTCTATGTTATTTATGTCTTAATTATATAATATTTTTTAAATTATTCCAAAACATCATTTTTAAGAAATAATATTTGGTTTGAATTTGAGATTAAAAAAATTCATAATCTTCAAATATATATTATATATTAAATATTTTTGTCAATTATTTAATTATTTAAAACATAATGATAAACATATGTATATTTAAATTTTATTCAATACAAGTCAAAATTCAACTATAAATTTATATACTGTTAAATAATCATTTTATAAATTGTTTTTTTTTTTTTTGAATACAAATACATATAAAAATAATTAAAATCCATAAAAACAAAAAAGAGAATCAAAATAATTATAAATAAATAACTCATTTTTTTTTTAAAAATTATAAAATATCCATAAAATATAAATAAAAGCATACTACCAAAACATATAGTACTAAATTATCTAATTCTTATTTTCAAACACTAGAAAAATCTACAAATAAACATATCTAATGAATAAATATTATTCTATAAACATTTTAATAAAAACGAAGCTCAACATTATTCCAATTATTACAATCAACTCCCATAAAAAATAACCAAATAACATAAAATAATCTCAATAAAACAACCACAAACAAGAATAAAAAATATGCATATAAAATAATATTACATCTCAATAAACCTTAAAATCATTTTTAATTGGTATCATGTATTAGTCACTTCTAAAAAATAAATTAAATAACAACAATAAATATTAAGTGTTGTTCTGGTCAAATATACTAACAACATTTTCATTATTTCCTCTCATTAAACTCGAAGAATCTGAAGGAATAAAATTTCTATTTAAAAAACACTGTTGCCCCTGATAGAAAAATGATATAGAATCTTGATATGCAGGTGGTGTAAGAAGAGCAGACTGATAAGCTGGAGGAGGTGCCAATGTCCCTACCATTGGTGCCAATCCCCATTTTTTTACATTAGCTTCAATGAAAACAAACCCATATTGACCGAAATTCACATGAATTTGACATGGACCATTTGCACCAACAGTAGGGAACAAATTACTTTTCAAGAGCTGTGCAGCATCTTCTAATCTTTTTCCGTTTCTTGTAAAAAAAACAGTGCCAGTCCGTGGTTTATATCCAACACCAACAACATCACCTTGTCTAAATCCAGGTCCATAAGATTTACCAGAAAATGGTTGATTATTCCTCTTTGAACCATCAGAAATATAACCAACAGAATGTTTATTCCATCCTAGAACTAATTTAGCATTAAATAAGCTAAAAAATAACAAACCAGGTAATCGATATAGAGGATAAGGTTTTGTCGTCAAACCAATAGAAACAGTACTATAATCAGGAAAATCATGCATTTTTGCTTCCCAATAATATATTTCATTTGTTTTTGGAATAGGCAAATTCGTTTGAACACTACATTCACTATCATAAAATGTTATTTCCGTCCTAGCCTCAACAAAACAATTCATGTTTTCAAAAAAAGCCTCAAATTCCCAAGCAGAAACACCCTTTTCTTGAATAGACATAAATTGAGAAAGACTAATATCAGTTAACATACTCCCAGGAGGATTTGCTTCTTGAAATGCTAATATAATATCAATCACTAAAATATATCTTATAAAATAAAAACCTTTTGCACGGAAATAAGATTCTATCTCTTCCTCACTAGCTGTTTGCATCAATACAGTTTCTTCATGCATTAAATCTTCATGCTGCTCGGAGTTTCCGTATCTTAGAAAAACTGGATTATGATAACGACAATTTATATAATATATAATAAAAACAAGAAGAAAAACGCCTAAAGCACCGCTAAGTGAAAAAAAAAGAAGAATTAGTAATGATGAAGATGATATAGTAGATGTATATGGAGTTTCATTCACATATAAAGACATTTTTCAAAGAAACTTCAAGTCAAAAAAAGCTTTAAACACTATGAAATCAAAAAAATCTAAACAAGCTACTTCAGAAATATTACTTATTTTTAGGCTTAATCAAACCTTAAAAAATTAATTTTAGAAATAATAAATTTGAAACAATTTACAGAAACATCGACAAACCAACACTAAACAATTTAAAAAATCTTTAAAAAAATGAATAGTAGAAATTTAACAGAAAATGAATTAAATATACTTCATTCATTCGAATCAATAACTCAAATTAATGATTCAAAAATATCAATAGACATTCTTGAAAATTACGAATGGGATTTAGAGGTGCGATACTTATAATTTTTTTTTTTAACTCAATTTAGAGAGCTATATCATCAATTTATGAAAACCAAGCACAAAGAGATATAGAAACATCGGAAAGTCATGCATTTAATTCAGAAAATATAAATTTTACTCATAATTCATCTCAACGATCTTCTGAAATCTTAACTACTAATACAAATCGTATAATTTCATTAATTTTTATACTTATTATCTTCCCGTTTTCTATATTGTACAAGATGATATCAAAAACAATACATTTTTTTGCAAAAATGTTTCCTTTTCTATCCAAATTTATAGGACTTCATCCTTCAAATTTAACTACTGAACAAATTCAAAAATTTATTAATCCAAGAAATACATCCGAAAAATTTATTCGAGAATTTGAAAAAAAGTATGGAACTATACATATTCCATTTTTTGAAGGAGGATATACAGAAGCATTAATATCAGCGAAAAATAATTTAATGTTTCTTATGATAATCTTACAAAGTGATCTACATGATGAAACCAGCACTTTTAATAAGTAAATTAACATAGTTTTTATCTTCTGTAACATTTTTTATAGAATTACTCTTACAAATGAAAAATTAATTCAATTCATTGTAAATAATAATATATTAGTTTGGGCAGGAAGTGTCCATGAGCCAGAAGCTTTTCAAGGTATACAGAAAAATGAAATGACACCCATTTATCTAACATCGGAAGTATCAAATAGTCTTAATTGTACACGGTTTCCATTTATTTCAATAAGTATTTCACATTTACATAATTCTAATACATCAAATATATCATCATTGGCTCGTATAGAAGGATTCATACTACCAGGTGACATGATTGCAACTCTAGAAACATATATCGCACAACATTTTTCTAGAATTCAACAATTAAGAATTGCAAAAGAAAAACAACTTATTGCAAGACAAATACGTACTCAACAAGATAATGCATATGAAGCATCTTTAGCTATTGATAGAGAAAGAATGTTACAACGCAAAGAAGAAGAAAGGCATAAAGCAGAAATAGAAAAAAAAAAACAAAAAAAATTAAATAATGCCAAAATTCTTGAAGCAAATAGAACTCAGTGGAAAATATGGAGAGCATCTAAATTATTCCCAGAACCTGCTTCAGGTTCTCCACACGTTGCAAAAATTAGCTTAAGATTGCAGAACGGAGAACGTATTGTTCGAAAGTTCGATAAAAATGCATCTATCGAAGAAATTTATGCATTTATTGAATGCCGTGATATAAATACAGACAAACTCCATAAACCATTAGAACCACCATCAAATTATATACATAAATTCAACTTCCAATTAGTATCACCTATGCCCCGACAAATTATTAAACAAGATACTAAACATAAAATATTAGAAGAAAAAACCCTATTTCCTACTGGAAATATTATAGGTAATTTTAACAAATCCTAGTATACCAATTATATGTTCACTAACTATTTTAAGTTGAGGATCTTGATGAAGAAAAAAGTGATTAAGTAATTATAAAATAATTCACAAATTTCTAAATCCTAGATATACACTCCCTTATAATATTAAAAATAGCTACAACGTTGAATATTAATTTAAAAATCATTATTTTGTAAGTATAAATCCTAATTATAAAAAAAACTATGATACATGCTTTTACAAAAACAAACTTTTAGTTATAGAATCAATAGAAGATAATCAAAACATTACACATAATACATCTAAATAATCAATAGCTTATATCTTCTACTAACGATAACAATTTTATTTCCCATTTATAACAGCCTTGATTTGTTCAGTGCTCCATCGTGCAACTTCTTTAGTAGAAGAAGAATACCCTGGCTTAGTTCTCCCTTGTTTCAAACATTCGTTAACCCATTCTACTTGAAGCATTGATGAAATCTGGTTTCTAGGAAAAATCTCAGCAAAATCACTATAATGTTTAAAACAATTGCAATCATTCAATTGCTTAACAAACCCCAATAAACCAATCATAGCACGTGTAAGACTTTCCGACTTATCGTGAACATTGTGTATCACCGCTAAAAAACGAAATATATGTTGAATATAAGGAAGAAGCGGATTAGCTATATATCATCAATATTCATAATTTGAATTAATATAGGAAAAATAACATTTCTTCTCTTCTTTTAATGCTTGAACAATACCTACATATGCTTCCACAATACCTTCACGAAGCTGATTTACATAATCAATCATTTCATAACCCTGATCAGGAGTAGAGTATATTGTAGATGCTTGTTGCAAAAGTTGCATAACAACTTCTAAATATTTTATAAAATTACTACCAATTGCAAGAGCAATATCTCCAAAACATGACAAAATTACAGGCTTAACATTAGGATGTAAGACAGAACTCTATAAAAATTAAATAATATACTAAATTGAAATAAACTTTACTTGAAGATTTTGAAGAAGATGAGTCATAAAATTATCACAATATGGAATTACTTTATCGCCTAATGCACGAGAAATATCACCTATTAAACCAACGGCAATAGAACAAAGTTGATACTCCTCAATATTAGAAAGCGCGGAATACAAAAACGGAACAAAAGAATCTAAGTAAACACAAAAATATCCATCCAAAACTAGCTCATGAATTATAAAATTTACACAAAAATCTAAAATATTACCAGAAGTTAAAGCACTAATTGCTAAGAAAACATCTTCATGAATTATAGAATGTCGTGATGCATTTTGAATAAGTTGGAGCAGAATAGTCATAATTCTATCTGAAGAAGAACGCATATCAGAACCTAAACGCCTAATAATACTCTAAAATTATATGAATATACATATTTTAATAAATATATTTCTTACAGTCAATGTATTACAAAGATTAGATTGATGTTTTTCGTGATTAGTACGTTCATCAATCCCAATAATCTGACTTTGAAATGCTATTGTTTGTTCTAACCGCTCAAGAATTACAATTAATAGCCTTGATACTATTGGTATCATATCCATAGAACTATATGTAACCATAGTAGATAAAGCTTCATATGCAGATGTTCGAGAGTTATTTTCATTTATAGTCCTATAAAACTAAATAATTTTATAAAAATATAATAGTTATTTTATACTGTTCTGTTACTCTAAGTAAAGATGATACACTATTCTCAAAATATGGAGACATAATAGACACCTGCTGTTTAGACCTATAAGAATTACCATTAAGTTGCTCAAAAAGATTCATTAACGCCTAAATTATCAATAAAACATTGAAAAAAAAAGTACTAACCCAACAACAATTAGACACTATCCGAGGATTTGCATTAAGACCATTCAAAAGCGCATGAATCAAGCTAGGAAGATGAATTTCAAGAGAAATAGCATTTATAACCAAATCAGTTATACGGCCTAAAGTCCAAGCTGTAGTATCTTGAACCTGAATCACAGGGTCTGACATCATGCTAATTAATACAGGTAAAGCCTCTTGCATCAATGTTTCTAAAAGCTTTGGATCAGGTCCTTCTAAAATAGAACCAAGAGCCATAACACCAGCTTCTCTCCGTTTCCAGTCATCACTTCTAATATTGGCCTCGACAAACGTTAATACAGGCCCAACTATTAAACCTTCTACACATTGAGAAAATAACTGAACACAGGTCCCAGCAGCCATAGAAACATTCCATTCATCTTCGTCTACATCTTCATCTTGTTTACACATCAATTGCAACAGAACTGGCAAAACTTCAGGAAGAGCAATTTTAGCAAACTGAAAGTTCTTTCTTTCTGAAGAAACACCATTCTCAAGAGCCTAAAAGTCTTATAACTTAAATAAAAACAATGATAGAAAATAGTACCTCTTGAATTTCTAAACTAACATCTATTTCTTCTTCACAAACAGTACTCCAAAATTCTACAGCCTGTAATGCAACTTTTTCATCATTATGTTTCATCCCAAGAACAGTAAGACCAAAAAGAGCCTTTTCCATATAAAATCTCATTTTATCATAATAAAGCTGCATTATACGAACAAGACAACCAAACGCAGTTATTTGAACCCTTACATCTTCGCTTTGTGTAGCTTCACAGACCACTTGCATAATATAATTACGCTCCCCTTCGCGTTCAAAATTTTCTTTTACAAATTCTAAAGAATCAAATAAAGCGCTAACAGCAGCAAAACGAACAGAGGAATTAAGCTCTTCTTTTCGAGCACCTTGTACTACTGCTGTTAAAATTGCGTTCGACTGAGCAGCTAAATTTTCAGAATCCTATATATAGAATATTATAATTATACATACATATATATATATATAACCTACCACTGTTTCACAAATATATCCAATTGCTTGAAGAGATGCCTGCTTTAAATTTGAATTCTGACCTTCAGAAACATTTTGGACAAGATTAACCATAAGTTCCGGCCATTGGTTAATTGGAAGTTCTATTGCTGCTATAGCTGCAATGAATTGCGCAGCAGCTTGACCTGCTTTTCCATCTTGAGAGGCTAATGCTAAAAATGCCTATTAAAATTAAACACCATGCTAACATTTATAGAAAAATCTCTTACATTAGACTTAATTTGCTGCTTTAAACTTTGCTCTAGTGAAAACCATTTTTGATTATATTCTTCTTGTCTATGTTTTTCCTAAACATATATTAAAACTATTAATATCAAAACCATCAAAATTTAGAACCTTAGAGGTTAAAGAGTTCTTAAGAGCCAATCCTGATGCACTTCTTATATGCGATGGTGCTTGCTCATTAACGAGTTCTTGAGAAAGCATATGCATATAAGCAGTCTAAAAAAATCAACATAATTTGAAATTCTAAGAATATACAATACCCAATGATCACGAGAAATAACCTCCAATTGTCGCGTTGCTTCAGCTCGAAGCCGTGCATCAGGAGAAAGAGTATTTGCAAGAAGTTCGCCAATATTCATTTTTTCTACCCTAAAAAAACATAAGCCAAAAAAAGAAAAATGAAAACAAATACTTCCTAAAAACAATGCCTAGACTTTATAAAAGGTATTACGAACCAATTTTTAACTATAAACTTATAATCCTAAATTTTTGCTTTATAATTCTTCAAATTTCAACCAATCAAATCTAAGCAAAAAATTTATATTTACCTTATAAAAATATATCACTGTTTCTTAAAATTTCTCAAAGCTATCCTCTTAATTGCAATACTTTTTTAATTTTTATTATAATAATCTTTTTTTAAGAGACGGTTAACCGATACTTTTTAAAAAGCTTACTATTAATCTCAAAAAGAAACAAAAATAAAATTATTAAAATTAAAAAAAAAGTATAAATAATATTATAATATAAAGGAAGTTTTCTGGATTAGAAATAACACGCCAGTACAAAAAACTATTTTAACTTTTATGGATCGAGTAATTATCATTACCAAATCTTTTAAAACATTGAATTAATATTACCAGAATTATAATCTCACAAAAACTAATGATTATGGGATTCGAAATCGAAGCAACGTTTCTACAGGGTTATAATTAAACTTTATTTTTTAATCTTTTTAATAATATCAAGTGATCGACCAAAAAAAGAAGCAATTCTAGATTTAGCAAAGTATAAGGATCAAAAAGTAAGAGTAAAATTCGCAGGAGGAAGAGAGAGTAAAATAGTTTTTATATAAAAGTGTGCTTTACTAAATATATACAGTAGTAGGAATTTTAAAAGGCTATGATTTATTAATGAATTTGGTATTGGATGAAGTAATTGAAAACTTAAGAGGTAAATGATAAAATTTAAAAAATATAATTGAAATTTTTCTTTAGATGAAGATGGAAACATTACAGATCAAAAACGACAACTTGGACTTGTCGTTATTCGTGGAACTACTTTAATACTTTTTTCACCTATAGATGGAAGTGAAGAAATTAAAAACCCATTCTTAGAACAAATTAAAATATAAAGATAAGAGCATGGACTAAATTACCTAGATCAAAATATTCACATTTTAATTATAAATAAGAATATTCCTATTTATAAAAATATTAAATTACAAAATAACATTAAATATATTAAATATAATTGCACTAAAAAAACATTTTCTGACTATTTTTTGTTAAATCAAGAAATGCTGATTGAATGCAATTTTTTAACTATATACTTTAACATTATTACTACATAAAACTCTACACATTACCTCTTTATAACTTACTATTAAACAATTTTGTTCGTCTCTTGATACAAGCATAATCTTCTCATCAACACCCGCATCGAGCTACTAAATATTAAAAATATACAATAAGTTTGGGTCCAAACTTTATTTAAGCAAGTAATAACATGTGCCATATCAACTACAGGATTACCATTTTCATCAACTTGGTGAAAAACGTAGTCTCTTAATAATTTAATAAGATACCTGTCACCAGTTTCTGACCATAATTCATCATGATCAAACTCAGGTCTTTCGTTAATGAACCCAAATTTACATAACAAACGAACTAATCTTCCATTTTCTAATTCACGACACAATTCCGATTCAAGGGTATCATTATAACTACAAAAACAATAAACATAAAGAATAATGTACAATAATATTACCATAGTGAACTATTAAATGAATCAATTATATGACTAGAGACAAGGACGACTAATTTATCGATCGATTTCAACTCATTTTTAAAAAGATAAAAAACAACATCTTGAAAATTTTTAGAATAATGTTTAATAACATAATCAAATGACTCTTTAATATTTTCAATAGCGGTTAAAGAATTACATGCCAAAATAAGTATTAACTGCCCTAACAACGTAAAATCATGATTTTGCAATTGTTCATCATTCTTTCGAAAACCAGGAAGAATAACATCCATTATTCCACAACAATTTAATCTTAACCTTAACTTAAATTAAAAAAAAACAAACTACATATATATATGTATATATATATACCGATTCTTTTCCGTTAATAAGATTTTAGTAAGATCCAAAATCCGAACAGCAAGACCTTCAGCGTGAATATATTTTATAGCAGAAATAATTTGAATAAAATAACCCCATAAAACATGTTCAGAAATTATATCTCGATCATGAGATTTAGAACTTTTTTGCAAATACTGACCAAAATACTTTTCATATAATGTAATAGAAAGTGGATGATAATCATACACAAAAACAATGGCTTAATATTTAACAACAACTCCAAATAAAACATACAACTTACAACTATCACCAAATGCGTTTGTAGTAAATGCTTCGTGAATAGATACTATATTTGCATTCCTAATTCTTTTCCACATTTTTACCAAATTAATAGAAGATTCATTTGATAAACGAAATCCTATAAAAATAAAAAAAAAAATCATACGAATAAAACAAAAACCTTCTAATCGCCGAAAAACGTACGAATATCCGTCATTACTAGAAAAAACTTTATATACCCAAGAAGGGTAACCAAAAATCCTTGTATTTCTGTTATGAAGTGTATCGAGAGGAACAAGTGAATGATATCCAAGTATTTGACTAGGCAAATTGGAATCTATTCGAATTATTAAATAAAAAATTAAAAAAACATTAGTACCCAGTAAAATCTGATGGATAGCTTCCGATTTTCTTTGAAGATCTTCACGAAGTGTATTAGATATAAAAAAATCATAAATTGTTCTTTGATATGGTTCCAAATTTTCTCTATATGGTGCATGAGATGCATATAAATGATATTGTAGCTAAAAACAATATTAAAAAAAAAAAGCAATAAAAACGAATACCGGTTGATAAACAGGTGTCTGTGTATAATAAATCTCGTGATCATAAAAATTGCTTGAAGATGCAGAATTTGCGTCATAAAAAGGAAAAGAAGAATGATTATCAAGCGCCTATAACACATAAGACTAAAACAGAAATAAAAAATATTAAAACAAAATTAATGTCAAGCTTGGAAAATTCTTGATCAATACCAAAAGACTGTTTAAAATTTGTATCTACTAAATCATAAGAAACCAATTCAGGTAAAACATCCTGTTCCCTTTTAATTATGTTTAGACGCATAATCACATAAATTTTATATACTCCTACTTAATTGAGACAGATGATTGAAAATTAGATGGTTGATTAGATAAAGCTAAAGATATTAAAATTAATAGTTTTTTTTTAAGAAATAACATACATAATTTAGAACGTGGAACAAAATCAGGAACCTGAGCTATTGATCGAGAATATAACTTTGGAAATGCATCATTAGAAGTAATTAATGCCACATCAGTTATATTTTTTTTAAATCTAAAGACATTAATAAAAACAAAAATAATAAAACCCAACATTTCAGAAGAAAAAGGAGCATTATTCTTTTCAAAAGCTCGATACTAACAACCATATTAGCTTTTTCTCCTTGATGTAAAATATTTAAGTATATTTACATTTTCATGATTAAAAATACATCCTTTATCAGCAAATTTACAATACCCATGAATCAAAATATTTCTACATAACGTTTGGTTTGCAGAATGATTTACGTCTTTTAAAATCAGCAGATGTATTAATATTAATCATAAGACCTTTCAACTTCGGTTTTAAAACATCTTCACGTCCCCCACTCATTTAAAATCACTTTAATCACAAAAACTATAAAAATACAACAACCGTAATATTATATTCAATAATTTAATTCTATAATTTCTATAATTAAACTTCAAATCGATTAAAAAATAACGTCAAAAATCCACTTTTAAAAATAAATCAAATAAAAAAACAATAAATATTTCCATATTATTCATTAGATATTTCATATTTTTATATCTTTTATCCCAAAGAAGCATTTACCAATATATCATCATTCTTTAAATATAATAAATTCTCTTTTATACATACATACATATACATACATACAATATGTATTTAAAATAATCATAGAATTCTATTTCTAAATATTCAATTCGAATTATACTATATATATGTTATAAGTATTACAGCCATAAAAACCAGAATACTTAAAACACAATTTTATATAGTTTAATCTATATTTAAACCATAAATATATCATTTTATAGATTACATTAAAAAAAATCAGATTTAATATTATTTATTTATACACCAAATATCAAACATTAAATATATTTTTATAAGATATTCAAATATTTTAATTAATTAAAATATAAAATGTTCATAACTAAATTATAAAATTATTATTAATCTAGTTTTATAAAATTAGATAAAAAATATAAAATATATAATAAAATTTTACAAGCAAAATAAAAAACCGTATTTTTATAAAAAGATCTTTAAAGAATTTATCTTCGAAACCAAAGATTAAAAATAAAATGAAAATATATAATAAAAAACAAGCATTTAAAATATTAGGAGAGAAAGTATTAACTGAAAAAATAAAATTAAAATCATGGTGTCCATCAATGGACTTATTAGCTTTTATAACAGTATCTAATGAAATATGGGTATATAGATTAAGTGGAAGTCGTGTATGGGGAACTTTAAATAAAGATCATGAAGCCACTAGTATTGCTTGGAGGCCTGATGGTTATCCAAAAATATATTCAATCTAACTGAAAGTAACCATTAATTAGGTAAAATATTAGTAATTGGTTTAAATAGTGGGACCATGAAACTTTATAATGTTAATGATGGTTTACTCTTACATACAATTGAACCACGAGCTTCCGAATTTGACAAAATTACTTTAGTTAGTTGGGTAACAGAAAAACTAGAATCCACTGAAGAGCAATATGTATAAATTCTCTGTACATATTATACTAATAAATATTAGCCTTTACAAGAATTTGATCCAGCAAAGTTTTTACCGCGTTTAGCATGCATACCAAGTGCAAAATCTAAGTAAATTCATATGAGTATATTTTATTTTGTTTAATTTTTTCATTGTAGAAATTTTTCAAGTTCATCTTTAACAAACTTTGTTTCAACCAATAACGAAGATAAACAAACTAATAAAATGGATCTTCTTATTTCTGGAGATGGACGTGGGAACCTTCATATAAGGTTGATTATATTATTTATTTATATAAACTTATAATATATAAACTTATATAGCGTTTGTGGATTGTTTCATCTTGCTCTTATACCTTTAGTTTCTGCAGATAAAACTATCAATGTATTTTTCTCTTATAAGTTAAAATTTTTAAAAAGTAATTATTTTAGACTTCTAGAGAACTATTATGTCATTTTTCTTCTTCTGATTTACGTATTCAATCTGCTATCTCAAAAAATGAACAAACTCAAGAAGTTTTTATTCATTTATTAGATATGAAAGCATTTAAAGCTCTTGGAACATCTATTACTGAAATAGCCAAATGTTCTACAAATTTTCATTTTCTTCTTGCATATATTAAAGAAGGAATCATAACTATAACTGAAGAGTGGCAAAACATAAACGATATTGAACAAGAATATTTACAAGCATTCTACGATTGTCTCCATGAGCATAATGGTAGTCAAAAATATAAAAATTTAAACTATTATTTAATTGCTTAAAGTTTCTAATGTTGCAACTCCTCGATTAGAATTGTTTTCTTTAGTAATGACAGGGATTCCAAGTGCGCCATTAAGAGACTGGATGACAAAAAAATTAACAGAAAGAGTACAAATTTTTGCTTTATTGAAATTATAATTAAATTTAAGCATTAATTAGGGTCTTAAAAAATGGGAGAAGACTTCTTTAACAAGTTACGAAAACCTTCGAAAATTAACACATCAATACATACTTCCTGCATGTGATAGAGTTGCATTATTACTAAGCAAACTAAATGGTCTTTCAAAATGGTATTTATCTAATATTTATAATCAATTATTACTGACCGGTTTTAGGCCGAAAACGGCAAAGCCAATGTTTATAGAATCTTCAAAAATACAAACATGCTTATATATCTTACATATTCTTATAGAAAATTTATATAATTTTATTAGAAAAATAAATGAAGAAATTCAACTTTTTAAATCATTTACATTATGGATGAAATTTATCTTCGAAGAAATTTCTCCAACTGAATTAAATACAGACTCAACCACTCCCCACCCTGCAAATGCTTTAGATGTTGCTAAATTTATAGGGACAGTATTTCCAACATCATCAATTTCAGAATTTATTACAAGTAATGAACAGCTTGTTTTACCAGATAACTTTGACTCGTATAATTATGATTCCAAAAAAGATAAAATCAAACTTAGTTTTAAAAATATTTTAGAAAATTTAATATCCCATGGAACATTAATTTTCGATAAACCAGCAGCTGAACTTAGTAACCAATGGACTCAATTAATGGATCAATTATTAAGTAAACAAATATCTGGCACACTACTTGATATGAGACTAATAGATTATGTATTCTTTATATAAAATGTTTTATTTTTGCTAATAATTATAAAAGGATGATTACTATTCTGTTTATGTAGCAGGATACCCAAAAAGACAAGAAAATGAAGTGTTTTCACCATATATGTGTAAGTTATATTCATTTTTTTTATAATTTTAATACTATTCTAAGTTCAAATTTTAAAATTTGAATTGCACAATAATGATATTGAAGTATCAATAACTAAAGAATATGTATCTATTGATCTTACAATCAACTCAGAAGAATTTTGGGTAATACAGGACTTAGCTTTTATAGATGACAAAAGTATTATTTTACTTTTATATAAAAACAATAATGGTACCATGTCTCTTTATAAAAAAACTTACTAAATAATTTACAGAAGAATATATTCTTATGGACTTTAACTTTATCGAACTCAATTACCAACCACATACATTAAACAAATCTAAGGAATTATTTAATTTCACATTAGAACAAAATTCTATAAAAATAGAATTTACACATTATAGGAAATTTACTAATGACTTTATACCTCAAAGTATAGCTATAAATGGTCTTCCAGGAAGGAGGATTGGGTGTATTTTGGCAAACGATCTACAAAGGTATCAAATATTTGATATTGATGCAGACGATGATGATGATGATGATGATGATGATGATGATGATGATGATGATGATGGTGATAATGGTGATAATGATGATAATAATAATTAATGGAAATAATAAAATAATATATTAAATAATAATTAATTTAGAATTTCTAATTAGTCTATAAAAAATCTCAATATAATTTTTTTATACCTTAAAACATTTCTTACATTTCGTTAACAAATTTAAGAATCTTAATACACAAAATATCTAAAATCAAAACTATGGATTTAGAAATGTCAGATATACCAAATATCGAAACTAATAATGAAATAGATGGAGAATTCGAACTTGATTCAAATATAGAAAGTAAAAACTTTTAAAATTTATTATTTATTTTAAGTATATTTAGATAAAAGTGACAAAAGAGAAATAGGAAATCTTGCAACATGGACTGTGTATAAGCCTATACTAAAAATCCTTTATACTCATACAATATTAGTTCTTCTTCGAAACCAGGGTTCGGTGTTGAACAACTTCGAAATGATAGTATAGATACATTTTGGCAGTAAATTTACTTAAAATTATTATCTAGTTTTATATAATTATATAACAATAGATCAGATGGCCCTCAACCACACTATATAAACATTCATTTTATTAAAAAAGTATCAATAAAGGTTAAATTTCAATTTTATAATCTATTTAATAATATTATTTAGCTTCTAAGTTTTTATACACAATATCGTCAAGACGAATCATATACACCTTCAAAAATATCAGTAAGAGCAGGAACAGGATTTCACGACCTACAAGAAGTCATAGCACTTGACTTAAATGAACCTAGTGGTTGGGTACATGTAACTTTAGGTGACTGTGGAAAAGAGTTAATTTACATATATCATGACGCTTTTGAATTACTCTAATTATACAAGTGGTCTTTTACGTACACATTTGTTACAATTATGCGTACAAGCGAATCATCAAAACGGAAAAGATACACATATAAGATTAGTAAAAGTTTTCGCACCTCGAATGTAAAAAATCCTTAATTTAGCATAATTTTTTTAATCTTTTTAAAGATATGCAGCAGACGAAGCAGATATCCTTCCATACACAAGTGTAGCATTTTCAAAACACCTTAAAGTACGATAATTATTCTAAATTAACAATACTATATATATATATATATATATCCACTCAAAAACTTTAATGAATAGAAATAATTATATTTAAAATGCAAATACCTTAAATAATTTCTAAAAAAATTTTTGAACATTATAATATAACTAAATACATCTCAAAATACAATGATAATCCAGTTTTCTAGATTTACAAATAATATGAAGTTTTAATGATTATTTATAATTATACTTTTTTCAAATATATCTATATTTTAAGATTAATATTTTTTTTAAAAAAACATTAATATTTAACCAAAATACACAATTAATTCAAATAAACTAAAAAATAATTAATATAATCCATTTTCTACAAAAAATTCAAAGTATTAATTAATATAAAACATTATTTATAAAAATAATCTAATAAAATTAATAAAAAAATAATTTTAAACTTCTCAAAAATTGAACATTTTTTTAATCAAAAATTTCAAATTTAAACTATATTCATATAAACCTTTTTATAGAAAAAAATAAATTACAAAGATCAAAATTAAATTCTAATACAACACATAAAAACAATCCAATTTTTGCTTAGTTTTTAAATCAACTTTCTGTATTTTAATAAAGCATATTTACATAATTATAAAAATAAATATTAGAAATTAAAATGCCACTCTTACTCGCATATCTTCAATTTTCTTCGCTATTTCAGATATTTCACGATCTACAAGACATTAACCTATTTAATATTTTATGAAACATTTTAATGTACCTAACTCATTAGCTATTACTTGTTTCTTGTTATATGGAAGCATTAAAAATCTCTATAAAAAATTATAAAAGAAAAAAATAATCAAAAACTTTACCTCACATAAATCGCCATCAACAACAGATTTCACAGGAACATAATATCCTCTATACATTAAATGATCTCGGCCTATTAATGAAAGATCTTCTGTTCTCATAAGCGCTTCCAATTGCTGAAAAAAATCTACATCTTCTCTTCCTACAAAAGGTAAAAAAATACCTATACTTCCCATCATTCCAGTATAAACAATAATATCACGTCCTCCTGCAATTAATTGAACTTTATGCATTGATGTGAATGTATCTCCTATATAAAAATGAGCTAACATTTTCAATCTCTTTGCAGCACCAAAAAGATATGATTTTTCATGAATAAGCTGAGCACCAGAAGGATCTTCATCTGCACTTTCAGAAACTTCAAGAGGACATCTATTAATCCAAAAATTTCCAAACTTATCTCCAGCAGCTACTGTTTCATAATCTAACATTGTAGAAGTCGTAGTCCACCGTGGAATAACATCATCAGCAAAAACTATCAACCGATTTTCAAGATATTTATAAACAGCAAAATGAATAGACTCCTGAATATCTGCAATTATAATTCTACTTCCTTGAGTATGAAGTTGAACGATACAGTTTGGAACAGCCTATATATCTAATTAAAATGGATACTAATTAAAACGTCAAATACCCGAACTTCACATTTACGAAGACATTTTTTCATTCCCATTTCATAAATTCGTAACATTTTACCCAACCCAGCTAAAAGTCTACCCTGAAATCCTAGCAAAGCCAATGGAATATCATCTACTTCAGTCTATATATAACTTTAGTAACAAAAAACTAAAATGATAAGCTACTTTATGAACTAATTCAATAGATTTTCCTTGATCAATAAATCGATAAATACTAATATAAGCAGCAGAAAACGATTTAGGTGCTAAAATAACATTTTTTCCACTTCCTATAGCCAGAAATATTTCATCATTTTGATTTTTAAAAGTTACCATTGCAATACTAAAAACATTAAAATAAACATGTAATAAAATACAAAAGATACCTAAATGCAGCCTCATTATCATCTAATTCAATTCTAGTAAGAATCTTTTTAGAAAGAGGATCCAAAATTGTAATACATGATGCCCAATTTCCAGATAATCCTCTAGATAGCCCAATATCCTCTGGAAGCAAAATATGATCTCCATTCTGCAATCCTTCAACTCGTTTTTGTCGTTCACTTAGCGGAAGAACATTATGGTCAGACTCAATAATATAAAATATATGTTCATCAGGATGCTTAATAAATCGACGAGGAGTATACATCAAAGATATAGAATCCTGCTTAAGAACATTATCAAGCCTTTCAACCATAAAAATCCTATTTATATTATTAGATAAACTCTATAAACATATTGAATTAAATATATTCAAAACATTTCAGTAGGAACAATTGGAAAGAAATTTAATCATAAAAATAATACTTTTTAGTTCATCATAATAAAAAAATTAATTTTACAAATATTCACTTACTTTAAATCTTGACCTTGAATTCCTACAATACCCTCAGAACATTGTTCACTTGAGAAACCCCAACAATATTCAAGGCTATCATATATCAGAGGCACAAGATGAAGGGAAGCATTAATGATATATGACAACCAAGGTCTTGATGACAAAGCAATAACACTAAGTTGATTTTGAATCGTAACACTAAATAATTTCACTGGACGAGAACCAAGAAATCGTGTCCTAGTATCTTTGAGTTGACCAGTAGAAAGTTCAAGTACACTTCTTAAATAAACTCCATTAAATAAACCAATATGCAAATAAAATGTTTCAATATTCCCGTCTTTCATAGACATAATACACAATGAATTTGGAGGTGCCGTTAATGCCTGTACACTCAAACTTTCAAGAGTATTCTCAGGTTCTAAAGAAATAATACGCACAGTACTATCATCACACCCAACAGCCTAAATTATTAACATAACAAAAACTTAAAATCAAAATAATACCAAAAATGGATGACGTTGCCGTCCTTCTGGTACATGACCGATACTCAAACTAGTAACAGAACCTGTCATTTGTTTTCTATCTTGATACTCATTTAAGTTCCCTTCATCATCTAACTCAAAATAAACAATTTCACCATTTGACAATGCAACTACAACTTGTCTCTGATTTGTAGTTACTTGTACAATACTTCGATGTTGAGGAGTCTTCCACTCATTAACCCGCTTATCAGCTTGAATATGTCTTATTCCCTTAGGATGAACCTGAATTAATGCATCATCACCAAGTTGTTGTACTGCTAATGTTGGGCTAGAAGAAAGAAATCCTGTATCAGAAACTTCCTCAACAGTCTCGCCTATTGACAAAACCAAAGTTCCATTAACAAATGAAAGCACAATGTATGCATCATATTGATCAGATGAAGTAAGCTTTGTTGTCCAGACAGCAGTAGGTGAACCAGGAAGCCCACTTGCAACTATTTCATTAACCTCTAAACCATAACGTAAAGTTCTAAAAGTAGATCTTGGACCTCTACCACAAAGAGCATATATTTGCGGAGCGTCTTCATCCGTAAGATTCAATATCTTAAAAATATTAACATTTTTTTTAAATATAGAAATATTATAAAAATATTAACAACCTTTGAATCCATCAAAGGATTCATACTATTCAAATCATCTACAAGAAGTAAATTTTCCAAAGATCTAGGACGAAAATATGAAGGTTCATATCCTTCATTTAAATCTAAAACAGGAAAATCAACACTAGAAAACTCAATTTCATTATTATCATCCCCAAGTTTTTCAAATTGATATAAATGACTAAAATTAATATGTAAATAAACAACAAAAACTATCATCAAACATACTGATTTCCATATTCACTTGCTACAAACAAAAAACCAGATTTTAAAATAGATAACCCTGTAGAGACAGGCACCGTATCAAAATACTTTATCTTTAAAGATTCTACTTCTCCATCATTCGAATCAATAGTCACTTTAAATAAATCTCCATCTTCATTTTGTAAAAGAAAAAAAAATGCACCCTAAGAACATCTAAATAAAATAAACCAATAAATAAAAGCACATACTCTCATTTTATGAACAACAGATGATACTATAATCTGTTTTTTTTGAGAATTTTCTAAGGAACCTATACGTGTTGGAATAGGTATTCTATGAGTTTTCTTCCCTTTATGCTTATAGAATATAGAACCTTCAGTACAAACAAGAGCACCAGACGGACCATCAGATCCACCTGGAACTGTAACAAGAAGATTAGCTTTTCGATCAACTGGATCACTCCATTTTCTCACAACATGATTTAATCCAAGATCAAGCTCATAATATGTAAGAACCTAGAAACAATGAAAAAAAAAAAAAAAAAAAAAGCCTTACTTTTTGTATTTCACGATATGCCTTTCCAGAAGGATCAGACTCTGCTTCTGTATAATCCACTTCTAGAGCAGCAAACACGGGATTCTCATACCCTACATCCATTCCGATTAAGTGAAAAACTAAAGAACAACTTTTGTGAGCCTCTAAAGGAGAACTAATTGTAAGATTTGTAGCAGAATCTCTATTTAATACATATACCAACTTATTTTTCTCAATTGATGCTATCATGGTGGCCCGCCCTTTAGGGTCAACTGCAAGATATTGACCAGGAACAACTCTCCTTACGCCTGACTTCCCATATGTTTCTTGATGAACTTTAGAAAAAGCATTAGAATCAGGCTTGTATTCTAAAATTGTAATACGACCAGAATCAGAGCCAACTATCAAATGATCTATTATAAATAAGATTACATTATTTCCTTTGAAAAAATACCCTTATTAGTTCCAGCTAAACGAAATCCTACCAATGTACGTATTATTCCATGTACATCATGAGACAACAATGATTTTATTTTTCCCAAATTAGGATCTGGTTTAAGAAGCTCCAGACGTGATCCACGAGCAACAATTATTTCTTGTTGCTTCTGACCTGAGAATTGTCCAACCACTGATGCACTAATACCTGATGGAGGAAGCAAAGTTAAGGAGTATAAAAACATATTTGGTGCTATCGCGCTCATTTTAAATACCAAAAAAATATTATATGCAAATAAATAAACTCTTATGGATACTGATTAGCTATACTTCTATGAAACCAAACCTAAGCTTAAATTAATTATATTTTCTTTTCTGACTAATCGACTTAATATAATTCTAAAACTAAGATCGATCTTGAAAGCATATTCAAAATCTAAGTTTTAGGTCACAAACCTAAAAAATAAAACTAATCACTCAATAATACTAAAACATTATATATATCCTCATATTATTTAAACATAATATAGGTTTTACTAAGGCTCCTACCTACACCTGATACTTATCAAGCTTATTATTTTTATCAAAAAGTTCTAAATTAAAAATAAAAACAAACTTGTATTAAAGAACAGTTAAATAAAATATGTTAATTTTAAGGAACACAACAAAGGCATAACACCCATAAATCCAAAGAAATAAAAACCGGTGCAAAAATATATTAAATTTCTTATGGCAATACATCAAAAATTCTTCTACCATTCATAATACACCCTTTTAATTATATTTCTATGAAAAAAAACAAAAATATATTAGTTTTAATAAGCCCAAAAACACTCCCTAAATTATGCGTATATTTAAACAATCATTTATTTGGACAAAAAAATCCAATATTCAAATTTGTATTAATTCTGTAAAAAAGAGCATAAAAAGTTGTTCCTTATAAAAATCTATATTATTCCATCAAAGGGAAAAGACTAATAATGAACGTAAGAACCCTGTAGCCTAAATTCCTTCCCCAATTAAACTCTGTATTCTGATTATGACCTTGATCATGAGATATAGATTGAGACAATTCAGGCTCTGAACCAAGAGAAGATTGCTCATTCCTATGTGAGTTCCGATCTCTGTCTTAATTCAAATATTAAAATAGTTAAACCAAGCTATTTTATCCTACCTCGATTAATTATTCTTTGAAAAAAAAGCCTTATGCTTAATAAACGTCCCGTATGCCAAACTACTAAAATTAATATTAAAATAAAGAAAAAGAAATATACAAAAAAACTGAAGTGCAATAATAACCAATGTACAAAATCGTATCCATGAACTATTTACAGAAAATAGTCCAACAAAGAATGCCAGCCTTATAAATAACCATAAATGAACAAATATCATACGAAGACGCTCATTGTTTATACCAGGATTCTGTACGTGAGAGTCTGAATCAACAGCGGTATTTAAAAACTGTGAATTATTTTGTACATTTTGATTTATATGTTGTACAACATTTTCAGAAGACATTAATAAAACTCGATATGGACTCCTTTTTTCAGTTGAAAAGGATTCTTTATCCAAAGAACACACATTAGAATGATTTAGGATCTTAAGAAGACATAGTTCATTACTAAATATATTAAAAAAAAAAAAAAAAAAGACTAAATAATACTTAACAACTGCTGCTTGATAATAAATCGGAAGCCAGGTACAATCGCAAGAACCAGAACATGATTTTACCGTCTCGTCCAACGTATTTTGCTCTGTTTTACCTAATCCAGGAATATCCTGACTAAACGAATCACAACCAAGAACATTAAAAGGAATAAATAAGCCTGGAACACTCAATGACAGTAAAGAACTTTCAGAAGCTGTTGTTAAATGAAAAGTCACCGAATTAGGATCCTATTAAAATAAACATTTATATTTATGATAACAAAAAAAATACATCTTTAATAAACTGACTAATTTCTTGACTATTCTTTGCTATACAATCACCAGATAGAAGCTGCTGTTCTGAAATACTAACGTAATCTTTAAATACAGCGCTGATCCAATTTTTCAAGACACCCACAGTTAGTTGTCTGTTTACTTCAAAAACAAATTCACTCAAGTGAGGTATCATAGAAGACTTGACTCGAACTTTTATCTTACAAGGCATATGCCCATCACTATTATCTATATCATACATCTTTTAAAACTTATTACATATATTTAAACAATCTGTCATAATTACTCATCGTTTCTCACGTCCGTTAAAAGCTTTCAGAAAAATAACTGACCATTAAAAAATCTATTTTTTTCATTCAAAGAACATAAAAAACATAAAAAAACATTTTTCATTTATATCACTACTATTAATAAACATCAATTTTATTATTAAACTTTTTACTAACTATATTTAATATTAAAACAATTTATAAAATATTCTAATAAATTAAAAATCTTAATTTATTATAGTAAATATTTCATTTTAGAAATAAAATATTCTTTTAATATCTAGTATCTTTCTTCATATTTAATATCCTTTTTCATAAATAACATGTTTTAGATTAAACCTTTAAAAAATAACCAAAAATTTAAAAAACGTTCAACCATCAAAATTCGAAAATATGCAATTTTAAAAGAAAAAATACAATTAATCTTATAATTATAAAAATCATTATATCAAAATCCGACTCAAATTCTAATCTCAAAAAATATAAAAAGATATTTCCTCTGCAAGATAATGTCAAATATTACCGCTATTTCTTTTTTTACTCAATACAAATTAATAAAAAACACAGAATCAAATTATCATAGATCTATACATTTTATCTCGAATTTTTTTAAAAACAAACATTCTTCTCAACATTTAAAAAAAAATCAAATACATCACCAAGATGACCTTTTTCATTGTCTTTCTAAATCACCCATTCAAAGTCTTCGAGAAAAAGCAAAAATTATTAAAAAATATGCAAAATGTCCAATTTCCAACAACCCTATTTTTTTTGAATGCCCCAACTGTGGTTATCCTACACATAATTCAGAAATTGAGTGGAAAATAGATAATCAACATAAAAAAATTTGCAAAAAATTAAGAGAAGCAAACGAAGACGAACATGATTTACATAGTAGAAGAGAATTATATGAATTTGCATTACCCAACTCTCAATTCAAAGATGCAATTATAAGCTTTCAAAGCTGGTATTCATTTTTTTATACTCGCTCATTTGAAGGAATTAATTCAGAGAGATCAGTTAGGCATCTTTCTAAATTACTTACTTATCCTCTTACTCTTTTATCAATTATTCATGAAGGTTCTCCATATAATATAAAAAACAGTTTGACAATAAAAGGACTTAAATCTCTTCTAGGTTTTGTAATAAAAATATTAATAAATCATTCACTTATATTTTATAGCAATTAGATATGTTTTGCATGAAAATCCTAAAAACGTAAACTCTATATCTAGAAATATTTTAGTTATGAATAAACCATTTAGGATATTTATTTTAGGAGCAAGAGCAGAAAGTGCATTGCCAAGATTTGTATGGATGCAAGGTGGTACAAATTTATTTCCGAATATTCTGTTTCATATTTATTTCATTGGACCAGAAGCTTCTAATATAACAAGTAAATCAAAAAACAATGACTCTTATTCGAATTCTATACAGGAAAACTTTAGCCCGAATTTAATCTTCAGTACATACTCAGAATACTATCACAAATTACATGAAAAAGGAATTTTTTCACCCTTTGACCCATGTTATGACATTTTTTATCTTCCTAATCCTGGAATAGGACACCAGAATTCATCTAGCTGGAATAAGACAATAAAATACTTATTAGAAACTCAATGTGCAATTTTTACTACTAGTTGTTTACTAGAAGACATTCAGCAGGATCTCAACTTTCTTGAAAAAAATTATAAAAATAAATATGATATATTATTAAATCTTACAGAAAATATATTTAAAAGCAATAAATGGGATGTTTCAGTTTTTAATCCAAAAGATATCATTCAAGCTAATGCATATATAGCGGGTTTCAGTGGAAAAAATATGAAATAAAATCGATTAACTCATCTTTATTATAACAAATATATTAATCCAAAAATGAACAAAAAAATGAACTAAAGTCTATTAATGTTTAATACATATCAACTTAAATCTTATTTTTTGATTCATTTAAAACAATTTTAACTTCTATAATTTTATATAAATTTGTTAATGCAGAAAAAATAATATTATATTTAATATCAGTTAAATAAAATTTCTAATAACGTTTTTATATAATATATATAATATATATTCTTAAATATAAACAGTAAAATTTCCAATTATTAAAAAATTGTTATTAAACCATTAATTAATAACACATTAAAGTATAATTTAAATGTTTTTAAAGTATACTATTGTAAAATTTCAAATACAACACAAAAAATTCAATAACCATAAACATACATATAAAACCTTTAATTACATAAAATAAATTAATACAAATAATATTAATTTTTATAAAAATTTTATAACTTATTAACATTAATATTTATTATTTAACATACAAAAACCAAACTATCAAAACAAATATTGATATATATAACTATATAAAAATTCAAAGCTATATTTTCTAATCTAACTTTAAACATAAATATTTTTTAAAAAACAATTATTAAAATTTAACAAAAATTTATATTCTGATACTATCTTATATATATTATTATATATATATTTTTCATAAAGATATAATTTTTATTTAATGCTTTTCGGAAAAAAAACCTCTGTTAAATTTCTACATGCAAGAAAAACTCTTAAAAAATTAAAATGCATCGTATGAAATGACCGTGTATTTCATTCTTAGGAAACACGCGAGGGTAAAAAAATAAACTTATTGAGTACATCATCTAAAAGCACCAAGCTTAATGAAGATGATGTAATTAGCAAATTTTACATTTTAAAACATTAGTACAAAAGATTCAACCATTAATATCTACTTTATGATATATAAAATAACAAAATGCTTTAAATATTAGCAAAACGGCTTTTTTACGAAATTTATTTAATGAACTTTGCTATTAATTTTTCCCAAACCCTGACCCATAAGAATCCTACTACCTTTTGAAACTAAAAATTCAAACTCTTGAGGTGCTTCAAAAATCAAAATAATTGTGCTTCCAAAATTAAATCCTCCCATTTGCTCACCTATTCGTAAAGGATACCCTTTTAAAAGTTTCGAAAATGCAGAATATCTTGTTTCTGTATAAGACCCTTTAGGATTATTCCTTTCTAAAGTATTTGTTCTAAAGTCCTTATCAAAATCGATGCGAATACTGCCAACATTTGTAGCACCCACTGGTATCATACTCATAAATCCGTGACGATATTGTCCAAGAAGCACAACCCTTTCGTTAAGAACAAAAAGATTTGATATCCTTTTAGCAAAATAGGGAGAAACACTAAACAACTCTCCTAATCCCCTTCATAAGAATAAAACACAACATAATTTATTTAATACCTGAAAAATAACGCCTTCTTTCCACAACCCAATTTGCAGGGGAATGGAAACGATGATAATCACCAGGTGCAAGATATATAACAGCAAAATATAGCCTATTTCCTTCTCTTAATCTATCAATGATATTGTGACTAAGTATAATATTATTCTCAATCTTAACATCTACTTTTAATAAGGCTATATTCCCCAATTTAAAGTAAACATATTACCAACATCCAAAGGTAACATATCATTCTCATCATTTTTGTTAATACATGGAACATATGAATATGTAATCCCACTAGTTTTTACAAAACTTTCTTCATGCTCCAAAGCTCCCGTAGAATTATTATCAAAAGCAATTTCATCACAAGATATAGGCGAAGAATTACCAATTAAAGCATCCAAAGAATACGATAAGCCTTTAACTTGTTCAATTCTTCGTCCCTCCACCAAACCAAAATGAAGCACTTTCCCGTCAGCCGGTGACACTACCAAGGCATCATTATCTATCTTGCGTATTCCAGGCTTCAATTCCCTATAAAAAAATTCAGAAAAATTCTTAATTTTTTTAAGATCTTGTTCTGCCATCTCATAAAGATTACACCCAAAAATCCATGCATAAAACTTATATACAGGCACTCTTAACCAAACAGGAAGAGTTATTTCACTAAATTTTCCCCATATTCTCGAAAAAGCTTTAAGTGGAAGAGACTTTAAAATATAAAACTACCAAATTAGTCCTACTAATATACTAACATACAAATTACCTGCCAAAATCCAGAAACAGAAACCTCGCTCTCTCCAACATTATCCAGAACAGCCTCACCAGAACGTTCTAGCCTACCATACCGTCTTCTTACATCTTTATAATGTACAAACGCAATATATGCAATACCAACACTAAGAGGAATAGAACACCATTCAATTCGAATATGTTTCCAACGTTCACGTAAACGAGAAACCCATAAACGCTTCGGAAAATATCCAGACCACATCAAACGTCCTGAAATCATCCTTTCAGATAAGATCCCTAGCCTCCCATTCCTGATTCTTGACCAGGACAAAAAAACAGGCCCTGATGCTACCAAACGCTTACAACAACCATTTGCCAAATAAAACCGCATTTTCAACAAACTACTACTAAATTACTACTCAAATAAATGCAAAAAGAACACAGCCCATGAACTATAAACACAGTCTTTACTCTTTAATACTCAACTTTTAACAATTAAACATATCTTCGTATCAACGTCGAAAATTCAGTATAAGACCTAAACCCTAAACCTATTTATCAAACAAATGATTCAGAAAAGTTGTGAATATGCAGTCACATCAAAAATCGAGACAAGATCAGCAACCAGAACAGTGTTACTTTCAGAATTAAGCAAAAAAGAACTCAGCAAAGAAAATAAATCACTAAAAGCAGGGTATTTGATATACATTTCTTAAAGAAATAGTATTTTTTGCAGATCAGTTTAACAGGTATAAATAAAAAATAACAATTTAAAAACAGGTGCAATCAAACCAGTACTAATGAAATTTAAGTAATTAGGAGAAATGGTACGGGTATCAGTGCTAAATGATTGTCTAAATAGTATTGTTAATGCAGTATGCTATTAGTTATTTAAAAATTCAATCAGTAAGCTTAATAATATTAGGAAAGACGAGGAAAACGACAAGTTCTTGTTCGACCATCGAGTAAAGTTATCATCAAATTCTTAACTGTTATGCAAAAACATGGTATGTTGTATACACATAGTACCAAAGAACACAAGAGGCATGAAAAACAAAATTTTCTGGATATTTTTTTACAAAATTCCAATAACAAAATCAATACTAAAACAATAACTCACATTGCAAATTCTAACTATTAAATTCTACAATGGCCTCCGTATTTGCATACAGTTCGTAGTAGAAAGTATAAACTAATAACTACTGTTTAGGATATATTGGTGAATTTGAAGAAATCGACGATCATCGTAACGGCAAAATTGTTATTCAGCTAAATGGTCGTCTTAATAAATGTGGTGTTATTTCTCCCAGATTTAATGTTAAACTTAAAGATATTGAATGTTGGGTCACACGTCTATTACCATCAAGACAGTTCGGATATATTGTTTTAACAACTAGCTCAGGTATCATGGACCATGATGAAGCTCGAAGAAAACACGTAGCAGGAAAAATTATTGGATATTTTTACTAACAGCATATCTTTTCAAATTCAAAACTTTAATGTTATATATAAAAAATAATTTATGTATTTTAGTTTTAATAAAAAACATTTTTTAACTGTGCGATCAAACTTAAAACATAATGCAATTCTAAAATATAGGTTTCAAAAAAAAATAAAATTTTTGGTATTATTAGTGCCTTGTTCCCCTTCAGAAATGTCTACACTTGCACATCAACTACAAACAATTCATCAAAATCATTTAGAATCATTAGATAAAAAGAAAAAGGTCATATCTCTTCTTTTTGATCCATCAGAAGCAGCTGATCAGGATCTGGATTCAATTTTTGCACTTGCAAGTAATGGCTTTCTAGAGTTATTAAAGATAGAACCTAAATTTGAACGATTTTCAAAAACACTTTTCTCAGAAAAATCCAAATATATAGATCGTTTTGAACAAGTATAAATCCATACATATTTTATTATTAGTATTAATTAAAATAGACGAAATCAGAAAACGACTCTCTTGATAAATGTATTGATACATTTCTATCTCTTTTAGCTCCATATTTTTTATTACGACCTTCTATAAAAGTACTAGAATGGTTAATACGTAAATTCAAGTACATTATTTCACTATTTTTTATGAAAATACTTATATTCACTTAGAATACATAAGAAAAACCAGGACTCTCTTTTACTCTCAATTTTTCCATATCACATGCATCCCTTTTTTATAAAAATTTTATCAATTATAGATATACCTTTACCAACATGGTCATTTCTTATTCCTTTTAAAAATCGAAAAACATGCCCAACTCATTATATAATTGCAAAATCTCTATCAGAAAATGAAATACTTTTTTCAATGTTTATGAACTATGTTCAATGTAAGGTTAAAGAAAAAAGAGATTATCAAACTCTTTTAAAATTTTGGGCTACATGTATTACAGAGGCTATTTATATTATGAAAAAAGAATCAACAAACGAAGAAATTGTTCTCTCTAAAACCCTTCCAAATATTTTTGAAGGACTATTACTACAATCGTCTTCTGAATATCAGGTAACAATACAAATTATCTAGTAAAAATATTTACAGAATAAAGATTGCAAATTATATAATAATAATAGCAATAAGTGCTTATTACTCATTATCTGAAAAATCTTTAATCATTGCATTAACTTTAGTAAGTAAAACATTAGATAAAACTACAACAAATTCAGGACTTATCTGTTTGGCACAACTTGCACAAACAAGAGAAGGATACAAACCATTACCAGACTCTGTATTTAAGTCAATATCAAAACTCAAAGATATTAACGAAAAACTTATTATGATTGGTGAAAAGTATCGGTCGGATAAACTAATTGTTGGATATATTCTTTGTTTAATAGAAAATAAAATAAAAAATAATGATTTTTCTTTATTTGAAGAATTAGAACTATTTCTTTCTAAAGCACGACTCTCGAAAGATGAATTCAAAATAATTATACATACTATATTTCTTCAAATTATCCAATTTAAAAATTTACCAGCTGAGACTAAAAATAAGATTTCTGATATTATCAAAAAATTTAAAGAAGATCCATTATTTAGGTCTATTTTAAAAGATATATCAGAAACATTCAAAAATAATATAGCAGAAATACAAAGTATATTACAAATAACCATAGTAGTAAGTTTTCAATATTTTTTTTAATTAAATTTAAATATTTATTAGGAATTACCACCTACAATTTCAAACGATATTGAAACAAAACAACCAGATTTAATAAAAAAGGAAACAAAAATTATGGAAAAAGAAATGTCTATTTTAATTAATACTGTTCAAAATATTACCCATGATTTATTTTTTATAAATTCTAATCAAATATTTCATAAAGCATTTTCGATAGCATGCAAATACCCTACAGGAATTGATATACTTTTTTCATGTCCCGCTTTACAAACTACGTTCTCTAAACTCTGCTTTTTATCTCAAATATGGGTATCTCAAAATTCAAATAGCAACAACCTAGAAGAAATTGCAATAACTGCCTTGAAACAATATCAAACACTCATATCAAACGAACAAAAAAAAAATATTGATTATCAGTTTTTTATACCGTATCTTTTAATCTCTTTAAATAATAAATCTATAAACATAAGAAAAACTGCATCAAAAATAATTCATCTTCTAGCGAATAAATTAGAAGAACTTCCTTCTACAGACTTTATAATCTATGGTTTTAATGATAATATGTATGGTAATAAGTCTTCTAAACTTAATTGGCTCTCAAATAAAAATGAAAAGAAATTTTTATTAGAAATATTAATACCTAACATGGAAGAATGCATTTTTGATAATAATTATATATATAAAATATTTAATGATCTTTTTGAACCAAATAATAAAAAGGAAGATATCAGGTATTTAATTATTTAAGAAATCTTAATCGTTTAAGCTCTTTTTAGTTTTAAACTTTCTATTTTGAAATTTATATGTTCTCATATTATTTCTTGTCCTTTTGAAGATGTTTGGTTTAAATTGCTCAAAATAATTAATAATTCTACAGAAAAAAATATCCTTAAAACAAAACTTCTTCTTCCAATTCTTAAAGATTACCAAAATTTAAATCTACAAGAAAAAAACAAATCATTAGTTATTAAAGAACTTTTTAAAATTGTCGTAAAAGGTGAAAACGGACCTGGTACAAAACTACTGTTGGAAATTACAAAATCAAATCATATGGAATTTGCTATTGAAGCCTGTCAAAGACTTTCAGAATTATGGAAGTATATTAAACATAATATTATGTTTGAAGTGTGTAAAACGTTTATTGATATTAGTGAAGATAGAAATAAGGCAAGTATTTAAATTTATTTAGATCAAAATTTAATAATCTTAGCCTATATCTTCAATAATTTATAAAACCCTTAATGACTTTGAGATCCCGGTAGAAGTTTTTCTATCCTTATTCTCTAGTTTAAATTTAAAAGACTTGCTTCTATCATTATTAACCAAACAGCAAAAAAATACAGATTCTTCCAACGAAAAAATAGAAAAAGAACTACAATATATTACAATATTTCTAGAACTATTAGAAAAAAATAATCCAGAAACTAAACCTCAATTGATTACACATCTTTTCACATCATTAAATTTTTTAATTACACTAGAAACGAATACCAGAATATCAATGGCATATCCAGAACAGATTATTCTTACATGTCTTCAAAAAATAATAAGTAATATTGTATTGATCTTATTTTTAAAGAATTTTTAGCTCACAAATTATTCTAGTCTCCTAATTTTAATTCTAAAGCAATTCGTATGGACCTTTTAATAAATTGCATATGCTCGTCACCAACTCCTCAAATTCATAATCGCACTTTATTGCTTATTGCAACAATTGCTAAAGCATTCCCAGAATTGATTCTTCATAATATTATGCCAGTTTTCACATTTATGGGGACAAATATTCTTTATCAAGATAATGATTTTTCTACATATATAATTGAACAGGTATATATTTTATATATTCGCAGTTAGTATTAATATAACATTTTAAGACTATTCAAAAAATTATTCCTCCTCTTATTTCTAATAGCAAAAATCTAAATGATGATATAGTAAAAAATTCATCTACAATATTAACAAGTTTTGTAAACGCATTTGCTCATATACCAGATTATCGTAAGTTAAAGTAAGCTATTTTATATTTATATTAAACTGAAAAATTTAATATAATTATAGACTGTTTATTATTCTTATCAAAACTCTAGATCCCAATGAATTTTTATACGCTTTTCTTGTTTTATTTTTAAATATGAAATTTAACTATGAAAAAAAAAAAAAAGATATTGAAATTGAAACTATTACTGATTTTTGCATATCTTTATCTACATCCTTTGAAATAGAAACACAACTATTGGTGAATATTTTATTTTTCTCTTTTTAGATCTAAATATATTAGTCTTTTTGGAAGCTTTTAAATTTTGCAAAATCATTAACTATAGATACTTCAAACATACCAAATAATCAAGTCTTAATAAATACATCAGATTTTGATAACAAAAAATTAAATGATCTACGTTCTCAGCTTATCAAAATTGTCGGAGACATTTTTATTTCAAAGCAATTCAAAATAATTTTTCTAACTATGCATCAAACTATGACAGATGATAGCAACATATTATCAACTATTCATAAAATTATAGAAATATTGATTAAAATGAAAGAAATATATATAGTTTCTAAAAACAAAAGTGATTTATTATTTTCAATTAAACTATTACTTATTTAAGTAGTTCTTCAAAATTCATTACAATATGTGTTAAAAGAAATCCTCGTACTTTTACCAGCAAAAATATTCACTGTTATTATCAAAAAATTATTAATTTCAGAAAATCTTAAAGTAATCAATACCCATTACAATTATTATATAGCTTATTTTTAAATAGCTTCGTTTGAATGCGTGCATTATCCTAAAAAATAAAATTGAAATGGAATCAAAAAATACTAATACAGAATCTACTGCAATAGAACTTCTTCCAAATATCATAAAAAATACATTTAAAAAAGAATTTAAATTAACATGTGTAGGACTTGAATGCGTTAATGTTATAGCTCAAAAATATGGAGAAAATAATTCTACAATTTTTTTTCAAATACTTGATAATATAATTGAAGATGGACTTAAAAACGGAAATAAAGATACTCAAATATTATCTATTATTTGCATAAAAGCTATAAGGTAAGTAATTTAAATATATATAAATTGGCTTAATTTATTTCAGTGTATATTTAGGACCTCGTTTACTTCCAAAACTCCCAAATTTTATTCCTTATATATTGAAAGAAGTTAAAGATTCTAATGATGGTAAAATCATACATATCTTATTATATTATTTAATAATTTCTAGATATATTAGAGATAACCATATACTCTCTTATAGAAGAACTTATTAACTTAATTCCTTCATTTATGTCATCTTATACGAAACTAATACTCGAATCATGCTTCTATAAAAATCCTACAGAAAATAAAGAATTAAATACAATAAGAAATTCCTTAAAGAATACAGTAGCGAAACATTTACCCTTAAAAGTGGTATTTTTATCAATTTCTAAATACTGGGAACATATTATTTCTTTAAACAAAACTGTACATTTTTCTTAAATATATTATTTATTAATACTTATTAGACTATTGTATTTCAACTTGATTTATTAGAAACAACTCTTAAAAATTCTAAAAAGGAAGACATAGAAAAAAATTCACTGCAATTATTTAATTTTTTTCTTACAATATTTAATATAAAAGAAGAGAGTAAATTAAATATAGAGGCAATTTCTTTTATTATTAATATTAAAAATAAAAGCTTATTATTATTAGATTATAATGTCGATAGAAGAAAAAACAATTGAAATATTTCTTCAAATGATCATGAAATTAAACGACACAACCTTTCGGCCGTTATTTCTTAATTTCCGTCAATGGGCATTCTACGATTTATACTACGAAAAAACAAAAATCGATCCTAGGCCCCGATTACTAACTTTTTATAAATTTTTTGGGATATTTTTAGAAAAATTTAAGGTAATAATAAATTGCAACGATCATAATTCTTATTCAAAATAGTCAATCGTAACAAATTATTTCTCTCATGTCTTAGATGATACTATCGAATTACTTCAAAAAGAAAAAGATGATACCTTTTGTTTAAAATCAGATCTATGGGAAGCAATTATAAATTCAATTCATCAAAATCTTTTGTATGATACTGAGGGTAATATTTATATTACATTATATAAAATTTTAATATAATTAGAATTTTGGCAAAATTCTACACGATTTTCAAAAATGGCACCAGTACTTATATCTCATTTATCATTTACACCTCGATATAAAGTAGACAAATACTTAATACCCTCTATAGCACAATTAGCAGCAATCACAGTTTCAGATGAGCATTATAAGACAATTAATACATTAGTCCTTACTCATATGAATTCTGATAACGCATCAGTACGTCTTGCAGCTTTGGAAACCCAAAAAGAACTTTATACTCGAGTTAAAGAAGAATGGCTTGTAACATTGCCACAAACTATACCATTTATTTTAGAAGCTATGGAAGATCAAAATGAAAAAATTGAATATTCTGCACAAAAACTAATTGTAACTATAGAGTCATATCTTGGTGAATCTCTTCAGCGATTTCTTACATAATTTTTCTCTATAAATTATTAAAAAATATTTAAACATGATTTTATTTATTACTAACGTTTATTAATTCAATATTTATCAAAAATATCAATTAAACAAATTTAATAATTACTCATTAAATTTATGGAAAAAACAATTCAACATATAATATATTCATTAAAACAGTTCTGTGAATTGTATTTATGGAAATACAACTATATACATCAAAACATAATTATTTATCCTATTTTAAGCTATAGGTAGCTATAATGCTATAAATATAATTGTTATATAGAGAAGTTCTATAAAAAATCATTATACATAACAAGTGGTAAATTCATTTTTATATAGGCGATAATGCAAATTAAGTAGAAGATTTCATTTTTGCAGAGTGTTGTTTTCTCATGTTTCTAGATTTTAAAAAAACATATTCCATAACACGAAGGTTTTCTTTAAGGTCTTCTAATTCCAGTATTTTAGATACAATGTCTTTAACTTTAAGTTTTGAAGGCTCCCATGGTTTTAAAGCTTCTTGAGCTTTTATGTTTTCATTAAGCCAATTTTCAACATTATCAACATTTGTCTTGTAAACCTCAAGAGTTTCAGGCTTAAATCCAACCTCCAAAACCTTATGTCGTAATCTCTGGTTAGGATTAATATTACCGCTTTTCAAAATGTTTTCAAAAGATGAATTTGCGTTATCGTCATTAGACTCATCATTAAACTCTTCTACTTTCTCAATAGGAAGGTTTCCCAAATAATGTCTAAAACCATCTATTCGCCTTCTTAGTTCTGAAATTCTATCAGATCGTTCACGAGCATCAATCTTTCTTTCTGAAATAGGTTCTTCTAAAACTCTAACTAGTTAGCAAGAACAACAAACATACATGAATATACTGAATAGTTTTCTTATATTCGAAAAATTCATCTAACGTCGATATATCTCCATTCTTTCTAAGCCATTCGCTTACATTTTCAACAACATTTGACAGTTCCTCACGCTGTTCTTTAGTGCTAACAGCTATAAAATCATCGGTTTCAAGAGACTCTTGAACATTATAAATGTAAGCTTCAAGAGTATTTCTTGCTTCATCACGTGCCGCTCTCCTTTTATCTATTTCATTCAAATCAAGTAACCTTAATGAAGTTAAAAAAATAAAGCTTCATAAAATTATTTACATATTTCTTGAATTTAACTTAAAATCTTTGTTTCGAGGATTTATATCCACATACAAAATTTGAAAATTTAAAGATCTCGATTTTTTTTCATCATCGTCATCATCATCAGTATTTGAAGTATCGGAAAGATCGTCTTGATTAAGGATATTCTCACTCTATCTTTGAATCAACATATATCAATAGGAAAAAAAATGAAACTTTACCTCCAGCCGTTCATTATATCTTCTATTAAACAATTCATGAAGATCTATATCATTTCAATTTTCTTCTAAAGAAATAAATTGAAATACTTTTCATTTCATGATCCGTTTTACATTTTAGTAATGCGTTAGTCACCACAATCAAACCTGATGTATCCAACTTAAAAGTAACCGTTGTTAAAAAGTCAGAACATCCATGCTCATCTTTTAAAGAATTATAAGATTCATTAAATCCGCTCAATTTAAGAGTAGCAAATTTTACACCAGGAAGACGGTGACCTGTAACATAAGAAAAATCAACGTAAAAATCATCTTTATGAGGAAAGTCTATGGCATTTTCGCGTTCTAATCTTGTCCCTTTCATAAACAAAGAATGAGTAATACTAGTAGAAGCTATATAATATTAAATCTTTTATTATAAATATCCATAAAACTTACTATCAGAAAGATTCCTCAAATAAGTCATAAAAATAGAATTCAAAGTAATATCTATTGATTTAATATTTTTCACACGAAATTGTCCTGATAACCCAGCTCCTCGAAAAACAGCACCTTAATTGAAATAAAGAATAAATATAAGAAATTAATTAACCTACCCATTACAGCAGACTCATCAGCATTTACACTCCTCGAAACTTTTTCAGATCCAACCATAGTTTCTATTTGTTTTTGAACAAAAGGAACCCTCGCACCACCACCAGCTAGTATAACAGAGGCTAAACGTCTAATGACTATAGGCGTCATTGAAACAGCAGTAGTAATAGGCTTTTTTATTTGTTCCGAAAACTCCTCCATTAATTTCTCAAAAATTTCTCGAGTAACTTTAATATTATAATCAATATCTTCACAAAGGTTTTCAATCTTAAATAAATAAGACACATAAAAAAACAAACTCTTTTGCAATACCATTACATGTGCTTCTGAATTTGCACTAAGAATATGTTTTATCCGAGATGCTTCCTGAAATAATTTTGAAATTGACTTAGAATTTGATTCTACAAGAGCTTTTATTTTTGATCCTTTTAACTTCTCAAGCTCATTTAACAAATAATCCACAAGTTTCCATGTAATAGTATCACCTCCAAAATTCCGATCATATCCAACACCCATAACCTCCACAGCAGTGACTGTTTTGTTGTTAGGATGAACCTTTGTTCTAAAAGAAACAAACGTAGCTGTCGTACTACCTGCTCCCATATTATAAAAAACATGATATTGAGGTTCTTCATCAAATAAACGTGTTGTAGCATAATTGATTGCAACTATAAATCTTATTAAATACAATACGTTTCGTATAGAAAGTACATACTTGCAAGACCATCATTAACCAAAGAAATAACATTTAAACCAGCTATTTCAGCAGAATCTAACAAAACATATCTCTCAGTGTCTGTAAAATACGATGGCACAGTTAAAACAACATCCTTTATCTCTTCGCCAACAATATCTTCAGCCATCATTTTATAATTTTCAAGAACCATTGCAATAAGCTCTTCAATGCTATAAGTTCGATTACTTTGCACAAACAAAACACCTGATCCATCTACATCTGGAACTAACTTGACCTTTCTATCTTCCATATATTTTTTTACTTCTTCTGAAGTATATGACTTCCCAATCAAAGATTTGAGTGAAGGAAAAACAGATGAAGGATTTCTGAATGCCTAAAATAACATTATCAATAATTCCAAATAAATCTTAAAAAACACACAAAATCAACAGCACGTGCACCATAAAGACGCTCATCACCATCAAAACCCACAACACTTCGCTCCTTTCGCTTAGAATCTTTTGTTAAAACAATTTCTATCGGAACCCCATGCTTAACGAACGCTGCTTTAACCCATTCATGTCCATAATCAATTGCTAATACTGTAGCCTCAACGCTTAATTTTTCATAATTCAAAACAAACAAAAAAATAAACAAAAAAACTACACGGAAAGAGCAGAAAAAATTCACAATTATCATTTCCTTTATTATAAAAATAATTTTTTAATGAATTTTTTAATGAATTCTACTCCAAAATATTTTAAAAAAAGATTACGATTGTCCAAACATTGTCTCGACAAATGCCAAAAGTTAAAATCAGTTTTCGAAAACTTTCAAAAAATAACTCAGGAAAATATAATAGTAATAAAAACAATATATATATAGAATTAATTAATCCTGTATTTTCTAATTTTTTCCTGCTATTTTTAAAATATATTCAATGATTTTTGCAACATAAAAAATCTAATAATTTTTAATCAACAAAAAAAATATTGAAACATATATGAGTAAAAATATACCTTCCAATAAAGCAAAAAAACACATTATCTCTAGAAAGTCACTCATCAGATAAGAATTGTAGGGAAAAACAAGTTTTACCAAAAGTACAAATATCGCTTCTTGACGTTAGCATGCGTAAGTTATTTCTTATGCATGATATACATGATGTATTGATATTTCTCTAATTGTACATAGAGTAGAGAGTTAGTATTTCTTAAAAATATATCAATTATTTCTTAACTAAATAACAACAATTACAGAAAATTATAAAACAAAAAATACAATTTTTTCGCTTTTTAGACCTTCTAAAAACTTGAATCATCAATTTTTCACATTATTAAGTGCATACAATACAAGAAACAGCTCTAAAAGCAAACGCAAAAAAAATTAATAACAAATATCTATCATTTTAATATTGCTACATATCCTATTTTTTCAAGTTACTATTAAGCCTAGATGATCTAAGAAAGAATTCTATATACTAAAAAAAATCCTAAACTCATTTCCTCGAATTTCTTATATTCAATTAAAATATCTTTTAATTATATTCTTTGCATTCTTATACTAACATTTATGTCTTCTAATTTATACTATTTTATACTATTCATGCATTTTCAATTCATATACTAACCCTTCCTACTTAGAAAAACACTATATCTAAACGTCTCTGTATAATGACTACATTTTACATTTCTCTATTACTCATTTATCCATTTTCTCATATAACGTTCTTGAGTTGGAATTTTTGCGATTAACGACAAACTTACCTTCAAAAAAAATTAGAAATTAGATTAAAAGAAAGTTGAGCAAAAAAGATCATTTAATATTGATCACAGGAGGAAAAAGATACAAGGTTTTTGTATTATTTAAGAAATATTAAAATTTTAAAAGAAAAAATGGCGAATTCATGGAAACCACAGATTGAACCATTTTCACAACTTATTCAAATTCTTAGAGACTCTATTTCTGAAGATTCAGCACCTAGAAATGAAGCGATGAAGGTAAGCGTTTTTGTTTTATTTTTTTTAAAAAAATATATCCTAATTTTTATTTACTATAGTATCTAGAAGAAGCACAAAAAGTCCCAGATTTTAACAAATATTTAGCAAGTATTTTTATAGAAGCAGACAAGTTGGACATTTCTATCCGTTCAGCAGCAGGGTTACTTCTTAAAAATAACATTAGCATGTTTTTTCCTCAAATATCAGATGACGTTTTAATTTATCTTAAAGAAGCATCTATTAGTGGTCTTTCAGATACTCAACAACTTATTCGGAGTATTTCTGGTAATTTAATCACAACAATTATTAAGAAAGGAGGTATTATGAATTGCACAGAAATTCTTCCAAAACTTATGCAAATGCTCGAAAGTCCGGATATTTTAACACAGGAAGTAATAAACCAATGATTTGTCGAAAAAATACCATGTTTTGACTGTATTTTTCATAGGGAGCCTTTAGTGCTATGGCAAAAATATGTGAAGATTCTTCTCGTGAATTGGACCAGGAATATAACGGAGAGCGTCCTTTAAACTTTATGATTCCTAAATTTCTTTCTTATACAGATTCAGAAAATCCGAAAATTAGAGCAGACGCATTTTTTTGTCTTAATCAATTTATCTTAACTAGATCACAGTCACTTTTTGCTCATATAGATACATTTCTTGCAAAGCTTTTTCAATCAGCAACAGATAGCACGCCTGATGTGAGAAAAAATGTTTGTCAAGCATTAGTCATGCTTCTTGATGTAAAATCTGATAAAATTCTTCCATCATTTAACAGCATTGTTGAATATATGCTTTATTGCACATCTGATTCAGAAGAACATGTTGCATTAGAAGCTTGTGAATTTTGGTTAGCTGTTGCTGAACAGCCAGAGCTACAGACACCATTGGAACAGTATCTCGATAGGATTGTGCCAGCCTTATTGAAGGGAATGGTATATTCTGAAATAGATATCTTAACACTAGATGGAGGTGAAGATGATGCACATATTGCTGATAGATCAGAAGATATTAAGCCTCAGCATACAAAGGCAAAAATTCACGAAAACAAGCATATCTATGACGAGTCTTCTCAAAAAATTCCTAAACTAAAAGATAATAGTGATGATAATAATGATGATGATGATAATGATGATGATGATGATGATGATGATGAAACTGATGATGAAACATACTCTCAATGGAATCTAAGAAAATGTTCAGCAGCGGCTTTTGATGTTCTTTCTACAGTATATCACAATAAGCTTTTAGAAGTTTCTATGCCATATTTGAGACAAAATATTTTTAGTGAGGACTGGAAAATAAGAGAAGCAGGCGTACTTGCTTTAGGTGCTCTTGCAGAAGGTATTTTATGTTATATATATATTCATTGATTTATATAATTTAATTAGGCTGTTTTAATGATATGACAAAATTTCTGCCCGAACTATTCCCTTATTTAATATCTCTGTTGAATGATCCTAAAGTAATACTTAATTTTTAATAATTATTTTTTTTATAATACAATTTAGCCATTAATGCGACAGATGACATGTTGGACATTAGGGAGATATGCACGATGGGCTGCTTTTTTAGCATCGAGCGAAGAAAGACAAAAATATTTTATCACTCTTCTAGAAGGGGTATATTTTTATTCCAAAAATTTCTTTTAATAACAACATATGCAGTTATTGCGTACTGTATTAGATAACAACAAAAGAGTGCAAAAAGCAGGGTGCAGTGCTTTGGCTAACCTTGAAGAACAGGCTGGGCCAATTCTTATCCCTTATCTTGATCCTATTCTTCATACTTTAGTTATAGCATTTCAAAAATATCAGCAAAAAAACCTTCTCATATTATATGATGCACTTCAAACTCTTACAGATTCAGTTGGTCAATCTTTAAATAAAAAAGAATATATTGACATTTTAATGCCCCCTCTAATTGAAAAATGGAGTTCTCTTAGTGACGAAGATCGGAATCTTTTCCCTTTATTAGAAGTCAATTCATCTTACATACTTTAAAAAAATACTAATTAATTATTTAGTGTTTGTCATCAGTTACGGTTGCTTTAGGAGAAGGATTTATGCCATTTGCTCCACCTGTATTTTCTCGTTGTATATCTATCATACACAAAACTCTAATGCAATTAAACCTGTATAATCAAGATCCAAGACTTGATGCGCCAGATAAAAATTTCCTTATAACATCTCTTGATTTATTAAGTGGCCTTGTAGAAGGTCTTGGACCCAATTTTGAATATTTAATCATGCAGGCCGAACCACCTCTTGTACAACTACTATCAATTTGCATTACAGATCCATTACCGGAAGTTAGACAATCATCATATGCATTGCTTGGGGACTTATCAATTTTTTGTTTTCAACATATTAAACCATATATAACACCTCTCATCTCAGAATTAATTGGACAATTAGACATGCATCATGAATCATTTGGCGTCTGTAGCAATGCAGCGTGGTCCGCTGGCGAAATATCCTTGAAAATGGGTAAACTTTTTTTATCTATGCATACAGAATATTAATCATTTAATAAAATAGGCCATGAAATGTTACCATATGTTGATCCGTTACTAAATCGACTAATTAAGCTACTCAAAGGGCCAAATACACTTCCAAGTGTTCTTGAAAACTGCGCCATAACCATAGGCAGACTAAGTTTAACATGCCCAGACTCAGTAGCTCCAAATCTCCGAAATTTTATCAAACCTTGGTGTTCAGCGTTAATGAACGTACGAGATAATGAAGAAAAGGATTCAGCATTTCGTGGAATATGTACAATTATATCTAGAAATCCAGAAGCTATGACTGATATCTTAACCGATTTTATGACAGCAATCAGTAAATTTCAAAAACCGTCTCCTGAACTGAATGACATGTTTTTGAAGGTATATTTTATATATCTTTTATTGAAATTCAACTAATGTATACAGATTCTACAAGGGTATAAAAGAATGATGAATGATTGGAACAACATAATTTCCAATCTTCATCCAGAAACACAGCAACGCTTGCGAGAACGTTATGCTATTTAATAAAATATTACAAATTTGGATATGGATATGTTCATATACCCTACATAACTTATTTTTCTGCATGTATAACATATTGAATTTTTATAATTTATCTTTAAAAAAATCCTGTTCGGCAAAAATCTGCCAGTCGTAGTCGAATATGCTAAAAATTCTACAAATGTTAGATACCCACAAAATGCCTTGAGAACGATTTCTATAACTATAGTGTACATTGCATTATAGTATTGTATACATTGTTCTTCGTTTTGTATATGTATTTTTCTTTTTTAATCTAACGTAGACTAATTATGTTGTTAGTAAAAAGATAACTAATATTTATAAGACATAACTACAATGGCATCATATCCATACGACTATGAAAATGTCTTTGATCAGGATTATTTAGTGGATGATGCCCTGATAGAAGATATTTGGGCACAAGATGAATTTACAGAACTTCATTCAGTAGCTTCAAATAAAATGCGAATAACAGAAGAAGGAAAAAATGAAAATCATGAAGAACGAGAAGCATTTACATTACATATAAAGAAAAATGATGAAAGTAATATTCAACCGTATCTCGAAATATCATCAAAAAACTTAACTGAATCACATGTTCAATATGCCCTTGGGTTTGACAAAAATAGCAGAACAAGTAATCCTGGTAAAGAATCAGAAACAAAACAACTACAAAGGAATGTTAAGCTCTTTAATGATCTCCCATCTGCGAAGCATGAAGCGCTTAAAACATTTGAGGAACATTTTTATAATATTTATCATTCCAAAGACCTAGGAGAATCAGGACAAGATGAAATTATGACATGTGAGTGTAAATCTGAATGGGGTTTGTAAACTAAGTGTTTTTTTTTTTTTTTAATAAAATATTTAGACGGAACAAAAAACCACGCATGTGGTAAAAATTCAGATTGTATTAATAGAATGACATCTGTGGAATGCACTGATGACTGTAATTGTGGAGAGGATTGTCAAAATCGGAGATTTAAGCTAAAACAGTATTCAAATATTGATGTTATTAAAACAAAAAAAAAAGGCTATGGTATAAGAGCAAATTCTGATATGGAGTCCGGTCAATTTATCTATGAATATGTAGGAGAGGTAATAGACGAAAGAAAATTTCGAAAAAGAATGAAAATATATGCCAATGAAGACATTAAACATTTTTATTTTATGATGCTTCAAAGAGGTGAATATATTGATGCTACCAAAAAAGGGGGGCTTGCAAGATTTTTAAATCACTCATGCTCCCCTAATTGTTATGTAGATAAATGGGTTGTAGGAACAAAATTACGCATGGGTATTTTTTGTAAACGTAATATATTAAAAGGTGAAGAGTTAACTTTTGATTATAACGTCGATCGATACGGGTATAACATTTAGATTTGTTTCCTTGATCCCTAATTTATTTTAAGAAATACAGCACAGCCATGTTACTGTGAGGAGCCTGGATGTATTGGATTTATTGGAGGAAAAACCCAGACTGAATTAGATTCAAAAATACCTCAAAATATACTAGAAGGCATAAAAGCATGTTTCAAAAATATAACTAATTTTCTTAGCCCTAGGTTTTGAAGATTTAGACTTTTGGGATTTTTCATCAAAAAAAATTCGAAAAAAGAAAAAAGGAGAAACAGATGAAGAATATTATAATTCTTTACAATCTAACCCTGTAGATGAAAATGGTGTAACTAAGATAATGAGTGCCCTTCTCCAATGTAAAGAGCGTTGGATTATTAATAAACTTTTATTAAGAATTCATGTTATTAATATTAATTTATAGCTCTTCTAATTTTATATAGTCTAATAATGATCCTATTATTCAAAGAAGAGTAATGAAAATGCATGGATATCAAATTCTTGGCTCTGTTCTTCGTGATTGGCAAGGCGATTTTGATATTTCTAATATGGTTCAAATTATTATATATTAAATTTTCACTTTTTTACATTTTTCAGATCCTTAATATTCTTTTGAAATGGCCAAGGATTACAAAAAATAAAATCTCTAGCTCTAAAATAGAAACTACTGTTCAAACTTTAGCGTCTCATGAAAATGCAGAATTAAGAAGAATGGCTCAAGAAGTAATATAATCATAACTACTATTATATAATCTAACTATATATTAGCTTATCAAAGAATGGGGGAATCTGTCGATAGCTTATCGAATTCCAAAAAAAGCAGTATGTATCATATTTTTATAAAATTATTAACTAAATTTATAGAAAACACAGCCAATAGAAACTGTTTACTCCCAATCAGAAAATACTGATAGTGATTCAAAATCATATCAGTCCCCGGATTCCCAGAATAGCCCAATTTCTAATGAACAATATTACCGTTTTTCTAAATTCAAAAATTATGATAACTACCATACAAATAAAGGATCATCATTTCGAAGCGAAAGATTTTGGAAACCTGACATACGATATTCAGATGATCCAGATATACGAGGATCCAGATCATGGGTTCCACGTACTATTGAAGGAAATTCTCGTATTTTACCTCCAGGTTGGGCAGTTGCAAAGACTCAAGATGGAAAGACATACTATTACAGTGGAGATAAAGTGCAATGGGAGTTTCCTCTTGAAACACTGCCACCGCCACCACCGCCTCCACCACCATCATCATCTAATAATACGTCTCTTGATTTACAAAGAATTATCGATGAAGCCAATGCAGAATTAATGGAACGACAACATAGTATTTCTAAACATGATTCTAAAAACAATAAAAACAATATAAATAAAGATAGAAGTTATAAGCATTCATCTAGCAAAAGCGAAAAAGGAAAAATTTCTATAGAAAAAATACTAATAAAAACAGTAAAACTTCATATATTCAAAATATAAAGCTAATAAAAATGATAGTTTGCTAAATATGTACCAAATGTAATTGCAAAATTCCAGGATCAACTTGGGAAAGACGAATTCAAGAAGCGGGCCAAAGAAGTATAACAAAAATATTGAATTAAAATATATCTTATATGAAGCAGATTGTAGAAATACTTGTTAAAAAAGAAATGCGACCGGGACATGAAATAAAGAGTATATATGAACTCAGCAATACAAAAAAGAAAAAAATTAAAGAATTTAGTCAAACATATATAGAAAAAGTTATTAATAGAAAAAAAGAAAAAAATACAAAAGAAAAAAATACACAAAAAACAACTAAATCACATAAACAAGAAATTTCAAATGGATTTAAGAGTATTTCTAATGAATACCATTCAGCAATTTCAAAAAATAGACATGATTAAGACAATGAGTACGATTTTTGTATGAAGAATCATTATCTTTAAAAATCAATAATATATTTTCATCTACGAATAAGTTCAAAATAAAGAATTTAAAATATTATTCGTATTGCGTATAATTTAAACAGACATTTTAAATCATTATAACTAAACTAAATAATCTATTTTGTAAGATTATATATTTAAAATATACTATGTTTTATTTTTTATTTAATTATACATTTTATAATTATCTCATTATAATTTATCTGCATTACTCATTTATCTAATTATTTATAAAAACACAATATTTCAAATATTAATTTATAAATTTGATAAAGTTCTATGAAAACACATCAAATTTTCTAAAATATTTAATAAAGCCTTTTTGCATAAATACAAAAATTGCTTATTTCTTAACTTAATAGATGTTAAAAATTAATTATTTTTAAAATACTAGAAAAAATACACCATTTTTAATCTAATACTTTGTGGATAACCTCTTTTTAAAAAATACTAAATAATATGTTCATTAAAAATACAAAATCTTTTACACATCATTATATATATTATTATTTTTGCGTCTTTTGTTTTTTCTATCAAAACCAGACATAGAAGAAACTCCCTTTATATCTTCCTGACTTAAAATAATCATACCTTTACGATATTTTCCAACTGTAATCTCATTTAACCCATAATTTCGTTTTTTTTTTATTTTGGACTTAAATGTAGGTAAAGCTCGAACAATACCAGCTTCTTTAGCCTTTTTCTTAGCAATCTCACTCCTGACTTTTGCTTTAAGCTTCATTCCTAATCTTATTTTGAAAGGAATTTTTTCTTTAAAAACATCTTTACCACCTAATAACTTAATCCTGTTTTCAATAATTTTGTGTCTTTGCTTTCCAGTAGGTTCAAGAGAAAAAGCAGAACTGTCTGATCCCTTTTTCAAAAAATGAGACTCCTCTAGCAACCTTTGTAAAGCAATATCGTTTTTTAATTGATCATTCTCTAGGTCCTTTTTTTTAGAAAATTTTAAAGACTTCTTTCTTTCAAAAAAATCCGAAAATTTAGACAACTTAAAATATTAGTTAAATATTTATTACAAAACATTCAACCTTAAAGGAATGAAACTGTGTATTTTTATTTGCAACAACAGTCGATCCTTCTACATTTTCAGAAAAAGTGACAATTTTTGGAGATTCTTTAAAATCTTAATACAGAAATACAATAAAAATAAAATAACAAAATAAAAATAAAATTTACCATCTTCAATATCCTCATTTTTAATATTTTGTAATATTATCGAATCCTGAAGTTCATTTTTTTTAATTTTTTTAACACCTAAAAAACAAGTACTTCCAAACTGATTTTCAAAGCTCTTTTTCAGTAATTTCAATGCATTCTTTTCTAATTCAGGAGATATTTCAAAACCTTTTATTTTTTCACTTTTCATGACGTTAAAAATAAAATCATTCGAAAACATAAATATACTTAAATATTAAAAAGAAAGCAGGAAAAAACAAAAAAAGATAAACAAAAGCTATTATTTTTGTAGAATGTAAAAATATAATGCTTAAAAATACAAATTTTAATTCTTTTCAATCAAAATTTCTTAACAATAATTTCAAAACTTGTAACTTTTAAAATTAAAAAGCATCTATAAAAGTATGAAGAAAGCAGGAATTCATGAAAAAGTAGAAAAAAATCGACTAAAAAATGTGAAAGAAATAGATGATTCTTCTATACAAATGGTAGATAACATCTTCACCTATTGCATTTCTATCTTACCAATATAAACTGTTTCAGATAACTTCAAAAAATAAGCGAAATATGTATTGTACTAGTGACTCAAAAGTATCAGCAATGCTTCCATTAAAATCTTGCTCAGAATTTCAGAAAATCAATTCAAATCTAAATATTAAATCAAATCATTCTGAACAATATCTTAAAGAAAATCTATTATATGAAGTTGAGCCTAAATCAAATGATTTAGTAAAAAAAAACAATTTTTTCCATCATAGCGGGTTTCAACTACAAAAAAATCCTCAGAAACATTTTTTTACAGAAACAAATACTTTATCACAATTCCAAGAAACTGATATTTTATCAGGAAAGCAACAATTTCCAAAATTTTTTCATGCAAATGATGGATTTATGTCACAAGATAATCATTTTTTACAAGATACAAACTTACCAATTTCTTTAAAATCACCTCGTCTAATATCAAAAAATAACTCTGTTCAATCATTAACTATTTCAGAAAACAAAACACCACTAAGTTCTCCCTATACTTCTCCCAAGAAAAAGCATGTCGAGAATTTAGAGAATTTTTCAAATATTGCATATATAAACGATATGATGTCTTTAAATGTACTACAAAAATCACCAAAATGTACTCTATATAAACAAAATTCTCCAAAATTCACACCAAAAACATTAAAAACAGAATCAAGACTTGTATTAACAGAAGTATCAGATAACACAAAATTTGCTCGTACAAATAGAAAAGTAATTATTATTTAAAAATCAACACATGTATAATTCTTTTTAGATTCTTGATCTGGAAATATCGAATACATCATTACTTGCTCTAAATGATAATTTAGAAAAACAAACCCGCCGTCAAATGTCTGAAATTAAAGAATTACGGAAAAAAATTATAACCGAAAACCTATATATTACAAACTCAACATCAAATTCTGCATTGAGTTCTGACGAAAGCGAGTCAGATTCTAAACTATCCCAAACTTCAGATTCTTCTATAACTGATCATCAGAGAATTATAGATAATTCATTATCTTTTATGAAATCTTTAAGAAGGGTTCTTAGACTTACAAAGAATTTAATAAAAGAAGGTCATCAAGCACTAAGAAGCCCCAAAAATGATATTCCTATATATTTAAAAGTTTTAAATAAAAATACAGATTTACAAGAAATAAATTACAAAAATGAAACAAATTTCGAAAATTCATAAAAATACTCAAATATACAAATATAAAAATTATAAATAACAAAATATAAAAAAATCAAACAAATTAGTTTAAAAATATAATCAATTTTTTTTTATTGTTTTAAATCCTTTTTTCAATAAATGTTTCATACGTTAAGAAATACTTTGAAAATAAAAAATGAAACTTAAGGTTTTTTTTTTTAATCTAATAAAATCCAAATACTATATCAAAAAATCATGTTCATAAATGTTTTTACTAAAAGATTTTTTACAACAGACAATTATTAAAAGTAAAAAATACTATATTTCACAATGATAATAATTTAGAATCATATTTTTAAAAATGAAAAATTAATCAATTCTTTTAGATTAATTTTGATTATTTAAAAATATTTTAAATTTAAAATTCAATTTTATATCTAAAATCATTATAATATTAAAAATTAAAATCAAAAGTTTAAAATATTTTTAAATAACAAATCCTAAAACCTCAAAGTCGCAATTAACCTCAAAAATTCAATAAATAAATCATTTTTATTAAATATTTTGATTTTATAAAAAATTAATTTTTTTATAATATGAAAATTAAATAATCTTTTACTATTTTTTTATTAATTCTAAATAAATCTATATTTCATTTTTTTATAATATTTTTTTATTAGAAAATCAATATTGTTTCTTTTTGAATTAATATATAAATATTTAATAATTTTAACTACCATTATTCATTATCATATGAAAAAAAGTATTTTAAAATCGATATAAACGCAGCAGATCTCCAATATTATTTATTAAAAAACAATATGCAATAGAAACTTTTATCAACAATTACGAAAAGATAAAAATATGAAATAAATTTTTGACTAAAATCAATGACATTAATTAAACCAACGTCATCCCACCAAAATTATTACAATTAAAACTTTTTTCAATTACTGAACGACATCGAAGGAGCTTCATAATTGCATAGAATCGGTCCTACTTTAAAGTTAATAAATATTTTATACAACAAAAACTAACAATATTTGTTTTAACCAAGTCAACAATAGCAAGAAGAGAAATGGGATAAGAAAGAACTTCTATTATAGCCAACCATAAGCAAGCTGCAACAATTTCAGATGGACGATATGCCAGATATTGTATACCTAGAAACATTTTAAATAAAAACCAAATTTAGAATATAAATTACTAATAAATACATCATCAAAATAACTCATAGCCAAACGACGGATTTTTTGGCGTTTATTTTCCTTTATTTTCTTAAATACATTGTGAGAAAGCAAAATTTCTGAAATATTAATTTCGAATACATATATACTATCCACAAATATATGAAAATCCAAAGCAATTAAAACATTTCTCTCAAATTTCTATAAATATAAATACGATATGTTATTCTATACTTTATTCTTACATCCAATTTCGGAACCTGGTTAATTTTTTTAACTCCACATACTTTTAAAAACTCTTTACGAGCTAAATATTATGAATTAAAATAATAATTAAAAAAATAACATACAAACAATAAAATCGGACGTTAATTTTGTTGCAATAAACAAACACCCAATCCCTACTTTAAATATATGGCTTCGTTTATTAATAGGCATAACACTAAGACACCGATCCAACAATACTGTAGCAATTGCAGCTAACACTTAATTTTTTTCTAAACTCTCAAAATCTTACCGGTATCCTTTGTAATTAAATAGTATGGTCTCTGTTTAAAATTAATAAAATATTTAACAAAAACAATTCATCATACTGTATGAAACCATCTAATTAAATTCTTTCTCCAAAAGTCCACCTCTGGAATCCTCTGAACTTGTTCCATATACATAGGATTAATTCTAGAACAATTATGTCGTTCAGAAGCCAAAATATTCTCAAAAACTATTGTAGTTTCAAACGGTACCATTCTTTCAGACATAACTATCCATTCTTTCAAAAAACATGGATACGTTGACAAAAACATAGGTATTTGGTCTAAAGAAAAAATTGACTTATTTGAACCTTCACTTATCCCATTTTCTTTATAATTATGTCTTTTTCTATTACCAATCGCTGCTTCTTTCAAACAATTGTACGTAATACAATTATGCTTCCTTTCTAGTGATATTGAACGAAAAGAACACACATGCCGAAACATTTGAAATCAAAATTATCATCAAATATTTACTTATTTTTCCTTTTTTCGACTTATATGCACTTTTTATATCACCTAATTTTTATTATAAAAAACCCAAAAAAACTCAATTTTCATGCAAAAAAAACATATATTTTCTTTTAAACTAACAAAGTATATTTTTAACGTAAAAACATCCTTATTATTTACTATTTCCCATTCTACATCTCATTTACATTAATTAACATAATTTCGTTTCTCTTATCAATTAAGACACTTTCCCCAGAAAAATCACATGCAGACAACTATAAAATCACTATAGCAACACTATCACTTTTCTAAAAGCGTTGCTCTAGCAACATTGTGATGAATATTAAACGAAAGAACGGGACACGTAATTTTCAACAAAATTATTCAGAATTCTAAGAGAACAAAATGTCACATCTGGATCACTCATGGCAAGAAATTCAACACAAAACATTTACAAAGTGGTTAGTTTTTTGTTTTTTTTTTTTCGAAAAATTGAAAAAAATAGGTTAAATACAAGACTTTCAAGTCTAGATTTAACACCAGCAGTTAGTCTTAAAACAGATCTTTCAGATGGAATACGTTTAATTTGTTTACTTGTATGAATATACTTTATAAAAATTGATTATAACTAAAATTTTAGGAAACTATTGGTAATGAAAATCTTGGCAAATATAATAAAAATCCGCGTTTACGGGTTCAAAAAGCAGAGAATGTTAATATAGCACTTGAATACATTAAGTCACGCGGAATTCCGCTTACAAATATTGGAGCAGAAGGTGAGATTAACGATTGGTAGATAAAAAGTGTCTTATAATAGATATTATTGATGGCAATTTAAAGTTGATCCTTGGTCTACTTTGGACACTTATTTTAAGATTTACAATTGCGGATATAAAGTTTATTTTCGCTCCTTTTTTTAAGGAAAGCACTAATTGGAGATAGTGAAGAAGGATATACTGCAAAAGAAGGTCTATTACTTTGGTGTCAGCGACAGACATCTGGTTATGCAAATGTTAATATCTGCGATTTTACAACAAGGTAGGACTTTATGATATAAATAGTGTATAATTATCTAATTCTTTCAAAGTTGGACAGATGGGCTTTCTTTGTATGCATTTGCATTTTGTATTATAATATCAAACTAATTACTTAAGTTGTGCTTTAATTCACAAACATCGCCCAGACTTGTTAAATTTTGATGAACTAGATATCAAGGACTGTAGAAAAAATATTACACTGGCGTTCGAAGTTGCTTCTAAATATATAGGAATTCCTGTAAAAACAAAATAAAGTATAATAAATGTATTAATTAAAAATAGCAATTACTTGATGTGGAAGATATTTGTGATGTTAGCAAACCTGATGAAAGATCTATCATGACCTATATCGCTCAATATTTCCATGCCTTTTCCACTTTAGGTTTAAATCAAGTTACCAATATTATTATTAATAGTATCTAGATAAAGTGGAAACGGCTGGACGAAGAGTTGAAAAATTTGCAAAAACAATGCAATCTGTATCTATTATGCAAAGTGATTATGAAACAAAAATGAAACAAGTATTTTTCTTTTATCATTCATTCTTTCTAATATTATACATACAGTTAATTGATTCTATTAATAAAATCCAAACATTATGGGGTATATCAACTTTCGATGATTCATATGCAGATGCAAAACTCCAATCATTAGAGTTTAATGATTATAAAAAAACATTAAAAAGAGATTGGGTTAAAGAGAAACTCTTTTTAGAATCTCTAATGCATGATATTCAAACAAAACTTAAATCTTATTGTTTAAAGAATTACATTCCTCCAAAGGGTTTAGAATTAAATGATTTAGATATTACTTGGAAAGGACTCATAAAGGCAGAAGTTAAAAAATCAAGACAAATAAATGAAAAAATCAGAGAGTAATACATTATTTTTTTATATAATCACAAAACTTATATCTATAGTATCAAAGAAAATCTTCGTAGATCATTTGCTGAAAAAGCAAACAACTTTTCATTAATGCTTAGTACAATATCCATTGAAATTAGCGGACTTAAAGGTGATCTTGAAGAACAATTGGAACAAGTTACGCTTCTTAAAGAACACATTAAGCCTCTTAGAGACGAATTGCAGCAATTGAAACACCTAGACGAAAATTGTAAAGAAGCTAAGATCGAAGAAAACGATTATACAAACTTTTCATATGATGATTTGGAATATGAATTGGATCTAGCATCAGATTCAGTTCACAAAAAATTACAGTTTATTGAATGCCAGGTACATGCATTTAGGCTTTTATTTTAAAAAACTAAAATATAGATTCTCACTCGTCAAAAAACAAATCTTACACCTGCACAAATGAAAGAATTTGATGCTGTCTTTAAGCATTTTGACCGTTACGGGATTGGTGCCTTACAAGGAGATGTATTTACAGCCGCATTAGCAGCTCTTGGTCTTGCTTATGATGAACAAGAAATGGAAGATATCATTGCAAAGGCAAGCAGTGATACAGGCGTTGTTACGTATTCTCAATTTATCGATTTTCTGGTATGTATTAGTATGTTAGAATCTAGACATTACTAAATTAATAAAGGTTGATGAAATGGAAGATCATAATTCTCCTGATCAAGTTCTTTTGGCATTTAGAGATGTAGCAGATGGAAAAGTAAGTAAACAAATTATTTTAATCAATTGTTTAAACATTTTTGAGCCATATGTCACCGAATTGGATTTACGGCAGTCTTTAATACCTTCAACAGAAGTAGAATATCTTATTTCTCAGATGCCAGAGTTACAAGAAAACGAAACAGAAGTTGACGAAGAAGACCACGGGTATCCAATCTTTGACTATTGCTCATATATGGAAAGTCTTCTTGATCTTAATGACACAATTATAAAAAACAAGAACACATGTTGAAAACAAAGCACTTGATTTACCTAAATTATCAATGATTTACATAATTACTAATATCCAGTAATATTAATTTTTTATTCTTAAATTCGACTATCTATTCCAAACACAATATGTTCTACGCATCTAGGATTCAAATACTTCTAACGTACATTTCATCCATCTAATCAGTTATTTTTAACCCTTGACATATATTATTATCACAAACGATTAAATTTACTAAAATCCAAAAACATTCTTAAAAATCAAAAAGAAACAATTTTTTCATTGTTAAAATAGCAATTTTTCAAATATTTAACTTCTAAGATATCCCTTTTTCGGTTTTACTTCAAATTTACCTAATCATCAAATCATTGAATATGATGTTCTAAAATACTATTTTTTCTCCTAAAAAGTACAGTTGTGTCTTATTGTAGTAAAGAAATATGTCATAATATTCTTTTGTATCAATTTAATGTTTTTTTCTTATTTTCACAATGTTTCTTCCTTTACATCAGCACACGAATAAGCATAATATTCTATTAAAAACAAAATGGTCTCAGAAATAATAATAAATCATAATGAGAAAAAAACAGAAAGCTTTAGAGAAGAAATACAGAAAAAACAACCTAGAATTATTGAAGTTCCTTTGAAAGAACAAGGACAACTTGTCGAAATCGATTGTGCAACACTTCCAGAAGATGCAATGGAACTTTGTGAAATTTTAGAATGTGAAAGTGCTTCAAAAGAACTATGGATTCAGTTTTCTGTATGATAGGTATATTAAAATATCTTTTTTGCCATTAAAAGTACTTTAGTATGAGTATCGGCGACAAGGATATGTGAATCAAGCAATTGATATCTTAACACGAGGCTTAAAGGGTAAATTATATTTTTAAGTAACATAAAATTATATTTTTATATGTTTTTTAAGCGGATATATCTCGAGAAAATAAACTGCCTCTGTATTCTATGCTTGCAGCATTATATTTAGAAAAAGCACGTAGAGCACCTAAAACTACAAACCAGGAACACTCCGAATCAACAATACAAACAAAAGATTATTACCATCAGCAAGTAACTCAAGCATTGAATGAAGCAAATAGAATTGATTTTTCATTTTTGCCAAATATCCTTACAAGAGGTTTTTTTACAATATTTTTTTTAAACAAATCTTATATTTAATATAGCAGTTTGGAATATTATGCGAGCAGCATCAGAAAAAACATTAATGGATCAAGCAGGAAAGTATTTTGATAGTGTCTTAAAAACAGATCGGAACAATTTATTTGCAATGCTTGGAAAAGCACGAATTCTTTTTTCACATAAAAATTATACAGGAGCGTTAAAACTTTATCAAACAATTTTGTCATCAAAGCCTGATTTTATTCCGGATCCAAGAATTGGAATTGGACTTTGTTTTTGGGAATTAAATATGAAACAAGACGCCAAAGCAGCGTGGGAAAGATCTCTAGAATTAGTAACTCTTTTTATAAAAATATCATCAAATGTTAACAATATATTATTTAGGATTCAAAGAATGTATCATCAAATACACTTTTAGCATTATACCATCTTTATTCTGCTTTTTCTAAAACAGGAACATCTGAATTTTTGGAAGAATATAAAAAATCATTGCAATACGCTCAAAATGCATACAAAGAATCACAAGAAGCATCTTATTCTGCAAACATTTTATCATCTTATTTTTTTTCTAAAAAGAATATCAATTCAGTAAATATAATTAATACTCTTTTATTACTTATTAAAATTTAGGTTATCAAACTATCCGAAAAAGCATTACAATACGCAGATACTAACTCACTAATAAGTGATAGTCTATTCTTGATGGCAAGGGCATATCATTATATGGTTTATATACATTTTCTTTTTTAAATAATATAATAAAGATAGAAAAACTATGAAAAAGCTTCTGGATTATATCAACATTCATATAATACCAAAGAAAGTAATTTTATTTCAGCAATTGGGTTAGGACAAATAAAACTTATTCAAGGTAAACTATCTAATAGTTTTTATATTTTATTAAAAAACAGATGACATTATTGGTGCAAAATTAATATTTGAAAAAATCACAGAGCAAAATCCCAAGTGTATAGAAGCACTAACGATACTTGGATCGATATATACTTATGAAATATTATCTATAAATTCAAAGAATGATAAACAATTAGAAAAACAAAAAGCAAAATCATTATTAGAACGTGCAATACTTTTAATAAATAATTCGACAGAAAGGGATTTTTCTGATTCAGGGATTTTTATAACGTTAGCAGCTCTTTGTGAAGATGAAGACAATAATATTAGTCTAGAATGTAAGGAAATATACATTTACTATTTAATTCTTATGACGCTAGCATATGAACGTGCACTAAATTTAGAACACAGATTTCCTACTAATATTCTTCCTCAATTATTAAATAACATAGGCGTCCTTTACCATACTAAAGAAAATCTCATAAATGCTAGACAATTTTATCAGGATGCTTTGAATCAATGTGTTTCTATTGGACAACAAGAAAACAATACTACTGATGTTGATGCATTAGTAACAACCCTAACATATAATCTTGCACGTTGTGAAGAACAGGCTGAAAATTATGAAGAAGCAAAAAAGTTTTATGAAGAATTATTACAAAGACATCCAGATTATGTAGAAGGTATAAATTATTAAGTTTAGAAACATATATTAATTTTTTTAGCACGTGTTCGTTTATGTCATATGGAAATCATGAAAGGAGGAACAGAAGATACATCTAAAAAAATTAAACGCCTTATAGAAACGGATCCAGATAATCTAGATGTCCGAGCATATTTTGGATGGTATCTTAGCCGACAAAAATGGAATAAAGCTTCAAATGATAATCCAGAACAAAGACATTATACTCACACATTAAAATACTTTGATAAACATGATAGATATTCATTAACTGCTATGGGTAATCTTAATTTGCGTATAGCTCGAGAATCACGTCCTACCACAGACATAGAAAAGGAGAAAAGACAAAAAATTTATGAAAAGGCAGTAGAATTTTTCGATAAAGCTTTACAGCTTGATCCTAAAAATGCATATGCAGCACAAGGAATCGCTATAGCATTGGCAGAGAATAAACAGCACGCAAAAGCTTTATTAATATTAAGTAAAGTACGAGAAACATTAAAAAATGAATCCGTATACATAAATATGGGTCATTGTTTAACTGAAATGAAACAATATTCTAGAGCAATAGAATCATATGAATTAGCTTTAAATAAATACCAAAATCGAAGCAATCTGATAACATTTTCTTCTCTTGGAAAAGCTTGGTTACAAAGAGGAAAAGAAGAAAGAAGTCTTTTAGCATTAAAAGAAGCTCTTAAATATACAGAAAAAGCATTGAAACTGCAACCAAATAACACAGCTATTATTTTTAATATTGCATTTATTCAATTTAAATTTGCTGAAATAGCAAGAATACTGCCAGAAAATAGAAGATCTGTAGATGATTTGGAATATGCCTTGAAAATTTTAAATAATGCTATTGATACATTTTCAGACTTAGCAAATTCTAAACATCCTCCTTATTCTAAAGAAGATATTCAACAACGTGCTAACATGGGCCGCAATACTACACTTAGACAACTTGAACGAGCAATACAACAACAAAAAGAATTTGAAAGTACTAATTTAGCAAAATTGGATAGTGCTCGACAGAAGAGAAAAGAAGAACAGGAAAGAAAACAAGCAGAAGCAGAAGCATTGCGTGCTTCAGAAGAAAAGAAACAAAGAGAATTAGCAGAAGAACGAAGAATTATGCAAGAACAAATAAAGGAATGGGCCATGAAAAGAAAAGAGGAAAATTCTATTATAGAAGATGATACAGAAAAAGATAAAGATTCAGATGACCAAGGAAAGTCAAAAAAGAAAAACAAGCAGAAGAAAAAAAAACAAAAAAAACTAGAAAATGAAGACTCAGAAATTTCAACAGAAACAGAGGAACAAAACAATTATGATAATGAGAAACAAAAAAAAACTAAAACAAACGAACAACCAAAAAAAAAAAGAAAAATATCTAAAATTAGTTCTAAAAGAGAAATTATAAACAGTGATGATGAAGCTGAAAATTATAAGGATAAAGAAATGCTCAATATATCGGATGAGACACATATTACAAAAGAATATGATAAAAACAACTTATTCGGCAGTGATATTGAAGTAGAGATTTTAACATTATTTACATTTAGAACTAATTAATCATTTAGGAATAAACATCTAAAGTTATACATCATTCTTTAATATATCGTCTTTTATATAATACTTATTTATTAATATTTTTTACAATACATTACCCAATTATAATTATTAAAATATAGTTTCTGCATATTTATTTAAATAAATTCATAATCAATTTTTAAATAAAAACCAAAAATATATTGAGATAGTATATATTTAAACTTTAGAAATTTAAAAACTTAAAAGTTAACATTTAAATCTAAAAAGTGTAATATTAATATTTAACATTAATATTTAGAAAATAGAGTTCAGTATTTTTGTTATAACGAATAATAGAACCAAAAGTAGAGTCAATAATAATATATATTTTTTAAAAATGCGTCAAGAATGCACCTATTAATAAAAACTGCATTCTTTTATTATACGTTATTTCAAAAAACATTGCATATTCCAAACATAGAATACACGCTAGATATTTAAACTCTATCACCAACTACATGCTTTCTCTTCCCAATATGACTTTCTATGCTGACCTACTACTTGAAACGAGCGAAACCCTATTAACATTGCTGTCCATAAGAAACCCTGTAGAAAAGGCATCAACACATGATCTCGTAACGTAACCCATAATATGCGTGACCATGATCCCCCTGCAGGAATAAGTGACGCATTATAACATGACTAATAATAAGCCAAGAACAAAAAAAATCTTGATACCTCAAATCGCAAATCTATAAGCATATTGGATACAATAAAGTATTATAACAAATGTATGTATACTAAAGTATAATACTATATACACTAATATTTTGAATATTAATGTTTCAAAATTAAAATATGCTTCAAATAAAAATACGTTATTACATCCTTATTCAAAATCAAATATACAAAATTACATATACTAAAACAAATTTACTAAAATGTATATTTATATGTATATATTAACGTATCTATGTTATATTTTATGCATTATATATATGATACATTCACTTGGTTCATTATTTCAATACTTTCTATCTTTTTGACATACTTTTTAGATATAGCCTTAAATTATTAAATATGTTATATATAATACACTTTTCAATTTACATAATCACTTATTCTAAGACTAACTTTTCAAAATTGAAACAATCCTTTGATTAAAAATATATAAAAAAAATTTTAGCAAACAAAAATGTATATCAATAACTTTAAACACTTTATTTTTTATTAATTTATTTCAATTTCAATATACAAAACTAAGCTTTTACAAAGTTTATTATAAATATTTAATCATATCATACAAACAACATATTTATAAAATCTTTATACTTTAATGTTGTAAAATTTATAAACGCAGCATTTATATAATTTATTTAATATACGAAAAAACAATGATTTTGAAAACAGTAACAATATTATACTCACAATTTGCCAGATCAGCTATTTTTCTTGGATTCATATGTATTTGTATAGGAATTACTATTCTACAACTTTTAGGGAAGCCACTTTATTTTTGGAAACAAAATTGGTATCACACATTTATGTATGAAAAAATTAGAAGAAAACAAAATTGTTTATATTTAATAACAGGCGAAGAACAAAGAGGCAAACAGGAATTGCATGTATAATGCTATTACAATGGTTAATGCCATCTGATATAGTTCTTTCTGGAGATAAAAAAATATTGTCAGATTTTGAAGAATTACCTAATTTACAGGAAGATATACAGATGTATAATCGTTTTATTTTAATTGTAAATCATCAGGTATAATCCATCAACATTTAAATAGATTTTTATTGAACATAAGTCAAGATTAGTACTGATTGGCTTTATATTTGGTGGATTGCATATATAAAAAAAATACATGATGGAATCTACATTATTCTTAAAGATAGTTTAAGAAAAATCCCTGTTATAGGATGGGGTATTTTTATTTTTTTAAATAATAAAATAATTAATCAAAATTAAGGAATGAAGACATTTGGCTTTAGTATTTTTTCAAAGTAACATGAAAACTATTAATTATTATGTAGTTTTCTTGTCACGATCATGGTCAAAAGATTATCATAAACTTAAAAATCATCTTGAACATTTATCCTTACAAAATGAATCTATGCTATTACTATTATATCCAGAAGGTACGAACTTTTCCTCAAACACAAAACCTCAAAGCTTAATTTATGCAAAAAAAAAAAACTTGGTAAATAACATAAATTATTTTATTTAGCATATATTTTACACATGTAGCCTATGTTAGATTATGTTCTATTACCCAGAATTAAAGGACTTTATCTTTGCTTAATGCATTTAAATAAATCTACAAAATATCTTTATAATTGTACAATTGGTTATCAGGGCGTTATGTATAATGAATATGCTCAAGATATATTCACTTTTAAGTCAATGTATAAATTCTTTATTAATAGTTATACTTGTATTTATTTCTTTAGAATTATGAATCTGAAATTCCCTGAAAATGTTCATATACATTTTCAAAAAATTGATATAAACAAAATTCCTCTTGACAATGAAGAAAAATTTAAAAATTGGTTATATGAATTATGGATTGAAAAAGATAAACTTATGCATCAATTTTTTAATCAAGGATATTTTTCTGATAGTTTTATAATAAAAAAAAAAATAAAATTAAGATCTACAATAGAAATATTAGAACTTTGGGATGTATTTATTATAATATTTTTATTTATCATATCTATGTATCATCTTTTAAAAAAAATATAAAAAAAACAATTTAAAATTTTAACAGTTAAAATATTACACATTTGAGAATCATACTTTAACATTAGTAATTAAACTTAATTTCAATAAAGCATATTCAAAAATAAATTTTACATATTTATTCTATTTTCAATACTCAAAGAAAAATTTCAATCATTCACTTATATAAATTCATAAACTAAAAGAACAAAAAATTTAAAATTCCATTTTTAAATAATAAAAAAACATTTTTCCTTAAATTATTGATAAAAAACTTCACATTCATATTTACAGAATAAATATAAAAACAACAATAATTTTTAAAATGTAAATACTAAAATATCTTTCAAAGATTATACTGAAAAAATTTTTTTATCCTTAACAAATCTAAACAAAACTATTTCTAAACATGCTTATAATGATAAACCAATATAAACATTTTTTAACAACTTCAGTTAAAAATTTAAAAAATTCGCTGTTTTTAAATAACATTAAAACTTAAAAATTTTCAAATATCACATATTCAAATCTTATCTAAAAGTTTTATTTATTTTTTTTATTTATAGATATCACCTTAAACCGTTTTTTTTTCTTAAAACTATCTACTAAATAATCTATCAAAACAAAAATATCATAAAAATCTTTCACAAAATAGAAAAATTAAAAAAAGATATTTTATTTTATATATTTAAAACATTCAAATGAGTTTTACAGACGTTTTTGATCGAGAATACTATGATATTTTAGAAATTGACCCTTCTGCAGATTCATTAACCATCAAAAAAGCATACAGGTAAATTAAAACGTAAATATAAAAAGTATGATAAATTGTATTTAGGCGTCTTGCAATTAAATTTCATCCAGACAAAAATCCAGACAATCCAGAAGAAGCAAGACAAAAATTTCAAAAAGTATATATTTTAAAAAAATATCATTAAAGAAACTTTCTAACTTATTTTATTTAATAGATTGGAGAAGCATATCAAGTATTGAGTAACCCTGATCTCAGGAAAAAATATAATGTCTACGGCAAAAAAGAAGCAACACCTGATCAAGGGTTTTGTTAGTAGCATAATAACTTTTGAAAAGATTAAATTAATGTAGAAAATAGGTGATGCATCTGAATTTTTTGCTAACCTTTTTGGAGGAGAAGCATTTGTTGACCTGTCAGTACATTAGATATATAAGTATTATCTAACAAGGAAATAGTATTGGGGAAATATCATTAATTAGAGATCTTACAAAAGCTTTAGAGATTTCGGAAATGGACAAATCTTTAAACAAAGAAGGAAAAAATGCATCAGTAAAGTCTATGTCGTCTTTTATGAATAAAAAAGCTATTACATCTACAAATCCTGTATTGTCACCGACTTCAACTGTTTCAGAAACAGAAAAAAATACAGAAAAGCATTATAGAAAGAAGGGATTAACAAAGGAACAGCAAGCAGAATTACTAGCATTCGAAAAAGAGAGAGCAGCAACACGAGAAAAACGTGTTGAAAATCTTACAAATAAGCTATTAGATCGATTAAATATATGGACAGAAAGTAGTAAAGATGAAGCCACAACAAGAGCATTTCAGGAAAAGATAAAGGTAATTTTAGTACATGTTTTTTTCATAAATTTATCTTTTTAAGTATGAAGCAGAAAATCTTAAAATGGAGTCATTTGGAGTAGAACTATTAAATGGTAAAATATTATCTTTCAATTAAAAGTTCTAATAAGTATAGCTATTGGCGTAATATACATACAAAAAGGAACTACTTTGCTCAAATCTCAAAAATTCTTAGGTATTGGTGGATTTTTTAATAAAATAAAAGAAAAAGGCAATATAGTTAAAGATGTTTTTACTACCATTTCAAGTGCGCTAGATGCGCAAATGACAGCAGAACAATTAGCCAAATTAGAAGAAAAAGGCGGGGAAGACTGGACTAGTACACGTAAAATTGAGCTCGAAAAAGAAATGACAGGTATTAACTATTTATACAATATCTACCAATTAATACATCTGATACAGGCAAAATATTATTAGCAAGTTGGCGCGGAGCAAAATTTGAAGTATCTGGTGTATTAAGGTAATATTTATAATTAATATAATATTTTATATTTATTATTTAGAGATGTATGTGATAAAGTGTTATCAAAATCCGTTCCTTTAGAAAAACGTATAGAACGTGCACGGGCTTTAATAATGATAGGTGCTATATTTTGTGAAACCCAGCCTGATCCAGGAGATGAAGGAAGAGTTTTTGAAGAACTTATGCGAAATTCCACAAAAAAAAAAGTTTAAAAAATACAACTTAATACCCTTTTAAAACCAATTTGTATTATAAATGAACCATATAACATTTAATGTCTATTATATACTATGAATAGAGAACAATATATTAATAAATCATTTCATTTAGTATTTAATAATGGAATAGACCCTCCTGGAGAATTTTCATTTCGAGCAGTAAGAACCTCAACACCATTTTCTGTTACAAGAAGAGTATGTTCTATTTCCCATAAATTCAGTGTCATATCATTTATTTCTTTTTACCAAATTGTGCACTTCTTTTCCCATCACTAGTCGTAGACGTCCAATTATCAGGCCCATAAAAATAAATATTAATATTTTAAACTATCCAAAGAACTTACCATAGTACATCCTTTTTTTTTTAAATATATTTAAATATTAACCAGATCAATTTACCTTCCATACCCCAAGAGAAATCATAGGCTCAATAGTAAAACACATTCCTGATTTTGCAATTCCGACTGCTTTATTTTTTCCATCTAAAAATATTAAAAAACAAAACAAAAAGAGATAAACTTACAATGAGGCACTTCTGGGAAACAATGAAATAATCTATTAATTCCATGTCCGCAGTAACTTTCATTATTAATTTCATTTTTTTTTTTTTTAAATCTTACGCTCTAACTGTTGAGCAATTCCTTGATTTTGCATGTTTTTCTATTACAGAACCAATATCACGAAACAAAGTTCCTGGCTTGACAACTCTTATTGCATACTCCAAACATTCACGAGCTGTTTCAACAACACGAACAGTATCAGGATCCTGTTTAGCCTTTTCTCCGACATAATACTAATAAAATAAATATCTTTTTAAAAATAAATAAAACAATACAGTTTCATTTACATCACCATGAAAACCTAATACATTCAGACTCATACTCTTCTTTTTAAAAACTTTACCTCCATAATATAACGTAACATCCAAATTAATAATATCACCATCCTTTAAAACACTTGAAAAGTTAAAACAATCTTTAACAAAAGAAAATACTATTTATCAGGTATCCCATGACAAATTGTTTCATTCACAGATCTAAAACATATCAAGCTATTTCATAGAAATAAACAAATTTCATGACATACGTACAAACACTTTTTGGATAACAATAATAATTTAAAGGACTTGGATATGCATTTCTCTCAATACATGCCATATGAACAATTTCATCAATTTCATCTGTTGTTATTCCCGGTCGTAGAGCAGCAGCAGCAATATCAAGCACTTCTCGAGCAAGCTCTACTTGTTGGAACCATATTCATACAAAAAAGTTTGCAACTACCTTACAAGTCCTCCGCATGCATTCTTGCTCTTCTTTTGTTAAAATAATCGCCTTTAAACTTCGAGATAAAGCTTGTTCTCCTCGAGGAACACCATCCTTAGCATAATCTGGACATTGAATATGAGAAGGTACTTTTCGAGGTGCAGAAAGAGGATAAAATGCTCTTAACGTCCCTGTATATGGAAAATCAGGAAAAGGATCATAGGTTCTAAAGAAGGTAAAAAAATGTTTTTCTATCAGAAAAAACAGACGTAGCAGAATATGAACCAGATATTCTTTTGTTTGTTTCGTGTATGCCTTTATGAGAATTCTATGACTTTTAAAACATTTTTCCTATTTTTTTAAATCTTACCCAGCTTTTTTTAAAACATTCTTGAGAACAAAAAAAAGAACCTCGAATACCAAATTTTAAACATGTTGGACATTGTAGTGTTGAAGCAACATTGTTGCAATCAATTCCTATGCAGAAACCCATTTCCTTTAATTTTTTTTTAAAATTTTTAACATTCAAATAAACAACTCCTAAAAATCAAAAAAACCGTAGCAAATTCTATATATCAAGTAGAAAATATATGTAAAGAAAGAAACTTCTATAGAATTCACTTGTATTTGTCTATATGTGAAAAAATCTTTATATTTTCCCTTCTAAACAAAAAGAATTAAGATGACATAATTTGAATAATTTTCCTATTAATAAAAATATATATTTTTTAATAAAATCTATATATAAACAAATTCAATACTACAACCAAGCTGTAAAACAGTCTCTACATATATACAAAAAGAATTTGCTCATACAATAATAACAAAATTATGAGTGATTACAAACGAAGACTATAAACTTTATACCATGTTCAGATATATCATAAATATTAGAAAATACATATTTCTTAATATTTTAAGTGAAATAACTATATATTTACATTTAAATTCAATTAACTAAAGATTTTAATTCATCAACAAACTAAAAAACCCTTTAATTGAGAATCAAAAAAATATATAACTCAACATTTTTCAATATCTTCTATATTCTTATTATTCAAAAACCATAAATTTTATTAAAAAATCAGTTTAGAGAACAAATAATCCCTCTAATAACAATATTAATAAATACAAAAAATCTTTATCAATCTATTCAACACATAATTATGAATTTCTCGCAAGTAAAATAGTTGTAGATAAACAAAAAATTCTAATTGAGAAGGAAATAAGTATTTAGATTATTTTTATATTAACATAACTTTTTAATAAATCGTAAACACAAAAAGTTATACCTTAGAATAAAAATTCTTCAAAAAACATCCAACTACAATCCCAAACAACTTAATCTCGTGTTCAAACATTACTATCATAAGTTTCTTTAACAATTGAAAGAGACGTTTTACTTTAATAAAAAAAACATATATATATATCTAAATATAAAGAAATACATTTTTTTCAATTTCCTTTACTATATTCTTATATTATTATCTTATTTTCTAACTCAAAAGTTTTAAATAAAATAAAAAACAATAGACAAAAAACAAATATTTAAATAAAAAAACATATAAACAATCTAAAAAAGTCATTTATGAGAAAACCTAAATTTATAAAAAATGAAATACTATTTAGAAGGAATATTCATAGATTTTAACATCGATACATTAAGTATTAATGTATATTATAATATATATAAAAGAAATAAAAAATCTTTAATTTTAACAAAAGATATTGAAAGTTAACAAAAAATTCGAGGTCCATTGAATTTAGAAAAATAGGAAAAACAAAAAATCAAAATACCATTTTCTTCCGAATATTGATATTTTTCAAAATAAATCCTTAAACATAATAACAAAACACAAAAATCACTATGCAGTCATCCCATTATCTCCATAAAGACTTCAATGCTTAAAAAGAATCAATTTACCGAAACAAACTTGAATCATCTTATATCAAAATCAATGAAATACCCTATGAGTTATATACTCAAAAGACATAATATGACAAATCATTTTGAAGAATCACAGAAAAACATAACCATGCACAAAAGAAACAATTCCCTATCTTAGCCTCGATTTAATATTTTTTACTCAATCATAATGATGTATATGTTAAAAATTCAAAATTGTAACAATCTCAATTGTCTTTTATATTCCAAAATGAAACATCGTTAGATTTATCGCTTTTCTTCAAAAACCTGAACTAATGTCGGCGCTATCCGCTTCTTTTTATCCCTAACACTTGTTGCTGTGCTGTCTTAAAAAGTTCCCTTTAAACAAAATAACATACCTGTTAAAGATGGATTCTTGTCTACATTATTTAAAAAAGAAGCAGTTTTTTCGTTAGACTGTGTTTGAGCAGTTAAATGGGACAAATTATCAACAACTAAATTCGAACAATTTACAGAAGTTTTTAAAACATCTTTCAATACTACAGATTTGTCGACATACGATGGTGGGAATGGACCTGTGTATTCTTCACCAAGCTCGTTTTCATCAAACATTGCAATTGAACAAAATCCATCAGTAGAGGTCATAAGCAATGAATTTCCATCAAAAGACCTATTAAAAACATTTAACATAACCAAACTAAAATATAGTCTTTTTACCAGGCAAGATCAGTTAATGTTGCGTAATGGAGATTAGTTAATACACTCAGAGGAGTTGCCTGTTGAGTATCATACAATATGACAGTATCTTGTGTTGCAACGGCATAAATCATTCGATAAAGCAACGAAAAGGTAGAAGATGGTGTATTTGGATTAATATCAGATAAAGTAACAGATGAAGTACCATCCATTGCGGCATTAGAGACACTATCATCGACAGACAGGTCCAAAGAACCATTGAAAATGGGATTTGAAGTTGCGTCCGAAACAGAATCCAAATCGGAATCCAAAACCAAACCAGAAACTACACTATTTATTTCTTCACGTGAAGGAGACACTAAAACATCCTTTTCAGCCATATTTACTGTTTGGAAAACTTTCCTCAGCGCGTAATACTTTGGAGAACAAGAAATAGCAATGGCAGGACGTTTATGACCCGAAACATGTGCAACAGGGGGCCTAGTATTCATTAATACCACAACCACTTAAAAATAACATACCGACTTAAGCCCGCTCGTGTATAAATATATACAGTATGATGCATTTCATCCGATTCGCCAATCTTACGATACTGTCCAGCAGGTACTAGTAATAAACTACCATCAGGAGTAAAACTCAATCTGCGGAAAAAAGACAATAATGCTTCATTGTGATACGAACCAACAGCACCAGGAAACTCAATTCGCGAGAAGGAAGCATATGGTGTCACCTGAAGACAAGCCATTGTTTCCACACGATACAATTGCAATGTCCTATCACTCCCAGTCGTTGCCAAATACATATTTAAAGGATCCCATGCTACACCCTGAATATAGTGAACATGCTCCGTCAATTGATAAATACACTGTCCTATAGTTGTTCAGTGAAGACTAAAAGAAAAAAAGAATCAATGCCTTCACTAACACTATAAATACGTGCAATATGGTCCATTGAACCAGTCAACAGATATGCTGAATCTGGTGACCAGGCCAAATCATAGATTTCAGCACCAGCAGAGCGACAACATCGTAGTATCCGCCATGTCTCCTTATCCAAGACAGCATCTGCATGTGTAGCAGGTGTTGTCAGCTGTGCATTGTCCACAGGAGCCCATATAAACACATATCCATCGTCACCACCAGAAGCTAATTTGCCACCTACCAAAAACATGTCAATATTCACCAAAAATAGGCTAAAAAGATAGTGGATCAAAACACACACAATCAGAGCCCTACAGAACTCTGAACTTGATGCTTTAAAAGACCTCACATCCTGAAAAACTAAATCTTGTACTCAAATACATTGCAAATCATTAGAACCGGTGTTAAAATGCGCCAAAATAAACCCAACCATCATCTATAGCCATTGTCTATACCTTGAGGACTAAACCGAACAACATTGACCGCTTGAGTGTGCTTTGAAAGCGTCGAAAGATATACAAGCCGGGGCGATTGGCCCGATTCCGAGTCGGAGGCCAAAGAACGCATGACACGCCATATCTGCCAAAAGTCAGCTGCTCCAAAGCCACAAACACACGCCAATATGCCGCAAAACGCATTGCATGCTGCACCATGCACCATATACACAGTGTCCCCCATATATGCTTCTCTAAAGCCGCATTTATCGCCACATTTATACATATGCACACCCATACCGCGCATACGTACTGTATAGCATTATATGCACTGTGTGCATATATATGCATATTATGCATATTATATGCGCATACATCTACATATATGCCGCATATATGCGCACATATATACTGTATGCAGATGTATACGCAGCATTGGTGTATGCACGCCGCAAAAGACGGATAAACTCACCCGGACATTGCCATCGCCACCGGCCGTTGCAAGCCTCCCCTGCTTGCACGGCTCAAAGTGTGCAGAGTAAATCGAGGCGGTTTCTGCGTGCCAGTGGATCTGCACAACAGACACCCTCATTGGTGCGCCCTGCACGCACCGTCGGCCTGAAAACAGGCGTCCCCGCGGCAACACAGCCATGGCAACCATCGCCACGACAACGCCGACACGGAGGCGCAAGCATGGGATAAACGGAGCAAGCGAAGCACCTTACAAAGCTCATTGTGTCTATTCTCTCAAACTCAGCTACGACTATAAACCAGCAAACACTCGAATGAAAACAGTAAAAATGCCGTGCAGAACATGCATCGCCCTGCCCTGTTTGCCCTGCTTCGCCCTGCGCTCAGAGCTCCGTTTTCCCAAACGGCACTATGCCGGAAAAGTTGCTCTTCAAAGAGCCGACCAAGTTGTATACTAAGCCAAGTGAGCCCCAAGACACAGACGCAACATACTTACCTTGAGCGAGATTCCAGCGGGCCCCAAACAGATACGCGATATAAACCATGAACAGTGCCACTGACCCGAGAAACAAAGCTGCCGCTACAAACATGTGGCATGTTTCCCTTGTAAAAACAGCGACCGTCCCACCACTGGCTGCACCCTGTCCCCCGGGATCGAGCGCACACCCCCGCTTAGCACCCTTTCTTGAGGGAAACACGCTTTCGATCCACTGCTCGATCTGTGCCACCCTGTCACCCACTTTGAAAAATATACACCAACCCCACCTTTGCACATGCTAGGCTTATTTTTAAAAAGTTTGGGTCACTCGGTACATTTTTGCAGTGGATCGCACGCACGTATTTCAGAAAGATCTTGCACAGGTTCCGTCGGCTCGTAGCACGCAAAATAATCTACTCATCTCAGAGCACTCCCGACGATCCGCCCAACACACCAGATACGCTTCTCCCTTGCGTATTTTCACGTTCCTTTCAAAGACCTCTGGGTTCCGGAAGACCAGGGCCAGCGTCGCAATCGCCATAGCCTGCGGAATCGCGCAAAAGTTGAACACCGACGGATTCTCCAGACTGCACAGGTAGTGCAGACACCCCGGGACATGCGCCAGCGCATCCGCCACGACCTCCGACAGACACTGCAGCGCCTGTGCCGTCAGCCCTCTGCCAGTAGTCGTCCCCGGTGTCCCGGGCAACCGTCGCCGTGCCAACACTCCCTGCCAACATACGCTGGCAACAGTCGCCCTGGCAACTGTAACCATGCCAACCACTGACCATCAGTAACCTGACAACGGCAACCGTCGCCAGCAACCGTTCCCACGGCAACTTCCAACCGCTGCCCTGCCAACGGTCACCCGACAACCGGTCGCCCGGCAACCGCGCCCAGAGCTTACATACCTCCTCCTTGCGCCCCTCGAGCAGCTCCCCGTACTCCCGCACATACTTGCCCCATATCTCCCGTGGCCAAAACACCCGCTCCTCGTCAAAGTCTTCACGGCAGTCCCGGATGATATTGATTTTCTGTAAAAACAGCCCCATCGTCACCGCCTCCTTCTCCAGCACTTCTCGCTCCTTCTCCACCCCCATCCCCACAAACAGCTGCGTCAACCCCTCCCCCACCAGCCCCGCCACGTAGTAGCAGTACTCGTTGTATGCGTCCACGCTCACAATCCCCCCGGCCCCCCCAACTCCCCCTTCACACGCATACACCCCTTCCGCACGGCCGCTCTCTGCGCATACATGCCCGCTGCTGCGCATATATGCGTCCCCCGCCTCCTCCTGCACACCGCGCTGCCCGCGCTCCCTTGTGTGCACAAAGCCCGACATCCCCTCCCCCATCGCACGCGTCACCGACCGGATGATGTCCTGCGCTGCCGGCGGCAGCGCCTGGAATTCTTCAATCACCGCGTCAAAGCTCTCCAGCAGCGCCCTGTCTCGCGTCCGCACTGCCCCATCAGCCCGCATACACCCCGCATACACCACGCATACACTCCGTCAGCCGCCATCCGCGCTCCCCCAGCTGCTCGTGGAACCCCCGCAGCAGCGCCCGCTTCCGTTCCTCCCCCAACCCCATGTCGTCTTCGACCGTGTCAAGCCCCCGCAGCACCAGGTAAAAGACCATAATCTGCCCCGTCAGCACCGCCTCCCCCGCCGCCTACACACCGCCTCCCGCAGCGGCGGTTCCAGCTCCTGGATGACCCGCATAAAGCTGCGGCTCGTCGCCGCAAGCAGCGCGTTGCAGCGCTCCCGTGCCGTCCCCTCTCTGCCCGTGCTGCGCCGCCCGCGCATCGCCCACATGTGCATGCACCGCGCATACAACTCTGCCCACCGCCGCTCCATGCGGGCACTGCGGCGGCCGGCCGGCATAAGGGCTGGGTGTCCGGGCGGCACGCGGTGTGTTTGCAAACATTTCGCCGTCTGGCGCTATGTACATACAGGCTAGGCGCTCTTGCGAAACTCGTTAAGCACGGGATAGATGGCCTGGGCGGGGTTAGCGCGGACAGAGGGCAGAGGGGAGCAGCGGCAACCTCAAACGCCTGGTAGATCTCCTCGCGGACCTTGGCGCCGGTGAGGACGATCTTACCCGAGACAAAGATGAGCAGGACGATCTTTGGCTTGACCATACGGTAGATGAGACCCGGGAAGAGCTCAGGCTCGTACTGCAGCGGTTAGCTAAGCGTCGAGGCGTAGGCGGGAAGAGGGTTAGGGCTAGGGTTAGGAGGAGTAAGGAGGAGTTAGGAAGGTTAGGGTTAAAAGGGTTAGGAAAGGTTAGGGAGTGTTAGAAAGGGTTAGGAGAGGATGAGAGGGTATCGGCGGGTCAAGACGGGTGGAGGAATAGGGTTAGGGATAGGGTAGGGAGATAGGGCAGGGTTAGGGTTAAGGAAAGCAGGAGGGTTAGGGTTGGGTTAGGGTTGAGTTGGGGTTGAGAGGGTGGAGGGGGTTAGGACTTACAGAGGAAAAGGTGCCATGGGAATAGGCAAGGCCCTCGAGGCGGATGGGGAATCTAACGTCGCAGGAGCCCACGATGTTTTGGATCTTGAAATCGGTGAACTTGGCGTTGAAGCCGAGCTTCTGGATGATGCGGGCATATTTGCGGGAAGCAAGCTTGGAGTCGTCCTCAGACTTTGCGCCGGTGACCACCATCTTGCCAGAGGCAAAAATGAGTGCGGTAGTCTTGGGCTCTCGGATACGCATGATGACAGCAGCGAATCTCTGGAAAAGTGAGAAAGGCAGGAAAGCAGAAAGCGGAGGGAAGAAGACCTTTGGGTTATACTCAGCGTTGCGGGCATGGAGGGCAATCGTCTTGAGGTCGAGGCGGCAGTCAAGGTTGACGGTGGCAACGATGTTTCTGGAGGTTAGGGTAAGCAGGCGCCGCTCAGGGGGGAAGAGGACTCACTGGAGGGTGGGCACGATGCCAGAAACGCCGGCAAAAGCGGGGGGGCCGGAGGGAGGGGCGGAAGGGGCAGGCCTTTTGTCGTCCTGGGCGGAATAGACAGCACCGGACATCAAGATGTGACTCGAAGGAAAAGAGAGAGAAGAGGGCGCCATGAAGGACGCAGCCTCAACGGCCGATAATGGAACAGCAAGCGGATTCTGCATTCCCAGTGCGCCGGGAGTCTACGCAGAGGAAACGGGTCGAGGCCCGCAGTGATCAGAAGTCCAGTGAAGGATTCAATCGAGAGTCTCGGGGAGCAGAGCGTTAAACACTGAGCAGTGCAGACCAGCCCCGGCAGCCTCAATATTGACCAAGCAGTCTCTCCGGTTGACAGTCCAAAATCTTCGTTGTTGCGGAGGGGCCGGGGTTTATATAGTCTCGACGAGGGCTAAACCCTAATGAATGGAAGTATATTGAAAACAAGAGGGAAGAGGTGGAGAGAGGGGAGGGGGAGGGGCGCCAGGCAGAGGAGAAGCAGAGAAAGGCCAGAGGAAAATGTAAGTTTACAAGGGGAGGCGTTTATGGTGCAGTTTGTGAATATTCGGGGTTTTATAGGGTTTTGCAGAGAGACGGTCTGGAGGACGAGGGAAAGAAGGAAGAGAATATGTATATTGTGTTACACATACAGCAGACTAGGACCAAGTCAAAGAATGGTGTAGGATAGGCAGAAATAGAATGAATGGTTTCTATGAGTCAGTATTGCCAGAATCGCAATTTTCGTTTTCCAAGACAATGTCGTTTTCGAGGGATTCAAGGGAGGTCTGAATATGAAGCTTGAACCGAATGACTTCGTCGAGCATCCGTATGACTTCGCGGTAAAGGTCTTCCTTGAGATTGTTGGTTGCATGGACGAGCTGGTCGTACCTGGACAGCAGGTCAGCGGCGATGTGGGGGAGATGGAGAGCAAATACTCTATACTGACGGACTGAGACCGCTGCTCGAGCTGAAGAAGGCCGTTTTGTGCGGTAATTTTCATTTGCTGTAAATCTCTTTCGAGTTTTTCGATTTCGGCATTGCTTACTGAGCTTTCGGCTAACATGTTCTGATAAAGATTAGGGGAATAAAAGAACAAGCAGCAGGCAGGAATACATCTTTCACATCGTTATACTGTTCCATTGTGACGCTCACTTTTGCTTGCAAAACATCGAGTTCGTCACGCGCGTCTAACAGTCCCTCGCAGACTTTGTCAAGAACCTCTTGAAGCTGGATAGCATCATCCTGTTCTTTATGGAGCCTAGATCCAAGATCCTGTCTTAACTTTTGGAGTCTGGGCCGTATATCATGTCTTAAATCACGATTAACGAGCTGATCAGGACGGATAGCTCCATGATTAGCAGCAGGACTAATAAAATCCAACTCAAAGGATGCATTGTTTGCATAAGGTGCAGTTTCTGGAATAATACCAATTTTATAACCAAGGGAATTATAATTTGCAATGAGCTTTTCTAAAGAGTCTATTTTCTTTTGTGCAAGGATTTCTTTTTCAAATGTTTGTTTACTTGATTCTTCCATTTTCCCGGTAACAATCTCCAAGTTTTTCACTAAAGATTCGCGCTCTGCAGTCATTCTATCCACGTCGGCAGGAGAAATAGGCTGTGAGTCAACTTGAGTTTGCAATTCAGATTTTTCAACGCTAAGCTGAGACAGTTCTTTTTCCTTATTAAAAAGCTCGTTTTTAAGTCTGGCGTTTAAATCTATAAATTTTTTCTTTTTATTTTCAAGATATTGAATATATTGATTAAATTTATCCTTATCAGATTGTAAAACCTTTCGCTCTCTATCCAATATTTCAATGGAAGACATAGACTCTGCTATATTTTTTATGGTTTCCGAAAGACTTTCATTTTCTTTTTCCAAATGTTCAATAACTGAAAGAATTTCTTCATTACGCTTATCAAATTCATGTTCAAGTTCCTTTTCCATTTCGCTAAAATCATCATCTCCAGACAAAAAAACACGGTATGCTTTCGTAAGATAATCAAAAAATATTTTTTCGGCATCATTATCATTATTATCATCAATATCAATCTCCTTGTTAATTAATTTCTCCGTACACTTTTCATGCTTAATTTCTTTCTCAAAAAAATAATTCAACAAACCGAAATCATCTCTACCATCCAATGCAGCATTGACAACATCGAAGGCCATGAATGTGGCGATCCAACTGCTATCAGTTGTGATCGAGAAATCTGATCTGCAAAAGGGTATCTTCAATCTATTAATAAAATACTTAACGCAAAACAAAAGACAAACTTCAAATTTTTTATACATATTATCACCTCATCATCCATTTTCTTAACGAATTGATAGTTCGGATCTAATTTATGATACAACCATTTAAAAATTGTCATAAAATCTTTTTGTGTAGGCTGCTGAAGACTTTTCTGCGTCAAAACCTGTGGAAATCCTGAACTCGAAAGATATGCTAAAATAGAATGTATACACATTAATTGGTATTGTTTATCACGAATTGGACGTGGATCCTTTGACGGTACCTGAGAAGCTACTTGTGAAAGAAAACCAATATTAGAAGGACGCCCAGATGTATAAACACTTGATCGACGTGCACTCAAGCAATTCAGACCATTTGGAAGACATTTTTAAACACAATTACCTGGATAGCGCAAGACTTTGTCTCGAATTTCGAAAAACATCTTTTTGCACACCATTTACCATATGCACCCCTTCTACAAAATTTCCACTACTAGAACTACGTTGAAATACCCGATTCTGACCAATCAAAGTCCCCGTTTGTCCATTTAACCCATCTGAAGCCACTACCTGTCCACGAACCCCCATCACTTTCTTCATCACCGACGACGGCTGTGGAATTTGAGAATACGACTGATTCTCAATAACACCAAGAGTTTTTCGCCGATGAGAACTAAATGTCTCTTGATTCATCTTAAAATCTGTTTAAACTGGCTTAATTCAGCCAATTTTTATATCTTTTTTTTAAATTCGAATCCACTTAAAAAATAAACAGATAATACCAAATAAAAATCACGTGCACGTATATATCTAAATATTATTTCGTAGATAAAAAAGATAGTCCAAGATAAGATCATTTAGATATGGAATATAAATTTACATACTTTTTTCGAAAAGTATTACATCCATATATACATATGACCAAAAAATACCTTAAGTAAAAGAGCCATCTTAAGTTATATATTTAAAAAAATCCATATAGCAAAAATAATATAATTTATTTTATATACTTGCTTTTTTCTCACTTTTGCCAAGTTTTTTAAAAATGTTTAAAACAATAGTATTTGTTTCAAAACATACAGCCTAATTTCCTAGAATTTCAGGATAAATATTTTTATTTACAGTTAAATATCCTCTTCTTAGTTTTTTAATAATAAGACCAGCATTATGACTATATTTCTTTATCCAATTTTTTCATCTAAGCCATTTTTGCCATCATCTAAAAGAAAACTTTCACAAGATTCGTCCATTGGTTTATCCAACATTATCTTACTCATAGAAGTACTAAAATCAAGTGGTAAAAGAGGAGAATCCTCCAAACCTGATTCTTCATCCTTCAAAGAATCATTTTTTTTTAACAAAATATTATTCTTTTTAGAAAACTCAAACCGCTCATGAAAACAGGTACTCTTCTTAGATGATCCTTGAGACAAGGGCACATTAAACAATTTCCTTCCTATAAAATATAAAATAATGACAATAATCCATTCAAATATCCAAAATAAAGTTGTAAAAAGAATAAATGAAAATATTCGATGATAATAAACCAAATATCTATAAAAATTTAAATCTACAACAAAAATGTACCTTTATATATCTACCTTATTCCTTGCAATTGAGCAGAAAAAATTAATTTTGAAGAATAAACTTGAATATTATCGGAAAATGTTATATTAACAGATTTTAACATAGTCTCATGTGCTTTGTGATATTTAAACCCCTCTATTAATGGTATGACTAACCGCTCTTCTTCCCTTAAAAAACCTAAAAGTAACATTGGTAACATCACTAGAGTTCTTAATTTAGTCAATAACAAAGAAGAAAATGTTAATATTGCAGGTCTCGATGATGTCATAAGCACTCCTAATTCAGAAAATAACTTAATATTTACCATAAAATTCCCTAAAAAGTAAACTTAACAGTCATAGAAAAACATAAAATACCTATATTAAAATTCAATTCTGATTGAGGTATAAGAAGCTCCAAAAAAATATTATAAAATTGTTCATTTACAAATCTTTTTTCAAAAGAAAAATCTACAGATGCCCAAAGTGGTTCATTCCTAAAATAGTCAAAATCATTTTGATTTTACAAAATAGATCAACCCATATTGTAAATATATTGGATAACTAATTTGCATAGATGGAACCGCATACCAATAAAACAAAAAATAACTTATCATAGAAATAAATAGCGTAAAATAAAATATACTCATAAAAATCACAGAAATAATAACTATTTTCCATAATAACTTTAAATGTACCATTTTTAATAAAAACTTCATAACTAAATTTTTATTAATAAAACAAACGATATAAAATATCCACCTTAAGATAAATCACAAAAGCACTCATATTTTCAATTTTTTTATAAAATTTAATACTTTTTCTACAGAAAAGAATTTAAATCATTAAACAGATAAGTACCATCCTCGGATACAACGGATCTTAAAGATAAAAATAATAAGTATATATTCAAAATTCAGAAATTATAAAGATTTTATTAATATATATAAATATTTCTAATATAGAACAACACACTATATAATAATTTCTAATATATATATATAACAATTTTAAAAAACCTAATACAATATGCCATTAAATTATGATAAAATAATACTATGAAATGATTGAAGTACGTTGCACAAAATTACTAGGAAATAAACCACGCTTAGATTTTTTCGAATTCACTATTTCACCTTCCCACCATCCATCTTCCTGCATTTCTAATACCAAAAGTATATCATCTTTAACAAAACTTATCTCCTCAGGTATAGTTGCCTGATAATCGTATAATGCACGAACTAAAAAATTGAATATTGACGAACTTATAATTTAAACATACCATAAAATAATATTCTTCTTCCATCTTCTGTATACTGTAAAGGAACAAAAGAATTATTCATGTATACTCTACCATCAGTATGAATAGGCGCCTGATTAAAAACTCGAGTATCTTCACGATAACAATCGCTATAATCAGAGGCTAAATTATTATATGATGGATACTCTACTGGAATATTATAATTATATCCAGCCCTGGGAATCGGTTTATGACTATTGGGACAAGGTGAAGCACTCCTTGCACGCGAATACTTGTTTATCAAATTCCCATTAGCATCCAATGCGATATCAAAAGCAGAAGATGTAGGAGGCTGCTGCCTTGAAGCGTGAGAATAATACTGATCAGAATTCCTCATGCCGGGACCAGGTGTTAGCGAACGCTGTGCACAACTATTTGGAAACATTTCCATGGGTCTTTCAACTCTCGATGCATATTGAGGACCAGATAATGCAGACTTATAAATAACTGGAGAACGAGATCCTGGTCTAGGATAATCATGATCTGGAGAAATAGGTCGATACGATGTTTGAGGACTTGCTGTTCGTATAGTAGATCTAGAGTTCATATAAGGCTTTCCAGAAACCATTGGCATTCTCATATTTTCGGATATCTGATGCCTTCCATTTAAAATCTTTTCCCCAGTCATTGGTAATATTTCTTTCTCCGAATACATATTTCGAGTTTGATCATAATAAGAGTCTTGATTAGCTGAAACTACATCATATTGCAAATACGGATTCTTTTCAGATGAACCATAAATATCCTTCATCTGTCTAACATATCCTTGACTTATATGTTTCATTTTAGCAGCAGTTACAGCTGGAGGAGGTGCATCAAGAGTATCATATTGCTTAGCAAGCTTACTAGGCACAGATAAATTCGGTCTTTGTGGTATTGGCATTGAAGAAGGATGAACATTTGAAGATAACTTTTGAGGCTGCTCTGTAGAAAAACAATGTCTTCTTTCTACCACTTCAGAATTTTGAATACAATTTTTATCAGCAGAATCAAACCATGTAACTCTTGTAGGTTCTCTTTTTGTCGGCAAAGGAATTTTAGAAGAAATCTTAAACTGAGCAAGTGCAGATACAACAGGATCATCATGATCATAAAGACCAGGTTTCTGATTTTTCACATTCGATTCAACATCAAACATATTATTACCAACACTCAATACCACATTAGCCCGTGGATCAATTGGATCAACTTCAGAGTCACTAACAACACCCATGCCTCTAAGTCTTTCAAGTAACGGAGATTTAGTTTTTTCAAGATTTTTTTTAGAACTAAAGTTCTTAAACGGAGAAGTAGATCGACTTCTAGTTTTAATCGTTTTATCAGCAGAAGCTGAAGCTTCTTCCAAAGATGATATAAATTCTGGTCTTTTATCATTTGAGTTAAAAGAATACCTATCTTTAGTTGTAAATCCGGGAACAGATGACGTATCTTTTTTACTACGATCCTTAAAACCAAAGAATGATGTAGCTGTACGTGTTTCAGTATTGTGAGGGTATACCGAAGTAGACGGTGAAGAAGATTTGGTATTTGAGGAATTCGAGATTAAGGAATCATTCTTACAAAAATGAGTAATACCATCAAGAGGAACCTCACTAGCATCTGTTTTCAAAGACTGTTCAACTTGAGTCTCTGTAGAAAGTGGAGGAATTTTCGGTGACAAATAGATACTATTTTCATTAAGTATAGAACGTTGCATTATAATATCAGAATGAAACTGAGGATCGCTAACTCGAGAAAACTGAGCTATAGAATAAGGCAATTCATTTAAGTCCTCAAACCCATCACAGGGATCCCTAGGCTTAGGAGGGTCTAAAACAGTAAGATTGCTTAATAATATACTTCGATCACGTACTTGGAATCTCTTGTCCAGTACCCTTAGTTCGAATGAATAATTGTATATCATTCTGAAGGTTACACTTTCTAATAGATTCACGAATTTTCTCACAAGACTAACAATTTGTTAAAAACGTAAAAAGATATCTAAAATATACTTTGCTATCATTAGTACATGTTTCTAATATAATACTAGAAAACGCCCACAAACTCGATTTAATAAAACTAATACGCCTTTCCTCAAGATCTTGAAATTTCTAATACAAAATGTAAAAATATAAACAAAATTCCTACAATAAAATACATCACATGCAATTTTCCATTCTCGAATCCACTTAATTGACGTTTCTTGAAGCACAGTAACCGCAAGAATATAATCATTATCTAAATAAAATAAATCAATTTTACTAGTAGAGAACATCACTCAACTATTTTGAGTCGCAATTTGATTTTTATCAGTCTTTGAATTACTTTTATCAGAATTTTTGGCAGAAAATAATCCCGGTTGTGAACCATGAGAAACAGATTTATTACTTTTGTCCTCAATTTTTTCCTTATACTTGAAAATATAAACAAAATATCAGAAAACAAGAAAAACATACCTTCTGCAGCTGTTGTTCTTGTGCAGTCTTTACTTTACGAAGCTTCTCTAAATTCGATTGGATCTACAAACGGTCTACTTCTAAACAACAAAATACAAAACATACTGCTTTACGTGTTGTACGCATATCCGAAGAAAATGCATGCAATGGCTCTTCCAATTCACTACGAATCTGAATTGCAATGTTTGAATGCTGCTTAGCTATCGTCTCTGTTTCCTTCTGCAAAGTAACAAAACTCTCACGCAGAGTCCCAATCTCGTGTGAACACAACGTTCCACGCACAAGCCTATGCAATCTCCGAGAATACTCCTCTTCAATAGTCGCCCTGAAAAAGAAACTGTAAGAGCAATCATCGCAACACAATGAAACCAGTGCATATATAACGCATATATAACACATAAAATATACGCACTATGCGTTTATGGCCCTTTATCTACATACCAATCCTTGTAAAACGACCGGACTTCTTCACATATAGTCTTAGCTTCATTCATGCGATTAAACAAAACATTCACTCCTCGATCATCTTTCCCCCAAAAATGATTGCAAAAGCTCAGCGGCTCTGATACACCGTCTCCCATTTCCAAAAAACCTTTCCTCTCTTCTGCCTCCCGCTTGCATATGCTATCTAAATCAGATCAGCCGATTGCTTAAAAAACATTTAAATCTACTCGTTTTCAAATCCAAAAAACTAGAACAAAACCGAGAAACACGTTCTTTCAAATACGCCGTCTTTCACCACTTAACTCGCACTAATCCGACCAAACCACTCTCAAACACCTTATGTTGGTCGTTTTAAAAGCGAGATACTCACTGCTCGAGACGAACGATCGTATATCACGCGTTAATTAGGGACACTTATGTGTCCCTAATAGATAAGAACAAACCTCAGCCATATGCGCGTCCGTACACATACAGATAATAATATGGGCTTTAACACACATGGTATACATACAATAAATAACAGACAAATATATCACAGAAAATCTCATTGAAAAGTACAAAAAGCAATAGTAATGTTTAGTTTAGATATTTTAAATATCTTAACAAGTATCACGTGAAGATCACGTGATACTGTATAAAACAGACATGTTTAAAACATAAACTACCAAGTAAAAAAGTATAAATAAAGCCATCCCCCAGAATAAAAGAAATAAAAAACGATAGAAAAACCAAATGAAAAAAATGTATATAAGAAAATTAAAAAGAAAATTTAAAAAAGAAAAGATTGCCGAGGAAATTTGGAACAGCCGACTGCATAGAAAAGCAGAATATAAGGAAAAGGGACAGAGAAGTGCGCGGATTTAAGGAGACGGCAGAGACAAGATATAGCGGCTCCGACAGCGAGTCTCAAGTGGAGCGAGGGATGAGCCAGGAACAGGCGGCGACAGGACGGGGGAGCATTAGGCCAGTCCGGAGAGGGTCACCGCCGACAGGACAAAGCTCACCACAAGGTATTTCGTCGTTGCAGACGATAGTGCGAGTCCAAGTGTTTTTTCTATTATCAACGTTGACCAAAGATAATTATGATACAACAGTGATGCAACTGAAAGATGTATGGGAAAAGACTTTTAGCAAAATATTTGTTTCCAGAAAAAGACTGAGATTTATGTAGTTGTATCAAGAAAATGGGCCAGACATCTATCTACATTTATTACGACGACTAATTCAGTACAATGTGGGCACAATTTTGGGGCTAACACGGACGCATGAGAACCCAGCAACCTATAGATTGTTATCAGAAGAAATCCAAATGCTATCAACAACACCTACAGCATCACATCAATTCGGAAGTGCTATTTCAGGCGCCGTCTCGGGCATCTTTAACGATTTTGACATTGATAAGTTTTGCCAATACTTTGATCTTGATGCCTTTCAAAAATCCGTTTTAGCATCGAGTCTTTTATTATCATCGAAAAAGGATGTACAAGGTAAGGAAAACCGATCTTTTCCTTCTTTCCTTGAACAATTTGCTAATAGATTAGCATTGGATATATTAGCAGAAAATGTATATGGTGTTATTGAAATTATTGAAAATCAGAAATATCGGTCGAAACTAACGAGCGTTGAAATGGTATCTTTTTTGAACCAATATCTTCCAGAAAACAGCACATTCACACTTACCTCGCATCAAAAATTTCTACTCGATACCGTTATTCGTGAACAATATTCAGATCAAGAAATCCCACTCACGGTTACCGAGGCCCTTGAACGGCATTTGTATGATCCTACTTTTTAATTCGTAATATTTGATAGTATTCTTACATTAACATAGAAAATTAGACAACACTTTACAAATGATTATTGACGTGCTAAAAAATATCGATTTAGATGTTATTGGTTTCGAAGAAAGTTTAAAAAAATTGTTTCATCAAAACAGAATTTTGGAAAACATGTCTTTAGATGAAGTGTCAAATATGATTTCCGATGTTTTATTCATTATATCTACACCAAGTTTTCTTCTTCATTGGGAACCGGAAATATTTGGAAAATTAATATCTGAAATAGTAATTCATTTCTTTAAATTATATTTTCAATTTAACTTACTTCAAAGGTTTTTGATTTAAATCCTGAAGATGTCATAAAAGGGTTGGATAAACCGTTACTTCCAACGAAAGATTATTTTAGACTAGGAACCTTTTTTAAGGGTGTATTTGGGATAGCTAAAAATGATAAATTACAATTTCCCTTAAAGTTTTTATGGACTTCATGGAAGTATCCTCGTTCTCAACTTCAAATGTTGCACTTTTTATCACTTATTCCTCGTGATTCCTTCGATCTTTTATCCTATCCTTGTCAAAAAACATTAATTGTTGAAAATTTTCAAAATGCAAGTCCTACTGTAAAAGCTCTTGCTGTTAGTTTAGAATATCAAATATGGAATTGTCTTGATATGATAAAAACGGTGATTATGCTTTTCGATAACCCCAAATCTAGCGAAAACGCATCCACATTTTTAAATAAAATATCACAATTAACACCGGAATTAGTTTTTCTAGGTTCGGTTCAAAAGCAGGTATATTCTTTTTCAGCTTAAACCATTAAATGATTCAACATCTTAGAAACCATGGAGTACAGAACACACTAAATTAATTGATAAAGGATTCGATACATTTTTCTCCCGATACGTGAATAATCAATTAGTATTTATTAGACTTTGGCAAGTCAATCCTGAATATATGGGAAATTCATTTATCAGATTACATTTAAAAAACCCGGCATGCATAAACCAGATTTTAAATATTGCTCAAGATTTAAAAATTAGGGATTCACTTTTGAAACTACGGCCCTATTCATTTTCAATTGATCTCGCTGTATCAGCATCAAAATTACATTATTTAAATTTAGAGAAATGGTTACAAGATAACATTAATGAGAACCATGACTTTTTTATCCGAACTTGCTTAGATTACTTAAATCTTAAATCATCTTCGGAAAGTAATCAACAATTTTCAAATACTTCATCAACAATGACTAGATTACGCATTGAAACAGTTGCCGATTTTTTAAGAGTTCTTATGAATAAGTAAGAATTTCCCTGTTCGGATCATGTTTCATCTAATCATTATTGTTTCAGTTCTATGTCAGCCGCTAATAGTGAACTTTTTAGATCAGTTCAAACTATTTGTTTACAGGTATATCCGCGTTTAATGAACATTGGTCAGGGTAGAGATGAAATTATTACTTCAAATAACGAAACAAATACCTTTTCTAGAGACGTTGAACAAGAACAAGAAACTTATTATCAACGTCTTTATAAAGGCGATCTTAGCATCAGTGATTGTATTGTTTTACTACAAAAATTAAAAATATCCGAAAATCCTAGAGATCAAGATCTTTTTGCTTGTATGCTTCATAGTTTATTCGACGAATATCGTTTTTTCCCAGAATATCCATCTAATGCTTTAGCAATTACTGCAATATTATTTGGAAGTCTTATTCAGTATCAATTATTATCTTATATTCCCCTTGGAATTGCATTACGTTATGTTTTAGATGCTATACAACAGCCTCCAAATTCAAACATGTTTAATTTTGGAGTCCAAGCATTGATTCAATTCCAATCAAGGATTGCCGAATGGCCACAATATTCGTCACATATTTTAAGGGTAACACATTTACAAATTTTTCATCCAGAACTTGTGCAAAATATTCGTAATTCTTTAGGAACAGGAAGACACGTTAATTTGTCAGGAAGCTCTAATTTAATAACCGAATCCAACCAAGTTCAGCAATATTTACCTTTTACATCTTTACGTCTTAATAAACCTTTACGCGATGCTTCATTTTTCGAAGATCCTTCGGAATCTATTCAAGACAAAATTTTGTTCATCATTAATAATATGTCTCATGGGAACCTCGATCAAAAAGCGGAAGAACTTCGCGAATGTTTACTAGAACAATACTATAGTTGGTTTGCCAAACATCTTGTTGTTAAAAGAGCTAGTACGGAACCTAATTATCATTCTTTATATCTTCAACTTTTAAACGTTTTAAATATAAATCTTTTAAAGCAACAAATTTTACATGAAACATATGCAAATATCATTATTCTTTTAAATTCCGAAAAAACTGCACTTTCTACTATGGAAAGAAGTCTTTTAAAAAATCTTGGCTCTTGGTTAGGAGGAATGACGTTATCTCAAAACAAACCAATTAAACACAATAACATTGCATTTAAAGAATTGTTATTGGAGGGTTATGATTCTAAACGGTTAATTGTTGTTCTTCCTTTTACCTGTAAGGTTCTTGAACAAGCTGCTAATTCAAAAGTATTCAAACCGCCTAATGCCTGGATAATGGGTATATTAAGATTATTAGTCGAACTTTATGAATCTGCTGATATAAAACTAAATTTAAAGTTTGAAATAGAAGTATTATGTAAAAAACTGGATATAGAAATGAAATCTTTAGAATCGACTTCTTTACTTAAAGCAAGAACTCCTAAAACTGAAGCCGAAAAAGTCAACGAAAGTGATCCATATACTCAAACTCAGGAAAGACCTAAAAAAGCGATTGCCGAAACAACGTATTCTCACAGCAATCTTATGGATACGAGCTTCGTGATACCAAATCTATCAAATCATTTAGTTATTAACCAAAATGTTACCATGTTTATGAATGCGACGAGTTTGAAGAGAGTACTTCAAATTGCAATTGATAGAGCTATTCGAGAAGTATTTAGTCGATTTCGATATAATAATAAATGGCTTAACCTTATTTTTAGATTATTGGTCCAGTCGTAGAACGTTCAGTTACCATTGCAGGAATATCCACGAAAGAATTGATCACAAAGGATTTTGCTACAGATCCTAATGAAGAAAAAATGAAAAACGCTGCACATATAATGGTTCAAAATTTGGCAAGTAGTTTAGCATTAGTAACATGCAGAGAGGCTTTGCGTATTAGTATAACTACTAACTTACGTAATATTCTTTTACAAAATGGAATAAATAATCAACAGTTTCCTGAACAAGCAGCTATGGTAATTGTTTCAGATAATCTTGATTTAGCATGTTCTATCATAGGAAAAACAGCAATGGAGAGAGCAATTCCAGAAATTAATGAAAATTTATCAGTAGCAATCATGAATAGAAAACGTCACAAAGAATCACGTTCTCGGCACCCATTCTTAGATCCTTCTGTACAAAGAGTTCCATTATCTCTTCCCGATCCTTTGCGTTTGAAGCCACATGGACTTACTGCACAACAGCTTGCAATGTATGAAGAATTTTCTCGGATCCCAAAAACAGCATCGCAAGCTATTTCTATTTATGGTTTATAAGCCTCTATTTTTATTCTAATTTTAACTCTGATTAGCTCATGAAGAACCAACTCATCAAGTAGACATAACACCTGATAATAATATATACGGAATAGATTCAGAAATGCCACATCAACGGAATACCGGAGCGTTTAATTTGCCGGCTTTAATTAATCAAACCGTTGAAAAGCTTACGGTAAAATATATCTTTAATTATTGACCATTTAAATTAAAAAAAAAAAATAGATCATAATTTTGGAGTTAGAAAAAATTTTATCAGAAACTAATTTCCAATACTTGACAGATGTTCCCTTAGATCATGATATCTATAAACTTCTTAAACAAATATGCAACTCTACTGCTCAATTAAAAGCATCGATTAAAGATGATATAATTCTTGTTTGTGCACAAAGAGTTTTACAATTACTTTTTAAGGGCAATGGATCAATTCTCATGATCGAAACGTTATCTGTTCTCTTGGAGAAGTTCTCTGAGCAGTCACCTAAAACGGCTAAAGATGTTGAATTCTGGTTGATTTATTCAGATGATAAGGTAAATTATCAAAAAGAAAAAAATAACTATAAATTTTTTACTAATATATAAAAGCGAAAATTTGATACAAATGTTATGACTATACTTATTAAAGTAGGGCTTATAACACTTTCCGAACTAGATATCCAACTCGCAAGGCAAATAATGAAGCAAAACAATACTGTGATTGAGTTTACCGCTTCTCTCATAAAAAAAGTAGTTTTATCTATACCTAATTTTAACTTTCGAGCAAATTTCACTAACTGCCTTGATGCGTTTGAAATTCTTTCTAGGAAAACGGATGCTCCTCAGTCAATAACCGAACTTTTTCAATTTTTGCACGCATTAAACTTAGAAAAAACAAAGGTAAATACATTACCTCCAATAAACGAACCAAGTCTTCAGGAGCAACTGGCATATATTTTTGCAGAATGGATCAGATTATTAACGCATCCTGCTTCTAATGAAAAAACCTATGTAGCGTTTATTTTGCAATTACAACATGAAAAAATTATCACTGATGAGCAATTATCATACACATTCTTCAGGGTAGCTATAGATCTTAGTATCAATAATTTCATGAAACTCGAAAATTATGGGTCTTCCAATAATCCAAGTTACCTTCCAATAGATTCTCTTGCTAAATTAATCGTTTTACTTATAAAGTATTGCTCTAATGAAAAAGATGATAAACCAAAAGTTCTATTAAGGGTCAAATATTTTTCTAGTATTTTATCAATTATAGCTTTAGTTTTTACAAATTATTATGAAACTTTTGGAGGAAATTTTCATCAAAAGCCATTTTATAAACTATTTGCTAACATATTATATGAATTTAATAACGAGTCTTATTTTTCAGATATTCAGTATAGTATTCTTGAAGCATTAAGGTAGGATTGTTAAATTTTGACATTTAACTTTATTTAAAAGTATAAGTGAAACGTTTTTGGCATTACAACCATTACATTTTCCAAAATTTACTTTTGCATGGATTACATTGATTTCACACAGATGTTTTATGCCATCTCTTCTTTTATTAGCAGATTATAAGGTTTGTAGAAAGATAAAAAATAAAATGCAATATTTAATTTTTTTCAGGGTTATCCTATTTATAACAAAATCATTATTACCTTACTTGAATTTATTTCTCCATTGTTAGAAGAAACAGAACTTCATGATACAACTAGAGTGCTATATAAAGGGACTCTTCGTTTGTTATTAGTGCTTCTTCATGATTTCCCCACATTTTTAGCAGATTATCATGCTTCCTTTTGTTCTATTATTCCTTCGAATTGTATTCAGCTTCGTAATTTGATACTAAGTGCATCGCCTAAAACTATCAGATTACCGGACCCTTTTCAACCTGGTTTAAAAGTAGATCGATTGCCTGAAAGCACTCAAAATCCTATTGTTCGTACAGACATTGATTCAATCTTAAAAGAATTTGGACTAAAAGATAAAATAAACAGTTATCTTTCAGGAGAAAAAGTGGATGATATTACTATTGATATAATTAATAAATTACGAACGTCTGATGATAATATTTTTAAAGAATCGAAATCAAAAAACAGAATTAATATACCTTTTATTAATTCTTTAGTATTATATATAGGTATGAAAACTATTGAAGATTTTCAATTACAAAATAATGGTGGTCCATTCGTATTTTCACCTACTTCAGCATCAATGACTCTTTTTACAAAATTGCATAATGATTTGGACTTTGAAGGTAATTAACATGATTTACATTATTTTTATGTAATTTTTACAATTCTTCAGGTCGATATTATTTTCTTGAAGCTATTACGAATCAATTACGCTACCCAAATAGTCATACATATTATTTTAGTTCTGCATTACTTTCTTTATTTGAAAATTCTACGGATGATGATAACATAGTCAAAGAACAAATTACTCGGTATGTTTATATTATATTTATTATTATAATTTAATGTTTTTAGGATTCTACTAGAAAGGTTTATATGCAATCGCCCTCATCCAGTAATTTTATTCATTATATAGACCTATCAAAACTAATATTATTAGTGGGGTTTGCTTATTACGTTTATCGAATTACTAAAAAATTCTTATTATAATTTTTGGTCATTACCATTTATAAAATCTATGCCAGAGGTAATAACCAATTTTTTATACCATTTTGTTAAACATAAAAAGATTGAATCATGGTTTAATAGTCTTTTTTCTCATATAAATAAAAATATTGACAACGGAGATAGCACACCCAAATAAAATATTGTTGCAAATTATCAGACTTAGAACTAATAAAGCTTGTGCTTTATAGATGTAATAATATTTATTGAAATTAGATGGGCCTTAAAATACCATATTTTATTAAAAATATATTTTAGAATTTAAAGGTTTTTAAAAAAACAAAAAATTTCAAAAATTTTGAAGAGTTTCTTTAAATTATATGTAACAATATATAAAAATTTTTGGTCTTGAAGTTTATAAAATCAAAGAATTTCATTAAAATATATTAAATATCATATAAATGTAAACTATAAAAATAATAAATTATTAAATTTGTAAAACATCATTTCTATGATTTTATATTTTTAAATAAAAACATTATATATACCTAAAGCATGATTAAAATATTTAAAGTTTCTATAAATTTATTTTTAATAATTTTTTTATATAAAATGAATATTAGCTTTTAAATAATTATAGCCTATTGTATCAAACAATTCTTTTTAAAACCTTTCATTATATTAAACGAATTATTTAAAGGATTACAAAACGGTAATAAATTCGAGGTATTATTTATTGGTTTTAAAAATTCAATTTCAGGAACTTTCTGAGGTATAGTTGGTACGTAGCTTTCTAATTGATAAAACAACATATATCTAGATGTTAATAATTACGATATAATACCTTATTTAAGGGCTGACCTACGGCATCTCTGAATTAAGTACTTTATCAGGATCATAAAAAACAGAAACTTTTTGGTAAGCCAAATCATCAAAAAGAAACCATCTACAAAATTTTAAAGACATAAAAATACAAAATATAACTCAACTTTTTCGAATGTATGTCTCTAGATAAAGCTATATAATGACCAGAACTAATAGTAAAACCGGTATTTCTATGACAAACAACAGATTGCAAAACGAGTCTATATTTTTTAACTTCTAATGGATCACTTGTAGAAGTTTCTTCATGTGAAATCAAATAAGGTAGTTCAAGAGTAAGGGGAATCAAAACTTTCCGACTATTGCAGTATGCTTCACCTTCCATAGTCCATAAATACCTTTTAAGACAAATGGTTACTATAGGAAGCCTTTCTACAAAATATTGACTTAAGTTATCTGGTTTTTTGTCTGAATAAAATGGAAGAAGTTGAAAAAACTGCCATGCAGAAACTAAGGGAGCATCACTTTCAGAATGCAAGGCTATAATATCATTATAAAAAAAATCGTCTAATTGATCATTACATTCTTGTATATTATTCTTATTATCAATTAAGCCAGAACCATAAAAACATTGAATATTTTTCTTGGTACTCCTCCCAGACAACGATCGTTCGACATATCTTCTAACTTTTATGTGATTACTAAAGTATTCTGAAAGACAATCTTCTAACGATATTGGTGTTTCATAAGATAGAAAATCACCAGGAATCGGAACACAAAGCAATCTTTCATGAATATACTATATCAAGTATGAAAATACACACTAAGGCATAGTAATTTTGGAAAAAACCTTATGATCATTTTCACTATTAAATTTCCCACCATGTGCTATAATAACTTTAAATGTTAATAAAGGAAAATCCAATTGTTCCCTAATATATTAACATGGTACATTAAAGACAAAATACTTACGTAATAAGAGTATATACTTCACAAGCATCTTGTTGTACTTTACTTGCATTCTCCCAACCACATTCACTGAGAGCATCACATACTTGCTAAAAAAGAATCAATTAACAAACACATAAATTGATTAAAAATACTGATATAATATCACTTGTAATTAGTTTTCCATCTCGAAGCTTTTTATCTAAGTCAATATTTTACTTTTTTTAAAAGAACAAAATTTACCATATTAACCCACAATCTAATAAATGTACAAAGCTTGCTTGAAATAGAATCTTTTCCTTCTTGGAAAAGCATAGCTTCAAAACAATTGGTCTTTGCAAACATAGCAAACAAAAGCGCATCCAAATAACAAGTAACACCATTCAAATTTTCAGAACCAAGGAGTTTAATAGTCGGATCAATTTGATGTACAACAAGTTCACTTGCTTCTCTCATATATAACAAAAACTGAGCATTTAAGTACTTTTTCTCATCATATCCAAAATATTTACTTCAACAGCACGTTTTACATCACCTCGGGCATAATTCCCCTTTAAAACTTTCAATGCAGTTAAATAATCTAAACAATAACCATAAGTTTCTAGTTGAGAAATAACTTCCGCAACCTAAAAGCAATAAGCGTATTTTTAGAAACCTTAATCACTACTTGAAGTTCAAGAACTCCCGTGTCATAAACCAACAATTGTGCATCATTACAAGCATAAAATGAATGTTTAGAAATATTTTTCTAAATAAAATACGTAAAAACAAGACATTTAAAAAATTCAAAAGATTAACGTTACTTTTTTTCGTCTCATTCTACTTTTTAGTTTTTTTAATTTCATAAGTAATATTTTCAGACTATTTTTAGTAAAAAAAAAACAATTAGCCCATAAAATGGATTCTATTTATAGAATACGCCATTAAAATGATAAAAAATGCTTATCTATATGTCTTTTATAATTAACTTTTAATACTTTTTATATTTAAAAAACGATAAACGTTAAACGTTAGATTGCATTTAAATATCTTCAATATCAATATCTTTATATATTAGAAAGTTGAAAAAAGATAAATTAAATCTTTTAGAATATTATCTCACGAGTATCTGAATATTTCAATGAATATAAGAACAAAAAGAGCTTCAAAACTTGGTTTATGCAATTTTTTACCAAGAAACATAAAAGCAAATATTTCAACTAAACAATTGTTAGGGAAATCTTATATATACCCTTCTTCATCGCCTTTATCGCCTCTATTTTATCCACAGCAAACGTGCCAAAACAGACTTTTAGGTATGTCTTTTTTCATTTTTATTTTCAATTTTTAAGCATGATAAATCTTTTAAATATAACTTACAAACATTTTAAATATTTATATATTAACAAAGAAATAGAACACTATCGTACAACTCTATGTCAAGATATTCTTACTCTCACTTATACTCATGAAACAGATGAAAAGCTAAAAAAGACAGATGCTATTCGTTATTGGGACAATTCATCTCCATATCATAAAAATAGGCCTAGTCGACCACTAAAAGGCAATAAGCCAATTCGACCAGCACAGGAACCAAGAACACATAGAAATATTCCAATTTTAGAAGCGACGATTGTTCATTCTATGATTAAAGATGCTATTAATAATAAAACAGCTCTTTTATCAATGGTTATGGCATTGCATTGTATAACAGGACTAAAACCAGAAATTATTAATGCTAGAACAGGGGTTGCACCATGGAAATTAAGAACAGGTAGAATAGAGTTATATGTACTTTCTAATGTTAAAATAAAAAAGGAATGCCTATTGCAACAAAAGTTACTCTTAAAGGAGCAGAAATGTATAGATTTCTTACTGTTTTGATAGAACTTGTTATCCCAAGAATGAGAGATATGGTATCTGGATTCAAAGCTGACTCAGGTGATTCTACAGGCAATATTTGTCTTGGATTTTCACCAGATGCACTTTCTTTGTTCCCAGAAATACAAGGTTTATAATTATTCTTTTAAAATTATCATTAACTGGTTAATAAATAGCGAACTATGACATGTTTCCAAACATAACAGGCTTCCATGTTCATTTTAATACAACAGCTAAAAGCGATCAAGAATGCAGATTACTTCTTTCTGGATTTGGTATTCCTTTTAAAACCCAAAATAAAATTTAAACAACCTAAAATCATGAACATTATGTTATATAAATTACAATGCACCTAAACAATATACATATTTATAGTTTGTAATAGAAATATGATACAGTTACAAAATGTAATTATGGTAAATAATATGCAAAAATGTTTAAGAAATAATTTATAAAAAGATTATTTTTTCGTATAAGGTTGAGGACTAGGAACTATGGGTCCAAGGAAGCTGGATTTAAGCAAATCAGCAGCAGTAGGTCGTGCATGATAATCTGGTTCAAATGTTTTTTCCAAAAATTGTCTTGCTTCTATAGTACAGTATTCTGGAATTTCAGGGGAAGCATATTGTCCAATCTTTAGAATTTAGTGAATTTAACATTATATAATTCTAAAACTTACCTTAAATATGGCTTGTAATTGGTTCATTTTCGGAAAAGGATGTTCTCCTGTAAACATCTCAACTACTAGGCATCCAAGAGACCATATATCAGCTTTTCTAGTATATAATGTTTGTTTTACAACTTCAGGAGCCATCCAATAAACAGATCCTTGAAGTGATGGACGATGGTTTTTTGATATAGATAGAAGATTTGCTTCAACTTTTTTAGATATACCAAAATCTGATATTTTAATAACTCCTTTATTATCAACCAAAATATTAGCACCTTTAATATCTCTATGAATAATTTTTTTATTATGTAAATAGTTTAAGCCTTTGAGAATTTGTCGAACAAAATTTCTAATTAAGGGCTCTTCAAAAGCTCCATAATTATTTAATAATGCTGTTACAGATCCACCAGGAACGTATTCAAGAAAAAACGTTAAATGCGTTTCATCCATACTTGAACCTAAAAAAATTAAAATAATACATATTTTATGTTTTAATAATACCAAGATATTGAACTATATTTTCATGATGTAATTCTTTAAGCAAAGATATTTCTCTTTGCAAAGCATCTAACATAGCTATTTTTCTTTTACATCCTTGAATATCATAAGATGGTATTTCCACTTGTTTAACAGCCATTAATTCACCACTCAACGCATTCATTCCCAAAAATACACTTCCAAAAGAACCGCTTCCAATCAAAGCACCCTTAATCCACCTTGTAGGACCACTATTATTATTTCCTGTTCCTTTTTCAATATCAAGATCTTTAATAACACTATTTTCAAAAATATTGCCGTCTAAACTACCCCTAGTAATACCTACACTCGCATCACATGAATCTGAAAGAATTAAAGAGCCACCTAATGCACATGATCTAGATTTTAAAGTTCCAATAAATGAATCTTTATCATCAGAATCTTTAGAGTCTAATTTAATATCTGAAATATTTTTTTCAATACTAAAACCTGATCTAGTAATATTAGTACTATATCCTGGATCAGACTTTGATGGAGATGCTAGAGGCCGAAAGATATTTTCTTTTGAAGGAGCTGCTTCAAGTAATGCAGAAAATTGAGTAGAAACGAAATATGATAGAGAAAATCTACGACTACTTTCAGATAATTTCTGTCCTCCAAGTCGAACCCATCTCCTTCCAGCTGTAGGCATAGATGATATACCATATGGTAAAGAACTTGATATATTAAGATTTGATCGTTTAATAACACCCGGATGAGTAAGTTTTCTAATAGAATTTCTAACTGTTTGCTCCAGCACTTTTTTCTCATGACCAGGAAAATATTCAGTTAAATTTGAACTAATATGTTCACTAGGAGGACGTTGACCAAAAAAGTTTCTTATACGTTTTGTGCCCAAAAATTTGTCTTTATAAGATGGAGAAGGTAGAGGACTAACATTAGGTGATGCAAAAGTATGTTCAATTTTTTCTCCAAAAAATGTTTCTAATTTTCTTAAATTGCCTGTTGTTTTTGCCATTACAGTAGTGCCATAAACGAAATCTTGTTCTTTAGCAGCTATTTGAGAAACCGTAAATGTGTCAGATGTTGATGAAGAAGGCACTCTTTTTAATGTAGATCCTTCTTGCTCTAATTTTGAATGTTGAGAAGGAACAGGTAAAAATGCATCATTAAAAATACATTCACCTATTAATAATTAACGTTCAGATCATATATAAAACTAAAAAAGAAATAACTCGATTTACTATTTTGTGCATCATAAACATTCCATTCAGTAGATTCATCAAACGTATTGAATTTTTTAAATACTTTAGACAAATCTCCATCTGTTTTATAATTGTCAGTATTTATCATTTAAATATGTTTTTTATCACCAGTGGAACTAGGGGAATTCTTCCAAAATTAGTCAAATAGAAAAAATATATACTAAAACATTAATATATACCTTAACAGAACTGATGTCCATAAAATTTATTTCTGGTATAGGTGGCTTTTCAGAATTTTTTACTATATCAGAACATAAATCTTTACTTAAACTCTGAATTGTAGACGGCATATTAGATATACCCGACGTATAATTATTCAATGAATCTATACTTTGTGTATCTGAATAATGATAATCTAAATATAAACCTGAAGATGTTTCTAACGAATCACATGGTTTACAGGGAATCAAAGGATCCGTAGGACTTTGTTGAGCAATTGTAACATCAGATGATTTCACTACAGGCACAAAAATGCCCAGCTATATAAATATTAATGATCAACAACACTGTTTATTTATAAAATACTTTTGCTTTTCTTGCAGATGCAATGCATTTGTTTCGAAGTTTCTTAATACACACTAGAAGACGAATCCTATCACTAAGTTTATGAATCCCTAACTCTTTAAGTAATGTTGCATCACAATCTAACAGAATATCTCCATTAATATTATTATCTAAGATGTGGTTAGAAAAAAAGTAATTAAATACTATTTACCATAAAAAACAGAGGTATAAAATCCAAAATCATTTAATTTAAGCCATTCTCCAACCTTTTCTTCATTCCATAATTTGACTTCATCCAGATAATTCATAGATCACGTAAAAAACAAAAAATACGCTATATTTTAATAAAAAAAACCTCAACATCAAACAACTATGCCCATCCCCTATTTTCTCTTAAAAAGCATATATATATCAATATATATGTGTATATTATCCTACTCTTTTATAAAGACTTTTCGTGTCGTTACTCACCAGCTCGACAATCTTTCTTAATAAACTATCACAAAAAAGAAGCTCAGTGGCATTAATATTCGTTTTAATACACAAACACGAACATACAAAGTAGACAGTAAATAAAAACAGTTCATTGGGAATCTATATACATCTTTCTCCGAATTGTATGTGTCCATCTTCTAAATATATGCACTGTGCCTCTCCTAATCTTTCTGATGTTCCTCCTGATATTTCTTCTGATGCAGTATCACTTCTATTTAGGCTAGAGAAGGTTTCATTTTCATATGAAATATCTGTTTCAGTAATGGATATCAAGAATAACATACTTATTCTTGCACTACATACAGGAAAACTTTTACGAATGGATTTGATGCATCCGAGTGAAATTCAAGATCTAGAGGTTCCACGGAAGCAAAAAAGTTCAATAATTGGAAAAATTTTTCTTTCTCCAGGAGGACAACATTTGGTTGTAGAAACAGGAACGAACGAGTATATATATTTTGATGTACATACTACTCGAGGAAAAGTGCTCCAAAGACTTAAAGGACTTAATATAAGGTGTATTGGATGGAATATACATGCTACAGAAGCGAGTACAAAAGACATTCTATTGGGATGTAAAGAGGGAAATATTTTTGAAACATGTATAGAAATGGGAGAGGAGAAATATGTTAAACGGGTTTACAAAGACCAGGATAATTCAGATATTGTCGGAATTTATATGGAGGATATTTCTCAAGATATACATTATCGATATATTATCATAGTTACAGAAAAAAAAGTAGAATATTTTATGGGTCGAATGGCACAGGGAGGTCAGGGAGAAGAGGGAATGACTCGAGAACTTTTTGTTTCTGGACATAAGGGACTTGAGATGGCTGAAATGAAAAATTCACAATTTTCAATATCGCCAGTTGAAATAGAGTATTACGAGGAGATAAATGATCGATATATTGCATGGTTATCAGGAAAAGATATTTTTTATGGATCTTTGAGAGCTTTTGATGTTGATCCATCAGAAAAAGTTAATTTTACGTTAACACATTTGCATATGTAGGATAATTAGAAACAAGACTCTAAGCTTATTAATATTATAGAGATACAATCAAACGAGAGTTTTCAGAATTTCCATTCTTTTTTTGTTTTACACATTATCATATTATCATTGTACAAGAAAACGAGATTTATATCGTTAATCGATTGAACAATCAAATTGTTTTTACAGAAAAAATACATATGGCAAGCAAATCTATAAAACATACCTACATATATCTTATCTAGCTTAGAAATCAGACAAAAAAATACTAGGATTAGTTACAGATACGTATAAAAGTACATATTGGATTTATTCAAAAGATTTTGTTTATGAGATTGTTATTTCTAATGAAAACGCTGATATTTGGAAGTCATTTCTTGAAAATGGTAATTATTTAAAGGCTCTTAAATTTGCAAAAGTATAATTGTTATTTTTCTTTAAAAAATCTTATATAGTTAGAAAAATTCTCATTACGATGCTATTTATAGGGAATATGGCATGGATTTAATTAAACAGGCTAAGACCCATGAAGCAGCAAAAGTATTAGCGAAAACAACATTGCCAATTGAAGAGATTTCTCTAAAATTCATGGATATGAAAGATCATGATGCATTGAGAATATATTTACTTGAAAAACTCTCATTGATAAAAAAAGGAGTAAGGAAAATTCTTTTGTAATTATTAAAAATACAATTTCATAGGCTCTTATACAAAAAACAATATTATCAACATGGTTACTTTTTTTATATATAACTAAGATGAACACATTGGACGATATCCAAGTACAAAATTCTTTTCTTAATATTTCTGACACTGTTTCTACAGAAATTAAAGAAATTCAAAACGAATTCAGTGAATTTATAAATAAATACAAGGTAAAATTTTAAATGTATAAAAATACATCTTATAAGAATAGTCTAATTTAAATCGAGAGGCGTCCTATCATCTTATTAATAGTCAGGGTCGGCAAAATGAACTGTTAATATACGCAGAAAGCATTAATGATTACCCATATATTTTACAATATTGGGTACGGAATCAGAATTATGATGCAGCTCTTAATGCTCTCAATAAACAAACCGATCCAGAGTTAATTTATAAATACGCATCTGTATTAATTTTACAAAAACCAAAGGCAACTGTAGATACTTGGATATTACATTCAGATATTAATCCATTAAAACTTATTCCTGCTATTATCGATTACAACCAACAATATAAACTTTTAATAGAACAAGTGTGGCATGTCTTATTTTTTAAAATTAACTAATATTCTAAAGAATCAAACAATTCGTTATCTCTTTTTTATTATTGATCAGGCACCTATAACAGAACCTATAATTCATAATACATTATTATCACTACTTGCTAGTAGTGAAAACCAAGATGAAACATCGCTTTTGCAATATCTTGAATGGCAAAAAAGTAAAGACTTGTATAATTCAGAATTTGCATTACGTACTTGTATTCAATACAAAAGAATTCTAAGTTCTATTTATTTATATTCTAAAATGGGCTTTTTTGAGGAAGCAGTAGATTTGGCTTTAAAACATAATAATATAGATTTAGCGTCTACCTCAGCAGATAAAGTTGAAAATAGTATTTTAAAGAAAAAATTATGGATTAAAATTGCAAAAAAAGTAATTAGTCAGTCCGACGAAGACACCAAAAGGTTATAATATTTTAGCATTTTAATAATATGATATTAATAAATTTAGTTCTTTAAAATTTTTAATGAAGAATGGATCACTTAATATCGAAGATTTAATCCCATTATATCCAGATTCTGTAAAAATAGATAATTTTAAAGTTACAATTAAAAATATTTTTTATATAAATTAATATTTACTCTAGGAAGAAATATGTTCTGTCTTAAAAGAATATACTTCTAATATAAATTCGTTGCTTAAAAAGATGGAAGAATTAACAGTATCAGCTGACAATATTCGCCATAATATAGAAGATCATAATAAATGGTTTACGATTTTAAATGTAGAGGAAAAATGCAATATCTGTAAAAATATATTATTAAATGACCAATTTTATGTTTTCCCATGTCAACATTGTTTTCATAAAGATTGTTTATTTTCAAAAATTTCAAAAGATTCTACTTTTTGGCAATATCGACGAGTTCAGGATTTACAATCTATAATATCTAAACTTGAAAGCGATATCCCTATGAAACAACTTGACCAGTATGAACGATTATGCAAAGAACTAGATGATATAATATCAGCAGAGTGTATACTTTGTGGTAGTAATATGATACGAAGTATAGATAAAAATTTTATTGATATTAATTCAAAGGAAGCATTATTTTGGAATATTTAACGATATTAACTTTATAATTTAAAATAAAAATATATTACTTTTTATAAATACAATTTCTATATTAATTATATAATGAATTACTCAAAATTATCTAAAACTTACACAAAAAATTCTTTATTATAAAGAAAACATTTATATATTATTTCATAATAACTAAAATTTTTATCAAAATACAATATCAGGAAATAAAAACTCAAGCGTCTATAAATTTTTTTACTCACTTTTAACTCTATCTTTTAATTTTTCAATCTCCTCAATAACCTTTGGAACAGTTATTTCATTTATGTAACTCAATTCTTGTGGAGACAGCTTCTGTAGTACAAAATTAACCACATCTTTGGATTCCCGAGTGGAAGGTCTACCTAAACCAATTGAAAATCGAACAAACGACTAGAACCATATTAGATATACAAGCACCTATATAAAAGCAACTTTCCTCAGTAAGTAACGATTTAATACACGATTGTATGCCTTTATGACCTCTTGATTTTTTAATATATACCAAACATCAATCACAAAATTATACCTTCCCTTTCCTTGTTCCCGAACTTTAACTGTACCAAATTTCTCTTCAATATCATCATGAAGGACCACTAGTAAAGGTCTTCCTTCTCCCTCAACAACCATATCTGCACAAAACTTATTCCATGCCTTCTGTACAGCTTTCCCTGATTCATTCATAAAAACACATGATTGAAACAACAAAAATGGTAAATCATCCCTTTTTGCATACATTCCAAAACATGAAGGATCCTTTTCAAAGACAGAAAATCCAAAATAACTATGAATTTGCTCCAATACATAATGTCCAAGACTATGTCTTGTAAAACGATATTTTGCTCCAGGATTGCCAAGACTGCAAATCTAAGCATATTATTAAAAATCAATGAAAATGTTAGATAAAAATACTAAAAAACGCTGTGAACATATAAATTGACATCTCATAAACGCTCATAAATTATCTGGAGATTATAAAAAAACGTTAGAAATTCAAAATATACTCGATAACTTTAATTTTTTAAAAAATAAAAGTTTTTCTAGAAAATGATATAAAAAACAAAATTCTAAACATAAATTATACAGACTTTGTTTTAAGATGAATTTTTATAAAGATTATGTAAGTATTTTCGAAAATGCATTGTCAGATGTTCAGGAAAAAACGGAAGATTGGAAAGCAGGGAATTCGAAAAAAGTTCAAAGAAAGAAGACAGACGTCAAAAATGTAGGGAAATCAAAGACATACGAGGATGCAATAGATAAATATGAAAGTAAATAATATTTTTTTTGTATTTTTGTAGCAAATATTAAATGAAAATAGGTGTTTTACAGCAAATTAAAAAAAACTGGAATTACATGACAAAAGATGAGGTTATAAAAACGGGTAATTTAAAAATAAGAATTCTAATGATTGACTAGTGTAATCCACTCGTAGTAGCACTTGAACTTTTAGACAAAAGTTCACTTGGAAAAGATTACAATGCGTTTAAAGCAACGTATCAAGATTTACAAAAATCACTTAAATTAATAGTAAATGGTTCATTCAGAAAATATTTATATATAATATTTTTAATGTAAAAAAGAGAATTATGAAGAATTTAGTCGCTCAATTGCTACATTTGGAATTATTATGGAAAATATAACTGAATCTCAAGAAAAAGCGCAAGAAATAGAAAAAACAATTTTAGAATCTCAGAAAAGACTTATATATAAAAAGAGTGATTTAAGGTCAATACATCAACGTAGTTTGCACCTTAAAGAAATATTAAGAATTTTAAAAGCTATGTATGCAACTCTTGATATTTTTCTAAAATACTAACACATTAATAAAGCGATGATTTACGAAAGATCCCAGAAATTTTAGAAAGGCATATTTCAGAAAAAAAATTTTTAACTGCAATTATTCTTCTCAAAGAAGCTCAGGAGATTACAGAAAGATATGAAATGTCTAAAATCAATGCCTTAATAGACATTAAACGGTACATCAGTGGCCATAAAAATGTTATAAAAAATTTTAGCAGAATATTTCTAATAAGTAGATAGTCATTAATGCATATTATTCTTGAAGAGCTTCATAATCATTTATATTTAAAATCTCCATACTGTGATACATACTGGGCTCCTTATACCTTAGGACAGAAAGAGTGTATAAAATTTCTATTATTAAAATAATTTTTTACTTTTAATAGTGCCTATTCCTGCTGTTTTAAAGAAAAATGAAGCATTTCAATCAAAAATGGAACCAGGAACTATTAACCATATTGATACTACAACTTCAAATCATACAAATTCTACTTATTCGTATCAACTAAATAACAACAATTCATTACCAGAATCCAAAAAGGTATGTTTACTGTAAATTTTTAATTTTTTAATAATACTTTAAGAATAATATCTATAATCCTGAAGTTGATTCTTATGAATATATGAAAATGCTTACTAGAGCATTGTATTTGCTAAATGTATTGCCTAATTCATTAGACATTATTATTCAAAGATTGCCTGTAGAAATTTACCAATTAATTGATAAAACAATAAATGAGGTTGAGCAAAGAAATTTTAATTTATTCCAAGACAGATTTTCCAAAAAAAAACCATTAAACATTCTTGATATTGAATTTTTAGAAGATAATATGAGATCAGAAATTTTAAAAGATTTCCTTTGGACATTATATTCTAAATTAGCTGCAGTACTTCAGGGATATCATGTTATTTATACATATATTTTGGATTTAAATGATGAAGATTCTCAAAAAACTAGTGAGAAAATGTCTAAATCAATATCGTTTAATCTTTTAGAAATATGGAAACCAATTCAATTAGAGGTTAGTTTATTATTTTATTTATTTATTTATTCAACATTTTAAGATTCAATCACTACTTCACGATTATATTATAGATGAATCTAACCAAACAGTATCTATGTATTCTAATTTTGTTTCTTTTAATAATATGTTTAATGAAAAAAAAGATATAAAAAAAATAAAAGTGCAATACTAATTATTTTTTAATTAAACTAATCTTGTATTAGATGTTTAACATATATAATATTAATGAAAACTCTAAGGATCTTAACACCGCTCTTAGTGACTTAAAAAATATTTTAAATTCATCCGTTGTATACCTTATGTTACGAGAAGAAAATGTTAAAAACAAAACGCATTTAATTTTACATAACTTAAAAGAAGAAGCATCATTTACAGGTCACCGATTGCTAATTAAACCTTCTGTATTTAATATTGAAACTTTATTTAAACCCACTTGGGCATTTTTTCAAAAGTGTAAAGATACACTGTTTCATGAGTAAGTAATTATTGTTAAAATGATATTTTTTACTTTTCTTAGGTCTTCTTTAAGTTCAGCTCTTACATCGTTTTTAAATGACTTTTTATTAAATTCTTTTCTTCCTCAACTAAAAGATATTATCCAAGAAATTGCTGCTCAAAGCATATTAAATTTCGATGTACTTCAAATTGATGAAAATTGGTCTACTTATTCAACACGTCCTTTGTTAAAAGTATTATTTATTTATTATATTTATATCAAATAACAACTATTTAGAATACAGTATCTTTATTAATATTAATTACAAATTTATTTAAAATGCTTAATTCTATTAGTTATAATAATGAAGATTATAGTGACATTTTATTTGATATTTTGAAAAAATATCTTAGTAAATCTAAATTGAAATATAAAGAATTAATTTCTCAAACCAATCATATTGGTAGTAGTAATAAAAACAAAACTATTATAAAAAATATAAAAAAAATAAGTCAAGTTTGGTCAGACGATGAAGAGTTAAAAAAATTACTAAAATCATTTTTAAATGGATCTATTTCATTAGATGAATTCTCTATTATGGTAAAAACATTTATATATAATAATTATTATTTAATTTGTTAAGGAAACCGAGAAAGAATTTCTGTTAAAAAACAAAACACCATTAAAATATAACGATATTCAATGGGATAAACAAGTTCTCGAATCTCTTGGAGTATTTTATCATACTTTGGTTTGCTTAAAACTTATATAAATTATTTATTTACAATTATAGAAATGGTTTATAGATATGATAGTTTCTCTGAAAAGATCTAAAATCGAATTTAATGTTAGTTTTTATGCAAAAAATTAAAAAGTATTAAAATAGCCTAGGATCGATTTTTGCAGAACTCTGCTTTTAAACAAGCAAATAAAACCTTATCTTTTTTACATGATAATAAAGCAGACACTTTAATTCTTAATATGAAACCAGAGTCTAATAAGTATTTTTTTTTTATTTTTTTAATTATACTGATTTTTTTAGAAAATTAGATGCGATATTAGCTGATTTTAAAGAACTTTCAGAATCAATTCTTCTTAACATTAGAATTGAAATAAGATGTCATATTATTTACTATATAGAAAAAATTGTTCGTGATGGTAATTATTATTTGGACCAATATATATCTAAACCAGATTTATATCTTTTTGAGCTAAATACAGATCTTTTAGAATATAATGAACAATTAAATTCCTGTCTACAATATGAAGAATATTCGTATGTAACTTTAAGAAAAAAAATAGTACTGATAATTTAAGATTTGTTATTTATGGATTACCGTATATGATAGATAATTTGTTGGTTCTTAGTGCTGAAAATATTACACAAATGAATGTTCTTGGTTCAAAAAAAATGCTGCTAAACATAATGATTCTAGAACAAAACCTTAAAAATATCATTAGAGATGTTGAGAGTATTAAATTCGAAAAATCAAATTATTTCTACGAAATATTTAAACTAGGTCCTAAGGTAACTTTTATAAATATATTGTTTTTTTCTAATAAAATAAGAATCTTCTCAAAAAAATTAAAGAGTCTAAAAACGTCTTTAGTTATGATGAAATAAAAACTCTTCTTCAGTTACAATATTCTGAAGATTTAACCAAAGCAGATGAAGTCAATAGACCAGATATTATTATGGCCTTAAAGCATTCTTTAAATGAGAATTTAATAGAATTGAATGAATATTTATGGCAAAAATAAATATTGCTATATAATAGTTATAAATCGATTATTGTTTAAACCTCGTATGTTATAAAATCATGACTATATGAATTATATGGAATTTATAATTTACAATTTTTTAAATATCTCAATTTTAATAAACAATTAATAACACTTATAAATGAACTTGAAGTATATCGCCAGAACCAAAACCCCGATTACACGAAGGACAGCGACGTTGCCGAGTTTCTATACGTTTATTTACACATTCCTTACAAAATACATGTCCACATAATGATATTGCTGTATTTTTCCATCTAGTTTCACATACAGAGCATTTAGCCATGCCCTAAACTATTAACGCATTTTCAATATTTTAAAATACAGTATACCCTATATATTTTTAATTCATCTATATCACCATTAACTGCAACTTGATTCTTGTTTTTTCGAATTTGCATTTTAAGTTTTTCAATTTCTTCTTCTGCAACTCTCTTAGCATTTATTTCTGTATAAGTAATATTCTTTTGCTCTATTAAGTGCTGCTTTAACTAATATATATGTTATTTAATTAATAAAGTAAGATAACTCTTACCATAGAGACTTGTTGCCCAATATTTTTTATATTTTGTTCTTTCTCATCAATTTTTAATTGGAGTTCTTGAGTTTTTGAAATGAGTACTTCATTAGCTGTCCTTAAAACAGCAATTTGCTTTTCTATATTTATCTAAAACAATTTGAACGTAATTCAACAATATAGGAAACAAACCATTTTTTGTGTTGTACATTTTTCAGATTCTTGTAATTTAATAATAATATCACCTGCTTTAGAATTCTGTTGTTTTAGTGCTTTATTTTCAATAGTTAATTTATCTTTAGCTTTCATAGCATCAAAATATTTCTGATCAGCCTTAGCTTTCTATTAAAATGTTAAATGTAACAGAAAATAACTTAAATTGATATACATCTGCATGTAAACGATAAAACTTGTCTTCTTTTGCTACAATTTCATTAACTTTTAAAGAACTTTGATGATGAGCTTTATTAAAAGCTTGTTCTAAAGTTAAAAGTTCAGTGCTCAAACTTTTATTTTGCTATTAAAAAATAAATACTTAGAAATAATATATAATATGACTTACTTTTTGTAAACGCTCAATTTGTTTTAAAAGTTGTTCTTTAGATTCATCAGAACTTAAACTATTTTCTAATTTAGTATCTTGATTAATTTCATAATTAAGACGTTCAACTTGCTTTTCTAATACAATAATTCTTGCCTTTAAAAATAAACATATTTTAAAAAACTTAAAGAAATCTTACATTACGTGTTTCTAAAAGATCTAAAAGTTCATTTTTTGCAGTAGATTTCTCAATCTCAGTAGCTTTTTTGACATTAAGTTGAGAAATGAGCTCATCTCGCACAGTCCTAACACGAGCAAGATCCTGCTCTACTTTACCCAGCTGATCTCTCATATCAGCAATTATATTTCTTTGTTCGTTAAGAAGTTCCTCTTTAAATTCTAATCTTTCAGAGCGTAATTTCTCAACTTCTTTATTAAGAGCTTCATATGCAGGTTCTATTTCTTTAATCTTTCCAGCACAATGTTCAAATTTGGTTTTTAAAAAACAATACGCATCAGAATGTAAAATATCTTCCTCACCCAAATTTTTTAGCTAAATTTTATTAATTCTTAGACTAAAAATAAATTCGCTAAATATATTTACCTTCAACTGAAGATTTATTAATTGTTCACGTAACTCACTATTTTGAGAATTCATTTTGGATATTTCAGATAATCTTTTTTCATTAATGGCATTCATTTCACGCAGTTCCGCCTCAATAGTTAGAATATTTGAGTTCGATTTCTAATAAGCTGTTAAAATTTATTTTTTTAAATAAATGTCTAAAACATTATCTTCTAATTTAGACACTTTTATTACTTCCATATGTTCATCATTATTACTTACTTCCGGCACTTTTTTCATAGCATTTAGTTCTATCTTAGACAATGTAATACTTTTTTGCCGATCTAATTTTTTTTCTAAAGATATTATTTGATAAACCATATCTTCTAGTTTTTTTTTATTATCTTCTTTATCTAATTTTAATTTCACAATATGAGATTTTGCTATTTCTAGATCAGACGATAGTTTAGCTGCATGCTTCTTAATTCTTTCCATATCAACATCTTCAACGAGTGATGTTTTAATGAAATTTAGCACCGAAACAACACTATTCATAATTTTATCCTTTTTATCATTCAAATGAGAATAAAACGTCACATCATTTGCAAATAACAACGTTGAAATATCCATTATATTTGACATCCATGGTTCTAATTCCGGTTTTGCTCCTGAATATATATATATTTCATTCAAAAACTAAATGAACCAAATCAATCCAAGAAAAAAATGCATAACATCTTCTATACTTCGTTAAAGCATGCATCAATTGCTCTTAAATGATCATCATGATACATTGCAGTCTTTTCTAGTTGTTCTAGCTGCTCTTTCGTTCGAATTGCCTCTCGTTTATATTCTTGCATACGTCTCCATATAGCTTCCTTTTGAAAATCCTACGTATGCTTTTTAACTTCTAAAAATCTATCCTTTAGTAACATACTTCTATTTCAGGCTGAATAGTACGCGACGTATGTTCAAAAATCTGTTTTTTCGGCACAGGCTCATGAGAAGATAGTTGAACAACATCCAAAGACCGCTTCTTATCGTCCATTACAGGCTAAAAGCCACTAATCCGTTTGTTTGTCAAATTATCTTGACTGTTTCTTAGTATTTATATTTTTTTTGTAGAAAAAATGCATACCAAAAATAAAATGAACTTTCTATAGAAAATATTAGCATAAAATCTCATAAAACCCTTTTCTGAATAGAATATAGGACTCTTCTTAATACCTTTTTTTCACTTTATCTACTTGTTAATATTTAATGTTTTTTTCAAATGTTCTGACGATTAGGATTTTCATAAACGTTCTTTCAATATTTAAAAAAAAAAAGCATTATTTTCTTATAAAATAAGAAAGCTAAAATGAATATTATTACAGCATCTGTTAGTATGCAAATATATTCTTTTAAATGTAGAATTTATTCATAAAATATAGTTAAATCAACTCTACGGTTTACACCTCGTGTTCATTCAAAATTAGATTCTTTGGTAGTTAATCAACAAAAAAATCAAATATCAGAAAATTCATTTTCTTTAAATGAAAGATTGAATGCAAAAACGTTAGATTTAGTAGAAGAATCACTTGAAAAACCAAGTAGGAATATTTTTTGTTAATATTAGTAACAGTGAAAAAGGCAAAAAAAATCAATCAAAGTTAAGAAAACAAGAAGATTTGGACAATAAAACTGAAGAGAATGTTTCTGAATCGAATAAAGTATCAAATCATAGTTTTTTAGACTCAAAAATCAAGTGTAAGACAACAGTTAAATCAGAAAATATTCATGAAACAATATTACATAAAAATGCAGAAAAAGAAAGAAGTCCATGTATTGTTTCTAAAAGAAGAAAACCCTTAGAAAAAGATACTGGTTTGTATAGGAAATAAATGAAATTGTCTTTTAATATAGAAAAAGAAATGGATTATTGTAAAGTACTAGAAAATGAAGAAAATGGAAATTCTGCACACAGTCAGGTCGAATTAAATATAATGGATGATTCATCAAAGAAAAGGAAACCAAAAATCCTAGAGTCTAGTCAAGCTGCTAAACAAAATATTAAAGAATTAAAAAAACCCAAGAGAAAGAGATCAGTTTCACCAATCAATAGTGAACAACTTACGATTGAACCCACTGAAGTAAAAATTTCTGACTTATGTAAAGATATACGAATAGGAAGAAAGAGTGTGAAATTCAATGAAATTCGTAAAATGGAAGCAGTAAAACGAAAAATGAAATCTAAAAATGATAAATTATTTTCTAAAAATGATTTAAATAAAGAATTAGATTGTGAAACTAAAAATGTATTGGCTTCTGATAAAAATGTACAAAAAACATATTTAAATGTTCATAATTCAAAATCTCTAATGATAAAAAACGATAATACTAATGTAACAAAATATCATTTAAAAGGGTATATATTATATGATTTCTGTATATTTTTTGTTAAATTTTCAAGGGCTCCGCAAGTTCGTGTAGTTAATGGAAAGATTGTAATAGATGAAAATTCTTTACAAATTGATAGACGTGAAAGAGATATTAATCCAAATACTGAAATAGAATTAGTTGAAGAAAATGATTTATCTAGGAAAGTAAATAGTGCTAGTTGGGGTAAAAGAGAAAAATCAGATCGTTGGTCTAAAGAAGATACTCAAAAATTTTACAATGTATATTTTTTACTTTAAAAAAAACATTTTAATATTTAATAGGCATTATCCCAATGGGGTACTGATTTTGGACTTATATGCAAAATGTTTCCTAATAGAAGTCAACGACAAATAAAAAACAAATTTAACTCAGAAGAAAAAAAATACCCAGAGAAAATAGATATTGCTATTAAATCCAGACAACCTATTGGTACGATAATAGCACAATAGTTTACCATTGTCTTACTGCTTTTAGATATTGTTGCATATTCAAAAGCAACTGGTTCTAATTTTAGATCTATTAATGAAATTCAAGAAGAGCTAAGAAAAGCAAAAGAAGATTTTGAAGAATCAAGAAGAATTTCAATAGAAAATGCACAAATTTCACTCGAAAACAATAAGTAATTTTAATTATTATAAATCAATGAAATAAATATATTCTGGTTAATATTATCAAATCTATTGAATCATTTTCTTTAAGATATAGTGTTGAGTTCAAAACATTTATCTACATTTTTTTAAAATATACTTATAAGGCTTTATGAGTCTTTAATTCTTAAATTTATTAAAACTATTCTGTTAAAATAATCTGAATATTTGGAATCAAAAAAAATTAATTTATTTCTAAATCTAATGAAGATATATAAAAAATTTATTGACTCCATAAAAAATTAAAAGGCTCATAATTTTCAAAATGTTTTTAAATCTAACAATATAACTTTTTTCCTAATATAAGTCTTACTACTTATTTACATCGATGTTATATAATACAAAGACAAAATAAAAAGATGATTTAGAACAGTAACAGGTAAATGCCATTTATTATACAAAATCTATGTTCTTTATTAATAAAAGTACTATATTAATAAAAATGATAAACTTGTCATGAAACTAGACATAATTTCCATAAAAACCATAACCTGAGCATTTGAAATTTACATAATAAAAACTTTCCTAATCTTTTCTCTAGAAAATTTTTCAGTCGTTGCAGGGTCCCAGATAATATCTTTTGAAATTCCGAATTTTTCATTTTTCTCATATAAACTTTTTTGATTGTAGACATGTCCATTTGGAAGTGCTATTAACTCATTATCACTTTTAATTTTTTCACCTGTTAATGAATCTATAAGACTTGATCTAACAGCATGAGCATATGGTACTAAAGAAGCAATAGAATTTAATTCAGGAGAACATATTGGACAGAGAGTAGAGTGAAAAAGAGTAGTATTTACTTTTTGAGACTCAAAAGAACAACATGATGGTGTTTTTAAAGCAGAAAGACCAGCAGAAAGTGTAATGTATAACAAAGGAAGGACTGGAAGATTATATAAATTATGATGAGTTAATACAAATAAATCCGCTAACAACATCCAACGATCAGGAGAATAAAGTTTCTGTTATTAAAATTAAAAATAGCCATTTAAAAAATATTATTACTTTATAAGGTTCATATTCTGTATCGGGTGGGAATATTAAAAGAGCCATAGCACGCCTGAACTCTTCTATATGCGCCTCTGAATAAAAGGTTAAATACTTTCGCGAATACTGAATTGCTTGAAAAAGTTCTCTTTTTTTAACAAGTTCAATATATTCTTGTAACTTTAACTCAAATTCTAGATTAATCTAACATCATTTAAGTAAAAATACATAAACTTTTGTTTTCTTACTTTATTCTTTCTTAGAAAAGCTCTATTTTCTGAGCACCAAGCAAGGCATTTTGCTGTGTTTTTATTTTTTAAAGCTTCTTCAATTTCTCTACATCGAACAAACAAATCAATATCAACAAGACCCTTTTTCTGTTATTTCACACATATGTTCCATATATTATACCTCAATATTTTTTTCTTGAGCTAATTGTTTAGCCGTTTTACTCATCCCTTTACGTAACATATAGTCTATTAAAAGACGATTCAATCGAACTTGACTCCATCTATCATAAGCATCATCCTCTATGTTTTCTATGCTACAAAGCTCTTTTAAATGAGCAATTCTAGCTTTTAAATGTCTAAAATACTGTATATCTTCTTGATTTAATAAAAACAACTAGGAATCTTTAAAATGAATTATTTTTTTCTAAAAAAAATACCTTTTCTTTTAATTCTTGAATTTTAACTAAGATAATGTTTAATTGTTCTATTGATGCTTCTGTTTCTTCTCTTGTACTAAAATCTAATTTTTCAATTGCGGATAAAAAATAATTTGAATTTTTTTCGATATATTTTTGTGATACTTTAAAATTCATTCTTAAAAGCTCATAAGGAAGCCGTATCATTGATTGTTCTAATATTAAATGGTTTTCTAAATTAATTTTAGTTTTCGCCATTTTTTTTTTTGAAAAATGTAGCGGTGTTTATTTGTAGTAAAAAACCTACACGTAACTTATTAAATATATAAAAAAATATATAAAATAATAAATAAAAACATTTATAAAAATAGCTATGGCGCCAATAATTCTCGTGCTGCTTTAATATTATCAAATAATTTTTGAACAGATACAAGTTCAATTGCAGATGTATCAGAATATAATGATTTTGTTTGATCCATTAAATAAGACTCTTTAAGTACTTCCTGAGTATTAATAGAAAAAGCGTTTCTCCTCCTTATTTTTCTTTGGATAGTTTGAGGCATTTTTGCAAATAAAATGATATCATCTGTTTCATCTAAAATATCGTTATTATGCCTTAATCTTTTAATGCCTTTAAAATCTGATGAAGAATAACCACTTAAGTCCGGTAATACATAAGAGAGAAGTCGTTCAAATACATTTTTTAAATTAGTTTCTTCAATCGAAGTAATTTTGAAAAATTCAACATTTGTCAATAATATTTGTTTTTTTTTAAGCAAAGGTATATCAAAAAGAGTATCAAGCTATACATAATGTATTCAGTATAATCACGTTTTATTGTTAGATGTCTCACTTGCATATCTATTTCTGGATCCATCCAATAAATAATTAATAAAGGGAATCTAAACATGTTCTCACAGGGTATATTTTCAACTAATGTATGTAACTGATGTTTCCAAAAATCCCATTTAGGAGATAACAATGAATCTTTGCAATCTATAAGACTACATTCGAAAATAACAGCACCTATATATTTGTAACATTTTTTTTCAAAAGCATTAGAGATAGGCATCACAATTTCAATATCTAAATCAAAATTTGATGTCGATTTCCACGAAAATTCAGCTGAATTATATTTTAATTCAAATTTTTGTCTTAACCAAAATGAAGTAGGTGTTTCATAATTTGTAGAAAAAATTAAGAGTTGCCAGAAATTAAATGTTATTTTCGATAAATTTTTTATTCTAGAAATGAGAATATCAGTTAAATTTTCATTTTTCCAAAGTTCATTTATATGATAATGGGTCTATAAATTATTTAAATTTTAAAATATTAAATTTCAATTTCAAACCTTTTTTAGCGCTTCAGCGATATCCTCATCAGTTTCTCTGTTTAAAAATCTATACATTTTTTTTCTATTTTTACTTTTAGTATTTATAATATCTATTTTTTTTAAAGCAGTATAATATTGATGAAATTTTTGCTGCTTTTCTGCTTTCATTTTTTCTAATTGTTTTTTTTGAAGTATTCTTGACTTATATTTATTTTTTATAATATTAAATATGTTTTTTAAAAAATTTTTTTTATTTATATTTTCAGCTATACATTCAAAAGCCACTTCAAAAATAAATTCTTTGATCAATGATTCTATAATTTCAAATGCAAATTCGTTTATAATTTTGTTTCTTTTTTCATTAAAATATTTAAATTCAGCCTTTGTTGATGTAATAACTGATTTTATTTGATAATTCATCATTTTTAAAAAAATTGTATCTAAAATGTTTAGAAATTGCTTTTTTGAAAGCTTCTTAGATTCTTTTTTTCTTAATATATTATTAAATTCACATAAATTTTGATGAATATTGCTTGAAAAATCACAAAAATGTTCATTTAAAACTGCATTTTTTATTTGATTATTAGAATCAAATGACTCAGAAGAATTATTTACTTCAACATTATGTGAGGAAATATCTATAGATATAAGCAATAATAAAATAAAAATAATATGATAATTATACTTTGAAAAGCTGTTAAAGATTTACATTGATTATTCGATAAATCTATTAAATTCTGTTTGTTTTCAAAATTTATAAATTTTTCATTTTTCTGATCTTTAGAACTACCATTAATATTAATTTTTTGATTATTATTAAGAAATCTATTATTTAGAAATGTAGAATGTTTTTTATTTGTTTCTTTACTTATGTCAGATTCTGATGAATGAAAAGTAAGTACATTTGAGTTTAAACATGAATATGGTACTAAATAAAAATCATTATAGAATTAAATAAATAAGAAATACTAACATTTTAATGTTTCTTTAGAAGTTGATTTTTTGAGAGTTGGTGAAAGAAAATGTATGGGATATGGTTCACTTAGCACTCCATTAATAACGTCTGAAAAAGACTGTGAACCACGCTTAGCCTCAACCAAACGTCTAGAAAATCTTTGTTTAATAGATGGTAAAGTCTCTATAAAATATTAAAATTAATAACTTAATTAAATTTTTCTAACCATTCCATTGAGAAGATCTATGAATATGAACAGAAACAGGTGTTCCTTCTGCATTCCTTTCAACTGCAAGGCCATATGATTCACAATTTACAGCAGCTTCTTCAACATTATCGCATCCCAACATTTCTGCAAGTTCATCGATAGGGAATGGAGAATGATTTGCTAAATAGGAACGTCTCATCGCTTTTAAAGCACCTTTCCTAATGTCTGCAAAATGCATTTCAACTGAACATGCCATAAGATATGTAGTTTTTTTGCTTGCTATGAGTTTAAAAAAACGAGTAAAAAGATTTTGAGCAGCTTCAGTATTAGGTATCTTATGGATTCCAATTTTTTCATTATTTCTTTGAACTAGAGCATATAGCTTCAATGAATGTTGAATAGGAGAAGAAAAAAACAGTTCTTGAGGCAAGGTTTGAGCTAGACGAATAATATCTGGATCTTGAATACGTGATAATATATGATAAGCTCTGAATTCGGATTCATGAGGACAATGAATATTTAAACATCGTAGATCATCATAGAATTCTACTAAAGATTGAAGAACTAAGATATTATTAAATATTTATGATATGTATATGTATGTATAACCTTTTTGCAACTGTTCGTTTTCTTGTTGTTGACTAAAAGTCTTAATTTCACATAATTGATGCAAACAAAGAATATGATATCGTGCAATACGTTCATGACATTCTACTGCTTCAAGTCCACGACTATTTTGAAAAGTAAAATCCTGGCGTATAGAACGAGTTCTGTCCCTAACAAAACTATGTGTTTCTGATAAGCTATCACCCCCACAAACAATACGATCAATAAGATAATCAAGTGTTGACTAATATTGAAATTAAAAAGAACTTGTAAAGAATACAAATAACCTTCAGAACATGTGGTGGGCGGACATCTGATGGAAGAACCTGTTCATTACCAGCTGCTGGCCTATGAAATGCTTTAACTGCAAGATTCTTATCCACACGCCCTGTTAATGGATTCTAATTATATGTTAAGTTTTAAAACAAAATATCTAACTACATACTATTTCCCAGCGTTCAAGGTTCTTCTGATATTCTCGTTCTTCTCGTTCAAACAGTGGACACATATCTTTGCATGTTCCAATAAATGTTAAAGCTTGATGAAGTCGTTTAGGTTTATTTGGGTCATCAATTAATCCAAGTCTTGTTGCTTCTTCTCTTTCACGTTCTCCTGTTTAATAATTAGTTATAAAAATATTTATTTAATTATATTATGGAATATTCACGCTCGGGTTTTAACTTTTCATATCTATTTTTTGACAAAGTTTTTTCAAATCGTCGCTGTCTTGCTTCTACATCATATTGTTTGCTTACTTCTTCATTTTGTACACGTCCTTTGTTTGAAAAACTTTTAATAGATTTCACTCTTGGGAAAAGATCCGTCATACGAGGTCCTCGTCCGCTTTCTACCCATCCTTTTCCTTTATTATCCATCCTTCATAGTTTCATAATGAAAAAGAAAAAAATAATGTAAATAATGAATATTTTTAATGCAAATCCACTTTAAAGTTAAAAATGAAATGTTATATATGAAAAAATATGAAAAAATTTTAAAAATCTTTAATAACGAATTTTTCAAATATCCTAACAATCAATAGTTTAGGTTTTTTAATCTAATATCATTAGAAATTGATTTAAAATAGGAAAATAATAAATATCTTAAGCAAACATTAATGATTGGTACTCTAAATACTCATATGATTGAATTAAATGTTGAAAATTAATAAGTGGTTTTTATCGTCTTCGAAAGATTAATATTTTAAATAACTTTAGTTTTTTGTAAAAAAAAAAATAAAAATCTATTTTTCTACTTATTAACAGCATAAATTATGCCGAATTTTTCACCCAATTATTACACATAAAAAGAAGTATCATTTCTATACATTTACTAGCAAATACATATATTTAGGAAAACGTTAAGAGTTAAGTCGAGATAAGGTATTAAGATTAATAATTTCCTAAAAAAAAATATGCTTATTTAAAAGAAAAAAGTTATTGACGATTATTGCTTATTAAAAAAGACTTCAACTCAATATATCAATCATACCATTGGCAGTATTCTCTTTAACCATTGTTTCAAAATAGTTATAAATTGTTGTTGTGCATAAAAGAATCGCAGTTCCTGAGCCAAGAGTACCTAATGAAAATGAAATGTTAATAAAATAAAGGAAATGAAAAAATACCCAAAAGATCAGAAAAAATGGATAAAGCACCAATACAAGCACCAGAAAGCCATGCAGCAGTAGGGACAACACGCTTTAATTCCTTATACATACTTTTCTCACGGTGGCCTGCAATAACGACTTGTTGTTCTTTGAGTTGTTTGGCAACATCCCTTGGTCCACTTCCTGAGACTTCGATCCATAGTTTAGAAAACAAAGCACAAATAAAAACAATAAATACGACATAAATAGTTGTATGAATTGGATCAAGAAGTGCTTCTTTAATATTTAATGGAGGAGTTATCATGTATGCAAGACCTGAAACAGCTCGATTCTGATTTGTTCCTGGAACTGACTTAATTAATTCAGTATGCAGCTTATTTTCAAGTTAAATAACACACTTTCCATGTTCCAAAAAGCTTAACAAATATATTGTCAGGAAACTTTCGATAGAGCATTTGAGAAACAATAAATATATTTGAAGTTAACGCACTTTCCAACATGACTGGAATATTGCTTGTATAAAATAGTTTTATAGCGTATGTGCCATGCTGTCCTCTAAGCTTGCTGGATTTAATAGGTATTTCAACTCTAAACCCTTGCAAGTAAATGACGATCGCAAACACAAAAATAGTTGCAAGGAGGTTCATAATATTTGGTAAATTTTGACGATAAAAAGCTTCCTTAAGAGCACGCGTCTTATTATTCCAAGTAAAAAGAAGATGCAGTAAAGCTAATAAAGCACCTTCGAATTCTGGGCCCCGTCCTGTATTAATTGTTGTGGGACTAAAGACTTTCCATATAATCCCTTCACATATATTTGTTGCAATAAATAAAGAAATACCTGATCCAAGACCATATCCTTTTTGAAGGAGTTCGTCTAAGAGAATAACAATCATGGCAGCAACTACTAGTTGTACAACAAGAAGAAGACATACACCTGCACCTAAATCACTAGGTTGACCATATGTACCGCTTGCAACGAAAACTGCTGCTTGTCCAAATGATATAACAAGTGCTAAAACTACATATTTTAAGTTTATTTGAGATACAATTAATGAAAAAAGAAATCTCACGTTTCTGTGCCGTTTGAAATAATTCCCGATCAGATTTCAAATCAAGATTAACATCAATTAACTGTGACCCTGCAAGAAGCTGAATAAACATTCCTGATGTAACAATAGGTGATATTCCAAGCTCCATAAGTGTACCACGATTAGAAGCCAAAATCATACGCATCCAAAATCTAACACATATAAATACTATATATATATATATATATAATACAAAGGATCAGCTGAATCAGACGATGCAATTCCATATAGTGGAACCTGTGACATAACCAAAAAAATTAAAAGAATTACACCCGTCCATAACATCCGTTGCTATATATTTAATATATTAGTTATTTATTTTCGCCTAAAAAACATAAAAAAAGCAGTAAATAGAAACCTGAAATGGGATACGTCCATCTGGTGACAAAATTTCTGGAAGTAAAGAAGTAAATGGCTTCACTAAATCAAGAAATCTAACTATATCGAATAATTAAAAAACGGAAAAGCACACTAGAAACTCACATCCACTAGACATTCTTGATATTTAGAAATCTATCAAGAATTTGTGCTTTTATCTTCTTATTTTAAAAAGATAGAACTTTGCTGATTTAAATTTTTTTAACGTAACGTATAATCTTAACCGTTATATAAAATGCTTACTGCCAGGAACTTGTTTTAGAAAAATTAAAAAACAGGAAGTATATATTAAAATACAAAAGGTTTAAGAGTTGCTTTAAATTATTTTTTTTTACATTTGTATTAATACTCATTGAAAGTGTTATTTCTAAAAATAAAAAATATATATTAAAGTATGATATTTAATCCATTAAAAGATAAATCAGAAACTAAAGAAAATTAATAAAATATGTGTTAATAGGAAACCTATGACACAGACACAGTAGCGGTGTCTGTGCCAAATGTAGATAGTTCTGCAAGCCGCTGAATTGTAGGAATATGAAGCCCTATATGAATGTTATTAAAAGAAAACAAAAGTATGATAAAGAGGATATACAAGAAGGTATGTAAATATGAGGACACGAAACTTCTCTTTCTTCAGGAATTTCGTAAATGCCACTTTCCTCAAGAGACACTGCTTCCAAGAAAAGAGTATTACTATGATGGTCATCAACTACTCTGTTAGCTATAACTTTGAGTATTTCTGAACTAATAGGGTGTTCATAATCTGCAACAGAGTATTGCTAAATTTTGAAATTAATAAATGCATTAAGAAAGAACTCCATTACATTAATCAATTTTTGTATTTGTACAGGTGTTAAAATCCAACACACATCAAAAATAATTCCAATATCTTCCAAAGTCGATTTTTTAAGTTGCAATAATTTTGTAACTTGCATAAGATGCTCTAATTGTAAAACGCCTTCTGGTAAATCATGATTTTTACACCTATAAAAAAATTATTAAAATAATGCATATACTTTGTTTCTAAGTACCATTCCTCGATTCTGCATGTATTATAGTGTATCTGCAAACCTCTCTTCCATGATAAAAAGTTCCTTCTAATTATTTTTTAAATACATTACAAAAAAATCAATAAATGCTAACCTCATAAGTAAATCATTAAATGCAGTTACACCAACAAGCCTTAGAAGTTCAATAATTGCTTGCTGATGCACACTTTGCTCTAAATAATATGATTTTACAGCTCTATATACTTTATTAAATAAGGTAAGAAGATCATCCATAGTATATTGAGGATTAGTGCTCCCTTGAAGCAACTTATTAAAAAACTTATTCCCATCTGTAGTAATAAAACCAGGAAGAGATTGAGACTCGATTATTGCAGGAATTATCATTTTATGTAGCATCTTTTTAATTTCCTTCATCCAAACATGATAAATATTAAATTCCAAATTTTCAAGACCATGCTTTACTAATAATGCCAACCTGCTATATTCCCTCCATTCTATATCTATTATTTCAGTAACATTACCATGTAATATATCATTTTCTGCTATAATTATAAAAGATAATATTTCATGAACATTAGAGAGCCAAAAAATACCAAAATCCAAAATATCTTTTTCATCATGCTCCATTATTATTTGTTGTATTGTCTGAATAATATTTGTTAAAAAATGCTCCAATTCTTTAATAAGACCATATTTCCACATCTTAAATGTAATAAAGTTTATTAGATAGGCTGGAAACAATATTTCTTTACGGGCAGTAGAATTCTGGAGATTTGGTCGAGGAATCTTAAGATTCTTAATTACTTCTATGACAATTTCATCATTAAGTGCAGTATTATTTTCCAATAAATACATAACCTAAAATGTCAATTTGTTGCAAAAGATTAAAAAAATACCTCGCTATTAACATTATCTTTAACTGGAGTATAAGGAATCCTCAATACTTCGTTATTTAGCGAATTCTGCTTTTTTGGTGAAAGAGATGGAAACAAAACAGAAGCAGAACGCTGCTTATTGCCATTTTTTTGTCCATATGACAGTTGATTTACATGGTAGTTATTTTCTTTGTTTTCATTAGACGTATTTTGCCGTTTTGTATATCTTTTATAAGAGTTTAAACCAAAAGTCATATTATGATTTACAAGCCTAATAGAGCCATTTGGTCTAAAGCCAAGTGGTGAGCCAAGTGGTGTATTCTTACCCATTGATAACCTGTAAACTTCATTTTTAAGTTGTTCTATTTCAATTACAAGATTAGAACGAGCATTTTCATGTTCAGCTTTTTGAGAAAGTGCGGATTCAAGTTCTGCTGACTTATTAGAAAGCGATTCTCTTAAAGTAATGCTTTCTTGATTTAATTTTTTAAGATTAGCATTAGATGTACTTAATTGTTGTCTTAAATTATGCATTTCTTTTTCTAAATTAAATGCTTTTTTTAATGCATTATTTGCATTATTTAAGTCATTTTCAAGATTATTACGTTCTTCTTCCCATTTTTTGCTTTCTGTTTTCCATGTATTATTGAGATTTTCTAAACTTTCTATTTGTGCTAATAACAACTTATTTTCTTGATGTTTTTTAGACAAATTCTGAGTGAGCTCTATAACTTTATTTTCCAATTTATATGATACTTCTTTAAAATGACTAAGAGATTTTGCTTCAATACGTAATCTCTTTAATTCATCTTTTGCCTTCTTACGTCTCCAACATGACTGTAAATATATTATACGATTTCGTTGGATTCTATAATCTTTTTGAACAATACTAAAAGATTATTATTTATGAAACATAATAAACAAAACTTACTATCTTCTCCATAAAGATTGAATTTTTACAGCCATTTTTGTCATTTTCAAAGCAAGGACTTTCTTCCTAACAAGATAACAACGTATAGCTAAATTATATTAATTTATACTTAATTAACAATACAAATCGCACCTGATTGTAATAAAATGATCCTATTTCTTGTCCTTTGATAAGTACTCCGGGCATGATAACATCTCCATGCTGTTTGCAGTTTTAAAGCTGACAAGTTGCATCTCGTTTCATATATTTTTGTACGCACAGTAAAGCCTCTTGCATAACTTTGAAGAAGAATAATAGATTTTCGAATATTAATATAACGTTTGTAATATATATGACGAAGTATATTTTTTTGAATTAATATAGCGCACTCATTTAAACGACTAATTCGAAGATGTTCAAAATATGCTAACTTATTGGCATTAAACAATGAAATGATATAATATATTAAATAATATTACCATTCCTGCTCGGAAAAATATTTTTGTTAAACCGACCTGATATTTATTTGGATCATGAATTGTTTTTTCCAAAATCTTCATACTAAGATTTTTAATTTCATTATTCCAAAAGGACGAATGAATAAGCATATAATATCTATTTATTTAAGAAAAAACAGGAACCTTCCTTTCTTCCTACCTTGTAGCAAATTCTTGAAATGACCATCTACCTGGAAAGCCTGCTGAACTAATTCTAATTGTTTCCAAAACCCCACATGCACGAAGCTGACTTAATACTAATTTTGGTTCAAATTTCCATGAGATCTTTTCGTCATTGGGCTTGATACATCGTATATAATGGACATTAGTTGAATTTATAGTATCCATCAAGTCAATTAAAGAGGATTTAAACATTGTACCTAATGTAGGCTTTTTTAATAAAGCATTTGTTGGTTTAGTTGAATAATTTTGCGACTCCTGTCAATTTTATTAATGAATAAATACATATTTAATGTGTATTTACTTTTTCCTGTGAAGCCAAAAACGATGAAATTATTTCTTTTACAAAACTGTTAGTAGTCAAATTTATTACATTTAATAAATCATCTGATATAGTATCTCTATTTTTTTCAATAAAACCTTCAGATTGATAGGTTACCTCCAAAGCATAATGACAAATTGTAAATGAAGACCCCCCAAATCTTGGCTTTTTGAAGTAATTTTGATAAATTGGAATAGAAAAATTATTAATCAATTTAGCAACGAAAGATTCATCTGAGCCAGCTGGCAATCGACTTTCCTATTGCATATTAGCAATATAAAGTAAAAGAAAATAAAAACCTCATCGAGAAGAGATAATATTCCTATTCGTGATTCGATAAGATCAATGCATGGTTGATTATCAGAAAAATCAATAAATGTCCAATTAATTTTTTCTCTCATATATTCTTCTTGTTCAAGTTTAAAAACATGATGAGTAAACTAATAATTATTAAATTCAACATAAAAAAGGAAAATATATAACCTCTTGTTGTAATTTTTCATTAGCATAATTAATACAAAATTGTTCAAACGAATTTTTATCGAAATGTTCAAATCCATAGATATCAAGTACTCCGATAAATGATTTTACTTCAACATTATCTTTTGTTCTAAGAGTATAATTTATAGAATTAATAAGCCAATCAAAGAGAGAAGAATACAAAAATTTAGATACAGAGTCGCGGACAACAACAGCTTGTTTTTGATTAAGATCTGTAATAATTTTCTCGCTACGAGTATTTATTTGTTTTTTAATAATCCATTTTGCAAAATTTATATTATTGATGCCAAGTAATTTACATGCAAACTCAACACTTGTATCAGATGATGACAATAATGCATTGTTTCTTAATGCCTGGATTTTTATATTCCCCAAGTGCAATAAAGCTGCTAATATTTTAAAAACATTATTTTGAATTTCATCAGAAATTCCCATTGTCTTTAAAGCATTACGAGTCGTACTAAAATCCTCTGAATCATTAATACCAGGAATTGTAGAGTTTCCACCCTGATTTAAATAATAAAAGTAGTCTGGATCTTTTAAATCAAATTCTTTCTTTTCATCTTCTGTTGCTCCATGACAAAGCTTAAATAAATTAGTTCAATTCTTTTTAAAAAGTAAGGAATTTACTTGATAAAATATATGATAGTTTCTTTCATTTTGGGGCTGAAAGACTAAACGAGACCTTTCAAGAAGATATGTTCGAATTCTTGCACCAACTATTTCTGTCTCTTTATTAAAATTAATCTAATAACATTATTATAACAATAAAACATCAATCAAATAACCTCAATATATTTTCCGAATCTAGATGAATTGTCATTTCGAATAGTTTTCGCATTACCAAATGCTTCTATAACAGGATTTGTGGCTAGTATTCGTTCTTCTGTTTCACTCATTCCAGATTTAAAATTTTCACTAGATCTTCGTTTCAGTGGTTTTCTCGGATCCTCAACAGTAGCAAAGTATCTCATAATATATTTCGCTGAAACAGTTTTTCCTGCTCCACTTTCTCCTGAAACAACAATTGTTTGATTCATAGAATCTCGTATCATACATCTATATGAATCTTCTGCAATAGCAAATATATGAGGTTCAAGTTCACCTCTATTTTTTCCAGAGTATGCTTGTACAATATCATTTGAATACAATGCAATGTTTTGAAAAGGATTCATTGCAACTAAAACAATACCAGAATATGTATATATTTGAAGTTGAGAATATCTCATTCGAATTGTATGCAAGACTAATCAATAAATTAAAAAGCAGCCTATATAAGGATTTTACTTGCCAGAAGGTTCATTCAAGTAGGATAGATTCGTCAAATCTTCTGTTGCTTCAAGTATGGGAGGATTCCGCAACTGAAGAAACGAAAGGTTTTCCAAAACTTTAAAATTAACTTCCTTTGTTGTAACTAAATGCTCCTAGTAACACGTGGTTAGTCTTCGTCAAAAAACTATGTTAATTGTAGTTTTGACGCTAGGATATTAAAAGACAATCCAGATCACAATTAAACACAAAAATATGATTTCACCTTTCCATTTTCATCCAAAAAAACCATTTTAAGTATTTCTCCCTCAACAGAGTGTTCTTTATACTCAGCAGATATCCATGCTTCTTGTTCATCATGAAACCAACAACGTCTACCAAAATCAACCCTTTTCTCCTCAAAAAAAGAGACCTTACGTTCCCACTAAAAAAGACACGTCTAAGTGGCTCATTTATGTTTCTTCTTATTCTTTATTTATTAATTTTTTTATTTTTTTTTAAATTTCAAGAAAAAATTGAAAAAAACACTCAAAACTTTTGCTTTTTTTCGCTCAAAAAATATGTTTCCAAACAATTCAACAACTCCTATGTATTATGTTTTCTTATACACGTAAACTCCTACTTTTTCTTTATAAATTTGTTTTTGCAAGCCTCCGTTTATCTCGAGAGGTTGCTTTTCATATTACGCGTCAATGACAAACGCGATCTTTGTTCAAATCACGTGAAGTCACGTGACACAGACCCTGGAACTGTAGATAGTAGTATTTAAAGGTGCTTTTAGGGAATATAAAAGGGCTGAAAAATCTCAAAACCAATATATATTTATATGTTGTATGTATGAAAAATGCTTTAAATCATGTTTTATATAGTTTTTTGTAAGAAAATCGTTGTACAGTCACAGGATGATGAGATCCTTTGAAGACTAAGAAAAAGATATCTTTTTATTATAAAACACTATGAAATATTGGTTATTAAGTTTGGAAAATTAAGGGAAAAAAAGCAATAAAAGATAATTTTTAAAATAATTTTTAAAATATAAATATACGGAGTTTTTTGAGCGGGAAAAATTCTTAAAAAATGACTGAAAATGTGAATATTTGTACTAAAAAGCTATTCAATCAGTTGGCACCAACTCCTCAAAATACACCTTCAGGAAATAGTCTTATATCAATTTCTGATTCAAAGACATCGTGTACATCTCCTGGTTCTATAACTAAGGAAAAAGAGAGTATGTTGTAAGAAATGTAAAAATATGGTTTAACAAAAGGGATAGATGATCCAGCATCAGTTCAAAAAGTTTTATCTCGAAATCCTGGTTTAGTTTCTATGGTTCAGGGGAAGTTGAGTTCCTTGGTAGGAACGTCATCTGGATATATTGAATCTCTACCGCAAGAGGTCCATCGCCGGATAGAAGGTCTTCAAGGACTACAAGCGGAATATGCAAAGCTTGAAATAGAATTTCAGGATGAAATCATGGCATTGGAGAAAAAATATCATGAATTGTATCAGCCATTGTATAATAGACGATCGGGAATTATTAATGGCGTATTGGAGCCAACAGATGAAGAAGTGGAGACAGGCCGCAAGTTTGGGAAATCTTATGATAAGGACTCTAATGCATGTGATGCTACGGATGTTAAGCCTGTTCTTGAGGATTTTAGGGGTATTCCTTGTTTTTGGTTAACAGCAATGAAAAATATTTCATCATTGGCTGAAATTATTACACCAGAGGATGAAAAGGCATTATATTGTTTAACAGATATTCGTATGTCGTATCTGGATAAACCTGGATTTAGACTGGAATTTTATTTTTCAGATAATGAATTTTTTTCTAATAAAATGATTAGCAAGACATACTTTTATAGAGATGAATTAGGTTATAATGGTGATTTTATTTATGATCATGCAGAAGGAGATAAGATTGACTGGAAAAATAATAAAGATTTAACTACGAAAGTAGAAATTAAAAAACAACGTAATAAAAGTAGATGTTTCTGGGATACTGATAATATGTCTTAATATTTTTTAGATACGAGGCAGACGCGTGTTGTAAAGAAAGTTGTACCAAAGGATAGTTTTTTTAGATTTTTTCAGCCACCTGCACTCTTTGATCAAGATGATGATTCAGATATTGATAATCGACTTGAAGCAGATTATCAATATGGTGAAGATATTAAAGAAAAAGTATTTTTTGAAAGATAGTAAATAAGTAACTAATTTTATAAAGCTTATTCCTAGAGCAATTGATTGGTTTACTGGTGCTGCTTTAGCCTACGAAGAAGAATATGATGATAATTCTGATCAAGATTATACAGATGAAGATGAAAATGAAGATGAAGAAGATGAGGATGACGAAGAAGATGATGATGATAATGAAGACAACGAAGATGATGATAGTAAGTTGAATCGAGATAATAAGCCAAAACACGATCCGGCTGAGTGTCGTCAATCATAATATTTCTTTTTTATACTGAAGTTTCTGCAACATCAGAATAAAAAAAGATAAGATTATTTTTTAATTTTTTTGCCCTTGTTTATTTAGTTTCATTATATTTTATTTTAGAGCTATTTTTTAAGAAATTTAAGATTGCCCTGTAGGATTTAAAAATAGCTTGAAAAATTATATTTTAAAATAAGAAATTCTATAATAGTTATTATGATTTTAATTATAGTATTTATTGGATTCTTATTATATTTGATAGAATTTTATCTTAGAAATTTTAATTTTAGGCTTTATAAAAAGATAGTTTAAATATCTTGAAAGTAAGAGTATTGATAGATTATTTACTTGTTGAAAATATTTATATTATTTGTTATAGTATGTATAATATAGATTATTTAAAACTTTTTATAAATAATTTTTGATATTTTAAGATATTATTTTTCAAAATCTATAAAACTTTATTATAAATGCCATTAGTTTTTTAATTTTATAACGATTTCATGATTATTTATTATAAATTATATTAATCATTTTTAAAGATTTACTAAAAACATAAGTTTCTTATTCTTTTTTTTAACATGAAATTTATAAAAGTTATATTAAAGATTAAAAAAACATTTAGAAAATTTAACACTTAAATACTTTCATATAAAATTATACAAATATTATCTATATTTTTTTTTTTTGATTACTTTTTAATCGTTTTAGATGTATTTTCATGCTGATGAATTGTACAAATAAAATTATATATATATAATATGTAAGATTATACGAAATAAAGCTCTTTTTGAATTTTGATATATTTTTAAATTAAATTAATCTGTTGTTTTAAAAACTTTAAATGATATAAGTATATCTAACTAAATTCAAATCAATTTTTATAAAACAACTTCCATAAACATGTTAACGAAAAATTACAGTTAATCTGATTTTGATTAAAAAACCTTATTTTATATTTTTTATATATTCAATTTTTTGCAATTTAAAAATAATAATTATTCATGAAAAAATTAATTATTACATAATTTTTTACTCTTTTTTAAACTTTTTAGAAAAATTATTTTTAAATTTTTATTTTCTACATAATATTAACATACTTCCTCATATACCATCTCGAATATCTAATGTTTATTCTATAAAATTCGAAAAAATAACAATAATAAACATCATATTTCATAACTATCATTTTTATACTTTATTTTCTCTTTTTTTAATCAAACTCATTTTTTTTACTTCAATGTTTTCATACAATAATTTTTCATATTTAAATAAAAAACATATAAAAATTAATCATTAAATACTTGTTTTTATATTTTTCTATCTTTTTTTTCTCTTTTAAACCTTCAAATCTCGATATTGAACTTCGTCAATGCCATCATCAACGTCATCAAAATTAATAAATTTTAAAAACAGAAATGTTAAGAGCCAATTGGACTAAAGCATATGTTAAATGTATTTCTACTTCTAAAAGATATTTTTTTAGTAAATCTTTTGTTTCTGGAGAAGAATTATATAAGAAAACATTAAAAAACTTACGTTTAACAAAAGACTCAAAAGTTCTTTTTCAGGGATTTACAGGGAAACATGTATATAAAGGGGCTACTTTTGAGATCATCACTGTTAATATAGAGAATAGGCGACATTTCATGCGCAACAAGCAATTGATTATGGAACAAATATTATCGGTGGTATATATTAAAGAGAAAAAGGCATTTTTGAATTGAAAAAACCAGGGACAAACCCAAGGAAGGCAGGGAAAACACATCTTTCATTACCTGTGTTTAAGGATGTAAAAGAAGCTATGAAAAATACAAAAGGTAGTGCTAGTTGACTTTTTTGCATTTTGAGGATTTATTAATATAATTTTATTTAAAGTCGACGTTTCTGCAATTTTTGTTCCACCTGAATTTGCTTCTGGGGCAATTATTGAAGCAATTGAAGCAGAAGTACCTCTTGTTGTAGCGATTACTGAGGGAATTCCACAACACGATATGATTCGTATTATGTACGCTCTTAAATCGCAGTCTAAAACACGATTAATTGGCCCAAATTGTCCAGGAATTATTGCTCCTGGCCGCTGTAAAGTTGGCATCATGCCTAGTCATATTCATAAACAGGGAAAAATTGGGATTGTCTCTCGATCAGGCACTTTAACTTATGAGGCAGTTAATCAAACAACCAATGCTGAACTTGGTCAAAGCTTAGTTATTGGAATTGGAGGAGACCCTTTTCCGTAAACTCTTTATTTTATTTTATTATATAATAATTGTCTAAGAGGAACTAATTTCATTGATGCTTTGGAATTTTTTTTAGATGACGATGAAACTGAAGGCATTATTATTATCGGTGAAATAGGGGGATCAGGTGGCATTTTTTGAGTCTTTATTCTTATCCTAATAATTTCTTAGCTGAAGAAGAAGCGGCAGAATTTTTAAAAGAAAAAAATCTTTCTCGCTCGAAACCTAAACCAATTATAGCTTTTATTGCTGGGGTATATACTTAAGTTTAATTTTTTCTTAAGTTTATTTTTTTTAGATTACAGCTCCTCCTGGACGTAGAATGGTATTTTATTTTATTTTGTTAAAACACTGACAAATTTATAGGGTCATGCCGTAAAATATTTAAAAACCTAAAATGCTAAACTAATTCTTATTATTAGGGCGCAATTGTAACAGGTGGGAAAGGAACTGCTGCTACTAAAGTAATATTTATAAAGTTATATTTATCATAATTATCTAATCATTTAGATATCTGCATTAGAAAATGCAAATGTAATTGTATCCAAATCACCTGCACGTTTAGGGGCACTCTTATATGACGAATTTATAAAAAACGTTAAAAATTCTAATATTTTTTTACTTTTCCTAATATTAATATAGGGACTTATTTAAAAAGAATTATGTAAGATATACTTGAAGATATATTTTTTAATGTAAACGTAAACCTTAATCTACTATTTCATATAAAAATGCTTCATGGGTGTCATTTCGAACGCATCTTTTATTGTATTAGTATCTTTGCCTTGACCTGATCGTATTATATTTAATAATTTTTTTTTAGCATTCTGCAATTGATATAATCTTTGAGCAATATAGCTTTTACCATAGGGTTTAAAAATAAACCACCCAATGTACCATGCTTTTTTATAACATTTCCATTTATCATAAAAACCATCAATAACCTATATATTTATTAAAACAAGAACAAATAATATATATTTATAGTACTTTGTTATAATAATTCACAATAATAATAACGACGCATATAGAAATAACCTCATTTAATGGATAAAATATAATAATTTTTTGTATAAGAAAAAATAAACAAATATTTACTATGATAGAAACAAAAAATGCTGTTAAAGCTTTATCTTGAGCCTAAATACCAATATATTAGCTTAAATATATAAAATACATGTTAAAACCTTAGATTCGTTAAATGTCTGTTTTTTTTCAACAAATGAACCTAAAATTGTTAAAAAAATAAAATTTCATTTTTATTACATATTGCATAAATCGGTATATATATAATAATTACAGGTAAAACGAATAGAGAATGAATTACTAAAGAAACCGTTTTTCTAATAATTTCAAATAAAATATACTTCCTAGATACTTTATATAAATTAATAATATCATTAACTTCTATGTGCATTGATGCTAAAGCCTTTAATTCATTTTCCAAAATATTATATAAATCCGAAGTATCTTGATTCTCTATGTTTAACTGTCGTGATTCAAATATATTTATAAGACTAAAATATATTAAAATTAACTTTTTTTTTTAAAAAATAATACCTTTGTGTTATCAATATATGGTTTTTTAGATTCATATTTTTATTTTCGCTAAATAATATAGATCGAGAAAGTTCTGAGACTTTTAAAACATTCCTTTTTATTATAAGTTAAATAATTTAAGTGTTTATTTATACCAATTAGTCGCATTAATAGTAATTTCATAAAGTCTTTCTTTTATAAGATTTGTTAACTTTTTTACATTATTTTTTGGGTCTTCCAAAAAATTATCTTCATATAAACAAATATTAATAGGTGAACCATAACTTCCAATGAATAAACAGAAAACATTTATTCAATAAAACTCACGTAACAATTACATTGCTTCGATATTTAAATTTTTCAAGATATGTTATTCCAACAGGAAGAAGAATTAAATTATTCAACTTATTTGGCTTCTTTTGCAATTGTATATTGTGATCAAATATATTATATTTGTATTGAAGAGCAACCCATGATACTCCATCTTTAAGATCGAGAAGATGTGGACTAGTATGCGATGTCCCTAAAATAAAAATGTAAAAAAAACATATTTACCTATTCCTAGATACCTTCTGGATAAATTGCTAACGTTTCAAGATTTTTTAATGCATTAAAAGTTATTTTAAAAAGAGTATTATTATTTTTTGTCTCTCGGTCTAAATAAACCATAAAAAATATAAGAACAAAAATACATAATATTTCACTGATTTATTTCCTTACCAACAGGAATTACTCCCATATTATAGAGAATTTTTGCAACAACAGAATTCATTTTAAAAATCGAATTTTTTGCCTAAAATAGTTTTAATATTTTTTAAACTAAATAATCATATATACCCAAAAATGAACAGGTTTTGGAAATACTGCTGCTAATATTATAACATCCATAATCTTTTTAACTAATTAACAATCTTTTTCTTCTTTAAAAAACACATGCCATGTTTGTGTGTGTACAAAAAATAACAATTGGTTCATTAAAATCAATATTTTCCTTCTGGATCACTAATTTTTACATATCAATTCCTAATATATCTTTATTTTTTGCACAAAAAATCTACCTGTAATTGGCTTATAAAACATCCATAATATCAATCTAAAAACAAAAAATAAACATTTGATCACTAATACTTATATTTATATTTATAAATACTTTGATAAATAACGAAAAACATAATATAAAATACCAAATCCCATGATACATATATTTTTTTATTTTTGCGACGTTGTGATGATATTCTCGTAGACAACGATAGTACAATTTATAAAATTTATATAGATGAAGCGAGGAATAACATTAACAGATGACTGTAATACAGCTTTTACTCAAAATCTGAATGAAAATGACACAGAAGAATTATCCAATGCTAATTTTTCATCAAATAAGTTAAAAAAATTAGAGTTTTGGTAAATTTTCTACTATTAAATGATAAAGTAATTAATTTTATAGTGAAAATATATCATTGGATGAAAAAAAAGAACAGAAAAAAATAATATGTAATCTTCCAACTAAATGTATACATAATCCATCTGTTTTTTTCTCTTTTTCTGCATATGAAGCACATTATCAGCAACAACATTGTAATGTTTGTTATAAATGTGGAAAGGTTTTTCCGTCACTAAGAATAGTCGAATTACATATTTCTGAAGTGCATGATCCAATTGCATCTCTCAAGAAGGAACGTGGTGAACGAATTGTATGTATTGGAAGTATTTTTCTATAAAAATCAACTGAGTACAACAGTTTGCATGTTTTATTGAAAAATGTGAAGAACTATTTCGTAATACTGGAGAACGAAAGAAGCATTTGGTGCAGAACCACTTATATCCTAAAGTTTATATATTATTTATTAATGTTTTCTTTAATATAGATTTATAGGAGTATCATTTTGGTATTGTTTATACAGGAATTTCATCAAAAAATACAAGCTTACTTTCTTTTTCGAAAAAAAATACAAAGAAAAAAAACAAGAAGCATCAACAACAAACAAAAACAAATTCTCAGTCATCATCGGGTGATTCTCTCATGAATGAACTTGCTGATAAAGTAGCATCTACTAGGCTTGTTCCATTAAGTGTGCGTTTTGGTTGTGGAGGAAATAAGTAAGTTGTTTGGATTTTTTAGAATGTAAAAATTTCTAATTAAAAAATAGAATTTGATTTCATATGATAAAAAATAAGAACGAAACTCGCATTTCTTGATTATTTAAAGTGTTTATGTCTAAATTTACTTAAATTTATTATTCAGCAATAGATGTATTATTGATAAAGATTTTTAACCTGGTCTCGATCTCGTTATTTAAAAAAATAGACTTTTTTAAAATTAAAAATGATTAAAGAATACACCCTTTTCGGACTAGGTATAGACACTAGTATTTTGCAAAGATTTGCATTAAATAATCATTTATATAGGGAATCCATTATTGGATATTCAGGTCAGAGATCAAAGTTTTCTTGAAAAGTTATTGCAAATAATTTATTGGTTATTTTATTAAAGAAAAGAATAGATATGGTCTAGAGCCTAATAACTCTATTCTTGCTGAAGAAAAACACATTCCAATTTATGAAGAGATCGCTCGGATTTCTGATGTGAAATATGTTGCTGGAGGGTCTGCCCAGAATACTCTTCGTGCAGCTCAAGTATAATATAATAATATTCTTTTATTAAAAGGTATTAAAATAGAATAGTACATTCTTCCAAAGAACTCTACCGTTTATGTTGGATGTGTTGGGAATGATGAATTTGCAGATCACCTTAAATCTATTTCAGAAAAAGAAGGGTTAAGAACAGAATATTTAGTCGATACTACTGAGCCCACTGGTGTATGTGCTGTTATATTGAACGGTGTTAATAGGTATTTTTTTTATTTGAAGCTATTTACTTAAATATACATTAAGATCTTTGGTAACACGACTTGCTGCTGCTAGAAATTATAACATTTCTCATTTGAAATCCCCTAAAATATGGTCTCTTGTTGAAAATGCAGATTTCTATTATGTTGAAGGTTATCATTTGTCAGTTTGTGGGTTATGTATTTCTACTATATGTGAAGAAGCAGCTATTAAAAACAAAGTATTTGTTTCTATTTTTTTAAATAAAAAAAAGCTTATTAAACTTAAAGGTTTTTATTATAAACTTATCTGCAGAATATTTGTGTTACTCATACAAAAACTTAATGGATTTACAGTCTCAGTATTGGGATTATGTAATTAGTAATGATTCTGAAGCAATTGCGTATGCTAATTCTCACGATATTCAAGTATCATGTGCAAATTTATTAATTTATATTTTTAATATTATTAGACAACAAACATAGAAGAAATAGCTAAATACATTTCTAAATTGCCTAAAAAAAATAACAAGCGTCCTAGAGTCGTGATTGTTACTCGAGGAGATAAAGATATTATTGTAGCTAAATCACATAATGGGCAAACAGAATTAATTTCTGTTCCTGTTCCGGAAGTTCCACAGGATGAAATTTTAGATACTAATGCAGTTGGAGATGCTTTTGCAGGAGGTTTTATAGCTTCTTTGATCTTAGGATATTCGCTCAAAAGAAATATTCAGTGCGGCATATGGTTAGCACAGCTTTGTATAAGACAGAATGGAGCAACTTTTCCATTTCCAAAACAAATATTTAATGAACAATAATATCGTTTTAAATTCTTTATACTATAAAAACTATTTATTCAAAAAAACAAAAATAACTAATTTACATTTATATTTATTTCGAAATAATAAAATTGTTTTAAAAATATATAAAATATTTTCCATTTTTTCAAAAAAGTCTAAATATCTTTAAAATATCATTTATCTTTTCCAATTTATCAAAATATTTTCATATTATTCAGGGTTTAAACCTATTACGGTTTTTTTCTATTTTTCCTAATTTCAACGTCCATTAAGACAAATCACCATTTGAATATTTTATAAGTTAAAGAAAGATGGGCCGCGTTATCCGAGCACAGAGGAAATGGTACGTAACCATATTCTAAATGTTTTATTAACAATTTTGTTTTTTTTTCTTTACTTTTTTTTGGTGTTCTAAGTTGTTTTTGAAAAAATGATGATATATTTAAAAAAATGACAAAATATTATTAAGAATACTTAGAAATACAAGAATAAACATATAAATATGTTTATTATGCTTTTTGACATATTTTTTTATGTTTTACTGACGAATTCTTTGCAGTGGTGGAATTTTTAGAGCTCATCAAAGACTAAGAAAAGGTGCAGCAAAACATCGAGTTTTGGATTATACAGAAAAGCATGGATACTGCCGTGGCATTGTGAAAGAGATTATTCATGATCCTGGACGAGGAGCACCTTTAGCTAAAGTTGTCTTTCGAGATCCATATAGATACAAAAAATGTGTAGAAACCTTTATTGCCAATGAAGGAATGTATTCAGGGCAATTTATATATGTTGGGAAGAAGGCATCTTTATCAATTGGAAATGTTCTTCCTCTAGGGAACATGCCTGAAGGAACAATAGTTAGTAATGTTGAAGAAAAAACAGGAGATCGAGGTGCATTAGGACGGGCTTCAGGAAACTATGTTATTGTAATTGGGCATGACCCTGATAATGGGAAAACCCGTATAAAGCTACCTTCAGGTGCAAAAAAAGTAGTTAGTTCTTCATGCCGTGGTATGATTGGTGTTGTTGCAGGAGGAGGACGAATTGATAAACCATTGCTTAAAGCGTAAGAAGTTTTTTATATTTAAGAATTATCTTACATAGCTATAGTGGGAGGGCATATCATAAATATAGAGTAAAGAGGAATTGCTGGCCTAGAACAAGAGGTGTAGCAATGAATCCTGTTGATCATCCTTTTGGTGGTGGTAATCATGTGTGTATTTTTATGTTTTATGTATTTGTTTTATAATATTTTTAGCAACATATTGGGCATGCATCTACTGTATCTCGTCAAGCACCGGCTGGTCAAAAAGTGGGTCTTATTGCTGCCAGACGTACGGGTTTGCTACGTGGAAATATTAGGAAAAAAGAGCCATGAAAGATAGTTTTAAATATTACTTTATTTTTTCGTCTTTTAAAAAATATTTATTGTAATATATTGTGATTTAGCCGATTTTTAGAAATATAATATCACTTAAATTACTATTTTTTGCTTCGATAATAAATGTTTGACGTTTTTTTATTATATCAAAGTAAAATAAATAATATATGGTTATTATATAACTGAAAATACGTCATTTTGATTTACTTTTTATATTACTCTTTTTATATTTGTGAATCAAAGTATATAATAAATATATTAATAATATAAAATTACAAAAATATGCAAAATTATATATCATAAATATTAATTATAAATATTAAATTTAAAAAATACAAAAATTTAGTGAAAATGTATATTATTATAAAATATAATATTTATATTTTAAATTATTAAAATCATTAAAAATGATTTTTTATTAGGATGGTTTTCAAATTTAGATTTTTTTTTAATCCAATAGTTTTTTTTTCATTAAAATATTTCAAAAAAAAGGTAATTTTATATATATAAAAGAAAAATAATATGTGTGATGATGTATTATTTTTCAATAGAATGAGATATTAAATCTCTTATGTTATTTTTTAATAAACAGCTTTTTAACTCTGAAAAATATTTTATAATAAATTATAAACACTTTAATATCATAGCTAATAGTTTTAGGAAAGAAAGTATATTATAAGTCTATTGATTTCCAAAACGCATTAAACACATTTTTGAATTTAAAATAAAATTTATTTTCTATTTAAAGTTAAATACTCTTTAATAAATTATTGTTAATCTGATATAAATTATAATTTTTTGAATAAAACATTATCAATTATATAAAAATAACCATTTTAGGAAGAATTATAGTGCAAATCAACTTCATGTACTTAACTAATGAATTACCTAAATATATTATAAAACTAACTACTAAAAACGTTTATTTCTTTATTAATACTATTATTTTTTCATTAAAAAACAAAATATACCCCTATAATGAAATGATCATACACATTATATAACACGCAAATTATCTAAATGTATTACTCATTTAAGTTAGAATTATAACATTTTTTCTAGTATCCAAACACACAATTTAACAAACCATCCAATTCTTCTATTTGAAGATAAAAATGCATCAATATCAATTTTTCTAGAATATTTACGAAGATGCTTAACCTCATCTCTTAAACTTTTTTGTAAATTATTATCAAACGTAATGACAACAGCCGTATTTTCAAGATCTAAAGCTTGTGATCGATAACTAAAATTTGAAGATCCAACAATAGTAATACATGGTTTATGTTTTTCTGTTTCTTTTTCCTCTGAAGGCATAATCCATAATCCTAATCACTTTAGAATAATAAGAAAATAATTATAAATATAAACCTTTAGCGTGATAACTCCAACCCCCTTGTCCAACACAACCATTTTTCCACTCCTCTAGATGAATTTTATTCTGTTTATTAGCTTTATAAATATTTGAAAGAAAACGTTGAGCTAAAAATGAATACGCAGAAGGAATCATTTTTGAAGGCCATGAAGAATTATAAAACCCATTTGCCTATTATTTATTTATATAAAAATAATATGAAATATCAACTTACTTGCTGTGATGGAACAATTACACATCCCTTAGAATTAGATACTAACAATCGTTTTGAATAATCTTCGTGAGTATTAAAATAACCAGAAGTAAACACCCAGTTATAATCAAGAGATTGATTAAAAGAAAGAATATCTAAAACCAAACAAAGACATTTTTTTTCAGTTGATACATCGTATAGCTTAAAAATAGATGAAAATTGGAATAATGGATAAACTACGGTAGAAAATGCTTTATCTGTGTTCGTAGAGACAGGTTTCAAAAGATTTGATAAAACTGATCTAGCATATTTTCTAAACTTCTTAGGATCCTTACATGGTTCTGGACACTTTATTTCTTTCGGCCATATTAAAGCAACTTTTTCTGAAGAATTACTAGGAACAAGTTTATATGATATTGATGATATAAATTGACATATCTTTGCATAAAAATCTGTTAATTGAGGCGATGAAAAGAAATGATATCGATCTTGGCGATTTACGAAATACTCATATGATAAATTTGCCCTAAGAACATATCAATAAACATTCTATTTATAAAATAATTACCCGGATAACATAACCTCATCATCAAACCCATAGATCTTCATATGCTGAGTCCCCCAACATTCATTAATCCTTGATGGAAGAATTTTTTTTTTCAGTCCTGAGAGATTAGGCGTATGATACATGCTAATATCCACTCTGTCTCTGCCAAATAAAGATATTAATGGAGCCAACAAAGACGCACTTGTTGGAAGAGGCCATTCTCGTGTCCCACGAAGAGCATCCATTAATATAGATACTTTTAGGTTCGTATTTAATAAAAGAGCTTTGTGTAGAACTTCATACTGATTGATTATCAATTTTTTCAGAAAAAAAAATTACAAAAAATCCTAACAAGCTCATATTCTGTTCTTCCAATATACAAAGTACATAGAAACACTCTTTTTTTTGCATTCAATATTTTACTTTTTAAAGTATTGTAAAAATCCTTTGGTTCTGTCAGAATCGTCACTTTTTCTTTACTTAAAAAAAAAGGCTGTGCATGTTGATTAAGTTTTTCCAATAAATCATCTATAACTGATTCTGATGCACGCAGAACACTGCTTTTTAGCTCTCCTTGTGCCCCCAGTATCTACACAAATTAGTCAAGTATTATAAATCCTCAGATATATCTTGCCTTACAATTAATGTTTCTAAAAATCATATAAAAATATTTTTTTTTAATAAAAAATACAGGATATTAATATAATTCTTCAATTCAATATACCTTTAATCCATATATTTTCTTATATCTTCTTATATAATGAGGTTGCAAGTTGTTACCACTGTCTCGATCACATTTGAACTACAAATATAAATATACGTCTAAAAATATAAAAAGTAAGTAAAATAAGAGCTTATTTTTATGAATAAATGACAATAATTTAGTGTCTTCTATTACAAGAACTCTTAAAAACTTAAAGAAAATTGGTTTATCAGCGTTTGGGTATGTTAGAATTATATATATGTAAAATGAACAGTTTTGAATTTTTTCAGACATCAGATGCAAACAATAGGCGATACAAAGTATGGAAAAGTTGTAGGAGTTGATAGGTTTTCTTTTTTTTTTCAAAAATGTAGCTTCTGAGTCTTTTTAGCTATGGAAATACGTATTATGAAAATATGGAAGAAGCACCAAGTATTCTGCTTTAATGGTATTAGAAATATTCTAATAAAAACTTAAAGACCGTACAAGATGGGTAGACTATAAGTCATCACAGTATGATGCTTCACAGGTTGAGCCTGAGTGGTAAAAATTACACTGATAAACAAGTTTATGGATGGTAATTTTGCTCTAACAAGAATAGGCATGCATGGATGAGACATATGGTTGATGAAGTTCCCTCTAAGAAAACGAGATCAGATGGTTCCTCAGAAAATATAGATGCTCCTTCATGGAAGAAGCCATTTCAGCCGAATCTGACATTTTCTCGAGGGGCATATAAACCTTATAATACTGTTTCTCCATCTTATAGTGCATGGGTATCAAATACAAAACGTAAATAATTAAAAAAAGTTTTTTTCTGTATTTTTCTTTCCATTTATCATAATATCAATTTACATAATATCTGTTATTTTCAAGCATTAAAAAAATTAAAAAACTAAAAATTTATATTTAACAAACAAACTGTTTTAAAATACAAAGAATTAATGATATTTACATTAAAGATGATGTTAATGCATTGTTTATATATTATTTAGAAAAGTCTTTAAAGAATATTTTAGATATAGGTAAGCGAGTTAAATAAATTTATGATTTTTTAGCCTAATACGATTTTTTATATTTGTAGATATTTATTATATACTTGACCAGAATATCATTTATTTCTTTATTATAACTGTTACTTATAATTTTTATTTATTTATGGATAGATTAGGGAGCTAGGTAATATGTTTCACTTAAATAGAATGATAGTATGTTTTGTTTCCTGAAAATGCTATTTAAAAATATACTTAGATTAAAGATATAAGTTTTCATACTATTATTTTTTGAAAAGTATAAATTAACGAAAAATGATATATCTTAGCAATATTATATTATCATGTATATTCCATGTGCCTTTCGATATTTATATATCGCTTTTCAATTCGCATAATTACGAGTGAATTGTTAAATAGCTTTATGTTTTTTGTAATAAATATAAATGAAATCTGTTAAACATTATTTATTCAACAAAAAAATAACTAGAATATTATTTTTTGTTTTAAATAGTCTTAAACTAAAGGAAATTTCAAACGTTATTTTTATTCAAATAATCTTATATTCTAATTAATTATTGACAAAAAATTAAATAAATTGCATTCTCCAATTTCTAAATTCGTAAGAAAACAAGTAAATAATTGTATTTATCAATATTTTAATACTAACACAAACACTACATTTAATATACATGTTATTTCATTTTCTTTTTAAAGCACTCTTTATATTATTTTTATAAAAATTATTACTTTCTATTTAAACATTTGCTTTTATTATTATTAAAATTATTTTAGAATACGTTCTAAGAGTAAAAGCAAGTTATCAAAAGAATAAAGTATTTATAAAAGTAAAATAATATTAAATCAATATACAAATTGATTAATATTGTCTTTTTTATTGATTTTTTTATATTATTCTAAACATATACATATTTTCAAATTTACACAAATATTAAAACACAAAATATTATATATATGAATTTTCCATTTAATATTAACTACCAAATCTACAATTATTTTATATAAAACATTAATGTTATTTAAGTGAAAATGTACTAAAAATATTAAAGAGAATAACATTATGACATTAATAAATTACAATATAACTATAACAAAATCCTAATAACTAATACTAAAAGATAGCAATGATATACATAATATTAACAATACAATCACATCAAGTTTCTAAAGGTACAATAATTTTTAATTCAAAATTCCAAATAACTTTTAAACAAATATATAAATGCCCAATGAATACCAACATTCAAACTACTTTTTACATATTTATTAAAAAAAGTAGAAATGAAATTGGATGAAAAATTAATGGTGTAAAAACACAATCTAAAAATTTTATAATAATGTTAAAATAAGGTCCTATAAAATCAATACGATGTAGAATAATTCAGTTTTTATACAGACACATTGTAATAAGATAATTGTTTTTTGATATTTTTTCCAACTTAAATATAATTTGATTCTTTAACTAGACCAATTGAACATCAATTACTTTTATCTCCATGCATTTCCAAATATTATTAAATACAACTAAATACGTATTTAGTATAATTTCAGAATATGTATTAAACTGTCTAAAGCTGATTTAATATTTCTATATTTCGTTTTGATTTAATTCTTCCAAGAGAGACATGAGAGAAGAACGGCTAAGAGGGACTGAAAGACGTTCAGTACCAGCAGCATCTCTATAGACTCGAACAACACAATGGTCAACAAATTCAGTTAGCAATGCACGAAAACCTGCTGCATGGCTTACTACCAACGCTCCTACACATAATTTAAAAAGTTGTTCAGCCTTTACACCATCAAAAATCCCATAAGATACATCAGAAGAGCCAGTTGTTCCTATAAAAGTATCAGTCATCATATTAACTGTTCCAAATGCTAATAATAAACCAATTTTTGTGCTCATTTGAAGTTGTTCTGAGATAAGCAAACGAAAGACACTGCGTGCAGCAGGTGTTAGTGCTGCAAGGACATGCCGAACTGAACTAAGTGAAGGAGCATTTGCTGCTCTTGAAGCTTTTGTTTCTTTTGCAGTGTGCAATGATCGTAGTGTTCGTTCATATGTGAATGGAATAAAAGTAGTTGCATCATGCCAAATGGTACGGGTACATATTAGTGAAGTACAGATACAATCTGCACTTGCAATTAATGGTAATACACGTGCCAATTGTGCAAGACAGCGTTGTGCCAATACTGTACGCAACACTTCACTATCTATATTATGTACTACAATTAAACAAAGAGAATCTGAAGCAGATGAAGAATCAAGTACGTTTGAAGCAGAACCTCTGATTTTCGTTGATGAAACATGATGTAGATCTAAAGGTTTAGACATAGTAATTGTTGATGAAGATAAAGAAAGACGCTGAAGAATTCGAAACATCAAGGCATCAACTGAATCGAATATAGCAGTTTCAGAAGATACAAGTTCATTTGTAGTTTTAATTGTAGTTACAGCTTCTTCGAGTGAAGTAAGTAATGTTTTAAGAGAAAGAGTAGGAGCTAAGCCATGAATAATAAAAACCGGAGCAGCTGAAAGATTTGAAAAGTAAGATGCAAAACGTGTAAGCAGTGTGCATTTTGAACCATAACCATACAATATAATATTAAAACCAGCGCGTAATTCAGCTACCCATTGATCAAACTGCGTCTCATGAAGATAACTAAGGGCAGAAAGTGAAGAACAAGATGCTGTTTCAGAAGAAGTAGCAGATGCAATAGAAGAATCTGCTGAATTTGATAATAAACCATTATTAGACGGTGTTTCAATTTCTGCTTCAAATTGCACCCGAAACTCATTACTAAGTGTTGCATGAGATGTCAGCCGATGACGTGGCTCCATCCAGCGCTCTAATCGCTCCTGATTATTCATTTAAAGCCGAAAAATAAACGAAAAATAAAGAATAAAGATAACAGAAGCCGAAAAAATATCAAAAAAAGCAATAAACGTAAAAAACAATATAAACACTGAATCCTAATATTCAATTGCTATATAACCCCCAAAATAACTGTTTTTTATTATCTTTTACACACTTTCCAGCTTTTTTTACACTTTTTTCTACTTTTTTTTCATATCTAACATCGATGCAGCTACAGCCTGGATGGTCGGGAGTATTTGTAACATGTGCACGTACACATGAACGCCGTGCAGCAAAAGAAGTGATTTATTTATTTAATGAGGTAAACTAAGGCAAACAAGTTTTTCCTGTATTTTTTTACGTTTTTTTTTGATGCTTATTGGAGCTTTTTCGCTCTCTATTTTTATATAATTTAGCTGACAAATATATAGTACTTAGAAAAACATATAGAAAATAATGAACCAAACAGTCCTTTAAGTGCTCCAAATCTTACTGATAATGTAAAAAGCTCAATCTGTTGGGAAGAGAGAGTAGCAGAAGAATTGGCAGAATTACGGAAAAAACATTATAATAAACTACAAGTAATTGATGTAAAAACACCATGTGGTATGGATTATTGAAGACGATTTTTTTTGTTGAAAAAATAGTGGTTTTTATAAGAACCAAATGGCCTTTAGACCCAGTTGAAATTGTTCAAGATCTTTGTGAAAAAATACTTTTGAATCAAATAAAACGTATCCGGTATGCAGCTGAAAGAGTATTTTGAAGATAATTAATGAACTTGCTACGACAGATGGTCTCAACGATTGACGCCTGTCACATTAACAGCATGTGCAACACTTCCCGATCTTCAAAAATTAGCACAAAAGGTATTACAGTCCTATTTTGACAAAAATGGGCCAGAATCTCTGAAGGAAAGGATTATTGATGGACATAAACAAAATATTAATTTTGCATAGTTTGCTATCCGACCAAATCTCCGAAACCATACAAAAATAACAAGAGAAGATATTATCAAGACAATTGTTCCCATTGTGAGTACTCGACATAAAGTGGATTTGAAAAACTATGATTTTTTGATTATGGTCGAAGTTTTTAAGGTATATTCATAGCATTTTAATTAAAATTTTAGTTTAAATCATAAGGGGATTTGCGGTATAAGTGTTGTGCGTGACTTTGAAAGATTTAAAAAATTAAATGTTGCATCTATTATGGAGTCAACTGTCAAAAAAATATGAAAAAGTTTCATAAAATTAAATATACATAAGATATCTATGGTAAATATACCAAAAAAGTTTTCATTTGTACATTAATTTGCTCGAATTAATAATAGTGACTTAAATAACTTTTCCTTAATTTTCGTTTGCTTAGACCATTCCACTGAAAGCTTTCTATAAAATTATATATTAATAATGAAAAAAGAATAACAGTTGACTAACTTCATCCTTTCAATTATAATAACTACTAAAATCACAACTTTTAATGTAATTCGATTTTGTTGAATACTCCGATCAGGATAAATCCCCATTTTTTCAATTAGTCGAAGATTTGCTTGATTACTAAAAATAAGCCTGATATAATTGCAATATGCTAAACATTACCAGGATTCATAACTATCAATCTTCATAAGGAAAAACTTTTTAGTATATGAAAGGCTAGCCCTAAATTGTTCTTCTCTTAATATTCGGGCTTTAAGGTAGTAAATTTGTTTTGATAAACCTTTTAACTCAGCTTTGTGTTTTGATTTAAGCGCAGATAATTCTTTTGATGATCTAAAATACTTCAGTAAAGCAATGCTACATATATTCAGACTAACACGTTATTAATATTTACAATTCTTTTAAATTGGTCTTGATTATTATACAATAAATGTTCATTTTCTTGAAGCTGTTTTTCTAAGCAGTATACTTTCATAGATAATTCTTTTTTCTCCTGAGTGACAGATTGAATTTCCTTCTCCGCTAATTCTATTCTATTAATTAAAAGATACTTATCTTTTCCAATCTTATGCAATTGTTCTTTTAATTGCATTTCACGAGTTTTCATATTTTCTTTAACTTCATTTAATTCAGCTTTAGCAAGCATTAAACGTTCTTTTAATTCTTTTTGTTGAATAGCATTTATATTTTCATTCTCATTTACATAGTCTTCACAAGCATAAACAGGATTATCCTTTTGAGATAACTGTTTTTGAAGTTGTTCCTTTTCTTTCATAAGAGCATCTTTTTCTTGAGTTACATAAAAAAGGGTTGACTCTATTTGCGCCTTTTCAGTTTGTAACTTTGTTGATTTCGATTTTTCTTTTAGCATTATTTCATTAATTTTATGTTGAAATTCTTCTTCACGAGCCAATGCCTCGAGTTTCATATTTGAAATAACTTCATTTGCATTTTTATATTTTAGTTTTAATTCTGACAATTCTGTTTTATAGTTTATTTGATAATTATCATGTTCATCAATTGTTTCTAGTTCTGTATCATACAATTCATTTTTCAATCTAGACATATCTTTTCGTAAATTAGAAATAGCTTGTTCATCTGAATCTTCGAATTCCAATGGCTTCTTTTGCTGTAATTTAAAATTTTCAAGTTGATCTTGTAAAAAAGATATTTCATCATTAAGCTGCTTGATTTTGACTTTATAAATTTGTTCTTCATTTAAAAAAGTTGTCTCAAGTTGTTGGATTTGTTTTGTTAAATTATCTTGTTCATGTTCCTTTGTACGAATAATTTCTTCTAATTCTATCTTTTTAGTTTTATATTCATAAATCAAATTCATTTCATTATTCTTCATATTTTTAATAGTCTCATTCAAATTATTTTCAAGGTTTGACTTAGCCTCCAATAAGTTTTCTTTTTCTATTTCTAAGAATTTAACTCGAGTTTCTAATATATTATTATTTTTTTCAAGCTCAAAATACTTTTCATCCAATAAAGATGGTTTTTCATTATTAAAATGATTAAATTTTTCTTTAAGAGAATCTCGTTCCTTTTCTAAATTAGCTACTATATTTCGATAATTAATAATATCTGTATTTAACGAATCAATAGATTTTAAAAGATTATCTCGTTCATATTTAATAGATTCTATTTGACTTTCTAATAATTTAACTGTTTTATTTAGAGACAATGATGTATTCGCTTCTTTATCAGATTTAATTTTTTCTACTAAAAGAACTAAATTGTTTTTTTCATTCTGCAAATCATTAAGAGCAACCTCCATTGATGCATATTCAATTTTAAGTTTTTCATGCTCTTTATGAAATTGAATAGTTTCTTTATTAGTTTCTTCGATGATTTCCTGTTGCTGAGTATATTGTTGTTGAAGTTCATTATATTCTATCGTAAGAGACTTAATGTTATCTTTAAGTAATTCTTCCGATTTTTGAATTTGCTTAAAATCGCCTTGTAAAACACGAAAATTATCTAAAACTTTGTTAAATTCATTTTTTTGATCCTCATAACGAATATTTTGCTCATTGAGACGATCTTGTAATTGAGCCTCATATCTACGGTGACGCTCTTCTTCGCTTTTCAATGTTTCTTGAAACTATGTTTATTAGTTTCAAAATCTAAAACAAAAACATACTTTTTCATTGTTCTTCAAAAAGATCCCTTCTGTTTCAACTAATTTAGTAATATTTTCCTGCAAATCAGAATTTTGCTGTTTGACTTCTTGAAGTTTATTTTGAAGAATATTTTTCTAGAGAAAAATTAATAAAAACAAATAAAAATAATAAGTACTTCTTCTTGCAAAGTTAATAACATACGCTCACTACGATCCTGATATTGTTTCAAAGAAGCTTGTATAGTTTCAGTCTCCTAAGTAAATTAAAAGCTACTATTATTAATGCTTTATTTTACACTAATCAATTTTATTCGTTCTTCATCCCAATCTTGCTCTGATTTTACTATTTGATTATAAATATCTTTTTTTTCTTTCTCATATTCTAATTTTGATGTGTCAAACTCTTTCTGAAGAGATTTTAGATTAAATTTAACTTCAATGAGCTCTTCTTCTTTTTGCTTAAGATCATTTTCTAATTCTTCTTGTCTATCATCGTATTCTTCTAAATTTATATGTAACTCTTTAATATTATCTTGAGCATTCTTTAAATCTTCTTCAAGTTTATATTTCTCATTTAAAATATCTTGAACTTTCTTAAATAATCAGAAAATATTTATCAATATATTTTAACTAGACCTGTATATTTCCATCTTTATCAGAAATACTAAAATCCTTTGTTTCCAATTGTGTATGCAGAAATGCAATCTCTTTTTCTTTAATTTGTAATTCATCACTAATATCTTTGTAGGACTTTTCTAAATTATAAACTTTTTCTTTCTGTGTATTTTTAAATTCATAATATTCGATAGATATTTTATTTAAATCAGAACGTGTTTTTTCAAGTTCCTATTTGACATTAAATCTCGATAACTATTAATGAAAAATATACACTATAAAGTTCATCCGAATTGTCTTTTTCCAACATAAATTTCTGAATAATTTTTTCCTTTTCATCCAATCTTTTCTTAATAATATCTAAATCCTATAAAAATTAGTAAAAACAATATAAATAGCAAAAATACGTTTTTTAATGAATCTACCTGATTATTATATTCATCTATTTTTTCATGTTCTTTCGAAAAACATTTCTGTTCCAATTCTTCAATTATTTGTTTTAATTTATCATGTTCCTCTTCTTGAAGTTCCTAAAATTATAATTAATAATTAAATTGAGCTTAAAAAATCATACAATCTCATCATTTTGCTCATCTATTTTATTTTGTTTTTCCTTAAGTTCTATTTCCATTTCTTCATTTTTTTCCAATGCTTGTTGCAATTGTTCTTCTAAATAACTAAGTTTCTCAGAAACATCGATATCAGTTTTTAAATTCTTTAGCCCTTCAATTTCCTTAGACATCGTTTCTATTTTTTCTTGAGCTTCGAAAAGTTTATTCGCATATTGATTATTTTCTAATGCAATTTTATCAAGTATCTTTTTTTGTTCAGAAATAATTTCATTAGATTCCAATTCTTTTTCTTTGTCTATTGACATCACTTTTATTTTCTTTTCAGATTCTAGTAATGATTTCTTATATTTTTTAATTTCCTGAATAAGCTTTGCTTGTTGAATTTTGTTTTCAATATTCTTAGAGAATTAAAAAATGAAAAACAAAACACAATACTTACTTCTTTTAATGCAACCTCAATTTGATCTGGTGCTAATTTGTCCAAACGGTCATTCAAAAAATGAATTTTTAATTTTAATCCCCAATTCTCTTTTCTCATTGTATCAATAATCTACAATTTCATAAGAATTTTAGAAAAAATACAAAATCTTATACTTTCTCCTGTTCCCGTAATGTAAGCGTTGCTGTATTTCCTTCTTTTTCATGTATATTCCGATCAGACAAATTGATAATAGATTTAACAGATGCAACACTAGATGATGAAACTTCTTGACTACAATTATCCGATAAGCATTTGTCTTCTTCATCTTTAGGAAAATTTTCCTTAAAATCAGATCTTTTTTGTGATTGAAAATGTGAAGAAATCCCATTTTTTACTGCACTCTGTAACAATGGAGTAAATTCACGTTTTGCATTAAGTGTATTTGTACGGTCAGAAAACACTTTAGAAGGCAATGGTGTTGACACTGTTTTAAAAGACTTCCAAGCGTCCTTTTTATTCGGTGAAACAAAAGACGGCTCACGTGAACCAAATGTAAGTTCTTCTGCATCAATTGAATTAACAGTGGCTGCTTCTGTTTGTGGAGTTTGAATATTTAAAAGAGGGCGCATCTTTGCGCAGAAAATATCCAAAAAAAAGGCAAAATTTACCTATTTTTACTGAGATTTTTGCTTTGTTTTGATGAAATATTTTGATGGACGTTAACGCGAGAGTAATAGATATATCACGTGATGGCTACTAAGGACAAGAAAATTGAAATAAAAGTCTTATTGTCTATTGTTTTATGAAACTTATTTAGTCAAAAGAGTTTACTTTGAATTTATGTTAAGAATATAGAAAGAATTGATTGTATGTTTTTTTCAAAAACTTGAAAATATTTTTTAAATATATTTGTAAATATAAAAAATGCAAATATTATTTATAAGTAGAAAAATACATCTATTTTCGTAGAAACACAATGTTTTGTGAAAAATTGTAAATCTAGTGAGGAATGGCTAGAAAGAGATCCAAAAGTTAAAAAATTTTATAAACATAAAATAATTATACATAAAAAGGATACCAGTTATATAATTGAATGTCTATTGATGAAAAAATTAGTACCTTCTAGGCCTATTTACTAGCCTTCTATTATATCCAGCAAGAGGGCCCAAAAATGAACGATATGGTTCAGTACGCAAAAGTGATTGCAAATGAATTGGAATATTTGGTGGCCTTTGAGATGCACTATGGCCCTGATTTTCGTTTTTGTTGTAATTAAGATCTGAATAAGATCCATGCTTATTTCGAAGCTCATCGGTTGAAGACATGAATGGTACATTCGGCAAGGTACCACCATATGAAGGCCCAAGAACAAGAAAAGACATGCACAATGACATGGGTTTTGACAAAAGTTCACGAGGTTGAATGTTAAATGTCGTAATCTGCTTAAGAAGAAGTTGTTGAATGTAAAAAGCTGGTAATATAAGCAACAAATGCAAAATTACAAAGTAAGTACCTAATTGTTCCTCCAATTCTCCTGGAGCTTCAGTTTGTGAACGCGACATTCTTGACGACTGCATTTCAGAGAGTGTTTGGATTAACCTTCCGATCTCATTTATATTAATATCATTATCTTTTAAATTTGTAGAAGATATTTTTGTGTCTTCTGAAATACTCATAGGCTCATATGAAAGAATAAGTTTTTCATCTAATTCCAAATTATCAGATGATTTTGTGTCCGATTGATCTGTATCATCTTTTTTTTCTTTCTTTACTTGTTCCATATAGAATTTTTCCTTTTCACGTCTCCACCACACAGCATTAAAATGGCTTTCTGAAAAAATAGCTGTTTCCATATCTTTTATTGGTGCATATGAGCTATAATTATCATAATATAACCATTTTATAGATGGTATACGCCTTGTAGTAGGATTCTTAAGTTTACGTTTTTTTAATGTAGATATACTAGATTGACCTGAGGGAGGAGATATATTGGCAAATGTACGAATAGATTTAACTGGAGTCGAATGATTTGGAATAATTTGCGTAACATACGCCCGATTTTCTAATAATATATTAAGATAAAGTGATACCAGCTACAAAATACTTAACCTGTATCAATAGGTCTAGTATCAAGAATCGATTTTGCAGCAAAAGATGAAAACAACGGGCCATTCGGACCTATTACAAAAAGACATTCATTTCCAGGAGGTCTTAATGGAACTAGATATAATGATAAATTGTAATAAGAGTTAAATATATAAAACGTACATGTATCTTGTGTATATTTTTTAGGATCATTGATAGGTATATGAGTATTATTATTTCTTTGTTCACGTATTAAGAGTTTTCGAGAAAATGTATAAAAAGACGATATTAATGAATATTTTGGATCTATAGGACTAATACTGTTGAGCAATAAGGTTGCAGCTACAGTAAGATCACTCTAAAATGAATCAACAACAAAAGAATGATATGGAAGAATAACTTCGATTTTAGATAATGAGTTGTAGGCTTTTTGCTGAAGCTTTAATAAAATAGTAGAAGCTTGCTTAGAATTCTTTTTTCCTTCACTCAAAGACTGATTCAAAACAAATGATCCTCCTGGTATACTATAAAAACATTTAACCAATAATTAAAAGTACTGAAGCAAACCCACGCCAAAAAAACACAACAAAGATCCTCTAATGTCTGATCTATATCTCCTGAAGACGAAACAATGTCCTTTGTGCCAGAAGAAGACATATTCTTTCTTTTTCGCGATATATCTATTGATTGAACTACAACATAAATTAATTCTGAAATGCAAAAAAAAAAAACAACAAATTTTAAACATATTATGCCTCTTACAGGCATATAGAAACACTTCTATGAGACATTTTCTTTGTTTTTATATATTTCCACGTGTTTTCTTTGTCTTTTTCCTTACCTTTCTGTGTACTTAAAGATTCATTTGAATGTTTGTCTAACATATTTAATCAACGTATAAAACACAGATATTCAAAATGAAATTGATATATCCTTTATTAAAACGCTAATAAGTAGTTTATTTTATATCTAATCTTCAAGGCTTTTTGTCAGTTAATCGAAGATTAATATATAGCAAAATTAATAAAAAGAGCTTAAAAAATAATAAATAAATAAAAACTATATAAAAAGAGACAAAACAAAGCTTGTGTATCATTAAGAAGCAACTTATATTTCAGGAAAAGCGTATTGAGGATATAATTTATAAAAAAGCTTATACAAAAATACCATAAAAACCCTTTTTAAAACTAAAGATTAATAAAAATACTAAACACGTATAAAATATCCCAAATACACATAAGAATAAGATTATATTGATCTAAATATTATTGGTGAAACAATCATCCACTCGATATTTTATACAGTAGAAATTAAATCAAAAATAAAATTAATATGTATAAATACGCAAAAGCATCCCAACTATAAAGAACTAGCCTATTTATCTGTCCTATTCCTCATTGCATTTTCCTTAGCTTCTTGCTCTGCTTTTCTTTGTCTTGCTTTTTCTTCCCTTTCTTTTCTTACAATTGCAAGTCTTGCCAGATCTGCTTTAGCTTTTTCTGTTTTTCCCTCTGAATGAAGCTTTCTATACCGCTCTTCTGCTGCCTTTTTTTCTATAGCTTCACGTTCTCTCCTGCTTAGCTCTTGTGGATACATTTTTGAAAGATCAGAAATCTTTAAGTTTTGTTTCTTTACTCGGTTAGGATTCTCTATTTCAATAATAGATTCCAGTGCATTTGTCTTTTCTTTTTTACGAGTAGAATGAAAAGACGGCACTTCTGAATCTGTTGTATCTGATTCTTCAAAATTGTTGTCTGTATCTGAACTACTAGACGATTCCTTAGCTTCCTGAAGGATTATTGTTACGCTTCATCAATAATTTTGCATCTCTTAACCCTACTTTCCAAGTCTTAGAAGCACTGCCTGGTACTAATGTTCCTTCTTCATCTAATACTAAGTTTGCCGAAAAACTTTTTCCTTCTAATAAACTATAAACATCTTTCTAATGTATATCTATAAATACCTCCTCTTATAGGTTTTCTAAACTTCTTTTTCGTCATAATATCATGATATTAATTTAAAAGGTTAAATTGATGATGAATTACTAAAAACCCTAAAAATATACTTCAATACTTATATAAATAACCCTCTTTTACCACGGATTTCGGAGGAATTTTATATATAAGAATTTCAAAGATTCTAAAGGGTTTCCCTTTTATTCTACTTCTATATTCTGTAGATATGAATATTAGGAGCGGGAAAGAAGGGAAAGATGAATAAATGGTTCAATAATAACGTGGATTTGTCCTTTATTAATAAGGATGAATCTAGGTCAGAAATCATACATTTAGTACAAGTATAGAAATAGACTAAGTTGAAGTTTGTAAAAAAATAAAAAAAAAAATTAATCTATGTTATTTGTGTAAAAAGGAATAAAAGCAGTGTAAAATATAAGACAATTTTAAGATTTTTTTATTTTAGTAAAATATGAAAATAATATACTATTCTGACAAAGACGGTGGTTTAAGTTCTGAGTCCACAATATGAAGTGAATCAAGAATGATATTGTTCGGTGGTTTGGTGTTTAAATATGTGCAATTATATTAATATAAAAACTGAATAAAAGCCATATTTTAAAAGTTATGTACGCTTAGAAGTCAAAAGTTTATAGAGTCATCGAGTATAATGTGTAGTTTAAAGCTGATTTAAATTTTGTGAATGAATATATTACACCTGGTGAATTTTTAGGGAAAAGTCAACATGTTTAACACCTTGATGAATAGAACTAATACTCAAAATGTCAAGATCTATAACAAACGATTAATTATGGGCTATATAAAATATTCATACGTGCCATTAGAAATGAATTCGTGTGCATTTTCCTCTGTTATCCCTCCACTGCATTCAAGAAGGAACTTTGTTTTATTCTTCCATTTTTGTTTCAGATTCCTAGCGACAGTTTTCATATTATCATTGTGAAAATTATCTAACATAACAATATCTGCCCCTGAAAGAATAGCTTCATCCGCTTCTGCTTCAGATCGTACTTCTACTTCAATTTTCAGTGAAAATCCACCAACTAAACGAGCTGCTTCGACTGCTTTCGTAATAGACCCTGTAAATCGGATCAGAGTTAACATTTTGTATAAACGAGTATGACCTTTTGACAAAATATGATTATCTTTAAGCATAATCATACTGCTTAAATCAAATCGGTGTGGGTCTACACCTCCCACCAACATTCCATACTTTTCAACGAGTCGAAATCCTGGTGTCGTTTTTCGTGTGCCAGCAACTACACCATGATAACCCAAATTTCTTAACTTATTAATCGTTCTCCGTGATCTAGATTCTGGTCATTTTTTCCTTAAATATTCACAGGATATTAACTTGGTAGCGATTCCAGAGCAACGTGAAATGATATTTAAAGAAATTCGCTCACCAAGAAGTATATTTTTTGCTGGCCCACGAACTATAGCAACTTTCATTACTGGATTAATATTTTCTCCTTCTTTTAAGCACCATTCAACACTATTTGATAGTTTAAATACAAAAAGCTTTAAAACATGAAAAAAGTTACCTGCACTCAAGTTGTTTGAAAATTTCCTCAAAAAAAGGAACTCCTGCCAACACTCCCTATAAAAACACATAAGTTGCTTTCTTCTTATATTCTTTCTGCCTTTTACTTCGCTTTTTCCGTAAAGAACCGCTGTTTCTGGTTTTTCACCAACAACAAATCCACCATAGTCTAAACTAGGAACATCTTCCCGAAGCCATGATTCAACAATACGTTTCCAAGAACTAGGGAGTATATTCTGAAGGCTACAGCCTATATTTTTCCATGCACACGTCGTCATATTAGATTATGGATTTTACATATCACTTATTTCCTTATTTCCTCAAAAATAAGAGTTTTTTTTCCCAAAAAAAAGAAAATAACTAGAAAAAACATCTACTACATCTTTTTATACTTAGTTCATCTTTTTCTTTCAAATTAGGTCCATACTCACCTAGTTTATAAATTTACAATTTTGTGCAGTTTCTACGATATTAAGATTTAACAGGAGCATTTTGGTGCATCACCTGCTCTGCTTGGTAAAAAACTCTTTTTTGACTAAAGTTAGCTATATATAACAAAAAATATGATATTCTTTTGTTTTTAGAGTTTAAATGAAATTTCTTTTATTATATATTCTTATTGAACCAAACTTGGACTCTCCAACATATGGATCAGAACATATAAGTTAAAAAAAGAGGCTTTGAAATATAGAAAAACACCTTTTTATTAATTATTCTTGTTATTCTTTAAAATGAATCATAAATTTCTTATTAGCACTTTTTTTTGGCTGAAAAAATGCTAAAATATACCAATTAGTTGAAAATCAGTCTGTTCAGTGGTTAGAAGCAAGTATATCTATGGAAGAAGCATGGAAAATCTTTTCATGACACAATTGTTGGTATATATTCTGATATATTAAGATTTTTGCGCAAAATGAAGTATCTTTACTACTCGTTAGGGAATCACTTACCAGTTATTCAATTAATAGGACATTTGATAATACTAATTTTATAGAGTTTTTACAGCAAACTTTTTCCCATACTGAGTTAAATAATGGTATTACATCATTACAAACATTGATTTCTGTTGTAGATGTAAAAAAAGATGTAAAATTCGTTTCAAATGTTAACAAATGTTAAAAAACATGTTTATAATAATAACTGAAGATACATATTTATCTAAAGTATCTGGAATTTTTGATGTGAATATTTGTTATATAGCAGTAGGACATAGAATATTCTTAGATAATTGGGGTTGTAACTCAGCAACAGTTTATTAAATTTCTTTGGGAAAACTATAATTCGTTTTTTATGTTTAAAAATATTTTTCATATGATGATAAAGATATAGATTTATTGATGGTAAAGTGTTTGTCGTCTAAATGATTTTGGATGCATGACCTTAATATTGGGCATTCAAATGTTATATTGAGTGTAACAAGCATACAGTTGAAGCTGTAGAAATGATCTATAAGTATTTTTCATATTTCTAAATATTTATTGTTTAAGAAAAGTTAGGTTGCAATAGCGCTTTTTCTATTGTTGTAATTGATTTTCATAAAAATACTTTAAGAAATATTTTAATTCTAGATATTAAGGTGTGTATTTTAATGGTTCATATATTACTGTTCAAATAAAGTTAGTATACGATTAGACTTGGACTGAAACATCTTTCGGAACTACTTATGTTAACTCTTTATCAGTTATTAAATACAAACAAGGGTTAAAAGATAGAAAAGATAGTGCGCCTCATTTTTTAATTACTATAAATTCGACCTTGTCATATGTTATTACTAAATTTCTTGCTATTAAATGACATTCTTTATGGCTTATTAGGGATTTTTCTCTACCATCTATATCTATGTCTACAGCATCATCAGCTATTACATCACCATATTTGTTATCTCAATCTAGTATAAATACTTTATCTATAACATCTACACTAACTTCACTAATATCTTTATCAAATCAAATATATGGAATTATGTTTTCAAATCTAGAGTTTCTTAGAGTTGTTATTTTTACAGATATTTCTACATTGATTGCCAAAGCTGCTAAGAATTCATTTGATACATCTCAAATACAATAGCAAAGAACTAGTAATAGCAGTTGTTGCATGAGCTTTAGTTGTAATGAAATATCTTTAAAAGATGCTTTAAAAAGATAATTTCATAATATTATTTAACTATACATATTTTTAGTTATAATAATAACTTTATTACATTAAGTATATTTTGGATAAATAATAAAATAATTTTATTAAATCATTATTTTATTTTTTAGTAATTTTCCAATATATTAAGTTAATCTTGTTTATTTAATATATCTTATAGTAAATCTTTATTTAATAAAAAATCGTATTTTTAAGGGCTATTAAACCCTTTATTCTTTCTAAGCTTATTAATATAAAAAATGGTAAATTGTAAAAAGATAATTTTCAAAAATAATTTGGATACAGAATTTTCATGAAGAACCTCCAAAAAGATACTCTTTGAATGATTCAGAAACAAGCTCTGAAGAAGATTCATTAAATGATTTTAGCAAATATAATATTAACAAAAAAACACAAAATGAATGTAAAATAAAATGTGTAAACTCTTTCCCAAATCATGTATCCGATGTTATTATAGCAAGTGAATTATTTCTTGACATTCTGAAGCGATTTCCTGGAGAAAATGAGTGTCAAATCTTATTTCAGGTTTCAGTAAGTTAAACATTATTAATTGAGAAATAAATATATCAAAAACATAGGAAAATCAGTCAATAAGGCTTTTTTCTAATTCTGAATTTTCTCTATATTCTGTTATTTTTCCTAATAATATACCAATTGAGATGTGCTATCAGATTTCTTGTTATATTTTTGATCATTTAAAATTTAAACGTATATTTTTGCTTGCAACTGTTTTTCAATGGTCTGTATCATCTCCTGTCAGTCTCCTTCGTACAACCTTATCATCATTGGATATAAACAATAATAACTATCCATTTTTAAGGCCACCTGCTTTACTTTCTGGGATGGAAGCATCTATATTATCATTGGTAAAATATAAAGTTATTAATATCTTAAATTAATTTCATAAAAGTGTGAGCAACGAAATATGGATGCTGTTGCTATTATTGCATCTTCTCATGGCCCTAGTGCTCATTTAAAGATAACTTCAGATGTTGCAGAACATGTAGCATATCTGCTTGATGAATTTTTTGCCAAGGGAAAATTGGATTTAAAAGTAAAATTACAAGATTACAATGCAAATACCAAAAAAAGAACTGATATATTAACAATGTATCTTTAAATAACAATTATATTACATATAAATTACGACATTTTAGGAATTAAACTATTTTTTTATCTTTTTTGAAGACTTCATATCTAGTTCATTTTCCCTTTGACGTTTTTTCTTTTTCTCTTCTTTTATTTGCTTTTTTTCCTCTTTTTTCTCTTTCTTCTCTTTTCTCTTTTTCTCCTCTTTCTTTTTCTTTTCTTTTTTCTCTTCTTTTTCCTCTCTCTTTTTCTTTTTTTTATCATCCTTTTTCTTTTCCTTGTTTTCCTTTTCATCTTCCTTTTCGTCTTCCTTTTCATTTTCTTTTTCGTTTTTTTTATTTTCTTTTTTGTCTTTTTTATTTTCTTTCTTTTTGTTTTCCTTATTGCTTTTCAATTCTTTTATATTATTTACATGATCAGCATTTGACTGTGTCGTATTTTCAGAAAGAACTAAGTCTATTGCCCGTCTCATGGCTACACTGTTTTTTGTGACAGCAGCACCTGTCTCATAAAAAGCTAAGCGTTCCTCTACCTGTTCTTTCAAAACTTCACCAAATCTCGCTGTAGGCATATCTTGAACCATAAGCAAAATACTTGACTCTAAAAATAAAAAATACCTGTAAAATTGTCTATTCTACTAGCAATAGAGCATTTGTTTGCTAAAAATCGTGATATACGTCCTTTATTTCTCTGTCCAGCACGTCCAATAAACGAAGAATGGTAAATTAAACCATATTTAGGAGTATTTCCTTTAGTTTTCAAAGCTCTGTAACTTTGTAAACATATAAAGGTCAAAAAACATTTATTTATACCGAAATAATGCTTTTTCTGCACCTAGAATTTGAACCGTTGATGCAGGATATTTTGATAAATTTGCAAGACTCCCTGCATGAGAAATTAACCTTGCTCCAATTACTTCCCCTATAAGTTTTGTAAGGTTAGGTGCCACAGTATTCATTTTATTAACAAGATATGTATATAATTTTTTTCTGTAATCTGAAAGATCAACTACTTTTCGTGCAAATGTTAGAATGTTTTCCATATCAAGTGCAGATATATCTTGTCCCATACTAATACGAGCTGCGTTAATAATATTTTGTGCTGTTATTGCGTCATTGTTCATAATTATCGTAAGATTTTCAAGACTATCTTGGGAAATAGTTGCTTTATTTCCAATACATATTACTAATTTTGCATACTGATAGTTGTCGTTTGCGAATTTTATAAGCTCTGGCATATGCCATCCATACCATTCTCTATAACCAATAAAAATATATTGAAACATTAGCTCTAAATTTACCTGACACGCATAGAGAATGTATTTATATCTTTATCAAGCTGATCCATTAATGCAATTGCATTGACAATGTGATTGTCCACTTTATTTACATTAAATTTTACTTTTGCACGTGAATAACTAAACTAGTCAGTCAATCTACTTTTTAAACATATAAAAAACACACGAATGGCCAAGTCCCAACTGTGCTCTTTCAATATCTCCCGGCTGAAGCTGCTTTAATAGTTTTCCTATATGAAGACGGACTCCACGAAGTAAATCTTGAGTTACTTCTGATGTATCACATTCAACATTTTTAAGTCCAGAACGAACACTTCCTGCAAGATTTTTGTCTGATACTCCAAGCAAAATACTATTTTTCTTGCCTGAATTCGGCAAATTCATTTCAAGAAACGCCTTAAGATCATCATTCATTAAACCTAAAAAATATCATTCTCTAAACTATATAATTAAGTAAAATACCTTCTGATATATCATTTACATTCTTTAAAGCATGGTCTGCATCTCTATAAGGCAAAAAACTCTTCAATTTTACAAATTTTCCAAATTTTGAAAGATCTTGTGATGCTTCTTGTACTTCTCTCAATTTCTTCCCTATTACTTCCGTTTGAATTACTTCAAAAAGGGCATATCCTATTGAAAGCTCAACCAAAAGTTCTTGAACCATATTTTATTCAATTTATTAAGTTTTATAGCCATAAAATATATTTTTTGTTTTTTGTTAAATTTCGTGAGGTTATCTCCGCTCTCTAAGATTAAGACGTTTTTACACGAAAACGTTGGTTAACGTTCATCATTTAATTGCTGCAAATTGATTAAACAAAAGACTAAATTTTGAAAAATGATTACACTGCTGAATCCTAAAGCAGAGTCACTTCATCGAGAACAAGCATTGCAGGTATGTGAGTGTTTTTTTTGTTTTTTTTATCTTTTTTTCGCCTTTTTTTCATCAATTTTTAATCAATGAAAATAGGTCAATATAGCAGCTGCATGCGGCCTTCAGAATGTGCTTAAAAGTAATCTTGGTCCAAAGGGAACAATTAAAATGTAATTAGTGCTTTTGAAAATACAATTTTTCTTACTTTTAGGCTGGTGGATGGAGCAGGAAACATTAAACTTACAAAAGATGGAAAAGTGCTTTTGACGGAGATGGTAAATGAAAAAGAGGATGTTATAAGTGTTTATATTTCTAGCAAATTCAAAATCCAACGGCAAGTATGATTGCCCGTGCAGCAGCAGCACAGGACGATATAACGGGAGATGGAACGACATCAATATGCCTTTTAGTTGGAGAGATACTTAAGCAAGCAGAACGATATATTCAGGAAGGCATTCATCCAAGAGTTATAACTGAAGGCATTGAATTGGCCCAAAAAGAGGCACTTGTGGTGAGCATTTCTATGATTGCAAAACATAGAGGCTTAACCATTCTTTTCAATAGTTTTTGGACAAGTTTAAGATTAATAAGAAAATGGATCGTGCTACATTATTGTCTGTAGCTAGATCATCATTGTCAACAAAATTGCATGCTTCAGTAGTTGAAAATTTAATGCATTATATTGTAGATGCAGTTTTGTTTGTTCAAAGAGAAAATGAACCAATTGACTTACATATGGTTGAAATTATGAAAATGCAACATCGTACAGTTACAGATACACAATTAATTAAGGGACTTCTTCTGGATCACGGTACTCGTCATCCAGATATGATGAAAAGAGTTGAGAATGCATATGTTCTTATCTTAAATGTTTCATTGGAATATGAGAAAACAGAAATTAATTCCACCTTTTACTATAGTACTGCTGAACAGAGAGAAAAACTTGTTGAAAGTGAAAGGAAATTTGTTGATGATAAATTAAGAAAAATTGTCGAGTTAAAGAAACAAGTTTGCGGAGACAATCCGAAAAAAGGATTTGTTGTAATTAATCAGAAGGGTATCGATCCTTTATCTCTTGATGTCTTTGTTAAAAATGGCATTTTTGCATTACGTCGTGCAAAAAGACGTAATATGGAAAGATTGCAACTCATTTGCGGTGGTGTTGCTCAAAATAGTGTAGAAGATCTTACTCCGGATATTTTAGGTTGGGCAGGCTTAGTATATGAACAAGTACTTGGTGAAGAAAAATATACGTTTGTAGAAGATGTTAAAGATCCAAAAAGTGTTACTATTCTTATAAAAGGTATTTAGATGATAAATATTTTTAAGCTCATCATTTTTAGGTTCAAATCCACATACAATTACTCAAGTTCAAGATGCTATTCGTGATGGTCTTAGAAGTGTAAAAAATGCAATTGAGGATGGTTGCATAGTCCCAGGTTCTGGTGCTTATCAGTTAGCATGCTCTATTCATCTTTTAAAAAATTTTATAAATACTGTAAAAGGGAAGGCTAGATTTGGTGTACAGGCATTTGCAGATGCTTTACTTGTTATTCCCAAAACTCTTGCTGCTAATGGTGGATTTGATCAACAAGATACAATCGTTGCATTACAGGATGAATATTATCAAGGACATATTGTAGGCGTAGATTTAGTAACAGGGGAACCGTCTGATCCATTATCTGAGGGCATTTACGATAATTACAGAGTTATTAGGCACATGCTGCATTCATCTTGTGTGATTTGCAATAACCTTTTAAATGTAGATGAGATTCTAAAGTAGTTATTTGCAAATAATATGAAATTTTCTAACTTGTTTAGGGCTGGAAGAAGTAGTCTTAAAGAAGCATCTCAAGTTTAATGATTCAATGTTTTATATGTAAAAATAACTTTTTTGAAATAATTTTGTACATTAGGATATACTTGTTTAGAAAATAAAATTATTTTAAATAATTATTAAACTTTTTCTATCACTATTAAACATATTTTCAATTTCAAAGGATACTAATTTCGAAAATACTATGGTTGCCAAATAATATATATTCTATTTTGCAATATATTGTTATTTGAATCTTTACTAAAACTTAAGCACCATACAAATAGTCTTTGGTGAATTTTTGCTAAGAACAAAAATCAAGCTCTTATTAAATATTTTAAAAGCAGCAAAAAATAAAAACGGAAAGATTTAGAACATAATTTTTAGTTAAGACAAAATTGTATTTAGAATTTGAATCCTGAAACAGAAACATTCAGGCAAAATATAAACTATATATGTGACTCGATGATTTTTGAACAGATTAAAAATATATAAAATCTACTAAATGATAATATATTCACTCTTTTTTAAACACCATTGTTAATCCACATCTTCCACAGTGCTGTCTATTATCATGGAGTGCCATCAAAATCCCTGCACCACACGTTGGATGTGGACATTCACTACGAAGTCTTTGAATTTTTCCTTCACTTGTAATACTATAGTGGCTTAAAATTGATAATTTACATCTACAAGAATAAAAAACAGGAATATAACAAACAATAACTCACTTTTTCCGTTTATGCTTAATCTTTTTCGGTGTTGTATAGACCTTTTTTTTACGTTTCTTTGCTCCACCAAGAAGACGTAAAACCAAGTGTAAAGTAGAATCTTTCTGAATATTATAATCAGATAATGTCCGAGCATCTTCCAGCTGCTTTCCAGCATAAATTAACCGTTGTTGATCAGGCGATATCTCCTCTTTGCTACTGATTTTATTTTTAATATTGTTAATTGTATTGCTTGATTCAACTTCAAGTACGATTGTCTTTCCCGTAAGTGTTTTCACTACATATTTGGTATCAAAAGAATCACAAAAACAAGTAGTTACCGAATATTTGCATTTCCCGTGAGTTTTATGCACTACAGCGTTAGAAAACGCTGCGTTTCTTGCTTATCCTATGCTTGTCTAAGTGAGCTGATGTCTGATCTCGCTGTTTACAATTTCGTGACTATATTTTTAACGTCAGAAAAAGATAATCAGTTAAAAATATAAAAAATAAAGACAGATAAGCGAAGTTTAAGAGAAAATTTTGGCTCAGTGATATCTGTGAATGATGTTTTTATGGTTATAAGTTTTTTTTCGGATTTTTTTTGGATTAAACAAAGAAAAATTTAGCACAAACATGTATATATCATGTTTTTCGGAAGATGTATAGAAAAAGGACATTTAAGTGCTAGAACAGTATTTCAGTGTTTTTTTGCGCGTTATAAGTCGGGTACTATCTCAAAAAAGCGGTCAAAAAGTCCATTATTACAGCATATTCGTGTTTTGGAACAGTATGTTGCAGAATTGAGTGCAAAACTTGAAAAACATGATAAACAAAGATTATTAAAAAACAATGTGAGCATTTTATAGGTTTATTATTTCTTTAATGCCTTTAGGATTCTGATAGAAAGTCATTGGAAAGTGAACATGAGTTTCTATATCATTCTATTTGTAATCCGCAAAATCAAGAATTAGCGTTGACAAATAAATGTCCTATTCTTCCTCCTATTCTTGAAGACAAGCTTGGAGACTTATCTCAAGAAATAGATTTGAACACTACATGGACTCAGAAATTAAGCATGATTAATGCTCGTGGAGGATTTATGGGTTTAACGACATCAGAAGTCAATCAAATAATAGCATCTATTACGCCTAAAGAAAGAGGAGGATTGACAGATGTTATTTTTAGTATGATAAAGGTATGCCTCTTTTTGAAGAATAAAAAAAGTTTTTATTGTTTTAATAGAATGCTTCTATTCAGCCTGATAGCTTAACGTATGATTTTATGATTAATGGCTGCATTGAATTTGGTAATGTTGAAAAAGCTATGAATCTTTTTTCCCAAATGAAACAACGTAATTAATATATATATTTAAAAAATATTAATATTAAAATAGATGAAATTAAACCTACTGTATTTTCATATGCTCATTTAATGAATGGATATGTGAAAATTAAGTGTCCTGATAATGCATTATTACTCTTTAAAGATATGAAAAATTATTCTATTGAGCCTAATCTTGTAAGAAAATCCAATCATAATGAATATTTTTTCTAATAACTAGACTATCTATACTATTTTAATTTCTGCATTTCTTCAGAAAAGGTTATTTAATAATGCATGGATGACTTTTAATTTATTGAAGTATCGCTCGAAAGATGTATATCCAGATGTTAAAACATATTCTCTCATGATTTATTCATGTGCTTTAACTGGCGAAGCAGAACGTGCAAATAACTTATTTGAAGAAATGTTATCATTACCTGATGGACCTCTCGTGCCAACTGTAGAAACATATAATGCTTTAATACATGCTTTTGCTGAACGAAAAGACTATTTTTATGAAACATGGAGAATAGCAAAAACTATGGCAGATAATAATATTCCTATGGATATGAAAACATTGAATGCATTACTAAGAGCCTGTGGAAAAGTAGGAGATTTAAAAAAGGCAAGAATATTGGCAAAATATATATTTCAAAAGTAAAAAAAACATATTATATAGTAATGATTATAATAGAAATAGATGTAAATGTCTAGATGATGTAAATATACACACTTTTCAAGGTTTATTTAGAGCCTACTCTAATTATGTTCCAAATAACCAACATCAAGTTTCAAAATTTTGTGATTCTTCTAATAGTAAACATGATGCAGATATTTTAATTTCAGAATTAAATATGAATATATCGAATGATACTAAGAGTAATTTTTTTCAAGATATTAAGAATTGCGTTTTTTTCAAAAGCGATTTAAATACATCAAAAGATATTTTAAATGAATCTAAAGCATTAATGACATATATACAGAAAAATAAATATTCTTTTTTAGATGAGCAGCTTATGAATGCCTATCTTGCTATACCAATTAATCAAGGATCATATTTTATATTTAAATATATTTATGAGAATATGTATTATCCTATAACTACTGAAAACCTGTATGAAGAATCAAGTTACTTAAATTCAAACAAATTTAAAAGAGGGCCATATACATACGAGTTAGGGCTTCAAGCGGCATATAAATTTAATGACTTGAAATTTGCTCGTCTTGTATGGAATGAAAGAGAAAATTGGAGACATCTAATAGAAAATCAAAGAAAAAACTGTGAAAAAACAAACAAACTGTTTACTCAAGAATATCTAAATAATTTAGATTTTAATATTTACAAATCAATGATTAACATTTTAACTAAAAACAATTTATTAGAAGAAGCTAAACACCTTTTAATTTCCTCTAAAAAAATGTTTCCATGGCAAATAGACCATTTAAAGCCATTATGGAGTAAAGTGGGGCAAATAAAAGATGAAGTATTTAAGTCTTTAATACTTGAAATAATAAAATCAGGGAAAAGTTAGTTTTTTGGTATATATAATTATAAAAACAATTAGTTGATAAAAAACAAGATTTTAACTATAAAAGAATAGAAATTAAAATTTTAACTATGACAGATGTTTACTCCTAGTTTATTATATGACATTATTTATCGCTTTCACTTGTTATATATAATCATTACATTATAAACGTCTTCAATAGTTTATACTGTTTGTATTTATAGGTATAAAACAAATATTATATGGTTTATTCTTCTAAAATGTTTGAATTTCTTTACTAAAACTTGACCCTCTTTTTACATGTCTTTCCCCTGACATAATATTGATCCTTTACAAATGCCTCTTACTCTGTGCCGTTTAAGTGCATCTGTTCTAACAAAACTTTTCCCACATGGACAAGAATAAGGTTTTTGGTCGCCATGAATTTTTACATGTCGTTTTAAATCATGATGTCTAACAAATCTTGCACGACAGATTGGACAACAATAAGGCCTATCTGACAAATGTGTTTGTATATGTGATTGAATATTGTATTTTCTACCAAATCGTTTTAAACAACCATTATAGAGACACACGAATTTACCATCAGACTCTTCTGGTCCTTGAATGAAAGATGATATTGCTTCAAGAGAAATCATAGTTCTTCGTGATGAAAAACGCCCAAATGTAGTGGATTTTTCGAGTACTTCATTTGAAGATGGAACATCATGTTGTTTTTTATCATTAAAGGGCATTGTAACCAAAATTTGATTAAAAGGTTTTTCAAAAGATGTGTTATTCTGAGATAGATCCCCTAGATTCACAATAGTGTTGTCTTCTGGAGACATGGGTGGAGAAAAGATTTGAGATGAGAGCTGATGAATGGAATCTTTAAAGTCAACCTGCAATTGAGAACAATGGTCTATTAAAAACCGTAAATCTTCTTGATTTGGCTTTTCACAACTATTTTGTGTAAAATTGCTTACAAGATTTTTATCATATTGCATAGATGAGTATGGTGGAGAAAGCAATTGCATTTTATGTGAAATAGAAGGCATATTCTGAATATTCTTTTCTGAAAAAAGCTGAGGATCAATGACATTTTGCATCATAAGTGACGTATCAAATCCTCCAGATTGAATGTCTGAAGATGGGAAAATATGATTTTTTGACGAATACGTATCAATCAAAACAAGTGAAGACGATAATGGGTCTTGTATAGTCATATTGGATTTATTAAGAAGAATTTCTCCCGTTTTCCCTTCAAAGCATCCCGGTTTGTTATCCTCATCTATATACCTATACGCTTGAGGCTCATATATATTCGGATAGTCTGTATAATCCGAAGAAAACTTTGAATTCGAAATTTCTGACTTCAAAAAGTAAAATTCAGGAGGTATTTGCTTCTGGAAGCAATTCCTATCTATGTAATTTCCTTCCAAGTAGTTCCTCTGTACTAAAGCCATAGAAAAAATTTAAAGGTTGCCCTGCAACTAAAAAATTCTGAAAAAGCTCAAAAATTGTGTAAAAAAAACGCTCAAAAAACAACCATACACCTTTTTTGCCTTTCTGAAGTAGCAGAAAGGTCAAATTCGTGTATTTCTAGCTAAAAACAAACGAAAAAAAGAGATTTTCCGAGAACCTGCCTCGTGCTCTTTATATGTTAAAAATCTTCGATGTTCATTTGTTTATTTTGGTGATGCGTGTTGCCATAGAAACTTTTATTAAATAGAGATTTATTTAAGTATTTTCTTTATATTCTTTTTGTGTTATTTTTAAACAAAATAACATTATTTTTCACTGAAAACTGTTTTTTTTCTAATCTTCTTTAAACCATTTGTCTTCTAGAAAGAAACTTGCTATCTCTCTCACATAGTTGCTATAGTAACCCTCTCTCTAGTTGCCATAGTATTGCTATGACACCGACGATGCTCGATTGAGCTTGAGATGGAGAAAAATCTGAAAAATTTAAAACATACAAAAGTCTTTCAAAAAGTGTTATTTTTCTACTAAAAAGACTATATAGTTATTCTTAAATATAGGATATTATATTTTTATAGTTTTTGTCTGAAGTAGCAGGATTTTTTGTCTTTTTTTCTGGAAAAACAGTCTATTTTTTGTAAATTCAAGCATCTTGGACCAGGAGTGCTTTATTGTGAATCTTTTTCATGGAAATGAAGCGTATTATTGTCTGTCCTGCATGGTTGACGTCATCAGTGCTTCGTCGGACCAAAAGTTCTTCTTCAGATGCTTTTAAGAAGATACAGACTCGGATAAAAGTAAGCATTAAAAAGATCCCGATTAGTAGATTGGAGCCTCAGAAGATGTTCTCTTCTGTATTCAGGATGGATTTTTTGATTCCTTTTGCTGAATATTTCCTTTCGGCGGTTATTTATATTTCTTGTTTAAGTATTCTTCCTTGTATGGGATTCATTAAGATATTTATCGTTTTATTTTTGATACTGCTACTTGTGCTTCCAATTACACGGCCTTTTTTTCATCCTTCTCTTCCTATTACATCCTGGTTAATTCTTTTTTATGCTTGCAGGTAAAGCATGTTGATTAGAATGGTTTTTTCTTTAACCATTTTTAGATTTATTCCTTCTTCTATGAGGCCCCGTATATGGGTTTCTGTTTTACCGACTTTAGAGAACATTGTATATGGTGCTAGTTTGAGTAATCTTCTTTCAAAACATACATATTTTTTTTTGGATATTTTAGCATGGATTCCATATGGTATCATTCATTTTGGTGCCCCTTTTGTTACATCAATTATTGTATATTTATTTTCTCCTCCTGGAACTCTTCCTGTTTTTGCAAAAAGCTTTGGATATTTAAACTTGATCGGTGTAATTATTCAGCTTGCATTTCCATGTTCTCCTCCATGTATGTTTTACTTAATATGTTTTGTATATCTCATTTAGAAAATATAGGGTATCAAAATGTGTATGGAAATCAACCTGCAAACTATACTATGGAAGGATCAGCAGGAGGTCTTGCAAGAATTGATGGATTTTTTGGTACAAAATTATATACATCTACTTTTCCTGCATCACCATTGGTATTTGGTGCTTTTCCATCATTACACGCAGGTCATGCAATGCTTGAAGCATTGTTTTTAAGTCACATTTTTCCAAAAACAACCCCTTATTTTGTAGTATATGTACTTTGGTTATGGTGGTGTACCATGTATTTAACACATCATTATTTTGTCGATTTAATAGGAGGAAGTTGCTTAGCTACTATTATTTTTTATATTGCACAACATAATTATTTACCTCATATACAACCTGGAAATCTATTTCGATGGGATTATCATTATACAATATTTAATTTATCTAGAACAGATGATCCAGAGATTCCTTTATCTCGTAACATATTTGATCAATATGGGTCTATACAAAATGGATTGATGAATAAATATTTTTATAATGACTATGCGTCTCCTTCTGATTCATTTTTTACATGTTCATGTACTAATAAACTAGTAAAAAGGAGTTGTTCCATATCTTCCACTATTTGGGATGAAGAGATAATTGATTGTATTAATACGCCTAATTCACTCTATGATACTGATAATTCAGGGGATATTGACATTGTTATTAAATAATCATGATTTAATTTATTATAAGCATTTTTTGATTTCACTAAAACAACTTTTGCAAATAAATTTTTCGACTGTTTAAAAATCATTATTTTAATTACTTCATTTGGATAGGGGATGCTTGAGTTTTTCAACATGATCATTAAATTAATATATTTATTCGTTTGATGCATTTTCATATTATGTATTTTTTTCTGATGGAGTTTTTTTATTTTTCAAAATATTATGAATAAAATTATGTACAGCAATGTGATTTCTCCATCAAGTGTATTTTATAATTGCAAATGTTAGAGTAATTATTAATAAAATTTTTATTAATATGTTAAAAATTTAAAGTTATTTTTTAAGAAACGATAAATTATGATTTAAATATATACATACTATCTATTTAATTGATATTTTTCAAGAAATAAACGAAATTTTAATAAATTTCTTTTTATAAATAATAATTTATAACATAAATTATAAATATCTCACGTAACCTTGTTTTTTTTGCTTAAAAAATGATTTATTATATTAATAATAAAAATGATTCCATAAAAAAATTCTTAATATGTGAAAATTAACTATTTAGTTCTATAGATTCAATAAAAATTTTTATTTCTTCAGTATTTAAGAAAAAAGAAATTAAATAATTTATATTATTAATTCATCTAAAATATAGTTAGAATCTAACTTTTAAAAATCATTTTTTAAATAGATTATATTGAATAAATATAATGTTAATTTTGATAGGACAATTTAAAACATAATGTAATATAATTTAAACCAAATATAATACACATATCAATTCAACGTGTCTTCCACAGTCATTCGGTTTATTCTTGAATATTAATTCCAAATAGTTCATAAGGTTTCATGTATCCATTCAAGATATGTAAGTAGTTATTTTTCAATACATGAAGACTTTTCAATACGTCTCTGTGCCACATCCTATTATACATATGAGTTTCTTTATTAATTAAAAACAATCTACACTACCCAATTATATATTCTTGCAATATTCACTTCTAAAATAGTAATATTTTCTCGAATAAATTCAAGATCTTCCTCGTATTTCTTCAAAGATGCTTTTGCTGCTGATATCCTTGATGTCAGAAACTCAATGGCCTCAGGAATAGGATATTCAATCATAACATTTGCCTTAACTTATTAACAGTTCCTAAAACACTAGAAAAAAATACCCCAAGCCACACTCCAGCTTTGTCTGTTGATGGAATAATGATTTTAAAATAAAGTGTATCATTTAGTTCAAAATACGTATCAAATGATTCTTTTTTTTCCTGTAAAATATCACTTTTTCTAATTCTTATTTTTAACATTTAAAATACGCTTTTTTTTTGTAAAAAATACAACATCTGCAATGTTTTATCCATTTCTGGGATTTTATCTAAAAGTACCATAACATGACGTTGAAAATTGGCTTCCATAAACCGATATTTTCTATTTATTTGTTATAGTTTTTTACTTGTTTAAAACACTTACGCTATTAATTGTTGAAAATGCTTCAACACTGATTCAACATTCTCACGAGACGTTACAAAATCTTCAACTTTTTCGACAAAAGGCGCTGCTGGAATACTTTGTGAAGATGTTTCTTGAACATTCATTTTTACGAATTGTAATTCGGTTCGTTAATTTTTATACAATTTTATACAAAATTTATACAAAAAATACATGTTTATATATTTACAAGTTTAATTCTCTGATTTTCATATTAACTGTAAGTCTAAACATGTTTTAAGTATTTCATTTACATTTTGGAAATAACATGATTTCAATATGATTTGTTTCCCGAAGCCTTTATGCTACTTGATAACCATAAATATATAAATTGCTTTCGGAATGCTATTTGTTGTAAAGAGAGAAAATGCCCTTACTCAACCACCGGAATGAACGAGTTAGATCTGATAAAATATAAAGTATAAACGAATTATCCTGTCATGTAATTTTTCAAAAAAGAAAAAAAATGGTAGTTTAAAAATAAATCTTTATTAAACGGTTGTTTAAAGATTCAGACAATGTATTGTTATTCGTTTAGGAAAATACAAAATTTTCAGTTATAGTAAATACGATAATTCATTTTTGTTGACCTTGAAGTTTTGCTAATTGCCCTAAAATATCTTGAACTTGTTGATCAGGTTGCTGTGAAGGTTTGATCATAGGTGAAAGCGTAGGATTCGTCGGATAACCTTTGTTGATTGATGCACCTTGGTGCGGCATTTGTAAAGACGTATAAGATAAAGACTGTAATTGAGGGGTTAGTTGTTGAGAAGGTTGTGTTAAAGCTCCGATGACTTTTTGAAGAGTGGTGGGATCCAATGAGCCAATCAGAGTTGCCAAATCTGAATTGGATGCGCTGAGTGCTAAATTTTGAGGCTGAGTGTTAAGATTACCGGGATTAGGTGGTTGATATGTATTTGTTAGTTGTAAAACGGATTGCTTTTTACGAAGTGCTAATACTACTGCAACGTGAACATCGATATTCGCATATTCTTTCGCCATATTTAGCAATAATGTGTATATTACTTGATTTATTACCGTCAAATTTCACATCTGAGCTGTCAGCTCTGCGGTCAAAAATTTGCATAGAGATTTTCGACTGTGATTGCATTTGTCGGCTAAGGAATATGATAGCCATAATACCTTCAATAATCATTTGTTGAACAACAGAAGGTAAGGATAATCTTGGCGATAGAAATAATGTATCTATACGAAAACCTTTATCCTTAAAAACCTTTTCAACGAAATAAATAAAACTTCTTTATTATCTGTATTAGCGGACAGGTTAAACAAATACATGGATACCCAACCTATCCGTATCATCTGTAATAATGATTTGACATTCTGGGACATCATTGCCATATCGACGGGGAAGGGGAAAAGAATCCATTTGATGACGTGGAGGATAATCACGGTAGCGATCAGGGGAAATGGATCTATAATCCCCGGGATAGTCCATGTCTCGATCTCTGGGATGCCGAAGTGAAAGTGGGGGTGATCGTCGTTTACCGTACTCTTCTCTTGGACCATATCGATCTTTCTTGTCACGATCGTATGGAGAACCATAACCATGGTTTCCACGGCCATGACTTCTGTTTCTTCCACGTACGGGAGACCGGTCTCTTACATCTGGAGACCGGGATCTAGGTCGGTAGGCTTTTTTATCACTAGAGAGAGGAGGTCTATGCTTTTGTGGCTTTGAAACTTCTAGATCTACAAAGAAGGGTTTGAATAACGAATCAATTGTCTTTTATGTATCACTTACGCATTTTTCTTCCACGAATCATGGTCCCTTGCTCTCCATTAATTGCATTTTGGCATTCTTCAGATGAAAAGAATTGGACAAAGCCATAAGCTTGTTTTAATGCAATTTGACCTAACCGTCCATATGGATAAAAGACACGAAAGACATCTTTCTTTGTAACTTTTTCAGTTGGCAAGTTACCTTTGAAAAATATATATTAGTATTGACATGTTTAATGAAAATACACAATATCCAAGGGTTTAGAATACCTATAAACATTCGTGATCCCGGTGGAAATTCATGTGGTGCAGTATTTGACATAATATGTTTTTCATCTACAAGAAATTTTTGAAATAAGGCATCTTCTTGTGGAGTACATGGAGTATCATGGTCAATGGCATCTTTGTGTTTGGGCTGCTGCGTTAATGCAGGCTGAACCGCAGTGGTATCACTTGTAGATGAAACAGTATTCAAGGCTTCTATAAAATTCGGAGAAAGTGGATTGTTTGAGGTCGTTAGGGGAGCAGCGAGTGATGGATCTGTCTGAAGGGCTGGTGATAATGTCGCCAAGAGTTTCTGAAGATCCAGGCTACTGGGAATAGGATTTAGCGTATCGGCAATCAACGGGTTATCTTGGGTCGTTGCCTGCACCGTTTCAGAAAACATACATGTATCTACTTCAGAATGCTTGTAATCGCACTCTTCCGATTTTTCTTCATCATCCTTCTCCGTAGCCTCTTCTATATCAACCTGTGGTTCCACCATATTATCCAATTCCTTTTTTTCCTGTATCACTTCTGATACTTGATTTTCACTCTCTTCATTCAGGCATTTTTCCTGAGCATCGGATTCCTTGGTTTCTTCCTCCAATTCCACCTCCCTTTGGCTCATTTCATCTTCTTCCCCCTCTTTAGCCTCTTCCTCGTCTTTCAAGCTTGTTTCCAGGCAAATATCCGATAACAGGTCCGACGGTGCTTCTGAAAGACTTTCTGACTCCGAAGCACCTTCTGAGCCTATGTCGGATACTGTTTCTTCCGCCTCCTCGAGCGATATAAACCCTTGCTCTCTTTCCTGTTGTGCTTTTTCTTTATTAATTCCCTGTTTTTCGTCCTCCGAGATTTGTTCTATTTTTCCATTCTTCAACATCGTGCTTGTTCTTTATTTCTGTCTTTTCCAAGCAACTCCACTCTTATTTTACGTGTCCTATTTCTGTTTATTCCCTTTTTCTCCTTTTCTTTTTTTTTCACTGTATATTTTACTTTGTCCTTGCTCTACCTTCACTCTGCTCCCAGCACACTCTCAGTATACCCTCAATACTTTGTATTTAGTGCCTTTAATACGCTAAATCCCTCCCAATGCTCTCCAAACCCTGCTCCGCTTACACAATCTCGCCTGATCTGCGTCCTGCGCTGCGGCTTCCTCAAAGTATTGTTCCTGTTTTCCGTAAATCCACCGCCCGAGGCTATTTCTCCTCGGATTCTCCTGAAACTATCTTGAAACGCTCTTTCTCTCTACTGGTCTTTGTCGTGCCGTTGTCCTTTGCGCGTCTGCAACGCTCCTAAGCGCTCCCCCGCATCGTTGTCCGTTAGGGTTCTACACATTAGAACTACATTCTGATTAGGGTTAGGTCTACCTTTGTCAGGGCTGCTGTCATTAGGTTAGGTCTCTTGCTCTGCTTCTCAATATTTAGGGTTATCTCCAATTTCAACTGGGTCAACCGACCTATATATACTGGAAGGGTTAGGGTCCAGGGCTAGGGTTGTCCCGTTAGGGTTAGACTGTTACGTGCCCATTGCTCACCGCAGTGCTTTTGTTCCATAGGGTTCCACGGAGTTCTACGGGGTTAGGGTAGACAGTTGCCAGGACAACCTGTGAGGGGGTCAGCTACGGTGCTTTTGAGCACAGCGTGTTATGGGCCATTTGTGTGTACTTCTCCGCATATTGTATGTTGCATTGCAGCCCTTCCTGTTCTGCTGCAGAGTCGCAGTGCTCTCTCAGGCAGGGCTAGGGTATGTTGCTTAGTAACAGTTGCCATGACACCCATATGCACAGCTGCATTTCTTAGCACTATGTGCGCTGCACTGCTTGATGGCCAGGTTTTGTTAGGGTTGGCATAGAAATAAGGGTTAGGGCTAGGGCACCACAAGAGGAGCGCTAAGTGTAAGTGGGAATCTATAGTAGCAATGCATAGGAATAATATACAGCAGAAATATACAAAAAAAATAGTGTCAGAGGCTGCATCGGTGTCCGTATCGAATAGTGCAGCGCTGCGTATTTATAGTCGCCATCGCCCGCCGATCCGCTGTATGCATCGCTTTGCAATGCACTGTTGCGTCAGTGCTAATTGCACTTAGGGTTTCCTTACTGAGTGCTCAAGTACCAGCTATATTATCAGGGTTAGGGTTGGATGGAGTCTGAGTGCTGGGTGGATGGGAGACAGGAGAGACGGCCGAAGCGAGAGAGACAGTGAGAAGCGCACCAACTGCGGTTGCACAAAAGAGCGCAGTTGCAGCACGCATATACAGTGCAGCAGTCCAGCGCATGAATGCAGTGGCGGCAATGGGCCTGTCTAAGGAGCCGTGTATGCTTGTATTTGGCGGTTACAGGCAGAGACGCAGTTAGCGTGTAGGCTCTGTGCACACACGTGTATTCTGTGAGAGGGCACATTTATACCATATCGATTATATATCGATTATATGTAGTGTATGCAGAACGTATAGAACGTATGCATTATATACAGCATATAGAGAATATACAATATATAAAAAAGATACAGAAAATACAATGTATACATAGAGTATAAGTGCTGTGTAAACGGTATATGTACACTGTATGCGTCACTTATGTATTGTATACGCTAGAGATAGTGTGTATTATCTGCAGAGCGTATGTGCTTATATGCAGCATATAGTGAGTGCACACCGTATGTACTGTATGCTGTGCACTGCATGTACTCCACATAATATATGCACTTTATACAGTGTATGCGCTGTGTATGCACAGTGTATGTGCTATATATACTATATATGTATATATATGTATATCGTGTTGTACAGTGTATATAGCTGCACTGTATGCACTGCATACGCACCACGTGTATTCAGCACATATAGCGTATGTAGCGTATATATAGTGTATATATAGCATATATAGTATGTATATAATGTATATAGTGTAGAGTGTATAGAGTATGTATACTCTACGCTGCATAGTACAGTGCACTCTACGGTATATATTGCATACGCTGCACACACACTATAGATATACAGTGCATATACACCGTATATATACAGAATATATAGCATATATGCTGCATACGCTGCATACACAGTCCATACAGCATGTATACTGCCTACAGTGCATGCATACTGTATATATTCTATGCACTGTGCTCTGCACTCTGCCATATGCATACACTACACTCTACAGTATACACACTCTATACACACTCTATGCATACAGTGTGCAGTGGATACACTGCATACACATTATATCGCTCTACGCCGCTATACACGTTACATAACACTATGCACTATGAATACACCATGTCTGCCATATCTGGCTGTATGCAGTGTACACAGACATATACTCTGCATACCGCGCTGTATATACTGTTCTATGTTTACATGCTATACATGTACGCACTGCACGTACTGTGTGCACGCGCTTGTGGCGGCGTGGCATCCCGCACTGCACGTGATCCATCCATAAAGTCATGTGACACAAAGATAGCAGCGGAGGGTGTGTTCCGCTCTGCTGAGCAAATGGTAAGCAACAGAGTAGTGAGCACAGCTAAACAGCATAGGCGGACAAGCTTCGGTTTCAGGCACAACTTGAGCAGCTCCAGCAAAAATACGTCGGCACAGGGCACGCTGATACAACAAAGTAGTAAGTACCAAAAAAGCACAGGGATACGCTGACCCGTCAGTGAGTGGCTTGCAAACCAGCACAGAGACACATATGCCTCATGCATTGGGCACCCGAGCCTCCTGAACTTCTTTGCTGTTGCAAGCAATGACAGTGTCGAACGAGTGCGTCTCTGTATGATTGAGAAGATGATTTTGCCGTGCGGATTGCCAATTGTCAAAGATGACACGTGACCATCACGTGATGTTCACGTGACCCTGCTCTTGGAAGCAGTGAGTGTATATGGGACATGTATGGAGGTTGTATGGGTGTATATGGAATATGTATAGATATGCACAAATACATGTGAATAGACAGCAGAAGAAGCATATGGAGTTCTTAGTTATGGATAGAGATATAGATAGATGTATAGGTGTAGAGAAAGATGCTAAAAAATAATGTCATCGTCATCAGCGGTCTGAAGAGCACTTGGGGGAGGAACCCCGAGAGAAGAGGGGCAGGAGGAGGGTGTAGAGGCGTCGGAGGGGGCAGCAGATGTATATTTTTTGTTTTCAGAGTCTATATCGCGCTTCTTTTTGACTTGAATTTTTTTAAGACGTGTAAAGTCTTCCCTCTCGAGTTCTTCGAGCTCAGAATTGATATATTTGATGGTATTTTCTGCCCTTGGGATAATGATGTGCTCTATTGCGTTTACTCTGCGGTTTGTAGTTTTGATGACGTCGTCGAGGATGATAAAGGCGGTCTACATTGTTAATGGCTGGAGATTTGGGAGGATAAAATACTTGTAAAGAAGCAAGCTTTACAAGGATGTTGATGGCTTTGATGTGTGTTTCCTGGCATTTCTGTACTTGTTGGCCGCCTTTTCCAAGACCAATGAGCCGATGATCTAAACGGTGTTTCAGCCGTGTATAGTACAGTGTAAAAGAATATAAACCGTTTTCATTGTTAATAACACATTCATATACAGGCAAAAATACCCCACTGATGTTTTCATGTTTTGTTTTGAGACGGCAACTTGATGTTCGTGCACTTTCCAGAATTTGGTATTTCACCTCATCACCCGTTACATAGCTCATTTCAGCCAATGAAAAAGCTGCCAATTGCATTGTACGCCCCATTTCCATCTTTGTATCGTCAATCGACTTAATAATTGTTCTGAATTGTTTTGTAAGTGCTTCTGATTTGCGTTTTAAAAGTGAATGCCCTGTTGTCGCTCCTTTGAGCTTTGTTTTCATCAATCCTAGAGATCTATAGACTTTTAGCCTTTATTCTGTTGGAAAACAACTTACTGTCTCGTTGGAAATACGTTTTCTCGCTGATTATCATCACCCATTATTCTTGTCTATGATTACGATAATGAAGAGGTTGTGCACGACGTTGAGGCAAAGATAAGGGGAACAAAATAAAATGTGTAAAAGATGAGCAAAATATATAGCAAACGAATGTTTGAATGTCCATATTAATATACCATCTGCTTTTAATCTATCTTGTATATTTCTTGTAGAATGTATTTTGACTGAAAGATATATAGAAGGAAGAGAATGCCAAGTATCACAAAGCAAAAAAATACAGATATGTACTTTTTGTCGTTTATTAATGTTTTATACAATGAAAAAAAGTAGCAGAGTAGTGGTTTAAAGCTATTTTCTGCCGTAATTTACGGAAATAACAGTTCCGCCCAAAGCCATGCCGACAGTCCCATGTTTTGCAATAACGGCATCATCATTGGTCTCGTATTCAACAAAGGCAATTCCAGGCCTTCCAGGGACCATACGGACTTCTTTGAAGCCGGAAAAACGATTAAATACAGCGGATAGAACCTCTGCAGTGATATTTTCGGGCAATTTTTGAAGAAAAAGAATTTTGTGGGGTGGAAGATGCTCATCCGGAATAGTATTCTGTTTCTGCGTCTTTTTTGATGTATTTTTCTTGGCGGTAGAAGCATTTATTTGTTTTGTTTTTGGTTGTGTACTTTTAAGCTGTTCTATAAAAAATGTTGGCCAACATTTGAGAAAAAAACACTAAGAACACAATACCTTTCTTTTCAAGTCTCCGTTTTTTATGTTCTTCAAATTCCTCATGAGTCCCGAGCCGTTTGACTGTAGCATCACTTTTAGTCTTACTGTATTGCAAAACCATTGGTTTATCAAAGAGTGTAAACGCCTGCACATCAGCAATAGCTTTTTGTGCAGAGTCAATCGAATCAAATACAACAAATGCTTGTCCTCTCATTCGTATATTTTTATGTGCAATAATATCTAAGATAGTGCCATATGATGAAAAAACAGCTTCTAATGACTTTTTTAAAACTAGATTTATTTAAAAATATGAAAAAAGAGTGTATCAAATTATTACTATCAATTTTGACTTTTTCTGACAAATTGCGTATATATATTGTTTCTGATGGAGGAAGTACAGATAATTCAGTTGGTATAACCGGAGTTTTTTTGTTTTTTGGTAATGGTAGCTCTGATTCATGTTCCATATGGTCCTTTAAGTTAATATATTCCAAAATACTTGTGATGGAAAGTTTTTTTAAATATATCAATGATAGTAGTTGGTTATTTGTCAAGATCGAAAAAGATATGGTTTTAAAACAAAAATTCAATAATAATTATTTACAAGTAATTTTTAAGTCGGTAAAGAACTTTTGAAAAATGGTTATATTTTTTTAGATAATATCTTAAAAGTTTAAAGTTTGATAATCCTCTCAAAAGTTGTTTTTTTTAAAGAATATAAAAAACATGTTAAAATAATAATATAAATTAAAATAAATTCAAGAAACTAGTACACTAATGTTTTATTTCTTTTAGATTTAAAATTTTTTAAATATAAAATTATAGGTAAACTTGGAAAATTGAAATAAAAAATTATTTGTTTTTACATAAACATAATTTTATGCTTTTTATTTAAATATCCAAACAGTGAACATAAGTTTAATGTATTTATTATTTTTTTAAAAAAAAAAATATTTAAATTATATAATGTATAATCTTAATTTTTTCTTTCATTTTTTAAAATAAATTAAATAAAAAATAGTAAAATATAAAATTTGTCAATAGAGATCCTTTTATTATAGCATAAATATATTATTATTAAAATTAATAATTAAATAGCCAAAGAAGACAATAATAAGTCTATATTAAATATTTGGAACTTATTTTAACATTATCTATGTAAAAGATTATATACGTGGGCATCATATATAATTTTGCAGTTGAATATATATATTTAACAAATATTTAAATATTCTAAATCATTATCTTATAGTATAAAAACAATGCTGAATCTTTAAAATATACTATAAACCATTTTTATATACAAATATAAAAAGAAAATTCTTTAAATGTCTTGAATTTTTACAAAAAATATTTTTTTAAAATTACAACCTATAAATTTTTTCTCATAAAACAGATTGAAATATTATTACAATTCAAATAAATCATATATAACTAACCAAGACTTTTCTCCTTCTGCCGTTTTCTCTTCTGAGGACCAGATTTCTGAAAATCACGCCAATTATTAATCCTATTTTCTCGATTTTCTTCCCAAGCCTTTTCATATTCTTTTTTTCGTTTCCGTTCCTCTGCCTCCTCTTCAAGACGTTTCTTTTGCCTGCCTTCCTCTGCCATTTGAATTTGACGAGCTTTTCTTTTTCGAAGCTCGTCGTCAATTAATACATGTTTTGTTCTTTCTCGTACATCGTTCTGAAACGCTTCTGTTGTCAATTCTGGATGATCTAAATCCCATTTACGTTCTTTTATAAGCATTTTTCTTGCAGTGGCAAATGCTGTGTCAAGTTTTTCACGGATCTTAGGATCCATTAAATCTGATTCTGCTTTTTTGAGTCGGTCAAATGCATCTGGTGCTTTAGGATTTTTTGTTTTGTCTGGATGAATTAAAAGTGATTTTTTACGGAATGTGTTCTGAATATTTGCTGCACTAACGCCTGGTTGGAGCCCTAAAATAGAATATGCATCTAAACGAAACGTATTTAAAATTCTTTCAATTTCTTGGTCCTGAAGGCCTTTTTTAGAGCAAAAAAAACGAGAGATATATTATTCCTGCCTACCTTTGCAAATTCTGCATCTTCATTTGCCAAAATCCTGTCAATTTCATCCACATCTTCCATCTCAAATATTATCAGAAATATACAGTTTTAAGTGAGGTTCTACTGTTGCTATAACAACCTCTCTACAACTATCATCTCAGATATGAAAACTCATAAAAGATCTAAAGAAGCACGAGGAGCTTCAAGAAAAGCATATTTTGAAAAATTAAATGAGTTAGAGCAACGTATTGTTGAATTTGACTTATCAAAAGATGTAAATTTATTTTCAGAGCTTCCATTATCTGAACAAACAGCAGAAGGTAAGTTTTCCAATTTTTTGCTGTTTTTTTTTTTTGAAAAAGTGCCTGAGATATCTAGGATTAAAGGAAAATCACTATATAAGACTCACAGATATACAAAAGAAGGCTATTCCAGTTGCATTGTCGGGCAGAGATGTTTTAGCAGCAGCAAGAACAGGCAGTGGCAAGACAATTGCATTTTTGGTTCCAGTAATGGATATCCAGAAAATAAGAGCAAAATTTATTGGTTTTAGGTTTTGGAAAACTTGTTAAGGAAGAAATGGAGTATTTATGATGGTCTTGGAGCGTTAGTTATTTCACCGACAAGAGAATTAGTATAACTGCAGAATTTTATTTTATTATTAATAGCGGTTTTAGGCAACACAGATATTTCAAGTGCTTTGCAAGATTGGAAAGAAACACAATTTTTCTGCAGGTCTTGCTATTGGGGGGAAAGATTTGCAAGAAGAAGCACAAAGGATATCACGAATGAATATTATGATTTGTACACCGGGAAGAATTCTTCAACATATGGACCAAACGTCTGGGTTTGATGTTAGCAATCTTCAAATACTTGTTTTAGATGAAGCAGATTGCATTTTAGACATGGGATTTCAAAAAACAATTGATGCTATTATAGAAAATATACCAAAAAATAGACAAACATTGCTTTTTAGTGCGACACAAACAAAAAGGGTTAAAGACCTTTCTCGATTGTCCCTTAGAAATCCAGATTATATAGCCGTTCATGAAAAAGAAGCTAGTTCTACACCGCCGACACTTGAGCAATATTATTCTATTGTTTTGCTTCATGAAAAAATTAATGCTCTTTTTAGTTTTTTAAGAACAAATTTAAAAGCAAAAGTATTAGTTTTTATGAGTACTAGTAAACAGGTTTGGGTTAACTTTTGTGATACCTGATGTTAAAAATATTTCTAGGTACGTTTTATTTATGAAGTTTTTAGACGTTTGCAACCTGGTATTCCACTTTTGCATATTTATGGAAGAAAAAAACAAATATCAAGAAATCTTATAACATCTCGATTTTCTACTGCAAAATATGCAGTTATGTTTTGTACAGATATTGCAGCACGTGGTCTTGATTTTCCAATGGTAGATTGGGTTTTACAATTTGATTGTCCTGAGAATGCAGATACATATATTCACAGAGTTGGTAGAACTGCAAGATTTGATAAGAATGGAAAAGCTCTTATGTTTCTTTGCCCGAGTGAAATAAAAATTTTAGAACATTTGGTAAAAAAAAAAGTACAAATACAGGAAATTAAAACAAAAAATTCAAAAAAAATAGATATTTCAAAACAACTACAACATATATGTTTTAAAGAGCCTGAAATAAAATATTTAGGACAAAGAGTAATATTTTTAATTATCATATTTTTTTATTAATATATACAGGCATATATAAGTTATTTAAGAAGTATTTATCTTCAAAAAGATAAAGAAGTGTTTAAGCTTGAAGATTTATCCATTGAAGAATTTTCATCAAATATGGGGCTTTTGGGTGTTCCAAAAATTATGTTTTCAAATAATATAAATAATAAAGTTTTAAAAAATATGCCTAAAAAATTACAAACATATTTAAATAATGAAAATTTAAAAAAAGAAAATCAGACTGATAAAAAAGAAACAGTTAAAACTAAATATGATAAAATGTTTAAACGTGTAAATCAAAATGTTATATCCGAACATTATAAAAAGATGGTAGAAGACACTGATTCATCGATTAATAATAATTCTACTGATGATGAAAATTTCATGAAAATAAAAAAAGTAGATAATGATTTAAACCAAGAATTCATAGAAAATGTGTATAAGCTTTTTTTAATTGTTACAAATTAACATTTTTTAGAATTTTAATATTTCTTCAAAACGAAAACAAAAAATAGCCACATCAAAGAAAGCAATGCTTAAATATCGTCCAAAAGGGATAAAATTAATATATGATGATGATGGGAATACACATGATGTCTATAGATTTCAAGATGAGGCATCATTTCACAAAGTAGGGACTGTTGATGATCAAAAAACAAAATACCTTGAAAAAGAAAAAGAAAAAATGCTGGAAAATGATATTTTAGATAAAATAGAAACAAAGGAAAAAAGACGTCAAAAAAGAAAAAGAATTTTAACATTAGAAAAAGAAAACATTACAGAAGAGAGTATTGATGATGATACTGAGTCTCAGTTTTCATCTAATACTGCAAATGTTCCAAGAAAAAAACATATAAAATGGTTTGAAAACGATTTACATTTAAAAAACTCTTCCGTAATAGAAGTTGATCATTTAGATACACTTGAAGATCATGAAAATCTTGCTTTAAAATTATTAAATGTCCACTAGAAAATAAATAAATCCTGTTTATTATATATTTGTATTATATTTTCACTTTATATCATTTACACGTATTTTTATTTATCTAAAAAATCTTTCGATCAAACTACTTAACGACATTTTAAAATTTCTAACAATGGAGAATCACTATTTATCATTAGATGATAATGAGAAATACATTTCTTCAATAAATACAGAAATTTTCTATATTTCAGATGAAGATGATGCATATGAAAAAGAGCTTGTTCGAAATCCGTTTTCTTTAAGCTCATGGATGCGGTATATTGAACATAAAGCAGATCAACCAATTCATGAGCAAGTTTTTATCCATGAAAGAGCATGTTTAGATCTTCCTGGAAGCTACAAACTTTGGAGACAATATTTGGGTCTTCGGAAACGTCATTTAGAAGGATTAAATTATGCTAGATATGAGCAAGAATATGAAAAAGTGAATTTATGTTATGAAAGGGCTCTGTTTTTGCTTAATAAGGTACTTTTCTGTATTTAAGTTTGTATATAAGTAACATGGTTAAATTTTAGATGCCTCGGGTTTGGATGGATTATCTAGAATTTCTTATGAAACAATGTAAAATTACTCGAACTCGACGAACATTTGATAGAGCATTAAGAACTTTGCCTGTTACACAACATGAAAGAATATGGAAGCTTTACAAGGATTTTTCTCGGTCTGCATCAGGAAAAACTGCAGTTAAAGTTTGGAGACGTTATGTTATGGTATATATATATGTTTTTATTTAGTATATCTAAAATAATTAGATTTTTCCAGAAATGATTGAAGAGTTCATAGAATTGTTAATAGAAATGGAATATTACGATGAAGCAGCATTCCAATATATAGTTTTGCTTAATAATCCAGAATTCGAATCGATTCAAGGGAAAAGTTACTTTCATCATTGGGTCGAGTTTTCTGAGCTTATAACAAAATATCCAGATAGAGTTAAAGGGATAAATATAGAAAAAATTCTAAAATCTGCTATAAAGCGTTTTACCGATCAACAAGGGAAATTTTGGACTAGTTTGGCAACTTATTTCATTACAATAGGTGATTTTGAAAGAGTATAGTATATTTTTATATGTTTTGTTTCTAATGTTAACAGGCTCGTGATGTTTTTGAAGAAGGTATTGTTAGCGTTGTTACAGTTAGAGATTTTACTCAAATTTTTGATACATATGTGGAATTTGAAGAATCTGTTATATCACGAACTTTGGAAGAAATATCAAAAGAAGATCAAACGGAGTACAGCGATCCCGATAAATGTTTGGATTTGGATATTAGAATGAGTCAATTTGAGCAATTAATGAATCGAAGACCATTTCTTATAAATGATGTATTACTTCGACAAAATCCATATAATGTTGTTGAATGGGAAAAAAGAGCTGGACTTTGGAAAAATGTTGAAGAGAAAATTGTAGAAACTTATATCGATGCTATTAAGACTATAGATCCAAAAAAAGCAGTAGGAAAATTTAGCTCACTTTTCATCAATTTTGCTAAATTTTTTGAAAAAAATGGTGATCTTGATACTGCAAGAATAATTATGGGAAAAGCTGTTCTTGTTCCGTTTAAAAGTGTAAATGAGCTTGTAGATATCTGGTGTGAATGGGCTGAACTTGAACTTCGAAATAACAATTTTGATCAAGCAGTAAAAATTATGAGGAAAGCAACTAATTCTCCAGAAAAGACTAATGTTGATTATTTTGATGAGGTTTCTTTAAGATTATTTTGTTTAAAAATATTGATCAATTTAGAAATTAACTCCTCAACAACGTCTTCATAAGTCAACAAAACTATGGATGTTTTACGTTGATCTTGAAGAAAGCGTTGGAACAATTGAGTCCACAAAAGATGTATATAATAAAATACTATCTTTAAAGATTGCTACGCCTCAAACTATAATTAATTATGCAAATTTTCTTGAAGAAAATAAATATTTTGAAGAAAGTTTTAAAGTAATTGAATCTATAGCTTTTATAATGCTAAGTATTGCAGGTATATCAAAGAGGAGTCGAATTGTTTAGCTATCCTGTTGTTTTTGAAATCTGGAATTTATATTTGGTATGTTTTTTTTTTTTTAATAATATTAATAATAATAGAGTAAATTTATAAAACGTTATGTAAGTTTTATTCATGATAAAAATAAATTCAACTAAATTTTAAGGGCGGTACAAAAGTCGAAAGAACCAGAGATCTTTTTGAGCAGTCTCTTAAAGGATGCCCCTCAAATATGTGTAGACCAATTTTTTTAATGTATGGGAATTTTGAAGAAAAATATGGTTTAATGAGACATGCAATGAATTTATATCATCAAGGTATATATTAGTGTTTCTTAAGTATTTTTTAAGTATTTTTCTAGCTACTGAAATGGTTTCAGAGGAAGATAAGGCTGATGTAAGATGAATTTGTATTTTCTTTTTTTCAAATACTAATTATAAAAGATGTTTAGATATTATATATCTAAACTAAGAGTAAATTATGGCCTTATATCAACAAGACCTATATATGAAAGGTTAGATTTTATTTTTATACATATTAACCTAACGAATTAGGGCAATTAATATTCTTCCTGATAAAGATGCAAGAGATATGTGCTTAAAATTTGCAGAAATGGAAAGATCTGTTGGAGAAATTGATAGAGCTCGTGCTATATACACTTATGGTAAAGGTCGTTTATATAAAAATATTACTTATTTTTATTAGCTTCACAATTTTATCATCCTAAAGCAGTAGCATCTTTTTGGGAAATATGGCATGAATTCGAAGTAAAACATGGTAATGAAGACACGTATGCAAGAATGCTACGAACAAAAAGAAGTGTTCAGTTGGACTACAAGTATTACCTTATGCTTATGTAATCACTATTTACACAATTTTAGTTCTAGTGTTGATTATATTGCTAATCAAGCCGCTACACAGCTTACTCTTGAAACATCTACATCAGCTGATGATCCAATGTCTGCATTGGAGAAATCAAAAACTCTATCTGGGTTTGTCAGGAAAGTCAATTCATTATTTATATATGTTATTTACAAAAAATAGTTCTTCTACAGGTCCTATTACATCTCAGCATTCTAAATCTTCTCTTTCACAAACATCTTCTGCCGATAATCCTGATGCAATTGATCTTGAAAACGATTAATCGAAAATATTACTATTATATTGTTTTCTAATCTAACTTATTAATTTATTGTACTATTTAATTTAATGTATTATTCATTGTACTATCAATTTAATGTATTATTAATTCATTATATTATTATTTTATAATTATTTCATAATTATTTTATTTATTATTTTTTTAAATCCCTGTTTTAACGTTATGTAAATTTTAGAAAATCTCATGTTTCTTAGATTAAATATTTAGATACGAGTATTAAATATTTGATTTTGTTTGTAAAATACGCATTTTGGCATGTCAACTGAGCATATTATATCTTCTATTTCATTAGATGATTCTACTTATATTCCAACTTTTGATTTAAAAGTGCTAATTAACTTTATATCTAATCTTGTTGAAGTAATTTTAGATGCAAATGAACACGATATAAATGAATATATTATAACATCTAATGATTGTTTACAGAAATGTGCAAAATTTGTTTCAGATACAACATTAACTGTGCTTTATATTGTGAAAGATGTTAAAAATTTAATAGATAATATAGGTAACGTTCATTAAAACATACAATTTTTTTTAATCTTAAAAAAATAGACAATAATAATGCTTCATATAATTATTATCTTAATTTAGAATTATCTCCATCTACACAAACAGTAGCAATACTTGCATTAATCAAGTCTTCCAAACAGCTTAATCCAGCAATAATGCTTCAAGATCAACTTCAAATACTTAATATTCCTTTGTGGTTCCAAGAAGAAAGATCATCTACGTCTATGATACCTTATGAAGCCTTATATACATTAATTCATTCTGCTCTTTCACCTTATTTCGATGCATTTGTAAAAGAAAAAGACAAAATGTTTGATAGCACAAAATCATTGGAAGCTGATTATAGATCAGGTTAATCCTTTATAATATATATATATTATTAAGAAATTAGGATTTTCTGCAATAAAAAAGAAGATTGTTGAATTAGAACTCTCCTTATTAAATTTACAACAAAATATTGAAATACCGAAAATGTCCTTAACTATTCATCCAGAAATAGAAAAATTTATCACTGAAGTATTTAGGTATTTCTTTATATTATTTTTTTCTTAATTTATATAGTCTCAAAAACAAAATATACAACCTTCAATACAATTTTTTCCAAGCAATCTTTTAACAGATACAGCATTTCTTAATAGTCTTCAGTCAAATGTTAATTTTTGGATTAAATCAATCCAAACAATTACAAAAATTTCACATGATCCTACTTCTGGCACAGCATTACAAGAAATTAATTTTTGGTTAAATATGGAAACCTCTTTGGAAAATATTGAAAAACAACTTAAAAGTGATGGTATTGTTTTGACATTAGAAATTTTAAAACAAGCTAAACGATTTCATACTACTGTTAGTTTTACTGCTGATACAGGTTTAAAAGAGACTACTGAAAAAGGTACAATTTTATTTAATGATTTAACTTCTAATCAATTAAAGTTTGCAAATATAACCAGTTAATGAGAGAATTTCCTTTAAACGAACTTTTAACAGCAACATCATTAGATAAAGTCCAAAAAGCGGTTATCCAAATATTTAATCATCTTAATAAAAAACTTAGAATTTGTCCTTATCCAATTCGTAGAGTTTTGCCTTTGGTAGAAGCTATTTCTTCTGATTTAAATACTCGTATTCAAAGTTTACTTGGTAGTCAAAAGTTAATGCACCTTGAGTATACATATTTCAAAAAATTAATGAAATTGACAGACGAAGTTTTTCAAACATGGGATGACCATTTGAAAGAATTTACAAATATGGCAAGAGAAGTCACTCGTAAACGCAGCGAAAAGTTTATTCCTATAAAAATTATTTCACAACATATTAAAACGCAAGAAAGATTAGCATATATAAAAACATTTAGACAGGGACATGAACAATTACGAAGCACAATTATTAATGTTTTAGAAACATCTAAATTGTCTTCTGATAAAAAATATTCAGGATTTGATGAAGTTACTGATATAAATATTATGAATGAAATTTCAGAAGCATATTCTCTTCTAAATGCAGTTGATGTATTGGATATTTCTCCAGAAGGCACAAGATTATGGGTACTTTCTGAAAATAATTATAATGATCGAATTTCTAGAATTGAAAATATTATTATAAATAAATTAAGAGATAGATTAGGTACTACAAAAACTGCAAATGAAATGTTTATGGTTTTTTCCAAGTTTAATCCATTATTTATTAGACCAAAAATTCGTGGTGCTATACAAGAATATCAAACACAACTTATTAATAATGTGAAATCTGATATAGCTAATTTGCATAATCGATTTAAAATGCAGTATAGCAATTCAGAGTCATATTTGGTGGCACAATTGCGTGATATTCCCCCAATTTCGGGAGCCATTATTTGGATAAAACAAATTGAGCGACAATTAGATACATACATGAAAAATGTTGAAAATGTTCTTGGAAAAGGCTGGGAATTGTATGCAGAGGCTCAAAAGTTGCAAGCAGATAGTACAGTGTTCAAAAAAAAGCTTAATGCTCGTCAGGTATACTTATTTAAATTTATAGCACAATTTTTATCCTTTTAGATTTATGAAGCATGGCTTCAAGATGTCACACGGAAAAATTTATCTATAAGTGGAAAATTGCTTAAAATAGTTCAGAATCGTACATTAGGTAATAAATTAGAGCTAAAACTCAATTTTGATCACCAAATTATTATGTTGTTCAAAGAAGTTCGAAATCTTCAATGGTTAAATTTCTCAATACCCCATTCTATAAATAGCATTTCAAAAGAAGTTAAAAGGCTTTATCCATATATTATAAGTCTTATAGAAACTATTCGAAATTATATTCAAATTAATGAAAAAATATCCGATATAAATGATATTTCTATCTTGCTTGCTGAATATCAAAATGATATACAAAATTTTATATCAAAAGGAATGAATTTAAATTGGGAATCTTTCATTTATTCATATGATAGTCATATACGAACATTGGATTATTCTAATATTAATATCGAAAAATATAATAATACTCAACGTGAAAGCCGCTATGTTCTTTTTGTACGCGATTTTTCTTTATCAGTTTCAACATTGAATGAAAAAACAAATATTTTATTTAATTCATACAATATCATCCTCAATGAATTAAAAGAATTAAACACATGTGTTTATAGTCAGGAATCATTTAGTTTTATTCTTGAGAATATTCAGAAAGAAGTAGTATTTTTATTTTTATAAAAAATATTAATATTTTAGGTTGATCGCTTAAACTTTGAAAGCTTTTCTAATTTAAATTTTTGGGTCGATAATCTTAACCGTAAAATTGAAAATATATTAATAGAACGAATCATTCAGTCTTCTCAATTATGGGTTAAAAAATTTACTTCATTTAAAGAAATAAATAGTCTAGGTTCTGAAAAAGAGCAAATAAATTATATAAATTTTTATTCTATCGAATCTAATAATCATATACTTCCTGAATTCGAACAATTTACTTACAAGATACATATTCGTAATAACTTAATGTTTCTACAACCTTCTATTGAAAAATCTAAATTACATTGGTTCAAACATTTTCATAATTGGATAGGTAAAAACATGATATCTTGGACAACAAACTGAATTTATAGATATTGTATGTAAACAGAAAAAAATTACTGCTTTTCGATATCAAATAAATATTAATCTTAATTCTCTAGCTGATCAAAATATAGAAATACCTACGTATAAATATTTAGTAAAGCATATATTCTATTCAATTAATATTAATATATATTAGCTCTCAAGAATAGAAAGCTCTTATTTATCCAATGTTTATTCATCCATTCTTAAAGTCCACAACGAAATAAATATTTATATTGAAAAGTGGTTTCAATTTCAATCACTCTGGGATTTACACTTGGATCATATCTCTACTCTTCTTGGAAATGATCTAACAAAATGGTTACAGATTTTACGAGAAGTATGGAAATCTCGTTCTACTTTTGATACAGCTGAAACTTCACGTTCTTTTGGGGTCTTAGTTGTAGATTATGAACAAGTTCAAAATAAAATAAATTCTAAATATGATTCTTGGCAGAAGGATATATTAAATAAATTTTCTAGTCAACTATGTGAAAATATGAAAGAATTTTATTCCCAAATGACTAAAATGAGACATAATTTAGAATCACAATCTCTTGAAGGTTCAATAGAAAAGACTATTTCTTTTATTACTACTGTTCAGCAATGTAAAGAACAAATAAAGAAACATAAAGAATTAATCTCATTATATCAACAAGGACAAACAGTTTTATCTAGACAAAGATATCATTTTGGTAGTGACTGGCTTTATATTGACCAGATTGAAGGCGAATGGGGAATGTTATCTGATATATTAAATCGGAAATGCGCACTTGTAATAGATCAAATTGGTATATAAATTAATACGTTTATATTTTTAACTATTTTTAGATATTTTAAAAACAAAAATAATTACAGAAGATCAAATTATTTCGTCAAAAATATCTTTAATTATTGATGATTGGAATGAACGAAAACCTGTTTCAGGCAATCTTGATCCTTTATTAGTGTTTAACATGCTTTCTGAATTTGAATCAAAAATTAACTTGCTAGTTGATGAAAGAAATTCTATTATAAAAGCCAAAGAAGCTCTTAGCCTTAATAATACTTCAGATAATCATCTTCATACTGTTTTAGAAGAAGTGATGGATTTTAAGTCGGTATGGTCTGCTATTAATACTCTTTGGAAATCATTAAATGAATTAATGGAAACTCCTTGGAGTCTTGTTGTCCCTAGGAAAATTCGGCAATCTTTAGACAATTTGTTAAATATTGCGAAAGAAATGCCTAGTTCAATCAGACAATATATACCTTTTGAACATATGCAAAATTTACTTCGTCAATATATCAAAGTCAATTATCTCATATCAGAACTTAAAGCACAGTCTATAAAAGAAAGACACTGGGAAAAACTTTTTAAGCTTCTTAGGCCTCAAGAACATATTATTCCAATCTCTCTTACTATAGGCGATGTTTGGAAATTAGATCTTGTAACCAATAAAAATATTATTATGAATATTATATCAGATGCTCAAGGAGAGATGGCATTAGAAGAGTTTATAAAAAATGTATTTTTTAATATAATTATTTATGTTTTAATATTTTTAGGTTCGTGAAACATGGTCAAATTATTCTTTAAATTTACTTAACTATCGAAATATATGTAAATTAATTTGTAATTGGGATGAACTTTTTACAAAATGCATTGATGATCTTAATTCTTTTTCAGCTATGAAAAATTCCCCATATTATAAAATATTTCAAGAAGAGGCATCATCTTGGGAATATCGTCTTAATAAAGTACATATCTTATTTGATTTATGGGCAGATGTTCAAAGACAATGGGTATATTTGGAAGGAATTTTCTCGGGGAATACTGATATTAAACATTTATTACCTATAGAATCACAAAGATTTGAAAATATAAGTTCTGAATTTCTTACAATAATGAAAAGAGTTTATAAGTCTTCTTTTATACTTGATATATTATCTATTCCGAATATTGATAAGTCTATGGAAAGGTTATTGGATTTACTTCAGAAAATACAAAAGGCTCTTAGTGAATATTTAGAAAAAGAGCGAGCTTTATTCCCCCGATTTTATTTTATTGGTGATGAAGATTTGTTAGAAATGATTGGAAACAGTAACGATATTAAAAGGATTCAAAAACATTTTTCCAAAATGTTTTCTGGGTTATACAGTTTAATTTTAGATAATGATTCGGTTATAATTAGAGGATTTTCATCTAAAGAAGGTGAAACAGTTTTTTTAGAAAATCCTATAGATTTATCTAAAACTTCAAAAATTAATGAATGGTTAACTTTATTGGACAATCAAGTTAAAAATACACTTGCTGGTTTACTAGTACTTGCTATAAATGATTTCAAGAATCTTTATGAAAGTATCAATTTAAATGATTCTCATTTACTTAATTTTTTTGATAAATATCCAGCACAAATTATTGTTCTTGCATTACAAATTATTTGGACTGAAAATATGGAAACTGCTTTATTTGATTCGACTGTTTATGATGAAAATCTATTAAAACATAATTTATCTTGGATTGATATTTTTTTAAGCGTACTTTCAACCTTGGTAGTTCATGATATTAATATTATACAACGTAAAAAATCAGAAAATTTAATTACATGTCTAGTTTATCAAAGAAGCATAATAAATATGTTATTAAAAGAAAATATTTCTTCAAAAAAATTTAAATGGGAATATCAAATGAGATTTAGCTTTAAAGACAAAACTAATATAAGAAGTCTTCAAGTTTTAATAGGGAATGTTAGTTTTAACTATGGATTTGAATATCTTGGTATACCAGATAAATTAGTTCAGACTCCTTTAAATGATAAATGCTTTCTTACTCTTACTCAAGCTTTAAAACAAAGACTTGGTGGATCGCCTTTTGGTCCAGCTGGAACTGGTACTTAAATATTTTATTTTATTTTTTCGTGTTAATTATATTATAGGAAAAACAGAATCTGTAAAAGCATTAGGTGCTCATTTAGGAAAATTTGTGCAAGTATTTTGTTGTGATGATACATTTGATTTTCAAGCAATAGGAAGAATACTTCTTGGTATTTGTCAAATCGGTGCTTGGTGTTGTTTTGATGAATTTAATCGTTTAGAAGAAAAAATTCTTAGTGCAATTTCACAACAAATTCAAATTATCCAATCAGCTTTAAAGAATAATGAAGAAAATAATCATATTCAGATTGAATTGGTTAACAAAAAAATCAAAGTACACCCAGAAACAGGTATTTTTGTAACTATGAACCCTGGATATGCAGGGAGATCAAATCTTCCAGAAAATTTAAAGAAACTTTTTAGAAGTATATGCATGACACGTCCTGATAAAGAAATGATTGCTCAAGTTACATTATATTCTCAAGGATTTTTAATGGCTAAAGAACTTGCATCTAGTATTGTACCTTTTTTTGAAAGATGTAGTACTAAACTATCTTTTCAACCTCATTATGACTTTGGACTCAGAGCATTAAAAGATGTTCTAATTACTTCTGGAAATCTTAAAAGATTGTTAAATCAGAGGAAAAAAGAAAATAATGTTTTTAAAGATGCACTAGAAACTGAAATTATAGTTCAAAGTTTAAAGGAAACAATATTGCCAAGACTAATAAAAAGTGACATGCAAAATTTATTAGAGTATAATATATAATTTTAATATTTATTTAGTTAACTTTTAAATAGAATAGAGAAAGAGTTATTTCCAAATATAAATTATATTCCAACAAACCTTAATGAATTAGAAGAAAAAATTAAAAAGGTTTCTACAGCTGAAAAGCTGCTTCTTAGTGATGACTGGATAATAAAAATTTTACAATTATATCAAATTCAGTCTATTCATTATGGTGTAATAATGGTTGGCTCTTCAGGGACAGGAAAATCAAAAGTTTGGACTATTTTATTAAAAAGTTTGGAAACTCTTACTGGAATAGAATTTGTATATCATATTATAGATCCTAAAGTTTTTTCTAAAGAAGTTCTTTATGGAAGTCTTGATCCTATAACTCGGGAATGGACTGATGGTTTATTCACTAATATTATTAGAAAAATAGTCAATAATTTACACAGAGAACAATTGAAAAAACATTGGATTATTTTTGATGGTGATATTGACCCAGAATGGGCTGAAAATTTGAATAGGAAAGTATATTAATTATTGATTATATATTTTTTAATGTTTTTAGTATATTAGATGATAACAAGCTTTTAACTTTACCAAATGGTGAGCGTTTAAATGTTCCTAATAACGTGAGAATTCTTTTTGAAACAGAAACTTTAAAATATGCAACACCTGCAACAGTAAGTAGATGTGGCATGATTTGGTTCGATCAAGAAACTATCAAACCAAATATGATTTTATATAGTTATCTAAATTCTTTGCGTTTTACAGCCTTTGAAAAGATTGAGGATGATAGTTCATTCTCTGTTAATCTTACAAATTTACTTGATATTCAAAAAATTGTTGCAGATATTTTAGATGCATTTTTTTTAAGAAATGGACTTATTATACAAGCAGTTGAATATGCTCAAAAATTAGATCATATAATGGATTTTATTATGATAAGATCTTTAAATTCTTTATTCACATTAATAAACGCAACTTGCAAAGAATTGGCGAGATATAATTCTCACAATGAAGAATTCCCTCTAACTAATCAAAATATTGAGGCTTATATGTCAAAAAAAATATTGTTATACATTATATGGAGCTTTTCTGGGGATTGTAAATTTGTTGAAAGACAGAAATTTGAAAATTTTATAATTCAATTTACTACTGTTGAACTTCCAGCTTTTTCTAATAACAAATATTTGCTTGATTATGATGTATCATTGCCATATGGGAACTGGGAACTATGGGAAACAAAAGTGCCTACTATTGAAATTGATATTCATTCACTTTTTAAGTTTGATTTTATTATTCCAACAGTTGATATACTTCGACATGAAGCATTAATCTATTTATGTCTAATTGAACATAAATTTTTTATATTATGTGGTCCTCCTGGTTCTGGAAAAACAATGATGTTATTGAATGTGTTACAAAAATTGCCTAATATAGATGCATTGACGCTTAACTTTTCTAGCACTACAAATTCTGATTTAATTATTAAAACTTTAGAACAAAATTGCGAATATATAAAAACTGTTCATGAAGTTATTATGAGACCTAAATCTCTGGGTCGTTGGCTTATAGTTTTTTGTGATGAAATTAATTTGCCTATTCCTGATGCTTATGGTACTCAAAGGGTTATTTATTTTTTACGTCAATTAATTGAGTATGGAAAATTTTGGAGTTCTAAAGTTAAGGCTTGGATTAAACTAGAAAGAATACAATTCGTAGGTGCTTGTAATCCTCCAAGTGATGTTGGAAGAGTTGTTTTTAGTAACAGGTTTTTACGGCATTCTTTTGTTATAATGATTGATTATCCTGAGAAAGCATCTCTTATACAGATATACAGGACCTTTAATAAAACAATATTAAAGTGTATGCCTAATTTAAGAAGCTACTATAAAGAATTTACATATGCGATGATTGATTTTTATCTTTTATTAAAGCAAAAATTTACACCAACTACTTATGTACATTATGTTTATAGTCCACGAGAACTTACACGCTGGATTCGTAATATATATGAAATGATATTTCCTTTAGAAATTTTAAGTTTACATGAATTTGCTCGCTTATGGTTTCATGAATCATTAAGACTGTTTCAGGATCGTTTAGTTAATGATCACGAAAAACAATGGATGGAAGATACTTGCAAGAAAACAATTTTAGAATATTTTCCCAATTTATTAGATTCTACTTTTAATGGGCCGTTATTGTATTCAAATTGGCTTTCCAAAGATTACTTACCTGTAAGTAAAGAATCTCTTCATGACTATGTTCAAGCACGTTTAAAAACTTTTTGTGAAGAAGAAGTTGATGCTCCATTAATTCTATTTGATGATGTTTTGGATCATCTTCTTCGTATTGATAGAGTATTTAATCAATCTCAAGGTCATTTAATCTTCATCGGAATTAGTGGTTCTGGAAAAGTGAGTAGTATTTATAGAATCATTTTTTTGTATAATAAATTATAGACAATATTGTCCCGGTTTGTTGCTTGGATTAATGGTTTAAAAACATTTCAACTCAAAATTCATTCCAAATATTCTTCTAATGACTTTGATAATGATTTGAAACATATTTTGCTGCGAGTTGGATGTAAAGGAGAAAAAATATGTTTTATTCTTGATGAATCGAATATACTTACTACATCTTTTTTGGAACGAATAAATACTTTACTTGCGAATTCAGAAATTGCCGGTCTTTTTGAAGGCGAAGAATTTACTTCACTTATTTCGAGTTGTAAAGAAGCTACACAAAAAGAAGGTCTTCTTTTGGATTCCCAAGATGAGCTTTATAGTTGGTTTTCTCAACAAATTTCTAAAAATCTCCATGTAGTATTTACAATGAACCCTTTGAATGAAGGATTATCAGAAAAAGTATCTGCATCTCCTGCTTTATTTAATCGTTGTGTTATAAATTGGTTCGGAAATTGGCCTATGCAAGCATTTTATCAAATCGCTAGTGAACTTACTTCTTCTTTAGATTTAGAGAAATTAAATTATGTCCCTCCTCCAAACCCTCCTACTATTTATATACAAGGTTCATTTACTTATCGTGAAGCTATTCTTGATTCTATTGTTTTTATTCATTATTCAATACAAAAACTTAATCAAAATTTTTTGAAATCTAATATTAAAATATATTTAACTCCTAGACATTTTATTGATTTTGTACAACATTTTGTTCAACTTTATTTAGAAAAAAGAGAAGAATTAGAAGATCAACAACGGCATTTAAATTCTGGTACTGAAAAACTTCAAAATACAGTTAATAAAGTTTTAGAATTAAAATGTGAGCTAGCAAAAAAACAGGAACAACTGGAAATTAAAAATAAACAAGCCAATGATAAACTTAAACGGATTGTTGAAGATCAAAAAGAAGCTGAACAGAAAAAAATAATTTCTTTAGAAATTCAAGAATCTCTTTATATTCAAGAAGAAAAAATTAATGCTCGAAAAAAAATAGTGATTGATGATTTAGCTAAAGTAGAATCAGCAGTGGCAGAAGCACGGCGTTTTGTTGGTGATATTAAAAAACAACATTTAACTGAAGTAAGATCTATGACTAATCCTCCTGAAGTTGTTAAGCTTACTATGGAATCTGTTTGTACTCTTCTTGGTCAGAAATTTGATAATTGGAAGACAGTTCAAGGAATAATAAGAAGAGATGATTTTATATCAAATATATTGAATTATGATAACGATAAACATATGTCAAAACAGTTGAGAATAAAAATGCAGACATCTTATATCTCAAATCCTAACTTTACATTTGATGTAGTAAATCATGCTAGTAAAGCGTGTGGTCCATTAGTATTATGGGTATGTGCTCAAGTAAATTATTCAGCTATTCTCGAGAAAATAGCACCATTGCGTGAAGAAGTTGGTCATCTTGAAGCACAAGTTTATGAAAATAAGACAGAAATTGAAAATATAATTGTTACTATTCAAGAACTTGAAAAAAATATTTTGTTGTATAAAGACGAATATGCAACTCTTATTAGTGATACGCAAATTATTAAATCAGAGATGAGTCATGTGCAACAAAAAGTAGATAGAAGTTTGAAACTTTTAAATAGTCTTTCTTCTGAGCGTAACCGCTGGGAACTAGAAAGTCAATCATTTGATGATCAAATTGATACTTTGGCTGGTGATGTGTTACTTTCGTCTGCTTTTTTAGCATATCTTGGCATATATGATCAGCAAGTACGATTAGATATTCAAAAAATATGGAGAGCTCAACTTCAATCATTAAAAATTAATATGAAAAAAAATAACTTTATTTCTGAATATCTTGTTACCATAGACGAGAAATCGGAATGGATAGATAATTTGTTACCATCAGATGAACTTTGTATTGAAAATGCATTAATTTTGAAACGATGTTATCGATATCCTTTAATTATTGATCCTTCTAATTGTGTTATTGAATATTTAACTAGGAGTTTTAAGGAAAGAAAATTAACTGTAACAAGTTTTTTAGATAATACATTTATAAAACATTTAGAAAGCGCACTAAGATTTGGAAATTCTATTTTAATTCAAGATGCGGAATATTTGGATCCAATATTAAATCCAATTCTTAACAAAGAATATCAAAGAGCTGATGGAAGAGTATTAATTCAGCTTGGAAAGCACGATATTGACTTTTCTTCTACATTTAAGTTATTTTTATTAACAAAAAATCCTTCAATAAATTTTGGACCTGAAATCTCTAGTAGAGTTACATTTATCAATTTTACTATAACTAGTAGTAATCTTCAATCTCAATGCTTGAATAGAATACTTTGTTCTGAAAGGCCTGAAGTTAATGAACGAAGAGATAATTTAGCTAAACTTCAGAACAAATTTAGGTTACGTCTTACACATCTTGAAAAAAATCTTCTTAATATTCTTAATGAATCTCAAGGAAACATTCTTGACGATGATAGTGTTTTACAAACATTAGAAGATTTAAAAAAAGAGGCATCTGAAATTTCTGAAAGGGCTTTAGAAACTGAAGAAATTATTCATGAAATTGAACAGATAACATTATCATATAAATCTGTAGTATCTTTATGCAGCTCAATATTTGAAATAATGGAACAATTGGCTTCAATATGTCCGTATTATAATTTTTCTTTGTTATTTTTTCAAAATATTTTTCATAATGTTCTGAACAATAACGAGAATCTGAAAAAAGAAACCGATTTTTCTAAAAGAATTCAAATTCTTTCACAAGATATAATATTAACTACATTTAAGAAAGTTTCCAGAGCGTTGTTACATAAACATCATGTGCTTTTTGGTCTATTACTTTCAAGGCTTGTAATTTTAACAAAGGAAATTAAAGGATTCGATAACCATGCTTTTGAATTATTATTTAGTCATGAAATACCTGAAAATGATTTTTCTGAAACTTTATCTAATATTGATATTAAAAAATTGGAAATTCCATATTTTAATGATATTGATAAATATATTGATAAAGATTTAAAAGCATTTAACTTTTTTTTAACTACAGAGAAGGCTGAAGATAATGTACCTGTATTATGGGAATATTGTGAAGAGGGTAAGATAAATTATTTTTATTTGAATAATTAGTTAATTTTTTAGAATTAAATAATAAAGTTCGTCAATTGCTTGTTATTAAAATGTTCAGAATGGATCGTTTGGTCCCTGCTATTGAGAAGTTTATAAATGATATTTTTAATGAAAATATTTTTTCTCAAATTTCATATGATATTAAATTTCTTATTGAAAATGAAGTAACATCTCAGATTCCAATTATTTTATGCTCTGTTCCTGGATATGATGTTAGCCATAAAATTGAAAATTTTGTTAATCAAATATCTGTTGATTGTCAATCTATAGCTATGGGATCAATAGAAGGTCTTTCTCAAGCTGACAGGGAAATAACATTAGCTAGTCAAAAAGGCACATGGGTCCTTTTAAAAAATGTTCATTTGACATCTTCTTGGCTAGATTATCTTGAAAAGAAATTACAAAGTCTTAAACATCATTCAAATTTTCGTTTATTTATTACAATGGAAATAAGTTTGAAAAAAGCTCCAGTAAATCTTCTCAGAATGTCTCGAATACTAATGTTTGAACCTCCACCAGGAATTAAGGCAAACATGTTAGATACATTTGAGTCAATTCCTGTATCATATTTTAATAATGGACCTCTTGAGAAAACCCGTTTATACTTTTTACTTTCATGGTTTCACGCACTAGTACAGGAACGATTACGTTATGTTCCATTAGGGTGGTCTAAATTATATGAGTTTAATGAATCTGATTTTGAGTCTGGTATATGGATGATAAATAATCTGGTTATAAATTTAGCACAAGGTCGTTCAAATATATCTCCAGAAAAAATACCATGGGAAGCTATTCGTTTTCTTTTATATGAATCTATTTATGGTACTAAAATTGACGATGATAAAGATTTAAGATTACTTAGTAAAATGATTCAAAATATATTTATACCTCAGTCTTTTGATTTTGATTACCAACTTGTTGAAAATAGTCTTGTTGCTCCTGATTGTTTAAGAAGAGATGAATTTCTTAATTGGATACGTGATTTGCCTGAAAGAGAACCTCCAATGTGGTTAGGATTACCTGAGTATGCGGAAAAAGTAATTTTTCTTTCTCAAGGTATTTTTATATTATATTTATTATTAATTAATTTTTTTAGGAAAAGAAATGCTTAATAATCTCAGAATTATAATAAATGAATTAAAAGAGTTAAAATTATAACACTAATATCTAATACAGGTATCTAATAATTATTTATATAATATCTTTATTTAAATATTTATTTTAGATTTAGATATTTAATCTTATAAATTCTTTTAAATTTTCAATTTTAAAATTGTATATCATTTTATTTTTTATAAATTAAATAAATAAATTCATAAATAATATAAACCTTTAAAATGATAAAATTTATATGATTTTAGATAAATTTTAAAAATCTTGAATTTATTTATCTTAAAATATTTTAGATTTAATTATTTTTTAATTTGTATTTTTTATTTATTTTTTTAATATATATATTTGTTCATTAAATTAGTCTTTCATTAATATCAAATTATTATAATTTTAATTAAATTCATTTATTCATAATGAAAAAATTAGATTATTAAGTTTTTATAATATTCGAATAATAAAAATTATTTTTTAATTAAAGATTTTTATTATTTATGGCATTTTTTTAAAAAATAACATTAAAAACTAATTTTAAGACAATTATTATGAATTATGAGTGAGTTAGACCAAGGAATAGAACGGTTAAAAAGCTGTAATTTAATTTCTGAGTCTCAAGTTCAAGTTTTATGTTATAAAGCACGAGAAATTCTAATAGAAGAAGCAAATGTTCAATGGATAGATTCACCAGTGACAGTAAAAAATCAATAGAATTGTTTTTCTAAATGTAATTATTTTCTTTAGATATGTGGTGATATTCATGGGCAATTTCATGATCTTATGGAGCTATTTAAAGTTGGCGGTATGTGCCCAGATACTAATTATATATTTATGGGTAGATTATAGTAATATTTTCTATATAGGTATATACTAATGTTTCCAAGGAGACTTTGTAGACAGGGGTTTTAATTCAATAGAAACATTTTTACTGTTATTATCTTTTAAAGTTCGATATCCAGATCGTATTACTTTAATTCGAGGTAATCATGAGTCACGACAAATTACTCAAGTTTATGGGTTTTATGATGAATGTATACGTAAATATGGAAATACTAATGTTTGGCGTTATTGTACAGAGATTTTTGATTATTTATCTTTAGCAGCAATAGTTGATGGCAAAATTTTTTGTGTTCATGGTGGCTTAAGTCCTAGTATTACTACAATAGATCAGGTATTTTATAATTTCAGTGCTTTGTTTTTTTATTATTGTTGATATAGTATTTTTATTAATTTTATACTTATTAGATAAGATTACTTGATCGAAAACAAGAAGTTCCTCATGAAGGACCTATGTGTGATCTTCTCTGGTCGGATCCTGATAATATTTCTGGTTGGAGTGTTTCTCCAAGAGGAGCTGGTTTTCTTTTTGGCGGAGATGTGGTAAAATCGTTTTGTAGAATAAATCAAGTTGAAATGATTGCACGAGCTCATCAACTCGTTATGGAAGGTTATAAAATTATGTTTGATAATACATCACAAGAGTCAAATATGAATGGTGACCAGAATACTAATAAAGAAAATTGCAAGAATATAGAACCAGTAGCAGAGTTTACATTAACTCAAAATAAAGATACAGATTTTGGATCCATAGTTACAGTATGGTCAGCTCCGAATTATTGTTATAGATGTGGGAATGTTGCAGCTATTTTGAAACTTAATGAAAATCTTGAGAAATCATATAAAATTTTTGAAGCAGCTAAACAAGAAGGCTCTTCTATTCCTCCTGTTAGGAAACCTATTGTAGAATATTTTTTGGTAATACTTTTTTTATAATTTTTTTATTTCTGATATTATAGTAATATATTAGTTTTAAGTCACATAAATCCAACAAAATTATTTTAAATTATATAAATACTGAATCTTTTATATTATCACAAAAATTTGTATTTTCTGTTACTTTATATATTATAATTTCATGCAGTATATCTAATTTTATATTTTTTAATTGAAATTATAATTCAATTTTTTATTATTTCTGAAATGAGGAAAAAATATTTATTTTTAAAAGTTTTCTTATTTATAGGATTATTATATTTTGAAAAATTATTTAATAATTTGAATTTTTTTTTCACATATAACTGTTCTTTGATTACAATTCTTGTAGAATTGAGTTCTAAAGATTAAGACAATTTATTTATACTATGTAAAAAATAATTACATAAATTATAATATTTATTATATTGTTATTTGTATATATTCTAATTAATTATGAAATTATTATATTAAGTTTCTTATATATAATTCAATTTATGTGATGTTTTTTAAAAAAAATTATGATTTATTAAAATATAATTTATTTTCTCTAAGTATTAGTATTATTCAATTTTAAATTTTATTAAATATAATTAAAAAATTTCTATATTATTAGACATTATAAATAGTTATCCTTTAAAATCTAATTTATCTTATAGTTCTAAATATCTGAAAAATAACCTTTATTTTATTAAATTTAATAAATAGACATAAGAACTTTAATATTTTACTTAAAAATCTAAACATTTTAAAAATAAATCAATTTAATCTTTAAATTTAAACATAGATTTTATATCAGCTATATTTTTCAAAGTAATTTTTTTTAAGAACTTGTATATTTTTAGAAAATAATTATAAATTTATGTTTAATTTTAAAATATATTTTTAAAATTTTTTATAACTCTATAGATTTTGAAAATACTTAAATCATAAAACTCATTAGCATCGATTTTAGGATTAATATCAATATTAGAAAAATACAGATTAAAATATAAATAACTCATCATTGCATTCTTACAGTTAAATTATATTATAGAATATTAATTTTCATTAAAAATAATATATAAATAATCTAATAAAAATTGTTATTAGTATTATTTTTTATATCTAATATAAAATGATACAAATTTTAAAAAAATAAATTATGTAAATCCAATTTAAAAACACAAAAATAAATAACTAGGAATCATAAAAATTAAGGTTAATCTTAATCTATAAAAAATAATTTAAATATCATGTCTTCTAAAATGTTATGGTTGTTATTTTGTTTTAGACTCTACTAAATTAAAAGAATGTTGTTATAAAAATGCCTCTATGAAGATAACAAATACAATTTCCTGTGATCTTTTTGAGATTTCATTTGTTCAAATAACACTTAATGCGTTTATAAAAAATTATATATTTTAAGCATTTATGTTACTAGATTACTAAGTTTTTTAAATATCTTAATTGTCAGCTTTTTTAGTTAAAAAATTAGATAGATATATAAATTGCAAAAAAAGATTAAGTTTTTTTAAAACTTATTTAGAACATGTTAAATCCTTATGCAATAATATGCTAGATAATAATAAGTATTATTCTTGGTTAAATCTAGACTAAGACTAAAAATTATTGCTATTTTAAAAAAATTTAGAAAATGTAATAAGTTTTTGCTATATTTATATTTTCCTCTTTTAAAAAATGAATTTAAAAATATTTATTAAAATACTATTTTATTAGTAAATATTTCATTTATTCAGTAAATTAATAATATTTATAAAAATATGTACTTGTTTATTACTGAGCATAAAAACAATTATATACTTGGTTTTAGAAAAGAACATATAAAATTTAAGGTGTAAAAACTGCTGCAATTTTTCAATATACAACTAAATTTCAAATGAGTTCAAGAAAATATGTTTGAAAAAATGTAACAGTTTTATATATTACAATAATCATATATTATATAAATGTTTTTAAAAATAACATATAAATTTTTAACTTATGTTTATTAAAATACTAAAAATTTGATATTCTATAAGTAATAATCGTAAAATTTATCCATGATATTTATAAATGTTTATAAAAAATTGAAAAAAAATGCAATAAATTAAGATTGTATTCTAAATATACTTAAAGAAAAATGCTCAAATCTAAGAAATAAAAATAATTGTCTTTACTATTTTAATAAATGTTATTTACAGAGTAATAAGATTCACATATATACCAATAAAAAAAACATTTCAATACATCTTAAAGGAAAGCTTTAATGTAAATGATTATCGTACTATTTATTATGTTGTTTTCACAATAATTCCCAAATTTATATAAACCATAATTATTATTTTTATTTCATTTATCATAAGATACTTAGGAAATACTCTTTTAGTTTAACGTTTTTTAAACTTAAAAAGAGTCTAAGTATTTTAGATTAAGAAATTTAATAATCAGATCAAGTTACTTAGCAAAGAAACAAATACTTTTAGTGTATATAAAAATTAGCAGAAAAATCAAAAATTATATTACAAAACAAATACATGATAGAACGTTTAAAGAAAATATACGGTCAATTTACATTAGAAACCTATAGTTTTTTATCTACAAATTTTAATCCTACACGGAATATCAAAATTTACTATTCATATATTCATCTATAGTAAATTCTTGTAATCGAATTAAACTTACTATATATATCACAATTTTATTACTGAGTATAAATCACTAAAGTTGTCAACAACATCTAAGTTTGGAACTATAACAACTATCATCATTACTAAAATTAATAAATCCATTAATTATGCAAAATTTATTAATTATGCTGAATTCATCAACTGTAAGTTCATCAATTAAATCAAGTTTAACTACATAATCATGAATTATATGCTTGTTGATCACATATTTATTGGCATTTATATATTTATACATTTATCAGAATCTAATAGACATGTTACCTAATATTACACAAAAGATTATCTATTCAAAATAAAAAAATTTCAAAAAATGAACCCAATTTACATGATTACAGGAGAAATAAGAGTATTAGAAATAATTATAATTAATAATAATTTATAATAAAGAATTCATTTGAATATTTTTGTAAAATAAATCAAATGATCAAGTTATAAATATTAAATTAATAAGTTATAGTTTTTAAAGCATTAACGTTTTATAATTGAATAGGATTTAGAAAGTAAATTATCTTTTCATTCTTAATGAGATTATAAAAATATAAATATAAGTAAATATATAAATAAATTTATTTATTTGATTATTTTGGAAATTTATCAGTTCTTTTAAAAAATATGATGATATCAGTTTTTTTTATAAATTAATATCATTCTTAAATTATCTGAGTTTCAAAAGCAGACTACTCTTTATATTTCAGAGGAATATTTTAAATAGTCAAAAGAAATATACTTAATAGTTTTATAAATACACTATAATACATAAAAAAAGCTTATTAACCTACCATTAAGTACAAAAAAAATATATAAAGACTAAAAAACCTAACCGAAAAAACTAAAATACATAAATTTCCGAAACGAAATATATTTTTAAATAATAACTATGTAAAAGATCAATAGAAGTACCAGTTTTAAAAAAACGTGTATAATATAGATGTATTAAAGACTAAGAAAAATTAAATTTTTATAAAAAATAACAATTTTTTTAAAATTCAAAAACGATTAAAAAAAAAATCTATAGCAAGAATATAAAAATATCTTAAGAATAATAATCAAAACATGCTCAAATTTATTAATATAAAGAATATGTAAAAAACTTATACAAATAACAAAAAAAAGTAAAAGTTTTAAAATCAAAAGATAATGAAATAATTAAAAATACAAATAAATTTCAAAGGAAATTATTATTTATTTAATGAATACTTCTACAATTTAAATTAAGATAGAAAGAATTAATAAAAAGTTTAAAATATAAAAGAATATTATTTATATAACTTTATTTTGATTTAAATCAGATATAAAAAATGAATAATAAATAAAAATATGAAATAGTTTTAAATAAAAAGTAAGTAGTAAAAATTTTAACTAAATAGTGCTTTTAAGAAATGTCTTATAAAGAGTAGGCGAAACTAGACTTAAAAAATGAAATCAAAGCAGAAAAAATAACAATATTTGTATAAATAAAAATGCAATAAAAAATAAAGGATAATAAAACATTAGAAAATAAAATTCGTAAAAATATGACTAATAGAATTATATCTTTCAAGAATTTTATTATATTTTAGAAAATTTTTTTTATAAAAATCTAAACATAAACTATTAACTTAATGAGGAAAATAAATCATACAGCTGTAATAAAAATGCCAATTATATATCTATTTATTTATTATATATCCATTAATTATCGTTTCGGTATTCTATCATTTTAGAATAATCTTCTATTTTTCATTCAAATGTGAAATATTCTTGTATATCTTTATTTATTATTCTCATTATAAATGAAAGTATTTGTATTAGCTGGCTTTCTTGGTATAGGACATACTTTCTCAAAAAACATTGGTATTTTATTTTTTTTCCATTCCTTTTAATTTTTTTTAGAATATATTCATAGAAGATCAATTTTATTAAAATCATCATTAGATTTATTAGATTCAATAAGGTATAAAGACTTTGAATAGTCAAAAACTTAAAGAATTAATATATTTTTTGTATAGCGAAGAAAATATTTTAGCTATAATTCTAAAAGAAGACATAGATAATAAAGACAGAAAATGTGAAACAGGACTCAAAGAATATTGCAAAGGCTTACAAGAAATTGACCCAAATCTTGACAAAGTACATCCAAAAATAAAAGGAATATGCAAAAACAACACGAAAATACAAGAGAAATGCAAAAATTTAAAAAATGAACTTATGAAAAATTGTAATATTTTTAAAACAAAATTAAGTAAATTATACGTTCCATCATATGACGATTGCAGGGAAAATGAACAAAAGTGTTTGTTTCTGGAAGGAGCATGTTCTAATCTTTTAATAGAGTGCAGTATACTAAGGAACAAATGTTATCAAAAAAAGCGTGATAAGACAGCAAAGAAATTCTTTTGAGAGCACTTGAAGATACTCTTGAAAATACATGTATAGAAAAGTTCAAAATATATATATAAAGTTGAATCAAGAAAGTGACGAGCTTATGTATAAATGTTTTGATCTAATCTATATATGCACAATATTGGAAAAAGAAACAAAGGAGATATGCAACTCCCTGAAAACTGAAATAAAAATTGCATTCGAAAAAAATACTACTGAAATATGCGCTTCATTACTTGAACGATACCATTTTTACTGGAAGAACTGTGAAACTCAAGAAAAACTTAATTACAATGAATTAAAAACTAAATGTGAAAAAAAGGAATCATTTATAGACCTCCGGTTTCGAATTTTAACCCTATGAACTTGGAAATTACATTGATGGAGAAAATAGATTTGAAAAGCTTTATAAAAAACTAATAACAAATGGTATTTATATTAAGAAGCCTTCCATAAGAGATATAATTATTCTTTTAATATCATTTATTTATAAATTACTCTAATAGCAATATCAAAGATAGATACGATTATGTTCTAAAATAGAAATATAAGGATTTTAATAACCATCTAAATTTAAAGGACCAGTGTAATGGAAATAATGCAAATAATAAAAGAAATGAAATTTGTAAAAAATTAGAAGATAAATTAGTTGATAAACTAAAGGAAATTTTATTAAACAATAATAATTGTATAATGATGCTTAATAAACATTGTGTACAATTAATTCATGAAATCAATGAATTTGGGAATCTATACATCAATATTATTAATGGTAAGAATAAAT